CAGCGGCAGCTGAGACCAGTCGAGGCTAGCAGCGCCGCCATGTGACCAACCCCCACTCATGTCCATCTCAGATAATGTCGGGCCCATGACGCCGCCGGCGCCGTCGCCTGGTCCCTCCGGCAGGCACCCGAGCGCCCCGGACCCTGCTCGGGTCCCGCCGGGCGTCTCAGGGAAGGCCGCAGTAGCAGCGGCGACCCATGTTGCCGTACGGTCACGGAAAAACCGTGCAGAGTCCGCTTGTCCCCGAAGGTTGGAGTTGTAATCAAGTGTCCCGCGGGTCGGTGCGGCCAGGCCGGCGCCCGGGGCGGCGACAGCAGCAGCAGCAGCAGCAGCAGCACCCTGATGGGGCTGCTGCCGGCCGCGGTAGGTGAGGGTTCTCTGCTGGTGTTGTTGGTGCTGTTGGGACTGTGGGTAGTGAGGGCGACCCATGGGTCCGGCTAGGGCCGGGGGAGCGGCGGCAGCCGGGGCGGAGTGCATACTTGTGCCGACGGTGTCGCCGGTGCCAACGGCGGCAGAGGCGGAGCCGGGATCTGTGACAGCGGCAGCTGCCGGGAGCCCCCCGGCAGTGTGGGGCCCTGGCGGGAGGTGCGATGCGGGCAGGGTGGCGGCGGGGGGTCCGGCGGGGGCGGGGGCGACTGATGGGCAGGCTGGCCTGAGGGGGGGCGGAGATGGAGTGTTAATGGCATGACACCGTAGGCACGGGGTTCTTGGGTTTGTGCTGTGCGGGCTATGCGCTACGCCGCATGGGGTAAGACATGGGGTAAGAGATGCCGAGGGCGCGCGGCCACCAGCCTGGCTGCACGCATGCCAGCGCCTGCCTCGCGGCTGCCGCCTCCCACCTCAGTGACCAGCACCACCTGCATCTGCCGGGCTGAGCACCGGCAGTCCGCCACTCGTCCTACATGCCCAACCCCCCTCCCATTCATCCCAGCTCCGCATCCCCCCACCACCACCTCCATCAGCCACACTCGAGCCCTCATATGCTAACAGTGTCGGCCGCACCCCTACAGCTGGGTGTGGTCAGCTAAGCCGCTATTCGCCCGGTATGCAGCCGCTTCCTCTCACCCGCGGGCGGGTTCCCAGTTGCCCTGTTGCTGCCGCCTCCGCCCCCTCCTTCCCCCCAGCCACCGCGCCGCCAGCTGCAGCGCCGCAGCGGCCGCCGCCAGTGCCCCCGCTAGCGCCAGCTGTACCTGGGAGGGCGAGGGAGGGCGAGGTGAGGCGCGAAGGGCGGAGGGCGGTGGTGTCTGTTCCGGGGCGGCATGGTGACAGGACTGGTGGGGTTTAGGACGGCTGATTGTCTCGTCTCGGAAGCGCGTCCGCTTGCTTCCCTGCAAGCGTTTTTTGCGGTGCTCTTCATTGCAGAATAGTTTGCACAATAGTATGGTAATTAGAAGGATAGGTGCGCGGCTTTTACTCCTGGAGAATTCCCGTTGGGGGCCCGAGAGGCTCAACAGCGGTTGGCGCGACTTGCCGGCAGAGGTGTTGCGAGCAGACCACATATGAAGGTGAGCAGCACCATGCAGCTTGCAAGCATCACGGCTGGGCGTTGACCGAAGTACAAGTAGAACGCAAAGGTACAGGAAGCTGTGAGCCAGGGCGGTAGCGTCGCTGAACTTGGAAGCGGGCCAGCTGACCCGACGGTCGCGGAATGTTGTGAGTCCATTTCACTTGTAGGTGCTGTTAAGAGATCAGGCTGAGCCATGTACTCTATCTTGTTCAAAGTTACGAGGTATTAGAGTGGTGAACCGGCGGGTCAGGGTGCTGTTCGGCAGCCGCTTAGGGTCTGACAGAGAGGCGCAACATGTTCTCAGGCTTACGTATACAGGCCTCGCACACTTGCTGCGTTCTTGAAACGGGGAAATCGGTTCGCACAGTTACTGCATTCCGGTAACAGTTGATAGACCTTGGAAGTCAAGGACTCACGTGACTGTTCAACCTATTCCTTACTGGTTGTAAGGAACCCTCTATAGTTCTGTGTGGTTACTAGTGCGGTTGGCATTTAGTGACTTCCACTTTTTTTGCCATTTGCTCGTGGCTTATGTTGCTAAACTAGTAGTTAGGTAACAAGCTATATAGCTGTAAGTCATTGTAGGTTCACACAATTAGCGGAGTCGGTGATACCTTGCAGCGCTTGTCGGTTGAAGCCGCCGGTGGTGGAGTCTGGACGCTATGGCTAGTGCCGGTGAAGCTGCATTTTGCCAACTAAGCATAGAGAACGATGTGCGGTTAGACGGTCGAAGCTGTAATGATATGCGGCCGTTGGAGCTGGAGTTGGGAGTCATTGCGCAAGCAGCTGGTTCTGCACGCTTGCACATTGGAGCGACGGACGTCATCGTTGGCGTCAAGGTAAGCGCTAAGCATCGGGTGCGGGGAACGCCGCGCACGTAGAACCTGCCTAACGCGTCAACTTCCCTCACTCCCGTCATCCATCGCGCAGTTGGAGGTGGGGTCTCCCTCTCCTTCAGCCCCTAACCAGGGCCGACTGCAAGTCACGGTGGAGTTCTCGCCATGCGCGTCACCCGTGTACAAGGCAAGTGTGCCCAGCTGGGCTGGGCACGTCAGTCGCCCGCTCGGCCCCATGGGACCAGCACATCAGCTCATGATTGCAAACCAGCGCTTACCTGATCCAAGCCAACCCATGAACTAAACCACCAAACCCCTTCCATCTCCTACACTCCCCTCTCCTGCTCCCCTCCTCCGTGCCGCTCCCCAGGGCCGGTCCGGTGAGACGTCGGGCGAGCAGATCGCGGCAGCCATCGAGGCCAGCCTGCTGCCCTGCAGCCGCGGAGGGGGACAAGGTGGGTGGGGGCGGGGCGGGGGCGTAAGGAGGCCGGGGTTGAGGCCGGGGAGCAGAAGAGTGGTTCGTGATGAGGTGGTGTGGGGTGGTGCGGTGTGGAGGAGGCGCACACGGGCGGGGAGGTGATGGGTTACCAGGGGCCCGCGACGGGAGTGCGGCCAGGGGCAGGGGCAGGGGCTGGGCGGGCGATGACGGGGCCAGGCAAGTGAGGATGCGGAGCCGTGGGAGCTGCCAGCGGTGGAGGCGGCCCTACAACGGCGGCACGCCAGGGAGGCGGAGGGAAAAGAGGAAACAACTAACTGACTGAGGCGGAGGGAGGGGGGCCCGGTAGGGCTGGCGGGTCTCAGGAGCGGCGGAGGGGGGGGGGGCTGCGCAGGGGCACTGGACCCGGTGGCTGCGGCAGCCCACCTGGCCTGACCAGCTCGCTCCCCTCCCCTGCCCCCCCACTCCCCTGCCCCCCCCCCCCTCCCCTCCTCTCCGCTCGACTAACTCGGGTCCATTCACCAGGAGCTTGTCGTCTTGTTTGTCATTCTCATTCAACACCTCGGCTATTCTTCTTTTTCCCCCAGGCTCCCCCTCCTCCTCCTCGGGCGTGGACCTCACCAAGCTGTGCATCCTGGCCGGCAAGACCGCCTGGCAGCTGTACGTGGACGCACTGGTGCTCAACGACGACGGCAATGTGGCGGGTGCGGTGGCGGCGGCCACACTGGCGGCGCTGAAAGACACGCGGGTGCCCAAGGTGGGTTGGGGTGTTAAGAAAAGTGGCCGCGAGTTGGAACGTGCTGTGATTGCCGGAGGATGAAGTCCCCCACAGAAGCGCCACAGCCCACAGGGGGCCGAGGAGTATGGTGTAGGGGGGCAAGGTGTATTGGGTGGGGAGTGGGGAGGGAGTAAGGAGAGGGGGAGTCTTCACTGGGAAGGACGAACGAAGGATAGTTGGCAGCTGTGAGGGCGCTCCAGGACTGATCCGGCGGGAGCACATGGGCGGTCGTAGTACGGAACGGTACTTTGCTGCAACATGCATCACATGTACAAAGTGCACATCTCCCTCCTCCCGCCCCCTGCCCTCCAGGTTGAGGTGGTCACGGACGCGGGCGGCGAGGAGGAGATCGAGCTGGACGACAGCCCGGGTGCCGCCTGGCGTCTGGACGTGAGCGGGGTGCCGCTGCTGCTGACCGCGGCGCAGGTGGGCGGCCGCTGCGTGGTGGACCTCACGGCAGCGGAGGAGCGGTGCGCAACCAGCGCGGCACACGTGGCGGTGAGGGCAGGGGGAGGGGGAGGGCAGGAAGGGGCGGGAAGGGGGAAAGTAACTGAGAAATGCAGCGACTGGAGGGGCGGGAGGGCTGGGAGTGAGGGTTGGGAAAAAAAGACTGAGGGGAGCGATGTGGGTCGCGTGGCGGTGTGCGGGACGGCGATGTGATGGGGGCGTTCAGGTGTGGCGTCATGCCGTGAGCATGAGCGGGACATGTCGGGGGTTCTTGAATGTGAATGGCCATAGCGGGAATGGGCAACCAGAGCGTGCAGGACGTGCAGGCAGCAGGGTGAGCAAAGTCCGGTAGTCCGGTACACATTGCCCAAAGCCACATAACCGCGCACACGTCGGGACTGCTGCTCCCTGGGTGACCGCAACCGTGCCGCATGTCAGTCGCTTGCGGCTTGCTGGGTTGCGGCGAGGCCATGTAGCAAGAACGCGCATGCAACTAACCCGTGTGCCGCCCCTCGGTTGCGCTCGCAGGTGAACCGCAGCGGCCAGGTTTGCGGAGTGACGCTGACCGGCAAGACGGGTGTGGATGCGAGCATGATGCTGCTGATGATAGAAACGGCACAAAAGCTGGGACCCTGCCTGTGGGACCAGCTGATGCGCTTCCTGCAGAGCCGATAGCACCCGACTTGTACCGGCCCAAGGGCCGGTCCGGTGCGATCAGCGGGAATGAGACTTTCCTTTGTTTGTCTTATTTCGTCTTGTATACTGCAGCTTATCTGCATACATGCTTGTCTGTTTAGGCTCAGACTGGTCAGGTTGGCAGAGCGCAGGGTAGGTCCGAAACGCTTTTGGCTAAAAAAGCGAGCTTACGTGTAACCACTTTACATCATTGGACATCGTAACTGATCAGCGCGAATGGGTTACTCCGGTTGCGAGGTGACAGTACGACGCGACTTATCCACATCTGGGCTTGCTTTGTTTGGCATTTTGCAATCAGAGCTAGAGCCCGTAGTTTAGGTTCTTTGCAAAGGGCAGGGGTCCAGCAGCTTACGAAATCTCGGACCTGGTGGTGACGATCAATGAACACAATGAACGTTCAGCGTATGCAGACCCGCAAACTAGGGTCGCAGACGTTTGTCTGCCCTCATGGTAGGCATGCATTGGTGGATGATAGTGGCGTGGAGCAGCCTGGAGCTCAACCACCTTAGTGCATCTCGCAGGCTCGGTTACGCGCAAAGTCGTAGGGGCAAAGGCGCGTGCTGTTTCACGCCAGGCACAGGTACATTGTGCGATCTCGATGTTTTTTCTATTTTGGGGATGCTAAAGCGGGTTGCCTGCAGGTCATTCGGGCCCAAGCCGTGTCGACCCCCGTGGAAGCCAAGTCAGGTAGCACGCCGGCCGCGGCTGCGGCCCCCGCCACCGCAGATTACGTTGGTGATATTAGCAAGGTTGGTGGGAGCTGTCTCGCCCTGGGTTCTTCGCCCTTGGCACTGACATCCCGCCATCTGTACCATCGCAGACGGTGCTGGGAATCATTCTGGGCGGTGGCGCCGGCACCCGACTGTATCCCCTGACGAAGAAGCGTGCCAAGCCAGCCGTGCCACTTGGCGCGAACTATCGCCTGATCGATATTCCTGTCAGCAACTGCCTGAACAGCAATGTCACGAAGATTTACTGCCTAACACAGTTCAACTCGGCGTCCCTGAACCGCCATCTTTCTCAGGCTTACGTGAGTCATAGTTAGGGCGCTTTCGCGCAGTGTCGTCGTGTTTTTTTGGTGCCTTCACGGCTTCCGCTAACATGCCATCAAAGAACCCTTTTGACAACCTGCACTCCGGCAGGCTAATAATGAGCGGCATGTTACCTACGTTCAATACACTATCATTTTTCTTTCAATATTCTACAAATTTTCCGTGTCGCAGAACTCCTCCGTAGGAGGCTACAACACCCGCGGCTTCGTGGAGGTGCTCGCGGCCTCTCAGTCCAATGCTAACAAGAGCTGGTTCCAGGGCACTGCGGACGCCGTACGGCAGTACATGTGGCTGTTTGAGGAGGCGGTGCGCGAGGGCGTGGAGGACTTCCTCATCCTGTCGGGTGCGTGGCGCGTGGGAAGGGAAGGGGCGTGGGACATGTCGGGTAGTAGGGGGTAGTGGAAGAGAACCCAGTGGGTTGACATGGCAACTCGATACCAACGGCTTCATGACCGGTTTGAAGATGAAAAGGGGAAGGGCAGCGCGCTTGAACATGGGTAAGGTGGGCTTCCGGTCCTCGGCCCGCACAGCGGCAAGGTGCCCCCCATACACCCGCGAGCGCAGTCGGTGCTTGCGGATTGCACAATGGCGAGCCAGTTGGGTCAGACGCGAGAGGGCCGCATTGCAATGCTTGCGAACGCGGCGCACCTTGTCGTCATTTCTGCACCTAAACTGTTCTGGTGGGGCCTCACGCCCCGGGGGTGCGGCCCCACCCGGCGGCACAGCAACCCAGGGCGGTGTACAGAGAAGCTGCCGTACTCGGCTGTTGCTGCTGTACGGCTTGTGGAGAGGGGGGAAAGCACGTGCCCGGCCTCTTCACGCGCCGGTTCCGCTGGGCGGGCGTGCGCGCGGGGGCGCTGTGAGGGCAGCTGTCAGCCGCCGTGCACGGCACAAGGGGGGTGCAGGGCATGACTTGGGGGTTTGGAGGGATGTGCAGCCGCGCACTTATTTACAGGGTGCTCTCCTAGACTGAGGGATGCTAGGATGCAGAGATCCGGGCTGAGGAGGGCAGGGTTGGTCGGGCGCCGAGAGGTCAGTGGTGGGGCGTTTGGAGGGGGAGGGTGGGGTGCCCCCGTTGTAGGGCTAGGGCCCCGCTCGCGCCTCTGCTAGTTGCGAGGGGGGACCTGTCCGCGTGCCTGCGCCCGCCCTGTGGGGTGTTGCCTGCCCCGGGGGCAGCAGCTGGTGTGGTGTGTTGGGCGGGTGCGAGAGGGGTCCAACCGGTGCACGCGAGCGGGCGGGCGGAGGACTGCTTTCCACGTTCCTGCCTGCCGGGCTGCCCCCTCCTGCTGCCTGGGGGCCCGACACCTGTCCTGCTGCGCGGTGTGCGCCGCTGCGACAGCCCTCATGTGCCTCACCACCTGCAGTCAAAGAGCTGTCTCGCTCCGGCTGTCATGGGGGCATGGCTCGCAAGCAACTCTTGTTTTATCCTCTTTCCTGCAGAAGTGCCCCTCCTCACTCCACCAGGAGTCAGGGTCAGTGTTTCCGCGGCTCAGTTTATCTAATCCTCCCTTCCCGCTCCCTCCCCCCACCCACCCCACCCCCCCAGGCGACCACCTCTACCGCATGGACTACCGCGACTTCGTTCGCAAGCACCGCGAGTGCGGCGCCGCCATCACCATCGCCGCGCTGCCGTGTGCGGAGAAGGAGGCGTCCGCGTTCGGGCTGATGAAGATCGACGACAGCGGCCGTGTGGTGGACTTCGCTGAGAAGCCCAAGGGGGAGGCGCTGGGGCGCATGAAGGTGGACACCACCATCCTGGGGGTGGACCCGGAGACGTGAGTGGCGGCGGCTGGGGGGGGCGGGGGGGGGGGCGAAGAGGAAAGGACTACCTGATCGTATGATAAGGCGGCGGTGGGTGAGTAGGGAGGAGAGGGAGGGGGGGAAGGGAGGAGTAGGGGGGGCTGGGTGCGGGCATGGGTGCATGGGGTGTGGTGAAGGCGAGGGGCGCTTCGGGATGCGGTGTATACTGGAATAGGTGACGCGTTCCTTCATCATGTCCTCCCCCCCCTCCCGCCCCTCCCTGCCTCCCGCAGCGCCTCCCAGAAGCCCTTCATCGCCTCCATGGGCATCTACGTGATGTCCGCAGTGGCGCTGCGGGAGCTGCTGCTAAACCGCATGCCGGGCGCCAACGACTTCGGTAACGAGGTCATCCCTGGCGCCAAGGAGGCGGGCTTCAAGGTGCAGGCCTACGCGTTCAAGGGCTACTGGGAGGACATCGGAACGGTGGAGGCCTTCTACAACGCTAACCTGGCGCTGGCGGACCCGGAGAAGGCGCAGTTCAGGTGCGGGGGAGGGCAAATATAGGGTAACTGACGAGGCGCGGGGAAGGCGGACGGGGGAGGGCGGGTTGCGAGTCTGAGCCGCGATGTGCGTGCAAGGGGAGGAGGAAGGAGGGCACAGAGGTCAGTCATTGGAAGGCAGGATAGAGGGTACTCGCCCATGCCCATTTCCTGACCATGCTACCCCCACTCCCCCCCCCCTCTCCCGCAGCTTCTACGACAAGGACGCGCCCATCTACACCATGTCTCGCTTCCTGCCGCCCTCCAAGGTGCTGGACGCGGAGGTGAGCATGAGCATCATCGGCGACGGCTGCGTGGTGAAGGCGGGCAGCAAGATCCACAACTCCATCATCGGCATCCGCTCGCTGGTGGGCAGCGACTGCATCATCGACAGCGTGATGATGATGGGTGCGGACTACTACGAGACGTTGGAGGAGTGCGAGTACGTGCCCGGCTGCCTGCCCATGGGGGTGGGAGACGGATCCATCGTGCGCAAGGTGAGGGGGGAATGTGAATGAAAAGTGAGGGGGGAGGGAAGGGGGGGACAGAGGAGCTGTGTGACATGTAACCATGGGGTGTTAACATGGTAGCAGGGGAGGGGGAAGGGAGGAAGGTAGGCGGATAGGGTGTGTGGGGAAGGGAGGAAGGGAAGGGGGCTGCTGTTCAATGGCGTTAGGTTCCATGACAGCAAGCTAATGCTGGCGTGTGGTGTGTGCACTGTCCCTCTTCAGGTGTATTTCCGTCCTCGTCGCGTCCACTGTCCTCTCCACCTCCCTCTGCCTTCCTTCCGTTCCCGACACACTCACTTCCCTCCCCTCCCTCCCTCCCCCCCTCCTCCCGCTCCCCAGGTCATCATCGACAAGAACGCGCGCATCGGGCCCAAGTGCCAGATCATCAACAAGGACGGCGTGAAGGAGGCCAACCGCGAGGAGCAGGGCTTCGTCATCAAGGACGGCATCGTGGTGGTCATCAAGGACTCCAACATCCCAGCGGGCACCATCATCTAAACGCCGAGGGAACAGCGGGACCTGCGCACTGGGGGTGCGGTGCAGTGCGGTGTGGGTGCGGTGCTAGGCTGTAAGGTGGGGGCAGCGGGTGGAGGCATCTGGCCCGGTCCGGGAGGGCTGCCACCGCTGCTGCCCAGCCCTGCAGCTGTGCCCGGTGGTTTCATCTGGCGCAGGTCGGCCCGCGGGCTTCTCAATCAGCATGCATGCATGCATGCAGGTAGCGAGCAGAGCATGGCGCCGCTGTGTGCGGCGCGCCGGTGCTGGCGGAGGAGGTTGCAGTGGGGGTGGGGCAGGATGATGAGGCGCTTGACAGGGGGGTCTGGATGACGGAGGAGGCGGAAGCTTAGTGTGGCATGCAGGAAGAAGCGGCGCCTGGATAAAGCAGCATAGGTGCAGGTTTTGCTTCTGCGGGTATGTGGCTAGTAGGGCACCTGTCATGTGCATCGTGGGCTCTGCGCTAGGGGGTTCGCGGATGACCCATGGGTCAGTCGCAGGCCTGCGCAGCCTCATGCATGTTTTTCCGGGTGTGTGAAGCCTTTTTCTCTTCGCCTAAGCGTGTTGGCAGTCTATACTGGTCTATGTTGTGCGCCTGTGCGGGTTTCAAGGCGAACAAAACGTCTAGAGGTGGCCATGCAAGAGCCCTGAGGAGGAGGAGGTTTAGGGAGAAGAATTTGCTTTTAGACACAACCATCAAGACAGCGCAGGGGTTGCAGCCGCATGTGCAACGGATCCGCATGTGCAGCAGCAGCAGCGGGTGGGCCGGAGCATTTCATTTGGTTCCCCGCTGCTGTCATTGCTTGTCGGTGCAAGGGCATGAAGAATGGTGTCGGTTGCAGCATGTGGTGTCTTCATGTGGTGGCCGTGGTGGTGCTCGTTGCTGCGCATATGTGGTTGCAGCGCCAGGTGCGCGTGGAAGGAAAAAAGGGGAAGCCCACGGCGGCGGGCGTTTACAAGGTTGCTGACGTGTGCTAACGACCAGCCCCCGTTCTCACAATCGGCGGGGGTATTGTTGCGGTGCTTAGGTCTCCTCCCCACCGCAGTTTTGGCGTGTGTGTATGTTGTGGGATGTTTGTTGTGCTGTTAGCTGTCTGCTGTTGAACGAAGAGGGGAGGTTGAAGAACGGAAAGAATGTACCGTGCATGAAAGCACGACCCCCTCAGCACCACTCACGCATATCAAGATGTGAACATCATTTTTTTCTCCTTTCCTTTCCATTGTTTGGGCACATGGCCCCATGTACCACAAGACGACGAGCTGTGCGGAGTGTGTTGCCCCTCCACTGTGTAGCCCCTAAGAAGTTGTGTATGTTGCGGTTCCCGGCTTGTAACAAGCTCAAGTGAAGGAAGTGTTGTCACCCAGCAAGGCGTACGGAGAGTATCATGGGATTACTTCACAATTGGCCCTACATACCTGCAGGGACAGGTTACAGCTTCTAACTAAGCTAGTAAGTGACTCCTCTCCCGCGGAGACCCTTTGCAAGTCGAGATCCCTGGATCTTCACACTACGTCCCAGGCCCCACTCGTGCTCAGGTGATTGTCATGAATGTTAAACTAATGGCGCACCACATCATAGAAATAAACTCGTCTACCCTCCGGAGAGCTAACCTATTCCCCATGGAAGTACCCCTCCACTCGTGTACGGAATACAGCACGCATTTCTTATGGTGCTGCGTGCATCCCCTCCCCGAGTAAAACGTACCCTATCGCTCATGTCGTTTACCCATGAAATACAGCCGTAACGGGGCAACCAGCATCCTCCTCCTTCCTAGCCCACTCTCGGTTGAGCGGCAATGGACATCACCCCATTGCCCCGCTCACATCCCCCACTTGAACGCTACTCTTTGTACGGTACACACCTCCGGGAGGCCACGATGCGCCAGATGTTCAGATCCCAGGTAGGGCCCTGTGGGGTCAGGAGCACCTCCAACAGCGCCGCCCTCTGTTGCCCCCCACCAGAGACCCAGTGCGCTGCCCTCATGCGGCCCACATCGCATGAAGCCACCACGTCAGCACATATCCATGCAGCACCCCTAACTTCGATCTAACGCCTAATCTGCTATGAACTAAGATTTTATAGCCCTGCTATAACTATAAGGGACTAACCTTCCTCATGGACTACTTGATGAACTAACCCTACCGCCTACCGTCTGTGTGCTAGTGTGTTACGTCGGCACCTGCCCCCAGATGCCACCCATTGTGCTGCGCAAACCTGATATGCGCACTCACAAGCAACCCCACCGCGCCGTTGGAACTGGCATCTCGTTGGCACACATACACAGTGCGAACGAGGGTCGACGCCACTCAGCATGCTAAATCACCCGCCCCCCCAAGAACCTCTGCAGCAGATCTGCAGCTCCCACACAGCTTTGGAGATCCTGTGATGAATGCGGCTGATAAGTACTCACAAGCACGAAACATGAAAGAAGGAAATCCCCACTCTTCAGCGGGGCAAGATTAAAGCTCTACACAATCATCGCACCCCCGCCTGCGCCACCATGTCTTCTCCACTACCACGCACGCAGCGAACCCCATCCACCTCCCACCCCGCCTCTCGCCTCCCACTCCGCTAACGGCTGTTCGCGCCTCCGCACCCGTCTCCCCACAAACATACCCCACATTTCTATCGAACCTGAATGAATGACACTGTTACAGCAGTCCCCGAGAAGACAACACGGGCACGTTTGCCCTAACCAACCCCACCAAGCGCTCAGCTCAAGGCCGTCTTGAAGGCCCAGCCGGTACCTGGCTGCTGCTGCTGCTGCTGCGGGTCGCTGCATGCGGGCGGGGCGGGGGGCGGCGTGCGGTGAATGAGCACGGAGGTACGGCAGGTCTGCAGCAGTCGCTCCATGTCCTTGCTGATGGCCAGGTCGGGCGGGCAGCTGAGCGCGAGCAGGTCCACTCCCTCCGCCTCCACTGCCTGGAAGGGGTGTCGGGGGTTGTGAGGAAAGATGAAAATTGTAGCAACGGAGTCCCAATCCTCAATGAGAGGGAGGCGGAGGGGGCCAGTGAAGTAAGAAGGACCGCTGTAAGGCAGTGGGGGATGAAGGCCACCGGCCCCAGGGAGGCTACGAGCGCGTGCCTACCCCGGCATGTGCCCCCCAATCCCAACCATACAGTAACCCTGACCGGAACCTTGCCGGAGCTCCCGCCATCCCTTTCCAACACCTCCTCCCACTACCTCTTCACCAACCGCCCCAACAGCAGCCCCAAACCACTCCAACCGCAGCCCCCTACCTTGGGCAGCTCCGCCAACGCATCCCCCGCGTACGCCCGCTCCTCCACCCGCAGCGCCCCCCGCGCCACCACCGCCATGCGCCCCTGCACGAACAGCCGCCTCGAGCGCATGGTGAGCTGCCCGTCCCGCTCCACCGCGCTGGTGCGAGCCAGGATGACCGTGTCCCCGCTGCTACTGCTGGGGCCGCTGCTGGGGCCACTGCTACCGCCGGTGCTGCCATAGCGGCCCATGCCGCTGCTGTTGCTGTTGGGGTCAGCGGGGGCCGCCCCGCCGGTGCTGCGGCTGCCGCCGCCGCCGCCTCCCGGTGCAGCGGAGCCCCCTGTCGCCCCCGCCGCCGCCGCCAACGCCCCGCTGACAAACTCGACCAGCGGTGTGACGCAGGTGGAGTCCAGGTGCACCATGGCGGTCACCCAGTCCTTCTGGGGGGCTGGGAGGGGGAAGGCGAGCAGAGGTGGAGCAGCAGGGTGAGCTGTGCGGGACACACCGGTGCCCTGAACGCCACCAGGACGCCAACCGCCGCTATACTGCATGCAGCAGAACGGACTGGAAGAAGCGTGGTGGTAGCGCCGGCACACCGTATGACCTGCATGCACCTGCGCCTTACGCGTCCGTAACCACCACCGCACCCGGCACCCCACTTACTGCTGCTGCTGCCGCCCCCGCCGCCTGCCCCCGCCCCCGGTGCCTGGCTGGGCACCGCCAGGTACCTGCCCACCGTGTTGGCCTTCACCACCAGCAGCGGCAGCCCAGTGCAGCTGCGGGCCAGCGCCAGGGCAGCGGAGGCGCCCAGCTGGCCCAGGTCGCAGGAAGGGCCGCTGGGACACAGCCGCTCGCTGGGGACCTGGGGCGGCCGGGCCGGGGCGGGGAGGCAATAGTAATGAGGAGAGGGGCAGACCGAGGCGGGTGGGAGCCCTTCAAGTGGGCCAAACGGTAAGATGTTGAATCACCCTCCTACACTTTTCGTCACATCTTTCACCCTTCATACCTCCCTCCCTCCTTCCCCCCCCTCATTATCATACCACACTTTGGAATTTCTTTTTCCCCCCCCCCCCCCCCCCCCCACCCCTTCCCCCCAGCACCTCACCACCAGCAGGTTGGGTCGGACCCTGTTCCTCAGCCTGCCCGCCAGCTCCGCCAGCTGCTCCCCCGCCTGCCGCACCACCACCTCCCGCACCAGCTGCCCGCCGAACTGCAGCTCGCGGTCGCACACCAGCTCAGCCAGCTCGCGGATGCGGGGCTGCTGCGGGGGGTGAGAGGGGTGGGGGGGGGAGAGGGGGAGAAGGGCGGGTGTGGCGTGAAGAATGAGGAGGGCAGCAGGCAGAGTGGGGATGCCGCATGACAACCAGGCGTACCACGGACTCCAATGGGACTCCGTTTCAGTAGCAGACCGGCATCCCCAACACCTCTTCCTCTCCCTCTCCCGCGTAGTACCCAAACCTTGCCCAGCGCTCTCGCCCCCTCCCTCCCCCTCTACTCACTCCCTCACCCCCCCCACCCGGCCCCCCCCACCCTGCTCTCCGCCTCCGGCACCAGCAGGCAGCAGTGCAGCCGGTCCACGATGTTGTGCACGAACAGCCGGGCCAGCCGGATGGCGGGGGCCACCAGCCGCGCGTGCTCGGGGGTCAGCAGCAGCAGCACCGTGAAACCTGGGTTGGGGGGGGGAGGGGCAGAGGGGAGAGGGAGGAGCGGGGAAGGTACTTGGGATGGCAATCGCCCTCGGGATGGCAATCGCCCTCGATCGGCACCCACACCATTCCCAGTTCCCTCCCCTCCCTCCTCTCCCACCCACCCTGTTTCTCCTTGTAAGTGGTGCAGCGCATCACGGGCCCCACCGTCTCCTGCGCCCTCGCGGTGTCGTACAGCTGAACCGCCTTGCGACGGAACTCTTTCACACCGTCCTGAGGTGGGGGAGGGCAGCGGGGGGCAGCAGGGGGATGGGTGAGGGGGCAGCAGCGGCAAGCAAGGGAAGACACAAAAGCTAGCTGGGCCACGTCCTTCGCGGATAAACTACGTTATAAACGTTGTGCTCCTTCCCCAGCCCCAGCCTAACCCTGGCCTAACCGCTTCCAACTCAGCACCCCCGGCGGCCCCCGCCCCAACTGCCCTAGCTCCCCAACCCCCCGCCCCCACCTGCATCTGCAGCACTGCCGCCGCCTGCGCCAGCCACTCCCTGCCGTACACCACCTCGCTCAGCAGCGGCGGCCGCGGCGCCTGCCCGCCACCCAGCACGCATGCGCAGCTGGCGGCGGGGAAGGTGCTTAGGTCGCCCAGGTCGAAGGTGGCGTAGGCGTAGAAGTCTGGGGGCGGGGAAGGGAAGGGTGAGAGGGGAGAGAGGGGGCGTGGAGGGAAGGTGTAGGCACATGCTCCGAGGCCCAAGGTGTCGCACCGTGAAGCCCACCACCCCTCCCTCCACTCCTTCCCCTGCCCCCTCCGTCCCTCCTTAACCCCCCGCATCCCCGCCCCCCCTGCGACTCCAGTTGCTGCACTTCTCCTTTATCCCCTCCACCCCCCTCACCATGCAGGTACACGTCCGCATGGAATGCCGCCGGGTCCACCAGTAGCCGCTGCAGCGCCCGCACGCTGAACAGCCAGCGAGGGGCGCCCACATGGAACCCCGCGGCACCCGCTACACCGCTGTACGACACACCACCACCGGCACCTCCCGCACCCGCACTGGTGCTGCTGCTGCTGGTGATGCTGGTGGCAATGCCGCGACACATGCTGCTGTTGTTGTTGTTGTGTGTTGCAAGTCCGCTCCCGGTGGCCGCCTGCAGCAGCTGGTAGCTGCGAACCGTGCGCATGCTGCTGGGCCGGAGGTTGCAGTTGCGGGGAGCGTGGGGGCGGTGGGGGCAGGCGGAGGAGGCGGATGGCGGAGCGTAGCTGCCCGCACCGCCGCCGTGGCTGCTGTTGCGGCTGCTGCTGCTGCTACCGCCTTCGGAGGAGGAGGCGCCGCCGCTGCTGCTGTAAGCGGAGGCGGCGCGGGAGGACGCGGGGCTGGTGGGGATGGTGGGCATGGAGGTGGAGGTGGGGGCTGCAGCGGCGGTGCTGCTGCTGGTGCGGGCGCTGCGTGCGAGCACGAGGGAGTCGAGCAGTCGCGCCTGCCGCTCGCACTCTCCGGGCAGCACCTCCATGGCCATGTTGGCGCCTGGTGGGAGGCGGAGGAGAGGGTAGTGCGGGTGGGCAGTCAGTCAGTCAACGCCATACGGCTGTGAGATTGTGCTGTGGACGCCTGCTACCCCTCCCTCCCCTGCTCCCTCCCCTCTCCTGGGGTGGGGTCGGCCAGGTCCAATTAGCAACCCCTGGTGAAGCCTCGTCACCCAGTTCGTCAGTTTCCCTTATTTTTACCCCTCCCCCCTGCCCCCTCCCCCCACCCCCCATCCCCCCACCCGTCCGCTCCCCCGCCGCCAGCCCCGCCGCCATGAAGTCGGTGTCCAGCAGCGCCTCGGGCCGCAGCCGCTCCACGTCGCTCAGCAGCCCCGCCTGCAGCCAGCTCACACCCGAGCCGGACAGCCAATCCAACACGGAACCCTGACAGCGGTGGGGGGGGCGGGAGGTGGAAGGGTGGACGGGTGGGAGGAGTGATGAAAAAGAGGAAGGAGAAGAGGAGTGAAGGCAGGGGAAGGCGAGAAGGTGTGACTGGGTTCCCTCATGCCGTGTAAGGCGCCCCAGAAAGCCCTATGTAGAGAAGCGCATTGTGGACAGACAGCCTTGATTCTACCGACATACGAGGACGGACGATGCAGGATCTCGTGCTTCCCGTCCCTCACTCCCACCCCTCACCTCTAGGCAGTGCGGCTCCGTGCCGTCCGCCGACAGCGTGTAGGCCTCCGCTGGGGAGTTGAGCAGGAACATGGCGTAGCCTGGGGAGCGGGGACACATCCACACATGCCAGTGGTTTGAGGGCGGGCGGCAGTGAGGGGGAGGTGAGCGTGGTGGAGTGAGAGACGTGGTCATACCAAACCCCTCCCCCCGCGCAGCCTCCCCAGCCCGCTCTCACCGGTTCCCAGCATGAGCCGCGGCGAGCCCTTCACGTGCGCCAGGTGGCCCGTGCGGGTGTCCTGAGGGGATTTTAGCAGGGGGGGGAGGAAATGAAAAGTGAAGCAACGGAGTGCCGCTGCCGTCTGGACGCCGTTCCTCATGCTGGACCCTGCCTGCCGCGTCCTCCTCCTCCCCAAATCCCCTGCCTAGCCTCCCTTCTAACGCCATGCCGCACCGCCTGCCTGCTGCCTGCGTTCTGTTGTCTTCTAACTGCACTTCCAACCCTCCCCCCCATTTGCGTGCCGCATCCTCCTCTTGCCCCCCACCCCACCTGCGCAAAGCCGTGGAACCTGGGCAGCGGCAGCAGCGCCAGGTTGCCCGGGCTGAGTCCGAAGAAGCCCCACTGCTGCAGCTCCGAAACCACATAGTACTCCACCTCGCAGTCGATAGCCAACACAACCTGAGGGAGGGGAGGGGGCAGGGAATGCGGGAGGGAGAGGGGGCCGGGTTCGGAAACAAAACACCAGCCCATTCACTTCCATCTCCCGCCTCCCCTCCCTCCCTCCCTCTCCTCCCCCCCCCATGCGCCCACCTTGAGTTGTTTGAGCGCCTGCGCCCCGTACCACATCTCCACCGACACCGCCGCCTGCAGCAGGTGCCGCCCCGCAACCGACAGCCGCTCCAGCCGCTGACCGCTGGGAACCTACAAGGCGGGCAGGCAGGCAGGCAGACAGGTAAGCGGGCAGGCAGGCAGGCAGACAGGTAAGCGGGCAGCCAGGCAGGCAGGTGAGCGCGCTGGAAGATGTGTCGACCGGACATTTGGGTCAAGTAGCTGGCCATGTTGGTAACTACAGTCGGTCATTCTCACGCAAAGCTGCTCCGCAGTCACGCAACCGTACCCCATTCCCTGCACCCCGCCGGCCCCCAGTTGCATTACCACTTACCAGTAAGGCGGTAACCCCGGCTCCCCTCCCCTCCCCTCCCCCTCTCCCACCTTGTTGGGCACCAGTTCCTTGATGGCCTGCCACAGGTCGGTGACCGCCAGGGGGGACACGTCGTCGCCGCCAACCTCCGTCAGCCGCCCGTCGTCAATGAACAGCAGCGCAATCGACCCGTGGGTCAGTGCCGCGTCCACCGCGTTCGAGTACACTGCGCACATGCCGCACGTTGGCACAGAGGGTCCGCATCTCAAACTCTTACAGACAGCTTACTATCGATACATGCCAAACAAAAAAACGCAAGCATGACAGCGCAATGGCAGTGCTGACCCACCACTCTGCCCACACCCCCAACCCCGTTTCACCTAATCCTGAAATTTAGCCAAATGCCGTATGTATCCCTGCTAACCCCACTTCGCCCCCGACTCCCCGCCTCACGTGACGCCGCCCCCGCCGCCGTGTTGAGCACCGCGGGCGGCTCCCACGCCTCCTCCTCGATCCACTGCGCGTTGCTGCGGTTGGCGTACACCGCCAGCACCTGCTCGGCGGCGTAGCGCAGGATCTGCCACTTGGCGTAGGTGGGCAGCACGCGCTCCTGGGGGGGGGGGGTAAATGAGAAGTGCATTCGGGGGGACCGAAAGAAGCATGGGAGGAGGACACACCAGGAACATGAGGATACTGTTGTGTGCGAGGGCAATAGAATGGGCAGACTGAATAACGGTGCTGGTGGGGGACAATGGACATGTGGGCCTGGGGCGTGGAAGCGCAGTGGGATCGAAATGCGGACCACGTGTGCTAGGAAGGAAGGCAGGCTGGAGGTGGGGTTCACATCAGCTGGGTAGAGCACAACAACACCGCACAGTCGACTGGGATGGGGCGCTTGCGTCGCTCCAGCTCCGCCAAGCAGGTACGCGGGACCGGCCCACTTCAAACCAGCCAGTAGTGTGCGGCTGCCCGGTAGACCTACGGCAGCGCGCCGCTCTATGCAGCCACATCATGCATCAATATGCCACCAGCAACCTGCCCAAGCCACGAAACCTCCGACCCAGATGACCGAGCTCCTCCACCCTCGTCCGCACAGCTATCCTACAGCTTCTTCTACGGCTGCCCGGCCCCGTCACATCCCAGCCCGTCCCTACCTCCCTTTAACCAGTGCCTCTGCACCCACCCTTGGGCTCCGTGTTCTCGGCAGGTACGGCGTCATGGCTGGCCCCTGCACCCTCCCCACCCTTCACTTGCTTTGCGTTTCCCCCCAACCCCACCCCGCCCCACCTCCTCCTCGTCGAAGAAGAACTGCTCCAGCATGTCGTCCGTCACCCCCTCCCGCATGGCCAGGTGCAGTGCGCCCTGGAAGCTGCCGAACGTGCCCAGGTTGGCCCCCAGCGACTGCTCCACCCGCGCACCCAGACTCTCCTGGTTCAGGGGAACAAGGTAGCGAGCACCGCTGCCGGCGGCTCCTCCAGAGGCGGCGGAGGCGGAGGAGGGGCCTAGCAGCTTGCCTCGTAGCTTGAGTTTTTCCAGTGCGGCTGCCTTGCTGTCGCTGAGCTTGCCCAGCCAGGAGCGCCTGGCCTCCTGGCCGGGGGCGCTGGACTGCTTGGGCAGCGGCAGGGAGCGGGTGGGGCGCAGGCCGGAGGTGTCCCTGCGGAGGGGCGGGGGGATCACGTGGGTGTGTTACGGAACTAATTGCAAGCTAGGCACCGGTATACTGAATCTGTAGTTACACTGCAAGGGAGCAGCTTGACAAGTACAGGACCCTTGCTAGCAGGATGGAGTGCTCCGGGTAGCAACAGTATTGTAGACAAGTACTGCCGCCCCAGCCCTTCTGTTGCACGTTTCACACTGCAATACAATCCTGCGAACTCACCCCACGCACGCATGCACCCCGGCCCCGCCTGTTTAGCCCCTCAGGGCGCCCTCTTACTTTAGCTGCGTTGTCTTTATCTGTACTGCAAGCTTCTTCACGAGCTCCTTTCTCGCCACCTCAAGTCGCTGTCGATATTCCCGTTCAGCCGCAGCGTGCTCGGCCGCTGCCGCGGCGGCAGCGGCGTCGTTGTCGGCATTGCAACTGCCGCTGTTCGCGTTGCGTTTTGGGCGGTTGGCCGAAGCCTTAGCTATCGATTGCCTAATTTCGGCGGCTGTTGCCGCCCTGCTCTGTGCGGGGCGCATCCATTGCGATCTAGGAGAGTCAGGCTGGCGCTTCGAAGGATTGGGCGTCGCTTCATGTCCGATGGCGGTAGGTTGCTGGTCGCCGGCCTGGTCGCCGGCATCCAGCTTACTGCCCTCCTGACCCATCCAGGCCAGTTACCTTAGTTAGCTGCCAAGTCGGTTGGATACTCCAGGAGGCGACGCAGACGGCACGCTAGAGGTTCAGACGTTTAGGGTCGCTGCAACTGCCCAGGGTGTGGAACGGGTCTTTCAATCTAAGCTACTGAGGTATGCCTACTGTTTACGAAAGTTATGTCATGTAGCTGATACGGGGTAGCTAGGCCTGGTTTTACTAGTGCTCGCATCATCCATCGCACAACAGTCAAAGTCTATTGCTATCGACGACAGTAGAAAACTTTACTAGCCTGTAAGCATAGGAAGGACGACAGCTGTTGCGTTGACTCACGCCAAGTTCGTCGAGTATTCAGCACCCCTCAAAGTACGGCAGCTGTGCAGCATGCAGAACTACCGAAGACGAGGATTACTAGTGGTATATCTGTTATCCGGTGCTGTGCAAACATCTGGTTTATTTGTCGGGCTGGATAAAGCTGCAGCCCCTTTTGTGTGTTGCAGTGTTGCTTTTTGGTTTGCTTTGCTGGTTAAAGGGCGATGCTAATTTTGCTTAATATTTCAAAAGTTCACTTGCTATGGTTGATGTCATATGTGTGGCCGCCGCGAAAGAGATCCTTAAGGCATTGAGTTGCTAGTAGAAGAAGAACGGTAGACGGGGGACGGGTAAATGAGTCGACCACCCAAGAAACGAACAGTGGATGAGGCAGGAGCACAGCAGCAGGAACAGGGCGAGACGAGGCTTGAATTGGACGTAATCACTGGGTCACTTTGGCAGCCAACATGTCAGGCATTAGATCCAGTGCCGAACAAGGTGCGTTTGTTACGTATTTTGACGCGCAGGGCAGGGGCCAGGCAGGCAGCAGCCAGGGGTGCCCAGTCTCCCCGCATGCCTCACCTGCCAAACATGTCCCGAACCAAGCCTTCAGGCAGCCACAGAAAGCACAGAGCTCATGTGGGTCAGCTCCTCGCCCGTCCCCTCAGTCACCCTGCCCCATACCTTCATCCTACCTTGCCTCTTGCCTCTTCAATTCACCTCCTGCACCCTCGCCTCCTCTGCTTCCCCCACACCCCGACCCAGATCCCGCTTGTGTTCCGCGACGAGGTGCACTACCGCCACACCTTCGAGCCGCTGCTGCGCGAGGAGGCGCGCGGCAGCCTGCGGGCCGAGCTGGACGAGGCGGTGGGGGCGGGCAGGGGCTGGCCCGTCACCGTCACTAGGTGCGGGGGAAGGGAAGGGCGCGGGGTGATGCCGGCGTGTGGGTACAGGCAGAGCTGGAGGAAGGGCGCTGCGACCAGCTGAATCCTATCAATTCTGCGTGACCCAAATGGCCTGCCTAACATCCTTTTCCTCGGGCCCCACCCCAGATGTGCGCCTGCCAAGGAGGGCGTGTTCCACCTCACGTTGCGGCCGGGGGAGCGGGGGCACGGCATGCTCATGCGGGAGGGGGCCATCGCGGTGCTCATTAGGCCGGGGGCGGCAGGGGCAGCGGCGGAGGCGCAGCAGCAGCAGCAGTGGGGCCAGGCAGGGCCGGGGCCGAGTAGCGCGGCGGCAATGGCGCGGGCGGCGGCCGCCTGTGCCGGGCGCTGGGGCCAGGTGGGCAGGGGTGCAGCTTGGTGGCAGTAGGAAGAAAGCAGGAAGCGCTTGTGGGGAGGACCAAGGGTCTTGACCTCTTGTCTTAGAGTGGGATGTGACGGCCTGCCGGACGGGTAGGCAATGCAGCTGGTTGCATGGGTGGCCGCTCAGGTGCTGATCTGGGTCGGGCGCCTCGGGCATCGTGCCAACCGAGGCCCACCTGGGTCGTGCCTTGTGCCGCTTATGCCCTGGAACTCTCCCGGCAATCCATTCCTGCCCTTGTTGTACCGCTTTCTAGGTTTATAGCAGGCCCATCTTGCCCTGCTTTGATCCATGCGCACAGGCCAGCAGCAATGGCGCCGGCGGCGGTGCGGGCGAGGCTGCCGTGGCCCCGCTGCTGGCGGCGCTGGTGCGCATGCGGTGCCGGGACGCGGGGCAGTCGCTGGAGGTGTCGGTGCGGCCCTGCTGCGGCAACACGGCGCATAAGGAGGACGGCAGCCCGTGCAACAGGGTGAGAGCGGGGGGGGGTTGTAGCGGGCTGGGGGCGGGAGGGGGCTCGGGGCCTGCGGAGGACAGCTGCCGTATGCACGTTCAATTACCGGTATATGGTCGCCCTTTGATGGCTGCTGCCAGGTGCTGCATCTAGTGGCCTAGTGTGTTGGATACGCCGCTGGGCCCTGACTGCGGCCCTGGTTCAATGCGTTAATGGGTTAACCCCGCAAACGCACCATGCAACCACCTGCCGTACCACCCCTCCAGGCGCTGCACCTGATGGTGGGTCAAGGGATTACCACGGAGGCCCCCGACCCGGATAGCGCCGCCACGCCGCCCGGCACCACCGCCGGCACGCCACCCAGCGGCAACGGTCCGGGCGCTGCAGCCTCCGGCGCTGCCAGCGGCCCGCTGTGGCTGTGGCTGGTGCCGCTGACGAGCCTGGTGACCAACGTGCGGGAGCTGCGGGTGCTGGGGCGGCTGGGCGACATAGCGCTGCTGCAGGAGCTGCTGCGGCCCGCCAGCTACGGGACGGCGGGGGCGGCGGAGCTGCCGCAGGTGAGGCAGCACCGGGGCGCGGAGGGCGGGGTTAGATAAACTGAGCCGCGTAAACACTGACCCGGGCGGGGTTGGGGATGGGCTAAGATGAAGCAAGGGGGTGTCAGGATTCGGGCAAACCAACCACGTGGACCCACACAGTCTGACCCTGGCTAGCCGTGCCTTGGCAACTCGAGGCAACGTACCGGTGGTGCGTGGTCGGGGGTATACTGGTAACACAGTCCGTCATGCCATCACTCCTCCTCAAACCCCCCTCACCCCCGCCCCTCACCCCCACCCCTACAGGTGTGGCCGCAGGATGCCCGCCACGAGCCCTTCTACCGCCACCTGTACGGCCAGTACGACACGCCGCAGCGGGAAGCCATTGTGGCGGCGGCGGCGCACCTGGCCACCCCGGGGGACCTGGCGGAGGCGGAGGCGCAGGGCATCGCAACAGGGGCCGCGGCGCAGCAGCAGCAGCAGGCGGCGGTGGAAAGGGGAGGTGGGGGTGGAGGTGGGAGCGCGAGAGGCAAGTCAGTGGAGGCGGAGGGAGGGGCGGAAGGCGGGCGTGCGCGGCCGCTGGTGCCGCCGATTACCCTGGTTCAGGTGGGTTGGCAGGGGGGGGGGCGCGGCGTGTGGATGGGGAGGATGTTGGGGCGTGGTGGAGGTGGAGGATGTTGGCGGCATGCTGGGCAATAAGTGTCCTGACCTGGGAAGCCTGAGCTGATGGGGCTGCGGCAATTGCGTCCGCTGGGGCGTGCAGGCAGCCTGCAAGGCACGAACTAGGCTACACACAGAACCAGGCATTAACCACACCGCACTATCGGCAACCCGACTGACTTTTCCGCACCTTTCCCCCTCCCCGGCCCCCCTCAGGGTCCCCCCGGCACCGGCAAAACCCACACGGTGCGCGGCATCCTGAACACCTGGCACTCCATCATGTACCACCGCCACCACACCGCATGGCTGCGGCGAGCCCGGGAGGTGCTCTCCAGGTCAGGCAGCGGCAGCCGCGGCGGCCCTGGGATCCTGGACATGTACTGCAGCAGCGGCGGCGTGGGCAACGGCGGCGCCGGCAGCGGCATCCTGGAGGCTCTGTCGTACGCTCCGGTTGAGGCTCCCAAGCCGCGCATCCTGGTGTGTGCGCCCTCCAACGCCGCCACGGATGAGCTGCTGGACCGCATCCTCACGGACGGCTTCGTGGACTTTGGGGGCGCCACGTACCGGTGCGCACTGCGGGGGGGCTGGTGGTGCGGCGCATGCACAGGGGGGTGGGCGAACACCTACATGATCGGCCCTTGTGCCACCCGTTCCGTTGGCACAACACGCACCACCGCAACCCCCACTCCGCACCCTCCCTCCCTCTCCGCCCCCCACAGGCCCAACGTGGTGCGTGTGGGCGCGGAGGAGGCGCCGCTGTCCGCCGCCGTGAAGGCCGTGTGGACGGAGGCCATGATCAACCGCTACGAGGCGCTCAGCGCGGAGGGGTGGGCGCTGGCGTACAAGGACTGCGAGGGACGCATCGCCAACTGCAACGTGTACATGGCGTCCATGGCGGCCAAGCTGGCGGCGAGGGAGCGGGGGGAGGGGGCAGGAGAGGCGGGGGAGGGGGAGGGGGCGCAGGTAGGAGGAGGTGGGGGAGGTGGGAGGGGGAGGGGGGATGGGTACCGGTAGGGGGGCTGGGGTGTGTGCGGGCTGCCCTACAGTGCGGTTCCCTAGGAGCCAGGAGGGAGGGGCGGGACGGGACGGAGCCTACCGCTTGCTGCCTGGGGAGCAGCAGGGCCCACGGGGGCTCCCTCGCTGGGTTGCTACGACATGCAAAGCACGCCCGCAGGAAGCCAGCTCGCCCTCAGCCCCTCCTCGCCCCCCTCCCGCCCCCCCCCTCCGCTGCAGGACCTGGACCGCATGGCTGCGGACCTGGTGCGCCTCAACGACCACCTGCAGCGCGCCAGGGAGGAGATGAGCCGGCTGGACAGGGCGGGTGAGAGGGGCCAGGGGAGAGGGAGCAGGAGTGAGGAGAGGGACTGCGTTTCTAGACGCTTGCGCTTCCCTAAATACCTTCCCTACGCTCCCCGCCATCAGGCGGCCCCTACATTCCAGCACTCATCCAGCCCTTAGCGACACAAAACCCCACATACACAACCCCCCACCCCCCCACCCCGCCACCCCCAGGCGACCTGGCCACCTCGGGTCCCTCCCGGCTGCCCGGCTACGTGGTCCGCCGCATCCGCGAGGACCTGGAGCTGAGTTTGATGGAGGAGGCGGAGATGGTGTTCACCACGCTGAGCTCCACGGGGCGGGCGGTGTTCAGCAGGCTGGGCAGGGGGTTCGACTTTGTGCTCATTGATGAGGCGGCGCAGGTGGGGACGGAGGGGGGAGGGGGAAGCGGACGTGAGGGTAAGGTGGTGAAAAGTAAACGCGTGTGACATGTAGGCTCCACCATGGGGCATCATGGTTGCGGACCATTCGGCGGGAGGCACTCGGTGGCTGCTTGCCCTACTCGGGTTACTGTTTGTTCCCACGTCCGTGGTGGCATTTGGAACCTGTTCTATACCTTTTCCCTTGCTGTCCTGCCCATGACTGTATCCACCCGCGCTACCCCCTTCTGGCCTCTTACCCCCTTCTGCCCCCTTACCCCCAGGCGTCCGAGATCGCGGCGCTGCAGCCGCTGCTGTACGGCTGCCGGCGTCTGGTGATGGTGGGCGACCCGCAGCAGCTGCCCGCCACCCTCTTCTCGGCAGCAGCCAAGGAAACCCTGCTGGAGCGCTCCCTCTTCGAGCGCCTGGCGCAAGCTGGCGCAGCAGTCAAGATGCTGTCCGTACAGTACCGCATGCACCCCGAAATCCGCTCCTTCCCCTCCTCCTTCTTCTACGGCAACCGGTTACAAGATGGCGAATCCGTACTGCGTGCCGTACAGCAACCTCCGCCGTACTACGCTGCTGACCTGCTCAAGCCGTACGTGGTGTATGACGTGTACGGCGGGCGGGAGTGGCTGCAGGGGCGGTCTCGGAGCAACGAGGCGGAGGCGGACATGGCGCTAGGGCTCTACATGGAGCTACTGGCGGCGGTGAGAGGAGGGGGGCCGGGGTTGGGGGCGGCGGCGGCGGATGCCGCCGCCGCCGCGTCAGCTGCCGGCGCGCCGTGGCTGCGCGAGCAGACGCCGCCGGGGCCTGAGGCCGGCGCGCGGAGTGCCTCGGTGGAGCGGGGGCTAGAGGCGGGGGGCCCGGGAGGCGCGGCTGCGGCTGCGGCTGCACAGGCGTTTGGGTTTCTGTCGGGTTACTCGCTGGGTGTGACGGTTGGCATCATCACGCCGTACCGGGCTCAGCGGGAGCTGCTGCGGCGGCGGTTCGTGGAGGCGCTGGGTCCGGGGGTGCTGGAGGCGGTGCGCATTGAGACGGTGGACTCCTTCCAGGTGAGCTGAGGGGTGGGGGCGGGTGGGTGATGGTTTGTAGAAGGGTTGCGCGGGCATTGCGGCCTGCTCGTGATGCTTAACCTGTCTTGCTCTATGACGCAGTCTTACCTACGTTCGCCCCACCCGCCCTAACCACCACCTTCCGCCTGCCTGCTGTTCCCGCAGGGCAAGCAGCTCGACGTCATCATCCTCTCATGCGTCCGTACAGCCCGACCCGGCGCCGCTGCCGCCTCCGCCGGCGGCGGCGGCGGCGGTGTGGGCTTCCTAGCCGACGTGCGCCGCATGAACGTGGCCATCACGCGCGCCAAGCAGGCGCTGTGGGTGCTGGGGCAGTTCGCGGCGCTGCGGCGGGAGCCCAACTGGGCGGCGCTCATCGCGGATGCGGAGGCGCGCGGCTGTGTGATTGAGGAGGCGAGCGCGGGGGAGCTGTGCCCCGAGTGGCTGGCATTCCAGGAGCGCTACCGCGGCGCGCAGGCGGCCCGTGTGCAACAGGAGCAGCAGCTGATGATGCAGAGGATGGGGCAGCCGGGGGGTGCGGGTGTGGGGGCCATGATGATGCAACCGCAGGGTCTAGGAGGCCCGCCGCAGATGATGCAGCAGCAGATGCAGCAAGGGCAGGTGCTGGGGCCACCGCAGCGGCTGCCGCCGCCTCCACATGGGAGTGCGGTGCCTCCACGCATGCAGGTGCAAATGCAGCAGCCACAGGCACCCCAGCCCCAACCTCCCCCTCAGATGCTGCCACCCGGCACCAGGCCCCCACAAGGCCCCGGAGAGCCGCCCCAGCCTCAGCCCCCGCAGGGCCCCATGCAGGCCCAAAACGAACCCCAGCCGCCGCCTCGGCCACATCCGACTGCCTCCCGCCCTCCCGCCAGCCACGCGCCTAAAGCGCTGGGTCGACCCCACCCGCATTCGCACAGCCTGCAGCCTCAGCCGCTTGCAGCGCAGCAGCAGGGGCCGGGGCCGGGTGCGTCACGTGGTCGGGGGCTGATGAGCATGCTGCCCAAGTCGGAGCGGACGTCGCGTACGGGGCTTGGGAGAGGCAGGGGGAGAGGGGAGGCACAGCCGCCTGCATGAGGAGGAGCAGGAGGGGTGGATGCCGCATCGTCGTGCGGAGACTGTAGCGTAACTGCGTGAGGGGTAGTGTGGGGCAGGACATGAGGGATAGTATCAGGCGGAACATGAGGTTAATATGACTGTATGAGGCGGGACGTGAAGCTAGGGTTGCAGGAGCCGTGCAGGGTTGTGATACGCAGGAGGGCTACCGATAGCTAGGCCGAGAAAATCTGTAGGAGGCGAGGAGGCTAGGAGACGCAGGTTGGCAGCGTTACACTTACATCGTCACGGTAGTAGGAGGCAGGCTGTAGTAGGCAGCAGGATGGTAACGGTGGATACGCAGGCAGTTGTAGGCTTACGGAGTTACGGTACAAGAGGCCGATATAGGGAGATTGGGGGAATAGACGCTGATATGAAACCGTGACGCCCCCTGCTCCGGCGCATTGCACGCCGGGGTCATGTGACCGACGTGGCACGGTAGCAGTACGACAGCTGCCATGTGGGACTGCCCAGGACTGAGACGGAGGAGGAGTGCACTGCCAAGTGCCTTGGCGAATCCGGAAGCATGGAGTGTCTGATGTAGCTGTCCAGGGGCACACTGCGCCTAGCTCCATATGCACATACGATTGTAGTATCAGCGCTGATGGTGGAAGAATCACTGGTGTGCTTGCATGTAAGCTGTCAGAGCTTCAATCTGGCGCCTGGATTTAAAGCGGTGTTAGGACTTTACACTTTAGACCCACCCACCCACCCCTGCCGTACAGCCATCTTTTTTGGCCCGTAACTTTGTCCGTACTGCTCGTCCCCCCGCCCGGCCGTCAGGGCCATGGATCCAGGAATGCTGAGCTCCTACGACAAAAAAAGCAGGGCCCAGCTTCTTTTTGCAGGCTCCAGTTCATCTTTCCCACGCTGCATCGGTGGTTGTTGCACTGCAGTGCTGGTCACTGATCCCACTAACGTGGATGCTGTGGAATATGGGAATCCTTGACACCCGCTTTCCGCCCGGGGAACAGGGCACGTAAAACATGTTAGCGTTAACTCTTAAGTCTTAAGCTTCGCTCTGTCAAACAGCCCAGATTTGGCACAGTTGACTGGTTATTGCACGTCATTGAACCGTCATCCCTTGTACAACGAAATGAAACAATGTTAGATGCCAAGTGCGCAACCTCACTTGCCTTTAGCTAGATACCAAGTCCTCGGCTAGACACAAATCCTCCATCCCGAACCCTGCCAACACGTATCTCGTCCTACCCAAGTCGAAATGCAACATGCAACACAACCTGCATGCAATTTACGAGAATGGGTTACAACACAATGCATCATCCATAAGCGTGTCCGCACCTTGGGTCGTCTTCCCCTCGTGCCACCCCAAACGGTGCCGCCACTAAATCGACGAGTCCCCATCGCTAATAATACAGAAGCAAGCCATTTCATACTTTTGCGGGAAATTTGATAATAAAATAACACAAGTGCTGGGAGCTAATGAAAGAATAAAACCGGGGCTGACCTGCATCATCCCCTGCGTAACCTGCACATTGGCCAGTTGCCAGCGGCAACAGCGTGGCCGGACACACCTCCAATGCCTTTCCCCCCGGCTGCTTAAAGCTCAAGGGAACCCTTCGCTCAAGGGTCGCTCAAGGGAACCTGACGTTCGCAATGTCCACCTCCATCGCCGGTGCATCGACGGGTACCTGCGAGCGTGAGGGGAGAGACCCACGGGTCATTAAGACCAACCAACCCTACAATTGAAAGTGCAAAGCAGGTTCACCACTTAAACTAAAGTGCACGACACGAGGCCTCTCGGGGAGGAGGATTACTACTACTTTGCTTGCCGGGTGTTTTTGCATCCCTTTGCCCTGCCTGTAAAATGCTGCACTACAGCACTACCCTACACACACGTCACGTCACGCAGGGATCGACGACGTGGCGCACCTCCAATGTGCGATCCTTGCCATCCTCCCACAGGTACTGCCCATCCGGCTTGCTGTGGGTCATGGAGAGGGGGGCATGGACGTGAGTCTCAGCTGCATGGCGCGGCACCCGCCTTTGCCGACCTATACCAGCGCCACTCACCGCAGCACTGCCTTGTACGTGAAGGTGCCGGGACGAATCTTTGCCTCGTAGGTCCAGACGTCGCCATTATTCCATTGCATGTATGGAGCAACTTCGGGCACCATACTGCCTAGTTCTGGGCATTTGCCGACCATCTTCCACGACTCGCCGAGTCCGACCCGCTGTTTCAGGATGAATTTAACCTATGCCGGTTAAACACAGTAGATACAATGGATATGCCAAATTAACTGTAGCAGGCCGGAATCCTCGAGGCACCACATAGAGGGTGAACGTTCGCGCGCGACCCTTTACCTTCGTCCTGGTTGCTACCTCTTGCTCCTCCAGTTGGATCATGGCTTTAGCACGGGCTTCAAGGCGCTTATTAAGGGCTTCCACATCAACCTCGATTGGCGCCTATGAAGATGCAAAAGCACAAGCGTAACGCATGTACTAGAACCTACGGTGCATACGAGGGCTTACCTCGCTAGCGGTTTGGGTGGGACGGGCGACTGTTGTAACCGAGGCTGGAGCAGGGGTATGAGGCAAGAGGCAGCAAAGGCAGTCCGGCTGAAAACCGTTGGATGGGCAACCAGAGCAACCAGCGTAGCACAGCGATTACAATTCAACCGTACCAGATGCAAAGCATTTGACCGGGCGCCTGCAGCTGTAGCTGCGGGCTTGTGGGCGAAGCATTTGGCGCTGGGTAAGCATCGCGATTACCAGAATGTCGAGATGTCAATGCCGTAGATTAAGCGTTTGCGAGCTTGAACATATGTGAGAGATAATTAAACAGGAGCATATGCAGGATGGAGAAAAGCGTAGATTCAAGGGATTGTAAGTGGACATACGGCAGGGCTTACGGCATGGAAGTTACTCGTTTGACGGAAGCGTTCCAACAAGCAGACAAATTTTCCATTTATCCATTTACCTAGTCTGGTTCAATTGGGTTACGCTGTAGTCTGTGAAAGCGCTTTAACAGACAGCTCATTCAAGGGTGCCCACATAAGCACTAGCAGCTTTGACGATGGGGAAGTCAAGTAAGTGGTCCTTAGACAATAAATTAACTCCATACGGTCTTTAACGTTCTGATAAACCAAGTGTGCGACTCGTCGGCGCAGAGGGAAAGAAGAAGAAGTCAGAGTTCGATGACTTTTTCGCCAAAAAAGAAGAAGGGGATGGCGCCTGGGTGTCTGGAGTATCGGCGATGGCGATGGACGACGACGGTGCTGCGGCACGCCCTGCGCAAGGGGAAGCCGCAGGTACAGGCAAGGCGGCGCATACTGCGCCCCGGGACTGAGGCCAGGGTTGTGAAAGGGTACCAGATGAGCCCGTCCCCCTGTGATTTCTCCCTGCCGTACGGTTTCTGACACACCTGTACTGGAGCCTTGCCCCGCTCCCAAACCCGTTGGGGTTAATGCCCTAGCACCCGGCACCACACCGCGCGCTTCTACGGGGAGGCCTCTAGCGCTGCCACTGTCAGGCCTTTACGAGACGAAAACCACTCCTGCTATAATCCTCCACAAGCGCATCCGGCGGATTTCAGCATGAGTTACCCATCCCTCGTTCGGGGTACCTGCCTGCCCGCCTCCCCTCTTCCTTCCTTGCAGACATGGAGGTTGGCGACGCTCCATCCGGCCCGCAGGCCGCCAAGGGGAGCAAGCTGGGAGTCCAGCGAGCCTCCATGTGAGTTTGTGGCAGGGCGTAGGTGTGGTGCCGTGGTCGGGGGAGGACATGGGAGCTTGGTGGGGTGCAATGGCGGGGATGCAAGCAGCCTGTTATGGACTCGAGGCCTTGACATGCGGCTCAGCTAGCGTGGAACGTCCCGCATAAATGCTAGACGACTATTTGATACTTGGCTTGCGACGGGACTGGATTGGACGCGTGCGATGACGTCCCTGCTTGTTCTTGGGGTAGCGTCTTGCACGACAGGTCTCAACTTTTGCCGGCAGCAAGCCAGCCATGCAGGCTGGATAGGAATTCCAGTGCAGTACCCTAGGGCATGCTGACTTGCTTCATCGCATGGCTACCAACAGTGCTATCCTATCCTCTCCGTGCTGCCGTGGCTACAGGAAAGTAGTACGGGGGCAACGGACCAAGGCGCAGAAAATTCGGAAGCTAAAGAAGGTTGAGAAGGTAGGGTATGAGACGCCCAACGGCGCCGGCGGTTGCTCTACCTTCTGCCCGTCACCCGGGGCCTACTTGGCTACCTAATCTCGTACCAACCACATCTCCTCCATACGGACGTTCACCATAAGCAAATCATCCTGCCAGCCGGCGAGGCTTACCCTAGGACCACGGCTCTCACAACTTGTCCCATCCCCTTCCATCCTGGGTTTGTAGGCCGAGGCGCGTGCCGCGAAGACCGTAGTGCGCGTGGGCGTTATGACGGCGCACAAGCAGAAGAAGAGCACCCTTAAGAACATTTACTAATGCTGCCTGCCGTTCATGGGCAGCAGTGCAGCGTTAGCTCTCTCATGCCGACACGTTGAACTTTCCTGGTGGTTTGCTGCCGTGCTTGTGATTGTACTATTGGTGGCCGATTCTTTGGCTCTAGCCGCGAAGGTTAGGCGCCAGGGTCTGGCCTTCTAGACCGCATGTTAGGAGTTTGATACTGCGGGTGTAGGCGGGTACTGCGTGTCCTTTGCTACTGCTGGATACTTAAAGAGTGTTAACCACCGGGTGTAGTCTTTGGCGGGGTAAGGATGCCGATGGTTCCCGCTAAGGTGCGGGTTAGGATTTGATGAAATGGATTCCGGCTAACTCACGGCTTTGCTGAGGGGCGAGGGGCACGACAGTGGGGGCAGTTTCGGATACTGGGAGACTGTTAAGGCCGATGGTTATTCCGTTCGTGTTCAAGTCAATCGGGTATGGAACAATGGAAGACGCCTCTCTGCTGAGAAGGCGCAAGTGTAGTACAATGGACGAGCATGAGCGCAACCTGCACAATTTCCAAGCGTTCTCCTAGCGTGAAGGTGGTATCATAAAAAGGCTATCGAGGAACGTGATAATACATCTTATTGCACTGTGAGAGCACGTCTGGGATGAACATTAGACCTCTAAGTTTCACTGGCAGAGGCGTGGGCCGTCACGGCCGTTAGGGCCGTCACGGCTCAATGTACATAAGTTAGCTTTTGTCAGAAGTACTATCGCCGCTTGTACCACGTTTGTGCGAAAATGAGCGACCTACTCAGGACGTGGCTCACCGAGGAGCTCGGGTTGCCGATTTCTGACAACCTAGAGCGGGTCAGTTGTCATAGATTTACCTGCTGGGATGCAAACGGTGATCTTGGGTTCTCGGGCAACTTGGACGCTGCATGCTCGCAGGACTTCGCATCGGGGTATCTGTTTGGTCAGCTGTTCAGTAAGTATAACCTACAGCCGGACGCGGAACACTTCGATGCGAAAAGGATGCCGGACTCTATGATAAACAATTACACTCGGCTTCAGGTAAGGAGCATGTGCCGCGTCCGGTTTTGTAAATATAGCGAGACGGCGCCTGACGCACGCATGGTGGTACATGCAGCCCACCTTCAATAAGCTTGGTGTCCAATTGGATACGCGGGTGGCTAATATGCTTATCCGCGAGGAGCTTGGTGTTGCACCGCGTCTCCTTTACTCCATCAAGCAGAACCTTGCTAGCATCCAGAAGACCCTGACGGTAAGACATCTCGCTCAATCCGACGCTGTGGGCCGGATGCAAGCAGTGGTTAGCAACTGATGGGAACCGACGGGTACTTTTGTGCAGAAGTTCCAGCACACAGGGAACCTTGGCAGGACGATGGGTGCGACTGTGAGCCCCTCCCGGGGACTTTTGGAGGCACAGAAGCACAACACAAACAAGGAGAAGTACGAATCAAGCGCACACAGGTGCGAACGCAAGGGTGTTGCCTGATTCGCGTGCCCCTGCACCACTTGTCCTTCCTTACCCCATGACCCGTCCTCATCCTTTAGGCACTTCGAGGACATGCTGCGTATCCAGGCGGCCAACCCCAATGTGGTCATGGAAAGCATGCACCTGTCTAAGTTCACCGATGAGGGCCTGCGCCAGCAGCGAGAGGCGCTTGCCACCCTGTTGCGGGAGCGTGCGCAGCACGTAGCGCAGCGTGACACCTTCCGCGCCGGCCAAATGGATAGGATGCACAGCGGTCGCAGCGATAAGGCGCAAAAGCTGGCGCGGGACGATGCCATACACGCTGCACTGCTGAAACGGAAGGTGAGAAAGGCCTGCAATCCAAAGAGCTGGTTAGTGGCCCAAGGCGGCCCTAAGGCGGTCGCTAACCTGCAACCTGTCTAGTCCGTATGGCCTCTAGCTCGGCCGCTGCAGCGCATGCATGCCCGCTGATCCGTGTCCTTCTCATGCCCGGCGAGCAGGAGGAGATGGAGCGCGAGGAGTTGCGGGTGGAGCTGGCGCTGAGTGAGAAGGCGCGCAGGAAGAAGCTGGAGGAGCTGCACCACGCGGCCCTGGACGTGCAGGGAGGCATTGATGCCTTTGAAATCAACATGAAGAGGCTCGTGAGAGGCGACACTGGGGAGGGTGAGTGGTTAGGTCAGGACGAAACGCATAGCTCCGGCTAGTGGGTGCTTTAGGCCGGGTACAGCAAGAGGCGCCGGGCGGCTTGCGTGCATGAGAGGGGCCGGGTGAGGGCTCAGTCTTGCATGTGGCAGCACATTGTAATTTACTTGAAGCTCCTATGGGGCGCATGTACGTCTCGGGTGGCGAGATGAGCCATGCTCCTCACTTGCATGGCTTTCACCTGTGTGTGCTTTAGGCGAGGAGGTGCTTGCGCCGCCTGCCGGCAAGACGCCCCTGGAGCACATGGAGCAGATGAAGAGCCGGGCGGCCGCCACCGCCAAGCTGCTGGAGGACACGGCGGCGTACATGCGCGGTGTGAAGGACGCGCGGGCGGACGACATCGCCTCCAAGCGGGAGCGCGAGGTGCGTGTATGCTTTGGTTGGCCACTCAGCCCTTGCGTATGACCGGGACTGTAATCCTGTCAATAATTGGTTTCCGAATGGCGAGTAGGCAAGCGTTCCGTGCTATTCTAGAAGGGCCCCATTCTCACGTACACCCTGCTCCCAACAGGCGCGGCGGCGCAAGATGGTTGTGGAGCAGCAGGCGGCGGCCGCGAATGCGGAGCGGAAGGCGCAGATGGAGGCGCTTGTGACGGCACTGCAGCGGCAGAGCTATGAGGAGCAGCGGCTAGCAGCACGGCTGTGGCAGGTGGGTGCGACTTGGCGATTGCGACTTTGCTGAAAGGGATACGCAACAAAAAATATGATTTGTATGGACTTGCAGTTCGTCACGGATTCACCCCGTTGGGGCACCGTACGTTGGGGGGCACCCTATTTCACTTTCTTCATGCCAGTATGCGGCATGTGAACGTTTGAATGTACCCCTTCGCATTGCACGGTTAACAGGTGAGCCAAGAAAAGGAGGTCATGCGGGAGAACCGGCTGCTCCGAGAGCGGCAGTACGCGGAGCGGCGGGAGAAGGACTGGGAGGAGACTCTGCGGCGCGAGGTGGAGCTGCACAGGTCCATGCGGGAAGCCTACGAGGCGGAAGCCGCCCTGGAGATGGAAGCCTGGCGCGCGGCTCAGCAGGCCCGAGCCGAGGCCAAGGCTGCTAAGCACGCCGCCTTTGCCCGCGACATCGCCTACCAGCTGGTGGGGCTGGCGGAGCGAGCTGCCGAGTACCGCAGCTCCACAGGCAACCTGGTGCCGCGCCGCGAGTGGCGCCAGTGGCTGACCATGTTTGTGACCGCCGACCCGGCTCTGGCGCCGCCAGCACCGCTGCAGGGCGCCGCGGCGGCAGCGGAGGCGGAGAACCGGGAGGCGAGCCTGCGGCTGGGGCGGGCGCTGGTGGGCGACTACCTGGCCTGTGCTGGGGACTGGGTGCGGACGGAGGGGCCCATCGGCCACGACGAGCTGCTTGGCCAGGTGGGTGTGCGGTGCACATGGGCGGGGTAACGCACTACTAGTCTGCTGGACGTTGATCGAAAACGCGTCGCCTATTCCGTTCCTCAATGCCTGTCCTGGAAGCCTCCCTAACTCCCCGTCCGCCTTCATGGTCATGCAGGTTGTGGGCGACCTCGCTATCATCTCCAGGGAGCCCCCGCCGCAGCCCGAGCTGCCCGCCGTCGAGAACCTGCCGCTCCGCATCGCAGTGGTGGGTGCGCCCTTCTCCGGCAAGACCTCGGTGGCGCAGGAGCTGGCGCGCAAGTACCGTCTGCACCTGCTGGATCCCGAGGCGCTGGTGGCGGAGGCCATGGCGGCGGCGCAGGAGTACGAGGCAGCCGCAGGGATGTCAGCGGCGAACGCGCCCATGACGCTTCCGCCTGCTGCGGCTAAGGCCCCATCGCTGGCCCCTCCCGCGTCCGGCGACGGCACTGGTGACGGCGGCGCTGAGGGTGAGGGCGCCGCAACCCCGGCGCTGCCGTCCGTGAAGGCCCGGCTGGGGGCGCAGATTGCAGCGGCGCTGCAGGCCGGCGGGGAGGTGCCGGACTCGGCAATGGTGGGGCTGGTGGTGCAGGGGATGAAAGATGCCAAGGAGTACACCCCGCCGGTGATAGTGGACCCCAAGGCCAAGCCCAAAGCCCCCGCCAAGCCCGGCACCGCTGCGGCCGCTGCCAAGGGGGCACCGCCACCTGCTCCTGCTGGCAATGAGTGCCGGGGCTTTGTGGTGGACGGCTTCCCGCGCACCGCCGCGCAGGCCATGCTGCTGGAGCGCATGCTGACGGGTCTGGACCTGGACGCCGAGCAGCAGCTCATCGACTCGGCTAGCACCATTGCGCCGCCGCCACCCAACGCACTGCCGCAAGTGGGGCGGCCGCTGGTGTCGGGGATGGACGCGGTTGTGGTGTGCAGCCTGACGGACCCCGAGGTGGCGCTCAAGCGCGCCCTGGGTCGCCGTCTCGACCCCACCACCGGCCGTGTGTACCATCTGGAGTTCGACCCGCCTCCTGCCAATGACCCTGGCCTGTCCGCCCGGCTGCGGGAGGTTGCGGACGCATCCAATGATGCACAACAGATCCAGCACCGGCTAGCAGCGCATTCGGAGCTTGCTAGCGCACTGGATGACTGGCTGCGCCGCTTCAGCCGGCTACGGCGGCCAGTGGAGGGCTCCGGGCCGCTCAATGAGGTGCTGGGCTCCGCGAGCGACATTGCTGATGGGCTGCTGCGCGCCAAGACAGCCGCCGCTAGTTGCCGGTCGGCTGCGGAGGCGGCGCATAAGGCCCGCACGTCGGCGGAGCAGGCGCAGGAGTTTGCTGAGCTGGCACAGAGCGCTGCTGAGTCAGCCGCGCGGGAGCTGCTGACCGCCAAGAAGGCGGAGATCCAGGCAGCGGCTCTGCTGTCGAGCGGCAAGAACCCCGACCCCGCAGCAGCAGAGGTGCTCAAGGCGCAGGCGGCGGCCAAATGCGCGGAGCAGCTTAAAGTGGCACGCGGCGCTGTGTCAGATGCCAACTCGCATGCCGAGCGGGCTGCCACGTCTGCCGCCGCGGCGGCGGAGGCCGTGGACCGCGCGCACAAGTCGTTGGGCGACGCTGAGGTGTCCGCGCATGCGGAGACAGAGGCGGCTGCCGCGGCAACGGAGGCGGAAAAGGCGGCTCGGGGTGCACAGGAGGCTGCTAACAAGGCGGTGGCAGCGAAGGAAGCGGCAGCACTTGCGGCGTCGGAGGCTGAGCGCTTGGCCACCGCAACCGAGGTGCCTACCGAAGCAGCAATTACCTTCACTCGACAGCAGACCATGTCAGCGGCTCCCGAGTCCCCTGCGCTTATCTCCACCGGTGATGCCGCCGCTGCCGCAACCGCGGCGGATGGCGATGCGGCTGAAGGCGACGCCCCGCTGGCTCCGCAGCCGCCCTCCTTGCCTCGCGAGCTTGCGGCCACCCTGCTCACTGAGTGGCAGACGCTGGAGAGCGGCTACCTGGAGGGGCTGTCGCTGGGCTTTGCCAGCCTGGCGGACCAGCATGCGGCGGCGCAGCGCCACTTTGAGGCGCTGCGGCAGAGCTTCCGCGAGCTGTTGCAGCGGCCCGACGAGAAGCCCGCTCTGGTGGCGCGCTTCCTCACCGCCTTCAACGCGGTGGAGGCGGACATGCGCGGCTCCAAGGAGTCCCGCGGCGAGCTGCTGCTGCGCTGCGAGGAGCTGCGGGACCAGCTGTGGGCGCTGTGCGACCGCAAGATGGAGGAGGCGGAGGCGCAGCGTGCAGCCATCGCTGCCGACTCCTTTGTGGCAGACCACTGTGCCACACTGGGGCAGCAGTTTGTGGCGCTGGCGCAGGTGGAGGGTGACCGCTTCGCTGCATCGCTGAACTTCCTGCGCAGCCACACGCACTCCAAGTGGGCACCGCTCTTTGCACCGCGTGAGCCGCCGCCGCTGCCCGATGTCTCCGCGCCAGACCTCCTCTACGGCGGAGTGCCGGCGGAGCTGAAGGACAAGATCGACCCCAAGTCCAAGGCCTACGTGCAGATGCCGCCGTGGGTTGCGCAGCTTGAGCAGCGTGCGCCGCCGCTGGCGCTGGCCTGCAAGCTGCTGCTGGCCCTGGCGCGTACCGTGCAGACAGGTTGGGAGCCGGTACCGGAGGACCCGAAGAAGGCGAAGCGCGAGGCCACGACCTCCTCCAAGACGGCCAAGGGGAAAGGCAAAGGTGGGGAGGAGGAAGCCGAGGGCCCGACTGACCCGCGGGTCGTTGAGGCAATGACGCAGGAGCTGCTGGGCGGGTGCGGGCGCGAGGTAGCCATCCTGGAGTCGCGACTGGCGCTGCTCGCGGAGCGCTGCCTGGGTCAGATGGACGAGATCTACGCGCTGGCGACCGGTACCACCGCCAAGCTGGGTGACTGGGTGCGCGCGCGCTACCGAGCGGAGTGCGCAGCGGTGGCGGCGCTGGATAAGGTGGGGGGTGCTGGGGAAGGAGGAGGTCAAGATGGGATTGCGTGTGCAGACAAGTACACACGACATGTTCCTACTCGCGGCCAGTTTTCTTAACACGACCTCACATATGGTTGCTAGAGCTCCTTCACGCCGGTTACACTGTGTTACGTGAAACTGAAGACCGACCCTGTCGCTCCTTGCTTCACCCCCTTCTTTCACAGGTGTCCAAGGCTGCCGCCGCTGCGGGCCAGCAGCTGCCGCACGACCTGCAGCTGCAGGACGAGTACCTGCTGCTGGACGAGGGCGCGCTGCTGGTGGACCCGGCGCCCTCGCTGCCGCGACCCGAGCCGCGCGAAGGGCAGCCGCCCGGCGGGCTGCTGTCCACCAAGCAGCTGGGGGCGCTCACGGCGGCCTTCCTATCCGCAGCGCCCGGCGGCTTCATGCGGCTGCAGGACGCGGCGGACATGCTGTGCCGTCTGGCGGCAGAGGGCTCGCTGCCGGATCCCTGGCGCATGGCCAGCGTGAACAACATGTTGAACGCGCTGCGGCTGTACGACCCGCTGTTCAGCACCTACCTGGACTGGCGGGAGCTGGTGGTGCACCTGGTTGTGGCGGCCTTCCCGCTCATCGCGCGGGCGGACTGCGCGGACATGGCGGACCAGATCGATGTGAGTAGGGAGAAGCGGTTGTTGGCTGGACGGGGGTGGGAATGCCTGGCCGCATGGCGTTGGGGCCTGGCATGCACGACCAGAAACCAACAGCAATAGCGGTTTTTCCGAAGTCATTAACACCTTGGCATAGTATGTCATTCCCTGAGCCGACCAATTAACCCCATGCCTCTCCTTGTACCGTCTTACTCCCTGCTTCTCACCCTTGACGCGCCTGGCCTCATCCTCAGATCTGCGCCGAGGTGGACAAGGACGGCGACGGGCTGCTCAGCCAGGACGAGTGGTCCACGGCGGAGCTCTGGTTCCAGTACCGCGCAGCGCAGCCGGGCGCCCGCTCTGGACTACCGGAGCGCGACGGCCCCGCCTCGGAGAGCCGGCGGGAGCGCAGCGAGCTGGAGGGACACGGCCACACGCCGGGGGACGGCGAGAGCTGGCCGGATCCCTCTGCCATGCAGCTCCCCAGCACACCGCCAGTGGACGACGGGCAATACGACAGGTAGGACTCTCTCAGCTATGTTAGGAACGCCCTGAGGCCGTGCCGGTCTGCTGCAGGAGCTAAGCCATAGGCGATTGCCACCCCACATTTAACCACACTTATCCCTGCCCTCCTCCCGCTGCAGTCCGGGGGCACTCAAGCAGGTGCTCTGGGCGCTCTTCTCGACAGCCTCCGACGGCGCCCCTCGCCTCGACTACCGCGCCTGCCTGCTCTACCTCTGCGCCGACCGCGACGCCTTCGCGGGCATCAAGAAGGCCTTCAGCGTCGTCACCGCCGACATCTCCTCCAACGCCCGAGCCGACGCAGACCAGGTGTTCCAGATCGCCTATCCTCTGGGCGACGAGGCGGGAGCCGACCTGAACCGCTCACCGTTCAGCTACGACGATGTGGCTGCCGTGGTCAAGGCGGTATGGGAGAGCCGCTCCGCGCCGCCGCCGCCACCGCCGCCAGCGGCTGGTCGCGGCTCGGCACCGTTTGGGGCCCGCGGTGCGGGTCTGGCGGCGCTCAGTGCTAGCACCGCCGATCCGACCGTGACGGCCGAACAGCTGATGTACAGTGCGGCTGGGGAGCGGTTTGTGAAGCGAATGCTGGATCGCTACGCCTGGAAGGATGCGTTTGTGGCCACACGGCTATAGGACATGTGCAGTGTGAGGCTTTGCTGAAGCAAGCAGGGCTTATTGTCTTGCTTTGCTAGCACGGTGTAGCATTTGACGTAGTTGTGTTTGGACTGCCATTTCATTGGGAGCTTTATTCCTCAATGCAGCAAGTAAGTGTGGCTGCTGACGATAAGCCTACAGATGGATACTAACCATCACCCGTGGCGCTCACATAAGGCATGTTCACATTAACGGACACGCCATGTATTGGGGTTTCCCCTGTGGGTTGGGAAATGGTGGACATAGAGCTTGGTGACCTTGCATGGACCGAGTATACCTGCAAGAGAGTTCCGTTGAGGAGGAGCGCTCTTCTTACCGTTGGGGTCTCCTCATTCTGGGTGCTGTCATGGCAATGCAGCGCCTACAGTTCCGGCAACGTCTCAAGGACATCGTGGCACATGTGGTTGTATAGCCGCTGTTTGGGTTAGGGCTTGCGGCTGCGACGTAAGGTCGTAACTCTGACACAACGTTAGTACATGTGCAGGATGCGATTCCCATCAGCTGATGAAGTTTGCATTGGGGCAGGGACATTTGCTATTAGGATTTAGCCGGCGTTTGCGCACTACGTGGGGGTGCTGAGACACCAGCATGCAGGACGGTCACTGCGGCTCCTAACGGTGCTGTAACGTTGGCTTGGTAGATCAGGATAACGGTTTGAGGCTGTTTGGGCTGCCTCCATGCTTTACATGCCGGTACGATCCGGACGAAACTTAGCCCACATCCATCCACATGTGTGTTCGTGTCTCTTTGACCGTTCAGTAGCGTAGCGCCCGTGTCTTGCCACAGGTATAAATAATCCTTGCAAGGTAACATTACTAAACACACAAAGCCATACATCTTAAGCGTCGTTGCACCGCCCAACAAGGGCTTTCCCTTCCTACCTATGCCTCCCCTATTGTTTCACCACTGGTCAGTCCAAAGCGTAAGAAAGCTCAAGCCCTATCCATGTCATGTCGCCTACCTAAGCAGTCAGAACAAATGAAGGACAAACATGAATCTGCCTCCAACCCTGCAACAGTCAATGCTATGTGCTATCCTTAATGGCATGCATCCTGCTCCGCCCTCGCCCATGCTCCGCCTCAAGCGCCAACGCATCACCGGCTTGCTGCGGCAGCGGCGACCGGCGCCGCCGGGGGCGGCGGCAGGGGCGGCAACGGCAGCGCTGGTTTGAGCACGTTAGCCGGGTTGCGGTAGGTGTCCAGGTGGTGCAGGATAAGCAGCCGAGGTCCGGCAGGGATGCGGCACTCGGCCAACGCGCTGCGAGGAAGGAACAGGGGAAGGCAAGCAAATCATTAATATCGGTACTTGTGGGGTTTGTGCAAAGACAGGATTACTGCAGCAAGTACGGCAGGACGCTGTGCAACATGCCACCATGCCTCGGTTCGGTCCTGGCACTGCGCCTAGAATGGAAGGTGGTCAAATGAGCTCAGATTGTGAGTGGTGATATAATAGAGTTTGTCGGCATGGCTTTGTTGGAATTCGCCAATACACCGAACGAGACATAACCATCATAGCTCGTTTGCCCTTTCCCTTCAACCAGTAACACAAGGCTAACCGTGGGCACGGCATGGGGTCCTGGTAATGCTCATCATTAAACCCGCATGTGCGTCTAATACAGGTGAGTGCGCGAGGTGTATGCTTAGGCACGATGCAAAAATTGGGCGTTCGTACACTAACAGCGGAGGTAAGCTCAGATTGTGAGTGGTGATATAATAATTTTTGTCGGCATGGCTTTGTTGGAATTCGCCAATACACCGAACGAGACATAACCATCACAGCTCGGTCCCAGCTGTAGTGCGTTGAAGGCATGTTGTGGTCACCTAATGCACATGCATCCGCGGTGTATGCAGGCACATGGCGCAAAGTGCTGTGCCCAGAAGCAGACGTGAGCTCAGATTGTGAGTGGTGATATAATAGAGTTTGTCGGCATGGCTTTGTTGGAATTCGCCAATACACCGAACGAGACATAACCATCACAGCTCGGTCCCAGCTGTTGTGCGTTGAAGGCATGTTGTGGTCACCTAATGCACATGCATCCGCGGTGTATGCAGGCACATGGCGCAAAGTGCAGTGCCCAAAACGCAGACGTGAGCTCAGATTGTGAGTGGTGATATAATAGAGTTTGTCGGCATGGCTTTGTTGGAATTCGCCAATACACCGAACGAGACATAACCATCATAGCTCGGCCCCAGTTGCATTCCCGTGAATACATGGGAGGACTTCTTGACAGGAGTGACAGTGCCTATGCCAGACCTCGCGGATGTCCACATCTGGGCACATCCACGCATGCACGCCCCTTCCCAAGCACCGCCCCCGCCCCACCCGTCGTTCCAGAGCATGATGGTGTTGTCTGTGAGCTGCCCCTTCTTCAGGTTGTCCGCGTATTTCTGCAAGGAAGGGCGACAAAACAAGCGCGAGCAGTCAAGACCATATCCACTAAAGTCCCAAGCTGCGAGACGCACAACGCAAATCACATATGGTACGGTACACAGGGGCAGCGGCCGGCATGCGATCTCCCCAGCAGCCACTCACCGCGAGGCCCAGGTTCTTCAGCATGAACTTGCCGCGGTCGTACTCCGTGTCTGTGTGCTCCGGCTTGAACATCTGGCCCACCTGCAGAAGGGATGCGGAGCGACCTCGATAAGAAATCAACGTGCTGTGTCCAATTTACGACAGCGAGGTGGTACGCAGCACGTGTAGTGCGAAATTGCACAGAGCACAAAGGGCGCTGGGTTATGTAGGTGGGAAAGTCGGGCCTCAGGTAAAGTGTCCCCATAGTACGGCACCAACATAGCCACGGCACGGCGCTGAAGCCATGCGAGCGGAGGAAGGGTAAACGCTAAAAGTGATATCCTATATAACGTTTGTGTACTTAAGGGAAGCCATATGCCATTGCTTGCCTTGTACGGTTTGCTGGCTAAGTAGCAGTGTCGACCCAAGAACTTCCCCAGTGCAACACCTGTCATACCTGGAAGATGAGGCCGTTGAAGAGTGCGAACGCCGCGCCGGTGGTGACGGCGCTTTGAAGTGGGTTAGGAGAACCACTCACGAGCGAGTATGCCACGCCGGACATGAAAGACGCACCCATCCTGCATCGGGTATTTCCAGCGATGTTCCGGCGGAGCAAGTTGGAAGCCAAACGACGGGACAAAACTGCATAACGAGGGTATCCCCGTCTGCACGGAAACTTACGAGGTGTAAACGTCTTCCTTGCCGTTCCGCGCCTTCTTGATCGCCAAGTTGGCGGCGGCCTGGACGCCAGTCAGGGCAGCAAGGTTGCGAGCTGAACCGAGCGGTCCTGCTTTGACCATGCTTTCAAGCGCCGCTGGCTTTGGGCCGGCACCGGCAGCTTGAGTTGGGTCCATCGCGCTGATGCTTCCGAACATGTATCCCAGGAAGCCACCCTGTATCGCCGACTGCAGGCCAGTTAAGATGACCTGAACAGCTACGTCCTGTTGCGATAGCCACCCTTGCCATTTTCTTTGAACGTCGTCAATGGACCGGACTTCTCCTATCCCCGGAAGCACCAAAGCAAAGGACGGACCCATTTCGACTATATAATGGATATATGGTGTAACACCTATATACGGAATAGAAGGACACGGCGATTGCCGTCGTCTATACGTAACTTGCCGGCCGGCGCCCCATGACGTGCATTACTACTTTGGACCTGCTTCTCCGTATGATAGTTTTCTGCACATCGGCTAATAACCTGATTATATGCCTTCACATATATGTTGTTTTCGTAGCTGAAGCCCATCCTTTACGAGAACTGCAACAGTCGTCGAAACGTTTCCCGGAACCACCTACCATTCTTCTTGCTTACAGGCTTGGCTGGAATCGGATACCACGGTTACACGTATATTGTACACGAACACGGTCATGTGCGCTTAACGCTGTCGGCTGGCCGCGACAAGCTGGTAACGACCAGTCGTCTGGGTGAACAACCAGGGATTGTCCCAGGGATTCCTCAACCAGGGATTATCCAACTTGCTGTGGAAAGTCCATTGTGCGCTCAGAATGCCCGTTACATAGGCGGGTTTCGGCTTCTGAGGCTCCTGCCAGCCGGTGCCAGGCCTCCTAAACCCCTTCTGCGACAGTTCGTGTGTATACCGGTAGGCAACATCATTTTACCTCCTGTTCCGGAGTTACACTGTCACATACTCCATATCCGCGTCCTGTTTTTCTCCAACCATCCCGGTCGAGCCTTCCTAGGTTTTTTCCCGATATGGACCGGAAGACAAGAACCAGCGGGACGAGGGTTGCGCTGCACCCATATGCGTACGAAAAGCTGTTTGTTGGCACGCCCAAATCGCCTAATCCGCACGTCCAAGGCACGGCTTGTCTGGAAGCTCCCCGCACGCCGGGTCGCTCCCTCAGCCGCGCGGCTAGCTGAGCTGCAGCGGGGGAATGTCTAGCGGCATCGCCCTGCTGCGCATGTTGAAGGAGATGAAGTCGGTGCGCTGTGAGCCGATGTCCATACTCCTGCGAGCCACAGAGCACATGGGAGGCAGACGACCGCAGTGGGATCAATTCAGTAGCGCTCCATGAACTATTCATATTGCGGGAAACACATGTGGTAAGATTGCTCGAGCTGTTTGCATCCAAAGCTACCCTCTGAGCGCTGTAACCGGGGGCTGGGAAGAACACATGTCTTGACACTGCAAATGAACCCCTGCAGCCAGCAGCACCCGGCTGGTGCTCCTAATGACCATCCCCCGAATCGCAACAGCTGCGTCAAGAGTCCCGGGAACCTGCAGACATGGGCCATGCCGCACGTGCACCTAGGTCACTGCGGAGAGCCCATTTGAACCAGCGCAGAACCCAAGAAGCCCGGGTTGCTCCCAGCAGTCGGTGCAGCCCCGTGGCTTCCACGATTGCTGCAGCGGCGCCATGCAAACTGCCCATCCCAATACATCGGCTTAAGGAATCCACAGCCTCAGCCTCAGACAGGCCGGCGTGGGCAAGCCTGGGCTCCCAACTCGCCGCGATGGCCGGCGGCCTTCGTCCCCAGGCCAGATTCAGCCCACGTAGGTATCCAGACCGACAAGGGCTGACTGAATGAGTGGCTGTCCCTTGCCATGTCTCGGTGTGCCAACATAAAGCCCTGCCGGGCAGGTGCCACGGCATCCTTTGCAATGTCGCTAACCCTCCCGTGGTTACATGCCTCACAACCCTTGCTGAGGTGAACCTATGCTAGCCGGAGCTACTGTGGCTGCGACCAATCCCGCTCGCACCTTCCCTTCGCCGGCATGACTATGACCTTGATGGGTCCTGCTAACAAGTATGCGCCTGCAACATTGCAGGGGAACCCGCCAGCACGGTGAGCAGGCAAGCATGTGACAAGGCCCTGGCGTTGGCGTTCAATCCCAGCATGCCGGGTCCCTCCCATACCAACTGCACGACTTTCCACCATCCCAAACACCACTTGTAAGCCACTCCCCATTTCCCACCCCTTCTGCAAACACTTACCCAACGTCGCCACTGCGGCTGATAGAATGAGTTCAAGTACAATTGTCGCAGGTAGGGACTCAAACTCCTCTTGGGAAAGCTTCAGGAGTTGGCGGTCTGCGATCCAACTCGCTAGGATCAGCATTATGCTCGTAGGCACAATAGGAATAGTATATTGGCCAATTATCTAGGGCTATGTGCACAAGTGACGCACATTGTATTACTGCGATGGTCGTGTGCACTAGCCCAACCAGGCCCGCCAATGCAAGGAGGCCACCAGTGCTAATCCTCATCGTAAAGCCTAAAAATGCGCCTAGATCTAATTAGTATGATACGTCGGGATGGCCGTGAGTGTAAACCAGCGTCCCTTACAGGCCAAAGCAAGCGTATTTCCTTCCAGACCAAGCATCAAGTCGTCATGTGCTTCTCGTAGGCCTGTAAGGACTGCTTGCAGTAACTTAGTGCTGTAGTACACCGGATGCTGTACAAAGCTATCATGTGCGTGATGCGCTGTGTAGGCAATCATACGCGTGTGTTTCTTGTTTGCTTGCTTATTCTCATCATACAGCACTAGGTTACTCAATCTGTGTTTACTCCGGAGGTGGGACGTAATGGCCGGATGCAAGTCAGCTTCCAGAAGCCTGCTGGCTACGATTGTTGTGCTTGTCTTGTTAGTGCATGTGGGGGCTTCAGTCTATGACAAGAAACGCGGCCTGAAGGTAACATGTGACGGCTTGCTGCAATTGCGACGTTTCCCCGGGCATTCACCGTCGCTCCTTTAACACCACAGACATATGGGCTCTCAGACGAGCAAATCAAGGAGTACATGAAGGACCATGACCCTCACCACATTATCAATAAGCACAAGAATAAGGTAGGTTGTCGTGGGCTTGGCGGTTGGGTATGGTATGGTACGGTATGGGCGCATGGGCGGTAGCCAACGGTCTTGCACTGATCTGCATGGGCGGTAGCCAACACTCTTGTGGGGTCTCTCTGGTGCTCTGCATCACCTAACGGCGAAGTCTCAGGGTATCCCGTTCTCTGTGGCGGATGTTGCGGGTGCAGGAAAGCCTCAAGGAGCATCCGGAGGTGAAGCGCTTCCTGGAATGGCGGCAGATGCACAAGGTAAGGGATAGACAAGGGTGTTCACGGGCCCGGGCAAGCATACATGGGACTGGTCAGCGCATGTGTAAACTGGCATCATGGTTTACGTGGATATTCAATGGTTCCTCACAGTGCCAGATGTCACTGCTGTCAACCGGATAGCGCAGGGCCGCCGTCGTGTAGTTGCCATACTGCCGTACCGTTTGCGCCAACACATGCAGTGCTGGTCTCCGGTGCCCAGGTGGCTTTGCAGTCAAGCACCCTGGGATGAACCTCTGTTTTTGCCCTTCACTACTCCAGGATGGGCACCCCGACGCCGGTGTTGCCTTTGCGGGCAAGATCCCCCACGACTTCGTCCCCCACATGGTCGAGCACCCCAACATGCCGAAGAAGGATGAGCTGTGAGCGCCGGGCTGTTCACATCCATGACATGACGGAGCTTACACACAGCCCCTGATGTGTCTTCCTATGTCTTCCGACTGAGTGACATTTTTGCCGTGTACATACATTCATACATTTTCGTGAGCTAAGCTTCGATTGCAAACTGCGTGCTGAGGTTTGGCAGGTCGGTCACGTCGGTGAAGTAAGTGTGCTGCGTGCGATTGCCGGGGCGTGAAACCTCTCAACACTTTCCTTACACCGCCGTGTATGGCGGGTACGTGTAACAATAGGGTATCTTTTCAGCCTTCCATCCCCTTCCGCGCGACATCATAACCCCACCATATTGACTATCATCCTCGCTCAGGGTTAACCTAAGGTATAATCGCCTGGAGTTAGGGCAACCGCTGTAGCAGCTGCACTCACGCCGAGTGCGCCACGTGCCTAGTGGCACCAGCCATGCGGCAAAGCTCCCCGCTGCACCGCAAGCCCACAAACACCTAGCCGTCGCTGTTAGCGACGGCTAGGTTGGCTAACCTCCTCCGCCTCTTCAGTGTACTGATGGCCCCAACGCTACGTTTGGTTCACAAGCCTTGCTCATTCCTTTGCACCCTGCTATCCACAGTAAGAAGCAACGTAAGCCCAAAGGGTGGCAGCTACGCGCCTCCGCAGGTTTGCCTAGTGTCGACACTTCCGTCCTCACAACCCTCAAACCTCTCGTATGTACCCGGCCTCAAAAAGGGTTTGAATCAGACAGCACCTGGGTGCAGATCACACGCTCACAACAGAAGCATGCGCCGCATTCCACCACGTAAACTGCCCTCCGCCCTTCAAGCCCCATCCCAACAGCAAAATCAGGGATTGCTGCCGCCACAATTAAACCGGCCTCCGTCAGCCCCCCTCCCTCCCACCCATGCTCCCCAAGCAATCATGCATTCCACGCCATGCTCTCACGTATAAGAACCGCTAGTCAACGAACGCTGAACTAACGCAACCCAAGTGCACCTCCACTCCCCTCCCAGCCCCAGCAGCACCATGCCCCCCCTTCCAGACCAGCAGCGCCCCCCACCCCGCTCAGAACTTGTCCGACCGGTCCTTCTCCTTCTTTGCGTACAGCCGCTCCAGGGAGCGCTTGCAGTCGCTGGGTGGGAAGTTGGAGAGGTCGAAATAGTGCGGCGCAATGTCCACCAGCCACTCGCCCTTGATGTCGAGGCAGGAGCGGATGTAGTTCTTGGTGGTGAGCACAAACTCCTGGTACAGCACCCTGGGGGCAGGGGGGAGTGGAGGGAAGGCTCGGTGAAGTAAATCAGAGGAGAATAGCTACCAGCTATCAAATTAACGAGAGAGCAGCAACCATGTACCAGCCATCAGTCTCTTGCACTGCAACCCAGCGCATGTCCTCGCCCTCACCCCCGGCCCCACCCACCACTCCGGCTTGTGGTCCAGGCATGTGGAGGGGTGCAGGTGCACCACCTGGTTGTCCTTCACCGTCAGGTACTGCCCCTGCCGGGCCAGGTGCGCAACCTGCGGCCGGACACACGCACACGAGGGGCGCACGCGGTCAGACAGCTGCATGGCTCAGCAAGGAATGGGTGGCTACAGAGAGGTGCAGCCAGAACGCGAGGCAGCAGGCCGGTGGGGCGCTTGTATGGGGCAAAGCAAGGAGGGCGGGCGACAGGGGAGCTCGCGGTGCTCACCTGCATGAAGTAGCCCGCGGTGACCGCCTTGCGGATGTTCAGGTAGTACTCCTTGTCCTCGAAGGGCGTGCTCACCAGCCGCAGGTTCATGCGCGTGCAGATGCGCACCTGCACGACACACCAGGCACACAGTACGTTCACAGTGCGCTCCGACTCGCGGCCAGTTTTCTTACCGGTAACACGCTGATACAAGCTGCAAGTGGTTGCCACAATCACGCGACAGTCACAAAGTACCGCCGCAGGTCGTCACCAGCAGTGTACCTCCCTCCTCGCTTCCCCTAATGACCCCCGCCCCGCAACTCTCCGCTAGCGTCCCCTCCCTCCTCTGCAACGCACCAGCTGCGTCCGCACGCTGTCCGCCGACTTGAGCGAGCGGTAGTTGAGGAAGTGCTCGTAGCACCAGTTGGGGTCCTCGTTGTGGCTCTTCCACGCGTGGTACACATTGAGCATGGTCAGGTGGTCGCCTGCGGAGACGACCACATGTGGCAAATGCGCAGTAAGGAGTACGTTGGAAAGCTGACCGTAATAAAAGGGACAGTAACATACACAACCAAACAGCCATCCTTTATACCTCCATGCTTAGGTGCTACCCGTACATGCAAAATGGCTTTTAGACCCACCGTCTATGTGCGTAAAGCGCGCCTTGGCCTCATCCGCCGCCTTGGCCGCTTCTCGCGGCCGCAGGAAGACGTTGGGCGACGACAGCATGGCTGCGATCGACAAGATCTCGTTGGAGCACCTGAACTCGTCCACCGACCGGATGCAGCAGCCGAGGTGTGGAGCGGAGTCCAGCGAAGCAGCCGCAGTAGGAATTGAGCCGCCAGCAGCCGCCGTTGTGCCGATACCCGCCATGCAGTGTGCGTGTGCAGTGCCAATGTGCAATGGCGTGGTGGTGCGTGTGTGCATGGTACGTGAATGTGTGAATGCGAGTGCAGGTGGTGCGTGTGATAAGAGTGCGTGCGTGTGTGCGAGCCGAACGGGGGTCGGCAGGCGCACGTTGCGAGAGTAGCGAGGGAAGGCGGGCACAGGTGAGTTGCGGCGGAGGAGCGTCCAAAAGATAGAAAGATGGATGTTGTGAACTGGAGGCGTCAGGAAAAAAGGTTCAGGAAATTGACCGAGCTCGGTGTGTCTTGCACCCTACAACACAGCAGCAGCCGTAGCGGCAGCAGTCTCTCCCTCCGGCGCTTTGCCCTCATTTTTCCCCTTCCCCCACACGCCGCCAAGCAGCACCTGAACGCGGGCGACGCCACCAGCATCTTGGCCAGCTGCGGGTCCAGCGGGAACTCCGACATGATGTTGCCAACCTGCGGGCACACCACACCGCCCGGAGCAGCAGCGGCAGCCGGGGGCGGGCGGGCGGGCAGCAGGAGGCGGAGCGGGCAGCCGCGCAGCGCCCACACCACCACCAGCGCATGCAACCGAGCAAAAAAAGATCCACGGGAGGGGGCTTAGGAGGGCACAGGGAGGCAGAGGGCCAGGCCAGGGCAAGGTGCGAGGAGAAGGGCAGGGGAGGGAGGCCGCAGGTGCAGCTCGGCTTCGGATGGTCTCGATGGCAACATCTCCTGCTCCTGTGCCGACGCCTCCGGTGGAGCTGCTGCGGCGGCAGGGGCGGTGGGCTTCCGGCGGCTCCCAGCGGCCGCCCCGGGGCAGCGCGCAAGCACCACACGCGCGGAGCCGTGGGCTCTGCTGCGCCCCCGCCGCATCGGCCGCCCCCGGGGTTGCGGGTGTACGGGCAGGCCGGGTATGCCGCCGGGCACATCAGCCGCGGCCAGGTGCCCCTCGCAGCAGCTCCAACCGAAGACGCCGGCACAGGAGCAAGACAGCGCGGCATGGAGCCAGCATGCGTTCCGCGCTCGACTAGCCAACAGGTCACCACGACGCCCGCACTTCTCGCAAAGTGACACACCAACACGCGCGCTACCAGACGCCGAACCCTAATTTGCCATGCAGAGATAAGCACATGTGTGGCTACGCATGAAACCATATCATGAGTGAACAGCAGCCCGAGTCGAATCGCATGCATACCCGCCTCTCAATTGCAGGCACCAAGGCCATGAAACACGGGGCTGATCTTGAAGGCAGCCAAAAGGAAGACACGCACTAAAGTCCGTCGATACGCCCCGCCCTGCAAACCCGTTACGCAACCACGCAACAGAGCATCCCGCATACGAATTAAACAACTCATGACAACGCCTCCCAACTCCCCACACCGCTCGCAAACATGCAAAACGCGGTGCTGCAAGTCAGGTTGCACGCTGGGTGGTACCGGCACCACCGCGAACCCCAGGGGGCCACCTTCCACTGCGCCACAACCGGTACTCCTCCTCCTCCCACTCCCATTCCTACCACAACCGCTACTCACGGGTGTGAGGTTGCCGTCATCGTCGATGGCGCCCAGGTAGTTGAGCAGCTCGAGGGCGCGCATGAGCGTCTCGGGGGCGGGAGGGTCCATGAAGTCAAAGTGAACCTGGGGAGGAGGCAGTGTGGCAAGAGTTAGCCGCATGGGATTGGAAGATACATAAATAGGGCCCAGAGAGGGCTACGTTGCTCAGATATATGCTAGTCTTGTATTGCTCATCACTGGTCAGGACGAGGAATGAAGGTATCATCACAGCAACCAGGTGCACCAAGGGGTGCGTTAAGCAGCAGCAATGGGGGCCATGGGGTTGTTCAGGGAGCCGTCATGATGCGTAGGGATGGAGTGCGATAAAGGAAACAGCAACCGTTAAGACGTTAATTGGAATTTTCAATCGTTGCTCAGATATATGCTTGTCTTCGTCTACTCATCAAGAATTGTATTTCAGGACGAGGAATGAAGGTATCATCACAGCAACCACATGTAACAAAGAGTGCGTTATTGTATCAGCAATGGGGATCACGGGGTTGTTCAGGGGGCCGGATGCGTAGTGTTAAATTGTGGTTGAGTAGAAGCTGTCTAACGATAAAAAAAGGTATTCCCAACCGTTGCTCAGATATATGCTTGTCTTCGTCTGCTCATCAAGAATCAAAGTTCAGGACGAGGAATGAAGTTATCATCACAGCAACAAAGCACACCACCCACATACTCCGCACGACATCAAACAAATTCCAAGGCACGCGTGGAAACTGTCAACGGGCTACCGCTACTGCCGGTAAGGGTAAAGAAATGCCACAAGGAGATGTCATGCTAGACATGGCGCGTGTTTCCACATGAAAGCAGATCCAAGAAGGATTGGGCTGTTGCTCAGATATATGCTTGTCTTCGTCTGCTCATCAGTAATTGAATCAGGACGAGGAATGAAGTTTTCATCATAGCAACTCTGCATGTAAATAATTTGCGCCCTTCACGCTCTCATTCCGACAAGAGGCCCCATCGTGTGCCACATCGTCTACAAAAAACGTCTGCAATTCTCGATATCCTTTGTTGCCCCTTTCCTGCAACCCTTTCCTCCTTTCAGTTCCCAACCCAATGATGCGTAGAAAGGGACGTGTCAACTAAGGCAAATGAGCTCATGGGTTGTTCGGGCGGGGTGGGGGCCCGGCTATCATCCGCCCACATGCGTACGGGTCAGGTACTGTCAAACACAACAGCAACCGAATCAAACAGGTTTACACTAGCATTGCTCAGATATATGCTTGTCTTCGTCTGCTCATCAAGAAATAGTATTCAGGACGAGGAATGAAGGTATCATCACAGCAACCATCTGTAACAGGGGGTGCGTTAATCCAACAGCAATGGGGGCCATGGGGTTGTTCAGGGAGCCGTCATGATGCGTAGGGATGGAGTGCGATAAAGGAAACAGCAACCGTTAAGACGTTAATTGGAATTTTCAATCGTTGCTCAGATATATGCTTGTCTTCGTCTTCTCATCAAGAATATAGTTCAGGACGAGGAATGAAGGTATCATCACAGCAACTCGACGTGCTTGCAAACCACGGCCGCCACCGACACCCCCCCTCCTGCTGCCACCCGGCACACCTCCACATGGACAGCTGATGCTGCAAAAATAAGGTATATAACCTGATATAATGTTACGGCACGCCCCCCCCCAACCATCACTCGCCCCCCAGGGGATGTATCCCTATCCCCCACCCACCACCACCCACCGCCCACCCACCAGGTCATCGATGCCCAGCTTCTTGAGCTGCAGCACCACACTGCCCAGGTTGGAGCGCAGGATCTCGGGGTAGGTCTGCTCCTGCAGGTCCTTCTTGAAGGAGGCTTCCGTGTACAGCCGGAAGCACTTGCCGGGCTGCGTGCGGCCGGCGCGACCGGCGCGCTGGTGGGCGGAGGCCTGCAGGGAAGGAGCGGCGGGGGAGAGGGGTGGGAATGGCCACTGTGAGCAACTGGGGCGTTGACTAGCGGGCTGGGGGTCGGCACCATGCGTATGTGTGAGGGAGGGAAGGTGTGAACATGCTGATGGATGTGGGAGCAGCCTCCTCCCTCTTTCGCTGCCCTATTGCTTCCTTCAATTGTACTTTCTACCTCTTCTCTGCCAGGGCCCGGCCCTACCACCCCTCCCCTGAGGGGGGACTCCAGTTGCTCCACTTTCCATCCCCCCTCCCCTGCCCCGCCCCTCACCCGCGAGATGGGCGACACCAGCAGCGACTCCACCCGGATGCGCGGGTTGTACACCTTCTGCTTGGCGAACCCGGGGTCGATCACATACACGATGCCGTCAATGGTCAGCGACGTCTCAGCGATGTTGGTGGAGATCACGATCTTGCGACCCGCGGGTCCGCCCTCGCGCGCGGGAGGGGGCGCCTGCGGGACAGGAAAGGGAGAACGCGGGTGGTGGGGTAGGGCATATGGCCGGCAGCGCGGCGACAGCGGTGTATCACCGCGACCCCGCACCCGCCCCCAGCACACCCGGACGTCGCTGCTGCCCAACTGCCGAGCCACAGTAGTCCCGATCGCTGCGTTCCCATGTACTCCTCTTCCCTCCCCTCCCCCGCCTCCTCCTCCCTTCCCCCTCGCCCTCTTTCCCGCCACCTACCGGCTCGAAGATGCGCTGTTGCTGCTGCGGCGGCAGTGTGGAGTAGAGCGGCAGCACCTTGACGGGGCCCACCTTGTCGCCCATGCCGCCCAGCTCCTTGGTCACCTTGCGGCAGGCGTCCTCGATCTCCTCCTCGCCCGTCAGGAACAGCAGCACGTCCCCGGGCGGCTCGCACACGTGGATCTGAACCACCGTGCGGATGGCGGCCTCCAGGTAGTCGCGCTCGGGCTCCTGGGGGGGGGAGGGAGGAGAGGGAGGAGGGGGAGGAGGGGAAGGAAAGGGAGGAAATGTCGTTGGTACTAGTCTGGGCGGTGAAGTACTTGAGGATTAGGTGCGTGACTGAGCCGAAGCAGCAGCAGCGCACGGCTTCCGCTGCATATGACTGTTGGCACGTCCTGGTTATTGGTGCGTTGCTGTGCCCAGACATGCCAGCGGTGCCACTGCGTCCTTCACACGTAACGTCCCTCCCACCCCACCTCCTCGCCCCTCGCCCACCCATGCCCCCTCCTCTACCTCCCACCCCACCTGCCCACCCCCGTTTAGCGGGCAACCCCACCCAGGCCCCCCCTCCCACCCCCCACCTGCGTGTAGAAGATCTCCACGGGGTGCAGGCGGCCCGGCACCTTCATGAGCGGCGCGTCCAGGAAGTAGCCCTGGAACTTCTCCGCCTCCAGCGTGGCACTCATCACCACCAGCTTCAGGTCGGTGCGCTGCTTCAGGATCTGGGGGTGGGGGCAGGCAGGGGTGGGGGAGGGAGGGAGGGAGGAGGAGGGAGCGGGGCGGCAGGGTGAAGGGGAAGGAATTAGGTGAGGAGGGTATGGGGCGGGAAACAGGGAAAGCGAGCTAGGGGGTGTGTGGGACTGCAAGCAGCTTTTCACGCCATGTGCTGCTAGCTGATAAAATAAGGACACATGCTTTACGGTGCGCAACATGGCCAAACCCGGCCTGATTGTACCGCTGTTTCCAAGCCCCAAGCCAGAACACCTCCTCCCGCACCGCCCCCCAAATCGGCATGTTGCTCATGGACGCACCTCCTTCAGGAGACCGAACAGCACGTCGGTGGCTAGCGTGCGCTCGTGCGCCTCATCCAAGATGATGACCGAGTACCGCTCAAGCAGAGGGTCCGTCATGGCCTCGCGCAAAAGCATACCATCTGTAAGGAACTTCACGCACGTCTTGGGGCCAGAGCACTCCTCGAAACGGATGGAGTAGCCGACCTCCTCGCCCAGCACGACGTCCATTTCTTCCGCCACACGGCGAGCAACTGACATTGCAGCCACCCTACGTGGCTGCGTGCAGGCAACCATCTTGCGGTTCGCGGTATAGCCAGCCTCGGCGATGAACTGGGGAATCTGCGTGGTCTTGCCGCTACCCGTCTCGCCTACAAGCACCGTCGTTTGGTGGCCATTTATCATATTTACAAACTCCTCCTTTGCCTGCCATACTGGAAGTCCGTGCCGCTTGGATAGGATATCGTAATAGCGCTGGCTGTAGGGGCGGCCAGTGAAATAATTGACACCTCCACCCGCAGCGCCATCTCCCATGGGCCCAGGCCCTGGGCGTCCTGAATCCTCTGAATAATCCAGTTTTCTCTTTCGGTCGCCACTCATGGTCAACGCGCTGGAAGTTGGGTTCGGCGCCGCCCTTGTTCCTTTTCAGGGCAAGCTGCCGTGTAGGTAGCTATATGAATATACTGTGTTAAGGCCGCCCTTGCCTCAATACCTTCCAATTGGATCGCGCAAACTTTATGTTATGAACCTTCTTTTGCCGTACAGCACGAGCCAACGTCCAAAGGAGCTCTTGGTTACAGTTATTGTCCCGTGTACACCGTATCCAAATGCGGTTATACTGCAGCGGAGTTCTGCAAGCCATACCAGTCACAGGGCACTAACGGACAAGCCCATGACTAACGCCATTGTAAGGGGAAGGCATTCCAGACTTAGTACTCGCTGTCCCTCACGCCTTATGCGACGTAGACCCGTAACCCACATGCGAAACCGCTAATCAACTTCCGGGGGAGCCTCTCCTGCTGGCCAGGCCTCAGGCTCCCACACTCGAAACCCAAACCCTGCCAAGTTACGCCATCTTGCCCGTTGTGAGCCGCGAGAAGCGTCCCGCCATGCTCTGCATATCAGTTGCCTTGACAACAGTGGCAGGCAGCTGCGTCCCCATGAGCTTGGCGATGTTGGGCTTGACGCCGACGTTGCAGATCATGTACAGGAACAGGAAACTGCGGAAAAATGGCCAAAGCGGACCCGCTGTTAACCATTTCAAGCCATCCGACTCGTCGTTTTGCGGCTAGCCTGCAATCCCAAAGCAGCAACGGACCATCAACAAAGCCCATGACCCAACCCCCTTTCTCCCGCCTCCAACCCACGCCCACAGCACCCGCCCCACCCACGCGCTCCCCACCCACCCGTCAATTTTCCTTATTTTTACCCACCCCGCACACCTCCCTCAACTCCGCCACCCACCCCATCCCACCTGCAATCCGTAGCCGCCGGCTGCTCCAGCCACTTGTGCGCTATCATGGCGAAGGGGAAGCGCGGCGCGAAGGGCAGCACCGCCACGCTGCGACCCGCGTACCAGGTGCGCAGCACGTAGAACATGGCGGCCAGCACCATGCCCATGATGGCGTACTGCTTGATGCGGTGCGCGTAAAAGTCGCGCGCCAGGTAGGTGAGCTGCGTCTCCAGCGCGCGCTCGCGCTTCTTCTGGGCAGGGGTGGTGGCGCCGGCGCCGGTGGCGGCCAGGCGGTCCAGCTCCTGTGGCAGGAGGTGGGGGGAGGTGAGGGGCGGGGGCGGCAGGGTTGGAGTGGAGGACGCGTTGCACGGAAGGCCGGGTGAAGGCAAGCCAGGCAAGTGGCGTGTGTGCGGTAGTGAGGTTGGAGGGATCTCCATAACGTGTGCTGTACCAATACCAGGAGGACGCGGAAGGGCCTTAACTGCTCTTTACATGATAGTGTGAGGTATCGTGAGGCGAGGGGCAGTGTCATAGGGCGTGCCATGTCTACGGGGCATCCTGCATGGGTAGGATTTGGTTTACAATCCACCCATGTGTCGACCACCCCAGGGCAGCACGCTGGGCACCAGGAGCGAGCTCCAACTGATTCAGACCAAGCGTGCATGGGAAGGCAGCAGAGGGGTCTATGCCAGCCATTACCGCTTGGTGCAGGCACGTAAGGACACGTAGCAAAAGGGGTCGCGGGAATCGTGGTTCTGGGAGACAAAGACGTGCCTAACCGGGGACACTTGCGTGCTTGCTCGCCAGGAAAGGCGACGATCTCAGCCGCACCTTGCTGGCACGATCGATGTCAGCTACAAGCCTCTTGAACGCCGACGAGCTAGTGACCAGCAGCACTGTAAGCACTTCCACGAAGAGGATCGCCATACAGCTCATCGACACAATAGCGACAACCGGAGGTAAGGCCATTTTTGGTGTGAATTGTTTAAATTGATAGAACAAGGGTTAAGTAATAGCAAAGATGCAAGGCAGCGCTGCCGAGCGGCGCAGCAGTCGTATTGGTCGGCTAGAGAATATATATGCAGAGTAAAGTCGAACTTAACGGAACATCTTGTATTTTCGGAGGCTAACTAAGGTGAAAACGCGCGGTGGACGTTGCAACCAACAGGTCTCTGGTAAATTGCAAGGATTTGTCATCAAGGGCCGTATGTTTCCGATGCGCGAATTGATGGGCGAGGCTTACACGTATGCTTACAAAGAAAATGGAGGCGCGCACTCTAGTTGATCTCTGCTGCCGCGCGCTGGCGACGGAGCTATTGAAGGGAAATGTGCCAGGTAGATACAGTACCAACGCGCACGTGAGATCCTGCATGTACACTCTACATTAATAACAGACAACTCTTACCGGCATGTGTCCGAAAGTCGACGGCTTTCGCCTGATAGCGCTGCGCGCCCTAGCTGACCCGTGGGCTCCATAAACACCTCTTGCTGCACCGTAGCTCAGTCTTGTTGAACCACGCGTATTGCAAGCCGCGGACAACCCGGTTGCATGTATTTGCCACGTCCTGGCCCCCTTTACCCCTCGCAGCCCGCTTCCCCGCGGGTGTTCCGGAGCCCGAGCTGCTGGTCCTCATCTTCGAGCTGTACAGCCTAGGGCAAGTGGTGCTGTGTGGAGCGGGTAAAGGCTACTGTTCGTCTTGCTACATCCTCTCTAAGGAGCTGGGCATGGCGTTCTGAATGGAGTTGCCGTTGTTGCCCCTGCCAGCCTGGTACCGTTGTGGCGTTGACCGTTGTACAGCTGTACGGCACTCATGTGAAACGCTGGACTAGCAGCCACACGCGACACACCCCGCATGTTCCTCCCCCTCCCCCTCCCCAGGCACCAGTCCTGCCCCCGCACCTATGTCAGCCTGCTGCGCCACCTGCGGGTGCTGCAGGCGTTTGCGCAGGAGTGGTGGGTGGGGGGAGGGGCAAAAATTATATAAGTGAAACAACGAATCCCAATCCCATATCCCGACTCATGCAGTGAGCGCATTCGGAGGCACTAATAACACGCATCTCAAATTAATTGGGGGGAGGGGCTGGGGCGGCCTTTCCTTGGAGGCAGGGAGGGGCGCCACGTAGGATGGATGCTAGCGACTGCGTCATGGGGGCTGCGGGGATGAGGAGCAGGACAACCCACGTCAGCACGTCTATCTCGCTGTGCAATACCCTGCTCTACGTTGCTGTGCGCTGTGAAGCCGGGCCCCCAGCCCGCCCCCCTGCGGCAGGGTCCGCCGCCTGCGTTTCTTTCTTGCCGCATCCCATCCTGAGCCCGCACCCGCACCCGCACCTGCTCCTTTCTCTACCCATCAACACAACATATCACCCATGCACACCCGTACTCTCCCACATCCCTTCTTCCAACGCCTCCCAACCCCTTCCCTCGCCCGCCCCTTCCCCGCCCGCCCCAGGCAGCTGCCCCAGCTGGTGTTGCCGCTGCCGCCCCGCCCGCTGCTGCCCCGCTCGCTGCGGCAGCTGCAGCTGGTGGGGGGCCAGCTGCGGCACCTGCAGCTGGGCGGCCCGGGGGCGCGGGAGCTGCGGGAGCTGGGCTGGCTGCTGGGGGGGGAACCGGGGGGCGGGGGGGAGCAACACCACCCGCACCCGCAGCAGCAGCAGCCGTACCACATGCACCAGCAGGGGCAGCCCCCGCAGCAGCCGTACCCCTGCCACCAGCCACCTCCCTGCCACCCCCAGCAACCCCAGCACCACCACTATCACCACCACTACCCCCACTACCACAGCCAGCAGGCAGCCCTCCTCCCCCAGCCTCAGCCCCAGCTGCAACCCCAACCTCAACCCCACGCACACGACCCACTCCAACACCAACTGCACCAACCCCAAGTGCACCACCCTCAGCTGCAGCACCCGCAGCAGCCCACCACACCCGGAGACCCGCTGCCCCCTGCCGCCGCCCCTGCCCCTGCCTCTGCCCTCCCAGCCCCCTGTCTGCGCCTCACCTGCCTGGTGCTGCGCGGCTGCGTGGCGCTGCGACCCACGGGTCTGGCCCCGCTGCTGTCGCTGGCCCCCTGGCTGCGGCTGCTGGACTTGGGCGGGGCGGAGGGGCTGGACGACAGCGCGGCGGGGGTGCTGGCGGCGCTGAGGGAGCTGAGGGTGGGGTGGGGAAGGGGAGAAAAAATTAAATATGTGAAACAACGAGTCCCAATCCCATATCCCGACTCATGCAGTGAGCGCATTCGGAGACACTATTTTAGAGACACGCATCTCAAATTACTTACCGAAGCGTTGCTTACCTTAAACCGAGACGACTTGAGGAAGAAGCCGCCTTGCGTGGTAACACTAAGGGAAGGGGAGGGGGAGAGGGAAGGCCGGGAGGGCTGGTGTGGGTAGTGGGAGGCGTTGCGAGCCGTGTGCTAGGAAGACACGAGAGCCGAGCTGGGACGCCGAGAGACATATACCCGGTTGTCCCTGCATGTTGTAAACTTGTAACCCCCTCCCTCAGACCCCCACTGCTTTGCTTTTCAACTATTTCTTCCTCCCACTACCCGGCACTTCTTACACCATTTCGTGAACGTGTTCCTCTTCCTCACCCGCCCCCGCCAGGTTCTGGACCTCAGCCGCACCCGTGTGGGCGACACCACGCTGGCCGCCCTCACCTACGGGGGCAGGCTGGCGGCGTGGGCGCGGGGGACGGGGGGGCAGCTGCCGGTGGGGGCGGAGGCGTGGCACGAGTGGGTGATGGGGGGGGGCTGGGGGTGGGAGGGAGGGAGGTGGAGATGGCTGTGATGGGGGTTGCAGGGGGTGCTTTGAGGCGAGCCAGGGATGGAGGCGAAGGGAAGGGGGTGGGAGATGGGCTACTGTTGCCTCCCGGGAAGGCGCCATGGTGATATGCGTGCGAAGAGTCGCGCTGCTGGTGGTGGTGGTGCTGCTGCTGCTGCTGCTGTCAGTCCCGTCCCGCCCTGTCGCCCCTAGCCTGCCAGCACCACACACCGCTCACTTCCCTCCGGGGTTCTCCGGCCTAGGGGTTTGCTCAGCTGCGCAACCAGCATGGCTCCCACCACCCTGGGTTCCTGCCTCCCCTCCTGCCTCCCTCCCCTTCCCCCCCCCTCCTCCCCCCCCCCCCAGGCTGCCCCTGCAGCGGCTGCACCTGGCGGGCAGCCGGGTGAGCGGTGCCGGGGTGGCGCTGCTGGGGGAGGCGGGCGGGCAGCTGGGCTTCCTGGATGTGCGGGGCACGGGGGTGACCAGGTGGGGGGGTGGAGGAGCGGGGTGAGCGGGTTGGGCGAGGGAAGGCAGGGTGGGGGATACGAAGGGTGTGTGCTAGTGCGGCATGGGCGGCAGGTTGAGTACCACTCCCTCCCTCCCTTCCCCTCCCCTGTCCCCTGCACTCACCGCATGAGTCGGGACATGGCACTGTGCTTCACTCTTCACTTCTTGGTTCCCCCCTCCCCCTCAACACATTGGAAATTCTTCCTTCCCCCCCTTCGAGAGAGTCTCCGAATGCGCTCACTGCATGAGTCGGGATATGGGATTGGGACTCGTTATCATTTATTCCCGCCCCGCCCCCCAGGTCCGCTCTGCGCCCCCTGGAGCGGCGCTTCCAGCTGGTGCTGGTACAGGGGGCGGTGCTGGCCGCCTCGCACGCGCAGGCGGCGGCGCTGCTCAACCACCCGGACCACCCCGCGTGCGACTGCGACCCACGGGACATGGCGGCGGCGCTGGAGGCGGGAAGCGCAGGGGCGGGACCGGGGGGGCTGGGGGGGTCGGTGAGGGTGCGGAGGCGGCTGCATGCGCAGCGGATGAGGGCGCAGAGGGGGCTGCCGCCGGCTGCTGGCGGAGCGGCAGGGGCGGCAGGGGCTGGGGAGGGCGGAGGGGAGGCGGCGGCAGGGGGCGGGGGTGGTGCGGGGCCGCATGGGGTGCCCCCGGGGCCCCTGTGGCGGCCGGCTGCGGTGCAGGGGTGTGGTGCGGTGCTGGCAGGGGGTGGGAGCGGGTGCAGGGGCGGGGGTGGTGGCGGAGGTGCAGGGCCGGGTGGCGCAGCTGCTGGCAGCAGCAGGGGCGGCGGTGGAGGTGGAGGCGGGGTTCCGCCTGCGCTGCTGGGCGGGTGGCGGCAGCGGTGGGCGGTGGGCGGGGTGCTCGACATGGTGCTGACGGCGCAGGCGCTGCTGGAGATGGAGGGGTGGGGGCAACCGGGGCCGGGGTGAGGAGTGGAGGACGTGGCAGCGGGCAGGGGAGAGGCAGTGCTGTTGCATGCCTTTGCCGCAGCAAACGGGAGGTGGAGGCTAGTGGTGTGCCGGTGTGTATGATGTGTGGGTGGCGGGGGCATATGTTTACGGTGGTGCGACACAGGAGCTCAGCAGTCGGCAGCTGCACATGGGCACTGCAAATTGCGGTTTGAGGATGAGTTGTAAAGCTTCATAAATCTACGTGCATATGGTGGTTCTTACGTCTTGGTGCTTTGTTTCTGCCTCGATAGTTCTGTAGATAGCGGTTGGCCGGATGATTAGCTGTACTACACCATGCATCGTGTGATCCTCGTCAGCCTTTGTTAGGGCTTGTAATCTTTGTAGTTGATAGGCGTCTTGTCTTAGGTGCAAGTAACTTCTGTTTGGACGCCCTAGCTGCATACCATGGCTGGAATTCTGGCGAAAACACTTGGGACGAGTGTTCTTAATGGACTACATAGTCGCGCTGTCATAGGCCAAGCATCCCAAGGATTTCGTGCGTTGCTATCATCTGTGTCTGCTGCGGATCAAAGCCCGTCGACACCTCGCATGCCTGACTTTGCGCACACGCCAGCTCCTTACGATGGCCCGTCAGCCGAGGAGGTGCTTGCGATGCGAAAGCAACACCTTAGCCCTTGTAAGCTTTAAGCTTGCTTCGACCTGCTGGTCCGCTTCGCAAACCCTAGCGGATCGATTCAACTGCCTGGTGGTCGCAGCTCTATTCCTCCATTTCAAGAAGCCTGTCATGATCGTGGAAGGCAAAATGCAATACCTTTACGACGAACGCGGCCGGCGTTATCTGGATGTAAGGGATCCTGTATGTCATTTTGACCTCGCGGGGGTTTCCTGGTCACCAACCTGCTTGCACCAGAACATGCAGTAAATCCTATATATGCTGCCATCCATGTAGGCTTTTGCCGGAATCGTGACGGTTAGCGTTGGGCACTGCCATCCCGAGGTGGTGGAAGCCATAAACCATCAGAACCAGCTGCTGCAGCACACCACCACCATCTACCTGAACAACCAAGTTGCCGAGTACGCCAAGGAGCTCGCGGACCGCATGCCCGGCAACCTCAAGGTAACACCCTCCTCCGCTCCTACCCCACATTCCCCATCCATCTTACCCCCGACCCCCGCTCTTTTCCTGCACGCCTCGTCACCCGTCGCCAAGTCTACACACCCTCTTCACAGCTCAACGCCGCATGTTCCCACCCAACCCCCTCGCCCGCTACCTCCTCCCGCTGCCTCCCTCCCCTCTCCTCTCCTCTCCCTTGCCCCCACTGCTGTTGTATGAAGCCCCTATGTATGTTTCCCTCCGCCCCTCCCGCCCCAGGTGGTGTACTTTGTAAACTCGGGCAGCGAGGCCAACGACCTGGCCATCATGCTGGCCCGCCTGCACACCCGCAACTGGGACATCATCTGCCTGCGCAACGCCTACCACGGCATGAGCCTGGGAACAATGGGCACATGCGGGCAGCACACATGGAAGCAACCCATGCCGCAGGTGGGCTGGGGAGGGGCAGCGGGTTACCGGTATAGCGGGTTGTTGGGGTGGTACCGGTAAGGCTAGGAAGGGACCTGACAAAGCCCTGCCATCATAGGGTTCGTAGAGTTCGCTTCCCTCCCCTGGACCCCACATCTGTCACAGCTTTTCCCGTCCTTCTCCCTCACCCTTTCCCTTTCTCCTTCGGCGTGTTTCGCACCCCCTGACCACCCACCCACCCTCCGCACACCCAGGGTTTCGGCTACCACCACGCACTCAACCCCGACCCCTACCGCGGCGCCTTCGGGGACGACGGCCGCCGCTACGCCGCCGACGTGGCGGACCTGATCGGCGCCGCCACCCCCGGGCGGGTGGCGGGGTTCATTGCGGAGAGCATCCAGGGGGTGGGCGGCACGGTGCCGCTGGCCTCGGGGTACCTGCCGGAGGTGTACAAGGTGGGGTTGGAGGAAACAGTTAACAAACCGGGGCGGGAAGGGGGGTGGGAGGGAGTCAAGTGTCTAGTCCGATGAACTGGACGGAAGCAGGAGCTGGGGATGGTGGTGGTTGGGTGAGGGCAGCTTTCGCCAAGTGTAGGGCAGGGGACCGCATGGAAAGGAAGGCACTGATGGCTCGCCAAATGTTATCCGCGGGTTAGCCAGGCCCTGTTTAAGCTGCCCCCCTGCCCCCCTGAACACTTTTCAGGTGGTCACCTCCTCTTCCCCTTCCCGCCCTCCTCACCCTTCCTCACCTCCCTCACCCTCCCCACCCTCCTCACCCCCTGCCTCTCCCCTCCCCCCTCGCAGCTCATCCGCCAGGCGGGTGGGCTGTGCATCGCCGACGAGGTGCAGACGGGCTTCGGGCGCACCGGGCGGCACTACTGGGGCTTCCAGCGGCAGGGGGTGCTGCCTGACATCGTGACCATGGCCAAGGGCATCGGCAACGGGCTGCCGCTGGCGGCGGTGGTGACCACCCCCGAGATAGCGGCGGCCATGTCGGGGCGCCTGCACTTCAACACGTGAGGCAGGGGGGGGTGGGGGGGCGGGCGGGAAGGGGAGGAGGGGAGGAGTGGAAGGGGGGTAGGAAAGGTAGGAGCGGGAGCAGGAGAGGGATACCTGGTGGTATGGTCTGGGTGGTGTTGCGAGGTCGTGTGCCAGCAGCCAGGTGGGAAACGCAGCTGCTGAACCCTACTTCCCCCAGCCCCTATCCTGACCGACCAATCTAGTCTCACTCTATGTCCTCCTGCCTTCCCCCGTTACCCGTCCTCCTCATCTCACCCCTCGCTCCCCTCCTCCCTCCCCCCCCATCAGCTACGGCGGCAACCCGGTGTGTTCCGCGGGCGGGCGGGCGGTGCTGCGGGTGGTGGACTCCGCGGGCCTGCAGGCGCACTGCGGGCGGGTGGGGGCGCGGCTGCTGGGGCGGCTGCGGGGGCTGGCGGAGAAGCACGACGTGATCGGGGACGTGCGCGGGGAGGGGCTGATGCTGGGGGTGGAGCTGGTGCGGGACAGGCGCACGAAGGTGAGTGAGGGAGGGAGGGAGGGATGAGGTAAACTGATGAGCCGCCAGAGCCGCGAGAAGGAAGAAGAAGAAGAGTACGGAAGGGAGGAGAAGAGGAAGGAGGGAGGCGGTGGGACCACGTGGACAGGCGGTAGGGGCTGCCAGCCCTCGCTTGTTTTGACGCAGCCCGCCGCCTCCTGCCCCCATTGCCTTGCCCTATAACGTGTGGCACCATCTGGTCTGGCTTCTCTCAATGATCCCTCGTCTCGTGTTGCCACTGTCCTTCAATGCATGGTTGTCCCTCTCTCCCCTCCCCCTCTGCTCTGGTTTTCATTTTTGCCCTTTATGGTTTCATATGGTTTCACTTGGTCTAGTTTGACCCCGCCCCCTGTGGCCCGCTGCTGCTGCTCAGGAGCCCGCCCCCTCCGAGACCGCCGCCGTGATGGAGTCCATGAAGGATCTGGGGGTGCTGATGGGCAAGGGCGGGCTGGCGGGCAACGTGTTCCGCATCAAGCCGCCCATGTGCTTCACGGAGGGGGACGCGGACTTCCTGGCGGAGGTGATGGACGAGGCGCTCAGCAGGCTGTGAGAGGGGGGGGGACCTGAACGCTGTTAGGGGGGATTTGGTTAAAGACCATACCAAACCATAGGTTAGGGCGAGGCAATGGGGATACAGGAGGCGGCAGAGTGCCGCGATACAAAGTGAAGGTTAGCGTTGAGGGGGGGAGGGGCGGGAGACCTAACCGCTGAGGGGGGGGGGGAAATGCGGGCGGCCGGGAGGTGTGTGGGATGAGAGAAGCGGTTGCCGGACCGGGTTCGGCTATCGGAGGGTGTTCCCCTTTCTGAGTCATGCTTGCACGAGTGATCCTCCGCATGTACACTACGTTAGCTGAGTCGCGGCTGCAGCGCGTCTCAACTGCGATTTTGCTGTGAAACTTTCTGTTGTACCATTTCCTGTTTGTTGTACGGTTCGGTTGCGGTTGCCAAGGCGAGATCTGCAGGGGCGAATGTACGATACGTGCCGACGAGGGGGTACGCTGCGATCGGAAGAGGGAACTCTCCAGGAGGGTTTGGTGGAAAGGCGGCGTTGAACAGATTCTGTTATAGGTTTTTTATGGTTTCTTGCCCAGCGAGTGTGGGCAGCACATCTGCCGACGCTACATTCGAGGTAGCGGTGGGCCCTCCCTGTGTAACATACGGATGGCACGCGTATCAGTCCTCCCAGCTGCCCAGCACCTGCTGCCCCGTGTGCGGCAGTCCTCGTGACAGCGCTGTGCAGGTGGGGAGTGCATTGCAGCTTTGCAGATGCCGCATCGCTGAGGGGTCAAGAAGAGAGACCCGGTACCCGTACCTCCATGCATGTGGGGCGCAGCCAGTGTTGCAGCCTACATAGGAGGCTAAGGCACCCCCCTGCTCAGCACAGCGACGCTGAAGCCGCCAAACACCACCGGGCCAGATACACCGTGCCGCACCGCAGCACTCCCCCGACTCCTCACCTCGCCGTCTAATTCCACCTGCCGACTCTACCCCCACTCAGCAACCCCAAACCTCACCACCCCTTCGTCCCCCTCCCTGCCCCAGCTACCTCGACACTCCCGACTACTACCCCATCCCCCTTCATGACGGCCCCGTGGTGCCTGGGTTAAGATTTCGAGCACTGCGAACTTTCGGTTTCCCCTCCCCTGCCCCTCCCCTCCTCCCCCCTCAATCTCATCTTCCCGGCCCCCCTCCCGCCGCCGCCAGCTCCGCCAGCAGGTGCTGCTCCCGCGCCGTCAGCGGCGGACTGAACGCCCCCGCCGCCGCCAGCCCCTCCGCCGCCACCGCGAACTCCCGCACCAGCGCCGCCGCGCCCCCACGCACGTGCGTGGCGCGCACCCCCGCCACCAGCAGCAACCGCAGCACCGAGCCGCAGAAGGCGGCGGAGTAGGGCGGGCTGAAGCAACCCAGCACCTGCAGGGGTGGGGTGGGGCAGCAGGGGCAGCGGTGGGGAGGGTGGGTTAGCAGCTGTCGATGCGGCCGGGATGCCGCGTGCGAGCCGGTGGATGCACTGGGCATCTTACTTTTACTACAGGGCCAGCGGTGAGGAGTCGGTGGAGCGGTCTGGATGCAGTGGGACAGGAGCCTGCCACGGTGCCACCAGGGGGGAGCCGCAGGGAGCCGCGCATGACCCGAGCCAACCGCCCCTCCCTGCCCCACCTGCATTACGAAGTGCCTGAGTAGTGCTGAGGGGTCCGCTGCGCCCTGCCGGCCCCACCCCTCCACCAGCTCCAGCACCTGCCGCACCACATCCCCTCCTCCCCCCCCGGTGCCCCCCTCCGCCTCCCCCGCCGCCCCCTGCCGCATCAGCACCACACACGCGTCCAGCAGCAGCCGGCACACCTCGCCCTGCCCGCCCCGGTGCAGCTCCGTCAGCGCCACCGACCAGGCGGACAGCACCTGCGGGGGGGGGAGGGTAGGTAAACTGAGCCGCGGAAACACCGACCCTGACCGTAGTACACCGGGGGCGGGATGATGGCGCGGGGGCAGGCCGGGGGCAGGCACGGTGTGTGGAGGGTGTAGCGCCCAGCGGGGTTCAGCAGTGCGGCCGCATGCGGTACTCGTGAAATGACGTTCCGCGCACCACATCACACCACACCGCACCACACGATTCGTTAGTTGTTTCCTCTCTACACCACACCACCAGGCCCCAAAGCGCGCCCGCCCAATCTGCACCCCAGCATCCGCAGCTCCCCTCCCTCCTCGCCCTGCCGCCCCCTCCCTCCCACCCGGGGTATGAACGTCTGCGGCTGCCCGCCCCCCGCCGCCACCGCCAGCGAAATGCGCAGCAGCGAGGGCACCGCCGCCACCGCCGCCGGGCCGTCCTCGTAGAAGGCGGGGCTGCCCAGCTGGCAGCCCACCGCGTGCAGCAGGCCGTGCGCCACCACCGGCAGCCGGGACACCTGGCCAGGGGGGGAGGGGAGGTGGGGGGTTGAGGTAGGGGGGCCGGCAGGAAGCATGGAGGGATTGTGGTGGGGAAGGAGCTGGGTGCTGGCACGTGCAATGGCACCTGGGTTCCGCCCCATCCTCCCGCCCCGCTTCTTCTTCTTCTTCCCTTTCCACACTCCCCTCCCCCGGACGTCCCCCACCTCCGCCGCCATCCGGGCATCCTCCTCCGTGAACCGCCCCTGCGGCCGCCCCAGCAGCCCCACAGCCCACTGAAGCGCGGCACGCGTCTCAGCGATGCGAGCAGCAGCGGCCTCCGCCTCCGCCTCCGCCTCCTCCTCCCCGCCCCCCTGCTGCTGCGGGTGCTGCGGCGAGTGCTGCTGCTGCTGCTGGCTGGCGCCCCCACCGCTGCCGCTGCCACTACCTCCTGCTGCGTCGGGGCTGGGTGCTGCCGCTGCTGTGGTGCCGGGGTGGAGGGGCGGCGGGCGGGGCCGCACGCAGGTGGCCCGGGCCAGCAGCTCCACGCAGGCGGCCATGAGGTCGGGGGAGGGGGGCCGGCTGGGGGTGAAGATGCCTGTGCGGGGCGGATGGGGGTGGGTAGAGGAGCGGGTGGGAAGGGGCAAAGGAGGAGGAGTCCTTGGCGCCCGGGAGCGGCTACCCGGGCGAGTGCATTGCATGCGGTCGAGCTCTTTCGAAGCAAGGTTTCCAATCCCAAACCGGCCACTACAACTGCCCCCTCCACCCCATGGCCTCCCACCCAGCCCAACCCAACCACCCCTCCCCATCCGCCCCCCTCCCCCTCAGCTCCCCCCTCACATGCCAGCAGCGCCTGCAGCAGCCGAGGGTGCTGCAGCGGCGCCGTGGACAGCGGCCCTGCCGGGTCACCTCCACCTCCCCCCGCCGCCCCCGCCGCTCCTGCTGCTGACGTGTCGCGCCCACCCGCCCCGCTGCTGTCGTACAGCTGCTGCAGCCTCATGACGTCCGCGGGGCTGGGTCCCTCCGGCCCCGCCTGCAGCAGGCGCCCCACCAGGTGCCCCGCCTCCACCTGGGCGGGGGAGCTGCCGGGGGGGGCGTACAGCTTCTGTGGAGGGGGTGGGGGGATGGGGGGTGCAAGGAGAGGGGGTCGGAGGGGGAGGTAACGTTCGTGGGGGTAGTCGGTATGGGCTGGGTGCTTTCCTCCGCCACCACACGTGCGAAGCCATCTCCTTTTCCAACATCTCCCACCTATAGAAATCTGGTCCTGTAAGGAGTGAGTGACACAGCCTGAGCCACCCCCCTGCGAACCTCCCCTAGCCCATCCGCAACCCGCCCCGCCTCTCAATTCCTCCACATGGTACCCGCGCTTCGTCTTCCCTTCACCCCCGCCCCGCCCCCGGCCCCACCTGCATGCTCCACACCGGCAGCCCGGGTGCCGCCGCCGCCACACTCGCCTCCAGCTGCTGCGCGGCCGCGATGAGCGCCTCCCCGCCCGCCTGGCTGCCCAGGTGCCGCAACACGTGCTGGGGGGCAGGGACGGGGGGGGGGTGCAGGGGGGGGGTTGCGATGGGGGTGCAGGGAGGGAGAGGACATGGAAGAGGAATGAATGACGAGGGGCTGGGGAGCCGAGGGAGGAGGACGTGAGCTCGACGCTAGCGCCCCCAGCGTGCCGTCGCACAGCCACTGCGATATCGTTGTGCCTCATGCGGGTCACAGCTGAACGCATGCGCACTCGCGGCCACCAAGACACCGTCCCTTCCGACCCCCTCCCTCCCTCCTCCGCCCCCGCCTCCTCCCACCTGCACATGCAGGTAGGTGTGTTGGCTCTGCTCGCAGCTGTCTTGCAGCTCCTTCACCAGCGCCGCCACCTCCCGCTGGGCAGCAGCGGCAGCAGCAGCAGCAGCACCACCCCCTGCCGCCCCCCCTGCCTCCGCCTCCGTCGCCCTGCGCACCGCCGCCAGCAGCGCCGCCACCTTGTTCGCCAGCAGCTTATGGAAGACGGAGAAGTAGGAGGCCAGACCCGAGCCGGCTGCGGCTACCTCCTCTTGGTAGCCCTAGGGGGGCGGGAGAGGGGCGGGAGGCGGCAGGGCAGGGGCAGGCGAGCATGCATGAAGAAGTGAGCAGTGGTGATCAATGGAGTAGAGCTCTTTAGGCGGCCCCCTTTCCTCCCCTCTGCCCTCCTTCTGCCCTTTCCCCTTCCTTTTCCTTGCGGCTCAGTTTACCTAATCCGCTTCCCCTTCCCTTCGCCCCTCTCCCGTCCCATTACCCTCGCCCCCACCCCCACCATCTTCATGATCTTCTGGATGGCGAAGTTGAGCAGCAGGCTGTTGCGGTGCGCCGCGCTCAGTTCGTACACCAGCTTGCGGCCGCGCGGGTCGCCCAGCAGCCCGTCAAGCCAGGGCAGCACCTGCGCGCGTGTGGAGTGCGAGCCGAACACGCTGATGAAGCGGTCGGGGTCGAACTTGGACTTGGCGAACTCCTGGGGGAGACGGCGAGGCAAGGGCGGGGGGGTAAAAATAAGGAAAACTGACGAACTGAAAGACGGGGCTTCTCCATGGGTTGCTAATTGAACCCGGTCCCTCCCACCCCACCCGAGGGCGGGGGGGGGGGCGTAAAAGAGAGAGGAAACTGACGAGATGTAGGGTGAGGCAATGAGGGAAGGGCGCTGCGAGTCACGCCCACATCATCACCGGTTGTTCCCCCCCTCCACCCGCACCCGCCCCCCGCACCTTGAGGTAGTGGAACTCATCGTGGCTGGGCTCCGGCTCGTCCTCCACCAGCTCCATCCACTTCACCATCAGCATGGCCATGTGCGCGTAGCCTGGAGGGGTGCAGGGATAGGGACGGGGAGGGGAGGAGTGGGGAAGGAGAAGGGGAGGGGAGGCGGAATTGGGCGGAAGTTGCGGAGCAACAGTGATGGAGTTGAAGGGAGGTGTGTGGAATTAGAGGGGCGTCCGAGCCAAAGGATGGCTGACCCATGGACCCTTTGGGGGTTTGGCGATTGTGAGGTTGCGAGGATCCAGGGATTGAGGCCAAAGTTGGAAAAACGTTGAAGGGGCGCAGCAAAGACGGCGTGCAGGCTGACAACATGTAAGAAGGCCAATAGCGTCTGGAATGGATAGCTGCTTAGAGTATTGCCTTCGCAGCGGCCGGCTTGACGCACCTACATATCCCTCTGATAAGCTCTCAAGGATGACTTCTGGCTTTCCGCCAGCCTTTATGTATTGTCGCACACTGTCCTTGACATTTGGCTCCAACACAAAGTCCGGCCGCCGAAGCAGCTCCTCCAACCGTGAAAGCTCTTCACCAGCGGCCTGCATACCCATGTTATAATGGGGACCCCGCGCTTCATAGTTCGTCCGACAAAGCTCTACGACTCACCATTGGTGCCTACGCCCTGCCGTTAGGGAAGTTCATGTGCTTAATAGCGTCCAGTCTAACACAAGGATACGTTACACGCTGGATCAGTCGTCCAGATACAACATAAGGATTGTTTCAGGCCTTGGCCCGTCTACAAGGATAGCACTTGGGCTTGCAATTGTTTCGAAAGACACCTGGCCGATTTTATGGTGTTACTGAGACATCGTTCACCGCAAATTAATAACGTGCAAAACAATGAAAACGAAACTATGTATTCGTGAGGTATGTTGCACTGGTCGCACAGAAGCCCATCTATAAGGCGTCTCAAGGGAGCATAGTAACTGTTGGATAGGGGTTCCCTGCAACTAACGTGGGAACGTGGGCTACACATGTAAGGCACGAAGGCAGGTAGGCAGCGTTCGTTGGTTCCGAAACCCTGCCAAGTTCCAGGAAAACGCACAAACGCTCTTAAACACAAGCAGAAATGGTTTCCGGTTACTAGCCACGACGCTGTAGATATTTAACACGGCCAGTCGGCCGTGAATAGCGTTACGGCACTATAGTGTACGGAAACGGCTTTTTAGTCGGCGCAACGTCTAGCTTGAGTCGCTTGGCGCTATCGGTAGCTATTGGCTTGCGTTTTGCTTAATCAACATTACCGCTGTCCGGCTCAACAAAATAGTTCGTCTTGCCTTAGTCTTGTGTAACTGAAAAAATGATTTCAGCAATATCATGGATACCAAAGGGTGTTGCGAAAGCTGTACCAACAGTCGCACAACCAACGGAAGAGGAACTAGAAGCCATGCGAGCTCAGTTAGAAGCGGAGGCTGGCGACGACGAGGACGACGAGGGCTCGGAGTCCAACTCAGATGACATGGATAGCGACGAGCCAGCAAAGGACGAGTCCGTAGACGATGCCGTGGCGCGCGCTAGGGCTGTGGCTTCGGCCATGGCATCGTCAAGAGCCGCCGCCGGCGGCAGCGCTTCCGCAGGCACCGGTGGCCTGGAGGATGCCATGCGCGAGCTGGACATGGACCACTACGACGACTCGGGCGACGACGAGGCTGACGTCATCAACCGCGTGCTGGGCACCTCCGGCCGCGCCCGGCTAGAATACGCCGACGGCGAGGCCGACCCCTACCTCAAACTCGGCGATGACGACAGCGAAATCGAGGACTTCACCCTCCGCCCCAGTGACCTCATCATCCTCTCCGCTAAAAACGAGGACGACGTGAGCAACCTGGAGGTGTGGGTGTACGAGGAGGCTGACGGCGGCGGCGAGGCCAACCTGTACGTGCACCACGAGGTGCTGCTGCCCGCCTTCCCGCTCTGCCTGGCCTGGCTGGACTGCGACCCACGGGGTGATTCTGCCGTACGACGCAACCTTGTGGCGGTGGGCACCCTGGAGCCGGCGATTGAGGTGTGGGACCTGGACGTGGTGGATGCGGTGGAGCCGCTGATCTGCCTGGGGGGCGTGGACACGGCAGCGGCGGCGGGGGCGGCGGAGGCGGAGGGAGCAGGGGAAGCGGATAAGAAGAAGAAGAAGAAAAAGGTGAGTGGAGGTGCGGGGATGGCGGGGGGGGAGAGCTTGGCGGAGGTTGCGGATTGCGGTGGGAGGAAGGGAAGGAGGGGCGACAAAACAGGCCGGGTCGGCTTACGATGGTTCGCTGGGTGGGGTACTCAACCAACCTCCCTCGCAACAGTGCCATGGGCGACTGCACAGAGCGCATGGGGTTACCCGGTCGCATATCGTACGCGTGGGACCACACCTCGCACGAGCACGGCGTGCTGAGGGTGGCATGGCAGGTTGTTGGTAGTGGCATGGCGCCAGAGCAGGGGCAGGGACTTGGGGCAGGGCCGGGTGTGCACAAGGGAGGGACCCCGGCCTTGACACGACGGGTCTCTCCCCATGCAGGTCGCTTTTCACTGCACCTAGCCGCCTGGCCATATGCTGACACTCCCAACCCGGCCACCCGCCCCGCCCCCGCCCCGCTCCCCCCAGAAGAAGAAGTCCAAGGCCAAGCTGCTGCCCGGCAGCCACGAGGACAGCGTGCTGGGGCTGTCCTGGAACCGGGAGTTCCGCAACGTGCTGGCGTCGGGCAGCGCGGACTGCACTGTCAAGGTGGGCGGGGTGGAGGAGGATGGGGAAAGACCATACCGAACCATAGGGAGGCGGGGGGCGGTACTTGGGGGAACGGGGGGCGTGCCCGTAACCGACCCAGGAAGGGTGGACAGATGTGATGGTCTTGACCTCATGGCTATGGGCGGTTCGGGGAGGGTGGGAGGGAACAGGTGACTTGGTGAAGGGTAGTGCTGGCTTGGCTTGCAGGGTAGGAAGGGAAGGCTTGGTCCTAAAAGCCCGCGGTCCGAGCTGCTTCCTTGTTGCATGCCCCTCACTTGGTGCCGCCCCGCCCCGTCCGGCGCAGGTGTGGGACCTGTCTCGCGGTGTGTGTGAGCACACGCTGCGGTGCCACACGGACAAGGTGCAGGCGGTGGCGTGGAACCCAGCCGAGTCGCCGGTGCTGCTCACCGGCTCATTCGACCGCTCCGTGTGCCTGGTGGGTGGGGGTGACGGGCGGGGCAGCGGGAGGGAGGGGCTGGGGGCTACAGAACCCGACCGTGCGACAACGCTCCAACATGGGAGGCTGGGGCCGGGTGGCGTAGGGGACGGAGATTGAAACACAGATGACCATAGGACACGGATGTCACACATGTCTTCCCGCGCCCTTCCAACATGGGTACCACCTGCCCTCCCTGCCATGCGCCCGCAGGCTGACGCCCGCACGCCCCAGGGCGACCCCGCCCGCTGGCGTGTGACTGCTGACGTGGAGGCGTTGTGCTGGAACCCGCACGCGCCCACCTGCTTCCTGGTGTCCAGCGAGGACGGCATCGTGGCGCAGTACGACGCGCGCAAGGGGGCGGGTGAGGCAGCAGCGGGGGGACAAAGACCATATCAAACCATAGGAGAAGCAGCAGCGGGGGGAGGGGGGAGAAGAGGAGAGCGGTGCTGAAGGGAGGGGTGCAGAGGGCAGGAAGGAAAGGGGCGCCACCATGAGTGGTCGCGGTCCTGCGAATGGAGAAGGAGGGGGCAGGACCGAGGCAGGGAACCTGTGGTTCAGGGGTTCAGAGTTATGGCTCGCCGTGTCTACGGGCCTTGTGGCTCTGCAGAGCCTAGCCGCAGTAAGGGATGGCCTCAGCGATTAGAAACAATGCAGCCCTCGTGGTACTTTCCCTCCCCTGCCTCCTGACGCCTGCACTCCCCTTTCCCCCGCCTGTTCGCCCCCACAGACAGCGCGGCCATGTTCCGGTTGTCGGCGCACAACAAGCCCACCTGCTCGCTCAGCTTCTGCCCGGCGGTGCGGGGGCTGCTGGCCACCGGGTCGACGGACAAGAAGGTGCGGGGGGGAAAGAAATGAGGTTAATGAGGTGGGGGTGCGGGTGGGGTTGTGACGGGGCTGCTGCAGTGGATTGTAGGCATGGGGCCGCCGCAAGGGTGTGCCCTAGCATCTCGCTCTCTCCACGCCTCCCTGTCTACGCATACCACCTCCTCAGCCGCCCTCCGCTCCCCCCTGCCCCACCCTACCCACCCCCTCCCGCAGGTGAAGCTGTGGGACCTGTCCGGCTCCGCTCCCGCGCTGGTGTGCACGCAGGACCTCAACACGGGGGCGGTCTTCTCGGCGGCCTTCTGCGGGGACGCGCCGCACCTGCTGGCGGCGGGCGGCGCGGGCGGAGAGGTGGTGGTGTGGGACGTGCGCGCGCACCCCGCTGTGGCGGCCAAGTACCCCGAGTTCGCAGCCACACTGCCGGCAGGGGGGCCGCAGCAGGAGGAGGACTAGGCGGGGGGATGGAGGCGGCGAAGGGCGCGGGTGGTAGGGTGTATAGATGTAGAAGGTTGCGGTTGTGGGATGGGGGATGAGGGCAGGGAAAGAGGCGGGAGGTCCGGGGCTATGCGGGCTTCATGTGGTTGGGGTGTGTTCAGGGCCGAGAGATTGCTGCGGACGCCAGGCTGCTGAGGGAAGATTGAATGGAGGAGGGTACATGCACACGGAGGAGGCGACAGGCCATGAGCACCTGCATGTGATGGCGTTGCAAGAGGGGGCTTTGCAGGCCACAGACACATGGGCGGTAGCGCCCTACGCTGTGTCATGTACATAACGGGTTCCTTGCGCGCATCCCTATCTTTTGGAAAATGCGGTTCTGGCAAGTGGAATGTTGCATTAGTCGGGCTGAAGTCGTAGTTGGGATGCCTGTATGCCTACACACTGCCGTCCGTTCCGCAGCTCAACTACTCGGCACTAGACTCTAGAACACGAGAGAGGATAAAACAGCCCCTACATGGCTGGAGTATGCCGTGCAACATCCAGGCTCGGGTCGATCCTGTAACCTCACTCCATGAGGATGACGCATTAAACAATGTTCGTTCGGTGCCGAATGCATTGTCTGTGTAACAGCGCTGTGCTCTCCAGCCATCCTCTTAAATCCAACGATTTAACTTCTGCTGGCAGTATAAAGACGCACGATCTCGTCAACTCGTTGGGCTTAAATCCTACGTCTCTGCAATCGCTTCTTTTCTAAACTTCTTGCCGAATCACGGCCATGCCGTACGGTCTCCCTGCCGTAAGGCGGCATGGTTTATAAGCGGCCGCCATCCCAAATTGCACCAGTAAGGCCATACCTTTACTGCAAGGAACCCTTCCTGGCATAGTTTCATCAAAACAACGGGCGGCTCGCCGCCATCTTCCTTGAGGCCCAAGGATTGGGGCCAGTTCCTTGATCTATTTACCGAGAAATCAGTTATCTAGAAATCCTAGTCGCTAGCCAGAAAGTTCCCAGCCGGAGCCGGCGGTGTGCCGGATCCGGAGCTGCTCGCCCGCACCGATTGAGGACTAGCCTTGGTTGCTAACTAACTAAGATGGCTGCTGACGACGAAAAGAAGAAGAAGAAGGAGAAGGAGGAGAAAAAGGAAAAAAAAGACAAGGAGGTAGGCGTCATCAGGGCGGCTGGAGGTAGAAGGAAATTATACAAGGCAGTTGCGTGCCATTCGATATTTGCCAGATTTCTTATTCAGAGCTAAAATAAACTGCATTTGGGCTTAGACCAGATGCCTTGGTAGGCAAAGTAAAACGTCATTTTGCAACGTTTCACCTCACCACCCTCTGGAGGGCAGTCGTCTACATGTCCCCACGCCGCAACACTTCATCCTCCCCCTTAGTTCATATCTGTTTCACGATCCATGCTTAGAAGGCCTTTCGCCACAGCTATGGCAATTCCTCGTTCATCATTCAGCGTGCCTACGTGTCGTTTCCTTCGCAGGATAAACCCAAGAAGGAGAAGTCGGATAAGGATAAGGAGAAGGGCGATAAGAAGGGTGAGAAGACATGCCGGGTTTTGGGAGTGCCCAGTTCCTAGCCGGCGTGCAATTGCTGATCAGTTTTTCCTTCTGCACGCACAGAGAAGTCCGAAAAGTCCGAAAAGAAGGACAAGGAAAAGAAGGAGAAGAAGGACAAGGACGGCCCCAGCACCTCTGGCCGTCCAGCCAGCTCCCGTGCGCCACCGCCGCCCCCTGCTCGTGGGCCACCGGGGCGGGGGCCGCCAGCTGCCAAGCAGCCTGCCGCCAGCGGCAATGACTACCTCGCGGGCATCGACCTGCCCTCGTCAGAAGAGGAGGAGGACTTCGAGGAGCGCGGCCGCGTAGATGAGGAGGCCACGCGCGCACCCATTATGGTGGGCACCAGCCGTGACAACAAGAAGCTAGCAGACAAGGTGAGGGTTGGGGTGGACGTGTCGATGCTGGTTACTTTGGCCATGTGTGCTTTCCGGTAGGACTTCTAACCTATGGGAGGTGGCATGGCTTTGCGCCTATGATTGAATCTTGCCGCATGCAATTTTGCTGATGGGTGCGTGTCGTCGTGTCGTGGCTGCAGGAGCGAAAAGCCCTTGAAGCTGCCGTGCGGGCCAAGGAGGACGCGCTGCGGGAAGATGACAACGTGTTTGACGTGGCGTACGAGGGCATGGGCGACGAGGTGTCGGCCACTGCCACGGACGTCAAGGTAGGGTTGGGGGATGTGCTGGAGGGGGGCAAGCAGGGGCGGAAGAGGGTTGGGAAAGGAACGGGACTAAGCTGGGGGCATTGTCCAGGAAGAAGGATGCATGGGCCATTCGAGCCTTCGTCCCGTTGCTCTAATAGTGTGCTGTTGGCGCACGACTGTTTGTCATATGCAGTGTTGATTTTCGCCACCCCCCTCCCTCTTAACGACACGAATTTGTTACATTCACGATGTTCAGGTACAAAACTTGACGATCCGCGCCAAGGGCAAGCTGCTGCTCGAGAACGCGGCTGTCACCATTGCTGCGGGCCGCCGGTACGGTCTCGTAGGCCCCAACGGCCGCGGCAAGTCGACGTTGTTGCGGCTGATGGCTCGGCGACAGATCCCGGTGCCGCTCAATATCGACGTGCTGCTGGTGGAGCAGGAGATTGTGGGGGATGAGAGGTGCGTGTGTGTACGGCATGCGGTAGCTTCATGTGCTGTGCTTCTTCACCCGCAAGGCCTCGAACCCCCCGGTGTTATTTAAAGTCCCCGGGAGCATACAAGGGCCGTGATTCCTTGCGAGATCATATCTTCCACGCATCTGGCACGCTGGCCACCTGAAACGAAGCCGGGATGGAACGGTGACTGAGATGGGGAGACATCCGATAGCCAATTGTTTAGCCAATGAATTTGTATAAGTGTAGTATGCAGGGCCTCGAACCCCCCCGGCGTTGCCAGTACCCGGGTGAAATATCAGGGTCAGTGATTCCTTGCAACAGCACCCTTCCACGCATCTGGCACGCTGGCCGCCTGATTCGGAGCCGGGTTGGCACGGTGACTGAGATGGGGAGACACGTTTAATGGCCTCTGCATGTCGCATACCGCATCACCGCATGTGTAGTGCCAAAGCAGGGCCTCGAACCCCCCGGTGTTAGTTAAAGTCGCCGGGAGCATACAAGGGCCGTGATTCCTTGCTAGATCAACCCTCCACGCATCTGGCACGCTGGCCACCCGAAACGAAGCCGGGATGGAACGGTGACTGAGATGGGGAGACATTTGTCGCTTGCTGCAACCACATTCTCGTATTCTAGTTTTCCGCACTTCAGTCGAACTGTGAAAAGACGTATCAGAGTCTGTCACCTCCCAACCACCAGTTCGCTTCCCACTCTCACCCTGCTTCACCTGTGCATGTCCTCACCCGCCTTGCCTCCCGCAGGACGGCGTTGCAAGCCGTGGTGGAGGCTGACGTGGAGCTGATGGGGTTGCGCGCGGAGGAGAAGGAGCTCATGGAGCAGCTGCAGGACGAGGCCAAGCAGCCCGACGACTTTGACCACGACACGGCGCAGGTGCGGCTGGTGCAGCGGTGCCGTGCAAACGGGGGGTTTCGTCATTCGCCACGCTCTTGCGAGTCCGGGGGAGCTCCAGAAGAGTTGGTTGGCTGGCGTCTGTAGGGTTGTTTGGCTGGTTCGTATGTACTTCATGTCGATAATTGATGTCAATGGGAGGTGGGAGGCATGCTGACCTGGTGTTTGCCTGCGGGCGTTGCGTTTCCTTCCTCAGGAGCGGTTAAACGAGATCTACGAGCGGATGGCTCAGATCGGTGCCGCCAGCGCCGAGAGCCGCGCCTCCAAGATCCTTCACGGTCTGGGCTTCACGGAAGCCATGCAGCGGCGGTCAACGCAGTCCTTCAGGTGGGGCGGGCTGGAAAGATCTAGGGGGGTTCAACTGGAGCCACAGCCATGTTGTCGCATGTTGCCGTACCATACCCCATTTGACCCATGCATCCCTAATTTCCTATCTCGCAATGAAGCGACCGCACCTGTCACTGCTAGACTCACCCTCTCTCCTCCTCCGCCCTCCGCCCTTCTCCCCCACAGTGGTGGCTGGCGCATGCGCATCTCCCTCGCCCGCGCGCTGTACATCCAGCCCACGCTGCTGCTGCTGGACGAGCCCACCAACCACCTGGACCTGCGCGCCGTGCTGTGGCTGGAGGAGTACCTGATGCGCTGGAAGAAGACGCTCATCGTGGTGTCGCACGACCGCGACTTCCTCAACTCGGTCACCACCGACATCATCCACCTGCACGACAACAAGCTGCACCAGTACCGAGGCAACTTTGCGCAGTTTGAGGAGATGTACGAGCAGAAGCGCCGGGAAGTGAACAAGGTGAGCGCGCACAGATGAGACTACCGTACTGGGTGCTCGAAACGTACGGTGTTGGGAAACGGCACGAAGGACAGTGGTGTGGCTAGGGTGCGGTATTTCCGGTTAGGATGCGGTACTGTGTCAGCTTCCTCCCTTCCTAGTAGATAGTATGGTTGGACACATGCATGGGGCACAGTGCATGACCAGCTGGTGGTCCCCCTGCTGTCGTGCAGGCGTACGAGAAGTACGAGAAGCAGCTCAAGGCGGCCAAGAGCGGGGGCGGCAAGGACGCCAAGGCCAAGGCGGAGAAGGTCACCAGCAACGCCACAAAGAGCCAGGTGCGTGTGCTGGGAGGGAGAAGGGAACAGTTGGTGGAACTGCCGACATGCTGACAGATCCGCTCAACCGGCAGCGTCGCCAGGAAAGAGACGTGGATACGTACTTGCTATCCGCTACCGTGTGCTGAATGACTGTCATGCTGAATGATTTGCCATGCGCCCTGCCACACAGGCTAAGCGGCGCGGCGGTGCAGCCGACGACGGCGCCTCCAGCTCTGCTGCCTCCGCCCCGCAGCGCTGGTCGGACTACACGGTGGAGTTCCACTTCCCCGAGCCCACGGAGCTGCCGCCGCCGCTCATCCAGCTGATTGACGTGGACTTCAAGTACCCGGGCAGGTGGGTGCGGGGCGGCCCGGGGGGGGGCAGGAGGCGGCTGTGGGTCGGGTGGGGTGTGGTGCATGGGGTGAACGTGTGTGGTGAGCAATGCGGGCATGGGGGTGCATGGTGACGACAGAGGGTGGGGTGGTGGTTGTGATTATATGTTTCCTGTGCTTGAGGCGGCTGCTATGATGACTCTTTGCTCTAACGCCTCATACTTCGCTGAGACTAGCGTCACTGAGGACAACTCCTAGAGCCTGAGCAACCTATCCCATGGATCTGCGCTTTCCTTCAACATCCCCTCGCACGCACTTGTATGCACCAGGGCATGTTGGTAGTGCTGCCACACCCTCTGCAACGCTTCCTCTCCCTATCCCCACCACGACCAACCCCCCTCAGGGACGACTTCGGGTTGCAGGGTGTCAACATGGGTGTGGACATGGGCTCACGCGTTGCCATCGTGGGTGAGTGGGCAGGCGGGGTTTGCACGTGGGAGCCCACGAAGTCATACGACTTGGGCAACTATATAGTCCAGCACCCACCAGTACTCCTGTGCCTTCAATCCCGGTATCAATCGGGGCCCTAGCGCCGTTGCCTTACATCCATCCTCGGGCGCCCGCAGGTCCCAACGGCGCCGGTAAGACGACGCTCATGAACCTGCTCTCGGGCGACATCTCCCCCGTCAACGGCGAGTCGCGGCGGAGTCACAAGCTGCGCATCGGCCGGTACGCGCAGCACTTTGTGGACGCGCTGTCCATGGACGAGAACCCCGTGGAGTACCTGCTCAGCAAGTACCCCACGGCGGGGCTGAAGCCGGAGGGCATGCGCGCCATGCTGGGGCGCTTCGGACTCAGCGGGCAACACCATCTGACACCCATTTGCAAGCTGTCGGGTGAGTGTGTGGGTGGGGAGTTTGGGACGGGGGCTGGGCACGGAAGGGAAGGGATGGGAGTTTGGTCGGGTGATGGAGAAGAGAGAGGAGGTGGGGTTTGAATTGCGGGTGGATGCTTGGATGTGAAGTGGCGCTGATGCAACCAAATTTCAGTCTCATACTTCGCTGAGGCTAAAGCCTCTGAAGAGAAACCTTTCTCTCTGAGCCACGGACGGTAGAAGAAAACACTTTGCACATGTCAGCATCAACATTTCTTGATGTTTCCTTGGCGCTGATGCAACTATAAATTCAGTCTCATACTTCGCTGAGGCTAAAGCCTCTGAAGAGAAACCTTTCTCTCTGAGCCACGGACGGTAGAAGAAAACACTTTGCATACCGGTATGTCAGCATCAACATTTCTTGATGTTTCCTTGGCGCTGATGCAACTATAAATTCAGTCTCATACTTCGCTGAGGCTTAAGCCTCTGAAGAGAAACCTTTCTCTCTGAGCCACGGACGATAGAAGAAAACACTTCGCACATGTCAGCATCATCACTTCTTGACGTTTCCTTGGCGCTGATGCAACTATAAATTCAGTCTCATACTTCGCTGAGGCTAAAGCCTCTGAAGAGAAACCTTTCTCTCTGAGCCACGGACGATAGAAGAAAACACTTCGCACATGTCAGCATCAACATTTCTTGATGTTTCCTTGGCGCTGATGCAACTATAAATTCAGTCTCATACTTCGCTGAGGCTAAAGCCTCTGAAGAGAAACCTTTCTCTCTGAGCCACGGACGGTATAAGAAAACACTTCGCACATGTCAGCTTCATCAACTCTGGTCGTTTCCTTGGCGCTGATGCAATTATAAATTCAGTCTCATACTTCGCTGAGGCTAAAGCCTCTGAAGAGAATCCTTTCTCTCTGAGCCAAGGCAAACAAGCAGTGGACTGTTGCTTACCCCGTCGTCCCATCGTTGCTTACCTCTTGTCCCCTCCCGCGTCCTCCGTTGCCCCCGCAGGAGGTCAGAAGGCGCGTGTGGTGTTCACCTCCATCGCCCTCATGCAGCCGCACATCCTGCTGCTGGATGAGCCCACCAACCACTTGGACATGCAGTCCATCGACGCGCTGTGCGATGCCCTCGGCGAATTCGAAGGTAAGACGGGTGACAGATGCGCTCCACGAGTGTTTGCAGCCCCATGGCATGCGTCAGTCCCGTCCCGGCTTCCAAGCGGTGTCAGTTGTTCGCTTACCACCCCGCTCTAGATTCTCCAGCTGTCGTGAGTACTCCTCTCACTTCGCCCCACCTCGTCCCCGTCCCCGCAGGCGGCGTCATTGTGATCAGTCACGACGCGCAGCTGCTGTCGCGGCTGTGCGAGGACGAGGAGCGCAGCCAGGTGCTGGTGGTGGAGGACGGCAAGATTCGGCAGTACGCGGGCGACTTTGAGGACTACCGCGCGGAGCTCATCCGTGAGATCACCGCGGAGCTGGATGAGGAGTAGGCGGCGGTGCTGCGGCGGTGCTTGACAGGCGGGGGGGGGGCCGCTGGCTGGCTTGGTTGCTGCATGGGTTGCGGCTGGATGTAGTATTAGGAATGCGCATGTGTGCAGGCACATGCTAGTGCAGGTTGCCTGCTGGGAGTAGGGGCGCAGAGTAGAAGCAGAGCCAGGGAGGTCCCCTGATGTCTTGACATGGCAACAACCCTAGACGTGGGGACATTACTGAGTGAATAGGCAATAGGCAGGAACGGCATGTGGTGACGTCGTGGGTCTGCTTGCGGAAGCAGTACACCTTCAGTTGCGTTCTACACAGGTCGTGGCGTTATGTAGCCGCTTCGTTGGCGGCACCTTGACTAAGAGAAGACACGACAGCTATCCGACAGCAGGCGTTTTGGAGTTCACCTGACGTTGACCATATTATTTACCGAGAGTGGAATTGCATGAACTGATTACACATTAAGAGTGATGTGATTGCATTGGCAAGTCTGTTAAGACCGTCAGTACAGACGAGAGTGGTGGATAGTGGTAGAGGAGTTAACGTGTCGTCGTGGGCGATTCCCCGACGCACATGTTGCTGTCTTGCTATCGGGCACGACACATGCACAACTCGAGTATGCAAACGTGTTTGCGCTTGGCACAGTGGACGTGTAAGGCTGATGAGGATGATGCGGCTGGCATGCTAACAATAACAAACAATAACTAACAATTCCAGCATGGTGAACGCTGGAATGGCTGTACACCAGGCACACGTCAGTCAACCGTCGACCCTTCAATCCCTGCAGTCACACGACTGCAGGTAGCCTACCAAATGCGCCACATGTATTGCTCCGCTAATAAAGCAAATCACGGACTTATGTGCCCCGGGGGGCCATCTTGGTACGATTAGACGTGCGGAGGGGTGAGGCCACATGGCCTGGCAAGCCAACAGGGATAACGATGAGGAGCGAAGGGAAAAGCCCACGTGGTCTGAACAGCCAACGGGGCACTGAGGGGGATGCACGCATAAAGAGAATCCCGTAGCCCTTACCCACAAAGACCTTCGACGTGGTGGGGAGTCTGACGCATGGGTGACGGGAATGTGTGTAGTAATAACGGGCCGCGAGGTGTAACGTACTGTGATTGCCGGAAGATGAAGTCCTCCCACAGAAACGCCACAAGTGAAGGGAAATCCGTTGGCTATGGTGTAATACAGCTATGTGTGAGAGTGTGTGTGCGTGCACCTGGTGGCTGGTGTCTTAGCTACCGTATGTAAGGCACGTCAGTCGTCAAGGCTTAACAGCTATCAGACCACTGATCTTTGCACACTGCGAATCACCGGCCATACCCTAATCACCTGTAGCAAGCAGCAATACATTCACCCAGGTACCGGTACGTTGAAACCTATCCACCTGTCAGCAGGGCAGGTCCTGCCTAACGCACCGCAGCTCACACCTCCACCGCCTCTGCCTACGTGACCCTGCCCGGCATGCCCCGGACCACCGCCCGACTAGCCAGGTGCGCAATGCTCAGCTCCTCCTCCGCCTGCCCCCCGCCCCCGCCCGCCGGCCCCCTCGCGGGCCGCTCCCAGGGCGCTGCGTCGCCCACCTCCTGCAGCACCGCCTCGAACAGCTGCTGCGCCGCTCCCGCCAGCAGCGTGTCCCCACCCGCCCGCACCGCCCGCAGCCGCTCCTGGACCTGCAGCAGCAGAGGGGGAGCGAGGGGGAGGTGGGGGAGGAGCGGGGGCAGGGAATAGGAAAGTTGGCATCAGCGGCCCGCCCACAGCCCCACTCTGTCCCCTGATGCGCACGCACACGCACGCACAGTGCGTTAGCGGTAATACTCGCGGCCAGTTTCCTTAACACGCGCACGCACGCAGGCGTACCTGTGGTGTCCTGAACAGGAAGAACAGCTCCAGGAAGAAGTGGTCGTGCAGCATGTTGGCGCAGCTGCGCAGGTGCTGCACCAGGCCCAGCAGCACACTGCCGTACCTGAGGGGGGAGGAGTGGTGGTGGTGGGGGGCGGGGGGGTGAGTGGCAGCCGTGTGAATGTGGGCGGCTACCGTACCACACAAGCAGCGGAGCCTTTCGGAGCTGACCGCCCTGCACAACACCCCAAGCCCCGGCTCCCCTAGATGCTTGCCGCGGACCCCACCCCCCCTCCCGCGCCCCTCCCTCCCCGCCCCCACCTGAATGCCGTCACCATGGCCGCCAGCGAGTCCGCCCGCGCACTGCCGTACAGCTGCGCGGACCCCACCATGAAGCAGCTCAGCCGCAGGAACAGCCGCCGCACCAGCTGCAGCAGCACGCCGGGGGGCAGCTGGGGGGAAGGTGGGGAGGGGAGATGGGAGCGGGGGTGAGGACTGTATGAGGGTGGGAAATTTATATAAGAAATGCAAACAACTAAAGTCCCAATCCCATATCCCGACTCATGCAGTGGGTGTGAGGGTGGGACGAGGGGCAGCTGGCTGGAAAGTTGCGGCAATGGTTACCGGTACCGCCACGGGGGGCGGCTGTTCTCATCAGCGAGGGAGGCACAGCCCCGCTTTCCAACTTCGCTTCGCACAAGGCTTGCACACGTGAGGCGTTTTGCGTGCGCCAGGGCGTTCCCCCCCCCGCCTGCCCTCCACCATGGCGGCTCAGTTTTATCTAAATTACCATGTTATTTCCCCCCACACCGCTCCCCCCCCACACCCACACCGCTCCACTTTCCCCCCCGCCCCCACCTGTCTTGCCACCTGCAGCACCAGGTCGGGGTGCGGGTAGCGCCCCAGTGCATGCGCCTCCTGGCTCAGCCCACCCAGCTCGAACAGCACCCCCACCGCCCAGTCCAGCGGGTAGGAGCGCACCTCGTACTGGGGGGGGGCAGGGGGGAGAGGAAGAGGAACACCATGCTGTACGTGAACTTGGGGGAAGAAGGAGAAGCGGGCGGCGGGGAGCAAGAGGCCGGGCGGAGCAGTGGTGGGGTCGGGTGAGCATCTCGGCTGCCAAGCAGCGCAGTAGGCCCCAACGGGCAGCCAGGCCCTCACCCATGCATGCCCCTCCACCATTCCTAACCCCACCCACCCCTCGCCCGCACCTTTGTGTGCCCGGCTTCCCAACCCCCCCTCACCGCCCCCTCACCCGTATCCAGTACATCATATCTTCCGCGCTCTGCGGCCGCAGCGGCGCCACCTCGGGCGGGTAGCGACCGCCCCACTCCACCGCACCTCCCCCTCCTCCTGCCCCTCCACCCCCTCCCCCCGCTGCCTGCGCCCCCAGCAGCGGCTCCGGGTCCGCCAGCTGCGCCACCAGCGCCGCCAGCGTGCGGCTGCAGCGCGCGAAGCTCCAGTCCAGCTCGGGGGGCGCGTCGGGGTCGGACTCAACCAGCTGGGGGGGAGGGAGGGGGAGGGGGAGGGGAAGTGGTGGTTGGCGCCGCAGGTGGAAACATACACATACACACACACGGCGGTTCTGTGGGGACTCCATCTTCCGCCAATCACAGTACGTTTCCACTCGCGGCCAGTTTTCTTAACACACACGAGGGGAGGTGTTACGGGCCCAGTAGGAGGGTTGCGCCGGGGGCTGCCTAACACTTACCCTAGGGTCCCTGCTTGACAGACCTGCGCTAAGGCCGCTAAGGGATGCAACCACATCTCCCTTCCCCCTTCCCTCCCCTCCGCCCCCTTCCCCGCCCCTGCCTCCCTCACCGCCTCGCTGAGCCAGTGTATGCGCTCCTCGCACCCCTCGCTGAACGCCAGCTCCCCAGCCACCCAGTGCAGCAGCAGCTGCAGCCGCCGAGCTGCCAGCCGGGCGGCCAGGCGCCCCACCAGCCGCCCCCACAGTTCAACACCGGGACCGCCTGGGGGGGGGTGAGGAGGGATGGAGGGGAATGAGGAAGGGGTTGTCACTAGACCAACATCGCACACCCTCCTCGTCAGCAAACACAACAACCCACCAGCACTCCCTGCATGGCTTGGACACCCCTCCATCCATCCCACCGCCCTCCCTCCTGCTCTCCCCTCCCCCCCCGCCCGCCCGCCACCCACCCAGCAGCTCCTCCTCCGCCTCCGTCCTCGCCCCCAGGTACGCCCCCAGGAAGGCCGACCGCAGCCCGGCAGCCGCAGTGGTGGAGGAGCCACGCAGGCTCACACCACCCCCACCACCACCCCCACCCCCTGCCGCCGCCGCTAGCGCCCGCAGGCCGCTGCGCACCTCCCCCTCCACCCGCTCCCTCCGCCCCGTCAGCAGCTCCAGGGCGTCCTCCCGCCCCCCACCGCTGCTGCTGCTGATGCTGCTGCCGTCCGCTCCGCCACCATACACCGCCTGCGGGTGCTGCTGGTGCTGCCCCCGGGGGTGCTGGTGCTGGTCCGCCCAGGCGGAGGCACCGGACCTGCGAGTCCAGGACCCGGCGGGGTCTTGCTGCTGCTGGTGGTGCTGGTGAGGGTTATGGTGACGGTGGCGGTGGTGGTGGGGGAGGTTGCGGTGTTGAAGCACGAAGAGGAAGGGCGCCTCGTCCAGGGGTGACAGGGAGAGCGGGTCGGAGGGCAGGGTAGGCGGCGCGGCGGGCGAGGGCGCCTCGGAGCGCTGACCCATGGGTCCGCTGGCCTCGCGCTGCTGCTGCAGCTGCACGATGTCCGCCAGCGCCTCCACCGTGTTGCTGCGCCGCAGGGTTGGGTAGGAAGGTAGGGTAGCAAGGGAGGAAGGGAGGGCAGGAAGGGAGGAATGTAGGCAGGGGGAAGGGGCCGGTCCGGGGTGGGAGATCCAGGTTGGATACCATATACCAACCACAACCAAGAACACCACTCCATCTGCCACCTGCCACCTGCCATACCTCCCTCCCTCTTCTACTGCATGGTCGACATCATGGCGTTCAAACCCTCGTGGTTGAGCCTTCTACACTTGGCCACATGGTTGTGCCTTCCTCTTCCCCTCCTACCCCATCCCTCCGCTTCCCTCCCCCCGCCCCCACCGTATGGATGTTCGCTCCCCCGGGTGTAGCCCCAGCCGCTGCAGCAGGCGCCGCTGCCCCGCCGGCCCCCGGCTGAACACCGCCCAGGAGCGGCAGGCGTGCAGCCGCCGGAAGAAGCCCAGCTCGGAATCCAGCTCGGCAGCCTGCTGCAGAGGGGACCTGAACGGGGAGGGGGCGGGGGGGGGGCGGTGGAGAGAGGGGGAGGGTAGAACAGTTGGCAGGAGTCAAGCCAATACTACGATACTCCTCGCGGTAGGGCAGGGCACTTCAGCCGCAACCTCCTCCCGCACAAGCGGTTCCATGCCCCCACGCTTCCTAGCAGCCGCACCAGTCCCCACCCTACCACACAGCACCAGGAAAGAAACACCAATCACGGTTTCCGAACCCCATCACCGCCCCACCCCGCCTCCCCCACTCACTTCTCCGGTCGCAGCTCAAACTCCTCTTCCTCCTCCTCCTCCTGCTCCCCTCCAAGTCCTCCGGACCACCGCACGCCGCCCCGGCAGCCCGAGGAGGAGGTCCCCGGCTGCCGAATGCGCACCTGCTTGCGACCCCCCTCACGCGCCCGGGGGTGCCGTCGCAGCACCGGGGCGCTCTGTCGTACCGGGGACACCGCCCTCGTCCTCGCCGCCGTACCCACGGGCGCTCCTGCTGCTGCCGTACCCGCAACCGCCGCTGCCGCCGCTGCCAGGGCCGGGCCGTCGTAGGATGCAAACATGCGGCCCCCTGCAGTCCCCCCCGCCGGCAGCATCCCAGCGGGTGAGAGGAGCGGGGAGCCCGGGAGGGGCCTCGCGGGGGGCGCGGGTGACAGCGGCACGGCGAGGGGCGCGGGGAAGCGGAAGGAGGCGGTGGGGGCGGCGGCGGGGGCGGTGGTGGTGGTGGTGGGGCTAATGCAGTGGTCGGGCTCGGGCACAGCGTCAGGGTGGCCAGCAGCGGTAGCAGGTGGGGTTTCCAGGTGGGGCGGGGGGCTGCGGTGGCGGCGACCCCACACACCACCACCACCACTGCCACTGCTGCCGCCACTGCCACTGCCGCCCTCCGTCGCCTCCGCTAGGGGCCCCGGTGCGTGGTGGCGCTGCTGGTCTTGGTGGTGGTGGTGGGGCGGGGGTCGGGGCTGGAGTTGCGGTTGCGGGTGGGGCTGGGGCTGCACGTAGTGTGCCCCGCCCTGTCCCCACCCTGCTGCCTGCTGCCACTGCGGCTGCGAGGGGTGCGGTGGGGGGTACTGGGGCTGGGGCTGGTGGTACTGCCGGTGTGGGTAAGGCTGCGACGGCGGGGGTTGGCGGTGCAGGGGCTGGTGCGGGTGTTGCTGTTGGTAGGGGTCCGGTGGAGGAGTGCCTTGGTGGTGCTGCGGGTATTGCTGCTGCTGGTATTGCTGCTGCTGGTCCCCCGAGGGGTACTGCTGCCCCTGAGGCCACTGAGGGTACCGATCGTCCTCCCGCCTCTGCTCAGGCTGCTGCTGCTGCCGCGGCTGTCCCTGCTCCCATGGCTCGCCCTTCGTCCACTCCTGCCGGCCGCCGCCGCCACCCAGTCCGCCGCCGCCGCCGCCGCTGCTGCGCCGCAGAGGGCTGTACGGCCGACCCGGCGATACGGATCGTCTGACGCCGCTTCGGCGGTTGGCGGCGCGGGTTGACCGGGGCGTGGAGGCGGCGGTGGCTGAGGTTGCTGCTGCTGCGGAGGGGCCAGGAGGGGGTGTTGTCGTACCTCCGTCAGGGCTGTCATCGGCGCCGTCAGGGCTGCCGCGGTTCTTCTGCGGCGGCGGCGGCGGCGCGCTGAACATGGCGCACACGGCGCCCCATGCGTAGAGCCGACTGATGATGAAGCTGCGTGGGGCGGTGGGTGGGCGGGTGTGAGGGGGTGCATGCGTGAATGGGGCCAGAAGGGCAACGTGAGGTTGGGTCGGGTTGGCATGTCGCCGGTACATAATGTTATGCGCTCAGCATGCCCACACATAGGATATTCTTCTTTACCCCACCTGAACACGGTGCGGGAGCTGAAGAAGCACCTGGACAGCTGGCGTGCCTTGGCGGTGGGGGAGAAGGAGCGCTCCAGGATGATTTCCTGGTGGGGGGCAAACGCAGGAGAGGGTGGGGGAGGAGGGTGGGGCAGGGAAGGTAAAAACCGGTACTGCCAAACCGGGTCCGTACACGGAAAGTCGGGAGCATGTAGGGTGTATACATGCAGATGGAGATTGGATTGAAGAACTACCGTATTACCGGTAACACGCCTGCATGTCACCCCAACGCCATGTTTGCTGCATGTAGCGCACCCCCGCACCCGCACCTTGATGGTGTCCGCGTCCTGGTCGTCGAACAGTCCGCAGCCCCAACACATCGCCTCCTCCATCTCGTTGTAGAAGCTGCGGGCCGCAACACCCTCCGTGTTCTGACTGAACCGCTCGGCGGCAACGGAGGCGTAAGCAGCGGCGGTGGCGGCGGCGGCGGAGGCGGTGGCGGCGGAGGTGGGATTGTACGGCGAAGAGGCGGTGGCGGCGGCGGGCTTGCGTTGACGGAGCGGTGAGGGCGAGGGAAGAGGTGAGGGCAGCAGCGGCGGCGGTGATGGAAGTGGGGAGGGTAGAGGTGACGGCAGGAGTGGTGAAGATAAGCGGAGCAGGTTGGTCGGGTTGTTGCCAGGAGCGCCAGCAGCAGCTGCTGATGCGGGGTCGTGAAGGAGGGGAGAGGAAAGCCGAGTGAGGTTAGAGCGGTAGGAACTGCACGGGAGGCTAAGTGCTGAGGCTGTAATGCACCCACGCCTTCCTTTGTTCCCCCTCGACAAGAGCCCGAGCACCCGAGACCCCACCCCACCCCGACCCCACCTGAGTAGTGAACAACCGGGCCGTCCCATTCCGTGCTGCGGAAGGGCGAGGAGGGGTCCACGGCAGCCGGCAGGAGGGGAGGCGGGGGCGGGGCACCACCGCCGCTGCTGTATGAGTGGCCAGCTGCGTCTCTCCGACCACCGCCTCCACTAACACCGTCACCCCCTGCACTAGGGCTCTGAAAACCCGCCCATTGCCCCTGCTGCCACTGCCATTGCTGCTGCCCCTGATCGGACCGCCAGTCCCCCGCCTCCACCACCGCCTCCGCCACGGCTGCACCACCCCCACTACTACTACCCCCAACCCCACCATTACGGTACCACTCCTCCGGCTCAACCCCCGACCGCCGACCCAGAGGCGACTCCTGACTAGCTCCCCCAACGCTGCGATCGCCTCCACCCCCACCACGCCTTCGCACCCCTCCTCCACCCCCTCCTCCTACCCCTCCCATTCCCCTCCCCAGCTGCAGCTGCGCTTCCCCTTCCTGCAGCGACATCCGCCCCAGGGAGGAGGCCCCACTAGCGCTGATGCTCATGCGACCGTAAGGCCCGGCGGAGTACAGCGGAGAGGAGGGGGAGGAGCGGCCCTGCTGCTGCTGCTGCTGCTGCAGCAGTGCTGCTGCGGCCTGCAGGCGGCCCTGCCGGCGGGAGCGAACTGCGTCGTACAGCGACAGGAAGGCGGAGCTGACGGACACGCGGAGCTGCTGCGAGTCGGTGGCGCCGGGGGTGGTGGGGTTGCCGTCGGCGCTGAAGCCGATCTGGGAGCGAGAGGGTGAGGGATTCGCGGGGCAAGCGGAGGGAGGGGCCCAACGAGAAAACGGGAGTCTCAGTGCAGGTGGAGGGGAAGAAGGCGGACTCTTGGTGGATGACCCGCAGCACATTGCCCAACCCAGCACAATAACACCCATGTGTTCGCCCTTCAATGTTCCCCAATGTGCGGATCCACATGAGATGCATGCACCGATGTGTGGGGGTGGCCCCGAGAGCACCCGCTGCGACCCCACATCTGCCAACTTCCTGGCTGGCCCTTGTCCACTTCAGCCTCCACCCTCCCCCCCGGGGCCCTCTCCCCACCCCGCCCCCCTACACAGGCGCCGCCCCCTGCCTAACGCCTCACCGGGCTGTCCCACCGGCTGTTGAGGCGGGACAGGGTGGGCGGGCTGCGGCCGCCTGCCTCCCTGCCGGAACCCGCCAGCAGCCCGTCTATGCTGCTGCGGGAGGCGGCGGCGGACAGCGCGGAGGCGGACGCCCACAGCGGCCGCCGCAGCCCCTGCCGCCTCTGCCGCTGCTGCTGCTCCTCCGGCTGCTGGGAGGGGGCGGAGGGGAGGGGGGAGGGCCCTGCCTCACCCCTCAACCCCTGCTCCTGCTCCTCCTGGTGCTGCCCGGCCCCCGCCCCGCCCCACAGCGGCTGGTCCCCCGGGAAGAGCTGCAGCGCCCCCCAGCCCCAGGAGGCGGCCGCGGACTGCAGACCCCGGGCCAACCTGGAGGGGAGGGGGGGAGGCGGGGCAGGGGAAGGGGAGGTGTGGGGCCAGGTGTGTACAGTCAGCGGATTCGCTGCACGCAGCTCTGCGGCATACGGCAGGCATGCGAGCAGACCCCAAGCAGGGCTGCCGTACACAGGGACGTGCGGCGGCAGCCCTCGCGTCCCACTCGCCACCCACCTTGCTTAACAACGCTCCTCGCCTACCCCCACCTAGGCTCACACCCCATCGAAGACCAACCCAAACCCCCTCCCCCAAACACACACACACACACACACGCGGCTCACGTGGCCGGCTCGCTGAAGAAGCGCAGCGCCTGCCGGGCGGGGTCCAGCCCGCCGGGTCCGCCCAGCTGCGGCGTGTCTGCTGCTGCGTTGTCGTACCAGCTGTTGGCGGCAGGTACGGCAGCTGCTGTGGAGTGCTGCTGGTGGGGTTCCTGGTCGTACACGATCTGCAGCGGCAGGAAGGCGGGCGCGTACCAGAGGGGCATACCTGCGGGGTGGTGTGGGGCGGGGTGGGGCTTGTGTGGTTCATGATCGGATGCACCCAACCCTCTCCACGCATCCAACATGCACCGCGCCCTTGCCAAGTTCCGAGACCTGAGCCATCAGACCCCTCCAAACATTACAGCCCTTACTGCTTCCCTTTTCCTCCTCCTCCCCTCCCCTCCCCTCCAGTTCGTCCGTTTTCCTTATCTCTGCCCCCCCCCCCGCCCGCCCGCACCCGGCAGCGCCGCCTGCGTGAGCGCCAGCCGCATGTGCGCCCCCAGCCAGGCCCGCTGTGCGTGGAAGAACAGGTTGCTGTGCCGCTCCACGGTGACCAGCACCAGGCGGTAGGTGGACAGCTGGGGGGGGGAGGGGAGATGGGAAGCGGAAAGGGGAAGAAGGGAAGAAGGGAAGAAGGGAAGAAGGGGAGGGAACGGTACTTGGGGACATGCAGGATTAGGGAGATGCCTGAAGCGCCGGATAGCTGCCGGGCAGCTGCGTGCGCTTCCGCTGTCGCGGCTTGACCACCCTTGCCACTCCTCCCTTCTTTTCTTCCTGAGCGCCGCGCCTCCTTCACACCATGCCACACCCCTAGGCGCCCCTCTCCTAGGGCACCTCCCCTACCCTCCTCCTCGCCCCCACCAGTCCCCGCCCCCTCCGCCCCCCTCCCCCACTCACGAAGGCCTCCTCCGCACTCAGCTCATCATCCTCCGAATCCCCGATCCAAAAGTCCTCGTACGCCTCCTCAGCCGCCTCTGCAGGAGCTGCCTCCGCCGGGAAGCCGCCGCCGCCGCCATTCTGTCCCTCCGCGTGCTGCTGCTGCTTCCGCTGCTGGGCCAACTGCCTGCGGGGCCTCGGACAAACACACACGAACACGTGTCATGCAGTTCCGGCAGCAGCAGTTAGCACAGTCCGCAAGTCCGCCGATTTCAGTTGTACCATGCCTGACACCCCGGCGAGCGTACACGCCACTCACTGCCGGATGGTGTCCCCTGCCCACCCACTCCCCCTTCTCATACGGTACCACCCCCCTGTGCACGCCTGCCGACCGGCCCTCCAGCCCCTCTCCCCACCTCCCCCCCCAGCCCACCTGGACTTCTCCCGCTCCTCATGCTCCTCCCACATACGCTGGGGTTGCAGCCGCCGCTGCCGCCGCAGCACCTGCTCCCCCAGCCGCTGCAGAGGCTGCGCGATGGCACTCAAACCACCAACACCACCACCCTCCGGCTGCTGCTGCTGCTGCTGCCAGCCCAGCTGCGCTGCTGCTGCGGTCGTACCCGGGCTGGGTACGGCACCACCACCGCCAATCCTGGTGTACTGGGGGGCGGCCGCGGGCATCGGAGCCGCCAGCAGGGCCGGCTGGCAGGAGGGGTAGCTGGGCAGTCTGAACACCGCGGGGTCAGGTGGGAGGTTGCGGGAGCGGCGGCCGCGGCGGGTGTGTGCGGGGAAGGGCGGCTGCTCCTCCTGCTCGGGGCTCCTCGCATGCAGCTGCTGGGCCGCAGATGCTGCTGCTGTTGCGGAGGAGGAGGAGCGCGGGTCGCCCGCCGCTTCAGCTTGCGTGTGCTGAGGCTGCTGCTGGGACTGGGGCGGGGCTGCGGGTAACATGGGCTGCGGGTGGGGAGGTGCTGATGTTGTCCCTGAAGGTACGGACTGCTGCGGACCCGCACCCGCACCCGTACCTGCACCCAGGCGGGAGGGGGTTCCTGTAGCCCCCCCTCTCGCGGCCGCAGCGGTGCCCGCACTGCCGTACGACATCCCCGGCCGCATGGAGGAGTGCAGCGGCTGTATTGAGGCATGTGCCCCTGTCGCCGCCTGCGTGCTCGGGTAGGTAAACGTCTGGGAGAAGGAGCTCCGGGCACCGTATGAGGAGGAGGATGATGCTGGTGCGGGTGCAGCCGCCGCAGCTGCGGTGGACGCGGGTGCTGCCGCTGTTGCGTTAACCAGCGACCTCAGGGAGGCGCTCAGCTGGTTGGGGCTGCTCCCCGCTGCGCCGCTCAGGGATACCGTAGCTGAGGAGGACCCGGGTGACGTCACCGACCCGGCCGACCCACGGGTCACGGCAGGCGGCACCACCACCGCCAGCGGCGGCGGCGCCTGCCTCCGCAGCGACTCCTCCAGTTGCCGCATGCCCTGCTCCACCGCGGCATACAGCTCGGAGTCCTGGTCGCGACGTGCGGTGTACGGCACCCCGGGAGCTACCAGCGCGGCGCCTGTAGCGGTGTGCGCATGCCCATGTCCGCCGCCATGCCCGCGTCCCAAGCTGCCCATCAGGCCGTCCTCCACACCTGCAGCTGCAGCTGCAGCGGCGGAGGCCATTTCGGATCTGCGGCTGTGCCGCGGCGACAGGGGCAGCCGCGAGAAGGCCGCCGCCTGCGCCGTGGCCCCGTCCTCTCCCCGGCGCCGCAGGGTGCTGAAGAGGTTGGGGCGCGGGGCGCTGCTGTTGGCGGCGGCGGCGGCGCGGAGGGAGGCCGTCAGGTCTCCGCCTGAGGGGGGCTCCACGGCTTCACCCAGCGGCCCGCGGTACACACTGTACGATGAGTATGGCGCCTGTGACTGGGGAGAAGCCGCTGAGGCAGCTGCTTGGACAGGGTTGAAGTTGAGGTCACGCTGGTCGGGAGGATGGCCGGCTGGGTTGGAACCGTATGTGGTTGGGTGGTGGTGCTGGGGGTGGTTGTTAGCGGCAGCGGATGATGACGGGTTTGAGACCGGGTACGGGTACGGCACGCCTGTTGGTGTCGTCGTTGTGTAGCCGCTGTAAGTACCGTAGTCCTGCGGGTATTGGGGTTGCGGCGCGAAACGGGGCTGCTGCTGTTGCCACTGCTGCCATGCTTGCTGCTGCCGCAGCTGCTCCTGCCCTTGCTGCTGCAGCTGCTGCGGCTCCCCCTGCCACCCTCCCGGCTGCTCCTGCGCGCCGGCGCCCGCCACATGCCGCCCCGCAGGCGCAGCGGTCCCCGCGTCCTTAGCAGGCTGCTGAGCCGACCAGCCCGGCTGCTGTTGCTGTTGCTGCTGCGTCGGCGGCGGCGACCGCCACTGCTGCTGCTGCTCCGGAGCTTGCTGCCACGCGCCCAACACCTCCCCACCGCCTCCTCCACTGCCACCCCGTGCCCCTGCCCCATGTACCGGCCTAGGCTGCACCACCACCTGCTGCTGCTGCTCCGCCTGAGCGCCACCGGGTCCGCAACACGCGCTGCGCCCGCCACCTGCTGCTGCTGCAGCTGCCCCAGCGCCTGCCGAGCCCCTGCCGCCGCCACCGCCCCCGGACAGTCCCGCCCTGCGCCTGGCTGCGGGCGGCAGCGCCGCTAGGTCGGCCTCGGGGAACAGCGATACTGCCACGGAGCGAATCACCGAGTCGGGCTTGCGCGGGTCGTGCTTCACGAAGTCGTCGCTGTCTGCATCCGTCTTGTCCTGAGGTGGCAGGCGAGGGGGATGGATGATATCTAAGAGGATATAGAGAAGCGGCAATGGCTGGTGCGGGCGCTTAATGGTTGTGATAAAGAAGCGGTAAATGGGTTGGTACTGGTAAGTTGAACGGCCCATGGGTCCATGTAGGCCGTATGATCCACCGGCTTATAACGAATGTGGCTTTACTGTCTGCTCTTGATAACGTTGTGCCAGTATACTTATGTTCCCTTTTAGGCTCATTAACCTGGGCCACTTTCCTAACCCATTTTGCTGTATAACAGCGTTCATAGCTGCTACCAGAAGTCCTCACCAGTTCCCGGATTCCGAGCCACGGTAACTCGAGTAGCACCGAACCTTCAACTTTGTTATCCTTTGTCAGTAGGAAAAGACTCCAGTCGGTGACAGCTACATAGTAGAACTGCTTGCCCGCGATGACTTTCCGACTGGACGAAAGCGGGGGCAACGGACGAAAGTCACAGAGCACACCGACGGTCTCGAAATAACGGAGCGAGAGCCTGGCCTCCTCTGGAAGCTTGCGTAGCAGCGTATTGCCCTCGCAACGAATGAAAGTGTGATATTGCGCTGTATGAGCCATTTCGCTGTGCACAATCCTATGACAAGTATATCTTACAGTTCTAACCTAAAACAAAAAAGAATGTAAATCTCAAATGCAGCAGTGGTCGTCAACTGTCATCGACTTCTTCGTCAGTGCGCTTCTTGTCAAACCTTTCTGCATTTTATCATACTTCAACATTTGGGTCAACCGACACAAGCTCTGTTGGCATGTTACAGAAGCCCACAAGCCCTGGCATAGTGTCGTACAAGACTAAGTAAAGCCGTTGAAATGAACCTGCAGGGTACGGCTGATCCGACGAAGAATAACCGGCATGCACCATATCAGCAGAATTGTGATGGCAGTGAAACAGGGCGCAGCCTTGGGGCGCAGCTGTAGCAGACTATAGCCCAGTCACAAGCACGCGCTTGCTTTAGCAGGGTACGGCGGTGTGCACCTGGTTTATTGCTTTTGTGCTGCTGAGTACTTGCATGAATGACAGGCGCAACGCACACTCAAAAACACTCCGCATTCGGCAGCATGTGGGCCTTGTCGCCCGGTATTGTGCCTGGAGGCTGCTGTGCCACGCTTCTGTGCTGGAGGAAAAAGAGAGAATGCCCGCTGAGGTCGTGCGCAATTAATTCTTCGGCAACCAAGCTGTCAGCGCTGCCCTCGGCAACGGCTTGCAGCCCGCTAATTGGCTCGAACAATTCTTCCTCGCGACGGCGCAAAGTGTTACGTTGCCTGAAGCATTGGGCCCATACAGAATGCTGCGAGTTGCGTCCTCCAGAGACATGTTTTTCCTTGTAAACAACGGCCGTTTGTACGACATGCATATCGTTGCATTTCCATTCCTACCTCACTCGCCTCCCTTTCCTGGTCCAGCCCTCATCCTTGGTTATGTCCTAAACCAAATCCGTGCATTCACTACGGTTGCTACCATCGCTGGTCCAGGGCCGCAAGCGTGGCAGCAAGACCTGGCCGGTATAATTCCTGCTGTCCTCGGTAACATCGCTGCCCTAGCTACAGCCGACTACTCCGCGTGCAAGGAGACAATTTAAGCCCATGAACTGCTGGAGTTGTGTTTGCGTCTCCCAGTCACAAACTGGCTGCTTACTCCAAGCTTCTGCCCTTCGTCAAGAGCCGTGCAAACTTAAGTCTACACACACAGCAAGGGGGTCGCAGCGCACTTCTAGACGAGGCCTGGCTGCACCCAAGCAAGCCAAACGCAGATACGACCCCCCCCCCCCCAGCCTCACCTTCAGCACAGAACGCCAGCACCATGCCAACACCGCACGGAGGGAACCCAAATTGAGATGATAACCCAGGAAAGAGGCATTACGCCCGGCTATGCTATGAGCACCCCCATCCACAAAGCTTCTACGCTACTCCCGGCAATCCCAGAGACAGTGCTCAATCCCTTGTAGCTAGGGGTCTCTGGAACGCAGTAGCGTTCTCACGTCAGCAGTCTCTTAGGGAGCCTAGCAAAACTAATGCTCTTATGCCACATCCTGCATCTAGTACATGCCAGCACCACAATGCGAAATCTTCGTCGTGCCCAACCTGCGGACACAGCCATCCTGCGCTAAGACACCTCCTGCCAATGCAACCACGCGGATGCAAGTACGTCAACACAGTGCAGCATGAACCGCTGTGACATGCACTGCTACCGCCATGCATGCATGCACCACTGATCCCTGTACCATCCCTGCAATGCCCGCTACCACCTACTCCTACTCCTCCCCGTCACTCCATTCCTCCTCCTCGCTGTCCTCCTCCTCCTCCTCACTGCCCTCGAGGGGCGCAAGCATGCGTAGCTGAATGCGCATCTGCCCGCCGCCTTGCTGTTCAGCTGTAGGCGCAGGAAACACCAGCGTCCCCGAGATGCTGCGGTCCTGCTGCAGGAACGGCTCCCAAGGCCGCAGCAGCTCCCGATCGGGCGAGGATGTCGTGAGGCCCGCCATCGCCTCCATCAGCCGCTCCTCCTCAAAGAAGCTCAGGAACTCAAACCGGACGCCAGCGCCCCAGGGGATCACGGATTGGCTGCTGCTGGGAGCGAAGATTTGGTCCTCACGCCACCGCTGACCCGCGGCTCCCTCTGCGGCCGCGCCTGCCGGCTTCCTGAGCGTCATCCGCACCGGCTTGGAAGCGAGGTCATGGACGCCAAAGAGGTTGCTCGCCATGGTGTTGGTGCATTTCAGGCAAATGGAGGGCGTCCCGTCGCTTCTGATCACGAACCTGACCTGCCAGCTCAGGCCGTACATATACACCTCTGCGGCATCCTCGTCCCCGGCGGCTGAGCCGTGACACGGCCGTACAAACGACGCGGGGCAGATACCAACTAGAACGGTTGCGGGGTTGTCGTGCGGAGCTAGAGCGGCCTTTAGCCCGTCTAACAGGTCTTGTTGCTGTACACGCCAGGTGTACACCCGACCGTCGGGTGAGGTCAGACACTGCCGCCGGGCGGGAGCAAGCCACTTGCAGCGCCGCGGCGTGAGATCCGGCTGCGACTCGCAGCCTTGCTGCTTCAGCAACTCGTCCGCGTCTATGCCCAAGTCCACTTTTGTCCTGCGTAGCGACATCAGCAGGCTCTTGCGGGCCGCTGGGTCGCTAGTGGTTGCGAGGGCTGTCAGGGCCGTGCGCTGCCGTGGGGTAGCTGCGAACCAGTCGAGGCGGGGCAGCACGTATGATATGCAGTCCTTGCCCAAATGCAGCACGCGGATGAGGCGACAGAGGTTTACTCCGGTTGACACCCCATAGCGGTAGTTTGCGTACGCGTCAAACCAGATCGGCAGCAGCAGCAGCACGCTGGCCTCGCTGTCGGTGCCAAAGTCGTCCGAGGACAGCAGGGCTTCCACCGCTTGCGGCGGCAGGGACATGAACTGGCGCGCCAGGGTGCCCGGCTTGTCGCGGTCGGTGTTGAGGATGGCCAGCGCGTCCCCAAAGTGCCGTACCAGGTGCTTCTGTCCGGCGCTGAGGACGGAGGAGAAGGAGGCGTCCTCGGGGAAGTGGTGCCAGCTGGGGAAGGGGAAGGGGAACGGAGGAAAGGCAGTTCTGTTGGGTTGGGAAGTTGGCGGTTCACAGTGTCGCAGCATGCAAATGTGCCTACTTTGTCATGACGCCACAGTACATTGCATGCACTTGCTGCTGGTACGCCAGTTGATATGCATCAGTAACGTATGCGAAATCGGCTTCCTCAAGGTGGGAAAATGAAATTCCAATGTGTAAATGTGGCAAACTAGCCGGCAAGTCTTGATGGAAAATCCGTGAGTCGAGCCGAACTGGTGACTGAAGTGTTGTCTACTTCAAGGTGGAGGATGACAGTCCCAGAGAACCCAATCTGGATACAAGGCAATGTGGCACGGGGGTCCGGGACGCATGGCGACGGCATGTCAATAGTGCAACAAACGTCCGTACGTGTTAACCACGTGCACAGGCCTAACCCACCATTCGTACAGGTCCAGCACTATGCTCGAGTCCGTGCGGCCCTCCTTCTCCAGCTTGACCACCATGGCTGCGTTACACGCCGCCTCGCAGCGCTCGATCTGCAGGTACGAGCCCATGCGCCGAGTGGCCAGGATCTCCTTGAAGCCCAGCGAGTAGGGCACGAAGCCGCTGTACAGCAGCCGCAGGGCGCGCCGCGCAGCAGGCAGCTCCTGCTCGCTGCCCAGCGGGACCAGCAACTCGGGAAGGCCGGAAAGGGCGCAGCTGGAGGCGTCAGGGGCTGGGCGCTTGCGTGTGAGGGGAGTGCTGGTACCATCGGCGCTTTCAATGTTGCGTTCGCCGTGCCCACTATCGTTTGTGTCGTTGGTGTCAGGCTTGGGGCAGTTAGTTGCTCCGGGAGGCAGCGCCGCAGGTGCAGGCTGTTCCCATCGCTCCATGTAAGCGCGGAAACGCTCTGAACCGCAGCGCAGAACCACCCGGTGGGCCGGTATGGCCTCGCCAATGAAGGTAGGCCCACAGTGGTCGCCACTCTTAGCGTCTGCAACACGTTTCACGTCGCTGTCCTTCGCAGTGACATTGTCTCCATTGAGCGCTTGCCCTGTCTCGCAAAGCCGGCTTATTGGTGTGGCTGGACTGTCCGTAGCATCAGCCTTGTTGCTTTCAACAGCGGCTTTCACAGGAGGGCTGGCAGGAGCCCCAGCGCGCGCCTTCTTAAGATGGGGCTCAACATTGTCAGAAGCTAGCGTGAACCGAATAACGCAGTCTGCATCCAGAGTGCTACCAAAGAGCTTAGAAAGGTAAGGCTGCACAGGTGCACCTAGCATCGTATGACTGCGCTGAAAACTGCCAAAGACAGGATGACACTACAAGCATCAAATGGAACACAACATAATGGCCTTAGACAGGATCTGCGTTTCGGCGCATCGCCCGTATGCTCAGTTCTTCCCGCCTTTTAGGGAAGTACAGGTGTTGTACAGGTTGCATGAAATGCATGGCAAGCTTCACAGCATGCCCGGTCCAGCTGGCTGGGTACTTCCCTTCATGGCTTCGGCCAAGACTACCACGCATTGGTGACGTAGTACAAACCTCTTGCGTCCTACAGTCTGGCTTTAGCTGTACGAGGACATTGTCGTTGGAAGTCCCTTCTGACAACAGAGTCGAGCTGGAACCATTCCGCCCTTCGCCCTTTTACTTTTGCTGAATCACATGGCTTGCTGTGTTTGCTGACGCGAATGGCCCTTTGGCTCTACAGTTGGTCATACCGGTACTCATCTTTCAATGTTATCTGAAGCTAGCATAAAGCTCCAATACATAAGTACTCTGCTGTAAGGGGACGGAAACCTCAGGCCAGACGTTTCGTTAATGCCTGTGATAACGCTGCAGCTTGGGCAATGTGGTAACCAGCTCGGCTGCAGCTTCTTTAGTGCCCTCGCATCAGAACTCTCTGCACACGATTATGGGCAAGATGCTGTCCTCGAGTACTACCGGCCTGGGGCTGACCCCAACATCTATACGTCACGCTCTGTTCTCATCGACATGGAACCCAAGGTAGGGCTACTGCTCACGGAGCCACGCCCCGCCCTTCACATTGCAAGTTACTATTGTGGCAGGCTTAATAGCTTTACCTTTAGGGACGACCTCTCTTTTCATCGGTAGCCACCAGATTGCACGTCGTACCGGTGGAAGGTGTTCCATGCCCGTACCTTCGTAACCTGCCTTGCCGCGGCCCCAGCTGCTTCGCATCCAGCCAGCGGTAGCAACTGGACATGCATAATGGCCTTCTACAGATGCCCCCTTAACAACCCCATATCGTCAACCAGCTCCCAATCTATTGTAATCACGATGCACTTCGCGTCTTGTCCCCTGCTACGGAAGCTGTCGGCAGCTGAACGAACCAATGCGCGCCACCGTCCACGCCCTCCCTGCCCCTCCCGCTCCCCCTCAGGTGGTTGCGGGCGCCCGAGCTGCCGCCGCCGCTTCCGGCAGCTGGTGGCGCTACCCGCCCTCCGGCTACCTGGTTATGCAGAGCGGCTCGGGAAACAACTGGGCGCAGGGGTTCCACGGGTGCGTGGGTGCGGCACCGCGGGGTGGGTGGGTGCGGCCGTAGAACCGGGCGGTCGAGTGGGAGGGATGACGACGGGGGCGGAGACAAGTTAGGCGTGGTGCCCTTACAGGGTCTGGGACTGCAGGCGTTTGGCGTGGTGAACAAGTGCAGGATTTGGTGTGAAAGACGAGGTCGTTGCGAGGACGGCCGGTTGGTGTACGGATGTCTTGTGGATGGCAGCGGGCAGGTTGCCGAGAGCCATGCCATGCGGGCCTGCATGGTTGTGGCATCAGGGAGTGTGACGGGAGGCTTGGGGGCATGATACATGGTGCATGTAGGGCGCACTTCGCGGGCATCATAGGGTGCACATGACGTCATGTGATGTCATGCCTGTTAGTAGCCTGCTGCTGCCGCCCCCACGGTCACGGTTGATTCCACCAGGGATTGTCAGCAACTTGTATCACTATCACACCACACTTTGGAATTTCTTTTTTCCCCCGCACCTGCCGTCTGCCAGGTACGGTCCGCAGGTGCACGAGGCCGCTCTGGAGCTGGTGAGGAAGGAGGTGAGGGAGGGGGTCAAAGACCATACCAAACCATCGTGACCGGGCTCTACCGTGTGCATCATGCCAGGACCTCCAAATAGCCCCATGTGCCGCTGAACCGCCCTCAGCCGCCACCGCACATCAACAGCCTAGCCACCCACTCGGCACTGCCTGCCCCCGCTGTCGCTGCCCCCGCCCTCCACCCTCCGTGATGACGCCTTATGACACGGTCAGTTAGTTGTTCCACCCTCTTTACCCCGAGCCCGCCCTCCGCCCCCCCACCCCGCCCCCCCAGGTTGAGCACGCGGACAGCCTGACCGGCTTCCTGCTGCTGCAGAGCATGGCGGGCGGCACGGGCGCGGGGCTGGGCACCTACGTGGCGGAGGCACTCAGAGACGACTACCACTCGGCCTTCGTCACCAACTGCTGCGTGTGGTGAGAGCAGAGGGGTGCCTGACGTGTGTTGGGGGGTGGGGCAGGTGTGTTTCGAAGGGGCTTGGAGACACGGGTCGTTTCTCCCTCCCGCACAGCCGCACGTTACAACGGCAGCAGCAAAGTGTCGCGTCACCGTAACCCCCTCCCTGGTTCCCTCTCGCCCCTCCCTCACCCCTCAACCCCTTTCACCCCAGGCCGTACGAGAGCGGCGAGGTGATCGTACAGCCGTACAACACGCTGTTCACGCTGAGTCACCTGGCTGACGTGTCGGATGGCATCATGCTGCTGGAGAACGAGGCGCTGCACAGGACGTGTGCGCGGCTCATGGGGATCGCGCGGCCCTCCTTTGCGGTGGGACGGGCCGCGGTGGGGAGTGGGGAATGGGGGTTAGCGGACAGAGCCGCGAGCTCACTGGGGGAGGGCGCTGATGAATGTGGTGTGATGGGCTTGCGGTTAAGAAGACTGGCTGCGAGTCGGAACACACTGTGATGGGGGTTTTTGCGCACGCAGATCTGGTATTGGCCTCCCTTGTGCTCCGCGCGGGGGGGTGGATCATACATACCGTATTGCGGTTGCAGAGCCAACAGCCCGCGTCCATGCCGCACCCGCAGGACATGAACGGCATCGCAGCACGTGCTCTGGCGTCAGTGCTGCTGCCGTCGCAGCCCCGAGGTCCGTACGGCAGTGGCAGCAGCAGCGGCGGCGGCAGCGCTGCGGGGTCCAAGACGTTGGGCGGCCCCGGCTCCCACCCGCGGGGTTCTCCGGGGGCGGGGCCGGCGGGTGCAGCCGCACAGCTGCCGGCGCTGCGGCGGACGGGCAGCAGCAGCAGCGGCGGCGCTCGGGGTGCATCAGGGGAGGGCAGCTACCCAGGGTGAGGCTGACGGGGGGTAGCGAGGGGGTCAGGGCATGCAGCGACATCAAACAGGGTGCGCGCACACCGCTGGATAGGGCTAGGAAACCGGACCTGGGTGAAAAGAGAGTCACTCTTACACAGACCCGCAGCCGCGCCATCCACCGCCTGCCCTGCCCACCCCGCTGCCGCCTCTCCCCACACCCGCCACCGTGCTCATACACCCCACAGTAGCCCCCAAGCCCCACTCACTCCAACCAGCAGTGGTGCCCTGGGTGGCGGCCCCTGCGGCCCCTCCTCCCGTTGCCCCGGCCCCGTCCGCACCTCCCCCCTGGCCGACCTGGTGTCTCACCTGTGCTGCCACCCCGCATACCGCATGCTGACACTGCGGGCGGTGCCGCAGCTGCCGCCGTCCAGCATCGACTTCACCACCTTCACTTGGCCTGCCATCCTGAAGCGGCTCAGGCAGATGCTGGTGACGGGTGGGACGAGCCGCAGGGGGGGTGCCGGGGGATTGGGGTAGCTGCTTGGAAGGCATGGGTGTAACTCCCCTAGTGCGAATCAGATGGTGCCAGTAAAGCCCAAGTGGGTTTGGCGCCTGCCTTCATCATGGAGTTAATCGCAACTGCCTGTCGCAAAGCGCCTGGGGGAGTATAAGCATGCATGCGCCAGGAGCTACCTCTCCGCCCCTTCGCCCTTGACACCCACCAGCTCTACCACCTGCACACGCGTGTTCCCCCTGCACCCTGCAACGCTACCCTTTCCTAACTCCGGCACCCGGCACCGGGCACCTCTCATACGACCGCAGGCAGCATCCTGGAGGAGGGCATGGACTGGAGCGTCACGCCGCACAGCCCAGGCGCAGGGGCGCCGCAGGGCCCGGGTACCGCCGCGGCTGCGGGAGGCGGCAGCGCCAGCAGCGGCGCCTGCCGGGTGAACCGCGCGGTGGCCAACTGGCTTGTGCTGAGAGGCCAGGGAGCGGGTGAGCGGGGGGGGGGAGAGGAAGGGGCAGGCCTGCGGGCGCTGCGAGGGGCAAGTCAAGGGAAGGTCGAAAGGTCACCCGCCCTCCGTTCTCTCTCCCATCCTGTGCTTTTCCTCTTACCCGCTCACCCGCAGCTGAAGTGGACGTGTGTGAGTTCGCGGAGCCCGCACTGACGGCGGGCTGGGCGGTGGACCCGCTGGCTGTGTCGTACAGCGGCGCCAAGTTCGGGCGCTGCCTCATGTCGGCATCGCTGGTCAGCAACGACCGGGTGGGTGGCGGGGGTGGGGACTGGAGGCTGGGGGCTGGAGGGCCGGGTTCTAGACTCTGGAACATTAGTGCATTGGAGCGAAACGCCGGCTAGGGTCTTGGGGGAGGGTTTGCGGCCTAGGGTTACAGCGTGGGCCCAGGAGGCGGGTCAACAGGAGGCCGAACGGGTGCTGCGAGCAGGGAACATCATGTTGGATGCCTGGTGCGCGCAAACACCAATCGCGACCAGTTTTCTTAACATACCTATACCCCGCCGGTGCCCTTTCGGCCCTCCGCGCCCCCCTCCCTCTCTGCCTCCGCAGCGCTGCGTGGGGCCCATCCAGCGCATGCAGGAGCACGCGTACGGCATGCTGGCGTCACGTGCGTTCGTACACCAGTATGAAAAGTACGGCATGAGCGTCTCTGACTTCCAGTCGTGCTTTGCTCGCATAGAGGACATCGCCCACCGCTACGCCATGCTGTAGGGCTGGCACGTGGGTTGGACGTACGGCATGGGGGTACTGCGGGGCCTTGGGGCGAGTTGTTGTTGGCGACACTGACTGTAAAGTGCTGCTTGCAGTGTGCATCAAGGCTGGTGCTGTGTGGTTCTGGTACCGGTAGCGCCTATCCTGTGTAAAGGTTATTACCATGGGCCGGGGGATGAAACGTTATGGTGGATCCCTGGGCGGGGTTGTGGGCTTATGCGGCCCGCAGCCAGTACCCCTCCCTGCCCGAGGGAACATGCAAGGCAGCTGCTGCTGCGGGCTTCGCCTCTGCAGGATTAACGGCTGTACCCGGGACAGATCACGAGGCAAGAGTTTACAAGCTTGCACTGCCTTGAAGCTATAAGTTAGCCGACAACGGCTTTTGCCTCCATGTAACCAAGCCTGCAGGTCCGGTACCAGTCAGCTTAGCGGGCACGGATGTGACCGCACCCAATGTCGGCTGCAACGCAACCATACGTAAGCCTCAGTCGGGGGCAGGGGCGCCACGCCAGCAGCACCGCCACCCCAACACCCAACACACCCCGGCTAGGTGACTCGGGGTAAAAGACCTCGTCCAGGCCGCTAGAGGGCTTGGACGCAGGGGGAGCACCTTCAAAATGCCGGAACCACGACCCACAACACCAGCGAGGGAAACAACAAACCCCAAACTGGTGTCAGGCCTTAAACAACCCCCAATTAACTGCTTGACAACATGCGGGTTTGGACCGCTGTAATCACACACACACGCACACACACCCAGCGAGCACCCTTACTGCATAGTTAAGCTCCCGGTTGCCCTTCAACCCGGGCTTCAGGCACCCCATGCAACACAACCAGGAACCGGGCGCTGATCGCTCAGTTCTTGGGCTTCGGGCGCTCCTTAACCTCCACACCGTTGGATCCGGCAATGATGCACACGTCCACCATATCCAGGAACAGACCGTGCTCTACAACGCCTTCAAGCGCGAGGATGGCCTTGGATGCGGCCTGCGCGTCCACCATGGGCGTCTGGAAGTAAAGGTCCACGATGTAGTTGCTGTTGTCCGTCACATAGGGCTTGTCGCCGTTCATGCGCAGCTTCGCCTCGCATCCCTTAACCTCTGGTAGGTTCTGCAGGCGTTGAAGGGTGTACTTGTGGCAGAACTGCACAATCTCAACAGGCATGGCCAACTTGCTGCCGCCAAGACCATCCACAAGCTTCGAGTCATCCACGATGCAGACGAACTTTGCTGAAGCCATCTCAACCATCTTCTCGCGCAGCAGGGCGCCACCGCGGCCCTTTACCACGTCGAGGTTAGGGTCCACCTCGTCGGCGCCATCAATCGCCACGTCCAGCTTTGGCTGCTCATCGAGCGTTGCAAGCGGAATGCCAAGCGATAGCGCCTGCTCATAAGTGCGCACTGAAGTCGGCACACCGATGATGTTCGTGAGCTTGCCCTCCTTCAGCAGCTCGCCAATGCGGTCCACGGCGAACGCGGCGGTAGAGCCAGTGCCTAGACCAACAACCATGCCACTCTTCACATAATCAACAGCCTTCCAAGCTGCCTGCTTCTTAAGCTCATCCTGGCTAAGCTGCGTGGTGACTGCAGCCATGGCGCGCACGTTGCGTTTGGTAGGGCGAGTGGCAGCAAAGCGAGGTGCAGAAGTGCTAGCGCGGAGCATCATGGTGGCAATCTTTTGGCTAGCTAGGGTCGGACAACAGCGCGCTGACGTTGGCGTTATGGAGCTAGTACATCTCATCGCAGGTTTCAGTTGAACCCAATCCGCTGCGATCAACGAAAGGTCACATAGTAGGATTTGTTCGGTTACACGTCCCTTAGTAAATGCGCCGTAATTTAGACCCAAACATAGGTGATAAAGGCCTTCGAGGTCGCGACATACGCATTCCAACTGTTGCTGAAAGTCCAAGGACAGTTACCTCTGCAAACCAGCCTATTGATGTCTCTTGGATTCCACCATGTGAAGGCGCCTCAGGTTCGTTGAGCCAAAGCCTGTCCACGCGCGGTTCCTCATTTGCCCAGGCTGACCACATCCACAATGGGTCAAGCCCAACGGCACCACCCCCTATCAGCCCCAGCGAAATCTCCTGGCGGCACAAACTTAGGATCTGCCTGTCCTTGCAGGCGGACGACTAGGCCTAACTTACTGCCCGGGCAAGCACATCACAGCCAGGAATGGAGTGCAGTACGCTAGGGACCTGCGTGCCGACTTGTCACGGCTAAAGCAGGAACATGGCGTTCACGTCATAGTATGTCTGCTGCCGGATGCCGAGCTTCGGGTGGGTAACTGCTAACGGGGCCAACTGTTACACTGACCCACTGGGTCATCACTACGTCTCCTCCCCTCCAGCGTTAGCGCGTCCTATGTTCCTATCGTCAGGGTGCTTTCGCCAGGGGTTGCCACTATCTTGGGGATTAAGCCGGAAACAGCCGGGAGACAAGCCCCGTACCCAGTACCGGTAATCCTTGCACGCTCCCCAGCTTCCCACACAGTAAGGCATGAAGGCATGTGCCTAGCCTGTTCTGGCTCTGCACTCATACGGCACATGGAATGGTTGCAGCACGGGTATCAACAGTGGTACGGCTTGATCTCCAACTTTCAACCCCGCCCCCGCTCCTCTCCTGCCCCTCCCGCTCCTCTCCTGCCCCTCCCGCTCCTCTCCTGCCCCTCCCGGTCCCGCAGTACCTCCGCGTGCGGGACTACGCAGCGGCGGTGGCCGCCCACCACATGACCTACATGCAGCTGCCCATCATAGGTGCGGAGGGGCCGCGTGGGCAGCAGTGCCGCCCTCCTTACCCCCTTACCCACTGGCGCTTGCCATAGGGTGTGATGCAGCGACAGTCACAGTTACAGTGAACGCGTGTACAGTGTGCCCGTACTGTGGCCAGCGGGCCAAGGACATGACTCATGACAACTCAGGGAGTGCCTCATGCAGCAGGGTGCTGCGAACGAACGCATCTGTGTTTGTGATGGGGGAAGGGCGCCGAAGGGCGCCGTAGGTCCCTTAGGCAGCCTCCCTGTCCCTTTCGCCCCTGCTTCATGCCGCCTTCTGCGCCCCCGCCCCAGAGATGGCCCCGCCGGATGACATGCAGCGCGCCTGCGCCCTTGTGGAGGGGGTGGTGGAGCAGCTGCAAGCGGGGCGCACAGTCGTGGTGCACTGCAAGTGGGTCGCATCTTTTGAAGCTGCTGGGTGCGGGCGGGCTGCTGGGGTGCTTAGCAGGCGCGAACTGGACATTTATTCGGAGTCTGCAACCCCGGCTGCAATGCACGTTTTCTGCACCGCATGCGCTTGTACGCTCTTGCGTACTGCGGCTGTGCTCTCGGAAACGGCGGCTGTGCTCACGGAAACGGAATCTGCTGCATACTGTATGACGAAGTCTGTACGTTGCGGCTGCCGCCATCAGCATGTCTGCTGCCCGCATGTGGTTGCTGCAGGGGCGGAGTGGGTCGCGCGGGGCTGCTAGCGGCATGCGTGCTCATCCGACTGGGCGTGTGTGGCAGTGCACAGGAGGCCATTGACACGGTGCGTCGCAGCTCGCAGGGCAGCAGGGTGCTGTCAGGGCCAAACGCTGTCACTGTCACTGATCACATTTTCGCGACTGCCGCATGGAATGGTTCCAGCTTGTTGCCCGCCGGTTGCAAGGTCAAAAGCACATGGCATGGCTGTCGTACGCTGTACCGCCCTTCTTATGCGGCTGCAGGTACGGAGGTACCGGCGCGGTGCAGTGGAGAGCCGCAAGCAGGAGGACTTCGTGGGGGCCTTCTGGCGGCTGCGAGCAGGCCGGGACAAGGACGTCAAGGAGGCGTGATTCCTGCAGTGCATCCCCTGCGTCAACGTGGCGGCCAGACAGAAGGGGCATGCTTTGCAAGGCCGGATCGCCTGTGAATTCCGCATGTTGGCCTTGCGTACATTTGGTTGTTGCGGGGTCGTGTCCTCCTGAATGTGGTGAGCAAGGACCGCACCTGCGTGGGCATCCGGAAGCATTGGTGGTGGTGTTGGGGTATCCTCCGACAGCACACGTGGCTGGAAGCTTGTAACCTGTATAACGAAACATTGATTACTGGCATGGCAGCTGGGCGTGCAGTATGGTATTCAGGTTCCATTTGGGTTTCACATGGTGACAGCTGGGTGTGGAGCCAACCGTTACAAGGAAAGTAATGGAAAGGAGCGTATTTTGTAGCGGATGGTGAGCTTTGTCGTAGTTGGGGAGTGGTTGGGGTCGTGGGCTGCCACCGAGCAATCCTGGAGCCAAGCCCATAGGCCCTAGCCACCCAGCGGCGCTCAAGAATTTAATAGAATGGAATGAGCCTGTGGATTGGCAATTAGCACGGCAGAAAAGGCCTGTGTCCTCACGACCGTTGGCGCATGTCGTGCTTCTGCCTGATTTACAGGGTGTTTCCACTTGGCAGCGCGTTTGAACTTTCTCGGCCGTCTTCGCGTCTTTCCTCCCGCCGTAAGCTCTATTAATCTTAAAATCATTAACAAATAACTATTGTAAAAAAGGGAAGTACAAAAAGGCCAGGAATCGGAGGCTCGGTAGGCCCAAGTGGAAACGGGAGGCCCGGTAAGCGCACGCTAACCTTTCGCTAGTTATCCCCTGCCCTTGACCGACCCCTAACCTTAACAATTCCGGTAACCAAAAGGCGGGAACCTCCAGCATCCTCTTTTTCGCTTTTTTCCTTGTCCTAGGGCACTACTGTTACCTCCTCAGTGCTAGACACAAGCCGTTCGTTGACCGGACGTCTCAACCAGACATGTCTGCACCCAGTTCTGAGGTTTTGCACAGCTCTTTTACCGTTGCTATTGACATTGATTAGCTTTTCAGAATACGGGCCGAACAGTGTCGCATTGGTGCTCAAATCGCACAGTAGCACCTTCACGTTGTCAATGGCCTTCTACTGGAAGTCGCCATGAACTTACCACAGACTGCTACTAGCAATTTCACAGATGGCAATGCATCAATATTAAAAGCAAGTAGTTGTTCAGGGCAACTTTTGTGGTCAAAAGTGGTCTCGGCGCCGGCTTAATGGAAACGGGCGTACGCTAAGGGCTTGTTAACGGCTTGTTAGGAATTAGCAAGACAAGTTACCGGGCCGCCAAGTGGAAACACCCTGTTATCGTACAGCTTCTACGCAAAAGAGACATGCTGAGCTTAAGAAGATATAAGGCAGAACAGTTACGACGTAGCGGGCCACGAAGATACCTAAAAATTTCACCTCGTTGCATGCGCTCTGCCAACCCTGGAGAATAAGCTTCTGCCCAATATCATAAAGGCAAAATCCAACTATTAATATAATAGTTTGCACAATTAAGCGTGCGTCACCGCCTGAGCATGGATGTATAGCCGGGAGGTTGGAGGACGACGACGCACTTAGCACAATGTCGGGAGATCAAGACATCTTACCAACGCCACCCAAAGCTGTAGCCGATGATATCCAGCTGGACCCCGGGGGCTTGTCGGGTGCGAGGCCTGCGGGCGACGATGAGCAGGGTGACGCTGGCGACGCGGACTTGGACCATGGCGGCATGGACGTCGTGCTCGACTGTCGTGTAGCGGGTGGTCTGTTAGCTGGTCGACGACCTGCGGGTTATCTACAGGTCAGCGCGAGCGACCCGCGACAGTACCGTGTATAGTTGCCCTTCACAATCTCCATGGCACGTCACATTCTGCATAGCACACAACTCACCCGCACAACGCGGAATCCATATCTCACCATTCCTCCCTCTCCTCGCCTCCTTCGGTTCAGGACACCGGAAAGGCGCCACAACCGCCGGCTAAGGAGCCTGGCACATCTACGCTAGCCTCCTGCATGCAGTCACCCGGGCTGAAGCCCGGCAAGACGGTTATCAACCTCCACAACAACCGACTAGCACAGTTCCTGGGCTACGACCTCTTCAAACGCACCCATGCCATCATCCGGTACCCCAACAGTCGCTACATGGACCAAACCGTCAAAATAGCCAACATCCAGGTCTGCCCCATTGCGGGTAAGTACGACCAGCGGCGCGCACTGCTGTCAGGCAAGGATGCCGGCAGCCAAGCAGTGCTGGTGCTGGGCGGCAGGCACGTGGGAGCGGTGGGCATCGTTCCAGCTGGCTTCATGGGCGGTATAAAGCCCGAGGTGAAGTTGGTGGACAGGGAGACCGGCGAATTCAAGGAAACCGTCCGAGTGGAGGCCGCCAAACTCCACGCTGTGGCAACATCCGAGCTAGGAGCGCGTGCTTTCTCGCAGCAGCAGGCAGATGCCATCCGCCCGCATGCACTCTCGGACGCCTCCAGTGTCCCCCGGCCTGCCCAGTGGTCAATCGCGGATGTGGCGGCCAGCAGCGGGGCAGTTGGGGGAGTACGGCAGGCCGTACAGCAGGGGTCGACCGGGCAGCGTGTGTACCGCGTGCCCCGGCGGGAGCTGGAGAGCTTCATACTGTGGGTCCAGCTGGAGGGGCGTGTTGACTATGTGGTGGAGCGGGTGACTGTGCACCGGGCCCCGGTGCAGGTGTTGCAGTTCATGGCAAGCGGTGAACCCTACCCGCCGCCGCGACCCATGCAGCGAAAGCTGGCATCATGCAAGCTGCTTTGCAATCGCACAGCTAGCTGCGGCAGCGGCAAGCGGAAGACCCTGCGCGTGGGATGCCCCCACCAGCTGCTGCTGTCGGTGCACGTGGACGACCCTGACACGGTGGTGGTGACGGAGGAGGCGCCGCACGCGTATCATGACCCCGAGGACCAGCAGCACCTGCGGCTGGTGCCCGAGGTGGTGGAGGCGATTGAGGACTTTTACATCAGGTGGGCATAGGGGGGGTTGCATCAGGGGTGCGTCAGGGGTGCATCGGGGGTGCATGGGGGCATAAGGGCATTAAGGTTGGGTAGCACTTGTTGTAAGACGGGTTCACTTGACTGCATGCATGTACCCATATCCTTCCTTGTGTTGCTGATGGCAGTGCTGTGCCGTGAATAACCATGCGGCTCCGTTGTGTTCCGTTGACAGACAAAACCATCCGCCGTCCAAGGTGCTGCAGCTGGTGGCGGACAACCTGCCAGCCTACGCACAGCCGTACGTGAGCGCAGGTTGCATCACGATGGAGGAGGCCAAGCTGTCAAGGCGCTTCAACCCAACTGCTGGGGACGTCTTTGCCATCCAGAGACGCCACGAGCGGGCGCTGAACAAGCAGAAGGAGGGGCCCGTGCACGGCGGAGATGGCGATGGCGGCAGCAGCAGCGGAGGCGGCGGCAGCAGCAGCGGAGGCGGCGATGGCCTGCCAACAGCCGCACCTGCTCCTCCTGCCCTTCGGGACTGTACAAAGGGGCTGGGACTTTTGTGCGGCGGCGGCCTGCGCACAGGCACGGCTGTTCCTACCCCGACCCAGCAGGGGGGTTCGCAGGGGCAGGGGGCCTTGGGTGGAAGCGGCGGCGGTGTCATCAGCAGCGTAAGCGGCGGTGTCCTGCCATTAGCCGCCGCTGTCCTTTCTATTGTCCTTCAGAAGCGATCGCAGGGGCAGGGGGCCATGGGCTTCCCTGCAGTTGATGGTGGCGGAAGCAGCAGCAGTGTGGGCGGCAGCGGCGGCAGTGTGAGCGGCGGCAGCCTGCCAGCAGCTGCCGCTGTTCCTGCTCCTACACACCAGGGGCGTTCCCATGGGCAGGGGCCATTGGATGGAGGCGGCGGGGGTGGTGGCGAGGGTGGCAACAGCAGCGGAAGGGGTGGCCTCCACCCGTTAGCCGCCGCTGCTATTTCTTTTGTTCTTCAGAAGCGTTCACAGGTGCAGGGGTTGCTGGGCGGAGGCGTGGGGGGCAGCAGCACTGCAGGCGGCGGCGGCCTGCCAACAGCCGCCGATGTTCCTCCTTCTGCCCTTCAGGAGCGGTCACAAGGACAGGGGTCCATGGGCCCTGCTATAGGTGACGGCGGCGGCGGCAGCCCTGTAGGCGGCGGCGGCCTGCCAACAGCCGCCGATGTTCCTCCTTCTGCCCTTCAGGAGCGGTCACAGGGACAGGGGTCCATGGGCCCTGCTATAGGTGACGGCGGCGGCGGCAGCCCTGTAGGCGGCGGCGGCCTGCCAGCAGCCGCCGCCGTTCCTCCTCCTGCCCTTCAGGGGCGGTTGCAGGGACAGGGGTCCATGGACCCTGCTAGAGGTGGCAGCGACGGCGGGAGTAGCACTGCAGGCGCCGGCGGCCTGCCAACAGCCGCCGCTGTTCCTCATCCTGCCCTTCAGGAGCGGTCACAGGAACAGGGATTAGGCCCTGCTATAGGTGGCGGCGCCAGCAGCAGCACTTTAGGCGGCGTCCTCCAGCCAGCAGCCGCCGCCATTCGTCATCCTGCCCATCAGGGGTGGCTGCAGGGGCTGGGGCTCGTGGGCTTTGGTGCAGGTTTTGGAGGCCGCAACACCGTAGGCGGCGGCGGCCTGCCAATAGCCGCCGCTGTTCCTCCTTCTGCCCTTCAGGGGCGGTCGCAAGGGCAGGGTTCCATGGGCCCTAGTGCAGGTGGCGGCGGCAGCAGCAGCACTATAGGCGGCGGCCTCCTGCCCACAGCCGCCGCTGTTCCTCCTCCTGCCCATCAGGGGTGGCTGCAGGGGCTGGAACTCGTGGGCCCTGCTATAGGTGGCGGCGCCAGCAGCAGCACTATAGGCGGCGGCCTCCTGCCAACAGCCGCGGCCGTTCCTCCTCCTGCCCTTCAGGGGCGGTCGCAGGGGCTGGGGCTCGTGGGCTTTGGTGCAGCTTGTGGAGGCAGCAATACCGTAGGCGGCGGCGGCCTGCCAACAGCCGCCGCTGTTCCTCCTTCTGCCCTTCAGGGGCGGTTACAGGGACAGGGGTCCATGGGCCCTGCTATAGGTGGCGGCGGCGGCGGCAGCAGCACTGCAGGCGGCGGCGGCAGCAGCACTGCAGGCGGCGGCGGCGGCCTGCCAACAGCCGCCGCTGTTCCTCCTCCTGCCCTTCAGGAGCGGTCACAGGGACAGGGGTCCATGGGCCCTGCTATAGGTGGCGGCGGCAGCAGCAGCACTTTAGGCGGCATCCTCCAGCCAGCAGCCGCCGCCGTTCCTCATCCTGGCCATCAGGGGTGGCTGCAGGGGCTGGGGCTCGTGGGCTTTGGTGCCGGTTTTGGGGGCAGCAACACCGTAGGCGGCGGCGGCCTGCCAACAGCCGCCGCTGTTCCTCCTTCTGCCCTTCAGGGGCGGTCGCAAGGGCAGGGGTCCATGGGCCCTGCTATAGGTGGCGGCGGCGGCGGCAGCAGCACTGCAGGCGGCGGCGGCCTGCCAACAGCCGCCGCTGTTCCTCCTCCTGCCCTTCAGGAGCGGTCACAGGGACAGGGGTCCATGGGCCCTGCTATAGGTGGCGGCGGCGGCGGCAGTAGCACAGCAGGCGGCGGCGGCCTGCCAACAGCCGCTGCTGTTCCTCCTTCTGCCCTTCAGGGGCGGTCGCAGGGACAGGGGTCCATAGGCCGTAGTGCAGGTGGCGGCGGCAGCAGCACTGCAGGCGGCGGCGGCCTGCCAACAGCCGCCGCTGTTCCTTCTTCTGCCCTTCAGGGGCGGTCGCAAGGGCAGGGGTCCACGGGCCCTGCTATAGGTGGCGGCGGCGGCGGCAGTAGCACGGCAGGCGGCGGCGGCCTGCCAACAGCCGCTGCTATTCCTCCTCCAGCCCCTCAGGGGCGGTCGCAGGGACAGGGGTCCATAGGCCCTAGTGCAGGTGGCGGCGGCAGCAGCACTGCAGGCGGCGGCGGCGGCCTGCCAACAGCCGCCGCTGTTCCTCCTTCTGCCCTTCAGGGGCGGTCGCAGGGACAGGGTTCCATGGGCCCTGCTATAGGTGGCGGCGGCGGCGGCAGTAGCACAGCAGGCGGCGGCGGCCTGCCAACAGCCGCTGCTGTTCCTCCTTCTGCCCTTCAGGGGCGGTCGCAGGGACAGGGGTCCATAGGCCCTAGTGCAGGTGGCGGCGGCAGCAGCAGGGCAGGCGGCGGCGGCCTGCCAACAGCCGCAGCTTTTCCTCCTTCTGCCCTTCAGGGGCGGTCGCAGGGACAGGGGTCCATGGGCCCTGCTATAGGTGGCGGCGGCGGCGGCAGTAGCACGGCAGGCGGCGGCCTGCCAACAGCCGCAGCTGTTCCTCCTTCTGCCCTTCAGGGGCGGTCGCAGGGACAGGGGTCCATGGGCCCTGCTATAGGTGGCGGCGGCGGCGGCAGTAGCACGGCAGGCGGCGGCGGCCTGCCAACAGCCGCTGCTGTTCCTCCTTCTGCCCTTCAGGGGCGGTCGCAGGGACAGGGGTCCATAGGCCCTAGTGCAGGTGGCGGCGGCAGCAGCACTGCAGGCAGCGGCGGCCTGCCAACAGCCGCCGCTGTTCCTCCAGCCCTTCAGGGGCGGTCACAGGGACAGGGGTCCATGGGCCCTGCTATAGGTGGCGGCGGTGGCGGCATGCCAACAGCCGCCGCCGTTCCGCATCCTGCCCATCGAGGCCGGTCGCAAGGGCAGGGGCCGTTGGGTGGAGGCGTACGTCACTTTCGTGGCCACACCACCATGCGTGCTGGAGGCGAGGTGCTAGCACGGGCTCCCTACGTCCGGCTGGCGCAGGAGGTAATGCAGCTGGCAGAGAAGCGTGGCACCAGCCTCTCGCTGGAGGCTCAACTGGTTGTGGAGCAGCATCTGCGCAGCTGTCGTGAGCTGCTGTTGCAAGGCGAGCCCGTCCCGGCCACAGATGGTGCCTCCAGCGACACCTCTGCCAGACAGCTCCAGCAAGGTCGGTGCGGGATGACGCCAGAAACGCGACCGCCTGGTAGTGAACCATGCCAGCGGTCACCAACCGACAACCCCACGAGGCATCAAAACCAGCGAGACAGCCGCAAGCGTTCCTCCAAGGACAGCGATGGCAGCACCAGCGACAGGTACGAGGAGGCCGGTCCGTCACGTGATGGCAAGCGGCAAGCAACAGGTCCACTGCTAGGTGCAGCAGCTGAATAGCCGAAGGCGTGTACGAAGCGGGGGCTGTGGACCGCAGGTGGTGCATGAGGTTGTGTATAACAACTGAGCGTACAAAAGGATGTGTATAACAACTGAGCGTGCTTAAGGATGTACGTAGCTGACAAGGGGGTAACAACGAATTGCGCTTTGTTGTATCGGTAGTTGGCAGTAGTCTGAAGGGGCGGTGCATCATCTAGGGTTCAGTACAGCAATTCAAACCAAGACTGCTGGCCCTTTCCAGCACAATCTTGCCTATGGCTAAGCATACCATGCTGTAGAAATTGTCTGTTATGTTCTACCCTTCTTCCACCCTGTATTAGCTGTCCACTATACAACCCTATCGCGACGCGCGCTTTCTCAAGCACAAGGCTTCCAGCTACCTGAATATAGCTTGGATTAGTTGTTGAACACAAGTTGAAGCCTAGCAAATCACAACGTGCTTCTAGCTCAGGGCTAGCGGAGTGCTTGCTGCCGCAAGCAGAAACATAAGACCTACAAACGTAGAGAGGCTGTAAACGTCCAGCGGGTGAACTGGAGACGATACGCATTCTAACTCTACGCGCAGGGAGAGTTTTTGCCTTGGACATGCGTGGCTCCAGCATTTAGCATGCGGGCGGACCTGGAAGACCGGCTTGCCGCCCTTGAGCATGAGGTTCGGCGCCTTCGCAACAGCAGCAAAGCGTTTAAAGCGGAGCTCAGCGTTCTGCGGAGTAGCGGCAGCGAGGAGTTAGCTAGGACTTTGCGGCGCAGCCTCATAAATGAAGCACGTACGTTCCTGGAAGCCGAGGCTGGGCCGCGCTTGCAGGGCGTAGAGAAGGAAGAGCCTTGGGATGACTACGTCGATCGAATTTACAACGCACTCGGCGTCGAGTGGTTTGCACAGAAGGCGTTTCCCATCTCGTGCTTTGTGCTTTTGTCAACGTCGACAAACCAGAACGCCTCATCTCAACCAGACACGGACGCCACTCACCACCTGCGAACACAAAACCCTGGTGTCTTCCGCGCCACGTACCTCTTGGGCCTGAGCGACGAGGAGCGGGGCGTGTGGGAGAAATTGTACAACTTCCTGTCACGCGTGTCCACCTGACACGCACCACTGTAGCACCGACATGTGGATCTTGCAAGCATTCTCCTCAACGAGGTACGTTTGTGACACGTACGACATGTACCAGTGCACGAAAGGATTGTACGGTGGGCTATGTTCCTGCTACCTTGCGTTGCCGCCTGCCGCTGCTCATGCTTACTGCATCCGCAGCATAGATGGCTCTCCTCCTGAACCGGCTGGCATTCGCTCCCTCAAGTCCGCGTCTGTTTTCCCTCCCGTTGCAACGCTGCCCCAGGGCGGCCACGGCCATAACCGTCGTCAGCAGCATTTGTAGCACGGCTGGACCGCTGCCGCATTGGTGCGCCCACTGCCCTCCACTGCTGGGTTGACCGATCGCATGACTTGCGGTGAAGTAGTGCATGCAGCGCGAACCGCAACAGCTCTTCCCTTGCGCACCTTGCAAGGACTCCTGTCCATGTGATTTAAAAATATACAAAGGTGAAGTGAATTCACTTGTACCACTTGACATGTGTGTTGGCGAACGAACTATTGCTGTGGGTTGCTACCCAGCAGACAATAGCTACACGAGTCCAGCTGCTTAGGGTGTTTCCTGTCCGCATGTCTGTGGTGTCTAGAGTACATCGGGCGCTGCGATTGGGGGATCCTTGGTGCGGGTGCTGTGGCTCATAGCAGCGGACTTGAGCATATGGTAAACGCCATGGTCAACTGGGCAGGTCGCGTCTGCCGAACGCATGGGCAGTTGTCCAGGACTCGAGGGTTCCCTTTCAGTGGTGTTGGAGTGCAATAGGGGGGCTACGGCGGGGGGATGTACAACAGTAGTCCACACGTGTTCGGTGTCCGGCAACCAGGTGACTGCTGGCATCTGCCGGGGATTCGATGTGAAGAGGCGGAATCACTTCCCTATTATGACTGCCATCCCGGCTGTTATCTCCTTTCTTGCTGATCTCCCCGTAGGGGCTTTGGCTATGAGATTTCTGTCCTCTTGTTTCCTGTTGATGGTTGTGTTGAGGCTTGGGGTATCGTTTGCACTTGCAAATGAAAGCGCGTGCGACCGGGGGTGCAGCCAAAGCGTGCCGCTGTCTTACGTGCCTAGTACCGGTAAGCGACTTTGGTGAAGCGGGTTTGCGTATAGCGCGTCGTGTTGCTATTTGCTCCAAGGGCCCAATGCTCACAGCCGAGCTGGCTATACGGGTAACGCGCAGGATTGTGAGACCGTGCAACCACTGCCACGTCACTGGATAGCCAAGGCGCCCCTCACAACGAGACGCAACGGCTGCAGAAGCTGATACTAGAATGATCCCCATGGTATCCACTGTGACAAGTGAGGTGTTCGGTTGCCCTCTTAGGTTTGTCGGGTATACCGGTAGCCGACGGATGTGGGGTTCTTCCCGGCCGAGCCAGGCAACAGCCCCAGTGAAGGTCTTGACTGATCCACAGTTCCACAGATAGTTATTAAACACAGGGCAACGCTCCCTGCGTTTTAACAATATCCTTGCAAGCAGTTGTAGGATGTGCACCCAGATGTTGCGGGGTCAGCTGAAGATGCGGCAAACAAAGCATGTTTCAGTGCGTGTAGTACCCAGCCTGTGGGCTAGCCTTTGGGGTAAGGAGCATGTAGGCAACGACGGAATCGGGTAGACAGGATATGTACGGGCGAGGAGTGGTGAACGCCTTTAGCCTTCTTACTATCCATTTACCTTTATTTTTGTATCCTTACGCTTTTGGGTTACTCTGTTCTACCTCCAGCAGAACTGAGACACGTTGGCAATAGGAGACTTCGTGCAGGATGTCGCTGTCGAACGACACAAGACGGCTTATTAGGCAAATTATTAGACAAGTCCACCCTGACTTATTTGCTGCAAATCCCTATGAACGGCAATGTAACTCGGACTCCTTACAGGTGCGGTTTGAATGACCAAGCAGGGTCACAGCTAATCATCGCCTACGCAGAGCAAGGCCTACAGTATTAGCGGTGGCTGTGTAGGTGTTAAACGCCTACGTCGATGACCTTGCCAAGGGGCTGACGCCACCTCCAGCTCGTCTGGAGTTTTATGTACGCGAGGCTGGCGCGTTGATGAAGAGGGAGGCCGAGCTTTCTGCTACTGGAAGCCTAGCCCCTCTATTCTACGCGTTCGGGCTCATTTCGGCGGAGGAGCTGCAAGCTGCCGACCCGTACGCAACGGTTCAGGACACCAACTTCCTCTCATGGCTCCAGGAGACGGTGCACGAAGCTGTGCGCACCGCGGAGCAGCATGAGGTGCTGAAATGGCGCATCAGGAAGTACCGCGACACGCTGCAGGAAAAGTTCTCGCTGGCAGCTGTGCAGGTCGGTTGCCAACCCCATGTGGCATAGGTCCAAGCAGCTGATGGGTCCCTTTGTGCATGATTCCATAAAAGCGCAGCACAGGGAACCCCTCTCTTACACCCCCTGCCAGCGTACTAGTTTGCTCCCTTCACCTGCCTCCCTTTCCATGACATATCCGCCCACCACGGTCCACCTGCGCCCCACCTTGCATGCCTCGCCTGCTGCTGCAGGTGGGTGCCGAGTACGCTGTCAGCATCAGCGAGCAGGAGCGGCAGGTGGAGGCGCTCACCACGCTGGAGTACGGCCTCAGCAGCCTCTACCAGGAGGGCATGGCCTTCGACGGCCTCAGCATCCAGCTCTACCACCCCGACATGTGCCCCGTGGAGTCGTACGCCTACATGGACGAGCACGGAGCCTACCAGGTGCGGACCAGCTACATGCGGAGCTACATCGCGGACGACGGCACGGTGCACCTGGTAGCGGACAGCACCACCATTCGGGAGCAGGTTCGGGCGCTGGATCTGGATCGGGCGCGCATGCTGGCGTTCGTGGCAGACTTTTGGCTGGGGCGCGTGAAGGAGCTGACGCCGGCGGTGCAGGCGCTGCTGGGCGTGAAGGCGGTGTGGTGCGATACGAAGACGGAACAGAATTCACAGAAGTTTGTGATTTGGGCTGGATACCTGCTGGAGAAGCGGTGGGTTGGGTCCCGGGGTATAGGGAAGCACGGCGGGGTGGATGTGATGCGGATGTTGCTCTAAACGGGTGGCGCGTCGTGCGTTAGGCAAGCGCTATCGGTTGTGATTCTTCATGCTCTGGCGTCTGTGACTGTGCCACCGACTTCGCATACTGCACTCCCGTCACGCACGCATGCTCAACCACAAAGCGAGGCCCTGCATATGTGCACGGGGAGGCACCGGGCCTACCAGCGTGCATGCCAACACATAACATGCGGCACGTGCCAACCAGTAGCGACCGGTACCTTTTCAAACCGTTCAGGGACGACATCCGCCGGAGCCTGGGCGGACGCAACTTCGCATTCTCGCTCATCGTGCACTCGGAGTCGGACGGCCCGCTCATCAACTTCCACACCTCCAGCCCCATCCTCAACGTGCGGACCGACTGCCCGCCGCAGCACCTGCTGGAGTTCTTGGTGTCGGAGACGGGCAGCGCGGCCAGCGAGGCGGCCACGGAGGTGCAGAGCAGCAGGTGGGCCGTTCGGCACGTCGGGATGGCCGTCAATATTGGTACCTGTGAAGTTATGAACTAGTAATGCGGTCCCAAAGAGGTTGAGTGTATGGTTGCCAGCGCCGTCTGCAAAAGTCGTACCACCGTAAGCCGCGAACTGGTGTCATTGGTGTGCCGTTGTTGCAGAGGTGGGGTTACGTCGTTGTCCGCCTGGTGATAATGATACCGTTAGTGAGAGAGCACCGTGTGTTGCGTTGCCCTGCTTTTGCCCCCACCCCCACTCCCAGGGAGCGCGAGGAGGCGCTGCTTGAGAGGGTGCGCAAGGCGTTCGGCCTCAAGTGCATTATCAAGATATGCATGAACGACAAGGTTCTGGAGGGCGCGCAGCGGCTGCTGGAGCACGCGGACCTCATCAAGACCACCGTCAACCTGAAAGGAGCCTCCATAGCGCTAGACGACTGCTATGAGGTGAGGCAGCCGGGTGGTCGTCCTGAGCTGTGGAGCGCTGGATGTGCAACTCCTGCATGCACGGGGTTAGCATGGCATGACGCGGCATCCTGTGTGCTTGCGTTTGGGGCTGACCTAGTGCCCTGACACCCTCGAGTGGACATGAACACGAACCGGTGCACGCTGCCGTACACAGTCACTGTCGACGCCCATCCTAACTCCGGTCCCCCTTGTAACTTTCGCATTCTAACTGTGTGAACCCTGCTGCCTGTTGCGTGCAGTTGTGGGACTCGGGCTTCATATCCGTGCCGTACAACTTCAAAATCCACGAGCTGCCAAGCAAGATTAAGCTGCTGCAGTCGGGTGGGCGCCTGCCTGACACCGCATCCAACGGAGTCTCCTCAGCCAGCGGCCAGGCCAGCCTAGTCGCGCGCGCGGCCCCGGTGCACGGCGGTGTGGGGCCGTTGAACAGCGGAGGCAGCTGCCGCGCAAGCTGCAGCACAGCCCTCCGGAAAGGAAGTGAAACGTACGCCGTTGGTGCCATCGCCCTCCCGCGGCGTTCTATCCCTGGGGGGCTTCTCGTCCGCAGCGCTGTCAACGCTGGTGTTAGAGAAACCAGCAGTAGGATGGCCGCTGCGGCCCCAGCGCGACGGCTTTCTGCATGACGCAGGATGTGGTTGCACACTCCTGGGTGCACACTGGCATGGTGAGGTGTGAGCGGGCGAGTGAGGTATTGCTCGAGAGCATTGTACAGTACGTTGCTTACTACTACATATACATGTATGCATGCAGTTTGGTGTGTGTTTTGGTGTGCATAATTTTTGCCAACACGTGTAGGTTAGTTATTAACCATAAGTACAGTTAAGAGTTAGTTACAGGCAACCATGTCGCACACCGTTATCACGTGTGGTGGTACATGGTAAAAATTCGTTGGAGCGCACTAACTAATTTTATGCACTCGATAGTCGTGTCGTGGGCACGTTGAACACCGTCCCCTGCGTCGTGTCAGTTGGTCTATAAGTATTGCTATAGGCATCACCACCTCTCGTCATCGACATCTACCATGCATGACGCCGTCCAGGCCGCTCGAACCTCAACCTAGCCGTTCTGCTGCTCTGCTACACTCTTGTGGGCTGCTAGGAGCTAGGCATCATTACCGCAGGTTGGTACCCTACCGGAAGGGAATGGGCTGGTACCCTAAGCAACAAACGTGATCCTAAGCCATTATGTAATCCCTTTCATCGCCTCCGCTGTTCCCCAGCCGCTTCAAACACGCATCAGCTTGCTCCTCCTCCTCCTCCTCCGGGCATGAAGAAGCCCTTTTTTACTCGCCGCCCGGCGTGAACGGCGTGTCCTTTGATTTCCAGAGGATCACGTGGTACGTGTCCACCTGCATTGCCCAGGGAGGAAGGCACACGAGGACGTTTGCTACTTTGGCAGAGTTAGGGGCACCCGAGCTGATGGTATGGGGATTCTAATGATGCCGGGAAGGTTCTCCAGACCGTGATAAAGCACACGCGGTGGTTCCGCTGCGCTCAATGGATATGTACATTTCGTGTCGTACGTGTACGTAGGGGTCCGCCAACACGCCCACGCCTGCCAAGGGCCTTCTCCCGCCCCGCCACAATGCAACGCCTCGCATCGGCATGGTATGCCTTTTGGCGATAGATACACCCAGCAACCCAGGCGCACCTTCATGTGGATGAATTGTCGCGTCTCGTGGCTCACAGCACCTGTGGATTGGAACGTAAGGCAGGTAGTGTTGCACCATGCAATTTACATCGCTCACGGTACCAGGGTTGGGGCAGAGGGGTAACGTAACCCACCCCGCGCCCCCGTTCCCCAACCCAACCGTAGTCGCTTACTTGCAAAGCTTTTCCCCACGATGCAGTGGTAAACTCCCTCCGTCGCCTTGCCGCTGCCAGGGTACTTCTTATCGTATTCGTGCTTAATGTAGAAGGCGATATCTTTCAACTGTCTATACTTGTCGACGGCGACAAGAGCTATCTGAACTGCGTCCTGCTCAAAGCTCTCCGGCATGTAAGACGTTACTATCTTGTAGTAATGCTGCTTTTGAAGCTGGTATCCTTGCTGCTCCTGCGGTTCCTCCCCGCCTTGTTGAGCCATGGCTCCGAGCAGGGCCCTGCCCCAAGCTGCCTAAAATTAATTGTTAATACCTAGTTGTTCAGTACGTTCAACTGCTACCGTGCTGGCAGGTTAAAGTCAACACTGGTATGCATCGATGCTTCGACGCAGCGTAGAACGATGTAAAATGCTTTAGAAGCTTTCCTTTGTAGTAAATAGGTCAGCAATTTGTTCTAAGCGTGAAGCATAACTTAGAGCCTTGTCCTCGGTGCCATACAAGCGCTAGACTCTGTACGACGGAGCCGAGGCTTGGCTCTTGGTGTTGCCGCTTAGGCCATTGTAACTGCATATTTACCGTAGTCAGCAACGATGGCTTCCCGTTCAAATTCTTTGCCGCTTGTAGTGGCCCGTTTCTTACTTGCGTGCCCGTTCCTCGTGGCCTCTGTAATGACATTTACTTTGCTTCACAAGAAAGAGACCTCAGGGAATGTAGTAGATCAGCTGTCCCCGATTACACAGGCTCTCGGTGAAATGGGGAAGGATTTGCCCAAGGTGCGCATACATGGTGGCGTGCCACGTGTGCAGTGCCGCAGCACTGGCCTACCAATGGCGTCTCCATTCCAGCTTTCTTGTATGCCTTCCCCTCCTGTCTAAGTGGGAATTTCCGTCCTAATTCTTAACATGGCCAACCGCAAACTCCCTGATGCACAACAAACCCATTCCAGGAGAAGCTCGCAGTGCTGCTGGCAGTCATGCAAGGCATTGGTGGCTATCTTATGGTCTTCAACCATAAGTTCGGTGGCTTGTTACTGGTGAGCTTGCCTTATCCACCTCTACACACTTTATCGAACTCGGCATTTCCCCATGCTAGTCAATCGCTGTCGGCAAACGCAGATGACCTACCTGCTGCCGGTCACGGTTCTCAGCCACCAATTCTGGAAGGTGGACCCAAGCAACTTCCAGGAGCAGCTGGACGTGTTGGGCCAATTCCTCAAGGCAAGTTAGGAGTGACCCGTGGGACAGCCGCTAGTGCAGCAAGCAACTTTCAGCTCGGTGTCGAATACCCACATCTTCTTAGCAGGACTCTAGTGCCTGTAATGGAGAGCTTGCGATCCCATACCGCAAACTGCGCTGTAATGTACTACTCTCAACTGCCCCCTTGTCGTACGATGACCGCATGCCTGCCCGTACCCACGTTGTCCTTGCCGCTGACATCCCTCCCCCAAATGCTCCAAGCACAGAACATCGGCCTCATGGGCGGCATCCTTGCCTTCATGGCTTCAACGGACGAGGTGCCCCTCAAGGTCAAGCGCAAGGACCATATGGAGTGAAACCGCTGCCTGCTGTATGTACCGCAGCCCGTGCAACTTGCATGGAGCAGCTTGCAGTTAGTAACAAGTTTCATTTAATGCCGAGACTCAGGCTTGACGCAAGCAAGGGGCGTTTTATGCGTATCATACACCTGTAGGCACGTTGGCATGGCATTGTCCTCGTAGGGAAAGGGCCCTTTATATGCCCTTCGTATTGGGATGGACACAATAGAGAAAATACGACACTACGGTTAGCCGCATGGCTGCCACGCGGGCTTTGCTTCGGGCTGGAGGCAACCCAGGAGCTGAGTGCGGCCGCGTGGCCTCCCTGCATGGCTGCCAGCATCGTTGGCTAGGGGGCGGGATAAGAGGTTGTTGCCTTTCGTGCTGAAGTTGTGACTGAACAGGCAGTTCACAATACCCAGCGAAAGGAGCAAGCACGTCTTAAAAATCATGATGTAATTCTGCAGGCATTCCGCAAAGTTATCCGGCAAAGGCATCCGGCTAAGGAGTGGCCGCGGTAATATTTCGTATTGACATTCGCGTTCCCATGCTTTCTATAAAGTTCAGGGAGTAGATTAGAATCGCATGCGTGCATCAGGGCGCACCGCTCGCTGCCGTACCTCTTCAGGCGGGAAGAGGCAAGCAACCCAATTCACACAACACAATTCATAATATCTAGATGAGAGGTTTTGTGTGATTCCTATATTTATCCTTTTGTCGTAGGACTCTTTTAGGACAGCTTGCTATTCCGAGCGCCATTCCCAGCTTCACGACTCGTGTCGGAATGACCGCTTTCGCCACGCTGCCCTACCTGGGAAACCTCTATGGCAGTACTATAGATTCAGACTGCGTTGTTCGCTTTACGTTAGCGGCGAACGAACAGGCTCTGCACGCGAAGCGTCTCAGCGCGACAACACCCTCAACCAAGCCAGCACGGTCTTCCGACAATACGCCGTCTCAGAACGACGTCGCTGCCAAGGAGCCTGCAACGCCTGCGCGCCCATCGGAACTAAAGCAGGTGGACGCTAACTGCGATGGCAATGATAACAGCGTTGCTAAGAAGCGCAGCGCAGAAGCTAAAGAGGAAGACAACGACAGCACTACATTTATTGGAGAAACCATACCGGCGCATAAGGTGGTGCTTCGTTGCGGATCAAAGCGCTTTCGCGAGGACATGGAGCAATGGGGACAGGTCAGGACCTGCCAAACTAGCGCCTGCGTCAAATCACCCGCAGCCGCTGCCACACCTACATGCTCGCAAGATGGTGTTATAAATAACAAGCCCGAAAACAGCGGCAACAGCGATAATGACGGCGGTGGTGACCGTGCTGCCAAGCGCCAGCGCCCAGCCCCTGACGCCTCCAGCTGCACCCTTTCCGGCCTTCCCGAGCTGCTGATCCCGCTGGGTAGCGAGCAGGAGCTGCCTGCTGCGCGGCGCGCCCTGCGGCTGCTGTACAGCGGCATCGTGCCCTGCTCGCTGGGCTTCAAGGAGATCCTGGCCACTCGGCGCATGGGCTCGTACCTGCAGATCGAGCGCTGCGAGGCGGCGTGTGACGCAGCCGTGGTGGCCAAGCTGGAGCAGGAGGGCCGCACGGACTCGAGCATTGTGCTGGACCTGTACGAATGGTGGGTGGGGTGGGGGTGGTGGGGGCCAGGGCAGCACTGGGGCAGTAGAAAGGACGGTACCGGTCATTCTTTACATGCACCGTCACTGCCCGCACCCCCGCACCGCAAGTCTGCTGCTGCTGCTGCTGCTTCTGCAAGAAACCATCCTCCGCCTGCCAATCAACTTTATCCATTGACCGTTCCTCCCCTTCCCCAGCTGGCGGAGCTTTATCACGGTTTGTACTTTGTGTGCTGCTACTAACCCAACGAATATGATTATGCGCAATCCTTAATTCCAGCTTAATGCGGAATCTTCAACCATATTAATCCCCAGCTGGCGCCACTTCCCCGAGGACGCCTCCTTCTCCTCCGTCCTCAGCGCCGGACAGAAGCACCTGGTACGGCACTTTGGGGACGCGCTGGCCATCCTCAACACCGACCGCGACAAGCCGGGCACCCTTGCGCGCCAGTTCATGTCCCTGCCGCCGCAAGCGGTGGAAGCCCTGCTGTCCTCGGACGACTTTGGCACCGACAGCGAGGCCAGCGTGCTGCTGCTGCTGGCGCTTTGGGCGGAAGCGCACCCCTGGCAGACCCTCTTCCTTGCGCGGCTCTCCCGCCTCATCCGCGTGCTGCACCTCACGCCCACCTACCTCTACCACGTGCTTCCAAAGCTACACTGGTTCGATGCCACCCGCGCGCAGCTGTCCGCCCTGACCGCCCTGGCCGTCACCACCGATTCCCATGCGCGTTCCCAGCTGCGCTTATCGCTCCGCGCGAGCGGCATCCAGCTGGGCCCGGACCCCAGCAGCGGGCAGCCCCTCCAAGATGACTCGCCATGCAAGTGGTTGTTCCCGCAGCGCCGGCAGTGCTTGTGCCTCAGCGGCGGCCTCACCTTCCCCTGGCGAGTGAGGCAGCATGACCTATCGAAGCTGCTGCGGACTGTGATCAACGAGCAGGAAAGAGTAGAAGGGGTTTGCAGGGCGTCGTTCGTGCTGCCAGCTGGAGGCGGTTGCGGCGGCGAAGGAGGCGGCGGCGGTGGTGGCGCTGCGGGTGCATCCGGTGACACAGGTGTCGGCGAGCAGCAGCAGCAGCAGCAGCGGGCGGAGGCGTCGGTTGTCTACGCGCACGGCTTGGCATGGGAGATTTACTTGGTGGTGCACCGAAAGCAGCAGCCGTTCGTGGGTCTGCGCTGCGGCGTCCCGCTCCAGGGCGGAGGCTTTGCGGGCATGCATGACTTGGCGGACTACCCAACGCGCCTTACCATGGAGCGAGCCTCGGCGGCACCGGCTGCAGGGGTCGAGGCAGCCCCGGCCCCCGCTGCTGCTGCTGCTGCTAGCAGCAATGACCGCCAGCAGACCCTTGTGAACTATTTTGGCACGGCTTGCCCTGGCGTCGGCAAGGCTTGCAACTTCTTGTCGTGTGAGGAGCGGGTTGAGCACCTGCGGGCGGTTGCGGCGGGTCGGGAGCCGGACCTGATGCGTCCCTGGGGGCGTTTCATGCAGCCGGAGGGCTGCGTCCGCGGGGAGCTGAACTTCATGTGGTCGTGGAAAGACGTGGAGGAGGAGGAAGAGGAGGATGAGGAGGAGGCAGGCATGGAGGAAGGGGAGGAAGGTGAGGAGCGGGGGCCCGAGGAAGGGGAGGAGCAGGGGCGCGTGGGGCGGCAGGTGCAGTAGCGTCTAATGAACTACTGGCTCTACTGCTTGTCTGTACATACATACCTGTACGGATGTCGAAGCATTGAGGAGCATGTTGTACAGTTGGTGGGGTTCTGTAATTTAGGGTCGTCGTAGCAGTAGTAGTGCACCAGGAGCTCATGCGGGGTCGCACCACAAGACGCGCGCTCCGGTTGCCTCGGCATCTTGTACGCTGTACTACTAGAACGTTTGCGCGAGTAGCAGGATGCATGTGCGGATGCGTAACATAACCCCGGTGCGATGCTGTGATGTGATGGGTTTGCTGTGTCCCGACAAGCCGCACGGGCTGCTCGTTTGCCTTTGTTGGAGTCATAGTGTGGCGTCAGGAGCAGTCCAGGGGCCCACGCGGCTCAATACACTGGTAGCCACTGTTGTACCACTAATACTGTTGTACCACCATATCTGCCGGCTACTGCTGTACTTAAAGGCCGAGCGTGTGCGGCAGCTGCCCGGGGAGAGCTGGGGCGCCCCTCATGGGGTCTCAACCGTCTAAGGCGTGGGTGCACACCTGTCGGTGTTTTGGCTGTCTGGGGTGGAGTTTGTGTTGCCGATTCGCCTTCGGCGACGCGAAGCACCTCCACGTGTAAAAGCTTCTAGTTTCGTTTTTGAGTGACTCAAAAACATGCATGGGCACACAGCCTTTGCGCACCGTTGCTGGGGTGCATTGCTTCTTTAGGCGCGTGCTGGGAAGGCCTGCCCTGGGAAGGGCCGTACAGACACCCAGCGGACTTTTGTCATTAAGGACAATAGCATGTTGCATGTAATACATTGTACGTTGTCGGGCTCATTTACGCCCGCGCCTGGTACCAGCAGCAAGCTCCTGCTCGGTTATAGGGTCGCTGCTGCATATGAAAGCTGTACGGCATGTACAGAAGGCACATACAGTGTACGCAAGTAGTGCCTTCGCTCCCTCCCTACCTGCCTATGCAATACGCGACAGCAGCTAGTCCTTCCTCCAAAGGCAAAAGGAAAGTACCCGCACCTCCCACCTCCGCACCACCTCCCTCAGCAGCCCCTCCACCAGGCTGCGGTGGCGGGACAGCACGTCAGGGCCCATCACCGCTAGTGCCCACAGACTGTTGACAAGGGCCATGTTACTCAGCAGCTCCCACTGCTTCCCCTTACCCAGCGTCAGCCCCAGAAGCTCCTCTAGCCGCCCAACAAACACGAATACCAGCCGTTGCTAGCCGAGCTATATCATTTCTGCTCATTGAAAGCCTGACCAGCCAATGGGTATTTTGAGGAGACGTGCGAATGGGGCTAACCCGTAGGGCCTGACCAGCCAATGGGCTTTTTAGGAAAGAGCATGGCGAACGGGGTGTCGGTAGCTTGCTGTTCTGAGTGAAGACCTGTGTGCTCGAGGGAATGATCCACAGCAACTATCATGCTTTCCATTGTTGTTACAGACCTGCATGCGGCTCCCCCATCCTAGCATGTGAAGTTATAAGTTCCTAGGGCCTACCGCACGCACCAAGAGGCCGCTCTCTGCGATCAGGCATCATGTAACCTTATAGCAGCGCGTGCTGGTGAGCCGATCCTGTCGTTCATCCTCACGTCAACGTGCATGGAGCACCCACCCAACAGACTCTCATATACTCACAGATACAGACTCTCAAATACACACATGCTTCCTCCGCCCCTGCAACCTCCCGGGTAACCGCAACACCCGCCGCCCCTCACTTCCCTCCTCCTCCGCCCCTGCGCCACCGGCCTGCCCCCGCTGCCGCACGCTACTCGCATGGGTCCGTTCCACGCCTTCCTGTCCCCGACACCGCTTTCTAGCGCCGCATCCCGCCCCACAGCCTGCCCCACAGGCTGCCTTCCCGACCCCGTTGCTCGCCCCCGCCGCTGCAGCCCCCGCACACGCAACACCACCACCCTGCTGCTGTTCCTCCGCCCCCACCGCAGAAGGTGCCTGCCGCCCCCCTCCGCTCGCTGCACCCCCCGGCTGCCGCTGCTGCCGCGGGTGCTCCCTTTGTTGCGCTGCAGCCGGGGGCTGAGGCCCGCCCTGCGAGTCGGATGGGGCTGTGGGGGCTGCCGACTGGGGCTCCTGGGGCTGTGGAAGGGCCTTGCGCTTGCGCTGCTGTTGCTGCTCTCTCAGCTGTTGCTGCTCTTTCAGCTGCTGCTGCTGCTGCCCCCCTCCCTGCGAGTCCTCGTCTCCGCGGTACAGCGGGTAGAGCTTGCCGGGCTCCAGGAACCAGCCGAAGATCTGGGGGCCGGGAACAGGTGGAGGAGGAGCAGCAGGAGGGCGGGAGGGCAGGAAGAAGGGGTTGGGATGCGCACCGGAGCATAACAGGATTACCAGCGAGGGAAATGAATGAGCATTGGGCTAACCACCATCCAGGCGTTTAAGAGTTATCCAGCAGCCCCACCGCCTCCCAGCTTCCCCTCCCCCGCCTCCCCACACATTGGAGTTTCTTTTTCCCCTCCCCCGCCTCCCAAAGCGCCCCCACCGAGTATCTGGGCCGCTCGGTGGTCATCTCCGTGACCGCATGGTAGCGAGGCACCCGGAACGCCACCACGCTGTTCCACATCGGCACGTAGCGCGCGCCCACCCTGGGCGGCGCGGCGGGGGCCTCCAGGTCCACCAGCACTCCGCCGTACTCCTCGCGCCAGTCGCGGGTCAGGTAGTAGATGACGGCCAGGGAGCGGGAGGTGGTGATGATGCGGCCGGTGTCCAGCTGGACCTGCGGAGGTGCGGGTTGGGTGTGGGTGGATGGTTGGGATGGAAGGATGGAGGCGACGGCAGGAATATGTCAGCGGTTGCGAGGGTGTATGTATAGGAGTGGGAGCGATTGGCGAGGTGTGGGGTACAGGAGTTAAGGAAGGACGGACCTGTGTGTAAGCTCGGTCATCGTGGGGTGCGATGTGGTCAGACTTGACGTACTTGGCCGCTGAGAAAGCGTGGAGGGCCCCGGGGCGGACTAAGGAGAAGAAGCGCACGATGGATTGCAGCCCCTTGGCGTGCTTTACGCTGGAGAAGCTGTGGCTGATGTTGTTCTGACGGTAATCGGTTGTCGCAGATGTGTCGTTCCAGTTCTCGTCCGGCACACCCTCAAGGGTTTTGAGGATTCCTTCCGCAACATGCTGCATGCCATGTATTGATTTACATCAATACATAAGTATTTCAGGCGCTCATCCTGGGCACGCCGAGCGCACCTCAGGCAGGAAGTTTTTAATGCGGACCAGACCACCATTAGCCTCCACCGCACGTTCGACGTCGTGCTTCGCAATCCAAGAGCTAGCTATTTCGTAATTATTCAGCCAGCGCTGGTATGGCGGTTCCTTCCCGCCGCCGCGCACCATGATGCTAAGTTGCGACTAGTCGCGACGTCACTGCCTAGGCTTTGCGGTCATCACATGACCACCAATACATACTAACTATAACACGACAAGGCACGAAACGTCCTATCGTTGAGGTTTCGGAGCGACCGAGCAAGAAGCCCCGCCCACCCAACAAAAAAGCAAGCAGCATCCAAACAACCCGTAGCATTCAAACACTTACTATCCTGCCTTAGCAGTGCTGTTGCGAACCTGCATTCAGCTCTCGCCGACTGCAAGAGAAAGAATCCCCACACATCAGCACACAGGTCACTATCCCCACGCGTATAATCACGGCGTCATTATCACGCGCGCTGCCCCACCTGCTCCTCCTTGCCTATCCAACCCCGTCCCAGAAACCCCTTTCCCGCAGCTACCAACACTATACCGCATCAAGGCTTTGCTCACGTTGACCACCCCATCCATCCATTCATCCTGTCAACCCTGCCGCAACCCGCCACCACACCAACTCGCCACCAACTCCCCCCCAACCCCACGCTCACGCCGCCCTGCTGGCTGACAGCCCCCGCGGCCCGAAGAAGCCCCCCCACATGCGCTGCTTGTTTCTCCGCTCCTGCTCCTCCCGTATGAGCTCCTCCAGCCGGTCCACCCGGTGCAGCAGCTGGCTGATCAGCTCGTGCTGCTCCTCGTTCTCCTTGCGCAGGCGCTGGGGGGAAGGGGCGGGGAGGAGGGGGAGGAGGTTGCTGACATGAAGGGCGACGGGAGGGAATGAGGCATGGAAGCAGCTTGCCCACCCGCCAGCAACGTGTGTTAACCCATGCGGGGGCCGCACATTTCAAATCTGGCCTGGAGGCCCCACGTGACTCTCCAACCCCATGCCATACTCCAGCTGCCCAATGAACCCTGCGATGTGACCCCGGCGAGCGCCCCGCCCCACACCGCCCCGCGGCTCACCTCCCGCTCCCGGCCCGCCTGGTCCAGAATGGCCTGTCGCTCCTGCTCCTCCTTCTTCTTCTTCTCGATCTCTTTCCGCCGGTTGCGGTCGTACTCGAACGTGACGATCAGTATGCCCACCTGCAGCACCAGCAGCAGCAGCCGGTGAGGGAGGGGAGCACAGCAGGGCGAGAGGAGCAGCGCCACAGCCCTTGCGTCGCCCCTTCACCAATCCGTACCCCCACCTGTCCGCCACACCTCCTCAACACATACCAGCTGCCGCACACAACCAGATAGGTGACCCCGTTACTCGTCACCCTGGCCCACCCTCACTTCAATCCCACACTCCACTCCCTCCCCCTGCCCGCTCCCGCCCTTCGCGCCCCCCCCCTGGCCCTACCGCAAACACGAACCCCTCGCTGGCAATCTTGGACGCCAGCTCCACCGACTTCTCCTCCGTCATCGCGCCCACGAAGGCCTTGCCCGACCGCCCCTCCGCGCCACGGGTGATGTACACCTCCCAGCGGTGCACCACCTGCGCCGTGGAGATGACGTAGCGGCGGGCCACCGGGTGGTTCATGGCCCACCTCTCGAAGCGGCTGCCCAGGGGCTTGGCCATCTGGCGGGGGGAAGGGGGCGCGGCAGGGAGGGTGAGCGGGGTAGAAGGCAGGGGCGCGCTGTGAGGCAGACGTGTGACGTTGGTGTTGACAGGAAGGCCTCTTGCGTCCTGAGGTTTTGCCCTCGGAATGTTGGGATGGTTAGAACTTGTAAACCATCTGTGGCTATAAAACACATGTAAGGAATGAACACGTGTAAGGGGTTGAAGGCCACGGCGCCCTTGGGGTGGGGCAGGGGGGCCTTTGGGGGCTTAAACTTAAGGCTAAGCTCTGCATCGCTATCGCAAACACTCTTAGCCGGTGCCCCTTTTCGTCCTAACCCGGCCAAGAACCACCCGTAATCCCCAAGACTTTGTTCTACTGCGCGATGGGCCGGTACGCGCACGTTTGTATCGGAATTCAAGAAAGTCATGTCAGCATCGCTCACCTGCTTCAGGAGCAGGGCACCCATTTTAAACACGAGAGCCGCCATGATGTCTGACTCCTGATTACGTGCTTAGGCAGCAGCGAAGTTGGACAGGCAACGCCTTGATGTCTCGTGCCAAGCTTGTCGGTTGATTGATGGAGGCTTGCACGAGCAAAGCACAAGTTCCCTAGCAACTCAACAACCAGCGAAGCACATCAAACAGCTTTCGATGTCAATTATGCTAGAGTCTGCATAAGGACAGAAGCAACCGTGATACTTGAAGCGCGGCAACAGAGGTATAAATAATTTTAGGTCAATTTAACAACCAGATTGGCTAAGGATATGTACTTGCAGTGAGCACCATCAACTGTCGGATGCGAAGTACGCTGGCAACCAGGGCCCATGACGCCGACGAATGCGGGCATGGGCCGCGACATCACGCCAGTGTACTCATAGCACAAAAGTACTCAACTAACTTGGTTTGTATACTTTCACACAAGCGTCCTTGAGCGGTGATCCAGAGCAAGACAACTGTCAGCTTCACCCGTCTAGTGCAGACGCGATTTCGTTATGCAACGCAGCGCCGTGGCAGGCAGACCCAAACCAGTAGAACATGTAGGCTAAGAAATGCGCTCGCAAGCGCAAGATCTGCGATATTCACAGGAAATCCCTATCAATGGCGCGCAGGCGGAGACCTCGGAAGCCTCGGAGGCCGAGCCAGAGCTTAAGCCCGTAGACCCCGTAAGCATATATCGCTCAATGCTACCAACTTACCGCGCCGTGTAAGCATTTGCTAGAGTCGTAAGGGTTTCCACTAACCATGCAGAGGGCTAAGCTGCGGTCATTCCGTGTACGGGCGCTGTCCACTATAGCGCTGATTGGCACCTTCATCGGCGTCATCTGGGCCGGCCATGTGCCGCTCATGTTCTTCATCCTGCTCATCCAGGCAGGCCGCGGGTTGGGGGCGGGGCGGGGATGCTGGCAGGCCCTTGCCAGCGCAGCAGATACCATGCTATGGGGGGCCAGTGCCGACATGCATGCACCGCTCAACTAACCTGTTCACAGTGCCTCCCCTGGTTGGGGCCTTGTGCGGTTCTGCATGCCCTTGGTTGCGCGTCCTGCCCCCTCGGATGATTCCCGCTCCCATGCCTCCCGCCCTTGTCCAAGGCGCTGACCCCTCCCTTCACCCACCCCCCTCCGAAGTGAGGGTTATACCACACCTCACCCTCGGTCCCTCTCCCCCTCCCCCCTGCAGTTCCTGGTGGCCCGGGAGCTGTTCCGCATCGCCTACCTGGCTCAGCGCTCCAAGCGCCCGCTGCCGCTGCTGCGCACCCAGCAGTACTTCTTCTTCTTCACCGCGGTCTTCTGGCTCTACCTCAGGTGGGGCCGGGGGGGGGAGGCGGGAGGGCGGGTGGGGTTATTGGTGGGGGGCTGGAGTCGGCAGAAGAGGTGTTGCGGGGCTTGGGAGGGGTACCGATGGGCATGTGGGTAAGGGGGCTGGCAGGCTGGCAGGGCGACGTGCACTGCTCTCGGCGTACTGGGATGCGCGGTCACGTGCCCCACCCTTCACCCCGCCTCCACACCTCCCCTCGCCCCGCTCCCCCTCAGGTTCATCAAGAAGAACCTGCTGGTGGAGGTGAGCTCCGACAAGACCCTGGCGCGGCTGTTCTACTGGGCGCTCAAGCACCACAGCCTCATCAGCTACTCGCTCTACATGGCGGGTGGGGGCGGGGCAGGGGGTTGGGTGGGGCGGGAGTAAAGAGGAGGAAATGGGCAATATATGGGAGAGTAACTGGGAGTGCGGAGGGTGTGATGCCATGATGACAGGGAGGAGGAGGCGAGTGCACCAGCGCTGGCATCAGTGGACTGGCCGCGGTAACCCTGCCACCGCACTGCCTGCGCCTTGCGCCCCTCCCTCGGCCCTGCTTGTCACCCCCCGCTCATGCGCCCGCCGTCCCTCATTGCCCTCTTCCCTCCCTTGCTCCTCCTTTTGCCCCGCGCTTCCTTTTGCCCCCCAGGTTTCGTTGGGTTCGTGTTGAGTCTGAAGAAGGGGCTGTACCTGCACCAGTTCGCGCAGTACGCCTGGACGCACATGATCATTCTCATTACCACCGTGCCAACGTGGGTTAAGAGTGGGGGGGAGGTGGGGGAGGAGGGTGCAGGTGGGGATGCACCGGGCTGGGGGGATGGTGGGCGGGGCGCTGGGGAATGGGAGATTAGATCGACTGAGCCGCGAGGAATACTGAGCCTGACCGTGGTAGGAGTGGGCGGGCGAGGGGAGGGGACTGCAGGAGGAGGGGCTTCACCGGGATGAGGCCTGCGTGGTAAGGGGCTGGAGGGGGCTTACAGCAGGGCGAGGACGATGGGCGACAACAGTGGGGGAGGCTGTGGGCAGGAGCGACTGTGCTGACTGAGGCGGTTAGGAGCCGGGGAGGGCCTCTGGACATGCCCGCTGCGCGTCCCCGCCTGGTCCCGAGCCCCTGCATATGTCCCCTGCTCTGTCCCGCTCCTTCCCACCCTTCCTCCTTCTCCTTCCCCCTCCCGCCCCCCGCACAGCTCTTTCTTCGTGTCCAACATCTTCTCGGGGCTGATCTGGTACGTGCTGCCCGCCTTCCTCATCGTGGGGAACGACATCTGCGCATACCTGGCAGGTGGGAGGAGGGGGGGTGGGAGGGTGGAAGGGGGCGAGAAGGGGCCGGGGGGGAGGGGTGTGGTGTGGCAGCAGGGAGGGACAGCGGTGCGGGCGGAGCGCTCCTCGGGGGCCGAGGAGGGCAGTCCCCGTGGTGGGCGGGGCGGCTGGTGCAGGGGCGGGAAGAGGGCCCTAGGACGTCCCGTGTAGCAGGTCGGCTGGCTGACTGCCGCACGCCAACATGGCTTGGCACTGCGGGCTGAATCTGAAGGTATACGTCATGCGCTCATGCCTGCTTGTACCGTCCCTCGCTGTCTGCGAGCCGCGAGTACTTGCGTTCTCCATCCCCCTGCGCCAGCGCGACGTACCCCTATGTTGTCAACACGACCCCTCCACCTCACCCTCCGTCACCCCGCCCCTCCCCCCCCGCCCCCAGGTTTCTTCTTCGGCCGCACACCGCTGATCAAGCTGTCTCCCAAGAAGACGTGGGAGGGCTTCTTCGGCGGCTTCCTGGGCACCCTGCTGCTCGCCTTCTTCCTCTCCGCACTCATGAGCCGCTACACATGGCTCACCTGCCCGCGCAAGGTGGGGGGGGGGCGGGGGGTAAAAGGAAGGAAACAACTAACTGACCGGGAGGGGGGGCGAGGGCAAGGGCGAGGGTGGGGAAGAAGCTAACAGGAGGGGTTGCAACACCGCAGCGCAGCAGCAGGAGGGGTGCGGGAGTAGGAAACGAAAGGAACCGAGGTTGGTCGGAAAGCATCGGGGAGGCTGTGACAGGCGCCTCTCCTCCATCCCTTTTCAGCCTACTCCTTCTACGTCCATAACCTGCCCTCTTCCTCCTCCCCCACTCCCCACCCTGCCAGGACCTCACCGTGTTCAAGGGCCTGGACTGCACCCCCGACGAGGTCTTCGTGCCCGACACCTACACCCTGCCCGACCTGGCCTCCCACCTGCCCGCCGGCCTAGCCAGCCTGGCGGCCGCGGCTGCGGAGGTGCTGCCTGCGGGGCTGCGCGGCTGGCTGGCGGACCTCACCTTCAGCGTAGCACCCATCCAGCTGCACGCGCTGTCGCTGGCGACCTTTGCGTCCTTCATCGCGCCGTTCGGTGAGGGAGAGATGGAGAGATGGAGGGAAGGAGGGAGAGGGGAGGGAAGGGAAGGGAAGGGAAGAGAAGGAGAGCCATGCAAGGAGCATGGGGGGATGTGTGGATATGTGGGTGTCTGCATGGGGAGGAACTGGCAGCACATCCACCTGACACGTGGAGCCCACCCCCACCAAACGTTGTCCAGACTCTCCCGTCATCACTACCTCTCCTTGCCTTCGCTTACATCCCTCTCCTCCCCGGTCCTCTCCCACGCTCCCGCCCACCGCCCCCCGCCACCCCCCCTGCTCCCCAGGCGGTTTCTTCGCGAGCGGCTTCAAGCGCGCCTTCCGCATGAAGGACTTTGGCGACACCATCCCCGGGCACGGAGGGGTCACCGACCGCTTCGACTGCCAGGTGGGGTTGGAGGTGGGGGGGGGGTAGCAGGCACCCCGCTGCAAATCTAGCTTCCTCCTCCTCCGCCTCCTCAACAGCTTTTCCTACGCGCCCGTCCGCCCCATGGACAACCCATACTATCCAACTCCCTCGCCGGGCCTTACACTGCATCACGGGCACCCTATACTACTCCCCTCCACTGTAACCCCCGCCTTCTCACCCTCCCCCCCTCCCCCCTCCAGATCCTGATGGCCATGTTCGCCTACTGCTACTACTTCAGCTACATCTCGCAGCCCGAGGTGACGCTGGGTGACGTGCTGTCACAGGCCATCAAGCTGGACGACCACGACCAGATCCTGCTGGTGGGCAAGCTGGCCAACCTGCTGGTGGGGGAGGGGCTCATACCGGGTAGGTGGTGGGGAGGCGGGCGGGGAGGGGGGAGCGGGTGCACGCGGCCAAGGATTGAGGTTGGGTACATCATTCCATGTGTTGCGTACATTGGTTGCGCCCAGTTGGTGCACGCCATGCCAGTTCCCTGCGCCGGTTGATGGCTTGCCCCCCCACGGTTTCCCGCGGTGTGGTGGTGATGGTGGTGTGAGGCGGCCGCTACATGCTGAACCCTGTGCCTTGCTGCTGCCGCTGGCCGGGCCCACATGCGCGGCCCACCGGGCCCACCTGGCCGCAGGGGACGTGGTGGACGCGCTGCACCGGCACCTGGGGGAGCGCTTCACGTGGGACTTGCCGGACAGCTGAACGTGGTAACTGCCGGATGGCTGAACGTGGGAGGTGCTGGGCAGCTGAGCTTGGGATAGCTGAGTTTGGGAGGTGCCGTATAACTGAGCTTGGGATCGCTGAACGCCGGGGTACCGCAGTCGGGAGCCCCATGGAGGGCATGATGGGGGGATGGTTAGTCTTGCGCAGGGTACGCGGGTGGCGGAAGGACGGAAGAGCGTGCAGGATGTGAGGCAATTTGTATGTTTATTGCGGTTGACGACGCCCGTTGCGGCACAGGTAGATGCAGTGCAGAGATGGAACCCGAGGGAAGTGTATTAGGCGTGCGCCGTCAAGGTGTTGTGGGAATGCATAGAAGAATCAGGAAGAATTGTAATATTACAAAGCCGATGGAGGCATCCCTTTACGTAGTTATAAAACTGGGTATCGGGCGTGGCCATAAGGCATACGCCGTTGGCTAAACGCCGGTTGAACTAACATGGTTAATGTGGCTGAATGGCCAGCTCCGTCCATTTATCTTTCCGTTTAGGCTCGCGCTTGACATCGCCGACAACTTCATCTGCATCATCGGACACTGCCGTGCCCTCCGGAAGGGGTATACCTGCGCGCATGCGTGCAGTTGGTTGGATGGATACCGTCATGCGAGAGTGGGGCAAAAGATAAAGCTTACTGTCGTTTGGTAGCGTATCACGGGCCCATTCTTCGTCAATAATGTCAATGAGATGGGGATTCCCAGTTAGTAGAGACATCCGGAGACCTCCAAAAGCTCAGGGTAAAGGGGGGGCGATTGTCTAGATACCGAAGCTTATTACAGTATTCCAGGATGAAACCTCTTAGACAAACTGTGGACTGAAAGCACTACAAAGCGTCGGGGCGCCCTACAACGATTCCCGCGTTGCCGTACGCACAGCTAGAAACACCATCGCCTGTCACTACCTTACGAGGAGTAACCGCACGCGCTTATGTGTGCCTCTCTGAGTTATAGGGGTGCCGAAACTGGCACCCCTTGCAGTCCTACTGGAAGGGACATGTGCCCCGAAAGTGCTGTGTTTCCAGCACTGACTATGTGAACAAATTTGTAAACACGAACGTCTTACCAGCCGTAATTGTTTTGGGCGTTAACAACTAGCTTGAGCAGCATGAATGACCAAGCGACTCTGTTGAAATGGGCTCAGCAGCTGCCTGCCCCGGCGTCTGGAAGGCAGGCATGTGCAAAGCTACTGGAGGCGGTCTCGCAGCAGCGTCTGGCGCTGCCTGCCATACATCAGGCGGGACTGCTGCAGCCCTTGTGCGCAGCGCTGCGCAGCAAGGCAAGTGGGAGTCAAGCCAGGGACATGAACACCTCCCACTTTAAGGGTTCGCTACCAAAACGCTATCAAAGCATGTACAACCAAATCGACAACCGCGATGTTTCCCTGGTTCCTGGCACCGTGGGCCCATGGGTCCAAGCGGAGGAGGCCTTGGAGCAAAGGTTGCCCCACTCCACCCCTCCCTCCCTCAACACATTAGGACTTCTCCTTTTCCCTCCCTCCCTCCCTCCCTCCCTCTCCCTTTCAGGACCCCGCCGTGCCGCAGCGCTCCGTGGCGGTGCTGCTGGAGGCCAGCCGCTGCGGCCCCGGCGGTGAGCTGCCCCTGGCCGCCGCCCCCGGCTGCTGCCAGGCGCTGCTGGACCTGCTGGCAGCACACGCGACCCTCACATCCAGCGTCTTCGCAGCGGCGGAGCCGCCCCAACACCAGCCCAAGCAGCAGCAACAGCAACAACAGCAGTCCCAGCAACAGGGGAGCGAAGCGGCGGGTGGCAGAGCGAGCGGCGCAGCAGCAGCAGCAGCAACAGCTCCTGATCCTGCGGTGCCCAGCGGTCAGAAAGGCACGGCGGGCGGGGCAGCAGCGACGGCAGCGGGCTGGGTTTCGGAGCCGGGTGCCGCTGCTGCCTGGGAGGACCCGCAGGCTGCTGTGCATGCTGCGTGTCTGCTGCTGTGGCGTGTGAGCTCGGACGCGGAGGCGAGGGAGCTGCTGCGGGGGGGGACCAGCGCGCTGGTGCCGGTGCTGATGGGTGAGTGGTGGCCTGGTGGGGTTACAGTGGTGGCCTGGTGGGGGTAGAGAGAAGACTGGAGGAGGGGGGCAAGGGCAGGAGAGGGAGAACTGTGACAGTAATGGGCGGGAGGGGGCGCTTCGTAGCGGGCTGGAAGTAGGCGCTAGTAGGAACAGGGGCGGGAGTGGACTGAAAGGGTACGGAGGGAGTGCATGCCCCACACCCGCGCGTCGCGCTCCTCACCGCTCCTTACCAGCTTCCCTCACCTCGTCCACCCGCCCCCCCAACCCCACCTCCCCTCCCCTCCCCCCCTCAGCCCTGCTGGGCACCCCCTCCGCGCTGCTCCGCATGGCAGTCAGCGGCGCCCTGCACAACCTCAGCCAGGCGCCCCGGGTGCAGGCGCAGCTCATCAGCAGGGCGCAGGTGGGGCGGGCAGGGGGCAGGGGGGAAGGGTTGAAGAAGGAGAAACCTGGCGGGGGGTGGTGGGTGTCAGCGACCATACCAAACCATAAGAAACCACAGGTTAGGGGGTGGCGGGACAAGAGCACCGGAGAGCGATTGCTGAGAACTGCAACACGCTGCCCCCGCCCCTCACCTGTGTGCCCCCTCTTCTCGCTCAGGAGCTGCTACCCATCCTCCTTGGCCTGATGGGCCGGGCGGGGCCGGACCTGCGGGCGGCCTTGGAAGGCGACAGCACCGCCGCCGCCACGTCAGACACATCCTCGCGCCACCAGCACCACCACCACTCGGGGCTGATGGCGGCCGCCGCCGCATTCGCTGCAGCCTCCAGCCTGCCCGGCCCCACCGCCCCGCCGCCCGGCCCCGGAGGCTCCTCACAACAGCAACCCCAGCAGCCCCAGCAGCAGCCGCATGCAGGCCGCAGCACCACCTCGGCACGCCGCCAGCCGTCATCCAACCTGGGGGCGGCCTCACCCGCAGCCGGCGGCTCGGCCCCGCAAGTGCAGCAGCAGCTGCAGCCGCAGCCGCACCTGCAGCTGCAGGCGCTGCTGCAGCAGGCGGGTCAAGTGGGCCCGCCGCGCAGCGAGACGCGCAGCGGCGGCGGCGCACCCAGTGGCGGCGGAGGCGGAGGAAACACAGGTGGCGGCGGAGGCGGCGGCAGCCGCTCGCCGCTGTCGCCATCGTACGGCAGCTCTCCGACGGTTCCGGCGATGTCCGAGGTGACGGCGGCGGAGGCGGTGGCACTGACGCTGGTGCACGTGGCGGGGCTGCTGTGTGTGCTGTGCTGCCACCCCTCCGCGGCGGCGGTGCTGGCGCTGCCGGAGGGGCAGCCGCTGCTGCGGCGCCTGCTGCGCTCCCTGGCGGCGGCGGGCTGCGTGGCGGTGGCGCACATGGCGCCCGGCAAGGCCGCCTCCTCCCACTCGCCTCCCAGGCTGCACCCCCAGCAACAGCAAGGGGGGCAGCAGCCGGGCGGGCAGCAGCAGCAGCAGCAGCAACGTCAGCAGCCGTTGGTTGATGCGCTGACGCGGTTTCAGCTGCTGTGCGGCGGGGTGGTGGCGGCGCTGGCCGGACATGCGCCCCTGGCGGCGGCGGCAGGCGCCGCTGCAGGAGGTAAAGCCGCTGGTACGGCAGCGCCGTCAGCGGCGGCGGCAGCAGGAGTGCCCATCGCTATCATGTCGGCGCTGTACGGCTATTGTCGTGAGGCCGACGCCGCGGGCCTCATCGTCGTGGCGGCGAATCCAGGGGTGGCGGCGGCGCTAGCGCTGGCGCTGCAGTACGGCACCCGAGCGCTGGGTGCTGACGTCAGCTTGGCCTTCCCCCACCCGCATGCACAGGTAGGACCCGGAGGTGGTGGCGGCGGAGGTGGAGGCGGAACGGCGGGAAGCGACTCCAGTCAGAAAGGCGGTACCGCTGGCACCAGCAGCAGCGGCGGCGGCGGCGGCGGCGATAACGTGACGACGGACGGCGGCGGCGGATCCGCTCCGTTGGACCCAGCGGCGGCGCTGGCGGCGGCCAGTTTCGCTCTGCATGCCGTACGTCTCATGGCATGTAACGCCCCCGCGACGGAGGTCCTGATGGCTGGGGACTGCGGCGCCCTGCAGTGCCTTCGTACCCTGACGTACTTTCTAATCGAACGCAGCATCCAGCAAACCTTGTCATTGGACGAGCAATCACTTGCCGTACAGGCGTTAGCATGCGGCACGCTAGCGCGGTTGGCGGAGCAGCCGGCGGCGCGTGCGACGGCGGTTGTACGGGAGGCGCTGTCGCCGCCGCTGGAGGTGCTGTCGGCGCTAGCCGTACTGCTGCTGCTGCCGGCGGCGGCGGAGACGGAGGCGCCTCAGGGTGCTTGTGTGGGTGCGAGCGAGGCGGCATTGACGGCGAGCCGTAGCTTCGTGGCTTCGCTGCTTGCTGCGATTGCGCAGTACGGACCGTACACGTACGAAATGTTCACACAGGTATGTACATGCGATTTCGAAGCAGATCTTCTCAACCTGTCTTCCAGCACTATGTGATCCGCACCCGCACCCTCATCCGCCTCCCTGCCGTACACTGAACCCCTTCCCCCCAACGCTCCCCCCCCGCCCCGCCCACTCACACCCCACCAGGTCATCGTCAACACCCGCGGCGCCCTGGGCACCCTCATCTCCCTCATCCCCGCCCCCGCACCCCCATCAGCACCGGCCGCCGCCGCCGCAGCCTCCCTGCCCGCATCCAGAGCAGACCGCGACCGGACCGAGCGAACCGACATCTCTGCGTCGTCGCTGCCTCCGCCCTTCAGCTTCCCCACCTCTTCCGATGCTGCCTGCGGCGGCGGCGGCGGCAGCAGCACCCCAGCCTCCACCAGCCTGCCAGGCGCCCCCCTGCCTCGCTCCGATTCGGCAACGCTCCCAACGACCACAACGGCCCTGGCGCCCGCGACTTCCTCCGCCTCGGTCTCCAGCGGCAGCTGCGGCAGTGGCAGCGGTGGCGTCATGGGGGACCCCTACGACGACGCCGCTGCAGCCGGCATGGACGCCGCGTTGGGGCTGTGTGGCGTGGCGGCTCACGCGCGTGACGTGGCGCGGGTGCTTGCGGGGAAGACCACCCTGGTCGCCACACTGCTGGGGTGGCTCCGGGAGCGCAGGACGGGTGCGGCGGGGGGGGGAGGGGAGGGGGGTGGGAGGGTGTTGTGTGCGTTTGGGCGTGGGTGGGGGGGCAAGAGCGCATCCCATCCGTTGCCCCCGCGTCCGCCCCATGTGCACCTGCGAGCCCTTCCGCCCCCTCCGTGACTGTACGCAATCGTGTCATCCCGCCAAGTGCGGAAATCCCAACGCCTAGTTCACCCCCCACCCACCCCACACACAGGTGGCCTGCCGCCCCCGTCCGACCCCTCCTGCCCCGCCCGGCAGTGGCAGTGGCAGTGGCAGTGGCAGGCCGGGTGGCAGGGGCAGCCGGTGCTGCGGGTCAAGGTGCTGCGACTGCTGGCCGCACTCACCAGCCAGGTGCGGGGGAGGGGGGGGCAGGGGTGTGTGGGGTGAAGCAACTGGCCGCGAAACAGGAACTGGCTAGATGCAGTATGTGTTCAGTGCAGCGTGCTCCTCTCCTCCCTCCCCTCCTAACCCCTACCCCTTCCCATCCCCCCCCCTCCCCCTCCAGCTGTGCGACTCCTCCGCCCGCTCCCACCTGCTCTCCGACCCCAGCCTGCTGCCTGCGCTGGCCGCCTGCCTGGCCCCGCAGCAGGACCCCCGGGTGGCGGCGGCGGGGCTGCAGTGGCTGGCGCGGCTGCTGCTGCACCCCGCATTCCTGCAGGAGAAGCTGCAGGGTGGGTGACGGGGTGGGGGGAGAGTTGGGGTGGGGGGATGAGGAGGGAGATTGGTGGAAGCCGGGATGCTTAGAAGCAGGGATGTTGGGTGTGTGAGGGTGAGTCAAACAATGTGTGCCGGTCTCATGGATGCCAGCTCTCCCCCCCTCCAGCTCATCTCCTCTCCTTACTTCTCCCCCATCCCTCCCCCCACAGGTCCCGCAGTCAATGAGTTCCTAGCTCGAATCCTGCAGCTGCTGCAGCTGCTGCCGCCCGCCGCCGCCTCCCCCGCGGTGGGCGCACTCACGCCCTCCCGCGCCGCCTCCCTCGCGGCCCTCAATGCAAGCCTGGGCAGGCCGGCACAGGGGGGCGGTGGAGGCGGAGGGGGAGGGGGAGGTAGCGGCGCGGTGGCAGGACTGAACAGCAGCCTCCGGGGCAATGGCGGCGCCGGTGGTGCAGGCGGTGGAGGCAGCAGGCTGCTGCAGGGGGCGGCATCCGTCGGCTCAGAGGCGGCAGCTGGCCTGAACAGCAGCATCAGCATCAGCGGCGGAGGCGGAGGTGGCGGCGGAGGTGGCAGCTTGAACAACAGTCTACGGAGCGGCAACGGCAACACTCGCGGTGCCGCCGCTGCCACCGCCGCCGGAGGCAGCCCCATGGTCATCAGTGCCTCCCAGCTGCTGACGTCACCGCAGCAGGCCCCCCCATGCGACCTAGCCGCGGGCGACCCCGCCGTGGTGGCCGCAGCCGCGGTGGCGCTGCAGCGGCTGGCGGCCTGCAGCGCGCCCATCCGCGGCCAGCTGGTTGCCGTACCGGGCCTCCTGGGGGCGGTTGTACGGCAGGTGCAGGGGCTGCTGGAGCAGCTGGCGGCGGATGGGTGCGTGGGTGGGGTGGTGGGGGCGGGGGCGGGAGGGGGTGCGGGATGAGGGGTCAGGGGTGCTTAACGGGGGCGGAAGGAGAAAGCCACGGGGATGGATTGTCCATACAGTTATTTCCTGCTATGGTAACGGACCTTGATGGATGCTTTGCCAGTGAAGGCACCTGACAAACGTAGCCTAGCAACGGAAAGGATTTTCAAACAATCTGGCTCGGGGCATTCCCTTCCTTTCCCCATCACACCACTCTCCTGCCCTCTCCCCCCCTCAGCTACCTGCTCCCCGCCGTCACCGCCACCCGCCTCTCCGCCCTCCTCGCCCTCCTCTGCGTGCTCGTGGAGACAAGCGACCTGCCGCCGACCCACGGGTCGCACAGCCCCTCCCACGCCACCACCTCCACCGGCGCGTCCAGCCTCCTCCCGACCGCCCCCACCGCCATTCCCCTCCGCATGCTGCAACGCAAGCTTAGTTCCATGAGCCTCATGGGCAGCAACACTGCCTGCACCCACACCTACACCCACACCAGCAGCACGGGTAGCGGCACCGGCAGCGGCAGCAGCGGCCTCATGCGCTTCCTCCGACCTACGGACGACGGTGCAGGAGCAACGGTTGGTGGGGATTCCGGCGTAGCAGCAGCCGGCGGTAACGGTTGCAGTAACGGCAGCGGCGGTACGGATGCTTTGCAGCAGTTGCTGGACTCGCCGCTGTGCGTGGAGGTGCTGTGTGAGGCGATCGACGCCATGCAAGCGGTGGTGGAGGCGGAGGAGCGGGCAGGGAGACATGCGCGCGGCGGGGAGGGCGGCGGAGGAGGTGGAGGGTTAGGAGGAGGGGGATCAGGGGGTGGCGGGCGGGGCCCGGGGCGCTCCCTGACAGGTGGTGTTGGCGGCGGTGGTGGTGCCCTGGCGAGTCCTGCGGTGGCGGTTAGTGCAGTGAGCAGCCCCAGTCGTCTGGGCCCAGCTGCTGCTGCTGGAGGGGTGGGGGCGGCAGCGGGGGCAGTGGTATCCTTCTCGCCCTCCACCACCACCCCAGGTGCACTAGAGGTAAGCAACGGTAGCAAGTCTCCGGCGCATCTCGCTAATGTGACCGCCTCCTCCTCCTTCTCACGTCTGCCTCCGCGCCCTTACTCTTACCGCTCTCCTAACCTCCAGCACGCCCCCTGTACGTCCCTTCCTCCCCTCCTAACCCTCGCTCCCTCTCACCTCCCACCCCCCAGCCCCTCTCCCCGCTGTCCCGCTACGGTAGCGAGGGCGCTCCCTCCGAGCCGCTCTCCGCCTGGCCCTCCAGCACCGCACTGGGGCTGGGCAGCCCCTGGACTGCACCGGGGTCCACCCCGCCGCACAGCACCGCCTCGCCAGCCAAGCGGCCCGCAGGTACCCGCGGGGTGGAGCACTGCACGCGCACGTCCTTGCCGCCCCGTACTTCTTGCAAGCCCCTTCCTGCTGCTCCCCCACCGCATGCAGCACCTACTCCCGCGCTGTGCAACACACCTCGATTGACGTACCTTGCCATGCTGCTTTCCCTCCCCGTCCTCCTCATCCCCATTTCTTCTCATACTTTTTTTCCGTACTCATACCTTTCCCGTATTCCTCCCCTTCCCTTGCACCCCAGCTGACGCCGTGTCCGCTGCCTGGCTGTCTGCCGCCGCCGCCACGCCCCCCTCCGAGCGCGCGGGTGCGGGGCAGCTAGCGGATATCCGCCGGCATGCACTTGGGGCGCTGCAGCAGCTGGTGGGCTGCTGGGTGATTCTGGCAGCGGAGGAGGGGACGGGGGCGGAGGGGGCGGGGGCGCAGGGACAGGGGCATGGGGGTGGGGAGGGGCATGCAGGGGCGGAGGGCGGAGGGGCGGGGTGGCTGCTGGGGGGGCTGCTGGCGGAGGTGGAGGGGGAGGTGCAGGCGCTGATGGGCAGGGGCGTGGCGGCGGCGGGGGGAGGAGCAGCAGGAGGAGGAGGCGCGGTGGAGGGTGAGTGTGTGGGAGGGGATTGGGGTAGGTTGGAAGGGTTGGGGAAAGAGCTGTGAGGGTAGGAGGGTTTGTGGCTGTGGGGTTTCGAACTCGTGTGGCGGCATGGAGGGCTGGCTGCATGCATGCTTACGCCAGCGGGTGAGGGCGCATGGAGGGCCCTCGCTTACCGGTAGTCCTGGCTTCCGTATCCGCTGTTCCGCACCCTTCCTGCGGGTACCCATCCTCCTGCTAACCACTCCTACATCACACGCTCTCACGCCCCCCTCCTACCCCACCCGCAGGGATCAGGTGGGGCGACCCGGCCAGCTGCGACGACCGGCCGCCCGCCCCCCCGCAGCCCCCTCCCTCCGCGCCGGGACGACCCGGCCGGCCCACTCGCCTGGCGGGCACGCTGCCGCCGCTGCCGCCGCCCCCGCCCCCGCAGCTGGGCGATGTGGTGATGGTGTCTTACGGCGGCCGCACTGGAGGAGGCGGCGGAGGGGGCGGAGGAGGAGGGGCCGCAGGGGGCAAGCTGGCAGGTGGTGGTGTCGTAGCGGGAAGCTGCAGCGGCCGCTCGTCCTCGGGTGCTGCGGGTGGTGGTGCTGGTGGTGGTGTGGGGGCTGGCGGTCGCAGCCATCAGTCGCGAGTGGCCCTGCTACGGCGGGTGGTGCAGGTGGGGTGGGTGGATGGGGTGGTGGGCTTGGAGGGTGGGGACGGCCGCGGCTGGGTAGCGAGAGGGGTTGCAGTGCCGGCCGTCATACCCGCCACTTCACCATCTATTTCGTTCCTCCTTCCCCGCTTCCCACTTTGCCCTCTCAAAGGCTCCCATCTCTACTAACGTCCCCTCCCCCCCTGTACTGCAGGTGTGTTGCCGGCTGATGACCCCCCGCCAGCCCCCCCACCTGCGCACCCCCGCCACCCGAGTGGTGGCGGCACTGCTGGGCCTCGCACCCCAGCTGGCGGCGCTGCTGGCGCTCTCCCTGCCGCAGCTGATGGACAGGTGGGGGGGACAGGAGGATGGGGAGGGGGGGCAGGGGGGCCATGTAAAGGAGGGGTAGCTCAGGACATTAGGCCTGGTCCCCTGAGGGCATATAATCAAACGGTTTTGGGCTACTCAACGGACCACATGCAAACAGCACTCCTCCTCAGCTGCGGTTAACCCCTTCCCGCCTGCCCCCCCCCCGCGCAGTCTCATAGACGTGATCGGCCTCATGTCCAGTCGGGCATCTGGCGGGGAGGAGGAGGCCTCCGCAGCCGCCGTCAGTGCGCTGGGGGGCGGCGGAGGAGGAGGGGCGGCAGCAGGCGCCGCAGCTGCCGCCGCCGCCAGCCTGATGCACCCCCCGGGCGACAAGGGGGTGCTTGGGGGCGGTGGCGGCGGCGGGGGGGTGCTGGGGGAGGGCGGCGGCAGCGGTTTGATGGAGGGTGGCATGGGGTTGATGGTGTTGTCGGGTGGTGTGGGGGAGCTGCGGGAGCGGCTGCAGCTGGATGCGGAGGCGGCGCTGACGGGCCTGGAGGTGCTGCTGGGGCTGGCACACAACAACTGGGTGCAGGTGAAGGGGGGGTTGGGGGCATTGGGGGGTAGAAAGGAGGAAACTGATGAGCTGTATGACAGGGGTTCAACATGGGGTGCAAACATGGTGTTGGTGGGGGGGGTGTTAGCGGCGGGTGGCGGTTTCCCTGCCCCTAGAGCTTATAGCTGCACCTTCCCGGTCCCTCAGCTGCCCCTCTCCCGCCCCCCGCCCCGGCTCCTGCTAGGGCCGCCTGGCCAACCACCCCCGCCTGGCTGCCGGGCTAGATGCGCTGCTGGATGAGGACGCGGTGGTGACGCTGAGGGCGCTGCTGGAGACACAGCAGCAGCAACAACAAGGGGGAGGAGGCGGAGGAGGAGGAGGAGGAGGAGGAGGGGGGCAGGCTGCAGGCGGGGGCGGCGAGCTGCACACAGCACAGCGCCGCAGCAGCGGTGGTGGTGGAGGAGGAGGTGGAGGTGGCGGTGGTCGTAATGCAACCCCTGCTGCTGCCGCCGCCTCAACCGCAATGCATGCAGGACACCCGCATGCGCACCCCTTGCAGCCACCCCACCCGCATGGCCGCGGCCCGAGTCCTAGTCCGCTGGGGCCGCATGCCGGGGCCTCCACCTCCACATCCCCTGCCGCTGCTGCCCCTGCTGCTGCCCACCTGCACAACCCCCATCTGCCGCCCGGCACGCCTCCAGGGCTGTCCCTTGCCAGCAGCGCCTCCTCCCTAGCAGGGGCGGCAGGCGGGGGCGGGGCCGGTGGGGTTGCGGGGGGAGGCGGGGGTGTTGCGGACGTGCGGGCGGGGGCGGCTCAGCTGGTGGTGGTGCTGGGGCCGCTGGCGTGCCGGCCGCTGGTGCCGCCGCAGGGGCAGGGCAGCGGGGGGCTCATCAGGTGGGGGGGGGAGGCGGGGGCGGGGAGGGGGGAGGCGGTGGGAGGCGGGGGAGGCGGTGGGATGAGGGGGGCGGGGAGGCGGTGGGAGTGGGGGGGAGGCGGTTGGAGGCGGTTGGAGGCGGTGGGGGGGGGGCAGTACCGGTAGCCGCAAGGAGAGGGTATGGTATGCTCAACATGCCATACGCCCAACATGCGCGCTCTGCACCTCTAGCAACCACATGTTTCCCACCTGCCTTTCCTTCCTCCCCACTGCTCACCTCTTGCACTCCCTCCACCACCCCCCCTCCTCCCCTCTCTCCCACCTCCCTTCCCCCCCCACTCCCCCCCTCCAGCTCCCTGGACGCGCTGCTCCACGAGGGCCCCACTCGGCGGCTGCCCGGGCTGGCCCTGTCCGCCCTGTGGTCGCTGCTGGCGGCCCCGGGGGGCGCGGAGGCGGTGGGCGCCTCGCAGCTGCCGCGGAGCCTGGTGGGGCTACTGCGGGGGGTGCAGCAGGGGGGGGCGGGGCAGCAGCAGCAGGAGGGGGCGGCGCAGCTGCGGGTGCAGGTGAGGTCCGGGGTGGTGGGGGGTGAGACGGGGTGTACCTACCTCTCTTATATATATAGTATGTATATATACCGGTATAGCCTTGCCACCGGCCCCTTCGCTCCTCTCCTGTTGACTCAGCTCCCTGCACCCACACCCCTCCTCCCTCCCTCCCCCCCCCCGATGCGTGCTGCTAGGATAGTGTCTTCGAATGCGCTCACTGCATGAGTCGGGATATGGGATCGGGACTCGTTGTTTCACTTATATAATTCCCCCCCCCAGGCGGTGGGTCTGCTAGCGGCGCTGGTGCAGCGGCTGGACGGTGCAGCCGCCTCCTCGCTGGCTGCGGTGGAGGGGCTGGCGGGGGCGCTGCTGGAGGTCATGGCGGCGGCGGCGGAGGCGCTGGCACGCGGGCTGAGGAACAGCAGCAGCAACTGCTCCGCCGCCGCTGCCGCCGCCGCCGCCGCTGCTGCGGTGGCGGTGCCGCCACAGCCCAAGCTTGCAGCCGCCGGTGGTGGTGGTGGTGGTGTGAGCTTCCGGCTGGGTAGCAGCGGCGGTCTGGGCAGCAGTGGCGAGCTGCCGGGGGAGGCGGGTGGTGCTGCAGGCTGGGGTGTGGGTGGGGGTGGGGGTGATGTGGCGGCTCAGCAGCTGCTGTGGGCGGTGGCGGCGGTGGCGGCGCTGTCTCGCAGCGCGGCGGTGGCGGCGCGGTTCGCCAGCCTCAAGGCGCTGCAGCCCGCACTGCTGGCGGCACTCAAGGTGGGGGGTGGGGGGTGGGGGTGCGGGGGCGGGAAGGCGGTGCGGTGCGGTGTTGGGATGGGGTTGTGTTGTGGGGTTGTGGTGCTGAGCCCGGGGCCTGGGGGACTCTTGGGATGGCGAAGGGGGAGCGGTGAGGACGTGAGTGGTGGCCTCACGCGGTGGCCTCCTCAGCCTGCCCACCTCCCCCATCATGCTTCACCCTCGCCCCCTCGCCCCCTCGCCCCCTCGCCCCCTCGCCCCCCCTCGTTTGGTTTGCCATTCTCATTCAACACATTGTGTATTCTTCTTTCCCCCGCCCCCTCCGCCCCCCAGGTGAAGCCCCTGGATATCCAGCTCTACGCCGCGGGCCTGGTGGGCAACCTGGCGGGGCACAACGCCACCGCAGCGGTGATCGCGGGGGTGCGGGGGGTGGGGCGGGAGCTGGTGCGGCAGCTGCGGGAGTGCAGGCTGGAGGGGGGGGAGGGAGGAGGAGGAGGAGGGGAGGAGTGGACGCGGGCGGAGGCGCTGCTAGGTGAGTGGGAGGAGGGGGGGAGGGGATGCAGGGCGTTAGTAGATGCATGTGAAAGGGGGCGGGACTGGAAGGTTGTTCTGCTTGGGCTGTATGATGCTGGGTAGTAGTGCACCTAGCATGCCAGTGCATGCCAGGTTGTTTGCTCTCCTGTTCCGGCCCAACTTCTGCGCCACCAGTGCTATCAAGCCTCCCACCCCCCACACCCCACCTTCCACCTCCCCCCCCCAGCCGCCATCCGCAATCTGGCTGCCAGCGAGCGGGGCCGGCAGGAGCTCGCAGCGGACCCCGCCACAGTACCCTGCCTGCTGCGGGCGCTAGCGGCAGGAGGAGGGATAGCGGGAGGAGGGACGGCAGCAGGGGAGGCGGAGGCGCTCCCTCAGCTGCATGCCGTGCAGGTGCGCGTGTGTTAAGAAAACTGTGCATGTCTTTGGGGTGCTGGGGTGGTACTCACGGCTATAAGACGTGGAGGGTGGCAGGACCATGAGGGGGGACGGATGGTGTTGCCGCCAGAGTCCTGCCTGTTGCCTCTCCTTGCCCCCCTCCCACTTCTCCTTGTGTCCTGCTCCTTGCCCCCTCCCACAACCGCTTCCCACAACCCTCCCTCTCTTGCCTTCTCCCTCCCTCCCTCCCTCCCGCCCCCCCCCAGCTGTCCGCCGCCGCCGCCCTGGCCAACCTCTCCTCCGACCGCTGCGGGTTGGAGGCCATGGTGGCGGAGCAGGAGCTGCTGCTGCCGCAGCTGTGGGGGCTGGCGAGGAGCTGCCTGGCACACATGATGGCAGCACAAGGGGGAGGACAGGGGCAGGGAGGGCAGGGGGGCCAGGTGGCAGCAGCCATGGCTGCAGTGGCGGCGGCGGGAGGGGCGCCCGGCACCTCCCTAGCGGGCGGATGGGTGCTGGCGGGGGCGGCAACAGGCGGTGGCGGTGGTGGCGGTGGCGGTGCGGGGAGCAGCAGCGTGGGTGGGGGGGAGGCGGGTGGGCTGCAGCAGCCTCCTCCCCCCCTCGGGCGGCGGCGCATGTGCAGCCGCATGCGGCTGTTCGTGTGTGTGCTGCTGGCCAACGCCATGAGCCACCCCGTGCTGGCAAAGGTGGGGCGGTGGGGGAGGAGGAAGGAAACTGACGAGGGAACTGACGGACTGGGGGAACTGGCGAAGGTGGTGGGGGGGGGTGGCAGGAGGGGAAGGGGGAGGGGCAGGGTTGCGGCTGGGTGGCTGGGTTGGGAGTGCGGCAGGGGTTAGGGAGTAAGGCTTAGTGCGGCTTAGGACGGGGTTACAGTGTTGGTTGCCGGTGATGAGGAGCCGCACCGCACCGCATGACCCCCTGCGCAGCGCCGTGAAGCAGCCGACCTAGGCATGGCGGTACACATAGCACCAACCTCTGTCCTCATCTCCCAACATGGCGTCTACCCTCTTCCCCCCCCCCACAGACCAGCCTCACCCTCCACGACGCCGCCGTGCTGCTCTCCGCACTGGTGCTGGCGCTGCCCGGCCCCTCCCGGCACGCCGCGCAGGCCGACCCGCTGGCGCCGCTGCGGCCCCGCCGCTCCCGCATGGCTGCTGTGGCGGCGCTGGAGGCGCTGAAGCAGCTGCTGCTGGCGGGGGGTGCGCGAGCGCTGCACAGCCTGCAGGTGGGGTGGGGGGGGGATAGACAAACTGAGCCACGGAAACACTGACCCTGACCGTCGTTTACCGGAGGATGATGGCGTCCCAGATGTCGAAGGAGAAGGAGGGAGGGAGGGGGTCTGAGGGGGGTTGCAGTAAGTGGAGTGAGGAGCTGTGTCGGCCAGGGATCCGTCTCCTACCTAGGCGCCTTGTTGCTCGCCCTGTCCCGCTTCTAGAGCCCCTGTGACAGCCCTGCACCGCACAACATACCACGTACGTTGCAACTCGCGGCCAGTTCTCTTAACGCACCTCCTCAACACCCCCACCAACCTACCCTCTTAGGGCCGCCCCGTCAAATCCAATACGCTCAACGCCGCTGTCGCAGCAGCTGCCGCCGCTGCAGCTGCCTCCGGCGCCGGCAGCACCTCCTCCCTCTCCTCCCCCTCCCTGTCCGCCCCCGCGCCGCCCGCCCCCTCCGCGCCCGGCTCCCCCGCCCGCCTGGCTCGTCTGGTGGACCACTGCATGGACCTGCTGGCCTGGGGGGACTTCACCAGCGCGCAGGAGGTGGCAGGTGGGGGGGGAGGGCAGCAGGCAGTAGGGGGCAGGCACGTGGCAGGGGGCAGGAGGCCTCTAGAGCTGCCTCGTGAGACCCCCGTACCTGTCCTCTCCCCCACCCATCACTCTTCCTTCCTCACCCCTACTAGCCCCCCTCACCCCTACTAGCCCCCCTCACCCCTACTAGCCCCACCCCTCACCTCCCACCCCCGCACCCCGCAGGCGACCCGGGCAGTGCGGGTATGGGAGCTGACGTGGCAGGGGCAGCTGCCGGAGTGGTGGGGCAGCTGGCGGTGCTGGGGGTCGTGGGTGAGAATGGGGCTGGGGGGGAGGTGGGGGGCTGGGAGGGAGCTAGGGGGCTGGGGCGGGTGTGCAGTAGCGGAGAGGGCAGCGTTGTGTGGTAGCGAGGTGTAGGAGGACTGACGCTGGTCACCCGCATCTACCGCCACGTGCCTTGCTTCACAAACCTCTGTTTCTCATGCTGCATGCAACCCCGAAAACGTTCCATCTGCCCCTGCCTTTCCCCCTGCCCTCCCTTCCCCCTGCCCCAGGTCGTTTCCCAGAGTATGCCGCCAGCAGCAGCCGCAGCCTGGTGCGGCTGCTGGTGCTGCCCACACTGCAGGGGGCGGGTGGGGGCGGAGGGGCAGGGGGGCAGGCGGGTGGGGGCGGAGGGGCGGCACGCGGGGGGCCAGCAGCCCCCGTACCTGGCAGCGGTGCGCCCCCGGGTGTGTTGGATGTGGCGGCGGGGCACGCGGCGGCGGCTGTGTGGGCGCTGGTGTCCAACCCGCAGTGCAGAGCCTGGGCGCAGCAGGTGGGGGGGAGCGGGGGGGAGCGGGGGGGAGCGGGGGGGAGCGGTGGAGGGAGGAGGGACCAGGGTGAAGGAGCAGGGGAGGGCTGGGGTTGCCTTGACACCCTCATCTGCCCCCACCTGTGACCATCTTGGCACCTGATGACCCCTCCCTCTCTCCCCCCCCCCAGTTCCGCTCCGACCCCGCCGCACAGCGCGTGCTGCTGCTGCTGGTGCGGCGGGGCACCCGGGGCGGCACACGCGCGCGCTTCGCCACCGCCCGCCTCTTCGCGGCGGCAACCCTGGGGCAGCTGGCGGTGCAGGTGGGGGGGAGGGGGGTGAGGGAGGGATGGGGGGGCGCAGGGATGGGGGGGGCGTTTGGGTAGGGCAGCTGGCAGGGGCCAGGAGGGGTAGCTTGCATGTGGGCCAGGAGGGGTAGCTTGCATGTGGGCCAGGAGGGCCCCTACGTTCGCCGCTCCCCTCTTCCCCACCCAACCACTCCTCCACTCACATGCGCTCACTGCATGAGTCGGGGTACGGGATTGGGGCTCGTTGCTTCACTTATCAAAATTGTTTCCCCCCGCCTCAGGGCGCCATCCCCGCCTCCTCGCTGCCCGAGCTGCTCTCCCCGGACAGCGGCCTGCCCGCGGCACTGCTGGACCTGGCGGCGCTGGCGCTGCCGCAGCAGGGGGGGCAGCAGGGGGCGGGAGGAGGGGGGCAGCAGCAGGGGGGCGGGGGAGCTGCAGGGGCGGCCACGATGGGGGCTGCGGGACGCGGGAGAGGAGGTCCCGGGGGGATGGGCATGGGTATGGGGTTTGGGATGGGAGCGGGTATGGGCATGGGTGGCGGGTACGAGAGGTTTCCGGCAGCGGGGGGTATGGGAGGAGGAGGAGGAGGAGGAGGGGGTATGGGGGCGGCGGCGGGGGGCCGGCAGCGGAGCAAGGACGTGGACCCGCAGGAGCAGGTGGGGGGGGCTTGGGGGCTTGGGTGGGAAGAGTGAAGTATGAGGGAGGAGAAGCGTAGGTGGACTAGGGCTGCGGAGGAAAGGAAACCAAAGAAGGTGCACGCGACTGCCTACCGCATCAGGACACAGGGTGGGGGGTCGGTCGGGGCTGTGGGAGCTGAGACACCCGCCCCCATGCGGCCAAGGGCACTGCGCTGGATTGTGCGCATGCACAGAGTGCTTCCTGATCCCTCGGCGGCTCCCTTCCCCTCCTCCCCCACCCCTCCCTCCGGGCCGGGTTCAATCAACAACCCCTGGTGAAGCCTCGTCACCCAGTTCGTCAGTTTTCCTTATTTTTACCCCTCCCCCCTGCCCCCTCAGGCCCGCACAGCCGCGCTGGCGATGGTGGGGGTGACAGGCGACCTGCGAGTGACGCTGGGGCTGCAGGTGAGGTGGGGGGTGGAGGTGGGTAAAACAAAAGATGTAAGATGGGGAGCACATACAGTTGAACGCATCAAGGGGGAGGCGGGTGGTCTCTTAGCGTCCTGCTCGGCTGGTGACGTCCGCAGCCTCAGCCAGCAGGCCCCTTCAAGTGCCCTATCCGGCGCGCTACCATTCACCTGTCTTCTATCCGCTATCCACCTTCCCCTGGCCCCTCCCCCCAGGCGGTGGGCGCCCTAGCCCACCTGGCTGGTGAGCGGGCGTGCGGCGGGGCGGGTGCGCTGCTGCAGCTGCCGGGGCTGCTGGACATGGCGGTGAGGGAGGGGCGGGGGGGAGGAGGGGCTCAGGGCGGGGGCTGCCTGCTGCAACAGAGCCTACTCCTAGGAGTGGAACAGCCTTCCTACGCGCCTCTATGTACGGTTACTGTCCGCTCCCTCCCTTCTATCCAGCACCCCTCCCCGCTCCTCTGTCCTCCCCGCAGCTCCGACTGCTGCTGTGCCCCCCGGAGGACGTAGCGGGTGCCGCCGCCATGCTGCTCAGCTCCCTCACCAGCTGCGGGGGCTGGCAGGCGGCTGCAGCGGTGTGCAGCTGGCGCGGAGGGGAGCTGCTGGACGCGCTAGCAGCCGCGCTGGCACCTGACAGGGGGCTGCCGCTGCGGGCCTACTGCGCGGTGGTGGTGGGGAATGTAGCAAACGGGCCGCAGGAGACGCCGGCGGCGGCGGCGGCAGCAGCAGCGGCGGCGGGGGAGTTGTCGTACGACGCTGGCGGCGCCGCCACGTCGGCGGCCGCTGTGGAGCGGTTGCTGCGCTGCGGCGCGTTGCGGCAGCTGGTTGGCTTGCTTGGGGAGTGTGGGCGGCAGCTGCGGGCGCAGCATGGGAGGCTGAGGCGGAGGCAGCAGGAGCAGCAGCAGGAGCAGGGGAGGGAGCAGGGGAGGGAGGTGCAGCTGCAGCTGCGGGCGGCGCGGCGGGGTGGACCGCCCAAGGAGCCCACGGAGGCCTGGGCCCCGGGGGTGGCGGCTGGTGCTGTTGCTGGTGCTGAGAAGCCGGGGGGTGAGAGGGAGGCGATACCCGGGGCTGCTGCTCCGGTCGGCGCTGGCACGGGTGATGTGAGGGGCGGCGAAGGCAGCAGCCAGGCAACAGGAGCCGCAGCAGCGCCGCCAGCAGCAGCAGCGGTGACGGAGGAGGGTGGCAGCGGGCATCAGGTGGCTGCGGCGGCAGGTGCGGGCCCGGCAGCAGCAGCAGCCCTAGCCGCCGCTGGTCCCGCGCCCCCGCTGCCGCTGCTGCTCAGCAGCCTGGTGGTGCCGCTTGCCACCCCGCAGGTGGCGCCGCTGGGCAGCTCGGCGGCGGCGGCAGCAGCAGCAGTGGGCCCCGCCAGCATGCTGTCGGCACGGGGAGCCACCTCCCGCCACCAAATACTGGCAAAGCAGCAGCAGCAACAGCAACAACCGCAGCAGGTATCAGGGCCAGAGGCGGGTCAGGGTCAGGACCCGCAAGCACCTGCAGCTGCCGGGGTCACCCGAGCGGTGGGGGGTGGCGGAGTGCCCTCCCGGTCGGCAACACGATTCGGTTTGGAGGCTGCGGGTAGTAAGGAGGCTGGCGGCGCCGGCGGCGGTGGTGGTGGTGGTGCGGGTTCTGACGCTGACTCCTGGTTGACGCTGGCGCCGCTGCTGTCGGCTGCAGCTGCCGCGGCGGGCGCCATTCAGAACTTGAGTGCAGGTCACGCGGTGGCTTGTGAGGCGCTGCTGCAGCTTCCGGAACATGCGGCAGCAGGGGCGACAACAGGCGGCGGAGGCGGCAGCGGTGGCTGGGACGCGGGAGCAGCGGCAGGGGCAGGGGCGGCGCAGACGGTACAGAGCTTGGCGGAGTGGTTGGGCGATGCTGCCGCCGCTGACGGCGAGGCCGACGCTGTGGACGGCCCTGGAGGCGGAGGCGGTGATAGCTTCCTGGCAACCTCGCTACTGCTACTGCGGCTGTGCCTCCTGCTACTGGGCGGCAGTAGCAGGCTGCAGCTGCCGGACGTGTTGCCGGATGCGTCAGAGGAGGGAGCCGAGGGAGGGGAGCGGCAGCCCCGCCGGGACAGCACCGGCCGGGGCAGCAGCAGCCGCGGCGCCAGTCCGCTGCTGCTGCTGCTGCGGCTGGCGGTGCTGCTGCTGGGCTCGCTGGCCAACCTGTCGGCGGTGCCGTACGGCAAGCAGGTGCTGCTGCGGCTGCTGGCGGCGGAAGCGCCCGCCGCCGCCACTGCCGCCGCCACCGGCGGAGTCTCCAGTAGCCCCCCTGGAGCTGAGGAGTGTCTTGACGGAGCCAAACCCAAGCATGATCCCTCTGTGGCCTCGTCCTCCTCCGCCGTCACCGCCGCTGCTGCCAGCAGGGGTTCTTGCGGGTTGGCGGGGTGCCTTGTTGGGCTCATGACGCTGCCCGCACCCGCACCGGAGGAAATCCTGCGCACCCCCGGTGCAGGCGGAGGCGGAGGCGCCGCCGCCAGCCCCACCGCCGCTGTGCTCATGAGGCACCGCAGCAGCGACATGCGCCGCCTGGCGGGGCAGGTGCCGGGTGTGGTGGCGGGCGCGGAGGCGGGCGGTGGCGGCGGCGGCAGCGGTGCGGGTACCGGCGGCGGTGCCGCGGGTGAGGTGGCGGAGGCGGAGGCACATGAGGCGGTTCGTGCGGGTGCGTTGGGGCTGTGCTGTAACCTGCTGCTCGAGGAGCCGGAGGAGGAGGAGGAAGAGGAGGAGGAGGAGGAGGAGGGCGCGGTAGGGGAGCAGGCGGGGGGTGCTGCGGAAGGGGAGGTGTCCTTCTGGGATGATGACGCCCGGTCACCGGAGCAGCAGGAGCAGCGGCAGTCCAGCGGCGGCGACCCGGGCTCACGACGCAGGCGGGGTGCGGGTGCGGATGCGGGTGGGAGCGGGTTGGATGCGGGTACCGCAGCGCTGCATGCTGAGAGTCCGGTGGTGGCGGGGCCGGAGGAGCTGCAGTACGGTTCCGTGGTGTTCCGGAGCGGTGCCGCTGCGGGCGGGGGGCTGGGGAGCCTGGAGGGAGGCAGCAGCAGCAGAAGCAGCACCGGGGGCGGGAGCATGGGTGACGGCGGGGGTGGGGCTCTGGTGTGGCCGCCTGCTGCTGCTGCTGCTGAGGTTGGGTCTGGCAGCGGGGTTGGGACCGGAGCGATGGTGGTGGGGCCGGTTCAGACCGACGCCATGTCGCTGATTGCGTTACCTGAGGAGGCGCGCGCGGTGGTGGGCGAGGAGGAGGACGCTGGTGCCCCCGGGAGCCCCAGGGAGGAGCCGGGGCTTGCGGGGGGTGCCACCTCTCCGGTGACCGCAGCAGCCGGTGTTGGAGGTGGTGGTGTTGGGAGTGGTGCGAGGGCGCGCAGGCGGCCGGTGTCGGGTCGTGCGGTGCTGCTGGCGGCGTTACGGGGCAATGCGGCCGTGCTGGCGTTTCTGGAGGAGCTGGCGGCGGCGGCGAGGGGGCGCGAGCAGCGCCTGATCAGGCACATGGCGTCGTGGCTGCTGCATGTATGCGCTGCGAAGCCGACGTCTCCGGAGCCAAATGCGGGGGCCTGCGTTTGAGGGGGGTGCTGCGGGTGTGGGGGCGGCGCTGGAGGAGCGGTGCTGATTTGGACGGCCGTATAGAGGGCGTGATACGATGTGATTCCGGTGTGTTTCGAATGGAGTGTTAGCTGTTGCATGCGCCGGTCGCCAACGTTGCAACGTTTTGGATGGTGCTCGTAACGCAGCCTAGGACATAACACTGATTGTTAAGTTGGGGCTGGCTTGCTGCTTCCCAATGCTGGGCTTGTCATGCCGACTGCTTGGGATGTGTGTTGTGCAAGGTGAGATGCAAAGCATTAAAGGAGATAGATCTAGAGCAGATAGTTCTTCCGCATTGCGCTGGAAGCTGGATAGCGTATACCGTAGTATGTGTTTAGGGTTAGCAGGGTTAGCAGCAGAGGGAAGTAAAGTAGCCCCGCTTTCGTGATCGCTTGATGGCGTGCATGTAGAACGTACGTAGCGATCCCTGTCGTGTGTTGGATATGGAGGGAGGGTGGTGGCGCACATGTGAGTACCGGGTAGGGAAACGTACGAGTGCTTCTAGGTGTACCGGTTGTACGGGTGTATGCCGGTTCGCATGTTGTGCATACAGTGCCAAAGGAGACAGGGACTCGACAGGGACTCCGCAGACGGCTGCGACGCTTCGCGCTAGGCTTCCGGGGCGTCGGTTAACATGCTGTCCATGCAAGAGTTGGTCCTCAGCCCAGATCCCGTGAGGTCTTGCTGTTGCCCAGGAGCGCTCAACAGTGTTAACGTTTGCCTCGTACTATGTGTTGTGGCGGTGCACAACCCTGTCAGTTGGTACGAAAACGAAGAATTGGGCAACCCCGAAGCATAACACCGGTGCCGCAACCACCGCACGAAAACGAAGGATTGGCATGCCGGCTGTGTCCCATCCTTAGAAGTCTTAAAGCAGCCGTGTCTGGTGGACACATCGAGGCCTTCACAATGGCATTTGCCCCTGGAGACCACCTGACCCGCATGTACGCCTTGGAGGCTTCAGCGGAGGCGGGGCTTCTGGAGGCTTGCCGGCTGTGCCTGAAGCTCGGCTGCCGCTGGAACAGCAAAACAGTACACGTTGCTGCTCGCAATAACCACCTCTCCCTCATGCACTGGTTGCTGCTGCTGCACCCGCGGGACAGGGAGGGGCCCATTGACTTTTGCGAGCTCATAAGCAATGTGGCGTTGAGCTGCGAGCTAGGAGAGCTGCAGAGGCTGATGCAGAATTGGCAAAGTATGGGTCTGCTGGAAGCGGAGACAGAGGCATGGAAGCCCTTCGTGCTGGCGGACGCTGTCCGCAGCCCCACGCCCGACTGGCAGGCCAAGGTGGAATGGCTGGAGGCGCAGGGCTTCCCTCGCTGCTCCGACGTCTGCGAGGAAGCCGCGGCCATGCCGGACGCGCTGGACCGCTTGACGTGGCTCCGGAGCAAGGGCTATCAGGCGGATCGCAACGCCACCGACATCCCCACCATGCTCGGCAACACCGAGGCGCTGCGGTACCTGCTGGGCCAAGGCACCTTCAGGAGGTACCGCCCCAGCAAGCACGCTGTGGAGCCCGCTGCGGAGTATGGCCGCATGGAGGTGCTGGCGTTGCTGGTGGACCGCGGCTGCCTCATGGACAACCGCATCCTGGAGCGCGCTGCAATGAGCGGCCAGCAGCCCATCGTGGCCTGGCTGCTGCAGCTGCTGGGGCCGCAGCCGCTGCATGCCGCAACATGGACCTCTTCCGAGCCGCCGCCTCCTCGGGCAATCTGTCGCTCATGCGCTGGTTGCGGCAGGAGCGCGGCTGCATGTGGGCGGAGGGCGTGTACGCCTACGCCGCGGGTGCGGGGTGCGTTGAGGCGCTGGAGTGGCTGGTGGAACGCGGCTGCCCCATGCCGGCCAGCATTCCCTACCTGGATGCATACCTGTCGGCGGCTAGGGAGGGAGACCTGGCGACGCTGGGTTGCCTACGGAGGCTGGGCTGCCCCTGGAGTCCGGCTGGGCGGACCATAAGCAAATGCATCCAGGAGCGCTGCCCAGTGGCTGCGATGGCCTGGCTGGTGGCGGAGGGGTGCCCGGTGGACTGGGCGGCCAAGCATGCGGTGGCGGCGGTGAACGAGTGGTCAGTATGTGCCGACGAGGTGTGGGAGTGGCTGCGAGAGAGCTGCAGCAGTGAGAGGCGGCGGGGTCTGTCGCTTCGCTCGGTAGATGAGGCGCTGGCGTTTGAGTTGTACAAGGCACAACGAAGGGTTAGGGTTAGGGAGGAGGCTTCTTCGTTTGAGGAGGAGGAAGAGGATGACGAGTAGTTTGGAGGCTGGGGATGATGGTTTGTGGTGAGTAGGGGCGCAACAAGGCGAGCAGGGCGGGGCACGAACAGCGGGATGTGAGGTGACGGTGAGGAGGGGGATCCTGGTGTTGATTGCGTTTGAGGCGGCGTTTATTCTGGGTTGCCTCAAGAAAGCAACCGCCGTCGCTGTGAGGCACGCGGATGGGAGATGGCGTGGGCAGCCTCGGAGGAGTTGGAAATGGCACACAGGGTTACGGTAGTGGAAAATGTGCCTTATAGCCAAGAGGGAGAAGCTAATTACTTTACATTCCTAAAGTTGCCCTAAGGTGCTGTGGCGTGACGCCAAGAGTGTAAGAAGGTCAGCGCCTGTGCGAAACACAGCGTAAGGCCTCGTTTCCCTTCTACCAACCAACGAAGTCGCTTGCACAGTTCGGCTTGTGAACAAGGCCGCGGCGGCTCAAACCCGCTCTTCAAGCTACACTACCATCAAGCTATCACAGCCTGTACCAAAGCATGCTTTTGCGCAGCGTTGGGGCGGACCTGATGCGGCTCGTGGCATGACGCGGAAGCAGCGGATGGAGCTCCTGTGTCTGACGGCCCGCAGCGGCGTCATCGAGAATTTGGAAGTGGCAGCAGCATGCGCTGGTTACATCCCATCTATGGAAGTCCTGGAGGCCGCTGCGTCCGCGAAACAGCTTGATGCCTTTAATTGGGTGGTGCGACATGCGCATTGCATCGTCACAGACGTGGCACTCGAATGCGCTGCCGAGGAGGGGCTGCGGGATGCCTGTGAGGCATGCCTGGAACTTGGCTGCGCTTGGTCGCTACAAGCTGTGTTCGCTGCCGCAAACAACGGCCATCTTGACCTCATGCGCTACCTCATGCCGAGCAACCGCTTGACTACACCTACTTACTTTGTGGGCTGGCACGGGGCTGCGAGTTGACGCAGCTGCAGCTGTCGATGCAGGAGTGGGGGGCCGCGGGGCACCTAGCGGGCCTCGAGGTGTGGAAGCCGCACCTGCTCGCGGCCGCAGCAAGCAGCCCCACGCCCGACTGGCAGGCCAAGGTGGAATGGCTGGAGGCGCAGGGCTTCCCGCGGAGTCATCACGCATGCAAGGAGGCCGCAGCCAGACCCGACGCGCTGGACCGCTTGACGCGGCTGCACGACAGGGGCTTCCCGCTCGACACCCGGGCCGCCGACGTCGCCATGCAGAAGGGCAACACGGAGGCGCTGCGCTTCCTGCTGGGGCTCAATATTTGGCCGGGCGACCATGCCGTTTGTGATGCCGCAAAGTCCGGCCACCTTGAAGCGCTGAAGCTGCTGATCGGCCAGGGCTACCCCTTTGACCAGTACCTCCTACACAGCGCAGCTAGCGGCGGCCACCTGCCCGCCCTCACCTGGCTGGTCGAGGTGTGTGAGCAGCAGCAGCAGCAGGGCCACCTGGTGCCAGACAAGTACATGTTCCGCGCTGCCGCCCAGTCGGGCAACGTAGAGATGATGGAGTGGATGCGAGGGCGCGGCTGCCCCTGGGGCGCGGCCGCGTACGCATTCGCGGCGGAGGCTGGCAGCGAGGAGGCCCTGGAGTGGCTGGCGCGGAACGGCTGTCCCATGGAGCCGGAGGAAGGCGACCGCTTCCCCATGACCCGCCCCTACTCCATAGCTGCGGATCACGGTGACCTGGCGGTCATGCAGTGCCTGCGGCGGCTGGGGTGGGCCTGGGATCCCGCTGGCGGCACCTTCACGGCGTGTGTCAAGGAGGACCGCTGTCCGGCGGCGGTGCTGAGCTTGCTGGTGGCGGAGGGGTGCCCGGTGGACTGGGCGGCGGCGGTGGGGGCGGTGGCGGCGCGGGTGGCAGCGGGGGGGACCTGGCGTCGGTGCGCGGAGGAGGTGTGGGAGTGGCTGCGTGAGAACAGCGGCGGTGGGGATGATGGGTGGTGGCAGCGGGAGGGGTGCGGCTCGGCGGAGGAGGCGATGGAGCGGGTGCTGGCGCGGGAAAGGGAGGCGGCGGCGGCAAGACAGGAGGAGGAGGAGGAAATATACATGAGTATATGGCGCTGCATCTACCGAGAAGGAAAAGCAGGAGGGTGCTCCTGCTCCTGCTGCTATTGCTTCCAGGGCTACGGCTGCTGCTGCTGTTACCAAGGCCCCTGCTGTTTCCCCCAGCAGCTTCCTGGGCCTGATGCTATCGGCTCGCGACCGGGCCACTGGCGAGGGCCTTACGGCGCTATGCGGTGTGTGCCGCCACCCTGCGTGCCCTTGGCGGCACACACCGCATAGCGCCGTTCGCCGCCTTCGACCAGTTCCCCTGCACACACCATCTGGAGTGCATCTAGTGCGAACCAACATGCGAACCAACCCCACTGCTTGCTCTTGTTTTTGCTCGATTACACACCATCTGGAGTGCGGGGTGCTGCTCACGCGGAAGTAATACGTAGGGATGCTGAGGGTACTGAAGGGTGTGATAACCTGAGTGGAGGGATGCGAGTATCGGTGATGTGATGTGATGGTTACCGGTGCTTGCAACGGGCTGGGTTGGGAGGGGAAGGGTAGGTGGGGAGTCAGGAAAGAAAGGTGCAGGGAAGGCATGATTTGACACCATGCACGGCAGCTGCAGCTAGACCAGTCTTGCAGCCGATAACAAAAAATGCATACCTCTTGGATGGATTGGCAGAGACATGCAGCGTGCTATATCGGTGCTGACCAGCAACATGCACCAACAACTCGCAGGTTGCCGTCCTTTTGGAGGGTATTGTATCCTTTGCTGTTCTTGACTGCGTCTTGTGTATATAATATTTGCACCTTTAAGTGTCGCTTACGAGCACTTTGACGGTTTGGGGGTCCATGCTCAAACGCAGCTCTATTGGAAATTCGCTACCGATGCAGGTTGGCGTTTGTTTCACAGCTTCCTTTTGCCTTGGAGTTGCCATTGTTTTATATGTGAGGGCTATGCTGTGCTTGTTGAGCGCAAGTCATTGGCACTGACGCTTAAATGCAGGTCTTTCAGCAACCGCTAAAGTTTTGTCGCATGTCAGCTTTCTGCTAGGAGCTCTATAGTGCCTTTTGTCTTAAGAGGAGCTTCCGAATGCAAGCTGCGACGTAGTACAATTTGCCTCCTAGCGCTTAAACCAAGAACCACCGAGGGGTGTTGTTTTGCATGCATTATTACTTCACAGGTTCCTCATCAACTGAAATTCCTGATTGTTTCTGCTTTTTGTGTTCCGTTTCCCATTGTCCGCCATATACGACAGGAAGGTGCGCGAAGGGGGTAGCTCGCTTGAGGCCTTAAGCGACTAAAGGTGCAAGTTGTTGTCTTACAACGTTTCGCAGCTACAAAGTACACTTGTCATTACGTGTGACAGCAACAAGACACACCTGTCATTACGTTGGGTTCAGTTTGCCCGGCACTTTTAACTGGCCAGATAAGGAAAGCAACGCGAACGTCCATAAAAGGTTTTATTCTGTAGACTAACACCAGAGGATGTCGCGTGTCAGCACATACAATTGTATAGACAACAATATATCCGCATTGGAAAACAGCATTTGGGGCGATTTTGGGGGACTTCGTTCAAAGGTGCTTGATGCGTACAGCGGAGGGCCGCGGACCTCATTACTGGGTGCCGCCTATGTACCGAAAGTATAGACGGACACAAATAAACGCTGGTTGTGAAGGTCAAACTTATATATAACGGTCGAAAAATTTTTTCACCAAAATTTTTTCACTCCCCCTCAGCCATTACACTTTGCCTAACACGCCAGAGCAGCTTACCAGGGAATGGATCGCGAAATGTGAGAAAGACACGAAAATTTATTGCGCAAGCAGCGTTGGGGACATGCAGAAGTCGCTGGAGAGCAGCTCATCGGTGGACTACGTCGCCGTGAAGCCTCGCGGCCTTGTGGAGTCGCAGGTCGTCGACATGTTCAACCAGTACCAAAGAGACTTAAAGAAGCGCGAGGCAAGTCGTGAAGCGAAATTCATCTGCACGGCTCAGAAATCGTGGGGACCTAAACCAAGCCTCCGTTGATAAATCGCAGATCATGGACCATATTCACAATATAAAGTCCAAGGCGCAGGGCGCGTGCTTCGACGAGTTTATACAATCCGTCATCGCAAACCTACAGAGCCCCAGCTACGTGCAACTGGTGATGGGCTGCTCGACCTTCACGGCCTTCGCGGAGATCCTGTCGACAGTGCACAAGGAGAAGCGCGACGCCATTATGATCGCGTGCAAGGGCTTCTGCGAGAAGTACAAACTGGAGCTGAAGTTCTGGGAGCAGGCGAGCGCCGTCGAGCAGCTGAACGGTGACCGGAACGCGGTCGCGCACTGCGACATCGCCGTTAGCGCCGATGCCATCATCCAGGCGGCAAAAGTGGGCCAGTTGCCGGAGGTGGAGGAGGCGTGGGCCATGCTGGGCGCCCTGGCCAACTACGGCAAGATGAACAAGGTGGCCCTGGAGGACGCGTCACGCAAGGAGCGCCAGAAGCGGGTGTTGTTATCTGAGCAGTACCGGCAGCGGCTCACGCAAGCGTAAGGGCGCGGGAAATGTGGTCCTGGCGGCATGGCACTGCTCCTGTTGGAAGCTGGCATCCTGTACTCGTTTAAGTGGATCTCTGTACGCTGGGTGCGGTGCGTTGTTTCCTCGACGTGAAAGGCGCGGTAGGGTGGAGTCTTTCGTGCTGTTGTGTATCTAATCGGAGTACATGTCACCGTGCGCATGGCGGTGGATGGAGCGCTTTCTGCGGACATGGCTTCAGGGGGTAACGCCGAACCCCTCCGTTCGCGCAAGGAGATTTCAGGGAACCTGTCGTTGTGTTCGTCCCCTGCTTGTACAAGCATTTTCAGTCCCAGTCCCAAGTCTCTGCTGCCACGACATACTGCTGATTTGACACAGTCCGTGGCTTGACGTCAAATACCTTGCTGTGTATGATGGATCCGTGCTGTAATTTAGGGCTTTTTGTTTCTAAGCGTGACAATGCCCGCTCGAAAACAATGATAATAGTATACCCGGCCGTGCACCGGGGCGTGTGTCAAGGGAGCAGGAGATGATGGGGTTGTGGGTTTCCGTTTTCCTGCTTTTTATAATAAATAATTTCATGTGGAATTATGTGACGCCCTCATAGTGGGTGCGGGGCCAGCCGGCCTGATTAAGCGGTGAGTCTTGCCAGGTACTGCTGGCAAGGTCCTTAGCAGTCGACGGTGGTACATGTAGCGTGCAGCCCCGTTCCGCCTGGTGGGAACCGCTTGCCGTACTGTAAGCGTGCATGCGGGGACGAGAGGTCGCTGTCCGCACTGCAAGGGTGTGCACCATGTGCATGGCAACTTAACAGCAAGGTACCAGGTACTTTTAAGGCAGGATTTTCGGGTCCAGGTGCCTAGGAAGCCAAGGCAGGGGCAAGACTGATTTGCACACGACCGGTAGTCCACGACCCACGGGTCGCCTCAACAGCAGCAGCAGCAACCGCATCACCAACAGCAGCCTGCTCCTGTCCTCCAGCGAGCCCGCAACTTCCTGCTTCCAACGCATCGAGCGTCTCTCCCTGACTGTACTCCTGCCTTTTCCACAGCGGACCAATGCTCCCTGCCCTTTGGCTCCTCCTAATGGCCTTTTTACCCTTTCTGCAAATACCCTGCCTTCCTCCTCCTCCCTCCGCACTCCTTCGCGCTGCCCCCAGGGACTCCTACTGGCGGCTGGTTCGCTCCTCCTGGCAGCCCGCCTTCTCCTCCGCCAGCCTGGCCGGCTACCTGCCCCGCATGCGGCAGTGCGCGCAGCAGCTGGCGGAGCGCATGCGGGCGCGCGCGGAGGCAGCAGGGGCGGGTGGAGGAGGAGGAGGTGCGCGGGTGGACATCTGGCGGGAGCTGGGCAGCATGACGCTGCAGGTGGTGGGATCCACGGCGTACGGGTGAGTGGGGGGGAATGCCGACCTCCGGGGTTGTGTTGCTGGTAGTGCAAAGCAGCAGCGGTACAGGCGCTGCAAAGAGACCATTGAACAGACCCATCTATAAATAGTCTCTGCTCATGTGGGTCGTGTGAGCCGCATGATTGCAATCACATGTAAGGAATTCCTTGCAGCACGGGCGTGTGCGCTTGGAGTCTCGGTACGGCACGTGCGAGGCCATGGGGAAGAAGGGGAGGGTGAGGAGGAGGACGGCGAGGCTGGGGAGGAGGAGGAGGAAGGGGAGGGTGAGGAGGAGGACGGCGAGGCTGGGGAGGAGGAGGAGGGCGGTGGTGACGAGGGGGCTGAGGATGGAGAGGAGGGAGGGCAGGCTGGCGAAGAGGGGCAGGAGCAGGCGTGAGTGGTTGAGAGGGATTGGGTTCTGTTTGGCCGTGCTGCGAGTCATGGACGGGTGGCAGTTGGAACTGAAGCTGGATTGGGGATGATTAAAGACTGAGGCAGCATGCATGTATGGAAGAGTGCCGCAGTTGTGGAATCAAGGACGCGATGCTCCCAATGCATGCAGCACTACATCACTGGCAGGCAGCTCGGGTGATGAGTGACGCACGCACGCGAGGCGGTACCACACGTGTGTTAAGAAAACTGGCCGCGAGTAGTGTGTGTTGCATGCTGGTGCATGTTGGTTGGAGGCGCCTGGCGATGGCGGCTGCTAGTGGCTTGCTGAGGCGGCTGGTGCTGTTGGTGCTGCTTGGCCCAGCGGCGGTGCGACGGCTATGAAGGCGGTGAAGGCTGGAATCGCCTTGGCTGCCAGTTGCTACGTGCGATTCTACAGATGAGTGGAAGAAGCAGATACGACGTGTTTTACCCAACTATACATCTGTATTGAAGCTCCGTACTTCGCGTAATCTGAGTAGCTACTGTTGCTACTGCTGGCCTTACTACTGTATGTAAGGTGTCTGTAAGCCGTTATCGTTTGTAGGAACGGTGGCGGCAGTCTTGTACTGCAGCAAGACTGGGGCTGTTGCTGCTACAGCCGAAACCGCGTAAGTCTTTGGTACGGTCTGTCTGCACCGGTATTTTTGTGGAGCTCTTGTTTTAGCACCAGATCAGTTGCAACTAACCTTGAGGACCTCACAAGGTCGGAGGGATGGTGGCAGAGCACACCTGCCGTGCACGGGAAATAGAGGTTGTTGGAGGCGCTTTAACGTGCGTTGGACGACTGCATGTCCACATGCCTTGCAGAGCATGCGAGTGTGCGGATATACCCCGGATATGCGGATATTTAAAAGCAGCACAAATCAGCTTGTAAGCTTTACTGACTCTCCGTCTCCCACTGCTCCTTCAAAACAGGTAGCACACACCACCATCTGGCATACGATGGCAGCCGCATGTGTCCCCGGGTGCCGGTGCACCGGATTGCCGTATTTGCAATACCGTATCACACGTGAAGCCTGGTCAGTCGACACAGCCATGCTGTGGATGCCAGCTGCTCCTAGCATAGATACCGCACAATGATCAGAGTCAACAGTCAGGGTGGGAGCGGTCAATAAGGGTACCGGTAATCGTCAACTGCCCCGTCCGCTTCAATGCGCGTCATTCAATGCAAGTCAATCCGTACATGTCTATGTGCCCACCCCTGCATGCAGTCTGAGGATGTAGCCCCAAAGGTCCCATCAGGTCCCTCGGCCATATGCCTTCACCCCGCCTCTCTCTCCCTCTCCACCCCTCAACAGCCTCCACCGCAACACCTCCCAGCCCCCCTCCCTGCCTTCCCCTTACCTCCCCTTGCCTCCCCGCCCTGGCACATGGATGATACATCTAATTTCTCCACACCACCACCACTCCCATGCCCCCTCACCGCCCCTCAAAACACCCGTTCCGTGGTGCACCACACGTTCCACGCCAGCGCCCCCACCACATACAGCCCCGCCGTTAACAGGAACACCGGAGCGAAGGAGTGCGTGGCCTCCACGATAAAACCCACCGCCGTCACCCCCGCAATCCCCGCAGCGCAACCAAACGTGTTACACAGCCCAAACATCTTGCCCGCATGCCGCGGGGCCACGTCAGACATGTTGGCCACGAACCCCGCTTGCCCCAGGGAGGTGGTACCCAGCGCCACCGTCATGCAGGCGACGGCGGTGGCGGGGGAGATGCCGGGTTGTGCCAGCAGCAGCAGCGCGGCTGCGGGTACGAGCAGCGCGATGGTTTGCAGGGTTTTGCGAACGGCGGTGACGGAGACGCCGCGGGCGACGAGGGAGTCGGCGAGCAGGCCGGCGGCGGAGGAGCCGATGGCCATGACGAGCCAGGGCAGGAATGCGGTGAAGCTAGAGGCGCGCAGGTCGAAGCCAAGAGCCTGCGGAGGATGGGCATGGAAGGGGACAAGAAGGAAAGCCAAGCGTTGAATGAGGAAAGGGGTGGAGGATTGGGAAGAGGGGTGCGTAGGGGAGGAGAGGTGCATGCGCATTGAACGATGCGGCTTCAGGAGGGAGGAAGGAGGAGGCGGTGGTGTAGGTACGGTCGCGCGCAAGACGCCGGGGAGCGGGGAAGCAAGAGAAGGCCTCTCCCCACCCGGCGGCTCACCTTGTTGAAGTAGGTGGGCATCCAGTTGAGGTAGATGAAGTAGCCAAAGTGGTTGACCACGTTGACCACGATGATGGCCCAGGTGGCGGAGCAGGACAGCATGCGGGCGGCACTGACGTCAGGGGTGCGGGTGGGGGTGGCGGGGGTGGGGGTGGCAGGGGTGGGGGTGCTGCCGGGGCCCGGTCCGGCGGCAGCTGAAGAAGCAGCCCGCTCCTGCTCTTGCGGCCCGGCCGGGGATGTGGTGGCAGCAGCAGCGGCGGCATCGGAGGAGGCGGCAGCGGCAGACGATGATGGAGCCAGGGAGGCGGAGGGCTGGGTCATCGTGGGTTGCGGCTGGGATGCTGTTGCAGCAGGTGCTGGCTGCTGCAGTGCTGGCTGCGGGGGTGTTGGTGTTGGCGGGGGTCTGTCCGGCACCACCTTCATCCACATCAGCAGCAGCGGCAGCCCCAGGGCCCCGAACACGTAGAACAGCCCCCGCCAGCCGCAGCAGGCCAGCAGCAGCGGGGACAGAATAAGACCCGCCAGGTTGCCTGAGGGCAGGAGGGCGGGGGTGGGATGGGAGTTGGGGAGGGGAGGTGCATGCGTGCTGGAACCGTCAGCGAGGGACCTTCACGGCACCTACGTCCCTGTATCCTTCCCCCTCCTCCCCATTCCCCTTCCTCCTTCCCCTCCCCGGGGCCCCTGCTGCGGTTCTCAATACTTCCAGACGTTGTAATTTGATGGGTAGGGCGCACGGCTACTGCGGTAGTGTAAGGCCGCAACCATGCTGGTGGGTCGGATGCGCAAGCGCACCCATTGACCGCACCCCCTCAAAATATTGAAGTTAATCGCAGGTCCTCAATGAGGACCATGTAAGCGATTAGACTTACAAGAACAGATACTACACATGATCTGAGCCAAAAGGCCGAGAAAGGTATGAAGTAATTTCAATGACCGTGACGTTCCTTACCTACTCCCTTGCCGTGGTCAAATTCACGATTGCGATGGTGGGTGGGGTGCACTACACCACTCGTGCACCACGTGCCACAATAACCTCTGTGCTTCACCCCTACCTTTGTGCTTCACCCCTACCCCATCCCTCCATCCCGTTGCCACCAGCACGCACATGGTGTACTACCTCCCCAACACACTCCCCGCCTCCACCTGTTCCCCCCAGTCCCCGCCCACACCTGCACGCTGCCTCCCCCCTCCACCCCCCCTCCCGCCCCGCACCGCTGTGGAACCCCGAGAAGCACATCCCCAGCGCCCGCGCCTTGGCAGCAGGCGGCACGTGCGCTGCCACCAGGTTGCTCATGCAGGGCAACGCAACACCCTCGCCGAACCCCTGCAGGGCAGCGGGCGGGGGAGTGAGGAAGGAGGGCGGGGGGGCAGGTGGGTGAGCGGGGACACACTGAAAACACGAAGCAGCAGCCGCAGTGGCAGCACAACAGCTGTGAGCCTAGTGCGTTCCCCCACTCCCTCCCCACACCCTCCCCCCCTACCCACCGTGAGGAAGCGTGCCAGCAGCACCGCCGGCACGGTGAGCCCCGCCGCGCGCGTGGCGGGAGTGAGGAGCAGCGGCAGCAGCAGCGAGGCGGCGGAGAACCAGGCCATGCCGCCCGCCATCACGCGCTTGCCGCCGTGCCGGTCAGCCAGTGCACCGCCCGCCAGCTGGGTGGCCATGTAGCCCCACAGGAAGGCGGACTGGACCACTCCCTGCGTGGGGGGAGGGGAGGGAGAGGGGTGGCGGAGGTGGAGGAGGGGAGGGGTGCAGGGAAGGGGAGGGGGAGGCGGTGACATGGAATGAGAAGAGACGTGGTCAGCATGAGTGGTCAGCATGAGTGGTCAGCATGAGTGGTCAGCATGAGTGGTCAGCAGGAGTGGTCAGCAGGAGTGGTCAGCAGGAGTGGTCAGCAGGAGTGGTCAGCAGGAGTGGTCAGCAGGAGTGGTCAGCAGGAGTGGTCAGCAGGAGTGGTCAGCAGGAGTGGTCAGCAAGGCTCAATCCGGCCGCAGGCGCTGGTTGGGCTGGGTAGTCTGCTTGCCTCGCCTCCCCGCATGCACCAGCTGAGGTATGGGCTTGTCGTACTACCTCCTCCACCCCCTGCACCCCCCTGCACCCCCCCGTACCTGCAGGCTAGCTGGCCATCCGAACTCCGCCGCCATGGGCAGGATGGCGACTGAGAGACAGATGCGGTCCATGTTGCACAGCAGCAGCGCCAGGGAGGTGGGCAGCAGCACGGTCAGGAAGGGGTTGGGAGCGGAGGCGGGGGCGGAGGGGGAGGAGGGGGAGGAGGGGGAGGAGGGGCTGCCGGGGCTGGGCTGGGCGCCGGGGGAGGCAGCTGCTGAGGCGGAATAGGTACGGAGGGGAGTGCGGAACCTGCGGAGGACGAGGTTGGGAGGTGGATTGAACGTAGTGGAGGGAGGAAGAGTAGCGGGTTGGAGTCGTGAGGGAGCGAGGTTAGTGTTGTTGCTGCGAGGCGGGAGGTTACCTGGGGGACGTGTGCTCCGCGTTCCGAGATGGACGGTATGGCAGTTGGCGTACGCTTGCGGAGGAGGCCGGAAGGGCTGATTGAAATGCTTTTGCGTAGGGAATTCTGCATGTTCGATGCACTATGCCTGGTTGATAGACGTGCTGCGAATTTAGCGCCTGTGAATAGGAGCTAGATAGAGACGCCATGTTGCAACGCTCTCGTCCGTGCCAGATTGCCCTATACGGTCGAATTGCCGTTGCTTGACGTCCTAGTTCTTGGTTCAATAGGGCGCGGCGATACCGATGACGGTCATAGCTCGGTACGGCTTGACGATGTTATGCACGCTCGACGATGGATTACCACCTTTGCAGTCAGCTGCAATGTCTTATCCAATTTTGTATAATGCTTCTATACTAGGTAGATCTGGGGACTGCGTGCAATTTTGCCGATCGACACGCAAGCAAGTTTATATACCGGTATCGGTTCTTCAAGGTCTTGCCTGCATGCTCTATCGTTTCTCTAATGCTTTTTTACTAAATCGTCTTGGCGTAATTGGCGTAATTACAAACAATTTGGGTCCTGGCGTCAATGAGCCAACCGTCTCCTGGTGTCGTTTAACCTGCCTGCTACTCTTTCAAGCTGGCAGGGAAGGTTCGCCTTCTCTCACTTACAGCGGGAGTGCATGTACGCTGCCATCCCGGTGATCGTCGGGAACATACTTGCACGGCTCTTGTGTGGCTGTTGCACGAGGGCTTGAGTGTAAGCGGCTTGGCACGGCATAGGGTTGCCCAAAGGCACATCCAGACGTTACGCCTTCGCTTAAAACTGCGCTGGAGTTGGAATGTGGCCGACTGGCCATGACTCGACGTATGATATACACCAAGCGGCACTCGTAGACTGAATCACAGCGACAACAAGCCTGGTGGGCCTAAAACATTGAGCGTTGCACCGAATCACAAGCTCTTCAGCACACGGCAGGAGCAACCGCTGCGTGTCGGGCCATGGCATGTTGGTAAGATGCCACGGGATGGGTCGTTCGTCACGGTTTTAGGCAGGGAAAGCGTGCATGGAGCCCAACAATAAGAGGAAACTATAGTGCATGTGGCAAGCTGACCTAGCTTCCATGTTCCTGCTTGGAGCACTTGAAGGCCTATGAGGGCCTGCATCAGGACGGCCAGGGTTCAGGACCTCGTACGGCATGGCATGACCAGTTTTACAGGAACTACAGCAACATCTTTCCAGAAGCACAACGTGTAGGTGGCTAAAGGAGATGCTGTAGGCGACAGCCAACCTCGCTCCAGCTTCCTAGGCCAGTGCCTCATGGATGATCGGCACTTTTATTGCGTGATCCTGTAAGCTAGGAACATGATCACTGCTGCCGTTTAGTAGGCTTAACATTATATCAAGCATCTGGTTAGAAGTATGTGGGGCAACTTCGACTTGGGAAAGCTTGGTGAACAGCTTTCAGCTGTGGCGGGTGAAGCACTGCAAAAGGCAACTGCAGATGTGGAGAGAAGTATTGACAATACTCTTGGAATTAAAGGAGGTAAGTTTACTATGCAACGTTTTAGAAAGGTAACTGCTCGCTGCAAGACTCGCTTGGATTAACCAACCTGTGGGTGATGTTATATGTACCTGCGTTCTAGTCCCAGATACAAAACAGACATCAGGGCCTGCTCCTGAGCACCAGGTGTGGAAGGGGTTAGAATGCGCTCTTGTACCTCACAGTCAGGTTATTGCTATCATTGCGTAACAGTTAATGGCCAAACCCTTTGTTCAACTTGACGGACAGGCGAATGTGACCAGCACAAACGGGCAATCGCATGCGCCAGAGCAACCAGCGTCACCCGACGCACCCGCTGCAAAGCCAACTCAAAAGAAAATTGTGCGGAAAGTGATCCGCCGTGTTGTCAAAAGCAGCGCAGACGCACCTTCTGGCGCAACAGCAGCAACACCTGCTCCCGCTTCGGGCGGCACGGCTACCGCCCCCATCGAGGGTGCCAGCCCCGCGGCCCCAAAGGAGCCCCAGGATGCTGCTCCGCAAGCGTCCCCCAGCCCAGCCGCCTCTGCTTCTGGAGCTGTGGTGGCACCAGCCCCATCCCAGGATGGTGCCGGCCCTGACGCGGCCATGCCAGATGGGCCGGCGGACTCTTCAGCTAACACCACTGACCCGGCACAAGAGGACCAGCAGCAGCTGCTGCCCGCGGTCGCAGCCGCAGCAGCAGTCACCGCCTCCCAGCCGCCCAGCAGCCGGGAGCACAGGGCATCTGTTGACGGCGTGGGAAACGCATCTGCGCAGCATCCGCCTCCGCTTCCGCCGCAGGAACCCGAGGGGCCGGCCGGCTCGCACGAGCAGCTGGCAGGACTGCGTGATGACGGGCCTGCAGGGGAGCTTATGTTAGCCGGCAGCAGCAGCGGCGGCTTGGGGAACCAGGCGGCTGCGACGGGGCTGCAGCAGCAGCAGCAGTCTCCAGCTGGCGGGGAGGCGCAGGGTGCATCTGCTGCTGCTGCTGAGGAGGAGAGCCGGCGGGCGAAGGAGGGCGGGGAGCAGCAGCAGAGGCAACCGGGCGCGGAGGGCACTGCTGCTGCGGCGGCAGGAGCTGAGGAGGGCTCGACCTCCCCGTCGGGCGGAGGTCTTGTTGCGGCTGTGTTGTTGACTCAGCCCGAGGTGTTGTCGCCCGCTGTGGAAGGTGGAGCAGCAGCAGCAGCAGCAGCCGGAGCGGCCGCCACTGCAGCCGGCTGCGAGCCGGGAGCAGCAGGGGAGCGACAGGCGGGGCCGGCGGAGCCAAGTGCCGATGCAGCAGCAGGCACTGGCACTGGCAACCATGCTGCTTCCGACTCCCATTCCCTAGCTGCTGGTACCGCGTCCATCTCCCTTCCCGCTGAGGCTAACAGGGAGGGAGCGGGGGGTGCGGTTGCGGGTGCGGGCACCACAGCAGCAGTGGCGGCTAATAACGGCGGTGGGCAGCAGGAGGGCGTTGCTGCGGAGTTGCGTCGGCAGGTGGCTGAGCTGCGGTGTCAGCTGGGGGAGCGGGAGGAGCGGCTGCAGCGGCGGGAGGAGCAGGTGGAGGAGCTGAAGCAGGTGCGGGAGGGGGGGTGTATGGCGGGGTAAAGAAGAAACAACTAACACTGGCCGGGCGGTGAGGGACCGTACGGGCGGTAAGGAGAAAAGCCTTGTCAACTGCTTCAGTACCTCGCGCGACCTCCCCCCCTCCCCTTCTCCCTCCCCAGACGGTCTCCCAGCTTCAGACCCGCAACTCGGAGCTCTCCCAGGCCGCTGCTGCTGCTGCCGCCCAGCAACAACAGCAACAACAACAGCAGGCCTCCGCCTCCTCCGCCCCCCCTGAGGACTGGACCGCCCTGCGTTCCGAGCTGGAGGGCCGCCTAGCTGCAGCCGAGCGCAAGGTGTACGCGCTGAGCAAGGAGCGGGACGCGCTGCGGAAGGGCTCGGAGAAGCTGGCGGAGTACGGGGCGGTGATCAAGGAGAAGGATGCGACCATAAAGCAGGTGAGGGGAGTGGGGGGGGATCTAGTAGGGGTGGGGGAGGGCAGTAGGTCAGGATGGAGAGAGGGTGCGTTTTTCAAACCGTCCGCTGCTAAGCCGCGATGAAACTGGCATGACATGGCATTATCCTAGCTGTTGTTGGAGTGGGGAGGCGCAGAGGATGGAGAAGTGGAATTAAGGAACTTGCATTCCTCTGGCCCCGCCCCACTCCGCTTTGCTCCCCCTCTGCTGCTCCCCTCAGGTTTTGGAGGAGGGTGAGAAGCTGAGTCGCAAGCAGGTGGAGCTGGAGGGCGGGATGAAGCGGCTGCGGGGGCAGCTGGCGGCTGCGGAGGCGGAGCGGGAGCGGCTGGCGGGGCGGCTGGCGGCGGAGGAGGCGGCGGTGGGGGAGCTGCGCAGGGGGAGGGCCAAGCTGGAGAAGGAGCTGCAGGCGACAGGTGGGGGGGCTGGGGTGGGGTACATGGTGGGGTGGGGTGCAAGGGGTGCAGGGTGGGGTGGGGTGCAAGGGGTGCAGGGTGGGGTGGGGTGCAGGGTGGGGTGGGGGTTCATGGAGCTGCGGAGGAGCATGGGAGGACGCCATGCGTCCTTGTCTTCACTCTGCAACTTGCAACAGGGTAAGTAAGGCGGCTCTGCCCCCCAACCCCCACCAGGCGAGCATGCGCGTGCCGAGCTGGAGGCGCAGCGGGAGCAGTTCGAGCAGCTGCTGCAGAAGGCCAGGAGCGAACAGGTGGGGGTAGAAATACTGAAAACTGACGAACTGGAATGACGAGGTGGGTGGGCAGCGATGTGGGGGGAGGAGCGGGGCGTTTTGGACAGGGCAGAAGGGGGTGTGGGGGCGAGAAGGGAGGCTGAAGGCGGTAAAGCTTTTTGTAAACCTGAACCTAAACCTGGTATACCCCTCTCCTTCCCTTCCCCACCAGGCTGAGGCCGAGGAGCGGGCTCGCGAGGCGGTTGCCGCGGGTCTGTCCCGCAAGCTGCGCGAGTCGGAGGCGCGGTGCGAGGCGCTGGCGGAGTCGTGCGGCGAGCTGCGGGATGCGCTGGACCGGCAGCGGCAGGCGGCGGACCTGCGGGAGGAGATGCTCAAGGTGGGGGGGGGGAACATCTGCAATTGCAGTGTCTACCGTAGCCAAATCAAACCCCCTGTAGGTGGGACAGCGGTGAAGGGGCAGGGGGATAAAGGCAGGGGAGGGAGACAGCGCCTCACTCCTTGCTCCCCACCCCTCTCGCCCCACTCCTCCACCCCTGGCTCCCCTCTCCCCCCTGCAGGCCGACCTGTCCGACCTGTCCCGCCGCTGCCAGGCTGCTGAGCTGCGGCACCAGGACCTGGCGTCCAAGCTGCCCGAGGCCACCCGCCCGCTGCTGCGGCAGATAGAGGCGCTGCAGGCGGCGGTAGAGGCGCAGACGGAGGCGTGGGCGGGCGCGGAGGGGGCGCTGCAGGCACGGCTGGGGGATGCGGAGGGGCGGGCGGCGGCGGCGTCGGAGCATGAGAGGCTGGCGGTGGAGAAGGCGCAGGTGGGAGGAGGGGGAGGGGGAAGGGGGGGGAGGGGGGGTAGACGTGCAGCGAGGTGTATGGCTGCAAGAAGCATGCACCCTCCCATGCGTCGAGTAGACCTTAGGCTGACTCCTTCCGGGTACCTCCCAAGCCGCCCCTCCCCAACCTGTCTTCTGCCTCCCTCACCCCACTCACCCCTCCCCCAGATGTTGTCCGCCAAGCTGGCGGGTGCGGAGGCCTCCCTGGCCGCCAGCCGGGGGGAGGTGCGGGCGCTGCAGCAGCAACTGCAGCAGGCGGGGCAGGCGGCGGCGGAGGCGCGGGAGGCGGCGGCGGCGGCGGGGCTGCAGGCGGAGGCGCTGGGGGAGCGCTGCAGGCTGCTGCAGCAGCAGGTGGTGCAGGTGGGAGGCGGGAAGGCAGGGGAAGGGGGTGAGGGGGTTGGGGGGCGACGGGAGGGTAATGGGTCCCATGCCACGGGGTGGACATGGAGACGCAGCGCAGCCTGGGGTAAAGGAGGAAGAGGAGGCCGACCGCTCTTAACCCATGTTTGATGACAATCCCCCACCTCCCCTCTGCCCACACTTGTTCTGTGGCCTCCTGCCGCTTACCATCCACTGTTTTGCCCCAACCTGTGGTTTCATATGGCTCGGTATGGTCTTGACCCCCCTCTGTCCGCCCACCCGCCGCCCCTCCCCCCTCACCCCCTCCCCCCCTCACCCCTCCCCCCCTCACCCCCAGCTGGAGTCTGCCCTGTCGGAGGCGCGCGAGGCCGCCGCCACTGCCGCCGCCGCAGCGGAGGCGGCTGCCGCGGGGGTGCGGCGGGAGTACGAGCGGCGGCTGGCGGAGGCGGAGGCGGAGGGGGCGGCGCTGCGGGCGCAGCTGGCGGCGGAGGAGATGAGGAGGTGGGGGGGGGGCTGTGGGTGATGTGGGGGAGGAGGGGCGGGGGAGGGGGACGAGGGGTGCAAGCATGATGGGGGCGTGGTGGGCAGCATCTGGAAGGGTATGGCGGGATAGGGGCAGGGAGGGCGCCGCTGCGTGTGCCCTCCTTATCCCGCACGGCTCTCACAGCCGCTCCTCACCACTGCCCTGCCCCTCTCACCCCCCCCCACCCCCACCCCCCCCCTCCCACTACTCTCCCTGCAGGACCCCCGAGCCCCCCGCCATGGCCGCCCCGGGCTACCGCTGGGTGCTGTTGAAGGAGGGGGAGGCGCCGCCGGGGGGGCAGCAGCAGGCGGAGGGAGGGTGAGCGGGGGCGGGTGGGTGGAGGCGAGGGGAGCTGGATTATGGGGTGGGGCAGTCCTCATCAGGAGGTGGGGGTTGAAGGTCTCTGGGTGAGGGTGTAGGTCCGTGAATGGCCGGCTGGGCACCCGGGTGCCTCTGTTGCACGCCCCGGTCACTTTCGTAACCCGCCACTTGGTCTTCCTACACCAATCCCTCCCCCTCGCCCCGCGCCCCTCCCTCCGCAGCCCTCTCTCCACCTCCCCCTCCGCCTCCTCCGCCGGCGCCGCCAGCCAGTGGGGCCCCTCCACCTCCGCCTCCTCCGCCACTGCCGACCTGCTAGCAGCCACACGACATGGGCCCGGCTCTAGCAGCCATGCCAACCAACACCACCACCACCATCACTCTCACTCCCAGGGCGGTGCAGCGCATGGCGGCGGTGAGGGGGGTCCCGGCGGGGGCCTGGTGGCGGAGGTGGAGTCGCTGCGTGCGGCGCTGCGGGCTCGAACCGGGGAGCTGGCGGTGGCGCAGCAGCAGGTGGCGGAGCTGGAGGCGACGAGGGACAGGTGGGGGCGGGGTGGGGGGATGAGGAGGTTGTGGATTGGGGGAATTCCGGCGGCTGGGATCTGGCCAGTTGGATTCGCCGTGTGATGCGCGGCGCTCCTCATACCGGTATCTTGGGTGCCATACTAGTAGGCTTAGAAGTACGGCACCGTGTCCCCCCCTCCGCCTCCCCTCCTACCCAGGCTGGCTGAGGAGCTGGTGGCGGGCGCAGCTCGCAGCGAGGCGGCCGCGGATGCGCAGCAGCAGGTGGCGGTGCTGGGTGCGGAGGTGGCGGAGCTGCGGGGCCGACTGGCGAATGCGCTGGAGCTAGTGGGTGAGCAGGCGGGGGGTGGGGAGGGGAGGGGGGGAGGGAGGTTGGGACACATCTAGGCTGATGGTTGCTCGGCATGCAGCATTTGGGTGCGGGTTTGATGGCTCGGACGGCAACAGCGGCTCCCTCCTGACCGGGCCCACAAAGTGGCTCCTATCTGGCTCAACGCAGTCTGCACGGGTCAACGCCCCCGCCCCCCTAACCCACCCCAATTCCCACGAGCCATGTCCCGCCCGCCCCTCCCCCCTCCCCCCCCCCAGGCGAGCGCGACGAGCGAGTTGAGGAGCTGCTAGCTGACCTGCAGGACGTGAAGGTCATGTACAAGGACCAGATAGAGTTCATGTGCCAGCAGCTGGCGGAGCTGCAGGGAGGGGGGGCAGGCGGGGCAGCAGCAGGGCTGGTGGGGGTGGGGCTGGGTGGTGGGGAGCTGCTGCAGGCGGCACCTGGGGCAGGGGGGGCAGGGGTAGCAGGGGGGGCCGGGGCAGGGACTGCAGCGGGACAGGGGCAGGGGCATGGACATGAGGTGGGGTCGAGGGCGGGGGAGGCGCATGTGGGGGTGGGGGCGCCTGGCAGGCCATCAGGGGGGGTAGCGGCGGGGGCAGGAGGGCAGGGGCACGGGCAGGCGCAGGAGGGGCGGGCGGCAGCAACCGGGGCAGCTGGGGCAGCAGGTGGGGGGCTGCTAGCGGGGTACGGGTCGGCGTTCGGTTTGGGGGCGTTGCTTGGTGGCGGGGGGGCGGCTCAGTCGCATGCGTCGGGAGGGACGTCGTGAGGGGAGGCTGGTGGGACTGCGCTAGTGAGGCCGAGTGGTGAGGCTGGTGGGACTGCGCTGGTGAGGCAGGTGGCTTGTAGGGCGGCACGCTGCCTGGGCGGGTGGGAAGGCTGCCAGGCTGCAGCGCACCCCCCCCCACCGCTGCTAGACGGCAGCCGGCGTGGAATCGCATGTGCTGGAGGGTTGGGGTGTCATCAGCTGTCGCGATGGGGTTGCGCGTGTGGCCGGGTTAGGTGTTTTCTGCTCGCATGGCTCGTGATGTCAAGTAGAGGGTGCTAGGTGCTAGGGGGCCAGGCGCAGGCAGATGACTGTGCCATGATGCGGCTGGGTGAGGGGGGTTGGGGTGGCGGTGCCTCCTGCAAGTTAGTGGTGTAGAGCTTGGTTCAGCCGCCGTACGTACAGGGGTTAGGCATGGATGCATGCGCAGCTTGGGAGAAGGCGGGGCCGTGGAACAGGATGGGCAGAGGTAGCCACTAGGGAAGACAGCAGTCGAGGTTAGAGGTGATCGCTTCATGCATTGTGGTCCTTGGAACGATATTGTAGAGCAATGTAACGCGACTTCGCCCCTTTTCGCGCACCACTGGCAGCTGCTTCGCCAGATGGGATAGTGGGAGCGAGCGGCCGTTGTTGACGGGGTACAACCGTCATTCATACAAAGGAAGGGAATAACAATCCCGAAGGTAGGATAACGGTTCCATCCCGGCTCGGATGGCCGGCCCTATCGTCGCTAGCGTGGCAAGTCCCAAGACTTCACGGCCAGGGATGTGACCCGAGGGTCATCATGCGAGCCCAGCAGTCAGCGCCGCTGCATTCACTGCTGCTGCACACGCAGCGCACCGTATTTAAAGGTTATTTTGGTTGCTATCTAGCAAAAGGCGCGCTGTGAATTAAGCTTCTGCAACCTTACGTAACTCAAAAACGTTTTGTAATTGCAAATGGCGCCGACGGTTTTCTCTCGCTTGGGTGAGTCATTTGAGCGATTACCTCAGCTAGCTCTTGTACTGCTCCACACAGCAACAGCGATTCAATGCAGCGCGTCTCTTCTCGCTACTTAGCTGGGACTTGCTAGCATTCTTGTCATTTGCAATGCGACGCGCTGTCACAACGCTTTCCACTTCAGCTTACACAACGTTCGCGCGTATACTTCCTCCTTCAAGGACATTCTCGCACGATCACTCCCGACAATCCCGCTTCCTTACCGCGCCCACACCACCCAGCCATCTACAGCCCTCACCGCTCATCCCTCGCAGTCAGCAGCACCACCACCACCGCTATCCTTGCTCCTCATCCTCTTTCTCCAATCCTTACCTCGATCGCGACCCCCAACATCAAAACTCCCCCACCGCCCCCGCAATGGACTCCGACTTCCTGCCCGCCTCCTCCGCCGCCCGCCGCCACCCCAAGTCCGCAGCGCCTCCCCCCTCCACCCTCTCCGCGCCTCGCGACCTGGCTCCGGAGCCCGACCAGCTCCCCGCCTCCAGCAACCTGGACGGCAGCCTGGCGGGCCGGGAGCAGGCTGCGGTGGCCACACTGAGTAAGCAAGGCGGCATGACCAGCATTCAATTGGTGGGTGGGTTGATGGGTGGGTTAGGCTTGAAGGCTTGGAGGAGGTGGAGGGGCGGTTGGGTGACCCGTGGGACGGTGTGCGCGCGCAGCTTTCGGACTGGACGATTTAGCTGGTGGGTTGTAGCTGTGGGTGGTTATGTGATGACGGATGGCCTAAGCAGCAGACCTGTATTTGGAGCCTCCTTGTAGGCAAGGAAGGAGCGACCCGTGGGCCTGTGTTGAGGGCGTGGTTCCAGACCCTCACCTCACATAATAACGCTCCAGTTCTACCTCCTGCGCACTGCATTCCTTGCCGTGCCCAGGCGTTAGTATTGATTCAATATGCGAGGTCTGGGGCTGGAACCACGCCCTCAAAACAGTCCCATGGGTCGCTCAAACCTTCCCTCGCTCCGCTCCAAAACCCCCCCTCTCACGTCCAGGTGCTGTCGGAGGGCGAGGGTGGCGGGTTCCACTGGGTGGTGGGGGAGACGCAAGGCCGGAGGAGCAGCATGGTGGGGGCGGGTTGGGGGGGGGAACACGCGGGCGCGGGCGGTAACTTGGGTGCCTGTGTGTGTTTAGGAGGTTTGTGAGGTGGCGGCCTCGTCATTGGTCCTCCTCGGGTCCTGGGCGGGGGTGCAGGGGGAGCGGTGCGCTGCTCCGCGAGACCAGTACCAGAGAGCTGCCGGTGCACGAAACCCCCTTCCCCCCGCCTCTCACCCCCAACCCCCCCCCAACTCTTTCCCCCACCCGTCCTGCAGGAGGACGCTCACGTGGTGGATCTGGATATCGACGGCAGCGGTACGGCGCTGTTCGCAGTGTTTGACGGACACAGCGGGCGGGAGGTGTCAGCGTTCTGCGCGCAACACATCGTGAGGGGGCACCGGGGTAGGGGGGCTGTGGGGGCGGAGGCAGGGAGGATAAGGGGGGCGGCGGGGAGGGAGGGATAGCCACATACCGGCAAGGCTAGTGGACAACGCTGGGGCTGGCAGGCCGTATCACTCGCCTTCATTCCAAGCATTTGTCAGCACCGGCCTTGCTCCGTCGCGATTGCCGGCGCTTGCAGCTCCCCACCTCCTCTCCCTCTCATTGCCTCCCTCCCTCCCCGCCCCCGCAGAAGGAGGCGGTGCTGTCCGCCCCCTCCTTCCCCTCCGACAACCTGCCTGCCGCCCTGTCCGAGGCCTTCCTGGCACTGGACAAGCGCTTGCTGGCGGAGGAGAGCAGGGGGGAGCTGACGGCATATGCGGAGGGGTGGGTAAAGAGGAAACGACTAACGAACCGTTAGGGGGGGTGGCAGGGTGGGGTGGGTGTCGCATGCGAGTGCGCACGTGTTGCAGCCTGCTGGGGCCCACAGGAGGACCGCCTGCGTACGTGTGTGTGCGTGTGGGTGTTGTGGTCGCCCCGGCATGCTGCGCACATCCCCCTGTCCGACTCCCCTGTAACTCCCCCTCCCACCCCCCACCCTTTCCCCCTCCCTCCACTCCCCAGTCACGACGCCCCCCCCGCCCCCCCCTCCGCCTCCTCCAAGTCCGCCCGCCGCTACGGTCTGGTGGACGGGTCGGGGCGCTACGCGGGCCCCAACGCGGGGTCCACCGCGGCGGTGGCGCTGGTGCGGGGGAGGCAGCTGGCGGTGGCGAACACGGGGGACAGCAGGTGGGGCGCCGGGGGGGGGGGGTAGAAGGAAGAGTGGAGGGAAGTCATGCAGCAAGCGGACGTAAGCTAGGGTGAGGGGGTAAGGTGGAGGCGGTGGAAGCCCTTCCTCCTGCTGTTGCTGCTGCTGCTGCTCCTAGCACCCTGAGGCGTCCTTCTATCCTGCTACGTCCCTCCTTCCCCCATCTCGCGCCACCTTCCCTGCCCTATGCTCCTCCTCTATCATGCTCTCCCCCCCCTCGGCCCCTCCTCAGGGTTGTTCTCTCCGACCACGGGGTGGCTCGCGCGCTCACGCAGGACCACAAACCCGACACGCCCGCAGAGCTGCAGCGCATCCAGAAAGCAGGTGGGTAAAATATATATATATGATGATGAGACACTGACGAAGCAACTGACAGGAAGCAGGTGGGGGGGTGGGGGGAAAAGATATAGAGAAATGCATCAACGGAGTGGGGGGGGGAGCAAGGGACGGGATGGCAGGGGGACGGGAGGGGGGTTCCTATGGCGACACCCGAGCAATTATAATCGTGCCGCGATCCGCACAGCAGCTGACCCAGACGAGCCGTGCCGTTGCACCCTTATCATCCTCTCTCCTCCTGCTCTCGGTTTCTTGTAAGCAAGCAGTTGGTATGTCTCTGAAAGTTGCGTGTTTCTAGGATAGTGTCTCCGAATGCGCTCACTGCATAAGTCAGGACTCGGGATGGGGACTCCGTTGCTGCACTTATCTATAATTTTCCCTCCTCCTCCCTTCCTGCCCCCCCTGCCCTCCCTCCACCTCCCTGCCCCACCCCCCCAGGCTTGTTCGTGCACCAGCGGCCCGGCGGAGTCCCCCGAGTGGGGGGCAGTCTAGCCATGAGCCGAGCCATGGGGGACGTCAAGGTGGGGCCTCCTGCCACCTCCTTGCCTCCCATCACTTCACAACCTACCCCACCCACCCACCCGCTTCCTTCTGCCTCCATTGCTGCAAACCGTGTGTGCGGCGCCAACGCATGGTGAACACTCAGATAAACTGTGCGCAGGCACTGCATCGCTACCGTATACTCCGCCGCTCGGTCTGTGCCTCAACCCCATCTCGTCCCTCCCTTTCCTAACACCCGCCCTCCCTCACCCCCCCCCCTGCAGTACAAGGACCCGCAGCTGCCCCCCGAGCAGCAGGCCGTTACCGCAGCACCCGACACCACCGCCGTACAGCTCGGAGGCGGGGCAGGAGGCGCAGGGGAGCGGGACACGTCTGGTGGGGGCGGAGCGCTCGACAGGGACCAGGACCCGGACCTGCTCCAGGGCGAGGTGGCGGGAGGCGGTGGTGGTGCTGGTGGCGACGTGCCCAGTCGACTGCTGGTGGTGGCATGCGACGGGTTGTGGGACGTGATGAGTCGGCAGCGGGTGGCGGATTTCCTCACCACTTGGTTGGAGGCGGGGGGAGGAGGGCCGGAGGGGGAGGTGGGGAAGGAGGGGGTGGTGGGCGGTGAGGGCGGTGGTGCCCCCGCCTCCGCCCCCGCCCCTGCCTCCCCTCTGCGGCGAACGGTGCGGGCGCTGCTGCACGAGGCGCTGCGGCACGACTCGGCTGCCAGCGAGCCCACCTTTGACAACGTGACTGTCATCGTGGTGGCGCTGCCGGAGTGAACGGGGGAAGGGGGGGGGGAAGGCGCGGGGTGGCAGGTTTGAGGGTGGAGGGGAAGGATAGCGGGAAGGGTAGGAGGATGCGCATGGGAGGTGGTGGTGGTGACGATGTTGTGCGTCCTCGGGGGAAGGGGGCCCGGGGCAGCCATCTGCATGGACCTCGCATGGACGGCGACCCAGGGGTGTCCGCCGTAGGGGTGTTTGCGCAGCCTCTTTGAACCCCGCACAACGCCCCTCGCACCTCCGCCCAGCCTCGGCCTATGCCGGTTACGAAGCGCTGCTGAAGCATGCCTCTACTGCTGCAGTTGTTGTTGGTGTTGCTCTTGCTGTTGTGCGTGTTGTACGGTGCTTACCGTACATAGCTTCGTACCTGGTCTAGGATTGGCTTGCTTAGTGCTGAGAGCGACAACAACGTTGTGAGCTCGGCAAGGACGACAGATGCAGCGCCACATACTAGGACTGTTGTACCACATTCCATTTAACCCTCCATCCAACCCCGCACCGACCATGTAGCGGCGACGAGCGAACGGCTAATCTGCCTCCCAGCCGGAGGGTAATGCCCCAGCCATGCGAGCCGGCAGCTGGTTAACAGCAACAGCAACATGTTCCTCATGTCGTGTCAGAAGTAGCAAGTCAGGAGAAACAGTTGCATGCGGAAACTGGTAGCCCACTGCCGCATGTATGGCTGGGACTGGGGGTGCCGTACAGAGGAGGAGGGTGCATGCATGTTTGGGGGCTGACTGCCATCCCGCATGCCCTGATGGTGTTGCCTTGTGGGAGAGCTGCTGCCAGCTGCTGTCTGCGTTTGTCCCCTTGTCAGGCTGCCCAACATTTTGCATTTATTTGCATTTGGAGTTAAACATGGCCTTTTGTCCTCAATGCGAACATGAGGCGTGTTGTGCTGCCTCGTACACACAGTGCTGTGTGCACACACTGACCCACCATTGGCGTCATGTCCGTGTTAGTTGAAGGCATCTAAGCTGGGTCCCGACATTGGCACTAGTCTTGTCAAGCGCTGAGCCGCCCACGTCTCTCATATCTCTTTCGCCTTTTACTAAAGAGATCAGCGAGTGCGGCTCACGAAGGCGCATATCTCCAATATTTGCAAGGCTTTTGCCTTTCCCAGGACAAAGATGATTTTAAGAGCCCTAACCTATTGACACGGCGGCTTTTTCCGCCTCACAGGTTGGTGTTATGTTGGTTGGTGTCCCCATGCGCTGTTCCTATGTGTATCGAGAGCTTTCTCAAAGAAACGAGCCCAGACTGCTCTTGCTTGGTGCTGAAGGGGCATGTGGACACGTTAACCGAACTGTTGCGGAGCGGGCTATGCTGTTACATCTGTACGGCGCTTGCATGCATATGGTCCTTGCATCTGTACTGCATACTACTATATCCAGTAGTTCGGCCACCGCATGAGGCTCGGCGTACAGCGGCAGTCAAGATCCCAACCGTCTACCACTCAACAGAAGCCCTTAGCACAATACCCGACCCCATCAGCGCTCACGGCCGAGTGGCACACCTGGCCGGAAGGTCGCACAGTCCGCCCCTCGCAACAGCCCCCCAGGGGCCGTAAAGCGCATGCGGCCATATGATGTCCGTGTGTTGGCAGCTTTCCGCTTCAACAACATCGCTTCTTGCATCCTCTCACTTTTGTATCAAGGTACTGCCCAAGGTACTACGAAAGGCAAACTACCACTAATCCATTCGTTTAAAAGCGCCGTACTTTCGCACGCTCCAAGCCATTTTCACCTGTTCAGGCACGCAACCCCAGCAGCAACACGCGCAGGCCCCTTCCACAGCAGCCACGACTGAAATCTACACGAGCATTGCACATACCGATATAGTCTCTAGGGGTGCCTCTCTGTGCAAAAGCCGTTATACCGGTGATGTATACCCTATCCGCCTCACCTTAACCCAAAGCGCACAACTGTTGGTCCATGGATGCTATGGAACATGAAACATTAAGCAACACATCCTGCCTAGTTCAAAACCTAAAAAAAACTTCGGCACGCTGGGCTTTACCCCGTCATGTCCACCTGCATCATGCATCATACGACGGCAAGATTAATCCACAACCTGCGGTGTACAAACGAGGGGAACGGTTGATCCTAACCTTGGATACCTCTGAGCGGTCGGTTTCCTGCACTTGAAGTGCATGTTGCAGTCGAGTACGGCCCTGTCCCTCAGCAATCCATGACGCAAACAACACACCGCTGCAACACTCGCCACCCAAGCCAGCGAAGCCATGCCTGCATATCTGCCCGGTCGGGCGACAGGCAATCCGCACACAGGCAACCCAGGAGCCACGAACGGAAAAGGACTCCGGCTCTAGGAAGTGTCACTGCTCCTCCAGGGCCTTGGACAGCGCCTCCTGCATCAGGCGGTTGCTGGTTTCTGGCCGCAGGCCCCCCACAGACACGTAGGCCAAATGATCGACGACGCTTGATGGCTTCTTCAGCACCATGACCGGCTCAGCGGGGTTGTCCAAAGGCGCAGCAGAGACCTTGCATGGGTTGCCGAACCAGACTGCTGACAGGGGCGTCAGCATGTTGACCTCTCTCTCCTGAGCCGTGAACGAGACGTCGTGGTTGCGGCAGCCCAGATGCTGGCGCAGGAAGCTCTCGAGCAGCAGCTGCCGCGGCATGGCGTGCAGCACGCGCGGACTGAACACGCTCCCCATGGCAGCCAGGCATATGGAAAGGCCACCGGGAAAGAGCTGCGTGTGGATGAAGTCGAGCAGCCGCTGCACCAGCGGCACCAGCTCTAGCCGCCCAGCCAGGTACAGCCACTCCTCCAGCAGGCCGCACAGGGACGAGGCGAACTGCTCTTTGCGGGGCAGGAAGTCGGCCGCTGACACCAGGGTGCCAGATTGGGCTAATGAATTCCCCATGAGGGCGTGGTGGAGATCATTGTTTGAGGACAAATAGTATAGCGAGCCACTCAGCGCCAGGTCCACGGTACGTCCCTGATCGCCCATGGGCACGGTCAGGCTGAGCCGCGGATTGTCAGCAAGCGCCCCGGCTACCTTAATAAGGGAGACGTCCGCTGTGCCAGCATAGTCAGCAAACAGCAGCAGCTGCTTAGCGTCGTTAAGGCTGTTGGGCAGCTTAATGCTGCGCGAGCTGTCGATGCATGCGTAGACACAGTCCAGCCAGAGACGCACGGTAGCGCCGCTAACGGGCACCGACTCTCCCTCCAGCGTCACGTTGCTCAAGTCCAAGATGGTTTGACTGCCAACCGCGGCTTTGGGCAAGTCCAAGGCAACCTTGCTGAGTAAGCCAAGGACTTTGCTATGAGCTGGAAGAAGATCATCCTTATCCGCGGTCTTGATGAAAATGTCAGGATCCTCGTCGCTCAGGAGGAAAGCGGTCTCGCGCTTCCGTTTAAAACTCATTTGGACGAAGGCAGTAAATAGAGGGAAAATAATGCACTTCTCTTTCCTTCTGAGCTATAAGGAATACCTGCAGAAAATAGAAGGATGGCATTTACCTTCTTGAGCGTTGTTCACAATGCTCATTGTGCTGTCGTACAGGTATGCGGTGCATTCCACGCACTTCAAGTTCCGCACCTGCCAGGGTTACGTGCACCTTACGGCATGAAATGCAGCCTGCCAATATAAAGCTGTGATCATGAAGCTGGACTGATCCCTAACAACCTGTGGTGCGTGACAGCCGCCCCGATGGCTCAACCGTGAACGGGGCAAGCCGCAACGTCTCCCGGTACCAATAACAAACAAAGATACGCCTCTGGCAAGTGTTTGCCCATACTTCATCCTCTACGCCTAGCCATCATGCACACACCTCACAATACAGGAATTGAGTTTACCGTAAGCAAGGTGGTAAGGTGGGTGGTGGCGCATCCTCCTGCACAGCGCCAGCACCAGTCAAAGACACTGCCAAACACCCTTACACGTATCCTGCTTCTTACCCACCACCCATCCACCCCTCAGCCTCCTCGCCCCCACGCCAGCCTTACCAAGACGCTCCCACGTCCGTCACAAGCAACCCGCCCGCAGCCGCACCCCCACTGCTGCTGCCGCCGCGACTGCTGCCGTACAGCGAGGGCTCCTGCGCTGACGTCAGCAACCTTGCCGTACGTGCCAGGTCAAGGGAGGGCAGGGCGGGGCTGAGGGGCGGTGCGGCGGCCGCGGCCTCGGAGAGGGCTGCCAGGGAGCGGGAGGCGAGGTCGGCCTGATGGGGGAGAGAGGGAGCGGGGCGGGGTTAGGGCACATAGGGGACATATTAGTACAGAGAAAGGGTCAGTGTGTTGGGCAACAGGAGGGCTGCGTCTGTCCTCTCCCTTCCCCACGCTTAGCTTGTCGTCTGGTTTGCATTCTCATTCCCCCGCCCCCCCCCCCCACCCACCTGCAAGTTGACGCACGCCTGCGCCATCAGTCGGCAGTGCGGGTCCACATCGCCCGCCGCCACCTCCCGACACCACCCGGACACCCACTCCAACCGCTCGCCCAGACCTCCACCACCACCTCCTCCACCTCCCCCACCACCGCGCCCCATCATCAGCCCCAGTCCCAACCGCCCCGCTCCTCCTCCTCCTCCAACCGCCGCCCCCGCTCCAGCCCCTCCCCCCAGCAGCGCCCCCGCCACTGCTGCGGGCGGCAGGTGCGCCAGCAGCTGTCCGGCGGCCAGCAGCGCGGCGCGGCGCACGTAGGGCTCAGGGTGGGCGTGAACCTGGGGTGAGGGAGGGAGAGGGCGGTTGAGAGAGGAGGGAGGCGTTGCAAATTTTTAGCGAGCGCAGGCAGTGAGGTGAAGGTAAGAAGGGGACGGGTACAGGAAGCAAGCGTGAAGCATATGGGGGTGTTGTGGGCGGCCGCCGAGAGGGGGCCCAGCAGGCGGTGCGTGCCTGCCCGCGAGCCGCCCACCGGCTGCAAGTCGCCTGCCCCTCAACAGTGTCCTCTGCGGGCTCTCCCATTTCCCCTCCCTGCCTCCCCCCACCCACCCCACCCCACCTGCGGCGCCCGAATGAGCTCCAGCGTTGCCCCCGCCAGCTGCGGCAGGGGTGTGCTGCCGCCCGCCGCCTCCGCGAAGCCCGCCAGTGTGGTCAGCAGGCGGCCCAGCAGCGGGCTGTCGCGGCCCAGCAGGTCCACACCGTGCTTCACCCGGTCAACCTGGGGGGGAGGGGGGGGAAAGAAATTCCAAAGTGTGGTGCGTTAATGATACAAGTTTGGGGGGAGGCGGGGAAACGACCGCACCATACCATAGGAAACCACAGGTTAGGGCAAAGCAGTGGGGGAAGGAGACGGAGAGGGGCGGGAGAGGGTAGTTGGAGTGGAGGAGGTGAAAAGGGGAATGCACCAACCGTGTTCCAAGGCTCCAGCAGGGGAGGGGGAGGGAGGGAGGAAGGGGAGTCGACAAGGGCAAGGCAAGGAAGGGGCAGGCTGGAGGCAGAGGTGGAAGCGAAGGTGTGTCGCCAGCCGTATTGGGGCGGCCCGGTGGGCATGTCTGATGTGCGTCCGGCGGCGTCAGCACCCCCAGGTGTCGGCACCCCCCCGCACCCATGAATTCACCGCCCACCCCCTCACCTCCCGCAGCAGCCCCGCAGCCCAGCGCAGTGCCACATCGGCAAACCGGTTGCGGTAGCTGCCTCCGCCCCCCACTGCTGCCGCACCCCTGCTGCCACCTCCTCCTCCCCCTCCCCCTCCCGCAGCAGCCGCCTCCGCCTCCCTCCGCTTCCGTAGCGCCACCGGACCCCACACCCGAGTGCGCGGCCCCGCACGACCCCGCCCCGCCACCCCTCCTCCTCCCGCAAGCGCCCCGGCTGCTGGCTGAACGCCGCCCGCTTCACACACTCCACCCGCCGTTATCTGCTGCTGCTGCTGCCGCTGCGGTTGCTGCTGCTGCCCCCGCTGTCCTGTCCCCGCCTGCAGTGGCAGCTGGCGGGATGCGGCACCGGGGGGGCCCTCCACCAGCTGCGGCGCCCCGCCCGGCCCCTGCACGAGGCGCGGAGTGACCCGCGGGTCGGCCGCCAGCTCCTGCGCCGCCCCCTCCAGCGCCTCCAGCAGCGTGAGGCGCTGGTGCAGGTCCAGGTGGGGCGAGTAGACCTCGGGCAGCACCGCATCACCGGCTGGGGGGGGGCGAGGGGGGGGGAGGGTAGGAGAGGGAGGCAGGGGAGGAGGGGGTGAGGGGAGGAGGAGAGGGAGGGAGAGGGTTATGTGGTGGTTAGAAGGCGCACGAGACCGAGGCGAAGGTACGAGCCAGAGAGCGGTACAGAGAGCGATCGCACGCTGTGTGTTCCGCTGGCGCACCTAGGCACTCCCCCAGGTGCTTTGTCCCTAGGTGCGGCAGCGGGAACACGCAGTGTGTGACAGCGCTGGCCCTCAGGCCCTCAACCAACCTCATCCCTCCCCCAATGCCAACCTCCCCCCCTCCCTCACCCTCACCCTGTAGCGGCGCCACCGCCAGCAGAGCCACCAGGCACCGAATGCGCTGTACGGCAGCGGGCGGGGAGGAGGTGGGGGTGGGCTGGGTCCCTGCCTGCCCGCCTGCCGCCCCCGCCCCCTCCCCCCCCGCCTGCGCCCACTCGGGCACCCTGCAGTGCAGCAGCGCCCGCACCAGCTCCCCCGCCAGCAGCGGCAGCTCGTCGGGGGCAGCGCGGATGAGAACCTGGGGGGGCGAGCAGTAGGGGAGGAGGGAAAATTATATAAGTGAAACAACGAGGGGAGGAGGGAAGGGGGGGGGGAGGAGACGGAGAGCAGGTTAGGGAGCAGCGATGTCTCCAACCGGAGAAGGCACCCAACGCACCCTACCGTGATCAACCTACGTCTTCCCATCCCGTCCCGACCTCCATCCCCCCCCGCCCTTCTTGTCCTCCCCTCCCTCCCTCCCACCCCGCCCCCCCACCTCCAGCCTGCTCAGCGCCTGCAGCACCCCGCCCACATCCTCCTGGTTGCGCAGCGCCCCCGCCAGCCGCCGCAGCTGCAGCGACCCCGCCTCGCACCGCCGCCAGGAGTCGGCTGCCGGGTCGCCCTCCAGCTCCTCGGGCCGACCCATGGGTCGCAACTCACCATCATCCTCATCTCCCTCCTCCTCCTCCTCAATATCGTCATCGCTGTCAGTGGCGGTGTGCACGCTGCCATCATCCCCTTCCTCGCTGGCGTCCCTGCTGACGTCATCATCATCATCATCCCCCCTGCCCCTGCCCTCCTTCGCACCCTCGCGGCCCTCGGATTGTACGGCAGCTGCCTTGGCTGTGAGGCGGGTTGTAGGGCTGGTAGCTGCGGTTGTGTTTGCGAGGCGGCTGGTGTCATCAGCTGCTGCTGCACCGGGGGCATCGGCTGGTGGGCTGGCGGTGGTGGTGGTGGCGGACGTTGGAGGGGGTCGCCAGGCGATTTGACGCGGCAGAGCACCTGGTGGGGTGGGGTGGGGTGCGGGTTGCATGGAGTGCAGGAGCGGGTGGTAAGTGGTGAAGGGCGGGAGGCTCCCAGGGCGTGTCAACGTGATTGCGGGGTCCCGCCCGTGTACGACCCCTCACAGCCCCGCTTGCACCTCCTGCCCCTGCATGCCCCTGCACCAGCGGGGCAACTACCGAACTTCACCCGCATCCCAGCCATCACACACCTCCCCACCAAATCCCCTCTCACGCAACCCCACCCCAACTACCCCTACCTACCACCCCCCACCGTGTTCCCGCGGCTCAGTTTACCTAGTCCGCTCCCACCCTCCCGCCCTACCCGGCCACAGCTCCTCCGCCCCCAGCCCCAGCTCCCCCATGTCTCCGAACAGCTCACTGCCCGGATCCAGCACCCGGCTGAACCCCCGACCCAGCCGCATCGCCTGGCGCTGTGTAACCGCCAGCGGGCTGCCCAACCGCGCACTTACACCCGCCAGCAACCCCCCCAGCAGCCCCGGGGTGCCCTCCAAACCCGCCCGGTCCATGTGTGACAACAGCAGCAGCAGTCCCTGACCTAGGTAGGCCTGGTGCTGTACGGAGGTGCGAGTGACGGAGGCGGCGTCGGACCAGGCCGCCGCCAGCGAGGCAGCGGCGGAGGCGGGTTGTACGGCAGGGTATGCGGCGGGAAGGAGTGCAGTCAGGAGTTGAAGGGCGTCGTACGGCAGTGGGGCGCGGTGGAGGGGGATGAGAAGGTGGTGGGTGAGGGTGTGGGAGATGGCGGGGTGGGAGGCGAGGTGGGGAGGGAGGAGCCAGAGGAGGGCGGTGACGGCGGCGGCGGTGGCGGCGGGGGGCAGCGGCGGTGAGAGGCCTAACAGCTCGTGTCGCTGCCGCTGCTGCTCTTCCTGCTGCTGCCGTTGCCGCTGTTCCCGCCGCTGCTGCTTCGCCAGCGTGCCAGCGTCACCGGACTTTTCGTCGACGTCAGGAGAGCTGGCGTCGGCAGTCATCTCGACATCCCCGGAGCTCAAGTGTACGGCAGCCATGGCGGCGGCGGCGGCGCGGTCCAGCAGCGCCGTCAGCAGCCGCTCCGTCGCTGTCGTACTGGCGTCCGCCAGCTGCAGCAGCGCCGCCGCAATGCCCTCGCGGAGCCGCTGTCTGCCCCCGCCGCCGCCATCGCCGCCGGCGCTGCCAAGGACGCTGAAATCATTCGTGTCGTATGCCGGCGCGAGACTTGCCGTACACGCCAGCAGCGCGTCCGCCGCGGCCGCCGCATGCCCCCTCCTGGCCAGCCGCTCCAGCACCTCCGCCAGCAGCTGTACGGCGGCGGCGGAGGTGAGCGACGCCAGGCCTGCGATACCGCCGGTGCTGAACCCCACACCCTCATCCGCCTCATCAACGTCACCACCACCTCCGGCGCTGTCAGCCGCTCCTGTGTTGTCCACTGCCCCCGCAGCCCCGTCACCCCCGCTGTCTGCTGCCGCTGCCGCACCCCCCGGGGCCGCCCCCCGCATGCAGCTGCGCCGGCGGCCCCTCAGCGCCCCCAGCGCCGCCCCCACCGCCCCCTCCGGCCCCGCCAGCACCCCCAGCAGCAGCCGCAGCAGCCGCCAGTACCACACCCCAGCCTGCAGCAGGCCCGGATCCGCACACGCAAGACCCTCCTCCCAGCACGCCAGCGCCTCTGACGCCGAGCCCGGCCCTGCCATCGCCGCCGCCGCCGCCTCCCCCCATGGCGCCCGCGCGGCGCCCCCCGCCAGCAGCCCCGCCGCCCGGTCCGGCAGCCCCACCAGCTGCCCCGCCAGCGAGGAGGCGGAGCAGCTGGGAGGGGTGTCGTACGGGGGGGTGCTGCTGTTGCCGTACGGGGCTGGCGGCGGGACCAGCAGCAGCCTCCGCAGCGCCGCCTCGTCCGCTGGTGGCAGCACCTGCTCCCCTCCTGCCCTGTCCGCGCCTCCCTGAGCGCTGCTGCTGCTGCTGCTCCCATGAACATCGCCTGCCGCCTCCGAGCCTCCTCCTTGCTGCCCCCGCCCCTCGTCCTGCTGCCCCCTGCGGCTCAGCGCCAGACACAGCAGCAACTCCACCACCCCGCTGCTACTGTTACTGCTGCTGGGGGGCTCAGGTTGTGGGGATGAGACTGTGCCGGCGAAGCGGAGCGCCAGCGCTGCCGCCGCCAGCTCCGCACCCCGCGCTGTCACCCGGGCGGGACCAGCAGCAGCAGCGGCACCGCGGCGGCGGGAGGCGGGCGGGCGGTGGGGCGGGGGCGGCTCGGCGGGGGACACCAGGGATAGGTGGCTGCAGAGGTGGAGGGGGGGTGTGGGTGTTAGCGGGCAGCGACAGGAAGACAGCATCAAGGTCGCGCTCTACTTCATAACCCCTTCGTTTGCTCCTTCTTCCTTCCCTTCCTCCTCCCCCTTCTCCCCCGCCCCCACCTGGTGAGTCCCTGCAGCAGCAGGTGTGCGGGCGCCAGCTGCAGCAGCGCCGCCAGCAGCCGCCGGATGCGGGCCAGCGAGCGCAGCTGCGGAGCACTCGGGGGGCAGGCGGAGGCGGAGGCAGGGGGGCTGGCAGCCGCTGTGGAGAGGGGTTGGGGAAGAGCAACAGTCAAGCAGTGATGGCAAGAGTGAGGGATGGGGAGGCGTATCACCAGGGATGCATGGAAGGGCGAAGGTACGGGAGGGTGTGTCTCTCGGCTAACACAATGGTGAGAGACGCATGCCAATGTCGTTCGGGTGCTTAGGAAAGGAGTGCCGTCTAGCATTGTGGGGAGGCTACGTTTCAAGCTCACCCGTTAAGAGTACAGCGGCCCACGGCTCGAATGCTACCGAGAAGAAGCAGGCGCGCAAGGCATCCGCCATGGACCCGTCCCAATGTCGCCGGGCCTCCTGCAGCTGCTCCAGGTACAACAGCAGCTGCTGCCAGGCAGCCTCCGCTCCTTTAAACGTCGAGTCTGATGCATGCCTAGCTGGATCTGTATCATTTGCAATCAGCGCCGCGTGCACCGTGCTCGCCACCGCATCGATGACAATCGCGCTGTCGGCGCTGTCAACCAGCTTGCAGGCCTCCTTGATGAGACCCCGAATCGTAGATCGCAGGTCCATACTAAACCAAGATTACTTTGCGACGGCCGCCTAGCCTTAAAACGGAGCCTAAGGGAATCCCGCGCACTTTGCATCCGAAGTGGGAATCCACAATTAGACCCAGTACGCGCTGAGTTTATGGTCTAATCAAAAGTGTAATCAATTGCTGCAATATTGATGCATATGTTGCAAGGTAGTGGCGAAGAGTCGGAGAAGAACCGTCACACCAACTATTTACGAGGCAAAGACTCTCGCTACAGTACTACTCAGTGTGCAGAGTCCTGGGAGTAGTTACACAATAGAAGACTCTGTTTCCACGGCATGACTGTGGAGCAATTGTCTGTTCTGTACGGCTGTGCACGTGAGACACGCAAGTCGCTTAGCTACCAAGCAAGGGATAACATCGCAGGCTTGGCCATTGCAGGCTGGGCCCTATGCCAAACAACGCAGCCATAGATTGCTTGGGTTGCTGGCCCAGGGGCCGTACCTGCAGTACCAACTGGCCGCCATCTACCGCGCAAGTCAACAGCCTCCACCCGGCACCCTTTTGCCCAACACTACCCTCTACCCAACACAAGCCTCATAACATCCCCATTCCCCACCGTTCATTCAAGGTAGATGTTCGCCGTCACTCATGCGTCCACGGCCCTTTACCACGAACATCCATCCCATCCCTCCCGCTCCTAAACCTTCGTCAGATGAGCCCGGCCCAGAATCATGGTGCACGCCCCTTTTCCAACAGCAAACATGCGACCTAACACCGTGGAGGCGGGTATTTCGGACAGCCCCATAGGCTGTCGATGCAGCTTGTAGCATGCTGTTACTTTGTTTGGGGAAGGCAAAAGCCTTGCAAATATTGGAGATATGCGCCTTCGTGAGCCGCACTCGCTGATCTCTTTAGTAAAAGGCGAAAGAGATATGAGAGACGTGGGCGGCTCAGCGCATAACAACCTCTGAGCCAATGTCGGGACCAAGTCTTGGTGCCCTCAACTCCCGTGGACATACCAACGATGGTGGGTCATTGTGTGTAGGAGGCCGGACAACATCCCTCCATGCCTGCATTGAGGACAAAAGGCCATATTCAACTTCGAATGCAAATGCAAATGCAAAGACGTTGGGCAGTCCGGCAAGGGGACAGACCGAGGCAGTGGTTGGCAGCTGCTCTCCCCCACCGCAGCACCATAAGAGCATGCGGGATGGCGGTCAGCCCCTCAACAGGGGACCCTACTCCTCTGTACTGCACCCTCAAACCCAGCCATACGTGCGGCGCTTAAAGCAACCCCGCCGCCCTGTACCACCCTAACACCTCTCATACACATGAAGGCTAGCTGGCAGCCAGCCTCTATCCGCATGCAACCCGTTTGCCGCTGCCGCAGCTATGGCGAGGGTCATGGTGGTGAGCCGGCGATGGAACACCCTTACTCGGAGCCATTAGGTACTGTTACGTCTCACCATCACTGTAGTATGCTTAATAAGGGGTGGGAAGTTCTGCACAGGGCCCCTTTGGGCCCTCACGAGGTACACTAGCAGGCAGCCGTTTGTCGGTGCAAACCAGCGCAGAGCGGTTGCAGGCCTTGCAGCGGCCGGCAGATGGCCACTTTCAGCCCCTAGAGTGCGTTGGGGAGGCGCATGTGTTGGGCTGACCTAGCTCCATGGTGCCTTCTGCGCTCCGTTGCCGCGGCTATTAGGGCTGGTCAATGCATAGTAACGGCACACCTGCCTGCAATGGCGTCTTAATTAAGACTAAGACCAATCTAGTATGGTGGCGCAGGTTATGAAGTGACAAAAAGCAGGAGCAAGCGGTGTGCATTAGAGTCATGCGCATGCAAGGCGAGAGTCGTCATGACACAGGCAAGCGCATTAATGATTTTACAGCAACCATAAATGGTAAGCACGAGTAACTGGCAGCCAGCTTTGGCCAAAATACAAGACAAGGCAACTGATCTGGGTTCGGAGCCGGAACTGCAAGCCGCTAACGCGTGTTCCTATTTGTCAAAGTTAGCTTGACCGACTGCAACTGCAGAAGGGTTTATATCAGTTGACCAATATAAAGTGCTTACGTGTGCTGGATTCCACGTTCTAGTTATGCTGTCACGGTGCCGCAGCATTTTGGTTTGACGTGAGCACTGACTGGAAGTACAATTGTAATCGTTAAGGCAATATGTATAGTCGCTTACAACAAGAAGTCATGAATTGTGAGTCGAAGCCGTCGCGTGGCGGACGTCGACATGGCCCTAACAAGCCGCAAGCTGCCTCAATTGCCAGGCGTATGGTGGTAAGTAAATCAATTGTGCATGCTTGCCAAAGAGCCCTTTTTGCACGGCCTGCAGCGCTTTCCTTGCTTTCGTAGTGGTAATTCACTGGGCTTGCAAAGTTGCCAGCGTCTCAATGCGAGAGCCCATTATACAATTGTATGCTAAATTCTGTCCATATACTCATTATCCTTCAGGTAACAAGGGCTGCAGCTGGCAATGGCTCTGGCAGTACCGGCGGCGGTGGCGGCTCCGTCCGCCGCATTACCAACCGCGATTTGGAGGCTCTGGGGCGGGTGAGCGGACAGCGGGGAGGCGAGCAGCTGGCCGGGGGCTACATCTGGCACGGGGAGGGGGCGGGGTCTGGGCGGGGGTTGGGGTGCGGTGGGGTGCGGCCCATTAGCTGACCAACCACAGAGGTGCTCCACCCGACCTCCGTTGTGCACCCTTCGCCGCTCCCAGTCACATGGCACCCACTCACCACTCGGGGGGGGGGTCGCTCAGCCATCCCGCACCTGCCAGCAGCACGCACCATGCTGTCCCCACGCCTCCCCCTACCCTCTCCCCCAACCCTCCCTGCTCCCCTCCCCTCCCTCCCCCCCGCCAGGTCTACGGCCCGCAGCCCCCCACTCCCGGCTCCCCCGGGGTTCCCCCGCCCCCCGCTCCCTCGCCCTCCCGTCCCGAGGAGCGCCCGCTCTTCCCGCCGCCGCCCCTGCCCCTAGAGGTGGAGGTGGAGGGGCAGGAGGCCAGCTCCTCCTCCGCCTCCTTCCCCGCCCCCGACGCGGCCCTGCTGGCCTCCATCTCCGGCGCCCGCAGCTGGCGGCAGCTGGCGGGGCTGTACGGCAGCGCGGCGAGGCGGCTGGAGCCCTCCCTGCTGCTGGCCATGACGCAGAGGTGGGGTAAAGATATGGAGGGAGGTGGGGGGGAAGAGGAAACAACTAAGAACTAACCGAGGATGTGGGGGGAGGGGGGCGGGAAGGGGGAGGGAGGGAGAGGGAGGGGGGGAGGGGTGCGAGGGGTGCACAGGGAGGCGGCCATGAGTGGTCGCGGTGCTGCACCCAGCACTCTTGGGACTCCCTTCCGTTATCCACCGTCTTTGCAACCTAATTGCTAACAACCCGGTTGATTACAACCTGGCTTGCAACCTTCACCAGCTGCGTCACCCCAGGGCCCTGTGCCGCACACCTCCCCTCCCTCCCCCCCAGGTTGGCCCACGTGACGGGTGCGCTGGTGTGGCCGCCCGGCTGCTCGCTGCCGCTGAGGCTGGGCGGCAGCGGGCGGGGAGACGAGGGGGAGGAGGAGGTGTTCCCGCCGCTGGCTGAGCAGGATGTGGGGGAGGTGCAGGTGGGTGGGGGTGGGGTGGGGGTAAGGGACGGGGATAGCAGTGCTTTGGCAGCAGCAGCAGCAGGGTGTATGGTGTCACTTCCCTTCGCCCCACCCAAACCTCCACTGCGTTCCCAACCTGCACTGGTGAGCCATCGCCCGGCGCTACTACTAGCTCCGACAACTCACCCGGTCCTCCTTTCTTCCCTTCCTCCCCCCCTATCAGTCCCTGGCCACCAGCCTGTGTCGCGCCACCCAGGTGTGCCTCTCCGCGGAGATGTACGGACTCACGCACGTGGCGGGGCTGCTGCAGGTGCGGGGGGAGAGCTGGGGGGCGGGCGGGGCGGGGAGGGGCGCGGGGAGAGAGCTGGGGGGGCAAAGAGGAAATGACTAACGTACCGTGTGTAGAGAGGTGGAGGGGCCCCGGGGGATTGGGGTGAGCACCCACATACTGGGGGGCACCCCTCCGTGGGTTACCCGCCCCCACTCAGATCACATGGTAACGTATCTCTCTCCCCCATCCGTCCCCCCTTGCTCACCCCTCCGCCAGCTAGATTACCACTATCACACCAAACATTGGAATTTCCTCCCTCCCCCCCTTGCTCACCCTTGTTCAAACCCCCTCTTTCCGCCCAGGCCTTCATGAGCCTGGGTGTGGTCCCCCCCGCCGGCTGGTTGCGGGCCGCGGAGGTGGTGGCGGTACGACAGGAGCGGCAGGGCGAGCAGCTGGGGGTGGGGCAGGCCAGCCGCGAGGGGCTGCCGGAGCTGCTGCTGCTGGCGGGTTGCATGCAGCGGCTGGGGCACCTGCCGGGCAGTGCATTCGTGGGGCTGCTGGGGGCGGTGCGGCCGGTGGAGGAGGTGGAGCGGGGGCGGGGGAGGCAGCAGGAGGGGGAGGAGGTGAGGAGGGGGCGGCCGGGGGAGTGTGGGGAAGGGGAAGGGAGTAGCGGGGCTGGTGCTGTGGTGTAGTGGGGTGATGGTGGGCATGAAGGAGGAGGGGGGTAAAGGAGGGGGAGGCGAGGAGGGCGTGTGCGGATAGCGGTGAGGGAAGTAGCTAGCGGGTGTGTGAGGAAGGAGGGGGGTGAGGTAGGACGGGGTTGCCTGAGGGGCTCTGCCTGCATGGGGCTGCTTCCTAAGCCATACGTGCCGACACTCGCCTGCTCCCACCCCCCGCCCTCACACCCACCCCCGCTTGCTCCTGCTGGCTGACCTAACCCCTCCCTCTCCCTCCCCCTCCCCCCGTCTCTCCTCCCCCTCTCTCCCCCCCTCCCGCAGTCCCCCCCTGCCCTGGTGGTGGTGCTCACCTCCCCCCAGCTGCTGTGTAGTGCGCGGGCGGTGCTGGTGTGGGGGCTCACCCCCAGTGAGGGGTGGGCGCAGCAGTTCCTGGAGGTGCGGGTGGGGGGACCTGATGAGGGGGTGCGGGTGGGAGGTTGCGGGTGAGGGGAATGCTTCTTCATATGTGTAGATGCGCTTGTGGCCTTGTCTCGCCCTGTTGCTGTTTCAGTATTACCGGTAGCGTGACACGCCCTCACCCTACCCACCCTCTACCCACCATTCCCCGGCTCCCCCTCCCTCGCCACCCCACGCAGGCCACCTACACGCGCATCTCCCGCGCCAACCAGCTGGCGGCAGCGGACGGGGCGGGGGCAGCGGGCGAGGCGGAGGCGGTGGAGGCGGCGGAGGCGGAGGCGGCGCTGGGGGTGGGCGGGCTGGCGACACTGCTGTGGGCGGCGGTGGTGGCGGGCGCGAGGCCGGCGGACCCGGGTGAGGAAGGCGGGGGGGGGCGGAGGGGGGGCCGGGTTTGGCATACATGTGGGGTTGCATGCGTGTGGTGGATTAGAGGAGATACCCGGGTAGGGGCCGCTCAGGAGCACTAGGTGTGCGGTGTGGCCCTCCTGCTTGCCCCCCACACGCAGCTGCCCACTCGACCCCTCCGCACCCCCACCCACCTCCACCTCTGCCCCCCACCCCTCCAACCCCCAGGCGGCGTGTGGATGGGCGAGCTGGCAGCTGCGGCGCTGCGGCACATGCGGGCCGTGCTGGCCGCCCCCCTGCCCGCGGCTGGGGGGGAGGCGGAGGCGGAGGAGGGGTGGCCCACTCTGCAGGTGGGGAGAGGGGGAACGGAGGGGGGGGGTGAAGGAACGCGGGAGGTGGGGAGACTGCATGGGCAGCCTTGGACCGGTCCTGTTTCCTACCCTGGTTGCCATACACCCCCTTGTGACGCCACCATGTGACACCCCTTCTCATGCCTATTTGCTAACCCTAACCCCCCCCCTTCCCCCCCCTCCTCTCCCCCCCTTCCCCCCCCCAGGACCTGGCCAGCCTGCTGTCCGCCTTCCACCAGGTGCTGTACGACCCGGGCCAGGAGTGGGTCGGCACGGCACTGCAGGTGGGGGGGCGGGGGCGGGAAGAGGGTGTGTGTGAACATGTTCCCTCCCCGGGCTCTCCGCACTGCGCCGCACGCCACCTCCCACTATCCCGCCACCGCCTTACCACCGCACCCCTCTCCCCTCCTAACGCTCTCCTCACGCCCCCTTCCCTCCCCCCCACCCGCAGGCTGCCGCCGCCATCCAGGCCCGCACCGGCTTCACCTCCGCCGCCGCCCTCGCAGCCACCGCCGGCGGCCCCCCGCCCGGTGACGCACTGGCCGCCGTACTCTTCCTCTCCGCGCAGTACGACCACCCGCAGGGGGCGGCGGCGCGGGAGGCGGTGGTGGGCCTGGCGCGGGAGGCGCAGCAGGGCATGCAGGAGATGGCGGCGGAGGCTGAGGCAGCCATGCAGGTGCAGCAGAAGGGGAAGCAGCAGCAGCGGGGTGCCCGGGGCTCCTCCTCCTCCTCCCCAGCTGCTGCTGCCGGTGCAGCCCCCCGCGGTGTGTTCACCTCCCGAGGTCTGACTCAGATGCTGATGGCGCTGGTCCGCATGGGCGGGGAGCCGTCGGGGGAGTGGATGGGCGACTGGGCGGGGGCGGCGGGGCAGCTGGCGAGGAGCGAGTTTGACATGGACCAGGTGTGAGGGGGGTTACGGTAGGGGGCCGGTGGAGGGAGGGAGGGAAGGGCCTGCTGCCACGCTTCGATCAGCGATGCGAAGGCCGGCGAATCGATTGGGCGGTTTTGGGCTGGGTTGTGGTGGTGGTGTGTCTTGCGCGTTTCCCACCTCACAGTGGCAACCGCCTGTTTCTCCTCCCGACCTCCTTGCCATCATCATCAACTTCTTTTCCCTCCCCTCCTCCCCCCAGGTGTTAGCTGTGATGGCCTGCTGCGCCCAGGCGGGAGTGCCCCTGCCCGCCCGCCTGCAAGTGGATCTGGTGGGCAGTGTGCTGGCGCCCAAAACAGGGGGGGCAGCGGCAGGGGGAGGAGCAGCAGGCAGCAGCGGCAAGGGCGCAGGAGCCTCCCCCGCAGCAGCCTCTGCACCTCAGCTGGCTGTCTCCGGTCCCGGAGCCTTCCTGCCCTCAGACACCCTGCTGGCAGCTGCTGGTGCCGGTGCTGCTGGTGCTGCTGGTGCTTCTACCACCACCTCCTCCTCCGCCGCCTCCCCCGCCCTCCCCTCCCTCCGCAGCATCTCCTCCCTGCGGCAGCTCCTCGACGTGGTGCTCCTGCAGCCGCACCCCCTGCCGCCCGCCTGGGTGGGGGCGCTGGCAGGCGGGCTGGAGGACTGGCGCGTGCGGTTGGGCGGGCGGGAGCTGCTGGGGGGGCTGCGCGCGCTTGCATGCTTCCGGGGGGTGGTGGTGGCCGACCCCTCGCAGCTGCCCACCCCGCCGCCCTCCGCCCCGCCGCCGCTCTACAACCCCACCTACCGCCGGGGGGCGGGCGGACCCGCCCGACCCATTGTGCTGCGTGCACCGGGCACCACGGCTAGTGCTGGTGCTGCTAAGGCGGAGGCAGGCGAGGAGGGCGAGGAGGGGGAGGAGGGGGAGGAGGATGTCCCCTTGGGTACCCCCGCGGAGGAGGCGCGGGTGCTGCTGGACGTGCAGTGGGTGGAGGGGCTGTTGGAGGACGTGCGGGCGAGGGGGGGAGTGAGGGGCGCGCAGGAGCTGATTCAGCTGAGCGAGGTGAGGGGGGCGGAGGAGGGAGGGGGGCCGTGGTAACTTAGTTGGCCGCGGGTCGGAAGCTCTTTTTTATTGCTTAGAGGAGGGTGGGTTAAGGAGACTGGCATGGATGGCACCAAGCGGGGGTGGGGGCGTGCGGGTTAGCGGGGAGCCCATTGCATGCCTCTCCGCTTCTCGGCCCTTGTCTCCCCCCCGGGCCAGCTAGCCGTATATGCGCACCCCGCACTGCCCTGAGCCCGTCCCCGTCACCCAGCCTTTACCCTCCACCTCCCTTCCCAACTCTCCTGCCACCCTCCCTCCCCCTCCCCTCCCCCCCAGGCTCTCAACGACCTGCAGGCCCCCCCGAAGCTGCTGTCGTACCTGGAGGTGGGGGGGACGTGGGGGGATGTGGTCGCGAGTCACGACATATGCGCTAGCCCCAACACACAGTGACAGGCAGCCTAACACTCCTCTGCCAACCAGGCCCCGCCACCGCCACCTACCGCCACTCTGTTTCCCCTTCCCCCACCAACTCCAAGCTCCCCCACCCACCCCACCCCCCAGGTGTTCGCTCTGGGCCTCACAGGAGAGGACGGCCGGCCCCGCTCCGCCCCCCTGCCCGGACCCGCATCCAGAGCCACTGCGGGGGGTGCGGCTGCGGGGACTGCTGCTGCAGGGAGGGGGCCACCCGCCTCACCAGCACCAGCAGCAGCAGCACCAGCAGCACCAGCAGCAGCGGCGGCCCCGGCGGCGGCTGACCGCACCCGCACCGCGGACCCCGGGGCTGCTGCCGCTGGTGCCGCACTGGCTGCTGCTGCCGCTGCGGAGGCGCCGGCGGGTGGTGCTGCTGGTGGTGGTGGTGGGGCCGGAAAGCCCTCCGCTGCTCGCATCAGGCTGAAGCTGCAGAAGGAGGCGGCGGAGAGGCAGAAGGCGGTGAGGCAGGGGGCGGAGGTGGGGGGGAAGGAGAGGTGAGGTTGTTGGCTGCGCTAGTGCGCTTTGTGTTTGTTGTGTTTCGCCTGCTGTATGGCTTTGACTCACGCGTGTGCTTGGTGACCCCTTCCCAGCAGGCCGAGGCTGCTGCTACTGCTGCTAGTGCCGCTGCCGCTGCGGATGGTGCTGCTGCTGCTCCTGAGGTGGATGAGGAGGAGGCGGAGGTGGAGGAGGTGGCGGAGTGGGCGATGGCGTGGCAGACCATGCTGCGGGCCTTTGCAGCGGGGGGGCACCTGCCGGGCAGCAGGTGGGGGCTTGGGGCGGAAGGGGCGGGAGGAGGGTAGGGTAGGTGGAGGAGGGCCCTGCCTACCTGCCCCTTGCTAGCGCACCTCCTCCGCACCTCCTGGGTTGCCCTTTACCCCTGCTCGCCCTCCCTGGCGCTAGACTCTTCTAGCTGGATGAGGGGTGCCCCGGGCCCTGAACCACTTCGCGAACACCGCCCCTGTCTCTCCCGCTCCCTCCGTCCACCTCCCTCCCTCCCTTGCTCGACTCCCTTGCTTCACTTTTCGTTTGTGTTCCCCTCCCCTTCCTCCCCTCCCCCTCACCCCCCCAGGTGGTGGTCCCGCTTCTCCGCCGCCACTCGGCCCGTGCTGCCCTCCTTCCCGCCCGACCAGCTGGCGGGGCTGGCGCTGGGCGCACTGGGGCTGAGCGGGTTGGCGGAGGAGAGGCGGGCGGAGCAGGAGCGACAGCGGCAGCAAGGCAGGGGGGCGGTGGCGGCGGCGGCGGCGGCGGAGCTGCAGCGGCGGGTGGAGCAGCAGCGGGAGGGGGAGCAGGGGGAGACGCCGTTGCTGCCGGATGCGGCCTGGCATGAGACGGTGGGTGGGGAGAGGGAGAGGGAAAAGAAGTATACCCAATGTGTGAGGGGGGAGGGGGAGGGGCAAGGAGGCAGCTGCTGGCCTCCCCACCTAGCACTGCATGGCCGCCTCGATGGAGACGAGGGTGCGTCCGCCTCCGTCCGCTCCACCCTGCCCCCCTAACCCGCTGCCCCCTGCACCCCACCCCCCCTCCCCCCCGCAGGCCTTCTCCCAGGTGGCTGAGGCGATCCGCTCCTGCCCCGTCAGCGTGCAGCAGGTGGGGGGTGCGGAGGGGGGCCTGGGGGGCCTGGGGGGTTGGTAGGGTCGGTGGGGGCGGCCGCAGGGACTGGCAACCCAGGGAGTGCACTGCACCCCGCCCTGCAGCCCCCACGTGCGTGTCCTGTGTGTCGTTAGGAGCTGGCTACCGTGTACCTCTTTACCGCCGCTATCCCTTGACCGCCGCCTCCCACTCATCTCCCACACATCCCCCCCCCACCCGCCTCCCATCCCCCCACCGCCCCCCTCCCCAGGTCCGCATGATAGCCCTCCAGCTGCTCCAAGAGCAACGCCAGCAGGAGCAACAACAAGAGGGGCAGCAGGGGGGGCAGCAGCAGCCCACCTCCTCCTCCCCCTCCGACCCCGCCCCGCTCCCAGACGCCTCCTCCTTCCCTCCCGAGCAGCTCCAAGAGGCCTGCCTGACCGTGTCCTCGCAGCTGCCGCAGCTGCTGCTGCAGCTGACCGTCCCACGGGTCGCTCTGCCGCCGCAGCTGCTGCAGCTGCTGGAGGAGCTGGGGGCGCAGGTGGCGGAGGCGGCGCTCGGGGCGGCGGAGCAGGAGCAGGAGCGGAGCGGGGAGGCAGCTGAGGAGGAGGAGGAGGAGGGTGGCGGATTGGTTGTGGATGGGATGATGTATGCGCAGCAGGTGGTGTCCATCGTGATGCAGGTGAGGGAGGGGAGGGGGCAGAAGGGGGGAGGGGGCCGGAGGGGGGGAAGGGTGAGCGGATGGCAACAGCAATGCAGATGGGGGTTTGAGCTGAGGGGGGGAGGGGTTGTAGGAGGGTGTAAGGACCATAGCAGGCGAGGTTATAGCGGAGGACGAAGAGCCAACTCCACTCCTCTTACATTACCCGCTTAACCCTTCCCCCCCTGCCAATATAATTCAACACATCGGGAAATCTTCCTTCCCCCCCCCCTCCCCCCCTGCCCCAGGCCTTCCTGGTATCCAGCTACCCCGTGCCGCAGCACTGGTTGGACGCGGTGGCCCCGCTGATGAGCTGGGGGCGGGCGGTGTGGGCCCCCGGCTCCTCCGCCCCGGGCGAGCTAGAGCATCAGGTGCAGCTGCTGCTGGCTCCGGAGCAGCTGACCACCCTGATGTACCTGGCGGGGCGGGGGGGACTACAGATGCGGGCGGAGCAGGTGCGGGGTGGGGGGGAGGTGGTGGAGGGGTGGGGGGTGGAAGGTGGAAGCATGCAGCCTGACGCAGGTCATGTACGGCATCCCGAACTGAGGGGAGGGTGGGTTGCTGCCGCCTGACCTCACAAACAGCACACCCCCTTCTCAATCCCTCAATCCCCTCCCCCCCTGCCCCCCCTCCACAGGTCCAGCTGCTGCTGGCCCACGCAGCCCGGCAGGCGGCCGGCGGGGCCATGAGTCCGGGCGAGGTGGCGGCGACACTGGCGGGGGTGGCGGGGGTGGTGGTGGTGGCACAGGAGGAGGAGGAGGCCGAGGAGGTGGAGGTGGTGGAGGTGGTGGAGGCGTGCGGGCGGGAGCTAGGGGAGCTGTTCGAGGTGAGGGGGGGGAGGGCGGGAGGGGTGGCGGGAGTGGGGGGGGAGGGAGGAGGGAGGAGGGGGGCAGGACTAGCCATGTGAGCAGGCACTACCAGGGGAGGGGCGGGGGGAGTGTGGCCTCGGGCACCTAGACGCCTGCATGTCACCCACAGGTCCTCGCTTAAGTGTGCCTGTGTTGGCAACCAAGCGTGTGCCGCATCCCACCTCTCCCTCCTCCTCCCCCCCCCAGTTCCTCTCCTCCCAGTCCTGGGCCCTCTCCCCCACCGGCCTGCTCGAAGCCGTTGTCGCCATCTGCCAGATGGAGGTGCTGCTCCCGCCCGACATGGCCGCCCGCTTCCGGGGGCCGCTCGCCCGCTGCCTGCCCTCCCTGGCGCCCCGGGGGGTGCTGGCGGTGCTGGCGGCGGGCCCCAGCGTGGGTCTGGAGCCGCCCAGCAAGGAGGTGCTGGGGGTGCTGGCGGGGCAGGTGGGGCGGATGGCGGAGGCGGAGGTGGCGGAGGCGGGAGGAGAGGTGTTGGGGCCTGCGGCGGCAGTGGAGGTGGCGTATGAGGTAAGGGAGGGAGGGGGAAGGGAAGGGTGGGGTTGAGCTTAAGGATTAAGGGCGAAGGGATAGGGAGTGGAGTGGGAAAGAGTGAGAGGGTGAAAGGGGGGCAGCAAGCCCCCACGTGGTCTTGTGCATGCAGGGGTCTCGCCTTCATCCCCCGGTCGCCCCTCCCTCCGGCTACTGCTTGCTTGCCGCCACCACTCCCTCGCCACCCCCTCGTCACCGCTCCCTTCGCTATCCCTCCCCCCCCCCTCCCCCCCTCCCTCCCTACCTCCCCCCCCCGCAGGTGCTCCGCTGGCTGCCCGAGGTGGTGGGCGGGGAGGAGGCGGCGGAGTGGATGGGGGCGCTCAAGGAGGGGCTCCAGGTGGGGGGTGGGGAGCGAGGGAGGGGGAGGGAGGGTCACAGGAAGCGTCTCACACCACCGCCCTCACTGCATGGCCTACCCCCACCCTACATGCATGCGTCGCCCCGCAGAGCTGCACACACTCCTTACACCGCCACCTCTCCTCCTCAGACACTCCCTCCAACCACCATGTTCACCCCTCTCCCCCCCCTCTCCCCCCCTCCAGCCGCTGCTCTCCCGCCTAGCCCAGGTGGGCCCGGGAGCCGCCCCCAAGCTAGCCATGATGCTGCCATCGCTGGGGCTGCTGCCCCCCGTTGCGGAGGACCAACAGCAAGGGGGGCAGCCTGGGCAGCAGCAGCCGGCAGCAGCAGCGGGGTACGACCCCACCTCCCCCTCCGCCCCCTCCTGCCTCAGCCCCGAGCGCACCGCCCTGCTCGCCCCGCTGGTGGATGCTATTGCAGCCGGACTAGCGGCCACTGCTGCTAATGCTGCGGGTGCTGCTACAGGGGGTAGTGCTGCTGGTACAGCTGCTACCGCCGATGGCAGCAGTAGCAGTACGGCAGCCGCCCCCCTGCCCTTGTCGTACGACGGGGAGCAGCTGGGCAATGCGGTGCTGGGGTTGAGTCTGGCAGGGGCGGAGCTGCCGGAGGAGTGGGTGAGCAGCTTCATGGAGGTGTCGCAGCCGCAGCTGCCGGCCTGCTCCCCGCGTGCCCTGGTCGCCTGCCTCACCGGGCTGGCGCTGCAGGGGGCACAGCCGCCGCGGGGCTACGTGGGGGGGATGTGGCGGGCGGTGCGGGCGCTGGCGGCGCCGCCGCGTAGGGGGTGGGAGCTGGCGGGGGCGCGGGGTCTGCTGGCGGCGGCGGGGCGGCTGGGTGTGCGGCCGGATGCGGACACCATGCAGGCAGTGCTGGACAGTGCGCTGCTGCGGTACCGGGAGAGCCCCGACCCGGAGGGACTGGCGGAGCTGGTGCAGGTGGGGGGGGGGAGGGAGGGGGGGAAGAAGAATACCCAATGTGGTGGGGAGGGGTTGGGTGGGGAGCAGGGGACATGCGCCAGGCTGCAGCGGCCCCCTCGTTATCCTCCTGCCAGGTAACAGATGCCTGTAATCATGCCAAGGTAATGCGCTGTCACACGCTCTTTCCGGTTACCTCCTCCCCCCCCGCCCCCAGGTGCTCGCCTCCTTCCACTACGTGCCCCGCCCCGGCTGGGCTGCGGAGGTGCGGGGGCTGCTGGGGGCGGAGTTGGGGCGGCTGGGGCCGGGGGAGGCGGGGCGGCTGGCGGCGTTCCTGAAGACGGTGGCGGGGGCGTGAGAGGGAGGGGAGGGAGGGAGGGGGGAGGGGGGGGGGGACGTAGCCCACATGGGGAGGCTGTGGCAATGCGGCACCCGGGCTGGGGGAGGGTGAAGGAGAGTACTGGGGGTGCGAGGGGAGCCTGAACAGGGTCACTTGGGGATGTTACAGACGGCGCTTGCAGGTGGCGGTGGGGGAGTCCTGAGGGGAGTGGGTGGAAGCGGAAGGATTGGGAGGCATGGAAAAGCGGCACATACCGTAGGCGGCGGGTTGGGAATCGGCTTGGGAGGAAAGGATTTGGCGTCTGAGCTGTCTGGGTGGAAGAGTGTTAACATGACTATAGCTCTTGACGCGCGCTCTTGACGTGGCATTTACGTTCGTTGTTTAGTGCTTGACTGTTGAACGGCATATTGCCCTCACTTTATTCTTTGGTTGCGCTTGCAGGGGACGTTTTAAACAGGGGACGTTTGAATGTTGGTTGTTGACCTGGTTGACTTGGTGACCAGCTGGCGGTGATGATGATGGTGGTGGGTGGGGGATAAAAGTATGACGAGGCTCCACCATAGGTGGTGGTGGGGGAAAATTATATAAGAAATGCAAACAACTAAAGTCCCAAATCCCATATCCCGACTGGTGGGGGGGGGGTTCGCACAACGACGCGTGTGAGCGTTGTGTGTCTGGTGCTCATGACAAGCTGCAGCGGCGAGCGAGGAGGCCCGCTTTGGGACCCGGAATTGCCCCTTGGTGGCCCTTCCCCAGGGCCAAGGGAATATGGGGTTACTGGTCAAGATGCCGACGCGAGGCGGTCAGGGTAACGGTAGCGGTCATTCATTCGTAAAGGACCTGGTACAGGTGTGGCCACCGACGGTCGGAACGCCTCCTTCCTACCTCCAGCACACCTCAGCCAGGAAGAAGAGGACAGCTGCAGCAGGCGCCCTCTCTGCGCGACAGCCTGCCGCTGCCCCACACCCACCCATGTACACACCCATACAAGCATGATGTGATTGCTCCATCTGCAGCAACAAAGACAAGAACCCACCAAACAACACATTCCTGCCTCCCCCCTCCTCTCCTGGTTCCTACCGTCGCTGTTTTCCGCAGGCGTTGTGCCCGAAATAAGTAGCTATGGTTCCAGTTTCTCACAGAAGCCTCATAATGAGGCCGAACATGTGCTGTACTCCTATTTCCACGCTCGAACCCATACCCTGTCACCATCAAGGTATCACACATAATACGAACACCGCCCTCGTGGGCGACAGTGCGGCCGCCCGTTGTATCACTCAGTGTCCCATGCGCCGGAGCCCCGGAGCCCCGGACTAGGACTAGGACTAGGACTCACAGCACCCCTAACCGGGGACCTACGAGCTCGTCGTTGCAGAACTCTGCCAACGCTGCCTGACTGCTGCCCCCGGGTTGTTGGAGACCTACGTTGCCGCACCCAACACACCGCTGTTGGCCGGCCCTGCGCATGCGCCCCTCAGAAGCGTCTAAAAGCAGCACTACCGCCGCTACTGCTACTGCTACTGCTACTGCTGCTACTGCTGCTACTGCTGCTACTGCTACTACTGCTAGCAAGGCCTCTCCGATGTCTAAAGTACTCCCCTTTAAGGTTGTACAAGCGCCGCTGCAAACCAGCCAAAGTCCACTCGTACGCCTCGCCTCCAAAAGCCCGATTCCAAATAAATGCCTTGTAGTACTTGGCCATCCCTAGCCTTAGCGCCGCCAGCTGCTCCTCGCTGTAGCTCCGAAGTACCTCCACCATGCGAGGTACGGCACTTAACGGCATTCGTACGGCAAAGTCCTCGTACGGCAAAAAGTCTTCGTACGGCTGGAAAACGTGATCTTGGATGATGACTGGGATGCATCCGAAGATCATGGAGGTCATAACGCGGATGCCCCAACCGTAGCCGTAACTGAAACAAATCAACCGCGGAATCCATCAGGGGCAGGGAACAGGGGAGGGGGTGCGAAGGAGGAGTTACGGTACAGCGCCGTGGGAGCGGCTCAGAGGGAGCATGGGGAGAGGCTTGGGTAGAGGAGCAGCGAGCGGTGCAACCTGCTTTGACATGCTCACCACAACCAGCAGGCAGGCATGCAACCTAACTCCCTGTTCCCCGTTTCCCTCTCGTCCCCTTGAGCACTCACGGCGCAATGCAGAACTTGGAGCCGAAGAGCAGCTTGTCGTAGTCCGGCACCCTGCCGCTGATGAAGCGGATGTCGGGCGGCACCGGCTGGCTCATGTTCTTGAGCAGGTGGTGGATGGCCTGAGGAGGGGGGGACAGCAGGGAGGAGGAGGTGGGGTGGGGGTGGGAACAATTGAAAGGAAGATGGGGGTGGAGGTAGAAAGGTAAACTGAGCCGGATGGAGGTGGGGTGGAGGAGCGAGGGGAGAGGTGCGAACACACAAACGCAACGTACTCGATTGGGGGGAGGAACTACCGTTACTGGGGAGCCGGTGGTCGCCTGGGCCCACCCGCCCCCAACCCCCGGCCCCCACTCACCAATCTCGTGCCCCCGCTGTACTCGCCGTCCCCCACTCCTCCCGCGAAGAAGAACAGCAGCGTGCGGTTGGCGTCGTGGCCGCTGTTGTTGACGAGCCACTGCGGGGAGGAGGGAGGAAAGCTTGGACAGGCAGTGCGGTGAGTGATAGACGGCTCTTACCTGTCTCCTTCTGTGTGTTTTTGTGTGGGAGTGGTGTCGTGCAAAGCATCATTCGGCACGTGGTGCGACACATCAACGAATCGTAAGCACGTGTTCCCACATGTCTTAAGGTCGCCCACCACCATAAATTCAGCCAAGTTACGGCAGACCGGGCTGCAACAGCAACCAGCAGCCGCATGACGGGGGCGCAAACCGGGGCGGCGGGTTGTACCTTGTAGTACGCGGCCGTTCTGTGGGGGAACAGCGATTCATCGCCGCTGGGGCAGGGCGGGATGACCAGGTCCTGCTTCACGCGAATGCAGCCGTAGTCCTGGGATGGCGGGTGCCGGGTGGCGGGGAGGCGGGGAGGCGGGGAGGCGGGGCAGGCGGGGCAGGCGGGGAGGCGGGGCAGGCGGGGCAGGCGGGGAGGCGGGGCAGGCGGGGCAGGCGGGGAGGCGGGGCAGGCGGGGTGCGCCACACGGGATCACGGGTGGAGAGTGCGGAAGTGAGGAAAGGAGTACTCATCCTTTTGGGTATGCTGCTGGGGGCATGCTGCTGGGGGCATGCTGATTCAATCCAAGGTGGGGTCCAACCCGCAGACCCGCTGCATGCAGAAGGGCAGCCGGATTAAGCTCCGGTCTTTGCAACCCAGAAAGCAAGCGTGCACGCACGCGTGGCAACTACCTGCCAGCCAGCCGGATGCAGCCGGCATGAGCGTTATAACAGCAAGGCTTCCAGTACGAAGCGAGGAGGCTGCGGGAGGTGCCAGACCACGCCTCTGCCGCCGCTACCAACACGCGAAAGGAACCGAACGGAACCCTGTCCACCCCACTGCTAGCACCTGCTTGTAACCACACCTTGTTGGGAACGCCGTTCCAGGGCAGGTTACGCTTTTGCAAGCCGAAATGGACCAGCTGCGGGGTTGGGGGAGATTAGGTGGGGGTACATGGGGATATACATGTTCCGGGATGAGAGAGACGGTGGGGTGGTAGCGGAGGTATGCGCGCAGCTCATAACTTGTAGAGCTAGCTGTCGTCGTCATACTGCGCTGGGAAGCTATTTGGTGTGGGCGACACGCCGAGAGTGTGTGCTTGCACGGGACAAGGCAACTCGACCCATGGGTTAAGAAAAGGGAGGGTTGCCACCCACGGCTCTTGCCACCCAAGCAAACAGTCTCGGTTCTCCGAGCCTCGGAGCTCACCTTGATAATGCTGTCTTGCAGCCAGCGCTGCGCCTCGCAGGCACCTCTGTCTTGCGTCATAAACATGAAGTGATCATGGCCACCTGTCGTACGATGGGGGGGTGTCATCATGAGCACACGTACACCACATGCAGCTGGGAGCGCCAGAGACACATGCAGGCGTGTGTTAGAAAGATAGGTAAGAAGCGTTACGTCGTGCATGGTACGGCGATACCCATTGGCTAGAAGGTGCATTTGGAGGACCTAGCCAAGCAGAAAGGAGCGGTAGTGTAACAGGACCAGGAGGGAGTCGCCCGGTCACGTCAACGGTAAACGCACCTGAGCGGTTATAGAACGGCCACTTCTCCCGTACGTACTTGATAACCGCCTCGGCTTGGAACTGGGGATTCCGTACATTCTCCACATAAAAGTAGGTCAGGGCGGGGACGTAGAAGAGGTTGGCCTCGTAGGGATTCTCTGAGAGGGAGGCGGAAGGATGGTACGATGAGGAGCAATGGAGGAAGGGAATGTGGGTAGGGTAGTTGAATCCGCACAGGATGGGAACATGGGCCGCGTGATGCCCTTGTCAGATGTCCGGTAGAGCGTTACGGGGACGGATATTCGGTTGGCTGTTCAGTTGGCCTCATCTCGTTACTAGAAACTTGTGAAGATTGGGACGAGAAGGACGCACGGGCCCTCTCACACCTTCCTCATAAGCCCCCCCGGAGCAGCCAACCAGCCAGCCTCTCACCCGTCCTAACGGTAGTGTCGTTTAAAAAGTAGGTCAGGAACTTCTCGTAGGCTGCATACATGTTGTCACGTGTGTGAGCGTCCTCCTTGACCTCGTATCTGCGGCCGCCGCAGGGGAGGGAAAGGGTGTGGTGTTGAGCGCCCGTTGGAGGCTTACCAGCAATGTTCGCTAAGCTAAGCGTTGCGTTGCATCCCCCGCTGTTCTCCGACGCAGCAGGCGATGCTCATAACATGTCCTTGTTCGTCGTAAAGTCCCCAGTAAAGATACAAGCACGTATCGCAGCAGGACAAGGCAAATCGGAACATCGGGATCTAAAAGGAAGCAGTACCCCGCTGTCGTGTACTCGGCAGCACCGCTAGGAGGCTGAAAGGACCTGCACCGCGCACTCACGGAAAGGCGACCTCCCACGGCAGCTCGTACATGTAGATCTTGAGGCCGGCGGGCGACCTGCGCGACCCACGGGTCACCGAGCGGCCGCACACGGGGTGCGGCGTAAGAGACAGCGAGATAGCGCGCTGAGAGAGAGCCGCGAGCAGAGCAGCAAAACGACAACATGCAGCCGCCTCGTACGGCTTATCTTTGCGCACGCAAAAGTCATCCCGTATTTGGCGTCTAGCTACAAGCCACGCTACCTACCTCATGTCCGGAAACGACCCCGGGCTGGCTGGCTGGAAGGCCTGCGAGCGGTGGCAGCCCACCCCGAAGTAGCCCGGCTGGCAGTGGCAGAAGCCGCTGCGGCAGGTGCCCCGCCCGCCGCAGTCGGGGCTGAACCAGCAGGCCTCGCTGTTGTCCACCTGAGGAGGGGGAGGTACATGCATCCCAGGTGGGTTTGGGTTTGGGTTCGGGTTTCAAACAGAGGTGGGTGGGTGACGCACCTGGCAGCCCTGCAGGGTGTGCACAGCTTCAATGGCCGCCCTGTGCCCTGTGCCGTACGTCCCGGAGTTTTGCTTGTCCCTTCTGACCCCTACGGCTGCTCTACACGCCCTCGCCCTTGGGTCCGCGTTTCCGCGGCTCAGTTCATCTCCCCCCCTGCCCGCCTGCCCGCTCCGCCCTCACACCTGCGAGCAGTCCGTTCCGTTGAAGCCCACGTGGCACCAGCACTTGGGCTGCTTTTCCCAGTGCAGGCGCAGGCAGAAGCCCCGGCCGTTGGAGCAGTTGTTGGGGCAGGCGGAGAGCGGGTAGGCTGAGTGGTTGGCATGGTGCCAGGACAGTTGGGGGCGGTGCCAGGGGGTCTTGTAGAGCCGTTCGGGGTCCTGGGCGGGGCGGGGGCCCAAGGTGGAGGAAGGGCTGGGGCGCAGAGTGGCAGGGTGGAAGGGTCGGCAAGGCAAGGCGAGCAGCATTTCAAAGCCGCCATTTACCATTTGCCATGACTGGCGGCTGGGTACGAGGGGTTGAATGCCGTATCCGGCATTTTCCCCGCATCTTACCGTCTGGATGTGCTCTGGGAGGTACTCGTTCGTATAGGAAAGCTCCGGAATCTGGAGGAGTGGGGTGTGACGTCACGGTCAAAAGGCCGGGAGGATGCATGAGGGGAGCCCTGGTCAGCGCCAAGCAAGCACCAGCAATTATCAAGGAGAGCGGCAAAGGGCATGCATGCATACCGGTACATGCACGATCCGCTGAGGCAGAGCTAAGGCTATGCATGAGGCACAACACCGATTCTTACTGCTAGAATGCACCACGTTGACTAGGAATCTAGTACAGTATCCAAGTACGGAATTAGCTTACGACACCCCTACAGTTGAAGCGCCTCGATGTTTTTACGTACGGCACACGCACCCACCTGCTTAAACCACACGGTTTCCTTCTCCGGGTGCTCCGGGTAGCGGGAGCTGTTCTGGGGGCGGTCCTTCCAGCCGGTGACGTTGTTGCCGTACAGGAAGCAGGGCGCATCGGTGATGTCCGCGCCCCACTGCACACGCACGGCGGGGTGCACGGCGGGGTGCATGAAGACACATGCAAGACAGATGCGACACAACTCACACGTCAGGCAACAGGATGTGGGCACCGCGGCATGTGCACAATACATCAACGTCATTCCTCGCAGCTCGATTGGGGTTACAAACATGCGGCTACCGGTACTAACAGCGTGCGAAGGGTCCGTACCCACACTGGTACTTCATTCCCCCATGCATGCCGGACAAGCCCCGTGCATGCCGGACCAAGCGAGCCGCTAACGCACCTGGTTGGTGCACTTGACCACGTCCGTCCCGTAGTGGCAGTACAGTCGCAAGCAGGCGCGGTAACACTCGCAGTTCTTGGGGAACATGAAGCCGCAGCTGCCTGGGCGGTTGGTACGGCAGCAGGTGTAAAGTAAACCGCGAGGGGCCAAGTGTACGAGAGGGGGGTGTACGAGGATGGGAAGCGGTTGGCGGTGGTGCGGAGGGGCATGGAGGATGGGTGAATGACGTTGTGAGGGTGAGAGGGTTAGGCGCCCAGCAGTGCGGAGTGGGGCGTGGATGACGGATAGGAGGCATGGGGGGGGGGAGGCCGATAGAGGGCTGTGGGGATGCAGGCGCCACTCCGTGTATCCATTCCTCCATCACACGTCGCATTCCTTGCTGCAATCCTCTTTTCCCTTCCTTCGTTTCCTTCCCTCCGCCTGCGCCCCGGCATGGGGGTTCCTACCTACCTGGGTCATCCGGCGTCTGTTTGCAAACAGCCATGGCATCCACCTCACAAGCGGGGCCTGCAGGCGCACGGGAGTTGGGGGCCGTCAGGACGCTTGTGGGCTTTGCATGGTGACGTAAGCCCGTCGTAAGAGCTGACTTGCTAGACGGGGCCTTCAGGAGCGTATCTATTGGGCTAGATCGTACGACAGGGTCAACGTCAATGAACGCAGTCGGGGGATAAGTCAACGGTTGGGCATGCTGGGAGAAGGCGCTGGAGGTAGAAAACGGGCCCTGACAGACATGGGCTTGCTTGGCCCTGCCGTGCGTGGTCTTACCAGTAAAACCCCAAGGGCACTCGCAGCGTCCCTCCTCGTAGTTGCAATGTCCCCGTTGGCCGCTGTTGCGGTGTACGATTAGACCCGGGCATGTCAAGTTGTGACGTCGACGGGGACGATGTCTCAAACCGCGTAACGCAACTCACCATCCTGTCGCACAAGGCTTGCGCGCGGGAACAACGATGTTTCCAGGGTGATCTTCTCCGTTGCTCGCCACCAAACACTGTATGAGTACCAGAAGCACAACCGGCAAGCTTCTCATCGTGTCCATTCATCTCCCAAAAGCATATTAATAGAAAATGTCACCATATGCCGCTGCAACCGCTTGTAGCATCGCTTTGTATTACAAGTCGTGGCAACAGTACCCTATTGGAAACATGTTGGCTTCAGCTTTGAAGGTACGAATTGGACGAGACTGGACGATCCGCAAGCGGTTGGCGTATCGCGTATGGCATAGCGTGTTGCTAGCTTACCGTCTAGTTTTTGTCCCATAACAAGATGCACGCCATCAAGACAAGAAGACTTAGTCCATCTTCCTTTAGCCTGCTCTTTGCCCCTTTAGAGCAGCTTGCAGGGTCGCCGCTTTCTTAAGAGACCATTTTGCCTATTTTGGGAGGCGTTTTAAAGGGGAGTCGCGCTTAGCGCCAGGCGGAAAACACTTCAGAATATGGGCCGCCGTGAGTGTTTACATAGTCAGCAGGATTGGCCCATCCCTATGTTAGCTCTCCTGAGACGCCCGTTTATGGACGACAGGACGTGCAGTGTCGACAGCTGCTGCTGCAGCGTCGTGCCTGGAGCTTTCGTCTTTAGGTCGGGATGGTCCAGGTAGCCCTAACGGTACCTCAGGCTGTGGCGCTCTGAGCGACGGCGATGCCGACAGCTTTCAAACTGATGAGTTCGAACGCCGTATTGATGCCCTATTTGAGAAGAGGTACGTTGCAGCTTGCATGGCATCCGATACCTGCAAAGGGTGGCACACAAACCAACACCGTACACATGCTTCCCCGTGGCTTTCTTGCATAGGGGCTCCACACGTGAAGGAGCTTTGCAGTCCTTGGCAGAGCTGCTGCGCGCGGAGTATCGTGCAGACGACTGCATGTGCCAGTAAGTTATGAGCTGCTAACGGTTGCGACCATGCATATCTCTAACCACCAACCAACACTCTTAGCACCTCGCGCCTTCCTCCTTGCTACATACGTCATCCCTTTCTTCCACCGCCCCACAGCTCCGAGACCATCACATCGCGTTGCCTGGCGGCCCTGAAGCGCGGCTCCTCCCTGGAAAGCTTCCTTGCTGCCCAGCTGTTGAGCCTTCACATCCTCACATTAGGCCAGCCTGACGAGAGGTGGGGAATCCACAGTCAGCAGAAGAAACCCTGGCTCACGCTCTCCATGTTTTATTACCGCGGTCACGGTCTTCATTACCACACAGCCATATCTCACCACGCACCCACTCCTCCCACAGCCTCTTTCAGGCGCTGCATGCGGACCTGGAGCGAGCTGCCGTCAGCGCCGGCGGAGGTGGTGGGGACGATGTTGCCGTACAGTGCGCCTCGCTGGACTGCCTGACGCTGGCTGCCTTTGTGTTGGCGGAGGAGGAGGAGGCGGACACGCGGGGGGTCATGGAGCGGCTCAGGAGCATGTGGAACAAGGGTAGGCGGGCTGGGATGCTAGGACGGCTGAGGAGTTATGTGGACTTTCTCGCTTCGTGGGCGAAGGAAACGTCGTGGGAAAAGGATGCTAGCCTGATAGGGATGCCCAGTGGTGAGCACCTTTCCCAACCCCCAACCCGCTCCCCACAGGCAGCCCCAAGGTCCGAGCAGCGGCTGTACGCGGCTGGTCCTTCCTCCTCACGTCGCTAGACTGTCCCAACATGGCGTGGAGCTCTGCGGAGAGGGGAGCGAGCGCTGGCGGCTTAGCAGCCTGTCTAGCGGCTCTGGCGGGCCTTATGCTGGAGCGAGATCTGGATCTCCGTACGGCAGCTGGCGAGGCGGTGGCTGTGATCCGGTGCTGCTGCGGCTGCTCGGTGGAGGTGCTGGAGGAGCTAGCAGCGGGGGCCGTGGGAGCCGAGGAGGAAGCGGATGGATTGGATTCTGGCGGGGAGGACGAGGAGGAGGAGGAGTGGAGCGGTGGCAGGCGGGGCCGGAGGTCTGGCAGCGGTGATGGCAGCAGCGGCGGCGGCGGTGCGGGTGGAGGTGACGGAATGGAGGGGCTGCTGGGGCGCATGCAGCAGCTCGCATGCAACAAGGGTAAGCGTGCGGAGGCAGCGACGCCGCCCATGCCCTACAGCCGCTGCTGTTGCCGTCTCCTCTTAACCCTACCGCACCTCCGGGTTATGCCTGCCCCCTTCACAACCTTACCTCTAGCCTGCAAGCTGCTGTCCGCATTCAACCCACCTACCTCGAGCGTGCCGCATGCCACCCTGGTCTTCCTTCCTCCTCCCCCCAGTCAGTTAGTTGTTTCCTCTTTATCCCCTCTACTCAGCCTCCTTCCGTGTCAACCTGCAGGGGACAAGCTGCGCCGCAGTCGGCGCGAGCGTGCCTCCCAGCGCTCCACCTTCCGCGGGCTGCTGTCGGCGCTGCGCGGCTCGCAGCTGCCCGCCAGCCGCATCCGGCTGCAGCACGGGGACTGTCTGGTGGTGGAGGGCGTGGCGGGCAACCACCGGCTGGCCTTCCTGCGCAGGGTGCTGGCGGGGGGCTTCCAGGTGAGGGACGTGGTGATGTGGTGTGTGGGCGGCCTCTGTCCTGGTGGGGCTTACATTGGGACTAGGACTACTTCGGGCTGGTACATTGGTGCCCTTCACTGGTAAAGTACTGCGTTTCCGAGCGAGCGAGGCCTTCTTGTCGACGCCTGGACGAATTGATTGCCGAACGTGGAGGCTGCATGCATTAAACTCCTGCCTCTCCACCTCTCCTCCTCCTGCTCTCACCCTCCCGCCTCCTCTCTCACCAGGCTCACCTGCAGCGCAACCCGCTGCTGCACCGGGTGTTTGGCTTCACTCCGCGACAGGAGCGCCCCGAGCGGCTGAGTGCGGTGGAGAAGCGACTCAGCCGCAGCAGCCAGAGCGGGGGAGCCAAGGCGCGTACGGCGGATCGGAGGTGGTCCCGGGAGGCAAAGGTGGCGTCACGCATGGCCGGATACATGGACTTCTGATTTGTACCGTATGTTGTTTGGGGTCGGCGCGGGACGCCGCTACAGAGTTGCTGGCTCACGAAAGGATGTTGGTTGTATGTCGCCTGGCAACACGTGCGCCCTAACGGGCTAGGAAGGTTGATATATGGAGCATCGTGCGGGTTGGTTGCAGGGTGTGAGTGGGTAAGGGGATGCGTGCGTGTGTGGGCGCATCTATTTCACAAACGAGGGTCAGCCTGCCCTTCATTGTATATGGACTAAGTGCCATTCCGGACACGTTTCGCGTCGGTTGTCGTGCCGGCGGAGCAGCAGTCGAGCAGTCTCGCGGCGGTAGTCCGCTCAATCGCACAGGTTGTTGTCCCAGTCAGGGGGGGGGTAAGAAATTTTCTTATAAACCCCAACCCGAAATTTCCAAAGAGAAGGCCTCGGAGCCACCCACCCACCGCCAAGCGTGTCGTACAACCTGTAAACTATGCCAAAACGCCGGGGGAAAAAGCGTCTAGGTTCCTCTGCGCAAGCTCTATTAAATGCAGTCGAAAAACCCCAAACCCCCTGGGACGTTAATGTCACAGCGTTGCACTATGGACGGCTAAGGTAACCATGTTCTTGGCCCCAGCTTGACTGATGTTGTGTATTTGGCGCCTAGGAAGCACCATGGTCCTCCCATTTGCACCCTACCGCCGCCAGTTCTGTCACCAACCTACACGACGCCACCACCACGCACGTCCCAGGCCCCTGCTCCTGCCTCTTCTTCCCCCTGTGGCACTGGGCCCTCGACCTTAGCCCCTGGCACCAATTCCAACGCCTTCTTGTTTCTGTGCTCTGCATCCCCACCCCATTCGTGGTCACTGTAAGTGCTTTCTCGCAGCTCAGTCTGTCTACTCCAACCCCGTATCCTCAGTCGTGTTCCACATCCATGGAGACATGCGACATGCTGCGATGCTAGGCCTTTACAACGGGTCGACTAGCCGCGTTCGCAATATATGTTTTCTACATAAGTTGTTTCTTGTACGTTTGGGGATTGGGCAGTTCCGTTTGGCTACCGTGGTTCAGAGGTGAACTGTCATTGGAACATCGGAAGCCGAGAAGTGACCATTTTGTTGATAGAATTAATTCTGCGTATAAGAAACGAAGAAAGGATGGCAATACAGCTTTCAAAATCCTAACATGAGGCCTGGAAAAATTTTCCGGAGGTTCATGTAAAAAAGTCGTTGGGGCCCTGAACCCACCCACCCACCCCTGCCGTACAACCAACTTTGCAAGCCCAAAACTTTTTCCATACAACTCCAAACAGAAATCTGAAAGCAGATTCGGAATCCCCACGCAAAACCCCTTCGATTTGAGGGTTGGGGTCTATTTTTGCGGTTCTTACCCCCCCCCTGTCCCAGTATGTTTTATTGCGTCCCGTATGGAAGCTGGGACGGCCTGTGGGCTTACGGCTTTGTTTCCATTGGCGCTGTTGTATACCGTACTCAGTTGGACGACCGCTTATTGCGGCATTCATGCATTGATTGCTCCTTGCTAAGATGCGAAGCGTTGGAAGCAAGATAGCTACTCGGATCTTATCCCTAAGCATGCAGGTGGTGGTGCAGGGCCCGGGGGTCCACGTGTGGGCTGGGCATGTGTCCTGTGCTGTCAAGCCGTTGCCTAAATACCAATAGACGGGATGTGTTGGTGCATGCACCGAAGAGCCATATGCTGCGTATTGGACCTTCTTAATAATTATGAAGGGTAAGCACTGAACTTGGCGTTCTCGTCAGGACGCCTTGCTAATCTGCTGTATTCAATATAACACATGTACTGTACGTCAGCAAGCCAACCCTTTTTGCATGGGATTGGTTTGTGAACGAACGCCACTGAAGGGGTGGCAAAGAGCGATGCTCGACATAGCTTTAGCTTGCCCAGCCTCATGCCATCGCATGAGGCTTGGTATTGTAATCGATTTCATGGTTGTGTTGATTCCTTTCAACACGCTGAGCGCTGGGTCTCTCATCCGCGCCAGCCTATCTCGCAACATCCTCTGGTCGGAGGGTGTATGTGGTTGTCCATGACGGTGTAGTTCACTAAGGTGTGGGCTGTGTGGGTTATGGCTTACTTCACTGGCACTCAAACAGTACGCTGGCGGTGCTCATGTAACTCTCTTCGGCCAGCTGTCCATTCGTAAGCGACACAGCTAATTGGCCCAGCATTGTTGTTGTCGAAGGGGTGTCTTAACGTTAGGCAATCCCATTTGCCAGGACGTAATACTATTATCTTTCGATAGGCTCAAGAGGCTTCAGGCTAGTCGGGTTGTACTGATACGACAGACGGTGACGCATCAAATTCGTCGCCTGGATCCTTACACACTAAAAACAGCGCGGGCTCCATCCATAGTTATCAACAGTATGCCAGGTGTGTCGTCTCACCATCGCCTAAGTAGGGGGTGCTTGTCGGTGAAGCATTTTTGCCAAAATTACCACTGCCATGCGCTGGCCTCAAAGGCAGTTTTGCGTAATTGACAGAAAGGTGTAGGGAGGCGAATTACTCTAGGCAGTTCATCATTGGGGCCTACATATCACTCGGCAGATCTTATCGCAATGCTCTCAGGAGCGCGGACATTCTGCGAGATCGAAGGTCTCAGAATTTCGTAGACATACGTATGCCGCGTATAGTTTGCCAATACATTAAACACGTTTAGTACACCTCGCCGGCGACATTATGAACAGCGTTATACGGTCGATCGCGGAGGAGCGGCGTAGGCGCTTGGTCGTTGGTCAGCTGCTGACAGAGCAGCGGGACAATGACACATTGAAGACGAAGGAAGCGCGGAAGCAAGAAGTCTCGGATACCAGCAGCAGCAACCCAGGTTCCAGCACCTCCGCCGCCCCTCTTCCTCCCAGCCGCTCCCAGCAGCTGGCTCTGGCCAGCCTGCACCGGTTGCACCCCACCGCCACGTTCCTCGCCACGCGGGGGCGCGGACGCGGCAGGGGAGGTGCGGGCGGACCCGCCAGGAGGTGGAGCAAGTACCTGCCGGGTAGGGGCGAGCCCCGAGAGCAGGCCGGCGCTGACACCGCAGCTATAGATCAGCATGAAAGCCCAAAGACTCAGGTTCAGGGTGACGTCGGTGGAGAACCCGGCACTTCCGAACACAGCACACGGGACTCTGTCGTTGCCCCTTTGTCACAGGACCCCCAGTTGCAGGCTCCTTCAGCGCCCGCGCAAGCTGCGACTACTGACCTGCCACAGCCCCAGTCCGATGCCTCGGACCCTGAGCAAGAAGCCGATCTTGCTGCCGAACTTGCCAAGGTGCTCCGCCAGCTCAACCAAACGGCAGATGACATCCAACGCATTCGGCCGCTTCTAAACCCACCGGCGGACAGCGGCAGCAGCACCCCAGTCAACACTGGCAACAGCGCCGCTGCTGCTGCATCAGGGCGGACGGGCGTCAGCACCTCCGCGCCCGTACCTCCGGACTCGGATGATGAGGAGAAGCAGCTGCGTGACATCTACCAATTGCTTGGACGTTGCTACGACAGGTTGGACCGCATGGATCCCCTAGTCCTTCTGAAGGCGTCGGCTCAACATGACGAGAGGAGGGTTACAGAAGTGCTTACGAAGGCACAACAGCATCATACTCGAATCGGTTATACGTTAGTGCAGCACTCGGCGCTGACTAACACAATGGACGATGTGCTGTTTAAGGAGGCGCCTGCATTGTCTGTGGTGTATGCGTGGAGCGTGTGGAACAAGAGCAGGCATGAGGACGAGCGGCGGCAGGGAGGTGCGGCGGCAGAGGTCCGGCACGCTGCTGGGGGCGGTTTAAGCACATGCAGCACCGCGGATGCTATAGTTATGGTGCGCGAGCTGGCTGCGCACATCTCTCCGAGGTATCGAATGCAGTGGTTACGGCTACTGGGAACGTTGGTGCGCCAACGTTTTAATACAGAGCTGGTAGGAGGGGAGGTTTAAGAAGCCGCCTGTTAGACTGGAGGGATGTCGGCGTTGATTGGGTGCGAACTTGCATGTCATGCAGAGCCAGTTCCCGTGGCAAATGTTGCTGCATACCGGTATATGTTGTCAACTGTGATCTGCTATGAAGACGAACAGAACAGAATCTGGAAGACGGCCCGAGCTGCACTTACCCCATACATACTTCGCAGGTGGCGGGAAGGGCGATGTGCGGCCTCATGCTCTACTGGATGGCCAACGAGTGGAGACATCCGCTCGACTTGGAGCCCTTGACCTGCGCCGCCATGTGTGCTTGCTACGTGACTCTGCAGGCAAGGAAATGGCAGGGGGGCGCAAGCCGCAAGTTTGATGCCGGCCCTGATGCCGGTCATCTGGTACGACTAGTATGAGGGTGTTATGGCACATGGCCAACCCGTTGCCGCAGCTAACGCCTCCCGCGCCCTCTTCATCCTCCGTGTGCACCTGCATGCCCATGTGCCGCGCCCTGACACGTTTTTACTCTCACCCCGCACGTTTCCTTGCTGCTGCCATGCAGCGTTCAAGCAGCTTCCCCATTTCGCCAATCCACCTGTACGACAACCTCGCTGCTGGCCCCCTGGTGTTAGATCCTTTCTTGCCTCCGGAGGAGCCCCCTCCCAAGCTCTCTCGGAAGCACCTTTTGAACGCCGTTGAGATGTTCACCGTGCGGCCTGACGTGTGCGACATGTGGAGCGAGCTGGTGTGGGATTGGCACCACCGCCAGCCATCTCAGAGAATGGACATGTGCTTGCGGTTGGCTCTGGCACAGTGTTCGGATGGACTGACACTGCAGCAGGAGCGACTGCGGCATCAGCAGGAGCGACATCAGCGTGCGCAGGGAGAACCCGCCGGGGCCCCCTCTCGCCCCGCATCCATGCAGCCAAGCACTGGCCAGCAGGCAGATGCGGGGCGAGGCAGGGTCCAGGGGCAGCAGCCGGGTGCAGGCCAGGCTTTGGGCAGCAGCGCCGATGTTTTGAAGGGAGACGGGCTAAGTGACCTCGGCATGAGGCGTTTGGAATCGTTGTTGCAAGCGCTGTTGCGACTGCAGGCATTGCAACCGAGGTCCTCTGAGCCTCCCTCCGCCAGTGCTGTTGACCATCCTCACTTGAACATAGATGCGATGTCCAGTCGTAGCGCCCCTGCATTGATGGCATGCATGGAGGCTTGTAGTATGAAAGACCTCGTCTTCCAGCTGGAATTCTCCGACCAGGGGACGGCAAGTGGTGAGGCGTCAGCGGCGGCGCAACCAGCATCTTCTGCCTCCTCGGCAGCGGCGGCGGTAGCGTCCGTCCAAGCGAATTACACGGATGCGGCGCTGCATGGCAAGAGCGTACTAAAGATGGTGGTGCATCACAGCGCCACCATTCCCAAGAATCGCCCACCAGGGTACAAGTGGAGCCAGATCACGAGCAGCATCGTCACCATGAACGCAACCAGCAAGTGGGTTTTCGATTAACGTGCGCTGCTATCTTTGCTTTACGGGAGCCTAAGCTGCACATGATTGATACTTGTTGATTTAGGCGATAGCTCGTAGCATGTGGCGTTAAAACATTGTTGGCATTGGGTGTATCCGACTCTCGGTCCCTTTGCTCCTCTCAGCTTCCCGCAGCAGGTCAAGCTGGTTCGGGAGGCGCTGGTGAAGCGGCGGCTGAGGTTCATGTGGCTGCAGGGCCGCGGTGTGGAGGGCATCTGGCGGGCACTGGTGACCATTGCACAGGTACGAGAGTAGCCTTGCCGGGTGTTGCTTGACTCTGCCGTTGCTGCTCTATAGCACTGTACCCTTCATGCATTGACACCCTCCGCCCTCCTTCCTGCAACTCCCTCCAGATCCGCCAGGAGATGCTGCAGACTGGCAGGGATCTGTGCGCCTGCCACTGTGACGTGATTGACTTTGGCGACGGCGACCGCAGGGGACGCAATGACGTCAAAAGTTACAAGTACACTCCAAAGGAACTCTCCATGGGCGCGGATGTCATCAAGCTAGAAACGTTGATATCCAACGATTTGCTGAAGCAGACGGCGGGAAAGAAGGGCGGCACCAGCGGCAGCTCCCATGCGGAGCGGGAGAGTGCTGTAGAAGAACTTTGTAGGGTGGTGTGTCGCATGATGCTCCGGCTGGATCCGGCTGGGGAAGGGAGTGGCGGCGGCGGCGGTGGCGGAGGAGGCTGCCTGGAGGTTTGCGGCGTGCATGTGGGCAGCGCGCGGCAGGAGCTGATGCTGGAGTTTGGTGTGATCGAGTGCGAGGTGGGGCGGCCGTGGCTGTCGCTGCAGGCTGAGTCGCAGGGCGCGCAGGCGCAGGTGCAGGCGGCGCAGCGGGAAAAGCTCAATAAGGCCAAGGAGATGGAGAAGGTGTTGCTGGCCAGAGGATGAGACGGGGTTGGGGATGGAAGGTTTGGTAGGTAGAGGAGTGGAGGGGAGCGGTGGAGTGAGGGGCCAGAATTCTGGCGGTGGCGATGGCAGCGGAGGCGCTGTGCGGCCGGAGGTGATGGAGCTGGTGCGCATGCAGCAGCTCGCATGCAACAAGGGTAAGTAGTGGGTGCTGGGATGCAGATGAGGAAGGGGTTTCAAGTAGCAAGTTCTTAATGGTGCCTATCCAGAAGCACCATGAAGCATTGCTAGGTGTGCGGCCCATCCACTAACCAATTAGGAGGAACCACACCCTTGCGTATACATGCCGCCCACCATCGCAACCAGCTTTACCTGCATCCAGTGAACTCCTCCCCCCTCCTCCCGCCCCCTCCCTCACCAGGCTCACCTGCATTGCAACCCGCTGCTGCACCGGGTGTTCGGCTTCACTCCGCGACAGGAGCGCCCCGGGCGGTCTGAGTGCGGTGGAGAAGCGACTCAGCCACAGCAGCCAGAGCGGGGGAGTCAAGGCGAGGACGGCGGATAGGAAGTGGATCCTGCGCTTGTGGCCGGATACATAGCCTGTCCTGATGAAAGCAGGGCACGCAGGGTCAGGAAAGACGTGGTTAGTGGATGCTGTGAAAGCATCTGTTGACAATAGGTATGGGTACTACTGTAGGAGAAGGTGCAAATTAGAGTGGCTCTTGATTTCTCGCCTGGTTACGACTTAATCCAGCCAAGCGACCAGCAATCGTAAGCTGGGTTATTGCATGAATGTAAGCCACACGAAGGCCACCTTAGGAGTTGTATCCGTCTTAGCTGAGTGTTGTTGCTCCATTCCAACTGTCCGCAGCCCCGTTGTGCTGAAGGATTGTGTTTTGTTGTAATATGATGATGTACCGGTATGATAAGGTTACAACCAATGTTTCTCACGTCAGCGGGCCACCGGACGGTCTCGATGTGGCCCGATAGGGACTATTGAATAGCATTTTGTCTGTACCACACGCTTTTCACGTATAGCTGTCGTTGTTTGTACCGTATGCTTGTGTAAATATCGATGTGCATTTTTTTGACAAGTGATTAGAACATCCCTTGTAACGCTACGACAGATGGTGGCAATTCGTGTTCGTCTGGATCCGATTGACCCAACAGTACTGGCCGAGCCTCCTGTCGCAGCATGCAGCGTCCCAGATGCACATTTCCTTCGCAATGAATTGGTGGAACAAAAGCCGTCTGTGGACGTTATCTTCAGCGGTCTAGCCCTGCGCTATCATTATTTTCACAACACTCTTACCTATATCCCGGTAATCTTCTTCGAAATATAGTACCTAATAAAGACACCTCCCTCTCCAAACTTTAGGTTCCCTTAATCGCGTTGGTTTTACTTCCGCCAACGCCAAATGTTGTGCTTAGTGAAGACCTTTTAAGCCTAAACTGTAGTGTTGTGCCGTAACTCATGGTAGACGGGTGCATTAGGCGATCCTGGTGCACTTTGCCCACAACGCCATGAGCGTCCTTGTACGCGCATTCGCGGAGGAGCGGCGCAGGCGCCTGCAAGTCTGTCTGCTCCTGAAAGAGCAACAGGACAGTGAAACACTGAAGACGAAGGACGCGCGACAGCCGGATACCTTCGATTCCAACGATGGCAGCCCCAAAATTCCAGGTTCCAGTACCTCCGCCGCCCCTCTTCCTCCCAGCCGCTCCCAGCAGCTGGCCCTGGCCAGCCTGCACCGGCTGCACCCCACCGCCACGTTCCTCGCCACGCGGGGGCGCGGACACGGCAGGGGAGGGGCAGGTGGGCCCGCCAGGAGGTGGAGCAAGTACCTGCCGGGTAGGGGCGAGCCCGGAGAGCAGGCCAGCGCTGACACCGCAGCTGTAGATCAGCATGAAAGCCCAAGGACTCATGTAACAAAGAAGGGTGCGCCTGCCTGCTGCGACCCGAGCAGCGACACGTCGGTCCATGACAGACAAGTACCCCTTGTCCGGGTAGGTTTGGAATGAGGCGGTTGGCGGCGCCAACCTACTCTACATATACAAACGAATGTGCGGGTCCTGTCTATGGTCCATCCAGGGAAATGACTGCGGAACAGCTTCCAGACATGTACCTATTTTCTCTTCTCCTCATTTGCTAACGCTGCAGCTGCATCGCGCCCGCCAGCAATCATATGCAATCCATGCATGCCATCCTGGGCTCCCCTTCGTAGGAACCCCGATTACCGTCCGCGGCGACTGCACCTCCTGCCGCTCAATCCCGACCCCAGCCTCAGCCGCAACCCTCCCGTGCCTCAGCTCCTGCAGCAGAACCTGATTCAGACCACTGCCGCCACTTGGAACTCAACGGCATTATGGAACTAGGGGAGGCCATCCAGCGCGTTAAGCCGATACTAGATACGGCGGCCCCTAGCAGCGCCGGCGGCGGCCGGGAGGAAATTGGGGCCGGAAGCGACGCCAGCACGTCCACAGGAGAGCCTCCAGAGGATCCAGACACCGAGCGGTTGCGCGCGACGTACAAATACCTCAAGACCGCTGCCGCGACCCTCAACAAGTTGGATGCAGCAAACCGCGGGCATGTGCGGACGAACCTGACTTTGGACATCCAGCAAAGGGACGACGCCGCGATGATGGAAGCGCAGTGGCAATGCGGGGTATTGAAGGTTTGGCTTATGGCGCAGCCCGTGCTGAAACGCGCTTTGGAAGCGGTAATGGGCGGGGGGGCGTCACCGCAGGAGCTCCTCCGCGTTTGGAGTGAGTCCTCGTCGCAGCTCGAGGGCGAGCAGCGGGGAGGCGAGCGCGCAGGGCATCATCAGCAGGCATCCCTTGAGGATCCGCTTACCTGCATCTCGCCCACCCACCAGCAGCGATGGAGGCTCCTGCTGGCGCTTTCGGAGCGGCGGGGTGTGGAATCTGAGGTTGTGCTGGTAGGTAGGATGGTGGTCTTGGCGGGGGCCTGTCCTTTGTGCGGGTAAACGTGTATGCATAGGAATCTGGCCGCGAGCCGGAACATGCTGTGATGCCAAATAAATGCTGTGTGTCAGGGAAATGTGGGCTTGCAGGTGTCGCCTTAGTTGCAACAAGGGCGCATGCGCTCTTGGTGCCAATTTGGATTACTGGTAGCCAAGCCTTGTTGGATTCCTTTCTAGCTGATAGCCATTAGGCTCCCTAGGTCTGGCTCCTGAAAAGCGCGCCGACATCCCCCACCAGGTGGCGGGATGGGCGCTGTGCGGCCTCATACTCTACTGGATGGTGGACGAGTCGAGGCATCTGCTGGAGCTGGAGCCCTTGACCTGCGCCGCCATGTGTGGCTGCTACGTGTACCTGCAGGCAAGGGAGGGGGGCGGGGGGGATAAGGGCCGGGCATCACACGCCTCCCACATGCGCATCGCGCGGTGCTGGCTGCTTCCTGTCAGCTGTGCAGACGCATGGGGGCTAGCAGCGGTGCGCAGGCATGCGTGGTATCGTATACCCGGCACCCGCTCTCGTGCGGGTCTGTTACCTGCCTTCCAAACCCTGCCGCCAGCGAGAACATGGTCGCTGCTCCACGCAGCACTCCGACCGCACAAGCCTTCAACCTCTCACTCATGCCACCATGCCCTCGCGCCCCCCCCCCACAATTGTCAGCAACTTATATCATTATCACAACACACTTTGGAATTTCTTTTTTCCCCACACCCGTCCTGCCTCTTCCAACCACTACAGCGCTACCAGGTCCCCGGCGTCTACGTCGCGTCGCCGGCTCAGCTGTACGACAACCTAGCCGCGGGTCCCATGCCGCGACACGCAGCGCTGCAGGAGGAGGTGCCCCCTCGGCCGCTCTCTCCGGAGCACCTGTGCACCGCCGTGGAGACAGCCGTACGGCAGCCTGAAGCTTTCTACATGTGGATTGAGCTGGCACGCGCGTGGCCGCGACGGCCTGGCGAGTCAAGCGCCTTCGCGGATTGGCAAAGGTTGGGGTTCTATATGATGGTGGCCTTGACAATGGGCGTGGCGACGTCGCCGCTCGAACAACAGCTCCTGGATAATCGGCAGGCGCTGCTGCAAGAAGTGCAGCGGCCGCGGCAACGCCGAGCCGCAAGCCCTCAACCGGCGGCAGGTCTGCAGCTGGATGCGGACTTGTGGGACATGGGCTGGCAAGACGATCTGCAGCAGGGCCTGCTGCAGCCTTGGCGAGGCGAGGATAACGACGGTGGGGGCAGCTACAGCGATGGCAGCTTGCTACCTGATGACATTTATTCCCGCGGTCAGGTGCTAGCAGGAATCCTTGTGGACTTGGAGAATGTGCGGCCGCTACCGCCGCCACCTCCCTCACAGCCTCCGCAATCCTGTCAGCCAGAAGCTCCCTGCGTGCACCGGTACCTTCGCCTGGTCAACCCGGAAGACGCTGCGCTTGTCATGGTCGGCTTGGAGGCGCGCCAGAAGTCCACGTTTGTCATGCAGCCTAAACTGCATGGCTGTACGGCTACTCATGGCGAAGCGTGCTCCGCCAAGACAGCGCCATCATCGGCGCCGGCAGCGGCGGCGGCAGCAGTGGCTGCGGAGGCGAAGTTCTCAGCTGCGGCGATGTCGGGACGCGGCGTGTTGGAGATGATGGTGCACCACAGTGCCACTGTTCCGACAAGGCAGCAGCCGGGCTACAAGTGGGGCCAGATTAAGGAGAAGATTGTCACCATGAGCGCCAGCAGCAAGTGAGTTCCCGCTGTCCTTTGGAAGGCCGTGGCCAACGTGGTGGTGGCTTAGAGGCGACTGATTCGCCGCCTGGGTGGTGCTGAAACATCCAGGCCCTAGGGCTGCGGCGCAGCTTGCCTTCAAGCTCTAGGTGTCTTGATTTCTGGCGTTCGTTTGCAATGTGGGTGTGTGCTTTGCAAGGCGTAACATGTTTCTTGAGAGTAGCAGGTCTTTGGCAGCAACGGTACTACCCCAAGGACTGCCCTCTCCGCCAAATCCCATGCGTTTATTCCTTTTTGTTCCTCTCAGCTTCCCGCAGCAGGTCAAGCTGGTTCGGGAGGTGCTGGTGAAGCGGCGGCTGCGGTTCATGTGGCTGCAGGGTCGCGGTGTGGAGGGCATCTGGCGGGCACTGGTGACCATTGCACAGGTGCGAGGTCTACACTTCTTCTGATCTTGCTTCCTTTCGTCAATGTGCCTGTTGCTATCACCGATAGTGTCGCTGTTGCTGCCGCTAAGACTGGCTGCGTTGTTTCCTTCCATGCGGGTGGTCTTGTTGCTGGCATGCTTCTGGGCATCTCCTCTGCGCTCACCTTGCGCGTTGCTCCCAGTCGGAAGTGAAGGTTCGATACTCCACCAAATAGCAGCGCTTCAACGTCTTCCTACACCACGTGAACAGGCTCGCTTGTCCTCATGTACGGCGTGCGTCAACGCCTCATGCGCGTCCTCCATGTTACTTTTTTAACGACGCCGTGTTGCATGTCCCCCATGTCGTGCACTCCGCAGATCCGCCAAGAGATGTTGGAGGCTGGCCGGGACCTATGCATGTGCATCTGCCAGGCGTTGAAGTACGGCGACAGCGACGACAACGGCGACGTTGGAGACCAGCAACCGCAGCAACCGAACCCCCGACGGCCCGCATCCGGTCAAAGCAAGACCAAGGGCCCTATGGCAACGGACGCCGCCGCGCTGGGCCCGTGCATGGTGGAATACCTGTCTAAAAAGAAGGCATATGAGAGCGCCAGCGGGGTCGCCGGAGGCGGTGGTAAGCTCGTGGACGACCTCTGGGATGAGTTCGAGAACGCTGAGGAGGAGCTTATAAATGTGGTGTCTCGCATGATGCTCCGGCTGGATCCGGCTGGGGAAGGGAGTGGCGGCGGCGGCGGTGGCGGAGGAGGCCGTCGGGAGGTTTGCGGCGTGCATGTGGGCAGCGCGCGGCAGGAGCTGACGCTGGAGTTTGGTGTGATCGAGTGCGAGGTGGGGCGGCCGTGGCTGTCGCTGCAGGCTGAGTCGCAGGGCGCGCAGGCACAGGTGCAGGCGGCGCAGCGTCCGATGAGTAAGAAGGAGCTGGAGAAGCTAATGCTGGCGAAGTGATGAGTGTCTGGGAAACTGACGCATGCGGGATGTGGCTGTTGTGCAGTGGCAGGGTTGGGCATATACTGGAGGGTCATGGCTCAGCGGATTGCACGGTCCTGGGCGCCGTGGTATCACATGATGCACGGGCTGTCGGCAGCTGCGAATGCGCAGGGGTTGATGATATGTTGGAAAAGGCGCTGGAGCGGCAATGGGTGTGCCATTGGAATCCATGTGTGCAGTTACGGATTTATGGGCAAAGGCATCGTCACTTCTAAAGGGTCAGTACCAGTTGTGCTTCCCATGCAGTCGCATGCAGGAATGCACGTAGTTCGTAGGGCTGCGGTGCTGTAGTGTTTAGGTCACAGGTTATAGCGGTACATGCCGCGCCTAGTCCCATGTCTGAAGGTTGGCAGACATTCAAGTACGACAGGTATGTTTCCTGGAGGGAGGAGAGCGCAGTGGTTGCGCCATTCAGCCTTTTTTTTGAAAGTTGTTGACGTGTCTGTGTCTGCGTCAATTCCACGGTTGTGTTTTTTGTGTCCAATGCAGGGATGCTACTGCAAACTTAGTTTTCTACCGTTGGGCCACGTGGGTTGGGTCGTAGTAATTAGGATGGACGTCCTCCCATGAGGACAGAAAGAGGGAGAGCGCATGGGAAGCTGAACAGTGTTGTGAAACGCTGTGTAGGGGCCTGAAAATTTTTGCACATTCTGAAGCGCGTTGAGCCATTCCTTGGAGACGAAACGCACAGCACTGTCTTAGCACCGCAGGATGCTGGCATGAGAGCATTTGTTTCTGTCGTTTGTGTCGTGTTTGTTTGTCACGGCACGTACGCAGTGGCAAACCATGTGTGCTTGTGGTGTCTGTGGGCTCCCTTCACACTTTACTGGTATGTGCGAGATGGATGGGGGAGTTGGTGGGGGCGGCGGCGCGATGATGCATTGCAAATATGCCCTTTGTCCTACGCAGGATTGGTTGCAATGTGCTAGCCTTTCTGGACGGTGCGTCCTCCTGCTGGATATGCTGCCAGGGATACTGGTTCGTTAAATGGCGGATGGGGAGTAAAGCTTACGAGACCCAACGATTGGGTATTTGTCGCATGCGTTCCGCCACATGCTACTGGGAGTACGACGCGGAGGATTCGTACTCTCCTGGTATGAAAGTGGTTTGTGAAGACTAACAAGGGGCCTCCCGCCTGCGAACTGTGGGGAATGCCAATGCAAACTTTAGCTGAAATGTTGTATGACAACCTTGAGCTCGAAACTAGTAAGCTCACCAACGTGAAGGTTGCGTCTAAAATTGCTATTCTGTCAAGACGGTTACTACTGGGCGTAGGACAGTAAGGTGTAGGCTTCTATACTTATGAGCCCGGTGCCTCCGAAACCTTGCCGGGAGAAATCCATTCCTCCAGCGGCTGTCTGCCAACACAATCTACGCTCATTAGCATTACTAACTGGAATATATAGCAACACTTTGTAACGGACAACTACTAGATCTCTTACACAGGGTAGGCATCAGAAAGTGTCAACTGCGGAACCATTTATGAGAACTCAATGAACTGCGAGGTGTCATATAAAAAGATTCTTAACTAAGAACTCCATATCAAGCAGCACATAGGCTGCCCCTAATTTCTGCAACAGTCATGAGCGCCGTTGTGGAGCTACGCGGTCGCGCAGAAGAGCGGCGCCGGCGGTTAGTAGTATGTCAGAAACTAGCAGAGCACGAGCAGGCCTTTCGAAGGGACACGCGCAGAAGCAGATGGACGGAACGCGAGCCGGAGGCAGATTCTTCCGCCGCCCCTCTTCCTCCCAGCCGCTCCCAGCAGCTGGCTCTGGCCAGCCTGCACCGGCTGCACCCCACCGCCACGTTCCTCGCCACACGGGGGCGCGGACGCGGCAGGGGAGGTGCGGGCGGACCCGCCAGGAGGTGGAGCAAGTATCTGCCGGGGCCAGCAGGACCACAGGACAGCCAGCAGTGTGAGTGGGCCGCCGACCCAGATCAGACGACGCCGACGTACGACACTGCAATAGCGCCGAGCGGCCGGAGGTACGAGGGGTTGGAGCCCTGCTCGTCCATCGGCTTCTTCGACAGTTCCGATTCGCAGTACGGAGGCCCCACGGCTCCCTATGAGAATACGCTGCACAATCCGCTGTGGGATAGCCGCAAAAATCTTCGTCGTACGCCGCTACAGGTGTGGTGTTCCATGCCAGGGCAGTTTTGGGTTTATGGTGGAACTGCGCTTCTACGCGCTATCGCCGCTGTTGCCGCTATCATGCCGCCCCATCCGGTCATTGTAACAGCAACGATAGGTCCGATACCGGGTACCCTACCACCCAACAAACCGCCTTCCTTAAGTTCCTTCATCACCATGTGCCGTACATGCACTACATGTCATTTGTTCTCCGCACCCTTGTCGATTCCCGTTCCTCCCTTGCATTCCTCCTTCAGTTGCCACGCCAAGCCCAGGGCCCGGGCGTGCAGCCCGAGCGGCAGGAGCGCACGTTGGGCAGGGCGGAGATTCGGCGAGAAAAGGCTCAATTGAGGCAGGAAGTACGAGCACTTCAACGCCAACTGGTAGATGTAGAGCGCTTGCAGGCGCAAGGCAGGCAGGTGTCAAGTCAACTCCAAGGTTTAACTCCGGGAGGGGCATCCGACACCGCAACCGTGAAAACAGCCGCCGCAGCCGCAGCAACACTGGCAACCGCACGACGAGGCATGCCGCCACCACCGCCGCCGCCGTCGTGGCTGCTTCGGTCGTCATTATCACAAAACCCATCGGCTCTGCCCGTCTTAGATTACAGCAACTATGGCGGCAGCAGCAGCAGCAGCGAAGCAAGCAGCAGTAGCAGTAGCAGCAGCGATGATGAGGACGAAAAGCAAGGCCGTGTTCCGATGTCTTCCCTATTACGGGCGATAGCAGCAGAGTCGGACCTGTGGCCGGTCACAGACACAGATTCGGACGACGAGGACATTGGGGACGCTGGTGCGCACCACCGCAGCAGCAGTAATGCGACCGCACCGAGCCGCAGCAGCCTGGGTCAGGTCAAAGACCTGGGCCAGGTCAAAGACCTGGGCCAGGTCAAAGGCCTGGGTCAAGTCAAAGACCTGGGTCAAGTCAAAGTCTCGGATGATGGCGGTAACGACGTGGAGCAGCAGGCGCGGCTAGTGGGGCCGGAGGGTGAAGAGGTTGAGGAGGGCGGAATCGGTGGCGGCGGCAATGACAATGGTGGTGAGGAGGAGGAGCTGCTGCATCTGGCGCGCCGCTCTTGTGCGCTGACGCTGGCGTGGATGTGGCTAGTGCATAAGCCGGCGGAGCAGCGCTGGGAGCAGCAGCTGGAATTGCTGGGCCGGGCAGCACTGGAGGCGGTCAAGGACGTGCGGGATCGCATGTTGGGGGACCTGCTGGAGGCGAGAGGGCGCAGCGGGGGCGGGGGCGGCGAGGAGGAGCAGGAGCGGGAGGACCAGGCGAGGCTGGAGCGCTGGGTGGAGGTGCGTTTGGGGAGGTTAGGGGTGTGTGAGAAGTGCCTAGGAGGCTCTGGGAACACTGCGGTTGCGGCCCAGGCGGGTGCGGGATGTCAGTCTTGTGGTTTGTCGTGGTCATGTGTCCTGCAGCCCATGTGATGGGTTTGAGGGTTGGGTAGCGGAGGAGTACTGCAGGGTGCTGCCGACGTGCCCAGGTGAGGTGGCTGCCTCTCCGCACCCCATAACTGCGTTAGCCCTGAGTGCCCTCTGACCCGTTTCGCTGCCCCTGCTCGCCGCCATGAACTTTCACCCTCCTCCTCCTTCCCACCTCCTTCCCACCTCCTCCTCCTAAGGACGCCTGTTATCTCGCGCACAAAGTCCGAGAGCGCGAGGCGCTCGCCGCTCGCATAGCCGCCGCCCGCTTAGCCCAGCGCCTGCATCGCCTGCAGCAGTGTGAGCTGGGTAGTGCGCCCGCCTCCCACCTGTACCGCCGCCTTCTGCTTGGGGTCGTACGTCCGTACGAACAGTCCTCGCTACAGGCGACACCACAGCAGCCTCAGGCCCCCCATCTGACTGTGCGTGAGCTGCAGGCAGTGATAACAGACCTTCGGCCCTCGCTTGTGGAGATGAAGGAAGAGGACGAGGACGAGGAGCAGGAGGCGCAAGGCGGCAGGAAGGGCGGGTCCGGCAGTTTCACCAGCGGCAGCAGCAGCAGCGGGCTGAGCCCCTGGGTAAGCCTTTGCGCTCTGGCATCGGAGGAGGAGCTAATGGAGCAGGAGACGTTACGATTGCAGCCAGCTCAATTGCAGTCGCAGCCAGCGTCACAACCTGAGCCGCAGTCGCAGCAGGGGCGGTCGCAGCGACAGGGACGGGCACAGGGGCACAAGCGCCGGCAAGCGTCCCGGGAGGGGGATATGCGCTGGGTTCTGGGCAGCGCAGTGACGGGGGTGCTGCTGCTGCTGACGAGTGGCGGGGGCGGGGGCGAGGGCGGGGCCCCCATCCCGGATAGGTTGCTACACCCGGTGCCTTGCGCAGCGCTTGCGGTGCTGTACGGGGAGGTAGAAAAGGTACGACAAGTGGACGGCAGGGAGGGACAGTGAGGAGGCAGCAGGAGGGGAAGCGATGCCTGCTTGGGTTGGCGGTTTCACCGTGTTTGGAAAGTCGAGCAGCAACCACCCATCCCCATGTCCTTGCCTGTCGGGGCTCTCGCCTTCTTTCTACAACCTCGCAAAAAGGTTTTTACCCCTGCCTATCTTTGACATCTTTGTACTTTTGAACCGGTAAAGGGAGCACCTCCTAACATGCTTTCCACTTGCCCGTTTAACGACTGCCAACACAGGAGCGGCAGCGCTGGCTGGTACGGCAACAACAGCAACGGGGACATCCCACCGACATCCCTGTCATTCCCTCGCCGAGACAATTGTACGACCTGATAATGTACGACACGCTACTACTTGACCCGCAGCTCCTTCGACAGCTGTTGGACCCCACCGCCTCTTCATCTTCTTCTTCCGCCGCTGCCGCTGATGCCTCCTCCGCCGCCGCCGCTGTGACCTCCGCGCTCTTCGACCCGCCGGGCCCCAGCATCAGCTACAGCGGCTTCAGCGGCAGCGGCAGCGAACCCGCTTATGTGCCCTTTTCAACCACTCATCTACAGGGACTGGTGCAACTCACAACATGCACCTCACCCGCCGCCGCTACCGGCTCCGCTGCCGACCTGTTTGTCGTACACCTGTGCTGGAGTCGCCTGGTGGCCGCGTTTGCAGGTGTGACTGGGGCCTCGCTGGGCCTTGGACCTGAGCAGGAGGGAGAAGGTGAAGAGGCGGAGACAGCAGGGGGGGCAACTGGAGGGGCAGCAGCAGGCGGGGCTGCGGCTGCGACTTGGGGGCAGAAGCAGCAGCAGGAGTTGAAGCGGTTGGTGTCGGAGCTGAATGCGGCAGCGGCCTGCGTGTGGTGCCGCGAGGGGCCGGTTGAGGGGCAGCAGCGGCTTGAGGGGCTTGAGCAGTCAGGGCGCGAGCAGCAGCGGCAGCAGCAGACAGCGGAGCAGCAGGAGCAGCGGGCGTGGAGGCACGGGTCCGGTGCGAGGGGGGAGGGAGTTGCTGCTGCAGGAGCAGCAAATGCTGTGGAGGCAGCGGCGGCAGGGGAGGGGCTGCAGCCAGCAGAGCAAGATGCTGCTAGCGCCTCGGAGAAGGAGAGGCAGCGCGATTCAACTGAGCACTTCCGTTGCAGTGACGCCGGTGGTGGCATGCATGGAGATGTGAGCGGCCCTAGCAGCAGCGGCGGCGGCAGCGGCGGCGGCAGCGGCGGCGGCAGTGGCGGCGGCAGTAGCAGCGCTGCCGGGTATAGCACGAGCGCCGGCGGCGTTAGCAGCAGCAGCCACGGTGGCAGTAGCACCATCAGTGGCAGTAGCAGCAGCGGCGGCAGCAATAGCAGCAATGTCATCAGCGGTAGTGTCGGCCGCAGCAGCAGTAGCAATTGGATCTGCATCGGGCCGAAGCCCGACCCACAGGCGCTCGTCAAGGCCCTGGGCAACCTGCCTAAACTGGCAATCGACCCGGATAGCGTACCTGCGGGTAATACCGGTACGGCATCACCATCAATGCCATCAACCGCTGGTAATGCTGCTGACGTGGCCGCAACCACGGCTGCTGTACGGCAATGGGAGGTTTCCGGATTCGAGAACCTCTCTGCCGTACTGGTTATGATGCATGTGGCTCGTGCCTATTGGAAGCAGTGGTCTGGAAAGGGAGGAACGGGAGGAGGAGGCGGGACAGGAGTGGGAGGAGCAGCTGAGGAGGGGGATGTAGGAGGCGGAAAGGGGTGGAAGGCACTGGCTGAGGCCTGGGGCAGCAGCAAGACGGGCCGGGCGGGACAGGAGCGCTCTGCGGTGTTACAGGTGGAGTACGGACAGCAGCAGCAGCTGGGTGAGGTTGAGGGAGCAGGCGGGCAACCGGCCGGGAAGCAGGTGAGGTTTGCTGGGCACCGATTGGGCACCGTAATGTCTTGCATAACAGCCGCATAAAAGCATCGCCCTGAAGTGCCACCTCACCCACCCAACACCGGCCCATGTCATACCCCAGGCATTCGCTCGGCATGGGAAGCAGCAGCCGCCGCCGCCGCAGCAGCAGCAGCAACAACAACATACCGGGTGCAGCAACTTCAGTAGCAGTACGCGACTGAGGCTGCATGTCACGTGTACGACACCCACTGCGGAGCAGTACAAGGCAAAGCGCCAGCGCGCCAACACCCCCGGCGTCACCTTCAGGGCTACCACCAAGTGGGTTCGGATCTGGGTTTGGATCTGGGTTTGGATCTGGGTTTGGACCTTGGGTTTGGATTTTGGGTTCCAGCTTTCAGGTTTCTTTTCGCGTCGCCGGGTTTGGAGTTAGTGGTTGCACGCTGTTACCCTCCTACCACCTTTACAACGGCGTGTGAAGTTCATGCTTGATGGCACCTCCTGATAGGGACCTGATGCCATGCATGCAGCGCAAGCCCTATAGCCCCGTCTGCCCGTTCTCTGCCACCACACACCTGCTTTCTTTAGCAGTTGGTCCGTACCTAATGCACAGCCTTGGGCGTAGCATACCGGTAGTAACTCTAGTTTTTTTACTTATCGTTGTTGTCTTTCTCACTCACTCATACGGTCATACCGGTACCTCCATCCATCTCGCTAACGGCACATAACGGCACCTTAACTCCGTAATCAGCGGTCGTGCTGCTATGTCAACTTTTCTTGTCGTACAACTTGCCGTACTGCTACATGCGCAGGGGGCTGAACGACCAGTACAAGCTGCTGCGGGGGCTGCTGGTGTCACAGCGGGTGGGCCTTTGCACGGTGTTTGCGGAGGGCGTGGAGGGCATAGCGCGGGCAATGGGCGTGGTGGCTCAGGTGAGGTGTGGTGGGAGGAGAGAGGTGGTTGGGGGTGGGTGATTCTCGCAGCAAGGACAGGGCTAGTGCAGGACAGGAATTGCCTCTTAAGACACGCGTCCCCATTCACGAAAGCAGGAGAGGAAACGGGGTAGGGGTAACTGCCAAGTGACGAGAAGGACGGGAAGGCCCTTCCCCTTTCCCCTGTACCAGCCCTCCTCACCCCACCTCTGCACCGCCTCCCTCCACCACGCCACCACCCCACCACCCTCCAGCTCACGGCCGACATGCGGGCAGCTGGGGGCGACCTGTGCATGGTGCCTCTCCTGCCTCTTGAAACGCACCGCCTGGACCAGGTCGGCAAGCGGGAAGGGGAGCAGCAGGGACGGCAGCAGCAGGCGCGGCAGCCGCCCCCGCCTCCTCCTCCCGGTGAACCCCCGTTCACCTCCTGCCTGACCGGTTTCCTGAGCCACGCGTCCGCCCTGTGGTTTTCCCTGAACGCCGCGGCAGCTGTTGAGGAGGCTGCAAACGCCTCCGCCTCTGCCCCCACATCCTCCTTCTCTTTCTCCTCCCTTGTCGGCAGCACCGGCAGCGGCAGCAGTGCTGCTGGCCCGGACTACCCGGTCCTCCGCACGCAGCTGCAGCTCTGCCGAGAGCGGGGGCAGCGGACCTCGGAGTTCCATGCAGAAGGTCTGTTGCGCATGCTGCTGGGGGCAGGAGGGGGTGGAGGAGGGGCAGGGGCTGCGGGTGGGAAGGAGGAGGAGGAGGAGGAGGAGGAGGAGGAGGAGGAGGGGCAGGAGGGGCAGCTGGATGAGGAGTTGCGTTTGAAGTTGTTGCTGGTGGAGTGTGAGCCGGGGAGGGCGGGGGTGTGGGTGGGGCCGGGGGCTGGGGGGCGGGGGGAGGAGGGGAAGGGGAAGGAGGGAGAGAGGAGGGCGGAGAAGGCAGGAGGCGGGAGGGGAGGGAAGGGCGGTGGAGGTGGAGATGGTGGTGGGAGGGGTTTGAGGGGTTCGAAGGCGGACCTCAGGCGGGCGATGTTTGGGTAGGCGTGTATGGGGGGAGGAGGCAGGTAGGGAGCCGAGGGAGAGAGGGAGGAGGGCGAGGAGGTGAAGAGGCCGGAGGTGGTATAAGAGGCCAAGTACGGTACGCGTGTGTTCGAGGAGGAGACTGGCATGCGACTGGGGTAGAATAAACCAAACCACAAAGTTAGTTTGCATGCGACTGGGGTGCGGCAGTGAGCGCAGCGGGAGGGCAGGGGGCTGGAGGCGAGGCGAGGTGGTGGCCTGGCGCGTGCGAGCGGGAAGAGGAGGCTGGATTGGCTTGACGAGGAGTGGAATGGCTTATGACGAGGATTGCCACGGGCGACTTGACGGCGGCTGGGAGCAGAATGTCAGGCGCCAAGACCACAGCAAGTTTGTGTGGGGCGCACGTTACATTGCGAGTTTTAAGGCTTTTGATACTGTGAAAGGGGCTGCAAGGTACCGTACCAGTATGCAGGTCTAGGCGCTTCCAAGGCCAGATTGCGATAGGCCTCCCAGGATGTGGATCATGCGGGGGTGGCTACGGGCTGTGTTGTGTGTGCTTACTGAACCGCATGGAGCACGGTCGGGAGGTTGCTGTCGCCCGAAGCCATAGCAAATGAAGTATAGGACTCGTGTCAGGATGGCATCATGGGTTCATTGATGGCTAATTGCCGTACTCCGTGGCCATGTACGGTACTTCAGTATGTGAGAGGCCATTGCGACATAAATGAGCCTCAGCGACGGGAGGGACATTGTTGCGGCGCGGTGCAGGGTTTGCATCAGATCCAGGGGACTTTAGATGACCTGTCCTCCTGACCCATGTGAGGCCCCGTGTGAGGTCCGTTGGCCATGATACCAGCGCAGTGTATTGTTACAGAGGCGCCGCTTAGGCGCTGGAAGCTGGAAGCTTACTGGTATAACTGGTCAGGTCAGGTATTATTGCGCCTTAGGCGGCCGTGCCGTGCGATTTCCGTGCGAGTAAGGCCGCGATTAGCACGATTAGGTTCCACTGGGGTGGTTTTGGGGGGAAACGGCAGACCCGCAGGGTCAGCTCGTCCCCTGCTTACACGAAGCACCTGTTGCACATCAGCGGTCTATAGAACAGGCGTTAAGGTACCGTTGTTGGCTAGCAATTGATTTGTTGTGCCGGGCCTTTGCGGTGGACCTAGGCTGGCGTTACGCACTATGTTGAGGAATGGTGGCCACAACTTAAATCTGTATGCTGAATAAAAAAACGATTGAGTACTCTCTGCGAGGCCTAACAAAACTGCAAACATGCAACTGTATGACCCGCTGGTATGCCGACGCTTACATGTGGTGGTCTTTCGCCAGTAAGATACGAAATACTCCGTAATCGGTCACTAGCAGTTGGTTTGTGCGTACAACGTGATATACCCCAGCTGTTGGACACAAGATAGCAACCTAGCGCAGCTAGGTCTGAATTAACAAGGGGCCTTTCATCCGCGCGCGGCAACACGCCACCATTGCGCGGTAGATGGGTCTTTATGCGGTGAACTGGTTGCCATGAGAAACTTGTAGCTCTGTAGCTTTGTAAAGGACACTGTCGTATATTGTCCGGCAAGAAACCTAGCGCAAGCTTACGGTGCAAGCCTTGTACCGGATAACCGTTGTCGAAGCTCTTGTACGCTTGTTAGAACACCATCCCGTACAAAATGTTAGCCTTGGGTCTCGTCAAAATATGGAACATACAATGTCTCTGCTTTCTTCTCTTTAAATCGATGGTCGTGTTCAAGTTGACTCTGACTTAGTGGACATTGGAAATAACGGCGCTTAAGACCTTCATGGCTCATAATTGCAACCATGGATACTAATCGTGACGATAGCAGCAGCGTGCGCTTCAACGGATGACGCTGGTATGGAAGCTGATATGCTTCATTTTGGCATGTTGCTTTGCTCTCACGGAGGCGCAGCTACCGTCGCCGGATAGCTGCGCGCTCTCCGGTGGCTTCTTGTCGGACCTCTACCAAAGGTAGGTAACTTCCAGACATCTACAATGATGTTCAGTAAGTCTATGGGTAAGGCTCAGCGACCGGGTTACTTTGCTCACCATCGGACTACCGCCATGTCGCAGCTGCACCGCCAACAATGCCACTTCTCAGCGCGACGGCCTTCTTGGCATGTTATCACAATGCGGGAATACGGACAACCCAGGCATCATAGTAAGTTGGGCTTCAGTACACTGCTGACACCGTTACAGTCGTGTCTTCGTCACCCCATAAGCACACACTCTTCCACTGACACCATGACATTATGATTGGTGAACACCCTAGACTTGCCCTGCATACGCCCCATCTCTCTCCTTAATCGGCACATACATGCCTTCGCAGCATCGTTTTGCCGCTCCTACTACCTTCTACCGGAAAACCCACCTGTAGCTGCGCCCCTTAGCGCTCCTTGCCTCCGCACCCCTCTCTCCTTCCCCACCACCAACCCCTGGCCCTACTTCCCCCTCCCACTCCCCTCCTCCCACTCCCTGCCGCAACTCCTTCCCTCCGCCCACCTCGCCCTGCCCCCCGCTCCCAGTCCCTTCGCCTCCTCGCCGCCTCCTCAGCCCTCATGGACGCCGCCTCAAACCGCACTGCCCGCTTCTCCGCTGCCACCGGAGTCCCCGTGTCCATGCAGCTGGGCTCCCTGCCCGCACCCGCACCCGCACCACCACCGCCACCGCCACCAGTACCAGCAGTGCTCCCACAGCAGCAGCAGCCGCCCAGCCCGCCTGGCCTGGCAGGTGGTACGGATAGTGGTGGTGGTGCTGCGGCGGTGGAGGGATGGGATGGCTGGCTGGGCTCAGCTGCGGAGCTGGGAGGCGCAGCGGAGGCAGGTGGGTGGCTAGGGGGTGGCTGGCCGACATGGGTGCGGCATGGGGGGCAGGAGGGTAGGGTCGGGGCTGAGGTGGTGGTGCAGTCCGGCGTCAAGTGCTGGGAGGGGTTCTGGGGCGCTAGGGGCTCTTCCTAAATGGGCATGCGTGAGTGGGCAGGATGTGGGTGTGCATGCATGGGGGCGGCCAGCAGCAGCAGCAGCAGTGGCGGCAGGAGTTGTGGAGGCAGCAGCGGCGGCACAGCAGCAGCAGCAGCAGCCGTGACAGGGACAGTTATTAAAGGAGGCTGGGAGCTCTGGGGGCTGTGTGGAGGCGGGCTTGCCACATGTGCAGGAGGTGCCAGCTAGGGGGGCTGGGAGGGCATGGCGAGCGCTGGGAGTGCCTCAGTGTGGGCTGTGGAAGGTGCGGGAGCAGGGGACGCTCCTGTGAACCGCACTGGGTCCCTGGGGGCCGCAGTGAGGCCCTCTCGGATCCGGGCTGGGTGGCACGCAGACGTTCCCCAACCCCAGCCCCTTCCTACCTGGCTGTGCCATGCCGTCCCGCTGTCCCGCTGCCGCCCCCCCGCCCTGCCGGCCTCCCAGGCTCGCTGCTGCCGCTGGACTCGCTGGTGCCCCTCGACTCGCAGCTGGACTGGTCGGGCCTCACCTCCAGCGTCAGGGCGGCGGTGGAGTACGACAGCCAGGTGTGGTGGGGACTTGGGAGCAGCATGGAGTCAGCATGATGCCAGCAGGGCGCTGTATGTAACGTCTGAGGTCTGACCTGCCCTTAAGCCCTCCCCACCGCCTCCCTTCCCTGCCCTCTTCACCTCCCTCCCTCCCTGCCCCCAGGTTCTGGCGCTGCCGCAGCAGGCCACGCCGCTGCTGCTGCTGTACCGCCGCGACGTGCTGGCGGCTGCGGGGCTGGCGGGCGCAGTGCCGCGCACGTGGGTGCAGCTGCTGGCGGCGGCGCGGCGGCTGCACGGGGCCGACCCGCTGGGGGAGGGGCGGCCGCTGGCGGGGGTGTGCGCGAGATGGTACCAGGGTGAGCGGGGAGGAGGGGGCGGGGAGGGGGGGCAGAGGACAATGTATGGGAGAAGGTTGGGTAATGGAGACGGGGGGAAGTGGGTTTGAACGGGGCGGGCATTGAGGTACATGGACAGTACATGGACATTCCTCCCCCTGCCTCCTCACCCCCCTCCTCCTCCCGTCAGGCTGCCCCGGCGCTCTGGCCCCCTTCGCCTACGGTATCCTGGCTCCCTACCTGCAGTCGGAGACACAGAATCTGGGTATCCACTTCCACTTGCACACCTCCTCCTCCACCTCGGCTACTACCACCACCAACAGCAGCAGCACTCCCACCACCACCACCTCCACCACGCTGCTAGCCCCGCTGCTGGCCTCCCCAGCTGCCGCGGAGGCGCTCGACCTGCTGATGCAGCTGCGCCAGGTGGGCTGGGACCCCACCGCCCCCTCCTCCTCCTCCGCCTCTAACAGCAGCAGCTCAGCCTCCAGCGGCACCACCACAACGGACGGGGCAGACACCGCCGCGACTGCTGCTGCTGCTGGTGGCGCTGCGGAGCTGTGCGGGGAGGCGGTCACTCAGGGCTTCCTGCAGGGCCGCTGCGCCTTCAGCCTCTCCACATTTCGGGACTTCAAGGTAGGTGGTGGTTAGCTACGGCACCGTACACACGGGCGCATGGCGCATGGGCGCGAGGCTAGTGGTTGGATGGGTGCGTTCGTGCTTGCAACTGCCCTGGTCGCAAGCATGCATGGTGCTCGGACTGCATCAACCGGGACATCCCCTCCCCCCCTCCCACCGCCTCCCAGGCCGCCAGCCACTCCTCCTCCCCCGCCACCCCCCTGCGCGGGCACCTGGGGGCCGCACCCGCCCCCGGCTCCACCCGGGTGCTGCTGCGGGTCGCCGACTCCTACCTCCTCTCCGCCGCCTCCTCAGCAGCTCTTGCTGCCGACGACGCAGCCTCTTCCTCCTCCTCCGCTGCTGCTGGTGCTGCCGTACCTGCTTCCGTGGCTGCCAGCCTGGCCCGCGCGGCGGCGCTGCCTCTGGTCAACTGCAGCCGCGCGCGCTGCCCCCTGGCGGACAGCGTCACGAAGGACGAGTACGGCGTTGATCGGCAGGTTAACCGAGCGCCGTACATCCCGGCCAGCCTCATGGCCGTGAGCAGCCTGAACCACTCCACCACCACCGCCTCCACTGCTGCCGTGACCTCCTCCGCCGCCTCCGCCTCCTCCTCGCCGCTGTCTCAGCTGCTAAGTTACTACCTGCTGTCGGAGCTGGCCTCCCCGGCCGCCCAGCTGCAACAGGCGCTGGACCCCAACACAGGTGAGCAGCCGCCGCCGCCGGGGGGTGTGCTTGTTCGCCTCGCACGCCCTCTTTCTTCTCTGTGTAACATGGCCTTCTCCACATCCCTCGTCTACCCATTGCGCTGAGTACCCTTTATTTCAACACCCACCGTCAACCCCGCCTCCCTCCGTCCCTCCCTCTTGCACCCCAGACGCCGCCCCCCTCCGTAAGGCCCATCTGGATCCCTCCCTCTGGGTGGCAGCCGGGTACGACAGCTCGGATGCAGCTGCCGTACTGGCCGCCATGCAGACCACCCTGGAGCATGCCAACCCGGCCTACCAGCTGCGCATGAAGGAGCAGGAGACGTACGGGTAGGCGGCTGTGCGCGCGCTGTTCCACATCAGCATGTACCGGTAGCGGCGCTGGGATTTGGAATACGACATTGATGCAGTGTGGTGGCATGTGGTCTGCGGTGTTGTCGCAACTTGGTTAAGGGCTCGTATCGCCTTAGCTCCCTGTTTACAATCGCAAATTCGCAATTGTATATAAAGCAGGAATGATTGTCCTGAAGCCTTCTGACACCATGGCTCTTCACTCCCTCCCTTCACTCGGCACTTCTCTCGTTCGTTCTCCCCCAGTCGCATCTTCAGTGAGCTGTTAGACTCCCTGCTGGCAGCGGACGGACGCAACCTCACCAGTCTCCTGGCCGCCGCCGCGACAGCCGCCGCCACGGCCTTCGACGCCGCCACAGACCCCTCGTTAGCGCTGTCGTACAAACGGTCAACAAAGCGGTCGAGCACGACGACTCATGGGTCAGTGCCGCCGCCGCCGCCGCCAGCGGCGCTGGCGGATGAAGGCGACGTTGGACCTGGTGGCGCATTGCCTTCTTGGGGCGTTACTACGGTTTCGGTAGTCGGGCTGTTTGTCATCTTGGCGGCAATCGTCCTGATCGTACGGTACGGCCGTATGATACGGTTTCGGCGCTACAAGTCCCGTACGGCTCCGGGGCCGGGACCCGACACAACGCTGTTACTGTCAGGTGAGGTTTGGGGCGGTCAAGATGGACGAGTCTGTGCCTTAGCCCTATCGTCTTGCTTATACCTGGGCCCGTGGTTATCGGTAGTCGATTTGTTCGTCAACGCTGTGATTCCTTTTGCTATCCTGGTCGTCCAACCCCCCGTTGTTGTAATCCCCTATTATTTTCTCCTCCTGTCGCTCCTGTCGCCCCGACTCACCCAGACATCGCCGACAGCACGGCTCTGTGGGAGGCGCTGCCGGCTGACATCATGGACCGATCCGTTCGGCTGCACAGGTGGGCAGGGGGCGCATGCGGGCGTGCGGCGGGCTCCGGGGCACAGTACTGCACTAGCAACATGTCTGGACGGCAGAACGCCTTCCGAAGCCGTAAGCTTGCCATGCACATGGTGTTACGCAATGCCTGCGCTCCGCCATGTGTTTTACTTGCAGCACAATCTTCCTCCTGTCTGCTCCCACCCCTGCTGTACGCATGCAGCATGGCTGTACGACATCTACTGCTGGAGCACCGGGGCTTCGAGAGCGCCACGGAGGGGGACGCCTTCATCGCCGCCTTCGACAGCCCCCTTGCAGCGCTCGCCTTTGCATGCGACCTGCAGGTGGGGGCGGGGAAGCGGCTGGGGCGAGGGGGGACGGTCGGGATTGCGGTTGGGGGGTGCCGTTAGAGTCGTCGTCCCATGTCGTGATGCGGGTGGGGCTTGCAGCAGCCTGCTCTGATCCACGCATGCATGCTGCGCCCGCGCCCCCATGCGGGCCCCTCTCGTGACCCCATGCATGCGCACCCCATTGCGCCCACGCGCCTTCATAAGCCGCTGCGGCACCCCTCCTTGTGCCGTACGCACGCCGCCTTACGCCCCCTGTGCCCTCTTCCTCCCTCCCAGGTGGTTATGTTGCGGTTGGAGTGGCCCGAGGAGCTGCTGGAGCGACCCGAGGCGGCGCCTGCGTACGTGGTGCCCGCAGTGTGAGTGACTGAGTGGGAGTGGCTGAGGCCTCGCAAATCGGTGTGTCTTCGCTCCGCCCGCCGGGCTCCTTGCCGTTTGCTCCTCTTCCCTTTCTCTATGTCGCAGCTGCCCCTTATTACCCCCCTCCACTCCTACTCACTGGCTCACAGGGCGCTGGCCGCCAACCGGAGGCGGAGGGGCCCGCCGGAGACGGGTGTGCGCACCAGCGCCTGCGGATCCGGTCCAGGTAGGCGCCCCTCTGCTGGTGGCCGGTCATAGGGGGGAGTGCCGGCAGCCTTGGCGTCCGTTAGGGGGGCGGTTCTGCCGTGCGAACCTCTCCCCCTTCTCTCCTGCGTCGTGAACGGCCAATCGCCCTTCCGCCGCTTACACACCCCCACACCAAATGCCCTCACCGCAGGCAGCCCAGAGGACGTATCCATCCACGCCGGCCAAAGCGCCATTGACGGCGACTGCTCCACCCGCAGCGCCTTCACCACCAGTGCCATTCCCTCGCCGGCACTGCCGAATGTCGTCGTCGTCGGCGGCGGTGGTGCTTATAGTAGTAGCGGCGGCGGCGGCGCTTATGGCAGCGTCTTCGGCAATGGGTACGGCGGCGGCTATGGCGCCGTCATCGGCATCGTGACCGAGCGAGCGAGCCCCGCTCAGCCGCCCACTCCGGGTCGCTTCTCGCCGCGATCGACGTCGCTGTCGCCTCCGCTGCCGTACAACGTTTCCACTGCCGCTGGTGCTGCTGTCGGTGGCACTGCTGCCGTTGTCGCGGGGGAATCTGCCCACGAGGTGTCCCTAGCTTCGTTGGCGGCTAACGGGTCGGCGTCACTCTCGGACTCCGCTCCGCCCGCCAGAGGCTTGCAAGCCGCTGTCGGGACGGATCACCGAGACTGGATACTGGTTCCCCCTCACAGCCACCAACATCACAGCCAGCACCAGCACAACAACCAGCACCAGCAGCGTCCGCACCGTCCGCAGCGTTCGCTGGAGGAGCGCCGACCTCCTCAACAGCTGCAACAACACCGTGGGCTGCTACGAGGTCGCAGCGCAACCATTTGGGACCCCGGTGCAAGACAGCATGCAGCTTCAATCAGCCAACATGCAACGGCGCCTCACCACCACCTCCCCAACTCTATCAGCGATACCTCCCCTTCGCGCGCGATCAGCCCCGTCTCTGACGGCAGCGCCGCCACCGCCGCGGTGGCCACTGAGACTCACCGAAAATCAGTTCAGTCGCCCGGGGGTGCAGCGCCAGCGGCAGCAGTGGCTGCGGCGGCGGCGCCGCCGCCGCTACCGCAACCCCGCGGCATGCCCCGGGTCGCCTGGGACCTTCGCCAACTAGCCCTGCGTAGCGCCAGCGTCACCGGCGGCGGCCTGGCTTCCGCCGCCGCTGCGCGAAGCTCAGCGGCCTCCGCCGGCCTCAGCCGCCTTGCACGTAACGCGTCCTTCGACGGCCTAACGCTGAGCCAGATGCGCAGTTGGGGTGCGGCTGCCTACGAGGCTCATGGGACTCGCAACAGACCCGGTGGCGCCGGCGACGGCGGCCGCCAGGGGTGTCATCGGGCCCGTTTGGCCCGGCACCAGAGCGCGGATCAAAGCGGCGGTTGCGCCAGTGGCGGCAGTGACGGAGGCGGCGACAGTGGCGGGGCGGAGGCGACGGCGCCGGCGAGTGCGCCGCCGTCAGCTGCTCCGGAGCTGGACCTGCGTCGGCAACAGCGGTGGCGGGCAGACCGCGGATCCCCTCACACGCCATCGTTGCTTTCGCTGGTACGCAAGGCGGCGTCGCTGTTGACATGCATGTCTGGGTTACCGGTATGTTTGAATACACCGGTTGTCGTAATACTTGCGATAGGACGTGCGGCCCTGACACGCGCTTATGTGCACATGAAACTAAAAGCAGCATCGCCACTCATTATGGAAGGCCCTCACTAGCCTCTTCCTCGTGCGTGCTAATGTGTAACCCCTTGCATGCATGCTGGCTTGCCTCCGCACCGCCCGCTCCTCCCGCAGCGATCACGCCAGGAGCGCCATCTGACCGCACCGCAACAGGAGCTAGCTCGGTCACCTGAACAATCTCACTCCTTAGTCTTACAGCCACCGATCGTGGGGGCTGCGGCGGCACCGCCAGCAGCGTTTGAGGACCCGCGCAGTCACATCACCAGCATTAGCGCCGCCGGTGCCGGTGACAGCGGCGGCGACAGCGGCGACGGCGGCGGCGGCAGCGCACGGAAATGGACGCCGGCGGCGCTTTGGCCTGTTCTGACGTACATGGACTCCTCGAATGACTGTACGGCAATGGACGGTATGACAGAGAACGAGGAGGCTGTGCGGCAAAGCAGCAACAACGACAACGGGGAGTCCCGCGTGCGTAACTGCCGTTCCGATAGAAGCGATGGTGGCGGCGCCACCGGCGTCGCGCCGTTGGCACCACATCATGCGACGCCAACGCTTTGGCTGTCGGCGCCGACGCCGACGCCCGGGCCATCTGAAATAGACGATCCCTCGACATCATCCACTTCCGCCGCCGCTATCTCCTTCGCCGGAGTTAACGGCTCGTCCGCCCGAGCCTCACACCTGCTCTTCGCCAGGCGGAGCGCTTTTGCTGCCGGACAACACCGCAGCGCCGGCGGCGCCGGCAGTAACAGCAGCCGCTGCCGCCGCTCCTCCATAGAAGCCCCCTCCACCACCGCCGCCGCCACGGGCTTTCCATCCCGCCCCAAAACCCAGTCAGCCTCCGAGGTCCTTCCCGTGTTGTCAGCTGTAACACTGGCCATGCCTGCCACGGCAGATGGCTCCGCCGACGCTGCCGCCACCGCCGACGTCACCGCCAATATCATCGCCAACTCGCTCCCAGGCTCCAGGCAGACGGTAACTCAGGCGGCCGCCGGCGCGGCGGGCCGTACAGCCATGGCGATTCCCGCCTCCAGCACCCGAAGCACCCCAGGCGCGGGTGGCGGTCTCGCCTTGCGTGTGGGCAGCCCCATGCAGCTGCCATCCAGCATCCTGGGGGAGCCCATGCTGCTGTCGCATGCGCTGACGGGGGCGACAGCGGGGGGGCGCAGCCGCTCTGGAAGCACTCGAGGGGGAGGTGAGGGGAGCAAAGGGAAGAGGATGGTGATGGGGCGAGGGGGTCGCTAGCGGGAGGGGAGGGAGAGAGGGGGCTGCATGCGGCGGTGTAGGTAGGCGCTTGGGGTAAGCGCCGGCTGGTGGGCGTGGGCTCTTCTAACCTTGTTCCCCACTCATAAACCTCCGTTCATCTTCTTCTATTGCTTCCTCAGCTCTTTCGCCGCCTCCTGCCGCGCAGTTGCCTACTACACGGGCGGTGCAGGCGGCACGGGTGCTGGGGCACTGCCCGGCAGCGGAGGCCTCCTCTTCAGGGGCAGCGGCGGCAACACGCGACGGCCGTCACAGTTGGACAGCGGGCCCGAAGGAGCAGGTGTGTGCGGGTGCGAGTACGGATGTTGGTGCTGGGGTGAGACACCGATATGTGCTGCAGTGACAGGCTCATGACGTGAGGCGCTGTGGCTTACAAACAGCACGGTTGTTTCGGTCCTGAAACTGAGTGATAGAACTGCCAACCTACTCGGGACCCTGCCTATAGCCTTCGCTTGGCACTAACTCTGTTCCATCTCTGCTACTCTGCTCCCAACTGCAGCACCCCATGACGGCGCTGACTTCCTCAGCTGCACGTCCTTCGGCCACGACCGACGGCACAACCCGCTGCACGACCCGCAGCAGCCGTTGAGCGGCAGCGCTGCCACCGTACGCCGCACAGGTAGCGGTACGGTGGTGTCGTACATGGACGCGGGTGTGTCGTACATCTCCCACATGCGGCAGCTGTGGCACCCGGCGGACGAGGGCCATCCGGACGCGCTCCTGGTGCACCGGTACGGCGGGGGTTGGGGAGCGGGTTCATGCGGGTGATCCTTGAAGGGGCTTACGGCTTACTAATGGGTTTTAGCAGGAGGCGTTTGGGTGCTGGGCCACCAGTGCTCGTTGCGCTGCGCTCTTTGTGCTGTTTCCTTAGCTCCTGGCTTCCTCCTCCTTCTGTCACCCCTTCATCGCTTTCCCCGCGCTCCCCAGGGGTTTACGGCTGCGGCTAGGGTTTCACACGGGGCTGCTGCATGCGTCGGAGGTGCAGCACAACCGCGCCACGGGCCGAGCAGCCTACTCGGGCGCATTCCTGGCGGTGGCGAGGGAGGTGTCCAACGCGGGCCCCGGCGGCTGCGTGGTACTATCGGAGGCGGCGAGGAGGCGACTGGTGGCGCGGGTGAGGAGAGCTGAGAGAGGAGAAACTCGTGTGGGGAAGTATGGAGCGCGCAAGAGCGGCTTTGGCAAGAGTGGATTTGGGGACTGGCTGGACCAGGCTGGATAGTCCTTTCCTATCAAACCTCGTTACGCTGTTGCCCTAATCAACCGGTTGACTGGTGTGGTCCCGTTCGCCTTACCCACCGGTGTGCGGCCCTCTTGCACCCGTTTGTTCCCCAGGGCGCCTTCAAGCCCAGCAACCCACTGGGCTGCATCTACATGGGGCACTACAGCGGCTCAGCGCCAATACCAGATGCTGCCGTTGCCGCCGCCGCCGGCGCTATCGTCACCTCTGGTGGCGCCGCCGGCAGCGGCGGCGCCGGCGGAGGCGCGAGTGACTCCACAAACGTTCCCTCCTCCGTCGCCATTGTTGGGGTTTTCGCCACTGCCGAGGCCGACTCCAGCACTGCCGGCGGCGCCTCCGCCGCCGCAACCGTCAACACGGAGCTCCTGCTGCGCGGCCCCGTCTCCGGCCTGGCGTTATACCAGCTGACGGGCGGCCCGGCGGAAATGTTCACTGCGCGGCTGGTGCTTCAGGGCCCGCTGAGCCGCTGCGGGGCCTGCCAGCTGCCCGGCAGCACCTGCGCGCCGCTGCGGGGCGGCGGGCTGGCGGTGGCGGAGGTGCATGTGCAGGGCGCCGCCGCCATCCTGGCGTGGAACCACGAACTGGGCGCCGAGGCGCTGCAGCTTTGCCTAACCGCCATGCAACGGCTGGCGGCACTGAGAGGGACCGCCGCCGCCGCTAGCGGGGGCGGCGGCGGTGGTGGCGTCGGCGTCAGCAGTCTGGGCAGCATGATTTACCTTTGCACCGAGGACGACCCGTTGACGGGTGGCGTTGGCGGCGCCGGCATCAGCGGCTACGGCGGCGGCGGTGGGTTCCTGGCGACTGGGCGGTTGGTGGCGGTGGCGGAGGATGCAGCCAGTCTGGCGGCGTGGGTGGCGGACGTGCAGGCCATTATGCCTCGGCTGCCTTGGAGGGAGGAGCTGTTGCAGCATGAGGACTGTACGGAGATTGCGATATCCCGTACGGCATGGCCCAGCTCCGGTACGGCAGGCGACACGTCAATGACGCCGCCACCGACGGCAAGGCTGCCGTCGCCGCTGCCGGGGGCCGCCGCCGCCGCCGCTGGTGCGCTGTCGGTGTCGGCACGGCTACCGGCGGTGCTGCTGGCTAGCGCCAAGGCACGCTTGGGGCTGTCGTCAAGCCCGAGGAGGAAGTCTTCAGCGGCGTTATCAGCGGCGCCGTCAACGGCGCTGCCGTCAGAGTTGACACCGCCGTTGTTATACGACGCCAGCGGCGGCGGTCGTCATGTTGGCGGCGGCGGCGACGGTGGACTAACCTCGGAAGCCTTGTCTGCCGTGTTGCCTGCTGGCTTGCCACGGGAGAACAGTTGGACAAGCAGCGCCGGTGTTGGCGGCAACGCCACTGCGGAATGGATGGTGACCCACGGGTCACATACTCTCAGCGCGACTGGTGACTGGCCACTGAGAGCCTCCCTTGACGAGAGGCTGCCTCCGCAAGCAGCCATGGGAACTGACAGCTGCGTCGCTACCGTCACAGCTGCCGATTCCGCCTCTGCTGCTCCGGAAGCATCCTTTGCTTCCGGTGCGATAGCGGCCGCAGCGCAGGCGATGCCCTTCCAGAAGGGCGGCGCCTCGCGAGCGATGGCGGTCTTGGCGGCGGCGGCGGCCGCCAACTCTTCCCGAGACTCGTCTCCAACGGGCGCCTCTTTTTCCCTCGCTCACCTGGCGATGTTGCCTGCAGCGGGATCGACAGCCCTTTTGTCCCATAGCGCTGCCAAGCTGCCCGGGCAAAAGCCCCATTTGCAGCCGCCACCTGCCGCCGTGGGCTACGGAAGCACTAGCAGCGGGGGTTGTGGTGCCGTCCCGCCTATTAGCATCTCCGGCGGCGGTGGCGGCGGCAGTGGTACGGTGCCAACTCGGGTGCCGTCAGGGGCGGCATCGCCGTCGGATGCGACAGCGCCGCCAGCGGCGTTGTGGAGTCGAGCCAGTGTCGGCGGTTACACCTCCCGACCCAAGGGTCGCTCCACCATCACCTCTGTCGCCGTGGACAGCGACGGCCATGGGAGCGGAAGCGCCGCCGCCGCCGCCAGCAGCGGCTTCCACCCGCTATCTGGCTCCACTCGGCAGCCTCGGCCCGGCGGCAACTTCAGCCGCTCCTCTTTGCCGTCCATGACGGAGTTAAGTACGGCTGCCGCAGCGGTAGCCGCGGTGCCGCCGCCGCCGACGGCACAACCTTCCTCCCATGTAGGCTCAGGGCCAAGGCTGGGTCAGCAGGCTTCGGTGTCGCCGATAGTAAGCTTTGTGCGGCACCTGACGGGCGGAGGCGGCGGCGCCAGCGGCGGTGTAAGCAGCGCCGCTGTGAGTGTAGAAAGCGGCGGCCGCGGCGTCTGCGGGTATGACTACAGTGTCCCTTTTGGGGACCCGCAGGATGGGGGGGCAGGGGGCCTTCCGCAGGTGGAAACCGGGACAGCGGGGCCCTCTCCATTCGGGACAGCGGCGGCGCTGATGCCGCCTTCGGAGGTGGTGCTGTTGCACCGCGGTCTGCGATTGCGCATTGGTCTTGACGTGGGAAACCTGCAGGTAAGGACCTCGCCTGGCAGGGTAACTGGTTCATACCATGCCGGTGCGTCCTGCATACCGTCTGCGCGCTCCTCCTGCACCCGGTGTTAGGAGGGTAGTACGGCAACATCGGGTCTTCCCCTTTGCAGCTTACCGGTGCCTGTGCACATTTGACGCTCCTTCATGCGCTCTTCCCCTTTCACCCGTTCACCCTCGCAAGGGAACCCTGTCCAAGTCCTCCGGACGCATCATCTACCGCGGCCGGCCGCAGCACCACGCCCATCGGCTGGCAGGACACGCGAGGGAGGGGCAGACCATGTGTACAGCGGAAGCTGTGGAGGCGGCTTTGGCCGCCGCGGCATCGGCGGCAGCAGCGGCAGCACCTGCAGCAGGGACGCCCTCTGCGGCAGCGGCGGCGGTGGCGCCAGTGGATGTGTTGCGGACGGCTGCGACGGCGCCGCCGGGGGCCTTCCTGCCGGGGGCAACGGCTGCAGGTGAGGTTTTGGGGCTCCTGGCATACCTTCCGCATATATGAAGCCTCTAATGCACACACGTATGCGCCTTCCTGCACACCATACCGGTACTTGCGAGCCTACATCGAGATATCGTGCTGGCATGGCCCTAAGCGCACCTGTACGACCCTGGTGCCTCGCTCCGCAGGCCCCGGCACGGTCCCCTTGCCCGCACGACCTCCCAGCTGCGGTGCTGTCCTAGAAACGACAGCGGCAGCACCACCCGCACCCGCGCCTCTGCAACATCTGCAACCCCAGCAGCGGCAGCTGCTACAACCCAATCACATACAGCCGCAGCAGCAGCAGCCTCCTGCTACTGCTCAGTCCTCTCAACGACAGCTACCGCTAGCCGCCGCAGCAGCACCCGTCCCGGGGTCTCCCTCGCGTGCCACCCCCACTGCCGTTGGAGCTGGGAGCGGGGCAGCGGGTGGAGGCGGCTTCACGCAGCCGGTGCAGGTGCCGGTGCGGGAATTGCTGCCGCCGACGGCGCTGCAGCAGCACATGCCGCTGCATGCCGGCAGTCGAGCTCAGTCGCCGGTTCCTGGCTTCCCGTGGTCGCCGGTGGCCTCACCGCTGCCGCAGTTCTGGGCTGGAAGGTGAGCGGGTATTGGTATTGGTGGCTGCTTATGAGCCGTTTGCACCTGCCGTTGACGTGACGCTTTACCGGTAAACTCCTTCCACTGCCGCTCATCACTTTGCGCTCACTGCCGTAGGATGTCTCGAGTGGCGCCGCAGTCGCCGGTGCCGCTGCTGCCCGCTGGAGGGGCAGGTGGAGGTGGAGGCGGCGGTGGGTTGCTGCCGAGTGGTGTTGTGGAGTTGTCGTACCACTCGCACGTGACCGGCTCCCAGGCGAGGATGCGCTTCCAGCAGGTGCGGATACGGAGGCTGGATGCGGTGCAGCTCGGCACCGGCGTGGGGGGGTTTACGGGGTGCTGTGCTGATGTGTTAAGAAAACTTGTGTTAAGAAAACTGGCCGCGAGTAGGAAAGTTGTGTGCGTGCAGAGAGATGGATAGCGCTGCGTTATATTAGTGGGGTAACGTTGGCCGAGGCTATAAATACGGGTAGCATGATGAGCGTCCAAGAGGCATACTGACCGTGCAAGGGGCCGCTCACGCTTCCTCGCAGGTTCCGAGGCCCGGTAAGGCGCATGGCAGCACGTTCTTGGTCTCCTGGAGCTTCGCCGTGACCGAGGATGAACAGCACCAGCGGAGTTCCCACCACCACCACCATTCGCACCACCACCACAGCCACCACCACCACCATCACCATCATCATCACCATCACCGGCGGCGGCAGCAGCACCCAGAGGGCAGCGCGTCCCGCCTGGGGGCCGCAGGAGGCGGCACTGGCGCAGCTGACGGAAGTGGCAGCGGCCGGGACAGGGAGTGCGCTTGGGGGCCCGGGGTGGGACCTGCGAACAACAACACAGCGGCCAGCAGCTTCCCCACTCTTTACGAATAGCGAGAATTTTCGTCGTAAGGATGACGGTGATGTGCTTTCTTGATGTACATGTTTCGGATGCAATGAGGGAGGCTCAAAAGAGATTATGGGAGTAGTGGTGTTGTAGGCAAGAGTGTTTGCGCGTGGATGCAAGGCCGTCTGGACGTATTGAGGGGTTGCATGGAAAAGCGGTGCATGGTGAACTGGTGGAAGGCTGCGCGGGTGCCTTGGCACGCGTGCGTTATATGGCTAGCTTGGATGGGACATGGGAAAACGGGAGAGACGAGCGGTAGCTAACTCGCACGCGTTGATGTTGACCTTGCTAAGCGCGCAAGGACTGCAGTATTAACTGGTCTAGCGCTTGTTACCGTGTTCACACACGCTCTATATAAGTTATCAACAATATCGTGATCACGTGTCTTTCATAAGTATATTGCTAGAAAGGGCATGGGGGCCTGGTGCTTATATTCTGGGTTTCGTGCATTGGGGAGGCGGTTTCTGTGGCTTTGGAGGACCTTTCTGTGTTAGTATGTGTTTTTTGCCCCGTGCGTGTGCTCGTGGTTAATGCCTCGAGCGAGTTCTTGGTGCCTGGTGCCGCTGTCAGACGGCCCTCTTGCTGGGTTTCTAATGTGCCCTACGGTACTTCTTGGCAACCGTATCCTGAGCATTTTGCCCGTGTGGGAAGATTGCGTTGACAGCCGACATAAGAATGTTATGGCATGGTCTCTGTCGTAGGAATGTATGGCTGCTGGCTGGTGTCAGTTATTGTGACAAGAACTGGCACGTATCGAAGATGCCAAAGGATGGTGCTGTAGCCGGGGTGCGGGTTGTGAGGAACGCTGGGTAGCCGCCACATTATGTGGGCTTTGCAGCGGGGTGAAAAATTGGGCGCAGGTATAAACACAAGATAGTAAGAGAACTTGATCTTGTACGACAGCATGACGTGTTGTACGTGGGCTGGACTGCCAGCGTTCATTGAGGCCATAGCGTGCTCGCAGGTTTGCCAGTACGGGAGGTCATGTCCGGGGCGTATGGCTGGGTGACCCTTCAGTGTGTTATAGTGCTGACTGGTGGTGTACTGGTCTTGTTTCATTCGATAAGAAGGACTTCAGCAGCTCAGCTCAGGGGCTGGTACCGAAACATGCGCGTGGTCTATGCGGGACATGAACTAACGAATCTGCTAGCTCGAATCCTTGATGAGTCGGATTTCCATCTCACGTGGGATAGGTAGGTATAAATACCACGCGTTTAGGTAAGGAACTCCCGTCCGTGCAGCCCTGTACGCAAGCCTCTGTGCGAGAGGACCCCGAAGAATGCTGTGTACACATTGAGACATGCCATCAACTGCCAGACCATATGCTGGACAGGGCTTGCCAAAGGCAAGACTGTCTGGCTTTTTGCAACCGAGGGCCCCCGCTTCTGATGCTGCTGCTGCTACCTAAGGCCGTGCCGCTAAAAACCGCGTGTCCCAAAGCTGCTAACAAGCCATGGTCCATGGGCTAACTCCTTATCCTGCTCGTCCTCCGCAACGCCGGGGCTGCGGGTGGTGGTATCACCAAAATAGCTACCGCTGCTAAGCCCTGCTGTAGTGTGCAGTTGATGAGGAGGCCCTCGCAGCGGCAGCGAGGGGCGGGGGGGTCGGGGAACCAAGGGTATCCGCATTCACCAAGTTACATGCTTAGGGCTCGCTGTTTACTGCGCGAGCTCCGCCTGCTTCTTCCGCCACATGATGTCCAGGGCGGAGTCTCCCTCACCCTACGAAAATGGGGAGAAAAATGCAAGGATGAGTCGTAGGAGGAAACCGTTTTGCATCCAGGTTACTACTCCAACCCATAATAACACATATGCTAACTCATAAGAAAGAATACAGCTGGCATTGTCAGGAGGCAACGTCCATCGCCACCCAAGCCGCCGCAGGTAGCCCCCTCGAGGTGCCGCTGCCTTACCATGGCGCGCACGTTGCCAGCAACAGCGAAGGTGGTGAACTGGTTGTTGTACACCCCGTTGGCGTCCAGGTGACCAATGTTAATCTGGACGCTGGCGTGGTCCTTAGCCGTAATGAGCTTGTTGGTCCACGCGCTGCAAAGGTAAATTTGCCATAAAGAACACGTCAACCGATGCCTGGAATTAACTGCAGCTAGGGGCTCTGAGCGCCGTCACCGGCCGACCCACCACTTGCGCGGGATGTAGAGGTCGACGACCTGGCCCTCGTCGTTAATCATTGTGACGGAGTCGTTCAACAGACCTAAGCTGGGGAGAAGAGGGAGCTTAGGCGAGGGAAACAACACCAAATTGTTTAGCTTTATCCTTCCCTGGAGTCCTAAATTCCTTCAATCATAAGCCTCGTTTTCCACAGCTTTCGTTAACTAGACCAAGCAACTAGCATTATGCTAACAATAATAAACTTACATTCATTAGATGTGGCAACTCAACGTGATACCTGATAGCCGCAAGACAGTGAGCCCCATTTGAGCGCTTGTTGGGTGTTTGGATCAGTCCTATCATGTCTTCTATCGTGTTGCAGTGAAATTCGCGTGAAATTCACCCTGCACCTACGGCACCTAAACGGTGTTGTCCGCCGAAATTCCTACGATCAACAAGCGCCGTCTTCTGTCTTTCCTTGCTGATTCGCCTATCCTGCATACGGTACCACAACTGGTCCGTTCTCCGTTGAACTGGCATGGAAGGGCAATAATGGCAGGCCGAGGATTATACTTAAACGTCCTGAAACTCTCCTGAAGAGTTCCACGTTATCGCTAGATAGTAACTGAGGCCTTGCCCACGCGCTTAACACAGCACTCACGGCACGGGTTGGTGGACTTTATTGGGTCTACAAGGGGCATGTGGACATGCGTGTCTGTAGAGCCTATCAAAATGGAAAGTTGTCAGCATATGCCGAACAGAGGCGTTAGGGGTCTTACGATAAGAAGATAACGCTATGTCAGCCGTTCGCAAACCTTGAGAGCTGCCTCGCCTGCCGGTGACTTTGGCATGTGGTTGGGCGTGTCTGGTATGGCGTATCGGCAGGCAGACTCTTGCGCAGGTGAGCAGTGTAATGGAGCTGACCGACTTCCCATGCGGTGACGGATTTATGTCGCTTTCTTAGGATTTTTTGTAAGCGCTTAATCGGGGCTAGGGATTCCCGTCATTCCGCAGGGTGACAACAGGGTGCACCCTGGGGAAAGGGGATCACGTTGCTGGGGCCTCACATGCTTGCACTGGCTTGTAGGGGGGAATTGATGTGCTGCCGTGTGTATTCGCCCTTCTGAAACACCCCATACACCCACAGTCGTTAACGCAAACATAAGAACTTCACCACCTGTTGTTCAGCGCTGCTGTTAGTTTTCTTGTTGAGAACGCACCAGGCTTACTTTACATGTCACCCAAGTTATGTCACAGCGACCCAGGGCGCCACGTGGTCAAGGCATTGCCCACGCGTTGCCCAGCCATTGCGCTATACGCGAATGCTGCGAGCATGTCGACAGATATCAATACTATAATTTGTCAAGTTCGCCAAGTTCACAGGCAACATAAGCGGTGCCAACTATTTACGCATTTCACGTCAGGCCGTCGTACACAAGCATGATTCCCCTCACGTTGGAATCCTGCTGACACGTCCGTGTTATATACCAACCCTAGGGTATAGAGAAGTGAAACGCTGCGGCCATGCGCGCCAACGCCATTTCTTTAACGACTGAATGCATCTACCGCAGTTACAACAGCATACACCTTCCCTATGGAGCATAGCATCCAGGAAACTAGCTTGTAACCGACCCTTAACCGCGCGTTCTGGTAGCCTCGTAGCACACTGCGCCTTCGCGTCTTCTGCTTTCGGAAACTCCTCTTCCCCTGTGAAACCTATTGTCGTCATGGGCAGATACACCAACATGATGCTTGGAGGCCACCGTGGGTGAGTTTTCGGGTGTTGTGTGCTTGGTCCAAGCCTCAGGCGACTGACCAACCGTCGGCATTCTGTGTCGCCGAGAACAGGCGGGTAGTGCGGTGGAGTACCGTTTCCCACCTTATTCAACCAACTCTTGTCCGTTTGAAACAGGATGGGCGAGAATCTGACAACTGTTAAGACGGATGGAAAGCTTGGCGTGTACCCCGCATTTCGGGAGAACACCATTCAGTCCTTCCAACAAGCAGCAAAGTGCGGAGTCGGTTTCGTGGAGTTTGACGTGCAGGTAGCATATTGCAAGGCTGAAAGTGCGGCCTCGCCTTAGGCTTTACCCAGGCTTGTTGCCATTCAGCCCTGCCTGGACTGTTTCCAAACCTTGGCCCCTTGCTTAGCCATGCTCGCTGTCTATCCAGGTGACTCGCGACAACGTGCCGGTCATCTGGCACGACGATGATGTGGTCACCGGCCCCGCAGACCACCCCAGCAAGCCTCAGATAAAGGACCTAACCCTCGCGGAGCTCCAAACCCTTTGCGGCAGCAGCGGCAGGTACCAGCCAGGTGGCAGTCACGAGGGGCGCGGCAGCGGCAGTGACAGCGGCGGCAGCAGCAGCGGCGGCGACCCCCCGGGTGGCGAGCTGATGAGGCTGTTCCGTGACCGAGTGACGCGGCAGTGGGGCAGCGGGTGAGGGAGGTCAAGGGGGTCCAGGGGGCAGTGGGGACAGGGCTTTGGGGGCGCTGGCGGGAGCGGCGTGACAGGACAGGACAGGACAAGAGGGTTGGAGCGGCGTGGGGTGGCGGTGGGACAACTCGCGGCCTGATGAAGGTTCGTGGGCCCTAACGTGTTTGGGGTGCCCCTGGTTCGCGCACACTCCGACCCAAATGCCGGGAGTACCGCCGACGACCCTAGCGCTCCAAACCCAGCAGACCTTCCTCACCCTACCCCCTGTGCCGCACCCCAACTCCCCTGCCTCCCACCTCCTGCTCCCCAGCTACCTACCGTGGCGGTGCGATCAGGACGACGCCATCCCCACCCTGGAGGCTGTCTTCGCCTCCATGCCGCCGGAGATCGGATTCGACATTGAGGTGGGGCATGCGCGGGCAAGGGCCGAGTAGGAACAGAGACCGCATTGCTGAAGTCCATGTGCCGTGTCCCTGCAACGCCCCGACGAGTATCTTCCCCACTCGGTACACTGCGCTGCGGGTTGCCAATCAAGAAGGTTCGTTCAACAACCCCAATCCTCACCCTCTTCCGGCCCCAACGACCCGTGGGTCACCACAGATCAAGATGACCACGGGCGATGACGTGGTTCACACGCCCTCCCAGGAGGTGGACCGCATGCTAGGCGCAATCCTTCCGGTCGTTCACCGCTGCTCCTCCCTGCCATCCTCCTCCTCCTCCTTCCCCTCCGCCTTCACCTCCTCCTCCCCAGCGGCACCCCTGCCGCCGCCTCCGCTGACGCCCCAGTCCGCTGCTCGCCGGCGCCGCATCATCTTCTCCTCCTTCGACCCCGACGTGTGTGTGGAGCTGCGGCGGCGGCAGGAGGAGCACCCCGTATACTACCTGTCGGGCTGCGGGCTGTACGCGCACGCAGACGCGCGGCGCACCTCCATTCCCGCCGCGCTGAGCTTTGCTGCGGAGACGGGCATGCGGGGCATCGTGGTGCCGGCGTCGGTGCTGCTCAGGGTGAGAGGAGCAGCTGAAGGAGCTGCTTGCTGGGGTAACTTGAGTGGGAGAACTGACACCTGATGGCTTGGGGAGGTTGGGGGAAGGCTTGGGCGCGCGCAACGTTATTCCATTCCATAAGTATAACGTCTCTCACTTCTCCTCCTCTTCCTGCCGCCATTGCCCTTCCTCCCCCCTTCTGCCCACAGAACATGGACATGGTGGTGAGCGCCTCCCGCAGCCAGCTGGAGCTGATGACGTACGGGCTGGAGAACAACGATCTGGACAGCCTGCGCGCGCAGGCGGACGCGGGCGTGGTGGCGGCCATAGTGGACGAGGTGGCGGGGGTGACGGCGGCGCTGGGGGAGGCGGAGGAAGAGGGAGAGGGCGAGGGAGCGGGTCGGGCGGTGAGGGTGGAGGTAGAGGCGAAGGCGGTGGTGACGGAAATGATGGCGGCGGTGGATGGGGAGGTGGAGAAAAAGTGAGCGGTCAGACGTTGGCTGGGAAAAGGTGAGTACTGGGAGGAAGTGGGCTGGGTGGGAAGTGGTATGAGGTTCGCAGGAAGCGAACATGGCATCGGAAATGGGCTGGAGAGAATGGATGGGAAGGTAAGGAGCGGGAGGCGCAGATGGAGATGAGGTCGTGTCAAGCCAACAAAAGGTTAGGATCGGTAACTTGGGGGGGCACGCGACTGGCCCTTCCCATGCCAATAACGGGGGAGACGGGCGTGACGCCCTCACGGGTGGTGTCCCCAAGTCGCTGCTTGATGATGCTGCTGCGGCTGCCCGTTATTCATGTTACCGTTAGGTTGTTGTGGTGCTGCAGCCGAGATATCGTGATGGGGGTCTTCATGTATGTCGTTTTGGGTCACACTCCATTCTTAGCACAAGTGTTGTATACGATTGGACTTGTGTGTCAGGCATAAATTGTTGGTCGTCCAGTGTTCGGGTTTCTGGTGTGGCTTCTTGTGGGTCAGTGCGGCTGGTATGTGCCTCTCCGCAGGTCGCTGCCGCCTCCACACGCGCCATGTGCCGTGCACGGCTGCATGCCACATGTGCCGTCGCGGCCTCCCCCTTGCTTTGTGTATAGCCATACAGCCATAGTAGCGTATATCGCTTTGAGCTCCCTACCTGGGTATGGGGTTGGTACTGCTGTGCATCGACGCCTGGTGTTCCTGACCTGCGCTGGAAAACGGCGAAATGGTAGAACGATGAGCATGGAAATGGGCATGTGGGCACTGGATGATGAGCATGATCGTTTGTACGGGTTTGTCAGGAGTCACGTTGGTCGATGACGTGGCTTGTTTACCGGTACTCTGTTTTTGCTTATGATGACCGTTGGGCTTTTGACGACGTGATCAACCGGGACCTTGTCTTTTGTTACTCCCTTCATACCTGCCTTACGATAGGCATGGTATTCGGTGTACGCCTTTTTGGATCAACCTCACGGAGTCTGATGACATAGTTTAGTAGGTTGGCATGACACGTCATGTGTAGCAGTCTTGAGGTGTTTGGGGGCGCTGCTCTATAAATCAGCCCTTGTGTACGCATGCACCAGCAGCAGTAACACCGCTGCTCCGCATGGCCGCGTCTGCAGTCGCTCCTGTGTTGACCTGTGTGTGCTCATTGCCCTCACCCGCTGGGTTCATCTGGCGTAGGGTGTCAAGGGGACGCTCTGATGCCACAGTTGTTAATGCCAGTCATTAAGCCACGGTTGAAGGCCGTGTGCCGGGTCACTGGCGGATGCAGTGCCCCATTCATACGATAGTTGCCGTGACTCTTTCTGAGTCCATGCATTCGGCCTTTGAACGAAACTCATGAGCCGGGCCCAGTGCCGCGGCGATCCAACCCCTAAGCCAAGGTACGCGGGCCGCACGTCCATCGCATGTACATAGGAGTACTCCTAAACGTTGTAGATGGAACTGTATCCCGGTTATCCTGCAGGACCCCGGCGCGGCAAAGCTCCTTTAACGCTACCTGCAATCCCCTTGGCATGCAGCACCATGCACCGGCATGCATATCCACATGAACCCGGCCCTACCCTGCAACAAACACTCCTGACAGCTCCTTCTCAGACACTCCTCCTCTCCCATTACGCCACCCATCCACCTGGGCGCTCATAACCCGTTCTCCTCTCCTCTAACCGTAAGAGCCTGCCCTTACTGCACCCGCCACCCCTCCTCGTCAAGATCAACCCCAGGTTCTCTAGCAGCTCTGCTTCCTTCCCCCACTGCGCGCGCCCTACAGTGCGTATATCATTCGCCATACCAGAACCTGCGCTCCGCAGCGCACACAGCACATCAGCTAAGCACCTCTCAGCGGTCACGAGGCTCCTCCTCACAGGCTCCTCACAGCCGATCCAACACGGCGGCCAGCTGCTGCGGGTTGTGCAGCGGAACCTCAGCCGCCTCCTCCGAGGTGTAGTCCGTCTGGAGTACGACAAAGGGGGGGGGGAGCGGAGCAAGGAATGAGAACTCACGGCAGTTGGGTCAGGGGCTGGTGTGGGACGTGGTGCCGGTATCTCCACAACATGCGTGCAAAGGAACGATCGCTACTGAAGCGGCTTTGTTAACGGCGCTGCGTGTTGGGTGGAGGTCGAGGGGAGAGGTCGACCTTCCAGTTGTCCACCCACCTACTACCAACCACCCGCCAGCACCTACAAACCAGCTGAGCTGGCCCACCTCTCCACACACCTCTCCATACCAGATCCCCACCGCCCACCCACCTGCAGCAGCTTGGCGATCTGCCCGTGTGCCTCCGCGATGTTGGACTTGACCGGCTTGAGCAGGATGGCGTGTGTGGCGGGGTTGGGCAGGTACAGCCGCATCTTGGCCACTGCGGCGGGCAGCGGCCCCTCCAGCGCCGCATTCACCCGCCCCACCACCTCGGCCAGCTTGGCGGGGGAGGCGAACGCCTGGGGCGGGTGGGGGTAAAGGAAGGAAGGCAGGAGGTAAGTATGGGTGCAAGCAACCGTCATGAACTCATGGTGATTACCGATAAGGCGACGTGCAGTCTCGTATACTACAAGCGTGCAACGTGCGCAGCAAGCTGCGGCGGGTCGCCTCGTCTCGCCCACCTGCTCCCGGAGGGGCTTGGATGCCTGGCCGCCGCTCTGTCCCGCTGACGCCAGCCGCACAGCCGTCACCTGCGGGGAGTACGGCACACATTAAGTTAGTCCGCGATGTCCCTCATACATACGAATACGCTAGTGACTTATCACAGCTCACAGCTCGGCTGCCATAGGACACGCGCTACAGCAGCTTTGCCGCAGACTGCATGTCCAACAACGCTACTTTATGTTGCGGCTCGGGCTGAGCCTACCGGCATCCCACCTCCTGACCTGCTACCGCCCCAACGCCTTCCCCTCCTTCCAACCAACCTCCCTTCCCAGAGGCCAACCGCCCTCCCTTGCTCGTCCCACATGGCATACCTCCCTCCACCGCCTGCATGCCTGCTCTCCTCCCAACCCGCCCCCTCACCCCCCCTGTCGTACCTTTGTAATGAAGGACAGCAGCGGCTCCACCGCCACCTTGGTGAGGGCCATGATGAGCGCCTCGCACACGGACTGTGGAAGGGTAAGTGGGAGCAGGGGGGAGGAGAGAGGGGGCGCGGACAGGGTTGGGAGGGAGGGAGGGTTGGTGTGGACGGCCAGACTACACATATCGGTCCCAAGCTCCTTCCTCAACCTCCTTCCTCAGCCCCCTTCCTCAACCCTCCCCCCACCTTCAGCGCCTTTTCCAGCTCCTTCTTGGAGTCCAGGTGGTGGGTGAGCACCCGGGGTCCCGAGGCGCCCAGCATGCGCACCACCGCGTTGCTGGGGCCCAGCGCGAACAGACTCTCCTGGCCCAGCATGATGCGACTGCATGGGGGGGGCGGGAGCGGGGGGGGGTGAGGTGATGAGACACAGGGCGGGGCAAACAAGAAGGTTCGGTTCACCTGCGCTGCTCTTCTCTTCCCATCCCTCCGCCCTCTCCCTCCCCTTCCCTCACATCCACCTACCGCAGATGGTCCCGCATGTGCGAGAAGTCCAGGTCAATGTCCGTCACCGCGAACTCCACATCGAACGGCACGATCTGCTCGCGCAGGAACAGCAGGTTGCGGATCATGAACAGCTGCGCGTCCAACGCAGACGTAGCTGCTCCTGCCCCTCCTGCTGACGCCGACCCAGCAGCACCCCCAGCAGCTGCCGCCGCCGCCGCCCGCTTTGCCACCGCCCGGCTGGCCTGCTGCACGGCCACCGTGCACGCCGACACCGCATCCTGAGCCAGACCGCCAAAGATCTTGCCATCCACAGCCCGGTAGAGCTTGGACAGCACCAACAGCGTGGAACGAAGCGGTGGAAACAGCGCCGCGTAGGGATCCGCAGCCGCGGCTGCCCCGTCTTCTGCCACCGCTGCTGCTGTTGCAGACCCCTCCTCACTCCCATTGGCTGCAGCGGCATCCCCGCCCGCAGCCTGGTGCTGCTGCTGCGCCAGCTGCTTCTCCAGGCGTGCGGGGTAGTCTGTGTCCTCGGGCGTGAGCGTGTACCCGCTGATCTCGTCCCGGATGAAGGCCTGCACGCGGAAGATGAGGCGCCCCTGCACGTCCGCCAGGCAGCGGCCCAGCAGCGGCTTGAGCGCCTCGCCGCCCGGGCCGCGACGAGCCAGCTGCTCGCCCAGGACCTGAGGGGGGTAACGGCGGGGAGGGAGGGGGCACATGCCCGTCGTACAGCGTCGCATCCGAGATGCGTCGTCGTAGGAAAGTAGCTTAAGGCTGTGGGTTTTGCAGTCAGCGAGCTCTCCTGGTCACAATTGCGTGTGCCCGCATGTGCCCTAGACAGAGCCATAGCGTTCAATGTTCGGCGCCATGTGCGGCGCCATGCGCTGCTGCTTCCGCATCCCTGCAACGCATGGTTGGCTGACACGTGCGCTGCCCGGCACATCGCGCCATACAGTCGGTTCACACACCCCCTGCTCCTCCCCTGCTTCGCCCTGCTGCTCCCCTGCTTCGCCCTGCTGCTCCCCTGCTTCGCCCTGCTGCTCCCCTGCCTCGCCCTGCTGCTCTCCTGCTTCGCCCCTTCCGCCCCTCACCTCATGTTTGAGTATGTCCACCAGCTCACACAGCTCGTCAATGTCCTGCATCACCACCACCGCGGGTCGCAGCTGGTCGTACAACATGGTGGCTAGGGACTCCAGCAGCGGGGCCAGCGCGTCCGCGGAGGGGGGCAGCGGCAGCGGGGGGGTGCCGGCGGCGGCCTTGCTGCTTGCCGTGGTGGCAGCTGCTTTGTTCGCGTCGTTTGCACGTGCTGGCTGCTGCTGCTGGTTGCTGTTGCTTTGAGGGTGGGTTGGGTGCTGCTGTTGTTGCTGCTGCTGCTGGCCCGGGAAGAAGTGCTCGAACAGCTGCACCTCCAGCTGGCACACGCGGCCCAGGTGCTCGCAGCCGTTCCGCGTGAAGAGCGGCAGCGGCTGCTGGCTGCCGTACTGCGCGATGCGCTGCTGCACGTAGGGCCCTATGAGCGCCAGCCGCGCCTGCGCGTACAGGTTGTGGCACTCGGTGAGCAGGCGCAGGTACTCGGGCCGGTGGGCTCGGGACTCCACCTCGCGGAGGAGGGCTGCAGGGGGGCGGGGGGAGAGGGGGGAGAAGGGAGGAGGGAGAGCGTGGGAGGCAGGTGGTGCTGGGGGTTGCGGACTCTAGTCGCAGAAGAGGTGGCTGATGGCGATAGCGAAGGAGTTGGCGGGAGAACCGCAGGACGTACAATACGTACCAATCCGTGTGAACCAAGGCCTGTGAACCGCACATCCATCATCGCTCCTTCTCTTTCCGCACCCCACCCTCACCCCACCCACACTCCGGCTCTCCTCACCCTTGATGCTAGGCTCCGCCGCCGCCCTGAACCTCACATACAGCATGGGCACCTCCGCGCCCTCAGCCAGCTGGGGAACCGCACCCGCACCGCCGCGACCGCTGCTGCTACTGCTGGCAGTGTTGCCGCCATTGGTAGCAGCAGCGCCGCCTGCAACTGGGGAGGCGGGAGGCGCGCCCGCAGCTGCCGTTGTGGCCGAGGCAGCGGCTACTGCGCTGCTGCCTGCCGCTGGTGTGGCAGCAGCAGCTTGTTGGATGGCTGCCTGGACTTGTTGTACGGCAGAACGGAGGACTTGCTGTACTTTGCTGCGTACGGCGGTCAACGCACGACCCTGTGAGGCGTGAGGTGTTGCAGCTGCTGTCAACAGAGGTGGAGAGTAAGAATAAGAGTAGCCCTGTCCCGTGCCCACAATCCCAACACCCAAACCCCGGTAACCCGTCTCCTCCTCTTCCTCCCCATCCTCCTCCACAGCCCACCTGCAGCTGCCTAAACTTCGCGCTGTACTGCGCGGCATCCGCGTACTGCGGGTTTGCCGCCACGTAGGCCATGCAGTCGTCCAGCCGCCGCAACAGCGCCAGAAACTGCTCGCTGTCCAGAGACACCTGCGCCGCCGTGAACTGAGCGTACACGGTCTCAAACTCGTCGAAGAAGCGCAGCTTGGCGCGGATGGCCTCCGCCAGCTCGCATAGGGCTTCCTTCTGTCGTACGATTGTCTCACAGGAGGCGTGCAGGGAGCGCGAGCGCGCCACCACGTCGCGGTGCTGGGATAGTAGGGCGTCGAAGGCTTCTAGGGTGAGATCGACCTGGGGGGGAAGAGAGATGGAGGTTAAGAGGTTGGGGACGGAGAACAAGGGGAGGTGGGTTAGGGAAGGGACGACGACCCCGTACCTTTGAGAGGATGCTCTCGCAGGAGGTCACGTGGCTGCTGAGCAGATCCGCGTAGCGTTTGTACTTCTCCTCCGTCTCGGAGGCGCAGGCGGCCTCCAGCTCAGAATGCCATTTGTGGAATTGGCTGGTGTTGTGCAGCACTGCATCCTCCAGAGTGCCCACGTAGCTGTCTTTGCTGTGGTGCTCCGATGCCTCAGCGTGGGAGCGCTGATCGTCCACAACCTGGAGAGTTAGGGACGAGCTAGCGTGATGAACCCATGCATGGGGGACGGAGGGCAATTGAATGTCATGGTGACTTCTACAGGCAGCTGGATGGGCAACTACACCTCCCATAACGCAAGCAAGCGCAGGAATTATTAAGAATGTAGACGCTGGCCTGCTTCTGTGCCGTGATCGCTATGGAATGGTCTCCTTGCTTCACCAGCTGGGCCCGCGATCAACTTACATGCAACGGGAGCGGCCTTTGCGAACAGAACTGGCCCAGCGCCTCAACTGCTCGTAGCTGGCTCTCGCTTAGGGCTGCTGTCTTCTCCCATATGGATGCCTGTGGCAAGTTTTCAGATAGAGAATTGCCCTTGCCCTGCTCCTAACGTGTACACGGGTCCGAAGCTATTATCTTTCTAGCCTACGACGCACCACATTGTAGCTCTTCGAAGCAGCTCCAGCAAGCGGCTTGCCGGGACCCTTGAGTCCCCCGAGGGTCGACATGGTTGCCACAGCCTTCCCCGCAAACCGCGGACAAGGCAGTCCGTTCCTATGTCATGATCAGCGCAAGCATATATAACACGAGGTCCCTCACTTAAGCTTGCGTGGTCGCAGTTACCAAATATGCGCAAGAGCAAATCCTAAATTATCAATTGAGCGTTCTTGTAATGAATTTAATCAAGCGCTTAGCGGCGAGCACGAGTATAAGCATCGCTGTGATGAATGCCAAGTAGTACTGGAAGTAGTTAGTTGCGTACTGTACCAGACCGGTCACGATGCCGAACCCGCAAAGCCACACTAACCCATACGCCTAGCTAAACGCTTTCATACCTTTGGCTTGCAATTGCAAAGGTATGCGCTTAATCCACATCGTGACCGACTGTGCGCACACCACATATTCGTACTCTTTACTTGCTAGCCCTTTGCTTCCAGCACGTGCCAGGCGAAGCGTGTAATACATGACGCGCTGAGACCTAGCAGACCTTCTCGCTGGCATCGCCATGCTAGGACGCTGGAAACACGTCGCAGGTACCCTTACAACGCGGGCAGCGGACGGCAACACACCACCTTGCATCGCCTTGCAGGCTCGCCCTTCACAGCGACATGCCACTTTGGGAACCCTCACCTTCATGTTACCTCAAACCGCGCTCTTGCGGCGAATCATTTGCGTGCCTGTGACCAACCTTAAGCCTTCGCATGCCCAACTTCTCTCTCTCTCTGCCGACAGTTCCCTTGCCGTCTGCCTAACCCTCATCGCAGGCCGCCGCAGGAGCGCAGCCTGTGGTGGCAGCAGCACCCATTCAGCTTCTGCTCCTGGACGTGTTGTACGGCAGCAGCAACGTTTGCCGTACAACCCAGCACCTGCTGCAGCCAGTAGTCCTTCATCATGTTGCAGACCGCATGCTGCTGCCGCCAATGCCACTCCAACAGCGGCCGCACCGGCCACAACAAGGTTCCAAAGCCTTTCAGCTTTTGCCGGCAGCAGAAGCAGGAGCGGGCAAAGCAGTAGAAGGAGGTGCAGCAGCAGGCATGCGAGTAGCAGGGGCGGTAATCATGGTTGCCTCGCAGGAGCGGAGGGCGAGGATGAAACTGCAGTTACCGAGCCCGAGGGAGTGGAAGAGGAGTCAGGACAGCAAGATCAGGAGGTGGAGGAAGACGAGGAGGGGTTGGCTGAGGACGAGGAGGAAGAAGGGGCTGATGGCAAGGAGGAGGAAGAAGCAGGCGAGGGCGATGACGAGGACGAGGTAGAAGGGGCTGATGATGAGGAGGAGGAGGAAGCAGGCGAGGGTGACGACGAGGAGGGTGCTGCTCCCCGGCTGCCTGGAGTGGTGCGGGTGCAGTGTGTGCAGGACCTACCTCGCTTCGACATGCCGCTGCTGATGGGGTCATTCAGGTGGGTCGGGCGGGCGGGGCAGGGCGGGGGGGGGGCTTGGGGTCTGCTACGGTATGCTACGGTACCGGTATGCCACACGCCCCACACCTCCTTGTTTCCCGGCTCCCCACCCCACCCCAACCCCAGGTCATCCACCTGCAATGCGGTGGCTGTGTCGTACCGCGGAGTGCCGTACCTGCTGGCCCCCGCAGCCAGTGTGGTGTACGGCAGCCAGGTGGGGCTGGGGCCTGGGGGGCCTTGTACCGGTATCTGGGACGCGGAGGGGTCAGAGGACCGGTTGGCGGAGGTAGGGCCTGGTGGAGGTGGGGGTGAAGCTCGGTAGGGCAACCGCCGGCCTCTATCATACAACCCCCACACAAATTCCCTTCTGTACCATCCCTACTTCTCCCCTCCACACCCACACGCTCCCCCTGCGGCCCAGTTGCTTCACCACGGCCCCCCTCCTCCCTCTCCCTTCCCCTCCTCCCTCCTCAGATCCGTGTGTATCTGCCGGGTCGCGACAGGCCGCTGCCCGCCTCCCTGGCGCACCTGGGGCTGGAGTGCGAGCTGGCGGTGCTGCGGGTGGGGGGAGCAGCCGGGGCGGGGGCGGGGAAAAGAGGGAGAGAGAGAGGAGGAGGGCAAGCTGGGCCGGGGATGCGGCTGCGGCAGCGGGCGGCAGGGCGGCAGCAGCAGCATGAGGACCACCCGGAGGAGGAGGTGGAGGAGGAGGAGGGGGAGGAGGAGGAGGGCGAGGACTGCGAGGAGGATGAAGGGGAAGAAGGAGAGGCGGACGAGGCGCCGAAGGAGCAGGAGCAAGGGCTCACACAGCAACACGACTTCTGGGAGCATGTCGCGCCGTACGAACTAGCGCCATACGGTCTGCCGTACCTTCAGCAGTCCGTACGGGTCATGTCGTACGCTGAGGGGCAGCCGCAACCCCGTGCGGCTTCCGGTACCGTCATGCGCACGGAGGTGGTCACCTACCCCTCCGCTCTGCAGCGCCTGTTGGGGATGTCGGTGGCGGTGTCCCTAGGCAAGGAGCAGATCGGATCTGCCGTACTGGATTCCGCAAACCGCTGCCTAGGCCTTGTGTTTTCTCGTACGGCAGGATCCAAGAGCGGTAGCCGTACGGGCAGTGGTGCAGGGCGTGACGGTAGGAGTGGGGATGGAGGTGGTGGGGGTGGGGGCGACACAGGGGGTGGGGGCGGGGGGAGGAGGAGGAGGGGCGTGTCGGGTATGCGGCGGCGGCGGGGGCGGACGGAGGCGAGTGCGACGGTGGTGCCGGTGCCGGTGGTCCAGCACTTCCTGGAGGATATACGGAGCCATGGCAGGTGAGGAGGAGGGAAGGAACGAACTCGTGAGGGGAAGGGATACGGGATCAACTGAGCCGCACTTGTATCCTGACTGCTTCCTCTTTGCCCCACCCCGCCCGCAGCTACCAGGGATTCCCCACACTGGGCATCCAGTGGAAGAGGGCCGAGTCGCAGGCGCTGAGGCGCTATGTGGGCATGCGACCCGAGCAGACGGGTGGGTGGGCGGTGGGTGGGTGAGTGGGTGGGGCCGGTGGCGGGCCTAGGGTGTTGGGCTCCAACTGCAGAGCGGGTTGTGGTGCGACGGTCCCGGCAAAGGGGTCCTAGAAAGGACAGCACGGTACGGTACGACTACTGAGCGTCCCCGCCGGAGGGGCCCCTGCAGACATGCAGGCATGGCACCGTGTGTTCGTGACACCTCCTCTTCAACCCCCCTCGCCGCTTCCTCCCCCCCCCACTCTCCCAAGTCAGCCGGTTCTTCGTAAATCGTTGTTCTTTGTTCTTGTATGGGTTTGCATCAGTCATTGGGTTGTCGCTGTGTAAGTTGCGGGACCTACGGACCGTCGGCGCGGCGGACTCCCCTCGATGCACTATCTCCGCTACTCGGCGTCTTCCTATCGCGAATGGCCATGGCTGCAGTAAGTCTCATCGTTACGGTAAGACCATTTGTTGTTTTGGCTTGACTAATACGGGTGGGCTGGGATGGGCCAATTAGCAACCCATGGTGGAGCCTCGTCATTCAGTTTGTCAGTGTTTCTTTATTTTTACCCCCCACTCCCCCGCCCCCAACCCCATGCAGGCATCGTCATCACCTCCCTCAACCCCACCGCCCCGCTGGCCTCGCTGGCGCAGCCGCTGGACGTGCTGGCGGAGGTGGCGGGGGCGCGGGTGGACAACGAGGGGGGCGTGGAGCTGGGGGCGGCGGGGGAGGGGGGAGAGGGCGCCTGGGGCCCGGGCGGTGCTGAGGAGGAGGAGGAGGAGGGGTCCCCGGACAGGTGCGGGGCTGCAAGGAGAAGAGCAGCAGCAGGTGCAGCAGGTGCAGGTGCAGGTGCAGGTGCAGGCGGAAGCGCGGAGGGGGGAGCCGCAGGCGCGAGCGGGCGCATCAACCTCACGCACCTGATCAGCTCCTTCCAGGTGGGCTGGGGAAGCGAGGGCTGGGAGGCGTGTAGGGGGCTAGTGGGGAACCGGTGCTGGCTGGGCTGGGCTGGTTCCCCACAGCGAGGCGGCCTTTCCTAACCACCTCCCCTCCGCACCCCCTCCTCACCCCTCCCCAGGTCGGCGCCCCCCTGCAGCTCACCCTGCTACGCCAGGGCCAGCCGCGCCCCCTCACCCTGCGCCTCTCCCTGCCCGCCCGCCTGCTGCCGCCTCACCTGTCCGGCCGCCCGCCCGCCTACTGCCTGCTGGGCGGGCTGCTGCTCACGCGCCTGTCGGGGCCCTTCCTGGAGGCGGCGTTCGGGCGGGGCTGGCCGCTGCGCGCGCCGGCGCAGCTGCTGCGGGAGTGGCACCGGCACCCGGAGTGGGAGGATGAGGAGGTGAGGGGCTAGGGCTGGATTGGGGGAGGGAGGGCACGGGGCTAGGGCTGGATGGGGTGGTGAGTGTGAACTAGCGGAAGGCGTAGCGGCTCCGAATTGGGTTGCGCGAGCGCTCTGAGCCATTTGTGTGTTGCCTGCTTAGGCCTGCCATCCCATTTTATTGATTGCAGGTGGTGGTGGTGGCGGAGTGTCAGGACTTGGGGCCGGGTAGCGCCACCGATGGCTACGACCGGAGAGGTGAGGAAGCAGCGATGAGGCAGGCCGGGCCCCCTGCAGCCTGTCAAGCACCCGACGCACGCACCCGACGCACGTAGCCTTCTTGCCGGTTCTGGCCGCAAAACCTCCTTGCCCGCCTTTCCTTAACCCAAATGCGCTCCCTCCTCCCGCCCGCCCCTCGTCTCCTCCGCCGCCCGTCCCCCTCTGGACGGTATACCCTCTGGTTCTGGTATATCTTTTGACCCCCTCAGCCTACTTTCGTTGCTCACCTTCTCAACCATTTTTCCTACCCCCTCTGCCCGCCCTCCTCCTCCCCAGCCGTGATGCACCAGCAAGTGGTTCGCTGCAACGGTGCCCGCGTCAGGAACCTGCGCCACCTGCTCACCCTGCTGGCGGAGGCGACAGCCGAGGCGGAGGCAGCTGCGGCCGCAGCCGCCTCTGCGGGCACAGGCGGTGGAGGCAGCAGCAGGGGCGGCAGGGGTGGTGGGAGGGGTGGGAGGGGCAAAGGGCGCGGCGCACCAGCCTTGGCGGGAGCTCGAGGGAAGGGGCTGCACTCTGCTGCGTCCTCCGCCGCTGCTGCCGACGATGCCCTGGCAGTGGACGACGCATCAGCTGATTCGCCTGCTGCTGCTGCCGCCAGCGGCGCTAACAGCGACGCCGGTTGCAGCAGCATTAGCAGCAACCCAGCGGGCAACTGCGGTGAAGCTGCAGGATGGGAAGGTGGTTGCGGGGATGGCGGCTCCTCCTTCTCCTCCTGTTGCGGCCCCGCTCGTGACCCGCAGCACCTGCTCCTGGAGCTGTCCAACCGCATGCTGCTGGTGCTGCCGCTGCGTAGGGCCCAGCAGGACACTCGCGCCATGCTGGAGGAGTACGACGTACGACATGCGGTGTCTGAGGACTTGCGGCAGGAATACGAAGCGGCGTTGCGGCTGGCTCGGAGACGAGGGAGGAGAGCGTTGGTGGGTGCGAGTGCTGCGGATGCGGCGGCGATGGAAGCGCCGAGCGCCACGCAATGAGCACACGACAAGGGACTGGAACCGTGGCATGCCGCATGCCGCATGGCGAGATCGGGACTAGGCGTATGGCTCTGTGCAGAGGATACCGGTATGCAGCGTCCCACCTCGACTTGACAAGGATGCATTGAACCATTGTACACGTGTAGCGCTTGGCATAAACGCCAAGTAAGCGTCACGGGAGTGTTGTAGTACAAGTGCAGCCCGCTGCACAGCCCTCCCGGTCGTGGCACGGCGGTACACACAACAGCTTCGGTTGTGTGGGGCCGTCTGGGGTCAGCGACCCACGGGTCTGTTAGTAGCAGACCCATCTTCCAGGGGGATCTGCATAGCTGCAGAGACGTCTCCTGTAAACATGAAACTATGTCTAAACGCTCCATGTTACGAAGCGTGCATGCAAATGCACCCCCGCTGCCTAAACAACTATGCATGATGACATGCATCACAACCCACATCATACTCTTCCTTTCCGCGTCGTTCGGAGTCATCGCACCTCCCATTCTACCTAGCATTAAAGCTGCAACCGATCGACAACTACCATGCTCCCGCAGCTCGTTGTAACAAACATACTGTCAACCAACCCTCCCCACTTGGCAGCAAGCTTCTTTGATTGTGGCCGCTGACTCTCCCATCCCCCCGGCAGCAGCTGTACTGCACTCGTGTCCCGCCTTCAGTGCGCTTCTCTCTAGCGTTGCTACTTCTACGACACCATGCAAGGACGAGTGCTAGTACCTGTAGATGCCCTTCCTGTTGCTGCTCCTTTGCTGCTCTGGCCACAGCACGGCGAAAGCAGGCCAAGACCTGACGTGCAGCCACCTATTGGGAACTCTTGTACGGCAACAACCCCTGATGGTACCGTACAACTCTACCGCCGCTCATCTTGGACCACCTAGGCGGGAAGGCAAGAAACCCGGTAAACCAAGAGGGCCAAGGTAAGACCGGCCAGTTGCAGTAATGGTAGGTGTTGGTGTGATCTGGGTGTTAGTGTGCGTATGTGGTGCAGATCAACAAACGGCGCTCCGCACATCGAGACTTTCCGAGTCAACATGAGGTTGAATGCTGAGGCTTAAGACCAGCGTTCTTCGACAGCAGCCCTCCTCTCCAGCTTGCCCTGATACGCTCGGCTAGCGCCAGCGGGGTCAGCGGATAGCGGCTCACTACCCCTCCCGAGTTTCACCCACCCGTGCCTGTGAGGAGGTGCGCTCCACCCACGTCCGCAGGGGGTCCTGATCTAGGTTCAGACGAAAGACGCCGGCGAAGATGCCACCCAAGAACGCGACCGGCTCCTACGCAGAAGCGCGTGGGATAAGGCTGGGGAACACAACAGGACTACAGGAGACCCAGGAAGCCGGGTCCTTTTTGCTCAGGAGGAAGGGCCCGCAGTTTACGGACACACCTTGACGGCAGCTCGTAGAATTGGATCCGGTATTTGGTTTGTGATTGCGTCAATCGGTCCGCGCGGAGGCATGGGAGCGGCATGTTGAGGTGCTTGGGGCTTGCTCAATTTGCCACGACGATGTGCTCTAAGAGGTGTAGGTGCCCCAGATGCCTGAACGTAAACAGTATATTAAGCAAAAGCACAAGTTGCCTTGCCGTTAACTGTTAAGGCTCTGGCGACCTACCAGCGGTGAAACCGCCACTCTACGGCTTTGTATTGAGCGCATCATGTTGCATGCTTTTATAAGAAATGCCTAAGCTGCAAGCGGTATGGGGATATTACTATCTACCGTACAATTTTGGGGCTCGATGCTTACTTATTATGTGGTAATGCGCCAAAGGTTGGTTACTTTCTTTTGCCACATACAAAATGGCTGTCCTCAGCAGCAAGCAGGTTCAGGTGCGCAGCGTGGCCTCGCGCCCTGCGCCGATGGTGGTGGTCCCGTTGGCCGCCGCGCGTCATGTCTCCCGCTCTCCTGTACCTGCTGCCGCGGCCCCAGCTCCGGTGTCTGCTGCGCGCGTCAGCCGTGGCAGCCGACGCACTACCGTTTGCGTGGCCGCGACTGCTGCTCAGATGTTCAAGACTACCACCGAAGGCCTGCAGGTAACAAGGCTCTATGTTGTAACACGTCCTATTGTATATACACGATTACAATCTGGGTCTACTTTATAGTTCCTTGCTTTACCGTTTGGCTTCGCCTGTAACTCTACAAGTACACAGCAAGTCGCCCTAATACTGTTCTGTAGGTGCCCCATGGTCCTGAGGCTAAGCTGGTGAATCTTATGGCACCACCTGATCAGCATGCTGCTCTGGTTGCGGGCTGCACCAAGCGCATTGAGCTCAGCGACCGCAACGCCTGCGATGTGGAGCTGCTCTGCGTGGGGGCTTTCTCGCCGCTGGAGGGCTTCATGGAGAAGGAGGAATACGACTCTGTCGTCGCCAACATGCGTATGACTAACGGCCTGCTGTTTGGTCTGCCCATCATTTTGGACACGGACAGCGAGGACGTTGCCCCTGGCGACAACGTGGTGCTGTCCTACCAGGGCCAGGACCTGGCCGTCATGACCGTCACCTCCAAGTGGGTTCCCAACAAGCCGCTTGAGTGCCTGAAGTGCTACGGCACCTCTTCTCTGGAGCATCCCGCAGTGCAGATGGTCGCCATGGAGCGCGGCAAGTACTACCTGGGCGGCCCCATCAAGGGCCTGACCCTGCCCACGCGCGTCTTCCCTTGCGCCACTCCCGCTGAGGTCCGCTCCACGCTGCCCACCAACCAAGATGTCCTCGCATTCCAGTGCCGCAACCCCATCCACAAGGCGCACTACGAGCTGTTCATCCGCGCACTTGACGCGCCCAACGTTCGCAACGGCGCCGTGTGCCTAGTGCACCCAACCTGCGGCCCAACCCAGGACGACGACATCCCAGGCGTCGTGCGCTTCCGCACCTACGAGGTCCTCAAGGAGGAGACCGCCAACCCCCGGCTGCGTTGGGCCTACCTGCCGTACAGCATGCACATGGCTGGCCCGCGTGAGGCCATCCAGCACATGATCATCCGCAAGAACTACGGCTGCACGCACTTCATCATCGGCCGTGACATGGCCGGCTGCAAGTCCTCGTTGTCGGGCAAGGACTTTTACGGCGCGTACGATGCGCAGGAGCTGGCCAACCAGCACGCCACCGAGCTCAACATGCAGACCGTGCCCTCGCTCAACATTGCATACACGGAGGAGCGGGGCTACGTGACTGCTGACGTGGCCAAGGCGGAGAACCTGCATGTGCTGAACCTGTCGGGCACCAAGTTCCGGCAAATGCTGCGTGCGGGCGGGGACATCCCCGAGTGGTAGGTTGGCTGGGACTGGGATCAGGGTTGGGCTGATCTGCATGTGCATGCGTGCATAAAGGGTGGGGCCGATCTGGGTCAAGGATGGGTTGAAACGCACTGTCGTTTATCACGTCGTGCATGGATGCATGCAGGAAGGTCGCGGAACGGCCTAGTCACCGACCCAGATCGCTGCATGCCCGGATCACCTCCACGAGCTCTTCCCTCCTCCACAACCCTCCTCCCAACTCCCCACTCCCTCCCCGCCGCTCCTCACAACAGGTTCGCCTTCAAGTCGGTGGTGGCGGTGCTGCGCGAGCAGATCCTCAGCGAGTCCAACTAAGCGGCCGTCGTGCCGTTCTCTTTGTCCTCGTCCTTGAGGCCTTGCTCGGAGCCGGCGCCATGCATGGGGCTTGGGTGCTTGGAGACCTCGTACCATTGTGCATTGCGGCTGCGCGCCTGCGGAATGGGGCCGTAGCTACTGAGCAGGCTGGCTGCACGGCTTGGTGCTCGTTGTAGCACGCATGAGTCTGTGAGGTTACGGGCTGGCTGGGGTGTGTGGGCAGCTCGTGCTCTTTGCCCCGTGTGGTCAGCAAGGAGCCGAACGCGTGTAAATATGTGGATGTCGGCAGGTTTTCAGAAGGAATTGGTTGCTTTCCTCAAAGCAGAGGCAGGTGTGTTTGCTTTCTTGATAGCCTGGTCGTGGCAACCTTTGCTTGTCAGGCGTGTCGCTGAATTGGCCCATGCGGCGCCCGAAATGCATAGGGCAGTCGCAATTTTCCCAGCAGCGGCAGCCGGCGGACCCGTTGACTGTTCATCTTACCACGTCCTTGGCTTTTGGTGGCGTCAACTCCGTTTCGTGGCATTTTGTTTCTTATTTTGGACAGCAGTGGAAATGCTTGTGCCGCATAGCGCACGCCGCCTGACGACCCTCGCTAGCGCGTGTGAATGTGTCTCGACGTGAACAGCAGCAGCTAGCGTCCGTGTGCACGGCCAAAGGTCGTGTGTTTGGGAGGTTAGAATGTTGGACCAAATGCGTTTGTTTGGTTGCTTGGTTTGATCATGGCCAACCTCCAAATGGTGCAGGGTGCATGCGCGCGTGTGAACCCGCAGGTCTGTGCGGCCTGTGACGGCAGAAACGCTGTACCGTACATTGCATATGGGGCACATGGGGGTTACGGCACCTAGCGACATGTACATGGCGTGTTGGCGAGGTACGTGCTTCCAATGCCGCCTCGCTCTGCCGCGCAGTCGCTTCTCTATGGTCCTGTAAGGACGGAATCGATGGGTTGCAAGGCTGTAGCCTGTTAAAGGCATTACCAGGATTTGGTGAACAGTGTGGCTTGTGTTTGATGGACGTGAAGCGGATTCCGTCCGAGTCAAAAGAACAGAAAGCAGCTAACCGTTGGTGTACTACACGTGGAACACGCACATGGAACACGTCGCACCCCTCAGCCTCATCCAGAATGAATGGTGGATAAACCCTAAGATTAACAACCCGAAGACCCAGGTCCAGTTGGATTTACACAGACCCAGGCGCATACCCAGTGACAACAGACGGCGGACAGCAACTCCAGCACACGCTAAACAGCCTACCCCAGCCCGTTATTTCTTGCGAACCCAATACCTTGATGGCAAGTTCATTCTTTTGGGGAACCCCCGTAACGGCCATTCATTTAATCCGAAGGTAGTAAAGCCTCCCAGTCTTCAATGCATGCCTTCACAACCCCGCCTGCGTCACATGCACTACTACAATTCGCGCTGTACTATGGCTTCACCCTCCTCCAGTGGATTGGAGGCTATGAGTCCACCTTTGTAGCCTTTAACGTGGCGCCCCTTCCCCCCAAGCGTTTGTCTTGCCCTCATATGTGGTTTGGTGATCCCAAAACCATCCAAACGTTCTACTATCGTAGCTCCTCCCATGAGGCTTCGCATCCCGCGTCCACCTCGTCCTTTTCCATTCTGACCACCACAAGCGTTATCGCCGTGTTCGGTGTCAGGCACAGCGCACCCACGCGCAAGCACTGACGCATGGCATCCAGCATCTGCGTGCGCTCAGCCGCCGTCGCTGCGGAGAGGCCGCCGCCGCCGCCGTCCTCCCCACTGTCGTACAGCGGCAGCCGAGCCCCCAGCGCGGATACCTGTTGTCCATTCAGCGCCAACAGCCCGCTCATAAAATGATTGAAGATAATTCGTCGGTGTCGGCGCCATTCGGTTCGGACTGACACAACACCGCCGTCGTGTAGTCGTATCTGACTGCCGCCACTGCCGCCGCCGCGACTGGCATCGTCCGCAGGACTCCTTCCCTCGTCGTCGCCGCCGCCGTCGCCGCCGTCAGTGTCGGCTCCTAGGGGTAATGAGCGCGCCTTCTTATCAATTCTGTCATTGTCATCAGCGGCAGCGGTGGCGCCGCAGCCGCCTGAAGTCCGCCCTGCCGTCGTTGCCGTCGGTCGACAGACCAACTCAATGTACCACCGCAGTAGCACCGGCATAAAGTCACGCAATTGGTCCCGGAGAATCTTCTCCTCAATGGACGGTAGCACGAGCAGCGACGCCGCACCAGTCGATCCTCCGCCTCCTCCGCCTCCGCTACTAGCAGCACCGCCTCCGTCGCCGTCGTCACCGCCTGGGCCGACGTCGCCGCCGGCGTCACCAGAGCCAGAGACACGGTCGACGACCCGGCGGCGGTTACGCTCCGCCGCTTGCAGGTTTGCGATCGCCTGCATCGCCGCCACCAGCGCTCCTCGGCCCTCGCACCTGAGCGCAGCGCTGCCCCACTGCTCCAACGCGGCTGAGAGCTGCTGCTGCACTGCCGCCTGAACACCTGCCCCAGCCGCCTGGGAGAAAGAGGAAGAGGAAGAGGAGGTATTCAGTTGCTGCGGAGTGCTACTGCTGACGTCGCCGCCGCCGCCAGAACCACCAACGGCTCCGCCGCCACTAGCAGCCGCCGCTGTCGACCCCTTGACCAGGATGGCGTTCCTGCGAGGGAGGGATCCCGGCAGAAGGGAACGGAGGGGAGCGGGCACTGTCGCAGAGTCTAAGGCCGACTGCATCGTCACCACCTAGGCATCCAGCTGGATCACCCTTAACACCTAACACAGCATCAACCCAATCCAACATGCCCCGCCCCGCCTACGTCTAGCCTCTTCCCACTGCATCATTTCCCTTCCGGCGAGGTTTCCACCATACCCAGTCTTCTCTAGCCAAAAGTATTTGGATCCCTCCAGAATGTGGTCCAGTTGTCGATTGCCCGGCAGCACGGACAGCCGGAAGGCGGGCCGCCCCTGCAACCCACAAACACCCGCCGTCGTCACCGTCGCCGCTGCCGCTTCCGCTGCCGTTTGCGATGTCTCGGTGCAGGTTGCCTCGTCCACGCGAAGCACCAATGCGTTGCGGATGCGCCCATCGGTCAGGTCGCGACTATTGCTACTGCTACTACTGCTACTGCCGCCGCCGTCGCCGCCGTCTGCGCTGCCGTCCGCATCGCCGCCGTCGGCAGCAGCCGTGCCCAAGTGAGTCTCAAGGAGACGGCGGCAGTCCGGCGGAAACGCCGCTAGAAAGTCCTGGTGGCTCCCGAGCATCTGTACGGTGGCGGCGGTACTGCCCACCGCCAGTTGCAGCGCTGCGCCGCCGATAGCGGCCATGCAGCCGGGTCTCTGCGGTGGAGGTGACGAGAAGGGATAGGATGAGACGAATGCTGCTACTTTAATGCGGTGGAGGTAATGACATAAAGGGATAGGATAGACAAATGCCGCAGCAGCACTAGTCAAGCAGACCCGCCGGGCCGACCGGGGGGAGCGGGACCGGGAGAAAGAGGTGCACAGCAGCACAGGCACGACAGCGTGCATGGTGTCCTTTTCACGGGTGGCACGTGGGGAGGCAGGAGTGAGGGAAAAAGCATGGAGGGTTGAACCGTGAGTACGGTATTGGGTGGCGGTTGGATTTATGGGGTCCGCCAAAACCATGTTTGCAAGGCCCCATGGCAATTCCAGCGAGCGACATCAACAGCAAAGGACATTGCACAGTGCGCCTGGGCTCCGTCGCGGTCGCTCTTCACACCGCCCTTTAGCCCTAGCCGGCAACGGACCGTACATCCCAGGAAGGCTTCCCCACCAAGTGAGCCTTCAATCCGCCGCCGCTACCTCCATCCCAAAGCAGGAATGGCCACCCCTTGCCTCAATCTATCAGTACATGGAATGCCCGCTAAGCACCCTGCTCAAGCCATCACTCCCCTCCATACCCACCCCATCCAGACACGCTCCCAGCAGCAGCCGCAGGAGCTCGGTACGCTGGACCCATGGGTCGGGAACTTCCTCGTCCTCCTTGCGTTGCTGCGATCCCGTCCTCGCCGCTTCCGCTGCCGCCGCCGCCGCGGAGGGTGCCGCTGCTGCTGCTGCTGCTCCAGCTACCTCAGGCTCAGCCGCTGCGCCCCCATCCGTGAAGAATGTCGACGCCGACGTTGGCGCCACACCTCTTTCGGAGTCACCAGCCTGCTGACATGGCCCCTGTGCACCCGTCGGTAACTTCACAAGCTTATGCTCCGGCCGCAGTACGACAGCCACATCCTTGACAAGACGTGCCTGTACGGCACCTGGAGCCGGTACGACGTCCACGGCAGTTGACTTGGCGGCGGCGACATCGCCGTGGTCGTCTCCTCCAGCGACAGCAGCGGCAGTAGCCTCGGCGGTGACGGAGGCGACGGCGCCTGCACCACCCCAGGGGATTGCCGCCGTCAACCTCCGTGCTATCGCCGCTTGAGCAATCGCCTCCATCAGATCCAGATCCTTGTAGATTTCTTCGTAAACGAATGTTTCAACGCCGCCGCTTCCGCCGCCCATGCCCGACGGCATTTTGCCGCTGCCAGCACCCCGCTTCTGCAGCCGCCGCAACGCCTGCTGCTGCTGCTGCTGCTGCTGCTGCTCCTCAAGCTGCCGCTGCCGTAGCAGCTGCTGTAAGAGCAGCTCGCGTTGCGCCGCCGTCTCCAGGTAACTGCGAACCGCCGCCTTCGCCGCTGCCACGTGGCGCTTCTGAAACATCGATGCGGCCTCCTCCGCTGTAACCGATTCAGCCGCCACCCCCGCCCCCGACGCCGTACCGGCAGCAGCAGCAGCAGCCTCCTTCAACAGCTGGAAATGCAACTTCACGACACAGTCCAGCATTCGCCGTACGAGGTCGTCCTCCGTACGCCGTACTGCAACAGTAACGTCCGCGAGAGATGGCAGCCGTCCTACCTGCTGCTGAGTCTCGGTTGCGGCAGTTGAAGTTGACGGTTGGTTGGGTGTTGAGGAGGAAGACCGCTGCCCGTTGCTGCGCTTACCGCTTCCGCCGCCACCACCGGCAGCAGCAGCTGCTGTCTTAGCAGCAGTGGCAGCCGCTGCGGCCATGTCTCGTTGCTTTAGTCTCTCCATCAATGTAACAACAAGCGATTTCTCCACCCGCGGTCTGACAACCTTTTCTGTCACCTGCCGTACACATCGCAGGAGCCCTTGTGCCGCCAACAGGCTCAGACAGCAGCCAGGGAAGGCTGAAGGTAAGGGTTGTACGGCAGAGGTGGTAGCTGCTGCTGTGCTACGAGTAGTTGCGGCGGTGCTGCCGGAGGCCTCCGTACGGTATAGCAGGAGCACGGACTCCTGAAGGTTGGGAGACGGGTTGGATAGCAGGTTTCTTGCATATACTGGCTGGGCTACTGAACTAGCCGACAAGCACGCAACGAACGGCCTATCTGAGGTCCATACGCCTACACGCACAAGGCGTACATAAACAAGTTCCACTCATACCGGTACACGTCCGTCCTCAAGCCGCACACATGCGCCGCGCCAGGAAGCCCGCACCTGCATGTACGACAGCACCTCCGCAAGCCTCAGCAAGTCCATGTACGGCAACCCGCACGGCAAGCCGTGGTACTGCAGTACGGCATCTGCCAGGAAAGCGCCCATCATCCTGTGCCAGCAGGCAGTCTGCTGCTGCTGCGAACCACTGCCCTGACCGCCGCCGCCGCCGCCGCCGCCGCCGCCGCCGCTGCTGCCATTGCTTCCCGCACTGCTGCCCACGTTGCTGCCGCGGCTGTCACCCGCTAGGATGCTGGTGAGGTCGGCTAGCGAGCCGCCGCCGCCGCTGTTGCTGTCGCCGCTCATGCCGTTGTCTTCCAGCCAGCGGGCCGAGGACATGTGGCAGTGAAGGGCCAGCAGGGCGCGAGCCAGGGGCACTGCCGGCGCCGGAGACTGCGTTGCGACAGGGCGTGAGGCAATGGTGTGATGGTGATGCGCGCACACCAGATCCGTTAGCGTGAAGTGTTGCTAACTTCCCCCAAGGGTAACAAGATAACAGTAAGCAATGGTATCGACAGTACAGCTAATAGCAACGGTACAGCCAGGTACGGCTACGTTAACAATTAAAGACACCCATGCCCTGCTCATGCCCTTCGTTTGTCCGGGGTTGCAAAGCACCACATGCAACATGCATGCTTAACTCGACATGCCTGACTCCTTCCCTCTACCGCCCTCCAAACCCCCCCCCCACCACCGCCACTGCTTACCTGCGTGCCGCACCCAAACAAGCTCAAGTCCGCTCGCCGCCCCCTCCGACCGCACCCCTTGCCTCCACCCCTGCCCTCTCCGCCTCCATGAGTGCCCGCCGTCGCCTCCCTCTCCCCCTTCTCCTCCTCCTCCGCCGCCGCCGCAGCCAATCGCTCCGCCAGCACATCCGCCCGCGGTAGCGCGGCACAGCGCGCCATGAAATCCCGAAACTTCCTTCGAGCGGCCCCAATCATGTCCACCACGCCACGAGACGCGGCGGCGTCACCGCCGGCACCTCTGGGGGCTGACAGCAAGGGCGCCAGCGCCGGCGGGCCGGCTGACGTTCCAGCAGCCGAAGCAGCTCCGAGGCCGGGCGGCGGCTGGGAAAGGACGCCTGAGGCGTGGCCGCCGACCCGGCGGGTCACGTCGTCCAGGGCTCTGCGCGCGTGAGCCATGTCGGCGGCCAGCTCGGCCAGATGGGCCCAATGAGCGTCCTCCCGGGTTGACTCGGACGTGCTGGGGTGGGCGAGGGGGGAGGTGCCCGTGGGAGGGCGCTGGCCGGATAGGTTGAAGCTGCCGGAGGTGGCGGGATTGCTGCTGCTGCTGCTGGCCGCGTTGGCGGACTTGTCACTGTCCTTGTCAGCACTATGGCTGGTACCATTGACCGCATCCGCGAAGCTGCGTTCGTGGCCTCCTGATGCGCTGCCGCTGCGTCTGAAGGTGGTCATGCTGCTGCTACTGCTGCTGTTAACAGCGCCGCTGCTGTTCCTGCGTACCAGCCGGGGCGGCAGGGGTGCGAAGGGCAGGGGCTTCCCCGCCACCACCCCCTTACATTGTCCCGCGGGCTCCAGCAATGGCGGATGCGACTGCCGAGGCAGTAATGACGGGTGTTGCTGCAGCTGCTGCGGTGGTGCTGAAGGTGGGTGGGGCAACAATGACTCGGACGTCCAGGATGCCGCTTCCCCCGTGTCCACAGCATAGTTACAATTGCCGCTGCTGGTACTAGGGCCGCCGTACGGTGTGTTGGGAGGCCCCCCAGATCCCGCTTTGTGCGCTTCCGGCTCTTGGGCATGCTGTGCCGTACCGTCGTCATCGTGGATGCTGTTTGAATAGGATGCGGCCACTTTACGCGAATGCAGGTCCGGACGGAGTTTCGTTGCAACCCAAGCCCGATTGTATGCCGCGACCGCTCTTTGCCAAGCTTGCTCGCGCATCGGGCGTCCCAGGGCCATCCGGTAGTTCCCGATATGTGCCGTCAGGGTAGCTTGGCGGCGCAGGCGTATACGGGTGCACCGGAAGCAATTGCAGGATGGATCATCGGCGGCCTCCGCAGCAGCTGTGCCGGGTACGGTTGCACCATTGGATGAAGGATCCATCGCAGCTGCTGTCCCAAACAACAGACCGGGTCTGGAGGATCTAGTTATATACTCTTTGTAAGTATCGTTTATACATGGCCTCTAAGTTCAGTTGTTTAACTTGAGAGAGTGCCTCAGGTGCAGGCAATGGCATTTTGGTCTCGCCCAAACGGCATGAAGCCGGCTCAGGATCTTCAAGATTATAAATTCCAATTCATTGAACACTCCAAAAGGTTTTGGGCAACGCTTGCCAGCTGGGCCTGAACCTCTTCCAGTTGAGCTTACCAATGCCGTACAAGTTCAGCATAGCGGCCCGCATACGGCATATTCGCATCGTATGGCAACGTATGGCAACTGCACGGAAGGATAAGAGGAGGGACCGCGTCTAGGTTAACATGAGGATTGCTTCTAGCTGCATCTTACAATAGTTTGCGACCACGTGGGTGATGGCCGTGGAAAACAACACACAACCTTGCCTCTGAAACCATTTCAAGCACAATGCAGGGCACATGGCGGGCAGTAGGACACACCCACGTATAGTTGCACACGGCGACACATGCCCATCGTTCCGTGCAAGGAGCCCATGCAACCAAAGATCCAAGCAGCCAGGCAGTATCCATGCTGACCATGAACCGAACCCGCCCAGCCACCTCTCAATCTTGCTACTCGCATGCAAAAGACCCCAGCATTGCATGCAAAATGCTTTATCCAGTATATGCGCAATGCGTCGGAAATCTCGCCAGGCTCCACAGCTGCACGAACGCTATCACAAGCCCCGCTACAATCAATTAGGGCACTTGAACACGCGACACGGTTTGGCATGTGTGTCATGCTTGGCATGGGCCTCTTCGTCCCGCCATCCGCACCCCAACACCCGCAGTGTCTAGTATAGTTGCCGTGGGCTGCCGTAAATATGAGGGCCCTGATTGCCATGCACAATTCCTGGCCGGATGACGTCAACAGCAGACACCGCTGAGTGTGCGGTATCCAGCGTATCCTGCCATCGGGCGGGCCAGTCTCCGAGCCCACAAAAACACATACCGTACGAACACCCCCAACCTCTTCGAGTAGACAACGTAAGACATAACAAGCAAAGTCACAATACATGTTGGACAGGTGAAATACAGGCCTCGCCTGATTATTATGTCATACGAGTGTACCGAGCACTTTTTCTTGCAGCGCGCCGGTTAATAGCCATTTTTCCTGTATAGCACGATTAGAGGCCGTTAATCCAGCCAACCACCTGATCCCAGACGTTGAAGTACACCATGTGCCCCTCATCCGGGAATATTGTAGCCTTGACTCCAGGACCCATGCTTGCCTCCAGGTGTGTCGCCATGTTTACCGTACAGCCCTTGTCCTTGCCGCCCTGCCAGATCGTCACAGGAGTACGGCAGGTCTTGAGGTCAAAGCCCCAAGGCCGACCAGCAAAGTTGACGTTCTCTCGGTGTACGGCACCCTCCTGGGCCCTGCTGTAGATCTCCATGGCGCTCTCAAGGAAGAGCTCCTCCACCTGCATTTGCAGTTGGGTCAGATGCGCAGATGTTGGTATGACCCATGGGTCTTGAAGCAGACATGCAAGGCTAGACAAGCCAAAAGCCAATGACCCGTGGCACAAGCCAGCTACCCACCTCTGGCCTTTTCAACGCCTCCACATCAGCCGGGCAGTCGTACAGCGACAGCGCCTGCCGTATCGCGTGTACGGGACGGCGGCGGAATGCGGTGGCCTCGTGCCGTACCACCCAGCTCACCATCCAGGGGGCGTAGGTGCAGGCCCAATAGGCGAACTGAACCAGGAGGGTGGAGGTGGGATTGGGGTTGGCAAAGGCTAGGGAAGCACGCGGGCAACGCAGAGGAAGAGGTGTTTGAAAAATACAGGTGAGGCGTCGGTGGATAAAAGGTGCGAGGTACTGCATGCATGTAATGGCGTGACCCGATGCGGTACATCAGAACCATGGGTCACAGTGATGTGTCCAGAGCCCGGTAGCTATTTCGATGAACAACGCAAACCAGGAGTTGTGCTTAACGCGGACGCGGCCCGGGAGGCAAGGCCCACCTGAAACATGAGCGCCATGCCGCGGCGCTTGTTGGGCGTGTCGGGGGGCCCTATGGCGGAGATGAGCGCCACACCCGCCACCTCCACCTCCACCGAACCCTTCCCACCAGCAGCAGCATCACCGTCGGCGCCGGCCTTAGCAGCGTCGGGTGCCTTAGCAGCCGAGGATGCAGCTGCTTGAGTCTGCTGCTGCGGCTGCACGCATGCGATGGCAGTGGCGAAGGGCGTGCCGGCGCTGAAGCCCATCACCGCTACACGACGCAGCCCCAGCTGCTGGCAAAACTCCCTGGTGGGATGTGAGCGGGTGCAGCGGGCCCAGCATGTGCACGGTTGGGGAATTATTAGGCTGCTGTAGGCATAACGGCGGGAGCATGTAGGCGTGTATGTGCGGATAGTATGAGGCCGTGGTTGGTTTAGCTCTATGCCTCGCATGTGCAACCGGGAGAAGGATCTTCAGGCGGCATTGTTGATGGCAAAAGGGACCCTCTGAGGACGCACCTGAAGTCGGCCACGAAATCGGCGTAAGCGTATTGCTCTGGGGCGGGATCGCTCAGCCCAATACCCGGTCGCTCCAGCACGATAAGTCGCCATGTTTTGACGCATCCATGCTTCCTCACGTCCGGGTGGGTGAAGAGGCGCGAGCCGGGAATGCCTGGCAGCAATACCACATTCCGCAGCTGCTCAGACGGTACCGATGTGTCTACATACTCACAGTAGCCAAACTGGCGACCGGAGGAGGGAAGAAGAACAGTCTGGCCAGCATGGGAGTTCGGAAACGTGAACGCTGCTAAGCGAGGGTGAGCCTCCAATAACTCCTTTGCGCCCGTGTCTGTAAGGGACATGCCCGCCATTGTCTGGGCGTGATACAGCAAAGAAAGTCAACAAAAGGTAGTGCTTTTCCTCAACGACACTATGCAGTAAGCAGCGTTGGAAAGACGGTAAGGCAACTAACGTTCAGTACTTTGGTTTGCCATCTTGCTTGCAGCAGCGACAGCCTTTACGCATGGAGGCCGTTGGTACGAGCTTACGCAATGACGCATTACATACTTCGCCTTACGCCCTACTTATGCATTGACTCTTAGGGTGAGTCAGTGCCCGCTGGTATGGAGATACGAGGGGCATGCCGTGTAAGAAACATAGCACGCGGATACCGCCGGACTCTGTGTAAGCCGTTGCATTGCGTATTGCGCACCTTTTACATATCGATCACATAGCTCATGCACGATGTCAACGATTGTAACTGAAAGCAAAAGAAGTGCAGCAATGGCTAGAAGGAAACACTGGCAATCAAAGATGCTGCGGAAAAGGACTTAGGTGCGCTTAGTTTACTCAATAGATGGCCGTCAGCGAGATGCCGGGTAAAAGACGAGTGGACAACAATTCCATGGCGTCTGTTTCCTAACCGTTGTACGGAGTTGGTCAAGTCGCACCGCAGGTGCATATGCTGTGCGCTACAAATTTTACAGAAAGCGTCAAGGTTTACGGGGAAGGTTTTTATTACCGCCTATGGCAGGGCGGAACCATCCTCCTCTCGAAAAGCTGCGCGGTGCAGTAATAGAAGAAAGGTGAGCACCGCGCCGGACTAGTTAGTATAATACAGCTCGTTTACCTACGAACTCGTTGCTTTGCAGTATGGCGCTTGACGAGGGAGCTCAGGTACGGGTTGCCAAGCAATTCGCGATAGGCCGAACCGTTCATGTGTAGTCTTTCAAAGTGGCAGCTTACGTTAAGCCTGCGAAAAAATTATCTTGTCGGCTCGCAGTGCGGTCAACCAACTCAGGAAGAAATCTTGGAATGGCAAGCCAAAGTAGGAGCTCTCAAGCGGGAGAATGCGCTCCTTCTTACTCAAATGGCACGAGCTGTCAAGTGCCTTAATGCCGTCACGGCAGAGAACCAACTGTTAATGACGGAAGTTGCTTCACTGCAACCCGCGGCAGGGCCACCACCAAGCCAGGTATCACAACCGCCTACCTGCATAGGGTCGCACTTGTGTATATTCTTGACGACTTTCTTTGTGCCCTGCCTCCAGGATTTCCGGCGGTAATGCGCGCCCAGAAGCCGCCCAGCCTTGGCAGCAGCTTGCCCAGGGTTTCAGCTGGCCACTCCTCAGCTCATGCGTACATACCATAGCCTGCGCGATTTTCCCTAAATCTAACCGTTTCGCTTGACAGTAGTGTGTACAGTAATAATTTGCTGCATTTCATTGCGTTGACTTGGGAATGGGGATACGCCTTCCCAACCATGCATACCCCACCCTGCATATGCTCATGTTGGAGTCTGCTTTGAGGGAAACTAGGTAGCTTGTTGCGCGGCGCTTCCGGAAGTGTGCCTTGTATTATTGTATGGAGGGGGCTAGGGTATGTGGACGGTAGATTGCTGAATGCGATGAGTGTTTAGGGCATAGTCGGATTGATACCATCACTTTTCTGGGGTCATTCATTCCACTCCATGTGTGTAGGTCATCGACTCCTTAGCACCGCCTTGCAAGGCACAACCTGTCGGGTATTTCCTCTTTGGGGGTCTTGCTGGCCTTCAGCTAGACGGCTTGTGCTTGGCGTGGTTAAGAGTTGCTGCGTGCCCCATACTTACCGGCCTGTACGGCAATAGTCAGTGTTGGTGTACGGGCTCAATGGTGTTGAAGGTGCATTAGGTTCATGCTTGTCAGCATACGATGTCACTGGTTTGCGCAAGGAAGGAATTGGAGGATAGTGTTGAGGTCCCGGCTACACACCTGTCTGCGTCCAACTTCGCAGCCGCTGTGTTACCATGCCTTCCGTAACTGCACCGCTGTGCGCATGTGGCCCTGTTTATGTGCCCGTAGTCCTGCTGTCCGCCTGCAAACAAATTGGCTGTAACACAATATGCATCCTTGGATGGCGAACGCGACATCCTGCACTCTACACCCCGGCAGGTGGATAGAACTCCAGTGCAGTACAAGGCGCCCTTGCATGGCATCGTCGGCATGTCTCCAAAACCACCTTTAAACACCACATGAAAACTGTGGTAGCCGCATGTCTCAATAAACCCGCCATCCCTGCAATTCTCATCACGTTTCAAACGAGGAGGGTACGGCAAACAACAAACCTCACAGAGCATGTGGCAAACGGCTAAGAAGGGTCGCTCAACTCCGCTCCCTTGACTCCCGTCACCACCCCCTCGCTCTCTCTCATCACTAGCGCCTGCTCAGCCGACCTCCAGGAACCCCAGTGACCCCAACGGACGAGATCCCTATGGCCAAGACCCACTGACCCACTGCGAAAGGCTACATCCCGCGTTGCGCCTGCCTCCTGCAATACCCGTAACCCAGGGACGCACAAGCACAACCGCGCTGCTCAGTTGTACGTGACCCACTGCACGCGTGGATTGGGGATGACCTCCTGCCACCCCTGAGGCCCTTTCCTTCAGAGCTGGGTCAAGCAGTCAACTCCATCGATTTGCCAGCACACGCAGCTTCCCGCTCTACCGCCCAGATAGCTGCATCATCACCGCATTGCACTGCTCTGCACTCATCATGGGTGGGCTCCTAGTGGACCCTGCCATTGGGCTCACAGCTAGCCTTCCCTCTCCCGTCCGCCCCTCCTGCCGCCCCTCCCCTCCGCCTGCTGCCCCTCACTGCCTGCCCGCCAGCTGCGCCTCCAGCTCCGCCACCCGCCGCTTCAGCGCCGCCACCTCCGCCTGCAGAGCCGCCTCCCGGCCGCTGCTACCGGCCTCCTCTTGGGGGGCGGGGGGCACGTAGGGCTGCGGAGTGGCAGGGGGGAAGGTATCGGCAGGGGAATGACTGGGGCGGAGGCGTGCTGAGGGGGAGCGGTTTGTTGCCGCGGAATAGGGAAGCAAAAAGAAGTGCGGTGCGCTCTCCATAGCCCATACCCTCCCTCCCACAGCTCCTCGGCACCTTCCCAGTCGCCCACCTCTCTTTCCCGCCCCGTTCCCCACCTCATCCCGTGCCTCTTCCCCCCCCCACACACACACGGCTAGCTGTTTCCTCTTCACACCCCCCACCCACCCGCCACCACTCACCTGCAGCAGGTTCTGCGAGAAGGCCCTCAGCGCCTCCGGCCCGCGCACCTCCTCCTCCAGCAGCGGCAGCCGCAGGATGTGGAAGTCCTCGTACAGCTCGTAGAACTGGTCCAGGTACTTTTGCTGCATGCGCACACGCGCCTCCAGCAGACGGCTGGAGCCGACTGGGAGGGGCAGGGGGCGGCGGGGGAACGAAGGGGGTGGGTGGGAGGGAGGGAGGGAAGAAAAGAGGAGAAAACTGACGCGCTGCGTCACGACCCTCACGAGGCTTCACCATAGGTTGCCCCCATGTGCGGCGCAACCCCCCACCCCGCGTCGCGCACCTGACTCGGGGAATATGACCTGGTTGATGACAATGTTGCGGCAATCGATCTCAAACTTGGCCAGCTCCTGAGAGGGAGAGCAGCAGCAGCAGCAGGGCAGCAGTGACGGAGTGAGACAGGCAGAGGTCATTAACTGACGAAGAGGGCGAAGGTTTAGGAAACGAGCCAACCATAAAATCACGCACTGCCAATCATGCCCCACCAGCTCCATGCACCCCTGACCAGTCGCCTCTTTCACGATGTTCACAGCAGCAGGGCCTTCCTTCCCTTACTCCCGCCCCCCCCCCCCCCCGCGCACACGTACCTGCACCAGCCGCTCCGTCTCGTAGAGCGAGAGGAACTCGGGGATGCACACCGCCACGAAGGTGGTCAGCAGCGGGTCCCGGAACTGGGCGGACACCTGGGGGGCGGGGAGCAGGAGGAGGAGGGGAGGGCAGGAGAGGAGGGGAGCAGCGGGGTGGGGGCGGGCGAGATATGGTAGAGGGGCGCACCCACATGCCACTCCCAACCATCCGCATGCTCACATCCAGCCACCACACGTTCGTGCTGCTGCCCGCTGTACTGCTCATCTACCCCGCTCAGCCCCTCAGCAACGCCCCCCCTTCCCCCCTAGTCATACAGCCCGTCAGTTTTCCCCCTGCCCCTCACCTCCCCCACCCGCCCCCCTCACCTTGCGCACCACATCCAGCATGCCCTCCACCTTGCCCAGCAGCTGGTCAGGCAGGTTGTCGGCCTCGGGACCCGACACGCCCAGCATGCGGCTCATCTGGGGGGGGAGGGGAGAGAGGGTGAGCGGGGATGAGGGTTGGGGCGATAGAGGTAGGCGGGATAAAGAGGGAGAAACTGACAGTAGGTGGGAGGGAGGGTGACACATTGGGATAGTTGGAGGACGTCCCGGGGGACAAGGACGGGGAGGAGACGGTGGGGTCGACGCACTCCGCATCCCCTGCCCAGGGCCTCTTCACCCTGCTAGTGGCCATGTGGGCGCAAGGGGTCTGCTCTTCCCTCCTCATCCTGGTAGAGCAGCCAGTGTTTTCCCCTCCCTCTCCTCCCTGCACTTCGCATCTATTTTTCCCCCCTTCCCCTCCCTCCCTCTCTCTCCTCCCTCCCACCCCGCCTCACCGGCCCCATCATGCCCCCCACCGCCCCCTTGAGCGCAACCAGCTTGCTGAGCCCCTTCTCCAGGATGGTGGGGAAGTTGAGCAGCCGCAGCGTGTGGCCGGTGGGCGCGGTGTCGAACACGATGGTGGAGTAGTCCATGGTTTGGACCTGGGGGGGGGGTCAGGGAGGGAGTGGGTGGAGGGAGAGGAAGGGGGAGGAAGAGGAAGTGGAGGGAATGACAGTGCGAGGTATGGGGAGAGTGGGCGAGACAGGTTGGATAGGGCGCGGGATGAGGAGGGGCCGGGCGGGATACAGCACTTCCTTACTGCTCCATGACCTTTTGCCCGCACCCCACCTCACCCACCCTTACCCCTCATCCCAGCCCCCCACCCCCACCCCCACCTGCTTCATGACCTCTGCGAAGCTCATGGCCTCATCGATGCCGGGTATGGATCCCGCCAGGTCGGTGAGGAAGGAGTCCTGCGCCCACTCCAGCTGCTCCATGTCGCCCAGGTCCAGGGTGGGGTCCACCTCCTGGGGAGCGGGAAGGGAGGATGTGGAAGGTGCGGGGGGAGGGAGCGAGGAGGGCTGAGAGCGGTGGGAATGAGGAGGATTTGGGTGCCAAGAGTTGTGGCCAAGGTCCAGGCCTTCGGGGAGGTGGATTTGAGTCGAGGAAGGAAAGCATACAGACCTGGAGCGCCCGGCGACATGAGACAGGTTTTTACTCATACCCAAAGCATTGGAAAGCAACCCCGGCGTTAAGGCGGGTAGAGTAGGTGGTCAGCAAGCGCCGATGGCATCGCTTCCTCACCATGGCAAACAGGTTGGTGAAGCCGTTCACGAGCGTCGGTGTTTTGGTGAACTTTTGTCGGAAAGCATCGCTAAGGTTGTGTGCTGGATCCGTGGAGATGATAAGCACGTTGTTTCGACCACCCCGCTCAGCAAGCGCGACAGCCAGGCTGGATGATGTGGTCGTCTTGCCGACGCCTCCTTTCCCCCCCACAAAGATCCATTTCAATTCTGGCTGATCGATGATATTCTGCAGCGTTGGTTCGGGAACATCGCCGTCCGCCATCCTGCCGCCTGCGCGGCCGCGCCCGCGCTGTTTTCTAGGTAAAAATTACGGGCCGACCTAATTTGCAACGAGTGAAGTTAAGGCGGAGACAAGTTTCATCGGTAAGAGTCTAGCAGGATGGTATACAACCTCTAGTGATCAGCAGTATGTTCCTTGTCAGAAAGCGGGTAACACTTAAGCGTATGACAAATCGCCCATGTACAAACACAGTGCTAACGACTAGCGCCTTTTAAGCTGGCCGTACTTCCCCGTCCGCTGCCCTGCCACAGTCTTACCTAAGCCACTTCCTGCATCACTCGCACGCCCAGTCGCGTCAGTTAAACATAAGCCACGACATAAAGCCACATCTACTTCCTGCACCCTTCATCCTCTCAGCCCTCCAAAGCTCAGATCAGACGCAGCAAGTCCGCTTCCCCTATGCCGTACAACGCGATATCGCCGTTCAGCACAGCCGCCCAAATCACCGGCGCCGGCCTCCCTCCCTCCCCTGACGCCACCGCAGCCGCGGCCGCATCCGCCGCCCGCATTTCCCCAAGGCTTGGCGGGCCCTCGGAGCACATCGCCACGTGCGTTTGTACGGCCGGGAACTGGTTCTTGTAACGACTCACAAAGCTCTTGGGCTTGTACACGTCAAACACAAAGTGCGCGCAGGCACCTGGGGTGCCTAGGGACACGTCACCGCATGTTGTTGTGTCAATACCCTCCATGCTGCTGCCACCGTTGCGATCGCCAACACCCCTGTCAGCAATATCGGCACCACTGCTAACAAAACACTCCAGGGAAGGCTGCCCTTGCTGCGCTGTGGCTGACGAGTGCCTGTCAGACGATGACCCCTGCTGCGTTTCTGGCGTTTGCTGCTGCCCCTGCTGCTGCCCGCTATCTGCTGATGGCACGGGTCTGGTTGCCGCAGCAACACAGTCCCCCGCAGGAGTATGCGAGTCCTCCGCAGCAGCAATAGCGGCGGCGCCAGCGGCAGCAGCAGCAGCACCCACCACGCAGCCCTGCGCTGCCCCTGCCTCATGGCCCGAAGCCGGCTGCTGCGCCTGTTGCTGCTGCCGCTGCGGGTCCAGGGCTGGTAGCACTGGCTGCGGTGGTTGCCGTACGATCAGCGAGGCTATGGTAGGGAAGGGTCGGAGGTTGGGGAAGGAGGCCAGCAGGGAGGTGGCGAGCCGCTCCTCCACGCGGGCACTGAGGAGGGCGAGGCGGGCATGCGGAGGTGATGCGCAAGGGTAAAAACTAATGAGACACTGATGCGCAGGGGTGGCATGGGGTTAAGGAGGAGCAGCAAACCGCGAGGGTGAGGGAGGGCAGTCAGATGCGTTCGTAGGGATTTCCAACGCTGTGAACAAGGTTGCTACATAGGTAGCATGGCAGCCATCGGACCTGATGACCTACCCTCCCTTCCCCTCCCTCCTTGCTTCACTTTCCAATATGTTTCTCCCCAGTTTCTTACCACACCACCACCCACCACCACTACCACCACCCCAACTCACGGCGGCAGCTCCTGGAAGAACGCCTCCGGCACCCCAGCCAGGTAGGGGTGCTTCGGACCCACGGGTCGCCACCAGCCACGACAGCAGCAGGCGGCGGAGGAGGGGGAAGCGGCGGCGGTAGCGGTAGCGGCCACTGCGGGTGGTGCGGTGGTGCCACTGTCGCTGGCCCCGCCCTCCGGCCCCGCCACGACGCCGGTCTGCTGCTGCGGCGGCGGCTGCGCTGAGGCAGCAGGCGCGCCGTCAACTTCCATGGGAGCAGCCGCCGCTGCCGCCGCCCCAGCCGCCGCCCCAGCCGCTGCAGCTGGCTCGGCCGGAAACTCCTCCAGTTCCGCATCCCATTGCGGCTGCTGCTGCTGCCCTCCTCCTACTCCTCCCACAATGAACACCCCCGCCGCCGCTAGCTGCTGCTGCATAACCATTGGCTGCTGCTGCTGCTGCTGCTGGCCCCCTCCTGCTGCTGCTGCTGCTGCCGTACCCCCACCTCCACCACCCGGCACGGTGGGCTTGCGGCCGTAGCAGCCCGCCCACGCCCCCGCGCCCCACACCTCCTGCGGCGCCTCCCTCCTGGCCAGCAGCCAGCGCGAGGGGTGCCGCATCACCAGGTAGCCGCTGCGGCAGAGGCTGCCGTACAGCAGGTAGCGCTCCAGGGGCACACCGGTGGAGAGCTGGGGGGGTGGAGGGGTAATGTGTGGGTGTATGTGGGGGCGAGGAAAGGCCATACAGGCAACAAAGTACAGGCAACACATGGATGATGTGGGGGTGTGCAGGAGTGAACAACACTTGCGGTACCAGCACGGTGAGGAAGCCGACCCGACCAGCCACAACCAGGGCCACAAACCCGCCACCAGCCATTCCGCAGGTCCCCTACCCCACTCACGGGGCAACACCTGTTGCCAACGCGCCCTGCCCTGCCGTACCATGAGGTCAAAGGCTTCTTGTATGGAGAGCAGCCGCATCCGTGTTTTGCATGGTAGCCGCCTGCCGTCTCCACTACCGCCGCCGTGTGGTCCCGAACCACCCTCCTCAGCAGCTCCAGCGCATGCTGCTCCTGTCCCTGCGGCTGCTGCTGCTGCCGAGGCGGCGTCAGGCCCGCCTTCCAGCTCCTCTACAAACAGCAGAAGGTCCCCCTGGTCCAGCAGGAACCTGCGGAGATGTCAAGTACCAGCTGCTTGGCCGTAACCGGTAATGTAATGTAGATGGCATGTGGATGGCAGGTGTGCTTTTTCAGTTTCTTTGGTTGGTGCTAGTGCCGCTATGCTGCGTGCATACTACTCAGTACTACACAGCAGTGGTTGTGCCGTACGCTTGCTGCCTATGTGTTTCGCTGCACCACTACTTACACGGCCTCCTCGATGTGCAGGTACACCTTGCGGTTGCGGATGAAGCCTGATTGGGCGGGGGGGAGGTAGCGGCACACACGCCCACACCAGGTCATCAATGCACAACATATCAGGTCATACCATATATCTTTGCATGACACACCAGGTCGGGTCATAACACGCCAGGTTAGGTCATCACGTAACCTAAGGGGAGTGCAAGGAGCGGAAAGGGTACCGGCAGCAGGCGGGTAGCAGCCAGGGGGTTCTAAAGGAAGGCCTTAGCGTGCTGCAGCAGCCGCATGGATACCCAGCTGACGCTGACGTTGGCTGCTGCCCCCACCCGCCGCCTCGCACATCCCGCCCGCACCTATGTCCCTGGCAATCATCTTGCGCTGCCGCAGCAGCTCGCACGCGTGCAGGGCGGGGCGCCACACGGCCGCGGACAGCTCACGACTGGCGGGGAGGAGGGGAAAAAAGAAATTCCAAAGTGTGGTATGATAATGATACAAGTTGCTGACAATCGGAGAAAGGGCGGCGCGGGGGCGGTAAGGGAGAGCAGCAATGGGGAGCGGCAAGGGGGGGTTAACATTAGGGAAACTGACGAACTGATGGGGGGGGGGGGCGGGGGCAGGGCTGATAGGTCGCATCGCCACATGCCACATGCAAGTCGTCCGCCAGGTTGCGTAATGCATAGCAGAGAAACGGACAGTTCCTAAAGGCGGATATCGACGCATGCATACCCAATCTTTTCTGAGTGCAGCAGTTGCTCTAGCTCCGCGAGCTTTTCGTTGAGCTCCGCCTCATCATTAACGTCTTCATTTATTACATCAAAGAGCTCTTTTTTTGGGCCCCCTCGACGGAAAATAGAAGCCGAGAGAGGCATGTTTCTGCGCGCTGTCCCCAACAACGGCGGCCGAGAATGCAATGGTGCCAACTCTACAAGGTAAGGAGGCAATAGACGAGTTTCAGAAGAAATGTTGAACGTTATAATGCCAATAATTGAGGCTTCTATGCTATAAAGGGCCAGAGTAAGTTTTTATCATCTCAAGAGCTTCACAGGAGCAGCTGCGCAGGCGCTAGGTATTCCTATACCTGAAAGCACACTTCTCCTGGAACCAATTATAGGGGTTAACTCCAATCTTCTCTGTGGCATCAGCAACGTCAAGTGTGTTGCGGCAACTGTCAACGATACCGGACGAGTGTTTAACTCAACAGCAATTGCTTGCACAATGTTTGGACGACACTTATTTTTAGCCCGCTTGGGATTGATGGGGCCTGTGTAAGGCTGCCTTAGGTTATAAAGTTGCATAACGGTCGCCATGCTGATCAGGTACAGCTTCCGCGTTATGTCCCGTGTATTGAGTCAATCAAAACATCAAGCTATAATTGTGATATGCCATATGCGTTAAGCGTCTCTAATGAAATTGTTCAATGAGTCGCGGGCCATCGCCACCGTATAGCGTTAATCATCGGCAGAACGCCACAGGCCTTGCAAACCTTTCTCTTCGCACAATGTCCTACGCTACAAAGAGCGGGTTGGGTAATGTACTGCCTTTCATTGCCGATGCGCGATAGTGAAGATGCGCAAGCATCGCAGGCTAGGGCAAGCGAGGAGGCAGGCCGGCTACGTAACAGTTTTTGCTTTGCAATGACATACCCATTAAGCAATACATGCAGCTTGGCGTATGTTTCATGGGTACTCAAATCAAGGAGGGACAACAAGTTACAGAATTTGTCCTGTTTAGGTCAATGTCTTATAACGCTGGTACATTCTCGTACGAAAGGATGGAGAACAGAAAGGTACCATAAGCTGTATGGTGCTTCATGGCTGACCGGCTTGTAGGAGGATGGTACATGGTACGCCACCAGGTTACCGGTACGGCCTAGGCCAAGTCCGACAGAAGAATATAAACAGCTCTACGAACACCATTTCCACCAAACAGTCTGTGATCACTACGTGCTTAAACGTGCCTGAAACCCACCTGGCCAATACACTTGGTCGTTTGTTTACCGGTAGTACAGCAATGGCTCTTCGCGTCGCTCCTATCACGCCTCTCCGCTCCGCCAGCGCCCGGAACTTCAGCGGCCGGCGCACCAGCGTAACTGTGTCTGCGTCTGCATCACGGGCCCCTGCTGGTGTGGCCATGCTTTCGGCCGCGGCCCTTCTGATTGCCGCTCCGAATGTGAAGGCAGCTGATCTCGCGCTAGGAGAGCAGATCTTCAATGGCAACTGCGGTAGGTATATCTAAAAACGTCGTACGCCATGGAGGTGGGCGATATTGTTGTGTAGCAGTGCAATGGGATGTCCAGCCAATGCCATTCAGGACTGCGCTATGGGAAGAGCAGCAGCTTTAGCATAAGCAAGCATGCTCATGCATATTGTGCCGGTTCCTGTGTTGCTAAACATTATCCCGGGCCCTTCCCCTTGCAGCTGCTTGCCATATGGGTGGACGCAACAATGTCATTCCGGACCATACGCTCGACAAGGCGGCTATGGAGCAGTTCCTGGACGGGGGCTTTAACCTTGATGCCATTATCTACCAGGTCAGAACCGTTGGTGTCGCAAATGTTGATTCTGGCCTGCGGGGGCAAGAAATTGACTTGCCGATTGCCAGCAAGCCTACATCGGCACAAAATGTGCAGAAGGCAGCTGTAGCAGCCCATATTCCGCGGGGAGGCATGCTGGCACATCGCTGTGATATCGCACGGGCGCGACATGGATTGCACTTTGCGATAAATGCGGCCCCACCCATGTCGATGGCAATGTGCGGTTTGCAGTCGAGCATGGGTCCGATGGTCCCCTCACTTCGCGCTTGATAGCTTTGTGTTGCGCTGTCTGGTCGCGTAGACAACGTTGGAGACTGGGGGCCTAAAGTTTTGTACGCTTGCTGCTACGCCAAACTGCTGCCATACCATCTGTTGCTGCTGCTGCTCTGCGCAAGGGCCCCAAGTTTTCGCAAGGATGCTTGTTGGCTTTTTAGCGTTCCGCTCAGTTGTGACTTCAATGGCTGGCTTCGTGTTTCCTCACTTGATTCATACGTACATAAATATGCTGTATCTGTACTGCTGCCCTGCATGTTTTAGGTTGAGAACGGCAAGGGTGCCATGCCGGCGTGGGCGGACCGTCTGTCTGAGGAGGAGATCCAGTCGGTGGCCTCGTACGTGTACAAGCAGGCCTCGGAGAACGCTTGGTGATGGCGCTTTGGACGCTGTTCTACCGTGATGTTATTAAATGGGGGGTTAGCCATTCGACATAATTCTTTATTAGAAAGAGAGCATCTGGGGGAGAAGTAGAGAAGTATGCGGAGCAGTGTGTATGCATGACATCTGTCCGGCTCATTATGCCACCATCATCAACATGTGTTTGCATGCATCGTCTGGAAGCGGTCTCTGTATAACATTAGCTCATGTGCCAGCTTGCATCGCTTATACATTTCTTCACATGCATATGCATGTGGTGGTTGTGGTAGTAGCGAGAGAGGATGGTCGTAAACAGAGTTGTTTGTGGCATGAGAGGTTGAGAGCCCTAGTGACGGATTATTTTTCAAGTATGGGGAATGCTCCTTTATGATATTATTATTGCTGTGCCAATAATCCAAACACCTACGTTGCCTGCATACGACACCTGCAAACAAATCTTCTGTGTAGGCTTAAGGTGGTTTTGGCCGGAGGCAGGCAGTGGATTTGAATGTACTTACAGCCACCCATGTAAAGCAGTACTTTCGATAGCTTTCGTCCACCTTCTCTTGCGCATATCGCTTCAACTACTTGCCAATAAGTTGAACAACCAATCATGGAACCATTCATGGATTCGGAATCCGACCATTGCCACTGATATAGATGCATTTCCGGTAGCTAATCTTGAAAAGCGGTTTGCTTCACTCTGTGTACTATGCTTGCGCAGCGTGACATAAAACATAGCACTTGTTGCGATAAGTTGTGGAACTCGGAGTCTCGGACTCCAGGCTTTGCAAAGGAAGGGCTGTTTGGATTAGGGGAATGATCAACTGTACAATTCGCAAAATTTTATAAATTGTAACGCTGATCATAGCCATGTATGTATGTATGTGTTACAAGCTTCGTACCGAGCTCGTAAGATCCGTCCGAGCCAGAAGGCTCATGGATCGCGAGCACAAAACGCGAAAACAACCAAAAGAAGAAAAAGCAAACAAAAGAGACACCAAACAGTACGCTAATCATATGATAAACCCTGTCTGCGCAATCCTGCGACTTCGCATGCTAGTGATTACACTAGCAAGTAATGCCTGATTCTCCATGCCCATGACAGCAATCATATCAGCATCCCGTGAGACACCACTTTCCCATATCTTGTCACGCAAATCATCGTAAGCGGGACATTCAATGAGGATGTGCTTCTCATCTTCCACTCTCCCCGGCGACCCCTGCGCGGCACACATAGGACAGACACGCGCTACTCGTTGCCTACCCCTAGGGCGATTGGCTTCAATGCCCCACACACACAGCCGAAAACGCATCAGGTTCACATGCTGCCGCTGAGTAATGTACCCCCTGTCAACCGGGTCACCCATCCAATTTTTGTACCTGCACATCTTAACTCCAACCCCAGGTACGGGGTCTACTGGGTTGAAAAGCCGCGGGTCATCTTCCAAACTCCTATCCTCCCAATCCGCATCCATTCTATCAGCAAACTTTTTAGTGAGAGTAGACACATTTAGCTCCGTGCCAGCAATACGTTCCACACGCGCATTCAAGTCCAACTCACCCCCCAAGGCCGTCAAATCCGTCCCTAACATTTTCAGAATCTTCAACACCTTAGAACCCCAGCCATCATAATGCTCAGTACTGAGGGCCGAACGAATTTCACCCCGCAACGCCTGGTGGTAGACCGTGTCCTTCTGCTTGACCAGGTCATTCCAAAACCTCAGAAACAGTTCCAACCAAAAGACATGCAGGGGGCGCTGGTTAAACTCCTTAAACAGCAACTTATCCGGCGAGACTTTAACACCCGCAATCTCCCGAAGAAATCCCCTTTGTAACTGCACCATTGGGTCCCGCAAGGATCTGTCAAAGTACCTCGCGGCATTCTCGCAGTCCGTCATTAACTTCAGCACCACATCAGGCCCCCACACCTGGACACCGTACGACAAGATGGAGCGGACTTGCACGTCGAAGCACTTAACTGCAACAGCAGGGACCAAGAGACCTAGGCGTTTTAATTTACGCTGAAGAGAAAACATAGCACGTCGGCCAGAGGTCAACAGTTCCTCTGTGCAGGAAACAAAAGGTGTGCCAGGACCAAAGTGCAAACCAAGGTAACGGGCTCGTTGTACCCAGGGAATAACCATAGGTACTCGCGCATTTCCCTCAATAGAAGTCCACACCACGGGGCAAAGGGAAGCAAAAGCCTCGCGGATATTGGCACGAGGGTGGAAAACCATCAATTCACATTTACGAACATTCACCCGCATCCCAAAGGCCTCACACCACTCTCTCAAATCAGCAAGCAACACAATCAGCCGCCTGTGCGTCGTAGCGAAAAGGCTGAGGTCGTCGGCATACAGTTCCAACGGGATACGCCGGCCATCCGCATGAGGAGTCTGCTGCTTGGCGCGCATAGCATCAGGGAGCCACTTATCCTTAGCGTCAACATAGTCAGCAAACCCCTCGCCAAAAATCCCGTAAAGCGTAGGGCTGAGAGGGCAACCTTGCTTGACTCCCTGCGAAGATTCAAAAGGATCCCCCGTCACTCCGTCTACCCTGACACGCATCATGACCTTGTTGTAACAAGTCTTGAGAGCCTCCAACATAGCGCCATGTACACCCCGTTCCTCCAACCTTAACCACAAAAGATCACGTGGCACCTTGTCAAACGCTTTCTCAAAGTCAATCTGACAACCGAACAGGGGGTCAACTGCGTCTCGCCCCCCCTTATGTTTGTCCGTCAGGTGACGTAACAGAAACAGATTGTGGCAGGTACCCCGCTTGCGTCGGAAACCTCCCTGATACGGCGACCTAGCTCCCACCAGCTCGCCCAACGAGACAGCCTGTGCTCCAACAAAAACGCATACAGCTTAGACAAAACACCACCCACTGCTAATCCCCTATAGTTACCCTTCTCCATCACATCGCCTTTCTTGTGAATGGGCGTAAGCGCAGAGATCTCAAACTGCTCAGGGTAATCCCCCGTGCTACGGATATGCTCTAGTAGCTTGAGCAGGTAAGGAGCTAAAACGTACATCCTCCTACCCTCAACCTCTCTCGTCGCACACTTGAAACATTCAGCCGGCACTCTGCCTAAACCACCAGACTTGTTATTACGCAGGGACTTCAGCGCAGCAATGACTTCAGCCAAAGTAAACGGAACGTTAAGTGCGGCAGCAGCAGTGACTCGTGCTACCCGATCGCCTGTCGCCCTGGCCCATCCTCTCCCCCTCCCATGTGGCACACCGTTGATGGTACTAAGGATGGTGTCCGCGGAAACTTCGTTAAACGCATTGACTTCCCCATTAAACAGCGCGTTGAAATAGGCTCCCCAACTATTGACATCCGTGATAGGGCACCCCTGACTAAGCCTACTATTCAGCCGACCCCAAAGCGCCCGTGGATCCCCCCGACATTCTTCGATAACTCCTTCAAAATGCATGACCCGGAACTTGTCCTTAGCCTCTCTGCGAAGACGTTGATACTTCGTGCGCAACCGACTGAACTCAGCTTTGGCATCCTGATCCCCCAGCAGACCGTTAGCACGCATGAGCGCCTTTTGAGCAAACATAGCCTCCCGGGCCTCCGCACACTCAGGTGTCCACCAAGGCGCATCCTTGTCCGTCCTGCCTGCACTAGAACTGGACCCCTGCCTCCTATCCAGGCGAAACGCGGCGTCAATAGCCTTCTTAAGAGCCCGACAGACCACAGTAACAACCTCCGTGCTGTTGAGACCATGCCCCAGTTGGTTGACAGCCTCGTCGATCTTCTGTACATTGTTCTGATCATAGCCAGGCGCGCCACACTCGTACGGCATGGTTCCGGGCTTCTTCAGTTCTGTCTCCCCCACGAACTTCTGTTTGTTATTGCACCTCTTGACCGGAATGGTTCGTGAGGTTGTGCGGTAGGGCGGGAGGGCCCTACACCGTACCATGTAATCGTAAACGCTTATTCGGAGCCCTATCGGAACCTGCTCTCCTACATTTCCTTACGATTCCTGCCATGAGCCGCTGAGCTCTGACTCCAGCCGTCACAAGGGAAGGGTCCCGGATTATAGTTAAGAGGAATGGCATGGCTTGGGCATGGAACGATGGAAGTGCCTAAGCAGCAACGGCCTTTGACGAAGTTCCAAGGCATGCGTTTGCGGAGTCCTGTGAATTGAGCACATTACCCGTGAATCGAGCGCATTATCCATGCAATGGAGTACAAGCGACCCGTGAAAGCCCCTCGAGACCCGTGAGCAGGATCCTTGCAAGGTTGGCCGTCGTGTGCCCCCACTTAAAGCTGCAGCGTAATTCCTTAGGATTAATTACTAGTAGTACGTTCCGGTGCATCCCGTTAGGAGCAATCCATAGCCAGTGAGAAGCACCCGCGTCCCTTACCACATCACCTGCGACACAAGCAAGCAAAGCGCTTGGGACCTTACGTATAGCCACTCACCTACTGCCACTCAGCGTCAGGCCTTATTAACGGTGCAACCTTACCAAGAGAGCCATTTTAAGCCCCACCATGTCCTACTACGACTCCTTCCCATCCACTTGGAAGGACACCCCCAAGAACCGCCAAGGCTGGCAGCGCCTGCAGAGCAACACCAGCTTCCTGGAGAAGCAGCAAAATCTGTACCGCACCCTGTCCTGCCACTACTGCGGCAAGGGCCCGTTGACGATTGTACACTGGTCGGACCTATCCAGCCAGAACTCGCTGTACAAGGCAACTGTGGACCACGTGGTGCCCCGAGCGCACGGCGGCCGCGATAATGATGATAACCTGGTGGTTTCCTGCGGCCCCTGCAACTACCGCAAGGGTGCCAACATGCCGTACTGATGACGCGACCTGCCCGCATGACGTACATCGGACCGTACGCACCATACACGACGTTGTGAGCAGAGGCATGCCGTACATAACGCGTAAAGTGCATGGGCTTCGTGAGTGCTTGCTGGCATGGGGTTGAAGCATGGGGTCTGGTGGACGTGAAGGTGTGGCGTTATGGAAAACGATGAGGAGCGTAGCCTAAAGCGCTTATGACTTACCAGGATTAATGAATATAATGTGTAGGATGTCGGCACTCTCCTTCTTTGCCCGTAGGCACAGTTGTTGCTGTGTGGATTGCAATATTACGAGTATGTTGTCGTACAGACCTACAGGAGTCACCACAATGCGGCTCTACCAGTAATTGTGCGCCCGTATTGATTGCCGCCTGCAGCATAAATGGCCGTGATTAGGCATGCATCGTGGCCACAGTATCGGCTCTTGCCATTGCTCTGTTGCCCTTTGTCACGGGCAACTTACCATGTGCTGCAGCTTCAAGCTGTAAGAGGGCATGAAATGCAAGACTGCTATAGCGTTTCTTTGGTGTTCCCTGCTCCTGCCAACCGTTGGTCGAAAGCCCCTTTCTTGCAGACGTGCGCCGTTCGCAGTAGTTGGGAATCCAAGGGATTCCGAATGTCTTCGTACCAAGCCTCAAACTTGCACACGTTGTACGGACTTCAGTGTCTAGTCAATTCGTAGCCAAAAGGCTGACGGACATGCACAGATGGTATCCGTGTTGGGCAGCGAGTGCAGCAGCAGGCATGGGTTGCAGCAGCACGACAGTGTACGGCGTTGGATTGCATTGAATCGGGCAGCGGTCGTGGAAGTCCAACCGCCGCGCATGACGACTCACCAACGTACCTATGACACGTCATGACCGCAGCTATCACTAGAATTGGTATCACAACCAAGAGGTATAAGATGGTAAAGCCTGAAGCCCCGCGTTTCACAAGTCACCGCAGCAGTAGCTTCCACTTTGCTTGCTGTCGCGCCCACTTAACGGCGCCGCAACCATTTAACAACTTTTTTCGAGTTAACTGCAAACGCTATGGTAGTTCAGACATAATGCGTCGAAAGATCATGCCTGTTGCCACAACAAAATCGTTGTCGTCATGTAGTTCCTCGCCCTCAGCAGCGCCAGAGTCGAACAGCAAGGTTATGAATGAAACGGCCATTCTGCTTTACGTGCCAAACTTAATCTGCTATGGTCGGCTCGTACTCCTGGCAGCTGCATCGGTCATCGCTGCATCACAACCTGCTTGCGCGTTGCTACTCTTCATTGTTAACTTCGTCCTTGACGGCGCAGACGGTGCGGCAGCAAGGCGGCTAGGGCAGGTAAGAACGTGAGATGTGAGGCGCGTCTCTGGTTTCGGCGTATCTGGTAGCCCGTACAGGCTCCGGAACCACAACAGCAATCTTGAAGGAACCTTACCCTTGCAAGTAACCCTATGCGCGCGCCTCCCGCCCTTCCCAGACCTCCTCCTTCGGCGCCTTCCTAGACGTGGCAGTGGACCTCGCCTCCCGCGGGCTGCTTTGGAGCTGGGCGGCACCGGGGGGTGGGGGGCTGGCGGTGGTGCTGCTGGAGGCACTCACCTTTGCATGCAGCCATGCGGTGAGGCCGGGGGGCTTAGATAAACTGAGTCCGGGGGCCTGGGAGGGAGGGGGGCTTAGAGGGAGGGAGGGCGGGGGCCGCGCAGGCGGGTACGTGGGCCTAACCCAAGAGCTTCAGCCGACCAGCCTTTCCTCGTCCTTCCTACGGTATATTCATCGCAAGGGTCCCAAGCTTCCGCTGCCAACCCCGCTATGCCTGGCTTATGCTCCTCACCCCGCATGCACCCCCCTCCCCCCCAGGCCTCGGGCGCTGCTTGGAAGGCGGAGTCCCGCTTCTCCGCTGCGCCGCCCTGGGTGCGAGCCGTCATGTCCCGGGGCTTCCGCAGCCCCGCGGGGGCGCTGGCGGTGGCGGGGCTGATGGGCTGTCCGCTGTGGCTGTGGGCGCGGAGGTGAGGGTCAGGACAGGGCAGGCATGCATACTGGGGGGATACCGGGTAACCGGAAGGCGGAGCGCTATGAGGGGAGGTGACGCGTTGTGATGAGATGAGGGGACTGGGAAGCTCAGATAAGGATGGCGGGAAGCTCCTGGCCTGGGTAAGACATTGTGCCTGCTGCCATCTGCCACCACCTGGTCTTCCCTGACATACCATATGGTGTCCTAACACGGCCCTGACTCCGTCTCCTTGTCTTCATCGTCATCCTCCTTCTTGAAAGGGCACTGCCGTACAGCCCCTGGAGCCGCTGGGACCTACTGCTAGGTATCGTACTGGTTTCGGGGCGGCTTCTGGCGGCGGCGGTAGAGCTCTGGGTGGTAACTAACCACCTGGCTGCGTTGCTGGCGGAGGATGTGCGGAACAAGGTGGATGGAACTGCTGCTGCTGCCGTTGGAGACAAGGATACTGCAACGGCAGCGGCGACCGAAGAAGAATGTACAACAGCAAAAGCAGCAGTCGCATCAAAGTCTGCGGCAGCGGCGGTGACGGAGCTTCCGCAAGCATTCCCAGCATAGGGGTTTGCAGCTGATTTCTGCAATTGCTGCCGTGTATGGGGAAAGGAGGTGGCAGCGGTGCAGCGATTGCCGCTACGACCGTTAATGGTCATGAATACGGCCCTGCGGGGCATCCGTTGAGACACGCCTGGGGGAGCCATTGCGTCTGCGGCCTGACCCAGAAGCGACCCATGGGTCATCATACCAACCCTCCGTGTCTATCTGCAGCTACCGTACATCATTGTGCAGTTGTGAAGCTGCCGCCAATACCACTACCGGTAGTTGCGGATTGACAACCAGGTTGTTAAGTCTTTGGAGCACGAATACGAACAAATGGTTTCGTAGCCCAGGCGGCAGTTGCTGGTTGAGTTGTGGTGGAGTGGTTAGGATACCGGTTTCTGACACTGTCACGCGAGTGCGATACGGCACCCCAGATCCCAATGGGAAAAGGCTGTCCTCCCAAAGAATGCCATGCAGCCACCGTCCTCCCTCCCATCTGCAACTGCATGGCTCCTCAAGATGCTGCAATAACCCGCCTGTCCGCCTGTCGTCAGCATCGCTCCCCATCCATGCATGAGTTCCAAGCCCTCCCGCCGCTGTGGCCCGCTTCCCAGAGTGCCACTCCGTGAGCCCTCCAACCACCCATCCAGCCCTCCACTCCAGCAACTATCCAGCTTTTCCTACCTAGCTTGCCCAACTTCTTCTTCTCCTGCAGAAGCGCCATCCATCATGCCACTGTTCGGCAATGCTGGCCTAGAGACGCCCACCCCGACCATGTGGCACCTTCATCTATCCATCATCTATCATGGCGCGAAGCACTGCCTACCTGTGTTCGTCATCCCCTTGTCTGCCTTGACGGTGACCGCGCACTACTACCTTCTGCCGCTATCTGCCGTTTTTGGACGAGCATAGGCACTGCTAAGCGCTTCTTCGCTTGCGAGTACCCATGGCAGGTCCATGGACATGCAACACCCTCTGCATCTAGCGTCACCCTCCAGCTCCCTCCTCCTCTGCAGTGCGGAGGCTACCAGCGACCTCCGCCAATGCTACCCGCACCCAATCGCTCAAGTGGCATCGCCGTCGCTACCGTCTGCCTGCCCCGTCCTCCTACCCGGACCTTCCCCCTACCCTCCCTATCCCCCGCTTCTCCCACCCTCTTTCCTACAGTAGCCATCCGCAACTAATCGCACCCATGTGCCCTCCTCAAGCCCTATGTACACCGAGAGCACAGTTCCTAGCCCGCGTCCCTCCTCACCTACACGGCATGCACCCAGCCACCCAACCCCCCACCAACCACCCGCTACCGCCCTCTCACCCGTACGGCCCACCTCCAGGACCGCCGTAGCCCCTCCCTCTTTTGTTGGGATCCCCCGGATGCCCCTCCCCATGCCTCTTCCTCCCTCCGCCTCCTCCTCCTCCTCCCATCCCCGGCGGCCCTCCGAACCCCCCTGGGTGCTGCTGCGGGTGCGGCGGATACCCTCCCATGCCCCCTCCCAGCTCCCCAGGATGGAAGTGCGGTGCGCCATGCGGCCCCCCCATCCCCATCCCCATCCCCATCCCCATGCCCTCCTCCCCGCCGTGCCCCCAGCCGGGCCCCGGCCCCGCCCCCTGCGGCCCGCCCGCCTCCCGTCTGCGTGCTGGCGGCTGCAGGTAGGTGCACTCGGGGGCCATGGGCACGGTGACGAGCTCGGGGGAGGGGACCTTCTGGAAGACAAAGGCCACGAAGAGGGAGCTTGCCTGCGGGGGTGGTGCGGAGGGCCAGGGAGGGAGAGCGGGCGGAGTGGGAGAGGCGGGGGTGCAGGTTAGGCAGGCCAGGGAGTCGGCGGGGATGAGAGGCCTCTCGCGATGCAGGGGTCTTAGGAATCGTAAGGTTTGTCCGCACACGCCCTCCCGACCCCTCACAACACCGTTATCCTTACACGTCATTCCTGCAAGCAACGCCCTCCTTCTTTCCTTTCCTCCCTTCAGCTCAGCTGGGCAATGGGATGCCCAGCTCCCCCCTCTGCCCCCCCTCCGCCCCACCTGCTCCAGGCTGCTGGGCGGCAGCGGGTGCGGGCGCTGCGGGGTGGCGTCCAGCTGCAGCGAGCTGGCGAAGAAGGGCTTGAAGCGCTTGAAGGGCGCGTCGATGTCCTCCTGGCCACCCGGAAACCGGGGCGGTGTGGGGTGTGAGCAGGGGGTGTGGTGTGCAAGAGGCGCAGCAATGGGAGCTCCCATGCCCGTCTTGTCTTTGCCCTAATCGCTCTCCTGCTCGAACCGGGTTTGGTACCAGATACCGCCCTCCCCCACCTTCCCGTCCCCCGCCTACCGGTACTAGACACGGCCGCCCTGTCCTATCAGCCCAGTGCCCTCATGTCGCCACCTGCCCCCCGCCCGATTTGGGACTGGAACTCCGTTGCTTCACTTTCCATTTTGTCCGCCCCCCGCCCCCGCCCTCACCTGCTCGAAGCAGCTCATGAGCACGGGGTCCAGGTAGTCCCGCACCGCCTGCAGCCCCGCCTCCGCGGCGCAGCGCTCCAGGGTGGGCAGGTCCACCAGGAACTCCAGCGAGCCCTCCGTGGCGCCCTCCAGCGAGGAGGTGACGGTGTCGGCGATGTCGCAGGTGTATGCGGAGCCGAAGGGCGCGGGACGGCCGGGGTCCTGCATGTTGGGGGGTAGGGGGGTAAAGGGTGGGTGGGAGGGAGGGAGGGAAGGATGAAGAGAAGACCATTGCCGTATATAGTCAAACCAACCCGCCAAACTTATTGGGCTCGTTTGGAGTCACCGGTAGGCACCCGGTGTACGTAGCAGCGGAGGGAGAGGAGGACGGTATCTTCTCCCAGCACTCCCGCCCCTCCCTCACCTTCCACCTGCGCACCAGCCGCAGCATGGGCGTGTGCAGCTCCCCCCGCCCCGCCAGCAGCTCCTGCACGCGGTGGCCGCTGGGGAGGGTGCCCAGGAAGTAGCCGCCTGGGGTGTGGGAGGGGAGGAGGGCAGGGAAAAGTAGAGGAACACCAACTTGTAAGCCATGCTGTGGCAAACCTTAGCAGCAGCAGCCGCAAGCACCAAGTTGGGGGGGTGGAGAGGAAGGGGCCCGTATGAGGACACATGCAGGCAGGCATGCTGCAGGGCAAATCTGGGGAGAGGGTAAGGTATGGGAAGGATGGGGAAGGTGGTGGGGGTGTGGGGGTGGGAGTTTACGGGCATAGGAGCAGCATGAGGCCAGTGAGACGGATGTGTTTTGTGCATGCCAACCCGTTCAAATTCAGAGCCTCCTCTAGCGATCCCAAACGACCCTCCTTCCCCAAGTAACCAACCAACCCCCCCAACCCCGCCCCCCCGCCCGCACTCTAGCCTCTTCCGCTCCCACGTCCTCACCCGTCCTCAGGTTGCTGGCCACGTTGTGCAGGAACATCCTCAGGCTGCTCTCCGACACGAAGAAGTAGTGCAGCGCAAACATGCACGTGACGACCCCGTACGACGCAGGGCCCGCACCGGGGTCCTCGTACGGCCGCTCACCCAGCCAGTCCACCGCCTCAAACTCGCAGCGCAGGTTGCCGCCTGCGGGAGGTGTGACCCGCGGGTCGGTGGGGAAGTGGTGACGACGGGGGTTGTCAGGCGGTAGGCGATGAGGGGATACCGGCACGTGCGGTAAGGCTGGGGGTGGGAAGGGGCGATAGGCTCCCCACCACGCTTTCCCCCCATCCTTATCCCAGCCCCAGACCTCTCCCCTCGGCTTCCCCGACTCCCAGCCGCACTTCGTCGCAACCCCGCCCCTCCTCCCTCGCTCTTCTTCTCAACCATCCCTCTCCTGCCCCGCCCCCAACCCCAACCGCCCCCCACAGCCCCCATCGCACCTCTCCGCCGCTCCACTAGCTCCGCAAAGCGCCTGCGCGCCTCCTCCACCTCGCGCTCCGAGATGTCCAGCCCCTTGACGTACTTGATCTGGTGAACCATGGGTCACACCCGGTGGTCGGGCCAAGCGGCAAAGGGGGTCAGGCGTGTTAAGTCAGGGTTGCCGTGGCTGCGCGGACGTCGAGTCGGGGGTTAGCAAGGGGGCACGGCAACGAACACGAACCCGCTCTCCATGCTTGGAATGGGATGTATTGGGGTAAATTAATGGCAGGCTAACAACTGGGGTCCCGACTGAAGACCCGGACCGAGATGGGTACTGAGACATCCCCACCTCGCCTGCTTTGCTCAGTGTTTTTCTTACTCGGGATCTCATACCGCGAGGGGACTACGTTGGGACCACGAGGATGCGAAAGGGAAGCGCACCTGGGTGTCCTTCCATTTCTGCAGGTCACCACCCCGACCGCAACAGAGGTCTAACAGGCGATCCTGTTTGTGCGCGAAGCTGCAAGGAAGGAAGGAAGCGATGGAAGGAAAGAAGAAACGTGGCAAGGGAGATAGAGTGAGAGGGCAAGTGGAGAAGGAGAGTAAGGCCTTGACAAGGGCTGTTGCAAGCATGGGGACAGCGCCATGGTGGTGTCCGGAGCATAAGATAAGGTGTTTTTGTCATAACGCGGCAGGAAAGAAGAGGTGATGGAAAGGAAGGGCAGGAAGCATTGGGTTGTAGCGTGTCTCACCGCCAAATTAGTTGACGCTTGACATGGTTGTGGAAGTGCTTGAGCTCCTGTGCTGGACCTTCGCTTCGCTGTTGCAGGGCCTGCGCGCATTTCCCCCGGTGGTTATTGTGTTTGGCTAAGGTGCTAGGATGACAGTGTTCCTGTGTTGCGGATTCAAACCCTGCCATGCCCCACGGGGCACATCCGGTCAGCGACTCGCACCTCGCGCGTGGATAAATTCGTCACATGACTATTGTAGTGCTGCCGCTGGATATCCCATGTGCCTCCACCCCCGTTACCAGCCATTCTTCCAGTTAAGAAAGGGGCATTGCTTACGCAAGGATGCCTGCTTCTCTACCGATTAACCTGTAACATACAGCTTCATATCATGTTAACGTTCACTAGGAAAACATAAGAAAGCTTCGCACAGGAGAGTATGTACCCTATGCACGACCGTACGGCATTCTTGGAGCTGCACCGGCATCTGCAGCGTTCCCCGCATACCGTAGACCTGCCATACAGCTTTGGGTTACAGGCCAAAGGCCTGCTCAGAAAACATCTGTCCTTAGGAGGGTTGGCCATACTTTGTGCGCGAGACTTTAAAGGGATTTTGTAGGCATAGGGCAAAATGGCAGGCTCGGCGAGGAACGTGCAGGGCTTGGTCAGCCGGGTGGTGGCTGGTGCTGAGGCCATCACCAAGGCAGGCGCTGGGCGAGGCTTTGCTGCAGAGGCGAAGGCTTTCACTCCGGACGGTCGCTACACGCCAGGCATTTTCAGCAAGACTAAGCCTGTAGACAGGTCTCATGAGTGGGTTGCGAAGAACCCGTATATTGAGGCCTGGTACTACCGCCGGGACAGGTTTGAGAAGGAGTTTGTCTGGAACTTCCGCAACACTGTGGAGTGCCTTTGGTTCATTGGAGGCTTCTCTCTGGGCTCCTACTATCTGTCGGAGTTCTGCTTCCGCCAGGCCGACCGTCGCAGCGGCTATCCTCGCCGGTCCATTCTGGGCGATGAGCCCGCTATGGTGCTGCCGGACGAGCGCGAGTTCTACTAAACTAGCATGATGATTAGCTTGGTCAGTTACAAGGAGCGCTACTGGCGCACGCCGGGGAGAGCATGCTGGTAGAGGGTCCCATCAATTCGGGGTCGGAGGAACTGGGCTGGAACCTGGACTTATGCGGGCTTAAGTCTCAGAGTTGTGGATCCTGGGCTTCCCGTGTAGCATGTCTGAATGGGGGCCTCCTGAGGCTGTCCAAGGATGTTCAAGGGACTCTGGAGGCTGCAGTAAGCCAAGGCTTATTTGGTACAAAGTTAGCAGCTCGCAATGTGTGCACGTGATGGGGGGGCCCAAGTGATGGGGGGAGACAGGGGGGCGAGCGGGCCATGCGTGCGTGGTTTTCGCGTGGCAAGGATGCTGTAGGGGGTGCTGTGTGTTTTGGTGCAGGCACGTTGGGAGCCCAATGTATCGGACTCAGCCTGCGTCAACCCTCGTTAGCCGGAAGGTTGCGGGAATGTAAACCATCGTGGCGTCACTCTCTCCCCTGTTCTTTGTACCGTGACAGACTCCTCGCAATCCTCCTGTGGTTAGGTGCTAACAGGCAGTGGCAGCGCCTACCCTTACCAGCGGCAGTAACTCGCAATGCGCATACGAAGTACTGGTAATTAATGCCCTCTCTGCCTTCAATGCTCTTGCGGCCGAAATTACTAAAAGTAGAGTTCGAATGCGTTGGGAATTAGCTGTATGGGATTTCCCGAGCATGTCAGTGTACGGCTGCACCTTGCAGTTTGGGCAAAGCGGGATGCTTATGGGCTTTTTTTGGTCCAGCAACGGCGGCAAGACGGTGGCATCCTAGCCAACGCAAGGAACGGTAAACGCTCAAATGGCTTGCGGGTTTCAAAGATGTTCAGGACCACGAAGCTCACACCAAGTACAGACTCGGTTCAGTTGTCCAACTCACCCCCATGCCGTCCGCTCCAATTGCAGCAGAGTGCTTGACTCGACACCCTAGCACAAGAAACTAAGGATGTACGGTCAGTCATACGACATTGCCGGAAACGAACACCGCGCACGCGCCAACACGACAAGAGGCACCAAAACTATCATAATAAGCTGCAAGAGCCGCCATGGTACGTCCATAATGTGATTTAAGCGTGTGGTCGACTGGGGCACGCATCGTGCGACAGCCACCACTGCTGCAGCATTGCCCAGCAACGCCCTTGCCAGCTATACCGCCATCCCATTGCGGGAGCGCAAAAGAACTAGTGCATACGTCGCCGCAGTAAGGAGAGGAACACAGAAAAAAGGATCTATAAGTATGTCAAAGTAGGATCCTCCTTGGTTCCTGGTTTGTGTTGCGCATCCACTGCCCAATCCTGCGCCTCGTTGTCACAAAAGCAGAGTTTCATGACTGTAAAACATGATAGCAGCGCCCAATCGAGCGTCACCCCCTGGGACCAGCTATAACACACACGGCTCGCCCAAGAAACGAGCATCGGATGCGTTAAAACAGCAGGGCATTCGCCCCACTTCCCCGCATGACTAGCGTAGGTAGTACATCACACAACACAGCACAACCAGGGCACGTCAAGAAGGTCGGAAGGCATTAAACCCTCCGGGTTGGCCTCGAGGGCCCCAACGGCACCGCAGGTTCTTCACTCTTTCCTCCTCATCTACCTCCTCACAACCCTTACCACCCTCAGCCTCCCGTCTCTCCCTTTAGTTCCACACGAACTCGGGCTTGGGCGGGAAGGTGCAGCCGGAGCGCTGGATGACGGTGCTGGCGGCGTAGTTGCCGGCGCGCACGCACTCGGGCAGCTCCTTGCCGCACACCAGCTGCGACATGAAGCCGCCCACGAAGGCATCACCTGGCGGGGGGCAGGCGGCAGGCGGGCGGGGTAGGACTAAGATATGGGCTGGACGGTGATGGGCTGATGTGCGGATCGTGGTGTGCTGAGTGGTGGAATGAGTTCATGCGACTGAGAGGGGCTAAGTCTACTGTGAGCTTCCTGCTCATGCATTGCAGGCAGCCTCTCTCCTCGCGGAGGTAGCGCCCTGAGTGCACTGCTCCCGGCCCCTCTCCCCCCTGTCCCTGCCTCACCCGCTCCGTTGGTGTCCACCAGCTTGTCCTTGGGCACCAGGTTGACGGGGAAGAGCTGCACGCGGCCGCCCACCGCCACGATGGTGGGGTCGCAGCCCTGCGTGAACACCACCACTCGGGGGCGGCAGCCGTTGGCCTTGGGCATGCGGGACAGCTGCGCGGGAAGGGAGGGAGGGAGAGGGGACAGGGAGGGCGGGCGGAGGAAGGAGTGAGGAAAGCGAAGGTGGCATCGGAGGAAAGCGAGCGGGAGGAAGGCGAAGAAGGCCGCGCGGGAGTGATAGCGCTGATAGGCCGAAAGAGGCACGCAATGGGAGGTGGCGTGGGTGAGAGGTAAACACACCGCTACAGCTATGTAGCGCCCCCCAGCTACCCCTCAACCAAGCTCGCATCCATCTCCGCTGCTGCACTCACCCGCTTGGCCACCTCTGTCAGCTCCAGCCCCTCCCAGCCCTCCGAGGCCGCCAACGCCGCCGCCTCGATCTCGTTGCCGAACAGGAAGTCGATGTACGGCATGGCGTCCATGAGCACCTTCTTGAAGGGGGGCACTTGCACGATGAAGGGGGCGGACAGGTTCTGAGGCAAGGAGGAGGGTGAAAGGGGAGGGGAGGAGAGATTAGGGCTCTTCGCTGTAGTAGGGTTAAGGCCAAGCGGCTGGCAGGGAAGAAATGGCGCGATGCGGCCCCTCACTTGTACAAGCTTCCCTCTTGAGCCACAGCTTTTGCAACTCGTGAAGCAACGAAGCCCTGCCTAGCCCCCCGCTTCACACATGCGCCCAACACCTGCCCCTCTGTCAATAGCCTCGCGCGCAAAACCATGTCAAACCATAAGAGCCCCCTCCCACAACAAAACTTCAGGGCCAAGTTTGCCTGGGCAGTGGGAAGGACACCCCTCAACCCTGTCACCCCATCGCTTCCCCCCCCCAAAAGCCCCCACCATGGCGTAGATCTTGTCGTTCTCCGCGCAGTGCTTGGCCACCGTGTCAATCGACTGCGGGAGGGAGGCAGAGGAGGGGCTGGCGATCAGCAGAGGGTACGCGGGAACAGATAGGGATAGGCGCTGACATCCTGAAATGCAACATGGGGCCTGGGGCCCCATTAGCCATGCTATGAGGGAAGGCGGCCAAGAGCAAGGCTCACCCTCTTAAGTCGCAGTATCCGTACATGCGAGGCACGCAGGGCAGGGCGTTGCAACCCATGAATAAGGCACAGGAGAAGGAGACGCCCTAGCCCTTTACTTCCCCGGCATGAACCGCAGCTCCCTCCTTCCCGCTGACGTCCTGCCGTTCCCCATACGCCCTGTCATCCTCACATGCCCGCAATCCCTGCCTCCCTCCCAGCCCCACCCTCCTGCCTTCCCTCCCTCCCCCACCTGCGGCGACACGGTGATGAAGAAGCCGGTGCAGTACACCACGCGGGCCTTGTGCAGCAGCGCCAGGTGATCCGGCTGCAGCAGGTGGTCAACCTGGGGGGAAGGGGGGAGAGAGGCGGGGGAGGAGGCGAAGGAGGGGGAGTTGGGCATCGAGCTATAGGAGATCGAGTTAGAGGAGAGCTGCAGGATTTCGACAGGGGCTGCGGAAGGATCACAAAGGCCCGTTGCCAAATGTGTCGGTGGTGTTGGGAGGCGGCTGGAAATGCGGATAAACAGAGTCGCCATCCTCGCTTCTACTGAGTGTCCTGTGCAGCCTCAAGCTCGTAACGCCAGCCCGCTGCGAACGTACAACTGGAACTCCTTGCACCGAGCCTGGCGTCCTCCGTTGCCCACCTTGCCCTACGCATAGCCGCTGAAGGTGCCCCAATAGACCCAGGTAGCGGCACTGCGAGAACTCCCCTGATGCAGGGCCCGCCGCATCCCTGATGTCCCTGTTGTTGCTTCTTTCCCCCGTTCCCACGTCCTTAGCCACCACGCTGGCTTTACGAGGGGCCATGGCCCATGGGTCAGGGCTTACGGCCAATAGCGTTCACCTCTCTTTTCCGCCTAGCCATCATAGCTAGTTTGTATATCCCATCCCGCCCTGCCTCTCCTACAGCCATAAGTCTTATTACCTTACCTAGAACTCCTTAGTCTCCTGTCCGCAGCGCACCACCGCACCCATACCACACCCACCCTCCGCCTTCTTCCTCTTTATCCCCCTGCACCGCTCGCACCCCCGCCTCTCCCAACCCCGCTTTCACCCTCCCCTCCTCTCCTCTCCCACCTTGAAGTTGTTGGCAGCCGCCAGGTTGGCCACCAGGCTGCGCTCGCTGCTCACGATGCAGGTGGCGCAGGTGCCGGTGGGGGTGGAGGCGTCCACCTGGTAGCGAACCTGGGGGAAAGGGCGGGGGAAGGGGAGGGGAGCGTGTGTATGTGTGTGTGCGTGTGGAGGGGGTCAGGACAAAGGACGTAAGGAGGCCGTCAAGTGGGAGAGCATAGAGGCGGTGAAAGCGAGGATGCGTCATGGGGAAGAGCGGTGCTGCTGTTGCTTACGTTGACACCCTCTTGGGTGGCAACCTCGGTCATCTTGCGGCCGAACTCGTCATCGCCGATGCAACCCATGTAGGTGCAAGCGTGCTTGACCTGAAGCATCCACTGGCAGATGCGGGTGGTGTTCTGGCCGGCACCACCGGGAATGTACTCCACGTTGGGCATCGCCGCTAGCTCCTGCAAGCAGACATGCAAGTTTAATGTAGTTGTAAAGGAGATATCGTGAGAGAGCAGAGCTCAGCCGGATACCGACATATCCTTACCGCGTACATGGGTAGATGCTTCTCCTCTGCAAGAATCTGGTTCGCCAGCTTGATCTGCACGGGCGGCGCCATCGAATGCGCTAAGAGGGCCGAAGTCTTCCTTCCAGTAAACTTGAAGTTTGGCTAAGACTAACCTCATACTTGTCAAGGAAGGCCTGGTCCACAACAGCGGACACGTCCAGCAGCGGGTTGCCAAGGCACAAGAAAGCACCCTCGAGGCCAGCCATTTCTTAAGGATAATAAACGTTGAGCTATCTGGACCAAACGAGGGTGCAATGCCTGCAATTTCTAACGCTGCGACTAAAGGCCGCCAAAGAATGCGCGTACGGCAGATATACTCCGCCTAACTTCCCCCAGGGCTGAGGAAAAGCAGAGAATATTGCGTGTAAGGCAATCGTTGCGTTGAGGACAGACTGTAGAATGAGTATTTTCCACTAGCTGCTCGGACCAAGCTTCTCCGAACCCCCTTCGTTTGGCAATCCTGTGACTATTCTTCTGACAGCTGCTACAGGACTATGCAATAAGCACTACAGATCATTTTATTTGCTCGGAGCTGATCCAGCCTACGTTGAAACATGAGTAAGAGCCATTCCTCGACTGCTCAATATAGCGTCTTAAGTACCTGATTTGGCTCCGAAGGCACATATCTGTATACAACAGTGCATGAGTATCTTCTGCCCCTGTAATTCTCTTACCTCCTAGGCGGGCTCTTCAACCCCTTTGCGGAGCCTGAGGCGGATAAGGATCGGGGTTTCTCGTTCTATAGGTGCGAAGTCCACTGCCCCTACGTGCGTCATTAGATGCCCCAGTCTTGGTAGCAGGTAGCCCCCTCCCAGCCGTCTCCACCCTTCCACACAGTCATCTTTGCTACTCTGCTCTTTGCTGCTGCTGCTGCTGCCGCAACACGTGTTTGGTTAGGGTCAATCCTTTCTATTGCTATTCCTACTGATTTGCTCTGTCCCGCACTGATGTGTGCAGTGATCCTCTCACTGCGTACGCCTCCGCGCCGCACCCTGCACCCGCGCCTAGGCCCCCCGGTAAGCAGTATTATTTGTGGAAAGCCTTGAGACGGAGGGGTTACAGGACATGGGAGGAAGGAGTAGGTCCTGCATGGTAGGCTTGCTCATCAGCACTAGGTCACTGTGGGTTGGGCTGCAGGGCCTCCTTGACACTGCCCGTGTTCCACTGGAACACAACGCTTGCTCTTTTGCTATAAGCAGAGCTTTAAGATTCAGCAACCATGCGTGTCGTCTGCTGTCCGCAAGCTGGTACCACGAAAAGACTTGGCAGCGACCATCGAAAGGGTCCTCACTGATCCAAGATGATCTTTATCGGCCCCCACCCCGCACCCCCGCAGGTCCCGGCTATACGCCCCCGGTCCAGCCATCCGCCTCAGGTAGAGGCGGACCGCAGCCGCCGCACCAGCAGCAGCAGCATGGGCCGTTCCCTGGGCCCCCTCCGTTCGCTGGCGGCAGGGGCAGAGGCCGCGATGGGGGCAGCGGTGATGCCCCGACTGCGTACGGCAGAGGTGGTGGCGGCCGGGGTCGTGGCGGAGGAGGCGGCCGTTGGGGTGGCGGCGGGTATGGCGGTTACCCCGGTCCTCAGTCGCACTATGGGCCAGGGGGTCGCGGCGGCGGCGGTGGTCGGGATCCGTTCTATCAGCAACCGCACGGCTACGGGGCAGGTGGCGGTTGGCCCGGGGGTCCTCCGCCAGGGCCTCCAGGCGGGCCCATGGGTCACATGGCGCCACACCCTCAGCAAGCATACCCTTCGTACGGCGGGCAGCGGCCGAACAAGTGGATTCGTACTGAAGCTCCTCAGGGTGTCGCCGCTGCGGCTGCTGGTGGGGCTGCGGGCGGCAGCGGGGCAGATGCAGGCATGCAGGCTCCGATGGGGCTCCAGGCGTCTCCAGCGGGAGGGCACGGTGGCCATGGGGCGTTTGGAAGAGGCGCCGCAGAGAAGGGCGTTCACAGCGGCGGCCGGGGTCGCGGGAGCCGCGGTGGGCGAGGTGGAGGCGGCCATGCCGCGGGAGGGTCAGCTGATGAGGACGCCCCAAATCCTGCCGCCATGCAGGCGTACTACAAACCTACATTCAGCGCTGACCCCTGGGTCGCTCTGGCGCCACGACCGTTGCAGCCTGTCGACAGCCCTGCTTTACGACCTTTGCCGTACGGCGATGCAGCAGCCGACCACGGTAGTGGAGTACGGCAAGCGGTTGTGGATACGAGGAAGCTGGGCGGCGCAAGCCTGGCTGACATCTTTGCGCAGGGAGAGGATGCTGCTGCCGAGGGCGGTGATGTGGAGGAGGCAGGCGAAGGTATTAGCTCAGCGGGATTAGATGAGGGGCCTGAAGAGGGCGACGAGGATGCTGCTGTTGGTGGGGAAGGGGGCGAGGGCGGAGGTGAGCAGGGTGGCAGGTTGAGTACGGAGGGAGCGCAGGACCGGCCTTGGCATTGAGGGTCCGCGTAGTCGCCTGTGTGGCTGTGTGCTGTGACTACCGGTACACAGCTGTGTGCGGTTGCCTGGCTGCTGCGGCTGGGGTGTCATTGGGTGTGCCTTGAGGGAAAGGCTGGGGGTCCATGAGAGCGGGCATGCATGTGGGGCACGCGGGGTTGTTGGTTGCTGCTTCCAGGTGACACTTGACGTGGCGTGTTTGGGTCATGTATGTGAGATGCGAGGAAACACTGACCGTGACTGTGGCAGAACAATAGTCGCTTAGATGTCATCCAAGCGGGGGCAGGCAGCTGAGCCGCGAGGAAACACTGACCGTAGGTAGGCTGCGGACTGCGGCGTTTCTGGCCTTGCAGCCTTTTACGGCAAGAGGGACAATGGCATGAGGAAAAGATGGGTCCTTGTCGCACTTGTTAGTAGTGACATGAGGGATGAAGAGGGGCAAGGTGGCGGGTGCAGAATCACGTGAAAGAGTAATAGCCACATCTGCAGGTTACTATTGGGTCAAAATCAGCGCACCGGGGCTCCGTGAATTAAATTAGTCCAAATAAGGAAGATGCTGGAAGGGGTAGGGTTGTAACATGCCACACTAACGATGGGTGAAACTGACATTTCTTCTTCTGCCCGTCAGGCGGGCATCGTTTTTAACCTGGATCCCTGGCACTGCTTCCATACTCATGTCGCAGAGCGCGCCTGGGGTCGCCGCTATGTGTCCAGTAATAGCAAGTACCAGCAAAAGTTAGTCATATCCTGCCAAGCGAATGGCGATGGATAACTAGCTTATCTAGGTAAGCATCTCCTTTCGGGCCTCAAACCAAACATCAAATCGTCCTATGCTATACTGCACAGTAAATTAAAGCAAATATGGTCTTTAGCCTCCTGCTATATCTGGCTAGAAGTTGGGAAGCACAATCCTTGCGTTGCATGCAGGCCGTTTGGTGTCGGGGTAGCCGAAGAGGTACGCTCCACACCCAAAGCAGTTATAGAAGCAGTTACAACGCACATGTATGTGTACAGCACTGTTTTATGGTTTGAAGATCTTGTTAGTCGCTATCCATCGAGTAAGGCTCGGCGGCTACAGCAGAAGCGGAGGGTCGCGACCCTAGCTCCATAGAGGGATGCAAAGAAACAGAGACTAACAAATTCAAGTATGCAATTGTCATAGTAGCTATAACAATGAAGTGCAACATACCGGTACCTGCATACTGGTACGCCGTGCAGGAGAGGATCCATTTGAATATTCAGCTTAGACATAAAGCTAATCTTCAATTGCATAGAACGCCTGCTCAGTTCCCGAAGTTATTGGCAGAAGATGCACAGGCGGTGGTACGGCTGCCGTGCTACGCGGCTGGCAGTTTCTCTCGGTCAGGTGCGATCTTATATACCCTACATACTAGACAGTATTTTACCAGCAAACCAAGGATTCAGGTATAGACTCCTTCTTTGCAACTAGCGCCTGAGCACTGCATGATAATCTACATTAACGGCCGGGCCGGACGTTATTAGGGGACGGTTGGTTTCCTCGTCTCCCCTGTGCTGAGCAGCCCAGCTTCATGGGCCTGCTCTCCCTTGCTATCCTCAAGGCGCTATTAGGTTTATGCCTGAGCCTGCGAGGAGGCGCTGCCGTGGAATCGTTAGCGTCGGACACAGTTGCCCTCTACCGAAGCACGACGTCTGGCGTTCTTGATCTCAACCAGGACAGCAGTCCAGACGCAATATACAAGCAGCTAGTAGACTCAGGTTTACATGTGGTGCAATCCAATGGTCAGCCCGACTTCGCAACTTCAAGGCCATCCGCTTTCATCATCCCGGCCCAAAGCGGAGCCAAGCCTTACATTGACGCGGAGGACGTCCAAACATTACAAGGGTACCTCTCAGAGGGTGGACTCGTTATACTCCTAAGCAGCTATGGGCAAGCTTTGCGTCGCTTCGTCAGCCATGCTCTTGGCTACTCTGGTAAGACTGCTAACTATTATACAATTGACTTACAAAGCAGCACAATTTTATTTGTAAAGTAGCGCAGCGGATGCCCCCTCAAGGCCCACAACTTTGGCGATTATTGCGACTGCAGGCAATTGGGAGGACTGCGACAACCTGCGCGTTTCGCCGAAGCCGCTTGGTTTGGCGCGTCCCCATTTATTTGCAACGATGTTCCTACCTGAAAGCAGCTATACCACTGCTTGGCCGGAATTCTTGGAGAATGCAAACACCGCGATGGCTGTCTCGCCCTGTGAGCATTCGGACTCGAATGCAATCACCTTCCCACTATACTACGTCGGTGCTAACAATGAGAAAATGGTAGCTCAGGTGCGTTATCTCTGCACGATGGGATGCACTGCCTATCGGTAGTCGGGACCCTAACGGTCGCGCTTACCCGTCTAATTTACAATGACCGGCTAACGCTGCCTTTTCACGGTACTATACTTGCCCATAACTAAATCGCTAAACAGCAAATATTTTTTTCTTACAGGCATTCGGCAAGGTCGGCCTTCCTGGCGCCGTCGTTTGGCTCGGGTACGACTGGCGAGATGGCCCTCAAGAGAAGTGGGGCCAGTTGCTCGCAAAGGTCATTCATGACTTCAGCAGCGGTAGCTACCGGCCCCATGCTCGTGAACTTTCCACCGCTGACTCCCCATTGGAGTACACGGAACCGCCGACGGAGGTCCTCGCAGAACTGCAGACGGACGCTGCAGAGCTTGGTGGGGCCGAGGCCGGTGCAAGCCTTGACGCTGTGCCCGACGCCGTTAACGACCTGTACGGCAGCGTCCATGACCTGATCCGTCGGTTGGCGACGATTGAGCCTGCCACTTACCCGCCTCCGCCTGTTCCAGATCCGCCCATGTCGCCGCCGCCGTCACCCGCGCCCTCGCCGCCGTCGCCGTCGCCGCCATCACCCGCGCCCTCGCCGCCGTCGCCGTCGCCGCCGTCACCCGCGCCCTCGCCTCCGTCGCCGTCACCGCCGTCACCCGCGCCCTCGCCTCCGTCGCCGTCGCCGCCGTCACCCGCACCCTCGCCGCCGTCGCCGTCGCCGCCGTCACCCGCACCTCTACCACCCTCACCTGCACCGCTTCCCCCGCCCTCACCAAATCCGATATCGCCTGTGCCACCTTCCCCACCCCATCCTCCCTCGCCCTCACCGCCAACCCCGCCGTCGCCTCGGCCGCCGTCCCCACCTCGTCCTCCCTCGCCCCCACCGCCAACCCCGCCGTCACCTGATCCGCCGTCGCCACCACCACCATCGCCTGAGCCACCGTCACCTGAGCCACCGTCACCTGAACCGCCATCGCCACCCCCGCCATCACCATCGCCTCCGTCACCTGAACCGCCGTCACCCGAGCCGCCATCACCTTCACCGCCATCGCCTGAGCCACCGTCGCCCCCACCGCTTCCGCCGCCGTCACCGTCACCGTCACCCCTTATGCCACCATCGCCTGAGCCACCGTCGCCTGAACCGCCGTCACCTGAACCGCCGTCGCCGCCGCCACCATCGCCATTGCCACCGTCGCCTGAACCGCCGTCGCCTGAGCCACCATCGCCACCGCCGCCGTCGCCGTCACCGCCGTCGCCTGAACCGCCGTCGCCTGAGCCACCATCGCCACCGCCGCCGTCGCCATCGCCACCGTCACCTGAACCGCCGTCGCCTGAGCCACCGTCGCCACCACCGCCGTCGCCATCGCCACCGTCACCCGAGCCGCCGTCGCCTGAGCCACCGTCGCCGCCACCGCCGTCGCCATCGCCGCCGGCACTACCCCCTCCAAATCCCCCCTCACCTGAGCCGCCGTCGCCCGAGCCGCCGTCACCTGAGCCGCCTTCTCCTCCCCCGCCGCGACCACCGCCCCCACCATCACCGCCGCCCCGACCGCCGCTTCCCAAAGGGAAGGTATTGCAGTCAACCGACGTCACCCTCACTATTGTAGTTCAGCCCGGGCAGACTGTAGAGCAAGCCATCGAAGACGCTATAAGACGATTTGAGGAGCAAACGGGTCTTACGGTGGGTGCTCCTTCACTGGCCTTTGCACTCGCAGCAATAGGCTCTGGGGGGTGCATTTTTATTGGCTGGTTAAGAAGGGTGCAATCCTAGGCCCTTGCTTACTGCCTGAAGAGGCATCGTACGCGCTTGAATTGTTTGCGTATAAACAAAGACTCTTCTCCACAACTATCTAGGTTTTATGTTGCAGTAGTGCACTTGCGGTAATCGTAATTACCAACAGCTCGGTTATTACTTATCCCCATGCAGTTTGACAGGAGCCAACTGAGGCTAGTGGATGAAACGACAAACGCTCGCCGGCTAATCGAAGAAGGGGCTTTCCTCGTCTTGACCAGACGTGACCTCGACGACATGAAGTGGACCGATTCCATGCCGAATCTTTTGCGTGTGGTCTTCAGAATTCCGAATGATGTTGACAGTCAATCTATTGACTTGGTAAGCAGCCGCTAAGGCGTCAAAACACACGCCATGCGTCCGCCTTCTTTCTGTACTCCTCCAAAGTTGCATCTGCTGCACTCATCTTCAAGCCCCACGACGTCGGCAAGGATCAATACGCGACTATATGCTCCCTTCATTATTCCGATCCACGTGCTAGCCTGCTTGTACGGCCATCCTCATGATGAACTCTAACCCCAATCCCATTCCCCTTGCCCATCCCCATCATGGCTCCCATCCATCCCCAGCTTCGAAACATGGATGTGCTCGGTAACCATCGCCGTCGGATGACCGCGGGAGCTGTCACCTCCACCACCGCCAGCACCCTCAACGCTGCATGTACATCCTCCGTCACCCTCGCCGCCACTGCCACTGCCGCCACCTTCGTCACGGGCGGCATGCAGGAGCAACGCATCCTGCTGGATACGGCGACGGTCGACGCACCTCCTCCCTCACCCTCACCCAGTGGAATCACGGTGGTGACGTTCTCCGCTGTGCTCCTGAGTGTGGTAAATGCGCAGCCGCCGCCCTCGCCGCCTCCCAGCCCCCCCAACTACCCTGGAGTCGTAGATCCCCCCTCGCCACCGGCCTATCCTCCGTGGCCGCCGTCGCCGCTGGCACCGCCGCCCCTTGATATTGCCGGTGAGCACGACCCAGGGGCCTTGCAGCAAGCTGTTGCATGGGATGCAGACTTAGGGGGCCGAAGACTGAACCAATCCGTGAATGCAGGTATCGAACTGCCGACGTGTCGAGCTCCCTGACGGCTTTTGTGTGCATGCCCCTTGCAGGTGTAACCGTTGGCGTCGGCTGGCCTCCATCCCCGCCGCCCAGTCCGTCACCACCACCTCCCAAGCCTCCGCGTTCTCCGAAACCCCCGCCAAGTTACCCGCCGTCTCCCAAGCCCCCATCTCCCCCACCGCCCTCCCCCGAACCTCCAACACCCCCACCACCCTCCCCAAAGCCCCCACGGCCCCCACGGCCCCCACCGCCCTCCCCCGAACCTCCATCAACCCCACCACCCACCCCAAAGCCCCCACGGCCTCCACCACCCTCCCCCCAGCCTCCATCAACCCCACCACCCTCCCCAAAGCCCCCACGGCCTCCACCACCCTCCCCCCAGCCTCCAACACCCCCACCACCCTCCCCAAAGCCCCCACGGCCCCCGCCGCCCTCTCCTACGCCTCCAGCACCCCCACCACCCTCCCCAAAGCCCCCACGGCCCCCACCGCCCTCCCCACGGCCCCTGATGCCCCCGCCACCGGCGCTTCCACCCCCAAGCCCCCCCGCCGCCCCGCCGCCCTCCCCACGTCCTCCATCACCCCCACCTCCCTCCCCAAAGCCCCCACGGCCTCCACCACCCTCCCCCCAACCTCCAACACCCCCACCACCCTCCCCAAAGCCCCCACGGCCCCCGCCGCCCTCCCCACGTCCTCCATCGCCGCCTCCTCCATCCCCACGTCCCCCAAAGCCGCCCGGCCAGCCTCCACCCGACTCCCCACTCCCTCCACCAGACCCCCCGTCGCCGTCACCGCCACCATCTCCCAACCCTCCGCTATCTCCTTCGCCATTGCCTCCTTCGACGGGCACCCCACCTCCGACTCCCTCGCCAAAGCCGTCACCCCCTTCACCCAGACCTTCACCCCCTGCGCCGCTGTCCCCTTCGCCGCAGCCCGCCTCCTCTCCTTCCCCTCGGCCTCCCTCGCCAAAGCCCCCCTCCCCTCATTCCCCTCATCCCCCCTCACCTGCGCCCCGCCCCCCGAGCCCACCGCCCACACCTGCTTCTGATAACACCTACTTCTTCTTTGAGGGCATGCCGGCTCAGGGCGCCACCAGCAACGCAGGGTAAGCGGCGAAGGGAGGGCGCATGCAACAGGGGCATGTCATCCGCATGGTAACTTTGTCGTCTAATTGAGTACGGAACCCCGGTTCGTTTTTTGTTGCTGGGTTGTCGTCTAGTCCACAGCCATGAGCATGAGAAGGCAACGGGCGGAGGCGGTGGCTGCAGCCAGTCTGCTTGCCAGCTCTTCGCGCCTCTCTTCCCCGACGAACCGCATCATGTATATATCATGTATGAAGCACCACATCTACACCCCAGCCGCTGCTCAACCTCAAACTCCCCTCAATCCTAACCTCCTCTCCGCCGACCGGGACTCTCTGACCCCTCCGTCCCTCATTCCCGCACCCAACCGCCCTGCTGCAGACATGTCGTGTGGGCAGACGACCCGTCTTTCAACAAGACCCGCAAGAGGAACCCCTACAGCGCTCTAAACCTGGTGTGGGCGGACAAGACGCCATGCAGCGGCTGCGGCGCCTGCCCCCGCGCCTGGAAGCCCAAGTTCCGGGCCTTCACGTTTGAGGTTTACTTCAAGGAGCCCGTGCAGCTGGATGCGATCTACATTCACGAGGTTTGGCACCCTGGCGTCAAGGAGGTAAGGGCGAGCCGCCGGACGTACACGACGTCTTGACAGCAGATCAAACACGTCAGCATGCATGCATCCATATGGTTGGTTGTTTGTAATTCAGGTTTGCTGCTTGTGTTTACAGCGTGCTGTTCCCATGTGTGCTGCTGTAACTCGGCCTAGATTGGCAAACACGCATGGGTATTTGACGCACGTACGGCCTTGTCGTAGTTGATGCCTTGCTTACCGTGTGCACTGCGCACTTCTAATACCAACCCGTCTACCGGTACCTCCACGTTCTGTGCAGATTCGACTGCTGGGCTTCCCATCTGTCAACAAGGACAACAAGATCCTAAGCCGAAACTTCCTAGGCGACCCAATTTACCCCATCTACAAGCAGCGTGACAAAACCAACTGCCAAAACTGGCTCGAAGTCCTGGTCCCACGAATGCGTGCAGGCACGGACCTCCCCGTCAGCTCCTTCGGCAGTCAGAACAACATTCCGTACAAGCTACGGAGTACGACAGTCGGCGGCGTGCTGGTGACTGTCAACACATCTCCCAACCCGTTTTCGGGGACGTGGGTTGATGATATCCGTTTTGATGGCCGTGTGCTGTACCCTCGTGATGCCAGCGTGTATACAGTGTACACACCCGAGCCCCGCGTTTAATCGATGCAGGGATGCAAACTACGACGGAAAAAAGGGCGTGGTTATGCCTAGATACGGATATGGTATCAGTAAGAACAAGGTAGCACAGTGTTTGGTGCCTGTCTTGTAGGTGCAAATTGCTACGAAGTAGAATAGGATTGCCGGGGCGTGCCATTCATCGATCGGTCTGCCCGACTAAAGGAAGCAGCGCTGTTTCCCGATGTACTTCGTAATGCGTTCGAGCAAGCTTGCAGCCGCGCTGGCTGTAGCTGCTGTCAAATTTATGGGTGGCTGGTGTGCATGTGTTTCCGTGGCCCGTGGGTCCGTGGGCGGCGTGGTGTTTAGCGTGGGATGGAGGTGAGGCCCCGCAATGCTCCAATACTGTGCTCGTGTGTGTTGAAGTTGTCAAATTGCGCGACTGTGCTCGTGAGCGTGTGGAGCAAAAAAGGCGATCGCTTGGCCCTTGGTGCAGTGTTTCTAGGTGCTCCGCGTATTACCTGGCTACTCTTTCTTCATTTGCGTGCTAAAAACTTCTTCCTTTTATATGCATGTTGGCGATGCGAAGGACGTTTTGGCAGGGGGCTGCAATGCTCTGGGTCTTGTAGGTGAGGGGGCAGACATGAATGCCTACGTACGGACCTTGCGCGTCTCACTTGTGTGTGGTTCATGTGTGTGTTTGTGTGCGGTTTAGCCACAACCCCACGAGCCCAAGGAAAATGCGTCGTAGCTGGGTAGGGGGTGCTGCCACCTCCAGCCGCTCTAGCGTGGTTGTAAGGAACAGGTTTTTCGTGCCTGACATGCAACCATGCTAGGGCGTCACGTGCGGGACGAGGTGTGGGAGGCGGGCTGAAGGACATGCCATGACGCGCCGGATGCCGAGTCGGAGAGGGAACAGCTAGCCTTGAACGGCAACTGTGTGATAGTTGGTTGGAGGGATGGAGGTGGGGAGGGCAAGGGGAGGTCCCGGCAGCAGCGCTGCGGAAACCTCTGTGTGCGTCGGTAGCTTTAGTTGCGTGTGCATTTGCACTGAGTGTAGTACAGCAGAACTACCGTGCAGGAGCGCAGCGCGTTGTGGCCACTGTAGCGGCCGCGCGGCAGCTGTGCGGGGTGTGTTAATTTGTACAAGATGTCTCTTGTTGACGTAGGTTGGCATGCATGAGGCATAGCATGGGCGTAGGAGGGCGAGGTTCCGAGGTTGGTTAAGAAAGCGAAGTAAGCATTTGTGAAGTGCGGAAAGACGGGGGAGGAGCAGTTTCAGCTGAGCGGAAGTGCGGAATGTGGTTTCTGGCATCCTGAGGATTATTGTATATTTTGCAGCATCAGGACTCGTAATTCATGCGCCAATACGGTAGGAATCTAGTGCCTAGACACTAGCAACTTGTAGAGTAGACGGACAGAAGGGAGGTAGCCTAAGACAAGACCAATGATACATGGCCTGCAGCTGATCGGACTGAGATGTGGTTGTGCAATGGAACCAAGAGCAGGCTTACAAGCTGTAATCGTGGCGTCCATGCAGACATACTTGTAATCTTTCGAAGCAAGCCTGGAGACTCTTTGTCGCTCCCTGGTTCCTCTCACGGCTCTCTCACAGCAGCTTTAGGCCTTTGCGCATTGCTTAAGTCAAACTCCCCGAGCCAGGAGCAACGAAGCAGGCAGGATTCCTCACGCAGCGCCCTTCCAAGAACCGAGCTACACCAAGTGACCCATGGGTCATCCAAAGCACACGTTGCATGTCAACAGACGCCTCATCAACAGCAACTGCTGTCCAGAGCTAGGGCGGTTTATGCTCCCTAAATGCCGCCACCGCCGTCAAAGCGAGCCAATCGCAGCCGCCTAAGCTCCTCCACCGTCGGTTGCTGCTGCTGCTGCTGCTGGCCCGCCCCCGGCACCGTAGCACCCCCATGCGACGGCTCCGGCGCAGCAACACCAGCACCTGCACCCCTCCCTGCGGACTCCTCATGCGCGGCAGCTGCTGGTTGCGGGGGTGCCCGGCGCCCCCCTACACCACCACCAGCAGCAGCGGTGCCAGCAGCACCCCCTCCTCCCGCAGCTGCTGCGACACCTCCTGCTCCTGCTTGCACTGCCTCCTGACTCATGCCCCTGCCGCCCGCTGGCCCGCTAGCCATGGCAGCGCTCCGAGAACCAGCGGCATCCCGCTGCTGTTGCTGCTGCAACGCTGTTGCTGCTGTTCGACTGCCTGCCTGCGGTCCCATGCGACTAGCTGGTGGTCGTTCTGGGCCCCATACCGGTATTGGCCGGCCAGCCGCGGTGCTGCCGCCACTGTCACTGCCACGTGCTGTGGGCGCTGCCGGTGCGGCCGGTGCGGTTGTTGTTGCTGCTGCTGCTCCCAGCCGACCGCGAGAGCGGAAGAAGGGCTGCCGGTCTGTGCTGGGGTGCAGTCCCAGGTAGCGCAGGCTGCGGCGGAGGACCTGCGCCGGTTAGGTGGTGAGAGAGGTGGCGGCGGGGTGAGGCGGTTGGACGTGTTTGGGTAACGGGAGTGGATGATTGGCGGTCGTACCAGCGTATATGCAACGGCAGAGGCAGACAGTACGAAGATGCGTTAAGATACACACCACAACCCATCTCCAAACACAACCCCTCCCACAGCCATCGCCTTCCCAGTTCAGTCCCCAGCCCGGCCGGAGCCCTCGCCCCACAACCCCCGCCCCTAGCTAGTGCATCCCGCCGCCCCACCTGCGCTGCCCTCCTGGCGCCGGGCGCCAGCAGCCGCACGTGCAGCAGGCCCGCCAGGATGCCGCCCAGGTGGCCCAGGAAGGACACGCGCGGGCTGAGGTAGGAGATCAGCAGCAGCTCGGCCCAGCACATGTACTGCGGAGGGGCCGCGGCATGTGAAAGATGGGGTGACAGCAACATGGCAAGGTGCGGCAACTACGGGACGGCAGGGGGAGGAGCATGGGAGTGCAGCATGGAGCAGCCGGCAGCGCAGGGCAGGGTGAGGGGTACGGTCCGGAGTAGTGACGTAAGTTAGAACGTACCGTGAGCAGCATTAAAGCACCTAATCAAGTAGCAGCCGTCCGCCATGACGTCCCTCACTTGTCGCATGGAAGGCAGCCGAGCTGCCCCCCTGGCGTGCAGCGCCCTGCCTCCTAGCACCGCCCTCACCTACCTTGGTGGGCAGCCAGAAGCCCATCACCTGCTCGTAGCCGGGATCATCGTGGCTGAGAACTACCTGGTAGGTGGTGGGCAGCGGGTGGGCAAGCAGTCTCACGCACAGCCAACGGTCCACGGGAGTACGACAGTAACAATGGCACGCTCCTCAGCAGCAGGATGATGTCAGTACGAATTAGTTCTTGGGGTGAACCTGCTGACGACGCTTGAGCTTCCAGGCCCTACAGAAGTCCCGCTCTCTGTTAACCCACTTCCTGCGCCATCCTCTCCATAAAGTCCTGACCCGCGGGTCGGTGCCCAGGGGATGCCGCCCCTTCCCACCGACCAACCTTGAGTGCGAACAGGACCGCCGAGAAGCCCACCGCGCAGGACTCCATCAGGTACCTGCAACAGGGCAACAGGTATCGTGCCATGCCGTACCTCCACCACACCCAGTGTGCCGTACAGCCAGCAGGAACTGCGAACGGTAGAGAGCGCCTAGGCACTATTACGGCGCAGCGCGTACGACAGCTTGGTGCTTTGCCTGCCTGCAAACCACACGCCCCCACACCCTACCTACCCACTACACCCAGCGTGCCCCGCCCCGCCCTCCCCCGCCAGCAGCGGTACTCACCAGTACCCGGGCACCTGCGCCGCCAGCACCGCCGCCAGCAGCACCGTCATGCCGTGTGCCGCCAGCAGCAGCTCGCCTACCAGCGCGGCGAAGCGAAGGGAGCCGTAGCGCCGCTCCAACCGGACTCCCTGAGGGAAGGAAGGAAGGAAGGAAGGAAGGAAGGAAGGGGAAGGAGGAAAGGAAGGAGGAAAGGAAGGAGGAAAGGAAGGAGGAAACGAAGGAGGAAAGGAAGGAGGAAAGGAAGGAGGAAAGGGGGGAGCAGGTGTAAGCTCGAGAAGCAGCAGAAGGTGCGGCGAAGTGGCAATGCCGAGCGATGTAGGGTTTGGTCCTGCGGCGTAGACTGCGTTGGCAGTGGCGGCTGGCAATCCATGGACCTTTTCCTTCCTTCCTTCCTTCCTACGGATACCCCGCGTGTCGCGCGCATGTACCAAGCATCCCGTGTGCCCCAGCATGTTGTACCGCCCCCGCCTACCTTCCACAGAAGGCTGCTCATGTTGTACAGCACGTGGGTCTGCGGGGGGGCGGGGGCGGTGGTGGTGTAGCTGGTCAGTAGCGTCTAGCGTTTGATGAGGACAGGAGGCTGCAGCGGACGGCTTCCTGGTTGAACCGGATTATGGCGAAGGGTAAGACGCAAGGGAGGGAGCAACACCCGAACACAAAGCATGCGCAGGCAACTAGGCATGCATGGCGTGGGAAGTGTTTGGAGTCACCTCGGGAGGCGACGATGGGAGACGACTACGGGAGGCGACTATGGGAGGCGAGGGCACCAGCGCTGCTGCTGTGCTGCTACTACTGGTTATGCGCAAGCAGCCGAGGCTGGCCCCGAGCTGAATGCCCTACCACGCATGCCACCCTGAAGCCCTTCCGCATACCGCCCTTCTGCATCCCTCACCCTCACCCTCGCCCCCCAACCCACCCTCAGCGACACGACCTGCATGCAGTGTCCCTGCGATACCCCAGTGTCCACCCGCACCGCCCCCCCTACCTCATCTACATGGAGGAATGCTGAAAGCACCAGCCGCCGCCACTGGCCCTGAGGACCAGGGAGAAGGGGTTAAGTGTTACATGGCTTGCAGCACCGGGATAGGAGCCGAGAGCATAGTTTGGGCTTTAGGGAAAGGCTTGGCTGTGGTAGGGGTTCTTGGACGAGCCCTGTTAGTGGGGGCCCGAAGAGGGGATGCCGGAGAAGAGGCCGACGGAGTGTGCAGTTGGTGTAGTGAAGACATACAGGGTCTGAAAGCAGGAAGCGCTGTCGGAGGATCGTGACTCAATTTGGGTGCCATATGAACTCTATGCGAGAGTCGTGCACGGAGGGAGCATGCCATATGGATGGGCAATGACGGGTTGTTTGAGTGCACGGCGTACCTTCAGGACGAGACGAGGCTGCAGGCAACATTCCCATAGTGATAGCCCGACATATGTAGCGCCCCCATCGACTCCAGTAAAGTAAATCCAGAGATTTGCTGCGGTCAGTTGGGGGTTAGGGTCCCAAAAGCAAAGTCGCTGAGCTCATCATGTCTAAGCAACATCCAGGTGTCCCACGTGACGCTAAACAGAAGCTTGCCTGCTATAAGCGCAATTGTCACTGGCGGTTTATAGTTTAACTGCGACACCTGTTGAAACAACTGTGCCAAAAGAAGGATGTTGTAATGGTTTCTACGCCGCTGATACATGGTATGCGTGTGTCCAGGACGATTAGGTATGAGGCAGAGTTACAGTGTTGTCGTCAGTGCATAGGTTTGTCTGTGGCATGTGCAGGGCTTAGCAGTAGCTTGCGCGTCACAGGGCCCCTTGCTTCTCGGATGGTCTTTGGGTCGTTAACTCACAGTCGTCAGATCTGTATCGATCCTATCACAGACTTGTGCAAATTTCCAAGTGATACATCCTTAAAAGCCAATTACACGCATTTTGTTAAGGGGGCTCTGACTTTTCCGGGTAGCTAAGTAATGCAGAGGCTGGCCGGCAGCCAAGCCGGCTGCTTAGGCCACTGTAATGTACAATTAGGCAAGAAGTTGGTACCGCAGCGGCCAGCTCTAGCAAGGCCCTCCCATGGCTCGCGGCGAGGAAGCGTTGTGGTTCAGGCGGTGCGTATGATAGAAATTAGTGCGAGGATTTAACCTAATGGACATTACAGCTTTATAATCATCTACATTTTACGTGGAATGCGTGCAGCGTAAACTAGCGCACTTGCGGAAGAAAATGTGGAAGGAGGCGGGGCCGCCACCCGACCTAGCTACACGCTTATTCTCCGAGCGCATCATGTATCTGGTAAGACCTGCAAATCAAACCCTGGGATGGGGGAGGACCAAGTCGTGTCAGGCTGACATGCTCGCATTTGGTACACAGGGCCTGCCTATAGATTCTTCTGTCGCGGAGCTGCTCACAGCCCAGCTTTTCGTACTCGTACAAGAGGCGCCGGACCCGATCTTCTTTTACATCAACTCAACAGGCATCGCGGTATGAAGGGTTTGGGAGGAAACCCCTGCTGCTTATCCCCACGTTCCCACCGCGTCCGCACAGCTCGCAGCCGGTCACATCTGGCCCTCCGTAGCCCCAAGCAGCGTCCCCGAACCCAACACGCGCACCTCCCGCACCCATGTGTTTGCCTGCAGAAATCCACCACCAAGTTTGGTAACGAGCACGAAGCCATCGCGGTGTACCACATGATGAAGGGCGTGCAGAAGTTCTGCCCCATCTACACGCTGTGCGTGGGCAATGCCTTCGGAGAGGCGGCGCTGCTGCTGAGCGCGGGCTCGCCGGTAAGAGCTCCCTTCAGACGGGCCCTTGGGTGTGAGCTGTGAGGGTGCCGGGAGCCGCAACGGTGCACAGGGACAGGACAACCAAAAGGGCAGCCAGGAACACCTGGCCCCCCTCATACACACACACACACCTTTGCATGCGGGCCGTCCCCCTCCAGATCTCACTCTCAGTCCAAACCCAACTCCTGCCTTGCACTCCACCTTCACCATCACCGTCCCACCCACCAGCATGCCTCGCTGCGCTCATGCCACCCTCTCACGCTCCTTTCCTCACCGCCTCCTCCCCCAGGGCAAGCGCGCCTCGCTGCGCTCCTCCACCATCATGCTGCGCCAGCCGCTGCAGCGGCTGAACGGCATGCAGGCCTCAGACATCGACATCTACCGCAAGATTACTCGCGAGAAGACGCAGACCATGGTGGGTGGGGGGTGTTGGGGAGCAGGGTGAGGGTGGGGGGCCTGGGGACGCTAGGGCAGAATGCCGAGAGAGAAGACGCGTGTTACGGTAGGGTGGGTTGAAGAACAACTATCTGTTGACTGCCCGCCACCACATACGCACCTGCTCCCTGCTGCCTCCACCGCCACGCCTCCCTCCCGCCTCCCGCCAGGCCAAGTACCTGGCCGCCTGCACCAAGAAGACGGAGGAGCAGATCACCGCCGACTTTGCGCGGCCGCGCTACTTCAACCCCTACGAGGCGGTGTCGTACGGGCTGATCGACACGGTGCTGGAGCCCAAGGAGGAGCGGCAGGTGTTCAAGGACTGGCACAAGATGGGCAGCGAGATCGCGGAGCTGGGGCTGTGGGAGGACGAGGAGCAGCCGCTGCCCACAAGTGGGTCTGGGGGGGCAGGGAGGAAACAACTAACTGGGGGGGGCGGGCAGGGAGGGAGGGAGGGAGAGGGGCGTGGGAAGGGAGTAATATAGTGGAAACGGGCAAGCTGTAGGACACGGCTTCACCATGTGGGAAGGGAGGGAGGGAGGGAGGTGTGAAGCATGCCGGAGAGGCCTGTGGAACGGGTATTGTGAAGACGAAGAAGAGAAAAGGCAAAATAGAGGGTAACGGAGGGCGGCCTTGGAAGAGGTTGGAGACGGCAGTATGACGCTTGGGGTCAGCGGCAGGGAGACAACAAAGCATGCAACACACCAAAACACGGCAGGAAAGGCAGCCGCCGGCAGACGACCGGTTTAACAGCACTGCAGGCCCGGGAGGGCGAGGCGGCACCTCCTGTTGGGGGATGGGCCGCAAGCAGCGGAGGCCGGGGGTTCCCGGCCGCAAGCCACTACGTAGGGAGAGGCCTCAGGGTGCTGACCCTGCTTGGTGATGGCCGCAGATCCCTCCAGGCCTCCACCCGACCTCCCCCACCCACCCGCTCGCATCTGACCCACCCACCGCCGCGGCTCTTCTCCCCCTCCCTCGCTCCCCTCCCAGACATCATGTACCCGGGCACTTCCCAATATTGGCGCTCCGATTTTGACGGCTGAGGGCGGGCTGAGACTGAGGGTGCGACCGGGGCAGGGCAGCAGCGTGAGGTGCGTCTTCACGTCTTCAGACACGGGCAGAGAGTTACAGAGAGCTGGTACCACAATAGTGGGCGGAGGTAGGAATTGGGACACAGGCTAGCGGGCTGTGACCCTGTGAGCCCCCCGCGCAGCGCGTCTGGGTGTTCATGGACCCGTGAGGCCACCGTCGCGCTCCGGATCGGGGAGGGGAATGACGGGAATGAGGGGGAACAAGAGGTTGCTATGTGGGGATAGGGTATGTAGCAGGTTGTATGCCGGTACTGGAGGAGTTAGCCTGGAGGAGTTGAGCTGTTGTCGCCGTTCCTGCTGGCACAGCCTGCTGTGGGTGTTGATGCTATGGGTATGCAGCGCATGGTTCCGGTCGCTGCCTCCTGTGGCTGTGGTTAGGCATGTGAGCGGCGGCGCGTGCCCTAGCTCGCCTAGCAGCGCTGTGCGAGGAGGCTTAGACACTGTGGAGTGGAGCGGTGTGGTGTGGGGGAGACCTCCCATGTCCTGCCAAGAGCGGCCGCGTTGCTGCTTTGGGGAAGAGCGCAAAGCCGACGTACATGTTGGCTACCGTGTGTAGTGCTGTATGAGGGGAAGTATTAGCAAACCCCGTGGGCTCAAGGCACACTTCCCGCTCAGAGTTCTGGGATGCATATTTGACACAGATGTATCATTCGTTAGTCTTGCGGGTGGCACGCAAGGTGAACAGTAGGGCGGGACCCCTACAGAGCCCTAGGGAGCCCACGGTGCTTCACATGGCGGTGGGTGAAGTGTTGCCAGCTTGTCTGCCGGCCGCATGCCGCTGTGCTGCTGCTGCCGCCGCTGTTTGCTGCTGCTGCCGCTGAGCACGGAACAACCAGGCGCGAAGCATGTCCCGAGTTGCTACCCAGAAATGGCAGAGCTTTAGACCTTTACCTGGTTGCACGGTTAAGGCGCTGCGGAGTAGGGTTGCACCTTCCGTGTATAAGGGATGAAGAGTGCAGAAATCATGGCATTTCGCGTTCGCACTAACGCACATGAGTTATAGGGATGGGGCTTCCGCTGTTCCTCCTTAAACCCGCTCCCCAAGCAGCACGATTCGTACACAAGCATAACCCCGTAACTGCCAGCTATCAATAGGAATCATTACTAAGTGTGGTCAGCCAAGTCATGTGTGAACGGTGTCAAGTACCTAAGCGACCCTATCTAAATGTCGCCCGCCTTCGTGGTGCAACGATGTTGAAACGAGGGCCGTTGTCAAGCAAGACAGGCTGAAGCAACTTGTGGATACCGAAACACACCGCTCATCTGACAAGGGCTTACAAGTATCCGCGCTTGTTGAATTGTTGTACAGCTGGAATCTAGATCAGGCTGATCCAGCTGTCGCAGACGATTCTTGGTCAACATGCATGAAGTTTACGTTGGTTAGGCGCAAGTCACGGTATTATTTTCTTACAATGTATAGCAGGTTGGTGGCAGCTTTGCCAGTAATAAGAGTAGCAAGAAATACCCGCTACGAAGTGTCTGGAGTGTCATGGGAAAACCAATACAACACTAACTCTACGACCCACAACCTACTGATTTCGTGTTGACGTGCAATTCTGTCCGTACGTACGCAATGATCACTTAACTAAAACAGGACCACCAAGGCATCGCATGTTCGTCAGACACCTAACTAGCAACAGCTGTCACATTGAATCACGAGATGTCATGACTGGATACACGACAATATCACAGGGCCGGCATTGTCTAGTCGTGCTTCTTGCTTTGCTCCATGAAATCCTTGCCGTACACATACTTCTTGCCGTACTCCTCGTCCTTGCCGTACTTCCAGTCGTGCTCCTTCTTGTCGTCCTTCTTGCCGTCCTTCCTGTCGTGCTCCTTCTTGCCGTCCTTCGTGCCGTGCTCCTTCTTGCCGTCCTTCCTGTCGTGCTCCTCGTCCTTCTTGTCGTGCTCCTTCTTGCCGTCCTTCCTGTCGTGCTCCTTCTCATCCTTCTTGCCGTCCTTCTGGTCGTGCTCCTTCTTGCTGTCCTTCTTGTCGTGCTCCTTCTTCTCATCCTTCTTGCCATCCTTCCTGTCGTGCTCCTTCTTGCCGTCCTTCTTGTCGTGCTCCTTCTTGTCGTCCTTCTTGTCGTGCTCCTTCTTGTCGTCCTTCTTGTCGTCCTTCCTGTCGTGCTCCTTCTTGTCGTCCTTCTTGCCGTCCTTCCTGTCGTGCTCCTTCTTGTCGTCCTTCCTGTCGTGCTCCTTCTCATCCTTCTTGCCGTCCTTCCTGTCGTGCTCCTTCTTGCCGTCCTTCTTGTCGTGCTCCTTCTTGTCGTCCTTCTTGCCGTCCTTCCTGTCGTGCTCCTTCTCATCCTTCTTGCCGTCCTTCTGGTCGTGCTCCTTCTTGCTGTCCTTCTTGTCGTGCTCCTTCTTCTCATCTTTCTTGCCATCCTTCCTGTTGTCGTGCTCCTTCTTGTCGTCCTTCTTGTCGTGCTCCTTCTTGTCGTCCTTCTTGCCGTCCTTCCTGTCGTGCTCCTTCTTGTCGTCCTTCTTGCCGTCCTTCCTGTCGTGCTCCTTCTTGTCGTCCTTCCTGTCGTGCTCCTTCTCATCCTTCTTGCCGTCCTTCCTGTCGTGCTCCTTCTTGCCGTCCTTCTTGTCGTGCTCCTTCTTGTCGTCCTTCTTGCCGTCCTTCCTGTCGTGCTCCTTCTCATCTTTCTTGCCGTCCTTCTGGTCGTGCTCCTTCTTGCTGTCCTTCTTGTCGTGCTCCTTCTTGCCGTCCTTCCTGTCGTGCTCCTTCTTCTCATCCTTCTTGCCATCCTTCCTGTCGTGCTCCTTCTTGCCGTCCTTCTTGTCGTGCTCCTTCTTGTCGTCCTTCTTGTCGTGCTCCTTCTTCTCATCCTTCTTGCCATCCTTCCTGTCGTGCTCCTTCTTGTCGTCCTTCTTGCCGTCCTTCCTGTCGTGCTCCTTCTCATCCTTCTTGCCGTCCTTCTGGTCGTGCTCCTTCTTGCCGTCCTTCTGGTCGTGCTCCTTCTTGCCGTCCTTCCTGTTGTGCTCGTTCTCATCCTTCTTGCCGTCCTTCTGGTCGTGCTCCTTCTTGCCGTCCTTCTTGTCGTCCTTCTTGCCGTCCTTCCTGTCGTGCTCCTTCTCATCCTTCTTGCCGTCCTTCTGGTCGTGCTCCTTCTTGCCGTCCTTCTTGTCGTGCTCCTTCTTGCCGTCCTTCCTGTTGTGCTCGTTCTCATCCTTCTTGCCGTCCTTCTGGTCGTGCTCCTTCTTGCCGTCCTTCTTGTCGTCCTTCTTGCCGTCCTTCCTGTCGTGCTCCTTCTCATCCTTCTTGCCGTCCTTCTTGTCGTGCTCCTTCTTGCCGTCCTTCCTGTCGTGCTCCTTCTCATCCTTCTTGCCGTCCTTCTGGTCGTGCTCCTTCTTGCCGTCCTTCCTGTCGTGCTCCTTCTTGCCGTCCTTCTTGCCGTCCTTCTTGCCGTCCTTCCTGTCGTGCTCCTTCTTGTCGTCCTTCTTGTCGTGCTCCTTCTCGTCCTTCTTGCCGTCCTTCTGGTCGTGCTCCTTCTTGCCGTCCTTCTTGTCGTGCTCCTTCTCGTCCTCCTTGCCATCCTTCCTGTCGTGCTCCTTCTTGCCGTCCTTCTTGTCGTGCTCCTTCTTGCCGTCCTTCCTGTCGTGCTCCTTCTTGCCGTCCTTCTTGTCGTGCTCCTTCTTGCCGTCCTTCTTGTCGTGCTCCTTCTTGCCGTCCTTCCTGTCGTGCTCGTTCTCATCCTTCTTGCCGTCCTTCTTGTCGTGCTCCTTCTTGCCGTCCTTCTTGTCGTCCTTCTTGCCGTCCTTCCTGTCGTGCTCCTTCTCATCCTTCTTGCCGTCCTTCTTGTCGTGCTCCTTCTCATCCTTCTTGCTGTCCTTCTGGTCGTGCTCCTTCTTGCCGTCCCTCCTGTCGTGCTCCTTCTCGTCCTCCTTGCCGTGCATGGTCTTTTCATGTTCCTTCTGGTCCTTGTATCCATCCTTCTTGTCGTACTCAGCCCCGTCCTTCGTGCCGTCATGCTCCTCAACATACTTGTCGTACTTCTCATGCTGCTCCTTCTCGCCCTTGCTGCCATGATGCTCCATGCCGTACTTCTTGCCGTACTCTTTCTTATGATCCGGCATGTCGTGGCTGTCGCTGTAGCGCTTCAGGTGCTCCATGTGGTGCTTCTTGGCGAGCCCTTTCTCATGTTCCAGCTTCTCTCGGCTAGCCATGGCATGGCCGGCCAGGGCCAATACCAGCACTAAGGTGATGACCAAAGGCCGAGACATACTGCTGATGACTACCAGCACTTGATTGACTGCTGTGCTTTATCAGATGTTGTCAATGGGTTGGACTGCTGTGGTGATTGTCAATTGGGGTATGTTCGCTTAAATAAGCTTGTCTGGTGGAAAACGCTTGAACAGGATAAACTGCCGTACGGTTGCCTAGACAGCCACATGCATGGCCTGCTGGTGGCGAACCTTCCAAGATGAGATTGGACCATCCAATGCTATGTCCACATGTACTATAGACGTCAGTCTGATTGTTAGAGGACATAGGTGTACCGTTTGGTACCTTGGTTAGTAGATGTATGTCGGTCGAAACAATACCGGTAGCTGCAGCTGAGTAAGCTAAAGCGGTGCGAACCCAATTGGATTTCTGTTTAGGAAGCTATGGTAGGCAGTCAAGCAACGTAGCAACAGACGAGCAGCTGTGCCCTGAGGGCTGAGGGTGATTGCACCTATACTTTGCACCGTGTGCCATAGCCCGTGGGGGTGCACCCAGAATGGGGCGCTTCGTGATGTTATGTTACATTGCGTCACCATGCATGTATGGTGACTTTCCGTTCACATCTCTTCACGCCGCGCCTTCCTGCCCCCGTTTCTTGCGCCCCCGTTTCTCGCGCATAAACCTAACAGCCAGACCGACCCACACGTGTCGTCCTCCTTCCAAAACGTAAGGGCATAGGCGATACCGGTAACAAGAAGATGCAGAAAGCCAGGAACCATTAACAACCATGCGACGTCCTCTACTTACTAATGTATAGACCAAAGCTACTACATCCGCATACTTCTTGGTCAGCTAGGTACTTTTATGATACAGCGCGTGCAGGGTAGCTGCTGCCGGCCAACCACTGGTTCCACAGCTCTTTGCACGACTTCTACCACCCCACACCCGTCCCTCATCAACGTGATCGGCACACTATTGCGCTCCCTAGTTACCGTACAGCCCCCGTTGTCAAGCCCTCAGAAAGGGATGCAGCAGCAGCTCCTCTGACCCACGGGTCGCTCGCAGCAGCTGCGACAGGAAGTCCCAGCCCGCTCCCTCCGCCTCATCCAGGAACTCCACCATGTGCTGCAGGGCGGGGTCGTCTGCGCAGTACTGCCGCAGTGCCGCGACGTCATCCTGGTAGATGTCGAAGAGGAGGCGTGTGAGGGTGGTGCGGGGCAGCGAGCCGGCTGGGGAGGTGGCGGTGGCGGCTGAGAAGACCTCCAGCAGGGTCAAGGCGATGGCCTGCGAGGGCAGAAGCGGCGTTGCTAGGGAGTAAGGAAAGGCAACCTGTGGTTGCACATTAAGGAACGTACTTGGGAAGCAGCGAAACGAACCAGAAGCATGATTTGACCATGTACACGTTACTCCAATGCCATTCAAGCCCCGTTTCTAGGGGCCAGCCGCCCCACATACTATCGATCTGAGCCACGCACCCCTAACCGCTGTTAGCTACCTGCAGGTCGTGTCTGCGGCCCTCCCGCGGCGCGGTGCTGTCGATATCCTGCCCTGGCAGTTGAGGCGTGGACAGACCCAAGGGCCCACCTGCGGGGAGTGCGAGCCCATCCAGTTCAACAACAACAACGTGGCCATGCAAAGCAATACAACACAGAGGTGCGTCGTGTACTTCTGATTCAGAAGCGCCTCCCGTGTGCCGGCAGCAACGCAAGACGCGACGGGTGGTCCAACCTACCCGCGGGATCTAACCGCCCGAACCCAAAGTTGTCCAGCTTCACAAACAGCGACGCCGCGTCGGCATCCTCTGTGGAGCTCACGAATATTGTGCCGCTCGACAGAGACCCGTGGGTCACTCCGGCTCCATGGCAGAACGCCACTGCTCCCAGCAGCGACCGAGCTAGCGAGCGTAGCAGTGCGTGACGAGCGCGCCACGCCTCCGCCTCCGCCACCTCCCTGCTGACACATAAAACAAATCAGCATGTTGCATGTGCCGGTATCGCCTCCACAAGCGCAAAGTACCGGTAGCAGCACCTCTATGAGCTGCCTTTCCATAACATGTTCAACCACTTGCCCTTCATGCATTTCTGCAGCCTCTGCCCTTACGGTAACAGCGAACATACACACCCCATCTTTCGGCAATCACAGTACGTTTCGCCTCGCGGCCAGTTATTTTAACACACCCCTTTCCCCACCTCTTTTTGAAGAACCGCGCCCCTGCCGGCGGCTCCGGCGGCCGGACCTCCTGCAGGTACATGTGCAGCGGCTGCATGCCCTCCCAGCGGTACACCAGCCACACGCTGTCGGCCTCCGCATCCATGGACAGCGCCGCCGCTTCCTGGGTGGGCGCGGAGGTGAAGTAGCCCAGCAGCGGTACGACAGGGGGGCTGCGGCTGGTCGGGGTGTTGGCGGCCTGAAAGAGGAGGGAGGCGGAGGGAGGAGGAGGGGTTGTGGGAGTGCAGGTGCAGGTGCGGGGCATGGGGTAACGAGGAAGGAAGTAACTGTTAGGAAAGCAAGGCATGGGATTAAAAGGGATACATATTCAGGCATGGGATGGGGATAAGGTGAAGTTGATGTACGGAGTAAGGAAGGAGGAGGCCAAGTCAGGAAAGGGTTGAGGAGGATGGTTAGATAAATTGAGCCGCGGGAGCACCGATGCAGAGTGGCGACTGCAGTCCTATGTTACGTGATGTGCGAGAATCCTCTCATCATGTCTCCTAAGCGATGGAACGGAGTCCCTCCTGCCAGTGACGCTGTTGTTCACCGGCGACACCCGCCTCTCGAAGGGTGTCGCGGTTCGTACCGTGTACTGGTCCTCAGGAAGACCGCACAGCTTGGACATGACCAGAAGTTCGTTGTAGGCAACCGCCTTAGCAACCGGCAAGTACTCCTGGGGCCGGGGAAGGGAGTACAGACATGTGGAGAGCTTGAAAGTGGCCAACATGACAGGTACCGCTGCATGGCAGTGGTTGGACGCCTCCCCACACCTCATATTCCTTGCAGTAATAATCAGGTATCACAATCTTCGCACCACCCTGCATCGTTGCATGGGGCACCCCACACCAGGCGCATGGGGCCTCAGGGCCTCCCCTCAGGGCCGGTCCCTGCCTGCCTTGAGCAGCACCGTGAGGGGCCGCTGCATGGGCAGCCGGGGCAGGAAGCGAGCCGCGTAGGCGATGACCGCGGTGGCGCCCTCCACGGCACCCCCCGTGTCCTGCGGGCAAGCGGGCAGGCGGGCGGGCAGGCGAGGGCAGCATGGAGCAGGCATGTCCAGGACACCCGCAAGTCCCACTATGAACGCCACTTGCTGCTGCTGCTGCACCGCTGCACGGCAAGCCAGATCCGCGCTACCTGCCCCATGCAGACTCCCCCGCCCCTCCCGCCTGCCTACCCGCATGACGCTGATGCGCCCCAGCTGCTGCAACACCTCGAAATCGTCCGAATCGAAGAATCCGGGCCCAATTTCTCGAAACACGCGCTCCTCCAGCTGCAGCGACTGCAGCCAGCAGGGGATTTGAAGTGGAGGTGCGAAAAGGAACATGCGGGCATTGCCGTGGTGGGATATTCAGGGGGCCTTCTGGCCCTTTGGCCCTTGTGCGGGTGTGGCGGCACCTTAGTGATGAGTAGGTGTGACGGTTGGAAAGTAAGCCCGCCAATACAGGAAATGCTTCGGCGACAACAGCACATTCGGTAGAAAGTATTAGAATGCGCCATAATTTTAGGAGAGCGCTGGGAGCTCGAGGAGATCGCAATAAGCGCGACCGACCTGCAAGCCGAAGACACCGCTGCTCCTCGCCTCCTCAAAGCCATGATAGCTTTTCCTCAGTTCTTCATCGCCTATTGTTGCTCGCAGTTTGGCAGCTTGAGCGCTGAGCATGCGTGCGAGCGCATCAATGTCGCCCGACCCTGCTTGCTCATCTGCATCCGCTTGACACGGTCTTAGCTGGCGCCGCTTTTCTGGTTGCTGTCCAAATCCTGTTTTCCGATTCCCAACATAGCGCGCTGCTGCATGCCTTTGGGTGCTGCACAGGGACCTCCTTCCGCCGGTGAGCGACTGTGGTTGGACGTTCAAGAACATCTGAGTTATATTACACAGCTGTTAGCATAAATTACAAGTTCTATAACTTCCTACTTTCCCTGCTAACTGTCAACCGTTCGCCAACTGCGACGCTAACCGTCGACACGGTGTTTGCTCGTATTGCTCGTCCATTCACGGATAGGCGTAGAAAAATACACCCCCAACTTGCAGCGTCTGCAAGGGATACGTGTTCAAGCGATTGCAGCAGCTGTAGCCCCCTTGCCTTGCTTACGATTTGGGGAAAGCATCATGCTGACACTTGAGCTAACACCTTGTTCCAGGGCATCTATCTGTTAGGTAGATGAGAGCCTAGGGTAACACAACTTTCCGGGTTATGGCCTCTCGGTAGCCAAACATCTTGCGCCTGTGCTACCTTGCACAAGGTTCATCTAAGGAAGCACTCCATATCCATTACAACACCAGGGACGAGGAAAGGAGGCGGTTGGAGGAAGCTCGAGTCACGCCATGTTGGACCTCCACTATGTCTTGATAGACCACGTGGGCTGCTGGGCCCCATGCAGCTCGCGTCGCACTTAACCAATGGACACAAAACGAGTTACAACAGTTGCAAAGCGCATAGCAAGAGCAAGAGTCCGAAAGTACACTTGATAGTGCTGCCAACGCAAACCCTGCAAGCTTTCTGTGCTGAGATGTCGAAGGTGTCGAGGTTTAACAATAAATCATTCAGTTCTTAACCGCCAAAAAACTCAGTGGAGGGGCTGTTTTTACACGCATACTGCCTGCGGCTTTCGACGACACGACATACGCTACCAGCCCTAGACACTCGCGTGCACCCCTGCCCAGCTTTCAAACAAAACCCCCTGCTGTCCTAAATCGCGACAAACCAAAATTTTGAGATGAGCTCCCAGCGCCTAAAGGCAGCCGCAATCCACATGCTGCATGCCCTGCGGCCATTACGGTCACCCGCGTCTCACTTGAGACCAATCCGGTTCCTACCAGCATAGCATCCATGAGCTATCGCTCCCTCATCACGCGCTGTCTCGCCAACAGCCAACAGCACGGAAAGCCCGCCTGTAACCCCTGCCGGCTCCAATGCTCAACAAGCCACCCAGGCCGCTAAGCCCACGACCGACACCTCCCTCCAGTGCAGGCCGCACTCCAACGCATCGCAGCCGCTTAGTAGCGGTAGTGCAGGGGCTTGTAGGGGCCGTCCACGGGCACGTTGATGTAGGAGGCCTGCTCGGGCGACAGGCGGGTGAGCTTGGCGCCCAGCTTGGGCAGGTGCAGCGCCGCCACCTTCTCGTCCAGGTGCTTGGGCAGCACGTAGACCTTCTTCTCGTAGCGGCCGGTGCTGCGCTCGTTCCAGAGCTCCAGCTGGGCAATCACCTGCGCGCACACGTGAGCTTGAAGTTATAGTAATGGTTGAAAGAGGTGAAGCCTGTCCCTTGACAAGACAACAAGCGATCATTACTTTCCCACGAGTCTTGGCTAGCCTTTTGCTTGCTGACCCCGCAGTCCAGACCTGCATCAACATTATAACATGGCTTTCCTCAATACCCTCGCCGCCCTAGTTCCAAGCCTCGACCCACACCCCACACAACGCACCTGGTTGGTGAACGAGCACGACATGACGAACGAGGGGTGGCCGGTGGCGCAGCCCAGGTTCAGCAGGCGGCCCTCAGCCAGCACAATGACGCCGTGGCCGTCGGGGAAGATGAAGCGGTCCACCTGGGGCTTGATGTTTTGGCGCTTGATGCCGGAGAAGCCGTACAGGCCGGCCATGTCCACCTCGTTGTCGAAGTGGCCAATGTTGCCCACAATGGCGTTGTTCTTCATCTTGGCCATGTGCTCAGCCATGATGATGTCCTTGTTGCCGGTGGTGGTGATGAAGATGTCGGCGGTGTCGACCACGTCCTCCAGGGGCAGCACCTGGGTTAGGGCGGTTGTTGGTTGGGGGGGTGGCACGGAAAGAGTAGTTGAATGGTTGGGCATGTGAGCGTGGCGGGCAGCGGGTCATGTTTTTGGGCTTCTTGAAGCTGCAAGTAAATGTGTAACCCCATGGCAGGCCATGCCTTGCAAGGCATCCACGAAGCAAATCCGACGAATGGTTGGAAGCCTCATAAACTATAGCAAACCGGCGCCCATAACCCACAGAACCACTGACACCCGCCACACGCCCCCACCACCAGCTCCCACTTGACCCCACCTGGTAGCCCTCCATGCAGGCCTGCAGGGCGCAGATGGGGTCAATCTCCGACACCACCACACGGGCACCCGCCGCCTTCATGGCGCTAGCGCAGCCCTTGCCGACGTCACCGTAGCCGGCGATGAAGGCGACCTTGCCGGCAATCATGACATCGGTGGCGCGCATGATGCCATCGGGCAGCGAGTGGCGGCAGCCGTACACGTTGTCGAACTTGGACTTGGTGACCGAGTCGTTGACGTTGATGGCGGGGAACAGCAGCGCGCCGCTGGTCTGCATCTCGTACAGGCGCTTGACGCCCGTGGTGGTCTCCTCGGACACACCAACCACCTTCTTGGACATGCTGTGGAGGGGAGGTGGTTAAGAGCGGAAGGTGAGGAATACAGGCGGATTGCAGCATGGATGACAGCGTTCCCATGTTTACTGAGCAGGTGTAGCTTCAGCGAGAGGCAGGGCCTTTGTGCAGGGCTGAAGGGCGTCCTCATGTGGGTTAGCGTTGAAGGGGGTGCGATCGCTTACCGGGTCCACTTGGTGGGGTCCTTCTGAATGGTGTCGCGGATCAGGCCCAGCACAATCTTGAACTCGGCGTTGTCGGTGCTGTCCGGGTTGGGCAGGGTGCCGTCCTTGGCGAAGGCGGCCTCGGCCTTGGTGCCCTCTGCAATTAGCGGAGACACCAGATAGAGAGACCCACATCAAGTTGAGACCAAGGATCGACCACCAGGCCAACACAGATTACAGCAGCAACAGGACAACGCTCTGGGCAACCCAGGGTAAAGCGTATGTGAGTTGACGAGCCCCTTGAAGTAAATCACATTCTCCTAGCCATGGCGGGACGGCATTGCTAATTCGGCTGCTTTCCCCACCGTGGATGAGCAGGGTAGCATCGCCACCGTCATCGACCAGCAGGTCGGGGCCGTCGCAGCCAGCCCAGGTCAGGGCCTGCTCGGTGCACCACCAGTACTCCTCCAGGGTCTCGCCCTTCCAGGCAAAGACGGCAGCCGAGTCACGGGCGATGGCAGCAGCAGCGTGGTCCTGGGTGGAGAAGATGTTGCAAGAGCACCACCGGACCTCAGCGCCCAAGGCCGTGAGGGTCTCAATCAGCACAGCCGTCTGGATGGTCATGTGCAGGGAGCCGGTAATCTTGGCGCCCTTGAAGGGCTGAGCAGGGCCGAACTCGCTGCGGCACGCCATCAGGCCGGGCATCTCAGCCTCGGCAAGGTCGATTTCGATGCGGCCGAAGTCCGCCTCGGCGATGTCCTTGACCTTGTACTGTAGGTGTACAGAAGGGGGAAGGGGACGTGCGCTTGTAAGGAATAGCTTGATAAGCACAAGCCATGTTATGATCCTGTAACGCAGGACCGAGCCACGCCGACGAAGTTCTGCTATCTTATTATGATGTTGTTGCCATAGGGGAACAATATATGAAAGGCGCAGGCTCCGAGGGCGCTCCCAAGTCGATTGATCCGTCGGCTGGCTTGCACTCCGAGCCCCAAGACCGTCGTCCCATATGAAATAAGCTCTATATTCTAATATAACAGCATACGCGGGGAAGCATGTGCAAGTAAACGTTTGCTTATGTGCAGCTGCCGCCGGCACCTATTGCGTGGCCAAGATCGTCGCACCTCGCGGCCATTCACGGTGTCCACTGAGAGAGACATTTTGTCTGGTTCCTAAATCAACACGACCCAAGTCAGATAGGGTTAAAAAGGGAACAAAATCTGCTCGGTTCTGGGATTTATTCTCCCGCGTTAGAATCGTACGGAATTGAGCTCCCCTGTAGTCACTGAGCGCATCAGAGTCCAGCAGGCGTGCTTGAAATTTGTCCTTTTGTTTTACAACCACATACGTATCAGGGTGTCCTAGGTGGAAACTGTGGCACACAACGGCCGTCCGCACGATGGCACCGGTCACTCCACGCACAGCTTACAGGGAGTGTAACCAAACCCCTATACACTAGGGAAAAATAGGCGAGTCATATGTACAGTATCCACTCACTCCCACGTGTCGCGCGCCTGTCAAAGGGTCGCAGCAAGAAAGCTGGCGTTTGTGAGAGATATATACCTTTAGTCTGACACACGACAGCATACTCCTTCGACCCGTCAGGGATGAAAGGGGGCCAAGAATGCCTAAAGACAATACCACCTAATGCAAAACCTGTCAAAGTTTCACCGAGGGTCAAAGATGTGGGCGTTACGGCTAATAGTCCCTGTCACTCCATCCGCTGTCATGCTTATGCACCCGTATGCACCCGCCAAGCTACTGCATGAACACCAATTACGGTGCTTCTTGACCTTATCGCACGCCCCACGAGGCTCGCCCATTGCACTGCCACCTAACCAAACAAAGCGTTCATCTGCACTGCCTGCAATCCCGTACACTCCGCAACGTGACGCCTTTCTGCACGCCTCTCCGCATGTGCCGCTTAGATGTATCGCTTAGCTCCCGGCCGCTGCGTCTCCTTGATCTTCTCCTCCTCGATCTTCTTCTTAATCGCGGCAATGTCAACCACAACCTGCATTACACGGGTTGGGCACAGTAGGGTTTGTAAAGGGCTAGGGCACGGACATGATGGAAGGATCCGGACAGTCCTTGCATACGCTCCCGAGCAGGGGTTGGGCGGCAGGGGTCACCGGTATGGCTAGCAACCGAGCCCGCTATGGACGACTTGGCAGCGTCGTCAAGTTACCATGCAAAGCTGCGCCAAAACAGCTACCTACCGAGTCGTTCATCTGCAGGAAGCGCGGGACGCTCTCCTGCTGCTTGGCGGCGCGCAGGAACTGGCCGCGGTAGTAGAGCACGGTGTCGATGTGCTGCTTGTGCTGCACCGCCAAGTCCAGCGCGCGCTCGAAGCGGAAGAGCTTGATGTTGAGCTTAATGGCCCGGTAGATGAGCCCAGCCTGCGCAAGTCGCAGCGACCCATGGGACGAACGTTTAGCCAAAGCGTTGCAAGGGACACGACTGGTACCTCCTGTAGGTAACGGTACCCTATGCTGCTTTTAGCCCTTGGGCCAGCACCCACGGCCCTGCACGAGTAGCAGGATACCTGGCCACATCCTTCAGTCGTCACCTGCAGCAGGATGGCCTCGGCCTCCTCCGGCTTGCGGCGGTAGACGGCCAGCTGGGCGTTGCGGCCCTCCTCCGTCGGAATGAGCTTCACCTTGCGCACAAAGTGCGTCTTGTCCACCTCATCAATGGCAGCGAACGCCACCTGAAAGGCATCGCGCATCCGTGCAAGTAGACGTCAATCGGTGCCCTAGAATGAACGGTACCTCAACTGAGGGTGCATGGAAGACACAAAGACCAACTGCCATGCGTGCAGCATGCATGCATATTGCCCTTCACTGTGTGTATTTGAACCGAAGGTATGGCATTACTCTCATGTGCCACCCCTGTTATTGCGCCCCGAACCCACGAACCTCTGCGGTGTTGAGCTCCTTCGCCGCCATGGCCATGGCCGCCAGCGTGGCCCACATGGTGGGATCCTTGATGAACCGGCACAGCCGCGTCGCTTTGTCCCACTGCTGCCGCCGTACCATTTCGTACAATACAGCTGGGTACGGCGAGGTCGCGGCGGAGACGAGGACGCCGTCGGAGCGGCGCACCAGGCAGCGGTTGCCGGCGAAGAGCTGGATCTGCGCCGACTTGCCAAAGTCCGAGTCAGACTTGGTGTAGCGGGTCTTGGTGAGCAGGTCCTTGTCCACGTACACCTCCGAGGGGTAGTACCACACGCACTGCGCGCATGCAGGCGAACAGGCGATAGTAAGAATGCAGCGTCTTAAGGGGAGACCGCGGTGCGTGGCTGGTGTTAATTTAGGGGCGGGCATAAGGCATCCGGCCGGTACAGGGTTGTTAAGAGGGGTGAAGCAGGCAATACTTTCGGCCCCCTAGGGGCACTATGCACCTCCACGGCAGCAACCTATACCTTCCTTCCGCCATTGTGTCACGACCCTTGCCCCTACTCCACCCCAACCCACCAGCCGCTGGTCCACCATGGCCGCCAGCATGGCTGTGGAGTCGTGCCAGCGCGCCGAGTCGCACATGGCTGCCAGCTTGGCGATGTTGCGCTTCATGACGGGCAGCAGGTAGAGGTCGCGGTTGCGGTCGATGATGATGAGCTGGCGGTCGTTGATGGTGCCCGCCTGGCTGAGCGCGATCTCCTTCACCTCCAGCGTGTGGGACCAGGGCTCGCCCAGCGGCCGGCCCTGGAAGGGGGAGGTAGGTAGACGCCCGCAGGGTCAGAACCACCGTGCCGACGTGTGCGCGATGCCCGGTCAAGGCACATTCGGCCAAGGCATGCAAGGTGCAGCCCCTGATCACGCCACATGTCCCCATCCAGACCTACCTGCGCCGAGTCGAAGAAGCGGATGGTGGTTCCCGAGGCCTGCTGGTCCAGCACTGCGATGCTGTCGTTGGAGAGGCTGATCATCTGCGCGTTGAGCAGCTCCGTGCGCAGGCCCTGGAAGCGCGGGTTGCAGATCTGGCGGCCCTCGTAGGTGTAGATCTGGATGCCCGTGGAGTTGTCCAGCAGCAGGAAGTGCCGCTCAGCCTGTAGGGGGTGAGTAGAAAAGGTAGATTGGGGCGGAGTAGTGCGTGAACAGCATGGACAATGTGAGAATACCGGTATAGAGCATGCAGATCGTTTGTTATGCGCGTGCAGGTAGGACCACATCTGACCCAAGTCGTCCTGAACCTTTTTCAGTTTTCATCCTGGTATCTTTCTTCGTCCGCACCTGCAGCAGCAGCGTGACGGTGTCTTTCAGGTCGAAGATGTGCGGCGTGTTGAGGTTGTTGGTGTTATACACGTGGCATTGCGTGGCGGTGGCAACGATGAGGTAGCCGTAGCCTGCGTGCAATCGCAATTGGGATGTCAGGCAGGCTACAAACACGGGCAGGCAAGGCCTGGGCACACTCATGACCCACAATTCCTCCACCCTGATAGACCCCGCTGCAGACGCCAAAAGCGTGCAGATCACCCAGACTCGCGCCAATCCGCAAGCCACAGCGTCATGCGATGCTCCGGATGCGCTGCTGAAAGAAAGGGAGGAACCAAGGATCCAACCAGCCAGCGGCTTGCCGTGCCGCATCAAGTACTCACCCAGGGACACCTTGATGACGCGGTCCCTGAACTCCGGCAGCTCGTCCGCGTTTTCGTTGAGGATGTCGTTCACCACGATGCGGTGCTCGTCCACCACCGTCACCTGCGCAGGGGTTGGGGTACAAGACATGGATGGGCGGGTGGTGCGCATTGGGTTGGCATGACGGGCCGACGCCCGTCCCTAGCGGTCGCCGTCAGCCTATACCACAACCAACCCCCGATCCAACGCCAACCTGCATCACCCAACAATCGCTCCCCACCTGCATCTTCCCGTCCTCCAGCGTGAGGTCCACCACCTGCCCCAGCACCACGGCCCCAGTGCCCCCCGCCGCCGCCATCTGCGTGCCGTCAGCCGTCCAGCTGAGTGACATAATGGAGCCCGTCTCCTTCAGGTGCACCTGCCGTTGGGAGCAGAAGGGGTTGCCGGCCGGGACGGTAACCAGGCGTGGGTGATTAGGATTACCGTGCACGCGCTGTCCATGCATGCTGAGGGCTAGGGATGGCCAAGTCCGGATTGGTTGCAGCCACATACCGACATGCGGTGGAGGTTGTAAGAACCAGTGCTTCATGGGAAGACGTTGCAAAGAAGACCTAGAAAGGTAGTTGCGGACAGACGTATATTCCATGCGGGGCCCCATCGCCCGAATGCATGCGCTATCCAAGCGCCGTATCCTCCAGCTTGAACCCATACCAAACCCGCACACTCGTTTTGACTCCCCAGCGTCAGCATCCAGAGTCACGTGGAGCCTGTCCACGCACAGGCGGATGCTCTGAAACCCCAGTGTCTGTTGTTTACCCTATTCAAGGGCCCAGACCGCAATGCCGTGTGTTCCCACCTTGGAGTAGGCCCACCCCATGCGGTCGCATAGCTGCAGCGAGTTGAAGGAGCCCACTGCAAACTGCTCGCCGCTAGGGCTCCACGCCACCGACGTGACAGGGTAGTCAAAGATGCCGCTCTGGTATAGGAGTCTCCCGAAGTTGTCCCACACCTAAGGGCACGATGCATGGCGCACATTCCGGTGGTAAGGGGCAAAGTACATGAAGAGGCAAATTTATTGTAGGCGAGGAGGTTCGGGTGGGTTGTCTATAGCTACAGACACGAGCCTATATACGCTAGCTTTGCGTCGTAAGGAGAGTGCACGGCGTAGCAAAGATTTGCGTTGCGGGCTATCCAGTATGCTATGGGTTTCGGAGGCATGTCTTAGACCCCTACATACTCCTTGGCGCCCGAACCCAATAGGGTTGCCCCCGGCACACCTTGTACTTGCAGTCCTCGCCTCCTGTCACAATCAGGTGGTTGATGGGGCTCCAGTCCACTTTGAGAGCGACCCCGTCGTGTGCCCGCCAAGCATTTTGCTTTGCATTGGACGACAGCGACTTGATCACCACGTTGGAGCCCGTGCAGTAGCAGAGCTGGTCGCAGTCATACGCCCAGACAATCGAGTATACGGGGCTGTCCGCCTGGGCCAGAGTAGACCGCAGCATCCCGTTGCGTGACCATATCTTTACCGACCCATCCTCGCCCGCTGTCGCCAGCGCCGTTCCTGGAGTGTGTGTTCAAGTGGTTTCACGAATATCCCAAACCCCAATCGATCACCCATAGACCCATATCCTTACCGTCGAAGCTCCAGCGCAACGAGATGCACGCACCCCTATGAGCTTCGATGGACTTTTCCACACGCCCCGTCCGGCTCAAGATTTTTACAGATCCTGAAGCAGCCAGAGTTTCGTTTAGCCTTTATAACCAGCGTTTTGCAATGGGCTAACCCACCATCTGTGCAGGCCACAGCGAAGACGTCTGTCCCTCCAGCCTGCGTCTTCTTCGAGCTAAGTGGATACCAATGAAGGTCCGTGTAGTAGGCATCTAGTTGGCAGACCTGGGCATTATCAGGAAGGAGCTTGGATTAACGGACATGCGCTGCATGGGAGAGACGCGGGCGTTGCCGACCTTCTGCTCTGGCTCTCCAAGCATGTTCCATTTGTGAATTGTCTGATCATCGCTACAGCTGTATAGCTCGTTCCAGACATTCCAGCCCACAGCTCCAGTAAGCTCGCTGTGGACTTGCGCTGAGCCCTGCTTGACCTTAAGCCTCATTTATGCCAATCTATTTCTTATACGTGCTTTAATAACATCTATGCGGTATGGGCCATGCTTTGTCCGTAGGCGTCCACACCGCGCCCCCTCAATTCCAATCGAGTTCTACTTGTTAAACTCAATGTAAGTAAAACGATACTTAGAAATGTGCATATACAAGCGTATATGTTCACTCGTGGATGGAATGGAAAACAGGAGCATCGGTGCGCAAGAGAAGGTCGTTCCAGCGTCGTACATGGTTTCGCTAGGCGGTCATTTCCGGCTCCGAAAGAGATGTAACTTGGGAGTTACTTGCCTCGGGAACTGCGAGCCTCGGTGAATGCGTAGCGCAAGACTCTTTAGCATCAGTAAAGCCGTCAGTGTTAGCGATGCACACCACTTTTGGTTTGCTTAAAAACTGAGATTCCACGGTGTGTCGCTAAGCCAAGATGCACCGTCCAGTGCAACGAATCGGCTTACCTTAATTCTTCGGGGTTCGAAAGCTGATAGGAGGGTCACGTCAACGGCCGTAGCGAAGATGCTGTGGGTTGCATTTCTCCTGGTAAGGCGAGCCCCGATGCACTTACCCTACTTCCATACTGTTATTCTTACTCCGTGAAAGCCTTCCTTACTGCCTCTCCTTGTCACGGGCGGCGGGCTGTACCGTTCCCTGTTATCGCCATTGGCAGGTAGCGAGCGGGCTCATTTTCCATGATGGATTAGCATCCGCGTCAGAACAAAGTGGCAGCTCAGATTGGCAGCAGACACATAACTTCAACAAGGAGCGCAAGTTAGCGCTTACGGAGCAGGCACCTATACCCCTTCGTTGTTCAGTGACGAAGGGATCATGGTGTACAAAGTTCTTAATCCAGGAGGTGCGAAGGTTAGGAATTCCCCCATGGAGTTTCCATTTCCCCCTATTGCCGATCCTTGGGGATCTATGTTGTAACTACGGGTGTTGCGTTGCACGTGTAGTTTTCTGCCGTACATTGCCACGTCGTTCCAGTACGCCTCCCGGCCCGAACCAACACCCTGCATGTGACCGTAACCTTCCCTTGCAGCCTATCACCTGGAAACCGGCTCCTCGTGGCAACAAGGAATGCCCTGACAACTGCAACAATGTGGGTCGGTGCAACTACGACACGGGGTACTGCGACTGCCCCGCGGGATGGAGGGGGCCGGGCTGCAAGACACGGCAGAAGCGGCCGTGCACCACACGCCAACGGTAAGCAAGGCGTGGCAGCACTGATTCTATATTTGCAGTAGGCCCAGTAGGGACTGTTGCCCGAGTCCTGAACTCTGGCATGGGGGCTCTAGGGGCTGGATGGGCGCTTTTTTAGGCAACTACTAGGACAATGTATCCATAAATGAGGAAGGCAGTTTAGAAAGTAGAACACGCTCAAGCGTTTGCTGCCTTCCGTTGCTAGGACCCAAATCCTGTGCGTATTCCCCGCGTCCCTCCTGCGTAGGGCGCCAGAAGACCATTCCCCGGACCCAATTTCGTCCATTGGTCCTGACAAGCGCGATACGGATTGGACCGATTTATCACACATTTATTCCCGATGTGGCGGTAGGTACGGACGCCTTCTGCCTCAATTGCTGGGGAGGGTTACCTGCTTTCCTCGCATTAGGAATGGTAACCACGGGAGGTGATAGGCTGCTGTCTGGTGGGAGGACGGCCCCTGGTTAGGTGGAACATGAAAACAGTAAAAAAGCACGCTCTTTCCGACGCATTCTGATGCTTGGCCGACTGGTTACCCATGTTCCAGGCGTCTGTGACGACGACACAGCAATCTGCTACTGTGACGGGCCCATGGGTCGCATCCCTGCTCCGGAGGATTCTCCGCCTGGTACGGCCCCAGCACGTCGTGGTCGGCCGCTAATCACCTACCACATGGCCCCCAAAACGGTACGTATACGAACTCCTAACCGGGTAGGCTCCAGCACATGCATTACGGCAATGCCCCGCGTGCTTCTACTCTCCAACACCCCGGCAAATGCCGCGCACTGGAGACACGCAAGCGCATGCCTCCTTTCTTGACATCACGGGTTGGTGTGCGCCCTCATTGTCGAACGCCGCAGACGTGGGATGGCCGCAAGGCGTTTGGCGACGTAGAGTACGACTTTGTGTACGGTCCTAAGGGCTACTGCAATGTGACCAAGCCTGAATGGGTGGCCGTTTGCGGGCTTGACGACTTGGGCGGGCCAACGTGCGACGATCCGGTGGAGGCGTTCTGCCCAGGCGCCTGCAGCGGCCATGGCACGTGCAACCTGGGATTCTGCATGTGAGCTTGGGATTGCTGAACTGGGTCCAGGGGGCCTGCTAGCAACCTCCTTTCAGCACACTGTTATCAAGCGTGGTGCCATAAGAGGCCCAGCAACATCATAGCCAGGATACCGTACACGCTACAGGAAAAGGAAGGCTCTTTGCTGTGTCTTTGCCTTTCCCATCAAGCTCACCAACCTTGCACCCATGTTCGCAGCTGTGACGAGGGGTACTATGGGCATGACTGCGCACGGCGAAAGGCGGGACTGCCGCTGCAGCCCAGCACCCTTCCCACCAAGCCCTGGCTTGCCTCCGTGCTTCACGAGCCGCCCGCTGCCCTGGAGCCTCCTCCCAAGGCCACTCGCAAGCGGCCGCTTATTTACGTGTACGACTTGGAACCGCTGTACCAAAGCAAACTGCTGCAGTACAGGTACAGTACTGCATCGTGCATGGGAGTGGCTGCCTTGTATTCCTCTAGTAGCGTTCGGCATGCCTGCCAGTGAACCTCGTGGGTGCTTTACAATCCCTCGATCAGGACGTACATGCCTTTACTGTGAGAGCGCCCGCTTGCTGATGGCAGCTTGGAAGCTTCTACCGTTGGCTTGTAATACTGTACATTGCTGTGGCGCAGGGTTTCGCCTACGTGGTGCGTCTTCCGGCGCCATGAGTACCCGAACAACCACACCACGTGGACGGACGTGTGGGTGTATGCGGCGGACACGCTGGTGCACGAGTTTCTGCTGATCAGTGAGCACCGCACCTTTGATCCAGAGGAGGTACGAGGGAAATCGGGCGAGGCCTGAACAGCTGCGCTGAGGCCACATCCGCACCGTGACAGCACCTTCACGCAAGGGGCACCACGGCACCTTTGCAACGCAATGGCGCTGTGCTGTACATGTGGCATGTGAAGCCTGCGGGGCCTGTCCTGCATGGGAACGCGTGCAGCAAAACATGGTTGTAGGGCTTGCCGGTAGTTATTGGCTTCGCTTACCTAACTTCCTTGTATGGTGGCCACCCCCAGGCGGATTACTTCTACGTTCCGCACTATGCCTCATGTCTGCCGTTCCCCATCGGTAAGGCAGGGGCTGGCGCTGGGCCCCTGACGTGTCACGTGGGGCGTTGTGTTTGGGCTGTTGAGGCCAAGGCCCGTATGGTCGAGGTCCATGTGGTCGCCATGTCATGGGGCACCAATCGTTTGCTACGCGCTTCACGTTGCGGTTGTGGCAATGGCCAAGAAGCCGCATTGGCACGCGTTTCAATGCGTTGATTTGCAGCATCTGCCTTTTCCTCTTTTGATGCCCCTTGCGCTAGGACTGATGCCTCCTAGTCCGTTGCTCAGCTTGAAGCCGTGTTTTTCTTTCTCCTCGCATCCGCTTGCTTACTTCTTGCAGGCGTTTGGGCCGATTACCCCTGGTTCAAGGGCCCTGGAGGTGAGCCTAAAGCCTGGTGGCAACCTCTAGGAAGCTGGGCCCGACTGTGGGGTTATGCGTGCAGTTGCTCGTTCTTTCCGATAGCGTCATGAAGCAGGACTAGGGGTATCCTTCGTAGCGTATGGGTGAAGGGCCTTCAACGATCCCGGCCATGTGGATTGTGGGGCAGGTGGCCTTGCGTTACGTGCCTCGTTAGCCCTTGCCCTTGAGGTCTCCATCCATCAACGCACTGCTGCTGTTGCTGTCTTTTGAGCATGGCAGCGCTCCGGCCAGTTCCTGTACGTGCCTTTGACACCTGCTTCCCTGCTCCTCAGGTCCCCGCGTGCGCCAGATGGTTAACATGCTGCTCGAGACGGTCGATTGGATCAACACGACGTATCCCTACTGGCAGCGTCGCGGCGGCAAGGACCACATCTTCCTCTTCACGCATGACGAGGGCGCCTGCTGGGCTCCAAACGTGGTCAACAACTCAATCTGGCTCACGCACTGGGGCCGCATGGACGTGAACCACACGTAAGAAGTTTCCTTGTGCCAGCTTTGTGGTCCCCTGTAGTGCTGTAGACTCTGTGGTGGATGGGACATACCGGAACCAGTGAGCCAGTGTATGCAGCAAGCTAAAATAACACACATACTGATGCTCCACTGCACAACGACGAGGCCCGCTTTCCCTGACCTGTAGGAGCAACACTGCCTTCGTCTCTGACCGATATGATGAGGACTATAAAAGCTGGCAGCAGCCTGAGGGCTTTTTGACGCACATCAAGGGGCATCCCTGCTATAATCCGGAGAAGGTAGGTCGCACACTCATGGGTTAAGGGGATACTGGCAACCGGCGACTGGGGATATCTTGGAAGCTTAGCTCTGTACGCGTTTGGCCTGGGCCGTGTCTGCGAGTGTTCCTGTTTAGCTGTCCTTGCACTTTACTTTCAGCTAGGAAGTGCATGCGTTACGGAAGTGCTGATTTTGCATGCTCTGCGCAGGATCTCATCATCCCGGCCTTCAAGAGGCCCGAACACTACAGACTCAGTCCCCTTGTGTCGGCAAATGCACGACCTAGAGGTACGGCTCGGAAAAAAGACACACCGTGTCTGGTTACAAGGCCTCTTATGGCGCTCTTCCCTGTGCCACGTACCACGCCCACGGAACGCCTGCGGACAAGTGGGCCGTGCAATGTGCGCTGTCGATTAGATGTACTTCATGCCCTTTCTGCGCCGGTTTGGCCCGCACCACCGCAATTGTGTCGGCTTAATGCTTGCTCCCGGCTATTGGGCGCCACGGTCAGACCGGGCTACCGGCACCCTCCATGCACATCGCCCCAGCTAACTCACATGCGGCCCCGATAACATGCAGACAATTTATTCTTCTTCCGCGGCGATGTGGGCAAGGGGCGCCTCGCGATGTACAGCCGCGGTGTTCGCCAAAAGGTACGCAGGAACGCAGCGCATGGCAGGTGTCAGCGAGGCACGTTCCATACTCGGGCCGGCGTGTCGTGCTTTGCTGTGCAGAGGTCATTGATCTTGCGAGCCCCCATTTGATTTTTGGATATTACGATCTTGTTGAGTGTGGTGGTAATTTTGGTGTCTCAGATCTACAAGATGGCCAAGGAGGGCGGCTGGGCAGCCAAGTACAAGTTCTACATTGGAGATGGATCCGATGTCCAGGGCGACTACTCGGACATGCTCTCGCGCTCCACCTTCTGCCTGGTGGCTGCAGGCGAGTGCAGGTTGCTAGCGACGCTGTGTCCTCGAATTCAGTAACAGCCAATGCAACACGTGTGTCGGCATGTGTACGGGATATGTCGTAGTCTCATAGACCTAGCCGCCTAGGCCTTTCTCATCCTTGACCCGCTTGCCAAACTCAACGCACAATACGCTCCTAGCTGAAGGGCATCTCATAGCCTCTCCTTTTGCCAGCCTTGCCGACTTGCCCCTCATGAACCCTCGGCTTACCTCTCGTGGACAGGTGACGGCTGGTCTGCTCGTCTGGAGGATGCCGTACTGCACGGCTGCATCCCGGTCATCATATGCGACAATGTGCACGTGGTGTTTGAATCCATTTTGGACATCGACTCCTTTGCAGTTCGCATTCCCGAGGCGGATACTGGCCGCATTCTGGAGATCCTGCAGGCGATCCCGGAGCGCAAGGTTCGGGCCAAGCAGGCGCACTTGGGCCATGCATGGCACAGGTGAGTAACGCGCAAAGCACAGCTGTGGTGACGGTGGCGTCCGATGCACAGCCCTAGGAAGGCTGCTACAGCTTGTAACAGCTGTCTCCATGCTGTTTTCCCTGCTTCCCCGCTGCTTTCTGGTTTCCTCCCTCGCAGGTTCCGCTACTCCTCGCTGCCCGGATTGGCATCTGAGCTGTGGGGAATGATGGAGAACAGCTTGAAGGAAATACCACTGTCCCCAGCTGCCAACAACAGCAGCCCGACGCCGGATGTGGTCTTCCCGCGGCCATTCAAGGGAGATCCCGCAGTGGATGACGCTTTTGCCACCATCGTACAGTGGCTCTACTCGCGTATTCCACATACAAGATAGGGTTGGCTCGCTTATTAAGCAGCATGGAATGTCCTTCTGACGTGTTGTCCGTGGCATGTAATATGGGTTTTAGTGCCGTGGCAATACAGAGGTTGCGGCCGGCTACTACGGTCCGGTTGTACAGTGGCTGAAATGCTTGTTTTTTGACAGGGAAGGAGTGTCCGCCCTTCGTATATTTCCATGCTATTGCAATCAAGCTATGATTGGTATTCCATATCTGCCTTCTCACACCTATACTGCTGACTGGAAGGGTCCCATCAGGGCCGTCACTGATCCCACGGACTGGTCCCTAGGACTCAAAGACGTTGTGTGAACCCACTACCCTTGGCTTCCACCAGTAAGGTATATCCTGGTCGGTCATGTTAAGCGTATTGGTCGTGGCTTTCGTTCTCAGCAATGCAACACATGCCACGTGACCTGGAGGGTTGCCATGTGAAACTGGGGTGTTATCATATGAGGCCACTGCCAGCCCCTCGCTTCGCATGTATAGGTCTATGTTGTGGTGGGTGCATGTTACGGTACTTTTCGGTCTGCGTTCAAAAGGCGATTGGCGGGATTTTGTTACCGGTAGCTAGGGCTTGCGATGTGTGTGGCTTTTCAGGGACCTTTCTGGAACCAATTTGAGTGGAGCGAGTGGGGCTTACCCAACATCTTGGCCACGTTTCAGATTGCCGCTCGAAATTCAATCTGTATAGGCTGGAGCGCAGCCCAAAGGCATAGTTCTTGGGCCCTGTGCCTCACAGTGGTTTCAGGATGTGGGTGCGTGGCGTCGGCGGTTTACGGCCATCTAGCTGGGCTTGGCCTCCTGCTTTTTGCAGGGCACGACCCCCATGGGTTGGGTGGTCGACGCCCGGTTAGGGCGAATGCCTGAAGGTTGACCTGGCATGTAGGACTTCCGTCATGGCCGGTCCTTTTGCGTAACATACACATCTCTATGTGACTCAATGTACAGACCACACTCACTTCGCAGCCTTAGTCGTTCAAGCGGGCTAACACCTTCGCACAGCTTCCTTGTCGTACCAAGGGCACCGGCCCCACACATTGGATATCATTCCCCCACCAAGATGCATAAGTTGCCAAAGGAGACAAGAGCTCCACAGACTGCTGCGACACTCCACGCTAGTTAACGGCTTCACTCCCAAGGAGTACACCACCCCGCTACCAAGGAAAGAAAGGAATAACCTTCGTGCCGTACCTAACGGAATACTGGTAAACACGCTAGGGCCTGCACGGTAATAATTGCATTCTGCACGGTTAGGCTGAGAATCGGGTGCAATCAAGACCCCGGCTTCGTTATGTGGGCCCTACATGGCTAGAGCAAGCGCACCACAAATGGGCCAGCCTATGGACGGTGCTTCAGCTTCAGTTTGCCAAGTTGGGTCCTTGTTTGATGCAGAGCAGGCTTTGCAGGAAATCTATTCAGCTGTATGCCTAGAACGCTATCCCGAACAATGCATTGCCTCAATCCTTGGTTCCGGCCTTCGCCGCAAAGTTGCTTGATGTCGTACAAAACTGCAATCATGCCATCAATCCTTTATGTGAATCCTTTCCTTATGTAACAGGAACGTTACCTGATCATTTTCGTCTTTAAGAAAAGCTGCAGCACTACTTGGAGGCCGAACTTGAGCTCTGTCTTAACCCCTGGTTTTTGAATAACAAGCTGTGAATTAACGGTGTGCAGTGTCATGCATAGATCTTCCCTTTCGAGACTTAGAAAATGCAAAAAACGCATTACCGGCTTGCTTTAGCTTATTAGTATCGCGCAACTTCCAGGATGGTGAGCATTCAACGGAGTCGCACTTGCCTCTTTTACGTAAGGAAGGCGCTGAATCTAGCTTGAGTTCAGTTATATGGTTCTTCGCGTATTGTCACAGGCTTTTATGCTAGCAATTGCTGTCCTACAAGCAGTCCTGCAAGCAGCTTTCGCAAGCAGCGGCGACCATCTAAGTGGTATCATACAGGAGGGGAAATTGCACCTAAGCGAGGACACAACAATAGCTCTACGCTGCGCAAAGACCAAGGGTGACTGGTGCGCTGCTTTCCATAGCCAGAAGGTAGGATCCAATCTTTCATGGAGACACACGCCCATTAAGAGCCAAGGGCAATTTGTGAAAGGGTGTACGAGACAAACGTCCCAAACCACTGGACGCCGTAGGGATGCTCACCACTAGGCTCCATGGCTCATCCCGCTCGCTTCCGTACACCAGGTCGATAGATCTAACTCTCCCCACATGACACCCGCAGCCCGTGGCCTGGAAACCGGCTCCTCGTGGCAACAAGGAATGCCCTGACAACTGCAACAATGTGGGTCGGTGCAACTACGACACGGGGTACTGCGACTGCCCCGCGGGATGGAGGGGGCCGGGCTGCAAGACACGGCAGAAGCGGCCGTGCACCAATATGTTCCGGTGAGCCCCGCTTCACTGCATCTATAGCGCTGAAAGTCAGGGGCGGGGCGCTGTTTCCCCGGCCCTTCTAGCTCGCTCCTTGCTACGCACGTGCCCTCGAATGCCCTTACCGTTGATCACTGAGTAAGCGCATGGAAAGCCACCTTAGCATGGTCCAGCAAGGTTCCCCATCGCCATCGATGTGCCATCCAGGTCCCCCGAGGATCAGCGAACTGAGCCCATGTCGCATATTGGACCCGACAAGCGGGATTTGAATTGGACCGAGCCAGGATTCACGCCATCACGATGCTATGGTAAGGCACCCCAATCCCTTAACATTGGCCATCTTCAGGTGGGCAGTTGGTATGGGCGAGCAGAGTTGCCCATGAGCCATAGGTGGTGGCCTGTCTCAGAGTAGGAAGATTGAAGTACAATGGCAAGCAAGCAGCATGTGCATCGAGACAGATTGGACAATGCTCTACCCAAGGAACAGTGCTTAATTAACAAGCATTGCAAGCAGTGACCCGCAGATGCAGATGCAGGCGACCTTGCTTCGTGTTTCTATGGCCACGTCCTCCCTGGATAGGCGTTAATGACTTTGTAACTGTCTTGCCACACCCTTCACCTTCCGGCAGGTATTTGTGACGACGACCTGGGGATGTGCTATTGCGATGGACCCATGGGTCGCATTCCGGCACCAGACGATGCGCCTCCGGGTACGCCGCCCGTGCGGAGAGGCCGGCCCCTGTTGGCCACGCACGACATGCCCAGCACGGTACGCTAGTCATGACATAAGTGCCTAATGGTGCTTTCTGGGGCTGGAAACCGTTTCCCCCGAATCCTTCCTCCTTACTTGCTTAGCATCCTTGTCCGCATCCGCTTCGCTTGCAGACCTATGACGGCCAGCCGGTGCATGGAGGACACCAGCCGTATGAGAAGGTGTACGGACCCCAGGTACGTCAGGCTTCATCGCCACGTGCGCCTACCTGCCATACATAAAGCGCCAAGCGTTGTGAACACCACAATAAGGGTGTTAGCGAGCCTTTCTACGTACCGGTAGCAAAAGCGGTCAAACATAGTACCCTGCCTACTAGTATTCACCCCATGTTGTGACCACTTTGGCTAACGCTCCTTGCCATGGTTCCACTCGTCTTTAAGTGTCTAAGTGTCTTCTCGTTCGCCTGCCTCAGGGCTACTGCAACGTGTCTCAGCCATCATGGGCCCCGGGGTGCGGCCCCGAGGACCTGGCCGGGCCTTACTGCGATGAACCCAACGAGGCATTTTGCCCGGGGGGGTGCAGCGGACATGGACATTGCGATCTCGGGTTTTGTAGGTGAGGCCGGAAGAGCGCTTGGGAACAAGCCAATGGCAGGGGGCACTTGGAAGGCGTGGGAGCTGGAAGAAGAGCGAGGAAGGAAGGCATGAACGGCTGTTCAGGTCTGTGCTGACAAAGGACACGGCTAAAAGATGCACGCGCAAGTCGTTCGGGTGCCGGCAGCCCGAGCAGCCTGGACGTAGCAGATGGCCCACGCTGGCACAGAACAAAGTGGGGCAAGTGGTTCTATCGAAAAGCCTGAAACACGCCAGCATTACCCCAGCACGCCACACCACACTAGTTCAATTCCTTTGGATTGTGGTCGCCCGCCCCTTTGCTCAGGTGCGATGTGGGCTATTATGGACACGACTGCGCACGGCGCAAGGCGGGACTGCCGCTGCTACCGAACACCCTCTCGCAGCGGCCGTGGGTGGCGGAGCAGGTGGGGAGGTCTAAGTATTGGCAGTTAATAAATGATGTAGTACCGGTACCCTGGGGAAGGCACAGGACTGGGTGTATCCCCTTTCCCAACAACCCTGCATGGCGGCCTCAGCGCGTACAGCTCCATGGTCAGACTGCAAAGTCATGCCGCCAATGAGGAACTTCAGGCGGCGGCACTCCCTGTTACCTAGTACCTCAGTTCCTGCTCTTTATTGGCACGTGGTGCGGGTGCTATGACGCTTTTCCTTTGGCTGCAGGTACGTGAGCCGCCCGCTGCCCTGGAGCCTCCTCCCAAGGCCACTCGCAAACGGCCGCTTATATACGTGTACGACTTGGAACCACTGTACCAAAGCAAACTGCTGCAGTACAGGTACGGCATGCCGTGGAAACCCTTGCCTAACCCTTGCCACTTTGTATGCGCTGTGTAGTTGTTATTTGGCCCGTTTCAGCCGTTTGAGACCCTTGGTCGTGTGCGCGCAGGCTTGCGTCCGCTTGGTGCACCCACCGCTACTACCAGTACAAGAATGAGACGCGGTTTTCAGAGTGGTGTTATGGAGCCGAATCAGGCATCCACGAATACCTTTTGATCAGCGAGCACCGTACCTTTGATCCTGACGAAGCGGATTACTTCTACGTGCCGTACTACGGCGCTTGCATGATATGGCCGGTCTTCAAATGGGCTGACTACCCATACTTTCACGGTCCAGGAGGTACGCGGCAGCGGTGCATGTCAGCATGTGCGGTCATACTGGTGTCACTTTGGATCTCCATCCACTCAGTCCTTTGCTCGTCTGGTGGAGTTGTGTTTGGTGTAGCGGGTTGCTCGCCTGCATGCCCCCATGCGGGGCCCTTGGGCTATAGCCTGAAGTCCATGGTTTGCCTCCCTTGTTCCGCCTCAGGGCCGCGCGTCCTGCAAGTCATCAACATGCTCAGAGAGCTGGTGGGCTGGATCAACACGACGTATCCCTACTGGCAGCGTCGCGGGGGGCGGGACCACATCTTCCTCTTCCCACACGACGAGGGCGGCTGCTGGGCTCCAAACGTGGTCAAGGACTCGGTTTGGCTCACGCACTGGGGCCGCATGGATGCTGAGCACACGTAAGCGCGCGCGAAACAACCAAGATATGTGGCTCCTGCATGGGAAAGCACCTGTGTGCACAACATACGGTTGTTTCGAGTGCCTCGACTCTGCACATGCTGCACCCTTGGGTTTAGCCGCATGACGCCTCGAGCCCTTCTAGCATTGTGCATTGATAACCGCCCCAGCTCTACACGCGTGTTACATCTCGCGATGCGCCATGTGTTGTGCTTAACCCGTTGGCGGTCATGGCTTGCAGCAGGATTTGATTCTTCGCCGCCTGCATGCCCACCGCATGTCATGTGCCCACAGGAGTAAGACCTCCTTCGATGCGGACAACTACACCCGAGACTACAAGTCCTGGTACCAGCCTGAGGGCTTTGTCACGCACATAGAAGGCCATGCCTGCTACGATCCCGTGAAGGTGCGCATGCATGGGGCATGGTACGGCACATGCATTGCGTGTGAGGCACTTGCAAAGAGGAGCTTTTCCAGGTATGCTACGTTTACGTTTAATCCTACCCGTTAAGCTGTCCCGGCTCTACGTTGCAGCACGCAATACGAATTTGCTTAGTCGTCCGCGCGGTTATCCGCAGGACCTCGTGATTCCCATCTGGAGGCCTTCACAACTCTACTGGCGCAGCCCCCTGGTGTCTGCCCCCTCCAAGCCACGCGACATCTTTCTCTTCTTCCGCGGCGACGTGGGCAAGCAGCGCACCATGATGTACAGCCGAGGCGTACGACAAAAGGTGAGAACGGCCCTCGCATCGCCCCGCATTGCTGTTGGGACAAACTTAGTACGGCAGCTGACATGCCCGGGTGCAAACATGCGGCCCAGATGGCAACGCTGCATTGCAGCAGCAGCCCTCTCCTTCAGCTGCAGTTACAGGCTCCCCTTTGTTTGTTACATCGTTTGTTTCCGATTTCGGTTGGTTCATGTGGCATGCGACCGCAGATCTACAAGCTTGCCAAGGACAACGACTGGGCCTCCAAGTACAAGGTGCTGATCGGCGACGGCTCCGACGTGCTTGGCGACTACTCGGACATGCTGTCACGATCCGTCTTCTGCCTGGTGGCTACCGGTGCGTGTTGGCGTGGGTGTTAAAATAACTGGCGTGGGTGTGCAGGTATAAGTCTCTTGCGATCTGGTAGTCGGTAGTCGGGTCCTGTTGTTTGCGCTGCTGTAGAAGGTGGTATCCTGTAGCATTGCTGCCAGTGCAGAACGAACGTGAGGTCTGCGTGCGAGGATGCACAGCTTGGCTTGCCATGAATTCAGTTTGGCTGCTTCGTTGCGTTCCTGCCAAGCTGCCTGGTCGCTACGTTCCCGCGCTGACATGTCATGAGCTGCCGCGCCCGTCGTGTGGTGATCCGTTGGCTGTTTGCAGGTGACGGCTGGTCGGCGCGTACCGAGGATGCCGTACTGCACGGCTGCATTCCGGTCATCATCATGGACAACGTCCATATCAAGTTCGAGACACTGTTCGACGTGGACTCCTTTACCGTCCGCATTCCGGAAGCCGATGCCGGCCGCATTCTGGAGATCTTGCAGGCTATTCCTGCGGAGAAGCTTCGCTCCATGCAAGCGCACCTGGGGCAGGTCTGGCACAGGTCAGTACGGGGACTGCGCGGGAAGGGGCATGATGGGCGGATTGCTACCGGTACAAAATGGGGGCATCATTCATAGCGGTAATGCTGTGCAAGCGGGCTTCAGGTATCGCGAAAGGAGCCCAGAGCCTTGGCCTCGTCGCCTTTCCCTTTCCTTCCTTGACCTTCTTAGGAGCTTCCAAGTCCCTGTTTTGTTCTAAAGACTAAAGTCATGTGCTAAACACAACATGTCACAGGTATCGTTACGCGGACCTGCCGGGCCTGTCCTCCGCCTTGCGCAAACAAATGGAGAGCAACGCCAGGGACCCGCTCGCCAAGGAGGCTGAAGCACTGAGCGCGACCAAGGAGGTCCGCTACCCACGGTCCTTCAAGGGTGACCCACGGGTCGATGACGCCTTCTCGACAATCATGCAGTGGTTGTACTCGCGTATCCCGCACACGCGGTAACAAAGGCCTCGGTCATCACCACCCCCAGTGAAAGAAGCTAATGGTGTAATACGCTAATGACATTGCTTAACCATGGGTGCATTATGTATGTGCTGCAGAAAGGGCATTCCCAGGGTAAGATCCTCTGTTTCCATGAAACCAGGGGAAGTCGCGTAGAGATGCTGGCATGGGGTTATAGGAGTGCGCGGTTAGGCGTGATCAGGAATGGTGCTCGGCATTTCGTCTGCTTTAAGGGCACTAGTATGGCAGGCCTGCATGCCGATACTGTCTAGGGGTCACTATTTTGGGCAGGGGCACTGCTTTGGGGCCTGCATGCCGATACTGTCTAGGTCACTAATTTTGGGCAGGGGCACTGCTTTGGGGCCTGCATGCCGTTACTGTCTAGGTCACTAATTTTGGGCAGGGGCACTGCTTTGGGGCCTGCATGCCGTTACTGTCTAGGAGTCACTGCAAAGGTAGTTCCAGACGTAGGATGGTTGCCTGTCTCCTGCAATGACAACGAGGCATGTGAATACTGACACTTCAATCCTGCATTTTTCCTAGAGAGTCATGTGATACCGGTAAACCTATTAGGATATCTTATCAGAGGGCGGACGGAACAGGACTTTTCGAAGCATCGGGCTATTTTATTGACATGTGAGGTAGTGCTACGGCACAACCGCACGCGTGGTATCATGGCAAAAATGGGAACTTCTCCCCAAATGTTTACTGCTGGTGGAAGACGTGCTGGTGGCCTGGCATTGCCCTACATTACTAAGCCCCAGAAGACGGAGCTTAGTGTGCATGTGAATGGATTAGGAGGCACGGTAAGCCCTGGTGGCTCCCAAACGTAGTGATGTCAGCCTTCTTAGGTGGCGGGGCTGTGGTCTTACGGATTAGGTCAGTAAACTGCAAACCCCTACCTCACAGGACCCATGGTGAAGCCTTGTCATAAGGTTACCGTAGTCAGTTTCTTCCTCATTTTACGCCCCTCTCCGGACCCTGGACAAACGGTCAAGGTTGGGTGTTCAAGCGTCAGGGGTGCACCGTCGCAGGGATGTGACCAAAGGCCGCATGTTCATCGGACGACTGCTTACGCGGGTCACCGAGTCCTTGGGCCAGGGAAACGGTCTGCAACGTGAAGGCTCGCAACGCAAGGGAAGACCGTACCTTAGTGGCTAAGGGTGCGGCTAAGGTTGAATCGCATGTCGGACGGAATGGGATACCGGTAAAGGGCATGGCAATGAGCGGAAATTGAGGGCGGCTACAGCCTGAAGGGGGGCGGTGTGCAGGGAGTGCTATTTCGTTCGTAGCCTTAGCTTCCCGATAGGAGCGGAGCATACACCGTGGCCGTCTCTTGGGACTTCTTTGGTGCAGCTGCGCCTACTCGCTGCATTGCCCGAGGGGGTCCTTTCATGTACCGCGTAGCATGCAACCTAGTCTGCACGATGAGGGCCGTGAGGTATGCCCCAAAGACGGTTCACGGTTGTTTCTGCGTAGACACAACTTGGCTGTTGCAGGCCAGCTATGTGTAAGGCGACCAGTCCTTGGAACTCACAAGCGAAATGTTGACATGCGAGTGCTGCTTTGTTGGACTGCCAGTATGTTCATGGACGCATGCCGTAAGCCCATAACCGTCGTATTGCATACTTGCACGTTCCACCGCCTAAGCATTCCAGTTACAGCGTATACGTTGAGCAAACAAAGGACTTTATGCATGCAGCTAAGGCAGCAAATGGAGTGGCGTTTTAAGCTAATGACATGATGAAGCATAAATTCTACTTGAAGCAGTTCTCGCGTGCAATTCACCCAGATTTATAGCAAGTGAAAGGTTTAAGTTATTTGTATAGGAATGTTATATCTATTGCTGATCCTGTTTGCCTCGGGAGTTGGCGCTGCTGGAGAAAACAGTAGCGTTATAAAGCAAAACAAGGCATGTGCAACAGGATGTACTAGTCGCGGCAACTGCAACGGAGAGACCGGAAAATGTGAATGCCCTTGGGGCTACACAGGTAGGTGCAAGGCTATCAGTTGCCATCGACAAGTTGGCTTTGTGCTTAGTGGAAGTTTGCTTTTAAGGGGCAAGTTAATCCCAGACGTGTTCTAATGAACAAAAAATTCCGCATACCTGTAGGCGATGCTTGCGAAGTGGACCGGATGGCAGCATGTCGTCAAACGTCCGACGACCCTGGTGGGTATAGCAGCGCATACACGGAGCAGCTTCTGAGTGTCACCCCCGATCTGGTCAAGGAACTCGGGCTTTGGATCACTCTAGAGGATGCTTGTGTGCCCCTGTACCCAACAAGTCACGACACCAGCTTCAGCCTGTCTGTCGCCAACAGCACACAGTTTCAGCTGCACCAGCCCGACGCGAAAGCCTTTTCCTGCCTGGCATCATGCCCGGCCCATCCTCGCGCTTCCATCTATCTGGACGCCAATTCGGCCTGCTCTGCTTTTACCTTCTTCGCCAACCCCTTCTCTATGCATCTCCATGACCGCACCAACACCCTGCCACCACCGCACCTCTCCCTGCACACACACATCATGCACCACCACCCAACCCACCCAGTTGCGCCTCCCTTACCTTCCCATCCGTCCACGTATGCTACCTACCACCCACGCAGGCTCCTGCGGCATCCTCTGGCCCAAGCACTGCGAGTGCTACTCGGAATGCTCACGTCTCTATTGCCACATGCGCAGCGACTCCCGTAACAGCGGCAGCGACCACTGCGCACACGAGCTGGGGGCGGACATGCCGAATGCGCGGTGCTGGCTGCCGAACGCAGAGTACGGCGGTAAAGGCGGTACGGCGACTGCAGCTGCGGCGGGGACGGGAGCGTCATTGCAAAGGAACTCATTCCTGCCGGACAATTGGAATGTCAGCACGACGTGGTTTCGGAGCTTCCCGCAACAGGTGGGTGTCGTACAGCCTTGTAGGGTTGTATAGCCTTGAAGCCAGTTGATAAGCAACCAGCCCAGGCACACGGATGAAGAAAATGGAGAGCGAAGAGGGGAGGAGCGGGAGGGCGGTTCGCCGGATGGGCATATGCATGGAATAGGGTTGACTCCTCCCCAACTTCTCCTCCCTTGTCCTCTTCGCTCTCCGCAGGCGGGTCAGACGTACGACAAGTCCCTGGAGGCCCCCACCGACCTGTGGGGCCTCTCCAACTGGAGCGGCAACCACACGGTGCACCCGCTCTCCGCCTGCCCCAACAACTGCTCCAACGGCCGGGGCGTGTGCTTCAAGTGGAACTGGCAGCGCAGGCCGGAGTGCATGTGCCACAAGGGCTACAACGGAACCGACTGCTCGCAGGTAGGGCGAGGCGGTGTGGGAGGGCGGCGGTGCTGGGGGTCTAGTGGTGTAGGATAGTGCGGGGCATGGCAATAGCGCCTCAGGAAAAGAGGCTGCTGTTGCTGTTGCTGCTGAGAGGTTGCTGCTGAGGAAACAGACCCGACCCATATGTCCCGGTGGCGACCCTCTTGCGTACACAACCCATTCAGCTCAACCCCCTTTCTCCATGCCCCACATCGAACCTCACCCCGCACGCCACCCGCCCTGGTGCGCCCCTCAGGTGGACAACAGCGAGGCCTGCTGGTTCAGCCCCGACTGCGGCGGGCGGGGCACCTGCCGCAGCGGCTTCTGCCACTGCCAGCCGGGCTACTTCGGGGTGGGCTGCCACCGCTCGCAGGCCTTCCAGCCCGCCACACCGGGGGCCATACCGGATGTGAGGTAGGCGCGGTGTGCCGGTGCAGAGAAGTACGAGCAGCAGGAGTACTGTAGGTCCTGGTGTGGATTGGGTGGACTTGCTTGAGGCGAAGAGATGTGGGAGACAGGCGGGGGACGGGCAGGGTTGAAAGCGAGCGTGTGGGCAGGCGCACCCTGGGAAAGCTCACCGCGGCCAGTTTTCTTAACACGGCCTCTCAAATGTTCACATACAGCTACAGGTTTCCTCACCCTGCTGGTTCCCCAAGAGCCGTCCTTCCTTCCCCTCTGTCTTGCTCTCAGGATTGTGAGCCGGCTGAAGATCTACATGTACGACCTGCCCTGGCACGTGGCTTTCCCGTGAGTGCAGGGGGAAAGGGGGTAGTAGGGGGAGCACAGACCTGGGATGCGTGCTATGGATGGTTGAGGAGGGCTGGGAGTGGAGGCCCCTAGGGATGAAAAGCCCGGGACTTGAGGCTGGATACGGCTGTAGGCGCCAGGCATGGGGGCCAGGAGGGATGGCAGCAAGGAGGGCACTGGGCCGGGGCTTCCAAAAGGCGAGGATCTGACGTGATACTCTGCAATGTATCATACATCGTGCAATGTAGCATGAGGCATGACCCGCTCGCCCTCGCGCACCTCCTGGGTTTCCATTGTTCTTCTACTCGCTGACATCGTACGACCTCATTTGTCGTACCCTCGCCCCAGGTACGAGTACAATGACGGCCACTTTAGTCGTGACCCCATGTACTCGGCGTACGAGTCTTTTATGAAGTACTTCCTGCAAGACAACGTCGTCCGTACAGGTAGTGTGTACCTTTGGTGTACCCGTACGATGTGTTTACTGGGGCAAGGGGGTTGGCCCCGGGCTGGCATGTATGTTGTACATGGCGTGTAGCTAATCCGGCAGCAGGCAGGAGAGGAGCCATGCGAGGCACGAGGTGACCTGTCTCCCTGGCATCCGGAGCGCTGCAAAATTGTGGGGGCAGGCATCCAGGCAGAACGCAACAGCCATCCGGAACGCCCCAGGTTCTGTCTATGGTCGAATAATTAGCTTTTCCTACACCACGATGCCCTTACCTGGGCGTTGCGATGTCTGAATGCGCCTCCTTCCGCCCCCATCCCGTCGTCCCCCCTCTCAGAGAACCCCTACGAGGCCAACCTCTTCTACGTGCCCATGCTGCTCTACTTCTACGTCGGCAACGTGCGCGACCCGGTGCCTCAGGCCGCCTGGGCGCTGCGCTACGTGCGCGAGAACTGGCCCTTCTACAACCGCACAGGTAGGGAGGTCATAGAATACCGGTATACATTATTAGGGCAAAGCACAGGAAGCTGGGGGGACGCCATGAGGGGGAGCAGGAGGAAGGAGGCATGAAGGGGTTGTGCTGAAGGGTCAAGGACACGGGGGCCAACACGCCCTACGATGCTACTTGCGACTTCCTTTTCCTCACGTCCTCACGTCCTCGCAACTCCGCTTCTCCTGGGTCCTTCAGCTGCTTGGCGTGCCCATAAGGTGCTGCACAGGTACCCCCTCCGCAGCCTCGGTCCCTGAACCGCGCCTTTATCCAACACCGCGCCCTCCTGCCCCCCCAGGCGGTCGTGACCACTTCTTCTTCCTGACTGGCGATCGAGGCACCTGCCACGTGCCTCGCTGGATGCAGGACGGCGGCATCAAGCTGGTGCACTTTGGCATGCAGCACAGCGGCCTGAACTGGGGAGGAGTACACAACAAGGAGTATGCATGCGTGCAAGTAGGAGGGGGCGGGGGGGGGGCCGTGCGGTTGGGTGTTCCGGGGTTCTGAAGACTGGTGAAGGGGAACTCCGCAAGCCTACTTCGCCTTTTTCACTGGCCCTGATTTCTCCACTGCCTCTTACCCCGCTCCTCTCCGCCTCCCTCATGCATTGTCTTTGCAATGTGCTATTGGTTGTCCCCTGCCCCGCCCCCAGGTGAAACGCGACCTGGTGATTCCGCCCCTCAATATGTTCAATGAGCTGCTGCCAGCACACACGCGGGGGTACTACGAGGTGAGCACTGGGGGGGAGGGGAAAAAGAAATTCTAAAGTGTGGTGTGATACTGATACAAGTTGCTGACAATCCCTGGTGGAATCAACCGTGAGTCGAGGGGGGGAGGGGGGGAAAAAGAAATTCCAAAGTGTGGTGTGATACTGATACAAGTTGCTGACAATCCCTGGTGGAATCAACCGTGAGTCGAGCCGAAATGGGGGAGGGGGGGAGGGGTGGCATGGGGCTCGCTTCAGGGAGGCCGCCTGGTTACCTGCGAAACGCGACGCGTACTGACATGGGGTGGTCGCGGTGACGTCGTGTAGGCGTCATGCCTGCCCGCCCGCCTTCCCTGACTGCCTCCTTGCCCACACCTCCCTGCCCGCCCCCCTCTCGTCCTGATACAGAGGGTGGTAGCTGACGGCGGCCGTGACGCCAACCGCACGCTGCTGTTCTTCTTTGCTGGGGGAGTGGGGGACGGCGAGTACAGCGGGGGCACGAGGAAGGTAGGATTGCGGGCTGCTGCGGGGCCTGATCCGCCTCGCCTGGAGTTCCCTGCCTTGACGCCGGTCATGGAGTTCCCTCCCTGCGGACTCCTTTACCTGGAGTCATTTCGTGCGGCCCCTAGGACCTCATCATCCCACTACGCCGCTAGACCTACCAGAGCTCGCGCTCTAGTCCTATTCAGGACATTCAGGACATTTTTCAATCCCTGCCGCCTGGTGTCTTTACTGATGCCCTTCCTCACTCACACCTTACTCCTCTTCCCTGTCACTCCCACCTCCCCCTCAGGCCATCAAGCAGCTGCTGGACAGCTTGAAGCCGCCCCCGCCTGACGTGTTGTTCATGGAGGGGCGCACCAACAGCTACCGCGAGCTCCTGCTCAACTCCACGTTCTGCATCTCACCGTGAGTGTTGTTGGACGCGGATTGGTGGTGCAACTGCCCGCAATACTGCCCAATGCCTTCGTGTACGGGATTGCCGGTACTGTCTATGGGTGTGTGCCGTACTATGGGTGGAACCGGCTGGACTGGTATGAGGACTGTCTGCGCTGGCCGCCTGTGAGAGATGATGGCTAGGCTATGCGGAGATGATCTCCTTGTCGCCATCCGGCGTGCACTTAAGTCGCACCCACGGTAACTCCAAGCGAGCGATGCCACCTCGGCGCGCATGTCAGCTTGCCTCGTCCCACCTTTGCATGCGGCTGGACCAGGCATATGGCATCTCAGAAGCCCCATGCTCAGCCATCCGGCCGTATGCTTCCCACCTCCCTGCCTGCTCCTTGTTGCTCCCGCAGGTACGGCTTCGGTTGGGGTCTGCGTGTCGTGCAAGCCATAGAGTTTGGCTGCATTCCAGTCCTCATCCAAGATCACGTCTTCCAACCGTTCGAAGATTTCATGCCGTACGAGGAGTTTGCCGTACGAATGCCGTTGAGTGCCGTACCTCGCATGGTGGAGGTACTTCGGAGCTACAGCGAGGAGCAGCTGGCGGCGCTAAGGCTAGGGATGGCCAAGTACTACAAGGCCTTCATTTGGAACCGCGAGTACGGAGGCCAAGCGTACGAATGGACGTTGGTTGGCTTGGAGCGGCGGTTAACCAACCTGCAGGCGGATTTCTTCCACCACCACCACCACAGGCACCACCATCGCCATAGGCGGAGATTAGACTAGCTAATCGTCACTAATGTCGCTGAACGTGTTCCCGGAGGCTGTGAGGTTCTATCGACCCGTGACTAGAAAAGCAGTGCCGGAGGGGTGGCACACTTCTAGCCTCGTATTGTAGCTAGGGTAGAGGATAGCTGCGTGGTATTAGCTCACCTGACCCATGGGTCTACTGGATTAGGCTGGCGAGACTTCAACCTGTATTGGGTTTTCCTTACTAAGATATTGGCTGCGGTGCTGCTAGCTATTTGCACTGGATATTCATGGCCCCTTTGAGCTGTGAGAGAAGTGAGTGGGACGGAGGGACATGGGAGAGACGGAATCTGGTACGGTGGTTGGGGAGGAGGTGTTCAGGTTAGCCTAATCGTCATTAATGCTTCTTCATTTGCTGTACGCTTTGTACTCCATTTAGCTCCGATGTCTCGCTTACCTAATGTTTAAGGCGGGTTCGACACACGCATGCCAGGTAGCCGAGAGGGGGCACCGTCCCGTGGGACATGGCGGAAAGCTCCTTGCCCCAGCAAAGCCTCTGCCATTCCATCGTTATGCCGTACACCTTGTGGGGTTATGTTCGCGGGTGTAAGGCAGCATGTTTTCGGCTTCTTTACATGTCATTTAGCATCTTCAGGCTTTCCTGCCGCTCTCCTGTAATCTATCCACAACCAGACATCCACAACTAAACCACAGGATGGAGAATGTGCATCCCACTGGGGTACTCTTTGTGTGGGTACCAATACCGGTACGATAACGCCCTTCTGATGATAGATCAGTATCCGTCCAGCATAGTACGGCAACTGAAACCGGGCAAGGATACGACGCCCGCCGCTGGGTAGAAACACACAGCCTGACGGCCAGATTCCATAGCCAATAGAGTCAATATACTACATACTGACGAAGGTTCAGAACCCCATACAAAAGCCATCTTTCAACTGCTACCGTGCAAAGTCTAAAGCGTTTCAGGGCCGTCACCACTTCTGACACACGTTTGTTCACATTTGGCGCCCCACATCAGTATTACCTGTACACTCACTGAGCTCTCTTAACCTGCTCACTCACTCTCCCTTCCAATGCCAGAAGATTGTAAAGCTCAACGTAAAGCTCAACATACATGGAAGGTCCTCACGGGGAGCAGCTCAACGTTACGTAAACACAGCGCTAAGGCATACCCGCCCTACATGGCAAAAATGGATGCCAACAGCATTTGGCTTGCAACGTAATTACTGACAGAGTACAGGGCCGCGCTGCAAAAGGGCAAGCGAGCAGCAACAAAGCTGGTGTTGGTACATTCAAGGGTTGCAACGCATGTTAAGAAGGCCACAGTGAAGTAACAAACTACGAGCAATATAATTAACGTTGGGAAACATTTTGAATAAACAGCCACGGCTGTTTGCTACGCTCTTAGGCACGAAAGGCCGGCGCATTCCCAACGGAACAACGCTCTACAACGGCGCGACGGAAGCAAATGAACATGTCCGCCTGCAGCTGGCCATGACACTCACCTTTTACCGGTATATCGCTCTCTCGCTCCCATTGCTCTACAACGCTCTCCGCACTCTCTTATGCACAAGCCCCGGGAATTTAAAATTGCTGCTTAAGCCAGAAGCTGCAGCATGCAGCAAGCTGGCATTAGCAAATGTATGTTTGTAAACACTTGAGCTAAATTCCCTGAACGCTACGCAAAGATTAGCTACGAACGCGGTTAAGCCCTAAAACCATTCGGGCAAACACAGCTAATAGAATACACAACCTGCCGCAGCATTTCACAAGGGAACACCGAAGTGTCCCAGGTCGTCGTCCCAGTTCAGTTGGGTAGCGCGCAGCTGCTGCCATTGGTCCTCATGCCACTGGCAAAGCCGGCCGTGGTGACGCTCCACGTCATTTGTTGTAATATCCGCAACAGAAGGTAGCTCGGGGCGGCTTGAGGACGAGTCGGCAACCACCTCAGCCGCACGAACCTGCAAGCAAATTGACGGTGCTTGACTTTCCTGTCTTACAGGTTTGTTTGTGTGTTCGGCACCCAATCCACTTACCTCTGCAATGCGCTTTTTGAGGACAGCGAAGTGCTTCGCATTCCAAGCAATGGTGTCTGCTGTGATATGGCAGTCGTCGCTTGGGCTTGAGGCTCCATCGTGAAGTGCCGTTGCGACAACTCGACGACTGATAACTGAATTGCAAGAGTTGAATCTGGAAGGTCGGCGACTCCAGTCAGCGCGAGCATGGGCCGTAGTAGAGCGCATCGTTGTGGACACGGCCATTGTTCGAGGCTTACGAAGCAAACAGCTGAAGGCAATCGAAACCTGCAAGAACTAGCTCTCAGCAATGACTTAGCAATGGATAACTTGCTTGGAAAAGGTGCTTTGAAACGTTATCCACTGTGGACCGCTCAATCTTCATGTACGGCGCGTACAGTTGGTTAATTCTGTGAGACCGCAGGGAAACCTTATTTCGCTGCCTTACTTCGTCTCTAAAACAGCATGCCAGGGGAAAATCATAGCTAGAAGACTACATGCCTTTCAGCCTAGCCTTCTAACAGTTGCTCAATACGGTGGAGCATGTTTGTTTTCATTCATAGTTGAACCGCTGTTTGGGAAATGCCATCTATTTCACAACGCATAGCCGTAGTAACTTTGCACGAGTGACACCGGATACCCTCCCGCGCTTTACCGTCCAATACAGTCATTGTCAGCGTATCAGCTTTTCACAACACACACGCTCGTATCAGAACCTAGTGCTGAGTACTAATCATCTAAGCTCGCCGGGGCCCTCTGGACAACGCGCTCCGAACCAGCCTACCCACGACATCCCTGCTATCCCCCTTCGCTTGCCCACAATGCCTGTGGCACGACTGGTTCATCATCTCTGTGACCTCACCCTCGAGTTCCTCGCTGTTGGTATCTATGTCAGGTACGCTCCTTTCGCCTGCCTTGTCGCCCTCGCAGTCGAGGGTGTGCACGTCCACACCCGCAGCCCAACGCTTGTGCCCACCCCTTACCCGCCTGGTCCCCTCACAGTCCTCCCACGGCCACTGACCCCTACCTCTTCCTTTTCCCCTTGATACCTTCCTTCTTACCTCCACTCCTCCTCCCGCCCCTTCCCACAGCGCCATCTACACCACCGGCTTGCTCCTGCCCGCTGCAGTCTTCCTCTTCTGGTGTCATGGCGCTGCCAGCCTGGCCGCCTGGGCCGTACTCCTCGCCTTCCTCGCCCTGACCTTCACTCCGCTCCGCCTGACCACCGGGGCCCTGTCAGAGCGATTCGTGCAGTTCTCCCTGCGACGAGCGGCGGCGTACTTCCCCGCACGCCTCGTTGTTGCTGATGCGGGCGCCTTCCGAGACGACCGCGGTTACGTCTTTGGCTTCTGTCCGCATTCGGCGCTGCCCATCGCACTACCGTTGACGTTTGCAACGAACTCGCCCATGCTGCCGAAGGAACTTAGAGGTCGCACGCACGGTCTGGCCTCGTCGGTTTGCTTCCAGGCGCCGATTGTACGGCAGTTGTACTGGTGGTTGGGTGTACGGCCGGCTACGAAGGAGGCGATGCGGGGTTTGCTGCGCGAGCGGAAGGTGGCGGTGTTGGTGCCGGGCGGCGTGCAGGAGGTGCTGCACATGGAGCACGGACGCGAGGTGAGGGGGGGTCAGTAAAGACCAAACCATAGGAAACCACGAATTAGGAGGGGAAGGTTTCCGGGGACGTCCATCTGAATGGAGAAGGAGGCCAATAGCGTAAGCAGATAACATGAGGACGTGACCAGGCAACCCCGTGTTTTGCATTGCCGGTATGGTCGCCGACTCGCTGACTGAAAGGCGAGGGACACGAGCCCACGGTAGCGTAGGGGAGGACCAAAGCAAGGAGAGGGAGTGGGGCGGGTGACGGAGGAGAGCGGACGAACCGCGCATGGAGTGAAGGAAGAACGCCGCCGAGTATGAACTGCCTGCACACGGGGCCGGAAAGCGGGAGTCGAGATTGCGGCTGGCAGCGCACCACCATAGCCCACGTCGTCCGCCCCACCTACCTGCCTAGTGCATTACGCCTGCACGCCGCACCGATTGCTCTTAACCCCTGAGCCCCGCCTCTTCCGCACATCCCATGTATCGCTCCTTGCCACGCCCAAACCTGTCCTGACCCAACCCCATGTTAACCCACCTTGCTCCCCTCCCTCCTTCAGGTCGCCTACCTATCCTCCCGTACCGGCTTCGTACGCATCGCCATTCAGTGCGGAGCCCCCTTGGTCCCGGTATGGGCCTTTGGCCAGACCCGAGCCTACAGCTGGTTCCGCCCCGGCCCGCCCCTGGTACCCTCCTGGCTGGTGGCGCGCATGTCGCGGGCATTTGGTGCCGTACCCATTGGCATGTACGGCGCGTACTTTACCGCCATGCCGCACCGCGAGCCGCAGACGGTGGTGGTGGGGCGACCCATTCCGGTGCCGCACATGGAGGATCCGCCCGCTGAGGTGGTTTCGGAGCTGCTGGAGAGGTTCATCACGGAGCTGCAGGTGAGGGGGTGATGTCGTAGTACCGGTAGCTTAGCTAGGCAAGAAGTTGCACTGTTGAGTACTGGCGGGATTGACGTTCGGGTGGTAAGGGAATGGATACGTACGGCGTTGCACTGGTTTGACTCCTGTCCTCAGCTGTCCTAGTGAGGGGTGCCTCTCGGGTGGCGTTATTACGACATGAATGTGCACTGCCCTCTTGTTACCCTATTCCTCCCGCCCTGCAGGCATTGTACGACAAGCACAAGGCGCAGTACGGCAAGGGGGAGGAGCTGACAATCTTGTAGAGTTGCGCGTTGACAGCTGTTGATCTCCTTGCGGATAGCAACAGCGGCAGATGCTGCGGCGGGGCGGCAACGTTGCAACCTAGAATGGCGTGCTTTGAAACGCTACAGTCGCATGTACGAGAGTATACGAGAGTCTTATGATGGTTGGGTAGTTGCACGTCTTCGGTCAGCTTCGGCGTAACAAAGACGTGACAAGACAGCATGGAATGCCCGCATGAGATGTTGGACGACCCAAACACGTCTCCGACCTTGACATTGTGTGTATGTAAACAGGGTCCGAACAAATGGAATAGGCAAGCCCTCATGCTCAGCATGCATGGACACCTGAACAAAGCTTCCCCGCCGCCTACCCGTGGACCTCCGCGTGGCTGTGAGCGCGGTCCCATGCGACACAGCGTAGAACATCAGAACAGCTCGCTAAAATGCCTGTTAACATGACTAACGCAGCCTAGCCTAAGCCAAAGTTGCGACCCCATCGGACCCCAAGTATAATCGCAACGCTCCTCGCTTCGGAACCCGTGGGCCTGCCTGACATGCAGCATGCAAGCACGCACCCAGGTTCTGCGCCTAGCGTCCTGCTGCTGCCGTACAAGCAAGGCCCACCAACAACCGTACATGCCTGTGATCTCCGGCGATGCTCGTCCACTACATGTCCACAACATCCGTACATTTCGCCATTACTTGCGCCTTCACACGCACAGTAGACGACCCGTCAGAACTCCTGCCAAGTGTCACGAACAATGACCCGTTCTGTCCTGTCCTTAACTGTTCCTGTCCTGCCCTATCACCAGTTGTATCATGTAGCATCAACAAAATCAAGTCACATGCTTCTTATCATACATCGCACCAGCCTGCATGCAATGTCTTCCCTTTACACACCAATGCTCTCGTAAGCTTTCCCACAGCCGTATCCCCAGGTTGAATCTCAGAGGAGGAAAAGCCCTGCACATTGGCTGTGCCTCTAACCCCCCAATCAACGACGCCTCTGACCGCGGCTGGACACCGCTAGCCGCAGTAGGGTTGCATGTACACGTGGGCCCAACCCTGTCGTACAACTTGCTACAGCACGATACAGCAAACTACAGTACATCGTGAAGGGCTTCCATTCTCCCATGCGTACAGAAGATGAATGTGATCATGCAGTCATGCATACCGCCCCGCCCCACATGCCGCCTGCGCTCGCCAGCTATCACCTTCTAAGTAACGAACGTTAAACAGGTAAAAGTTGCTTGGAGCACCAGCGTGGCCAGCCAGAAGGCACTGTACCGCGCAGCCTCCTCCAGTGCCTTATGAAGATTAAGGAGGAGCCACATCCCCCACACTACCTACGTCCTCCCCGACCCGACAACTTTCTCCTCCTCGCCATCTTTCTCAACTTTTGCGCCACTCGCGGCCGCCTCTGCCGCCTCCCCATCTGCTACTGCGTCTGCCACCTCCCCTTCTCCCGTCGCCGCCCCCGCCGTCTGCCCTTCTCCCGCTGCTGCGTCTGCCTCCTTCCCTTCTCCCGCTGCCGGCGCATCACCAGACGCGTCGTCCCCTGACGGCTTCTTGCCGCCGGTCTTCATCGCCACGGCCACTCCTGCCCCTGTTCCAATGGCGGCCCCCGCAGCAGTAGCAGCGCTGCCAAAGGTAGCCGCAGCTGCGCCCCCCGCCCCTGCGGACTGCAGGAAGGCGAACATCGACCCTGCAGCTACGTTGCCGATGCTGGCCTGCCAAGCAGCTGCTGCGCTGCCTGCTACCACACCCGAGGCAGAGAAGCCCGCGGCCCCCAAAGCAGCTGTTGCGACAACTGGCGCGGCCACCGCGCCGACTACTGCGACTGTACCGATGAGCGCCGCCTTCCCCACACTGCGACGGAGGCGTTGAAACAGGCCAGGCTTTCCGTTGTTGCTGCTGGCGTTGTTGCTGGTGTCGTTGTTGCTGGTGTCGTTGTTGCTGGTGTCGTTCTTGTTGTTGCTGCTGTTAGCAGCGGTCTGCACGTACGCGCATGTAAGGAGGTTCAGGCGGGGTAAAGTCAAAGGGTGGGCACCGAGTTGTTGATACCGGTGGCATTTGGAACTTCCAAAATGACCGGCATGGACGCAAACACCGAAAGCATCCACGCTTAATTGACATCCGAAACACAAGGAAGCCTGCTCGCCTTCTGCGCGGTCGCATCTGTGTTACTAACCGTGTCGTCCTTGAATAGCCACATGGCCGACAGACCCTCTGGGCTGGAGATGTGAAGCAGCGTGATAACTGCTTCGTTGTTGCGCAGGCTGCTGAGCATGGCGTCGTAGTGGGAGTCCTCCGCCAGTGCATATGAGCTGCAGGAGCCGTCGGCTTGCGTAATGGAATACTTCGCCGTAAGGCATGCTGTCTCAGGGTCGAAGAACGGAATGGACGTCGCTACCATGGCCCGGAGGTGCTTGAACTGTGCCGTCCTTGCCAGACTGAAGGAGTACACGTGTTTAGGGTCGTGATCGTCGGCGACGACGTATGATACGACACCTTGTTTGCAATCCAGGGCCTGGCATTCGTCTGCGACCTTGAGACACCATTCTTTGGATCCACGATAGCTAGACGGAACCTGTTATGCATATAAGGGGGCTAATTAACACGCTTCGCCGCTTTCCAAGACCTTGCCTTGAGTGCGGCCGCTTAATTAGGCGTTGCATAGCGCTTGCCTCGAAAGCCGGACCCATGATGCTACTCCAGAAGGGGATCGAACACGCTAATGACAGAATAGAGGAAGGACTGCGGTTCTCAAATGCAAGCCCTGAAGCTGAAAGGCCCTAGCTAAGGCACCCTAACTCCTTCTTTCGCGCTCAAGGGCGCACTGTTGGCCAATTGCCTCTTTGCCTATATGGAAGTCTAGGCAGCCAGGGTCCTGGCGCTGAAACTGCTAGAGGGCTCCCAGATGCTGCGAGAGGGCCGAGAGTGGAGGAAGCCTACTTAGGTTCAGGCATGTATTGCCCTTTGGATAGTTTGGTGATAGTACAACACTTACCTAGCCTAACGTGGCTGTCACTATGCGGGTGCGAGCAGCGGAGCGATACCGGTACGACACCATCCGAGCGCCTGGCCTGGACCATCTTTGCAATTCCTAAAATTTCCAGAGTAATCTTAAAGTTCATAATAATGATGGAAACGTAACTCAGGATCCGTTCTTCGCCTCGCCTGTGCGGCCCGTGGTACCGACGTAGGGGCGAAGCCGACTGGCATAAGGCCCCTCCACCCTACACAGAATCTTTGCAAAGCCTGGCTTCTACACTGTCACTTTTATACCACTTAATAGATATACTACAAGGAAATGCTTTAGGCCTTTCAAACAACAATTTTGTTCTAGGTACTATTCCGACGGTGGGGGACTATTCCCACACTTATTTATGGCCTACGGCTCTTCAGAATGAATGTATGACCGTTACAACGGATCCCTAAAAGGGAGCACGTGAACCAACCCTACACCGCAGGAGAAACCCGAGTCAGTTTCATCGGGGAAAACGTTGGACGATGCCTTTTATAACTTGCTGGGTCTCCTAAACTTTACGAAAACATTTGAAGGATGAGCTACGGGAGAGTACGGTATGTATGTATGTATGTGTTACAAGCTTCGTACCGAGCTCGTAAGATCCGTCCGAGCCAGAAGGCTCATGGATCGCGAGCACAAAACGCGAAAACAACCAAAAGAAGAAAAGTAAAACAAAAGAGACAAACAAACAGAACGCTAATCATATGATAAACCCTGTCTGCGCAATCCTGCGACTTCGCATGCTAGTGATTACGCTAGCAAGCAATGCCTGATTCTCCATGCCCATGACAGCAATCATATCAGCATCCCGTGAGACACCACTTTCCCATATCTTATCACGCAAATCATCGTAAGCGGGACATTCAATGAGGATGTGTTTCTCATCTTCCACTCTCCCCGGCGACCCCTGCACGGCACACATAGGACAGACACGCGCTACTCGTTGCCTACCCCTAGGGCGATTGGCTTCAATGCCCCACACACACAGCCGAAAACGCATCAGGTTCACATGCTGCCGCTGAGTAATGTACCCCCTGTCAACCGGGTCACCCATCCAATTTTTGTACCTGCACATCTTAACTCCAACCCCTGGTACGGGGTCTACTGGGTTGAAAAGCCGCGGGTCATCTTCCAAACTCCTATCCTCCCAATCCGCATCCATTCTATCAGCAAACTTTTTAGTGAGAGCAGACACATTTAGCTCCGTGCCAGCAATACGTTCCACACGCGCATTCAAGTCCAACTCACCCCCCAAGGCCGTCAAATCCGTCCCTAACATTTTCAGAATCTTCAACACCTTAGAACCCCAGCCATCATAATGCTCAGTACTGAGAGCCGAACGAATTTCACCTCGCAACGCCTGGTGGTAGACCGTGTCCTTCTGCTTGACCAGGTCATTCCAAAACCTCAGAAACAGTTCCAGCCAGAAGACATGCAAGGGGCGCTGGTTAAACTCCTTAAACAGCAACTTATCAGGCGAGACTTTCACACCCGCAATCTCCCGAAGAAATTCCCTTTGTAACTGCACCATTGGGTCCCGCAAGGATCTGTCAAAGTACCTCGCGGAATTCTCGCAGTCCGTCATTAGCTTCAGCACCACATCAGGCCCCCACACCTGGACACCGTACGACAAGATGGAGCGGACTTGCACGTCGAAGCACTTAACTGCAACAGCAGGGACCAAAAGACCTAGGCGTTTTAATTTACGCTGAAGAGAAAACATAGCACGTCGGCCAGAGGTCAACAGTTCCTCTGTGCAGGAAACAAACGGTGTGCCAGGACCAAAGTGCAAACCAAGGTAACGGGCTCGTTGTACCCAGGGAATAACCATAGGTACTCGCGCATTTCCCTCAATAGAAGTCCACACCACGGGGCAAAGGGCAGCAAAAGCCTCGCGGATATTGGCACGAGGGTGGAAAACCATCAATTCACATTTACGGACATTCACCCGCATCCCAAAGGCCTCACACCACTCTCTCAAATCAGAAAGCAACACAATCAGCCGTCTGTGCGTCGTAGCGAAAAGGCTGAGGTCGTCGGCATACAGTTCCAACGGGATACGCCGGCCATCCGCATGGGGAGTCTGCTGCTTAGCGCGCATAGCATCAGGGAGCCACTTATCCTTAGCGTCAACATAGTCAGCAAACCCCTCGCCAAAAATCCCGTAAAGCGTAGGGCTGAGAGGGCATCCTTGCTTGACTCCCTGCGAAGATTCAAAAGGATCCCCCGTCACTCCGTCTACCCTGACACGCATCATGACCTTGTTGTAACAAGTCTTGAGAGCCTCCAGCATAGCGCCATGCACACCCCGTTCCTCCAACCTTAACCACAAGAGATCACGTGGCACCTTGTCAAACGCTTTCTCAAAGTCAATCTGACAAACGAACAGGGGGTCAACTGCATCTCGCCCCCCCTTATGTTTGTCCGTCAGATGTCGCAACAAAAACAGGTTGTGGCAGGTACCCCGCTTGCGTCGGAAACCTCCCTGATACGGCGACCTAGCTCCCACCAGCTCGCCCCAACGAGACAGCCTGTGCTCCAACATAAACGCATAAAGCTTAGACAAAACACCACCCACTGCTAAACCCCTATAGTTACCCTTCTCCATCACATCGCCTTTTTTGTGGATGGGCGTGAGCGCAGAGACCTCAAACTGCACAGGATAATCCCCCGTGCTGCGGATATGCTCTAGTAGCTTGAGCAGGTAAGGGGCTAAAACAAACATCCTTCTACCCTCAACCTCTCTCGTCGCACACTTGAAACATTCAGCCGGTACTCTGTCCAAACCCCCAGACTTGTTATTACGCAAAGACTTCAGCGCAGCAATGACTTCCGCCAAGGTGAACGGAACATTGAGCGCAGCAGCAGCGGTGACTCGTGCTACCCGATCGCCTGTCGCCCTTACCCATCCTCTTCCCCTCCCATGTGGCACACCGTTGATGGTACTAAGGATGGTGTCCGCGGAAACTTCGTTAAACGCGTTGACTTCCCCATTAAACAGCGCATTAAAATAGGCTCCCCAACTGTTGACATCCGTGATAGGGCACCCCTGACTAAATCTGCCATTCAGCCGACCCCACAGCGCCCGTGGATCCCCCCGACATTCTTCGATAACTCCTTCAAAATGCATGACCCGGAACTTGTCCTTAGCCTCCCTGCGTAGACGTTGATACTTCGTGCGCAACCGACTGAACTCAGCTCTGGCATCCTGATCCCCCAGCAGACCGTTAGCACGCATGAGCGCCTTTTGAGCAAACATGGCCTCACGGGCTTCCGCACACTCAGGTGTCCACCAAGGCGCATCCTTGTCCGTCCTGCCTGCACTAGGAATGGACCCTTGCCTCCTCTCAAGACGAAACGTGGCGTCAATAGCCTTCTTAAGAGCCCGACAGATCACTGTAACAACCTCCGTACTGTTAAGACCATGGCCCAGTTGGCTAACAGCCTCGTCAATCTTCTGTACGACAGCAGCATCTTCTACCTCAAATAGGCGCGTGTACCGCTCCCACTCACGTTTCCCCAGGCGAGAGGATCCCGTGTTGCCACCCCTTCGCGTTCCTCCTAATCCAACGTCCAGAGTGAGTGACACCGGGCAGTGATCGCTGAGCCTCGATCCCACTTTAGGCCCCTCTATAGCAATGGGGATGCCAAGCACTTGCAAATGCGACGCCCGCGAGAACAAAGCAGGCGTGCAGACAAAAAGATCAATCATACTGCAGGCAAGGCCGTGGGCGTGGTAGAACGTGAACTCACCCTCCATGTCACCGGGCACACGACCATTCATGATAATCAGTTCAGTTTCGCGGCACAGCTCGACCAAACCTTGCCCAAATGGGTTGCTGGATGGGTCCTTACTGCGCCTGCTCGGCATGCCTTGAATGAGCCCATTACCTCCGATCGACACACCTGCCGCCGCCTCCAGTTCAGCATCAGCCTGGAGATCTGGTATATCACTCAAGCTGGCTACTCGCGCATTGAGGTCCCCCAAAATGAGGATTTCATCGCATGGACGCACATATCTTCGCAACAAGGCACGGAGTCGACCAAAAACACGATCCACGGTGTCAGTACGCCTTCTACCCGCATGGTCATTGTACTGAACAGAACCTTGGGGTGCTGCATAACAGGCTGCTATCAGCAAACTACGCCCCCCCATATTAAGAGCATGCCCTTTCACCCTTAACCAGATACTCTCCATGCCCTTAGGAACCTTAGACACACCAAGGAGCTGCACATCCCTAGCTAACATACGATTTACCCAGACAGCTACCCCACCTCTGTTGGGCGTGCCATCTACTGTGAACAGGAGCGTACCCGACGGTAGCATCTCCTTCACTACCGTATCTCCCACTAAATGCGTTTCCGTAATCACCACAATGTCATAACTACCCGCTATACCCCGTAACTCATTGTTATCAAGTTTCCAGTCCTTAAGCCCGCGAATATTCCATTGTACTACTTTCAACGCACCAGCCCTCTGGCTCGGACTCCTCTAGGTGTCCTCCATGGTGTCCGCTCCTGCCGGGGCCCCGTAGGGCCCGGTGTAGGGCACCAATCTCCCATCTGCTCCCACTATCTTGATCTCCGCTCCGCGGTCCCAGCGGGGCTGTTTGCCCTCGGCCTTGAGGCGCGCGTACGTGGACTGGCGTCTCGTCTTCGCGTCCACCCCGGCCTTGGTCAGGCAGTCCTGGACGTTGATGCCGTAGCGCTCCCGGAGTGGCTTGCCCAGTGCCGCCGCGACCGTCTTGCGTGCGTCCTCGTGCACCAGCAGGTCTACCCGCGTCATGGGTGCCTGCTGCCGGCCACCCTGCGCCGGGGCTGCGGCAGCCGCGGCATCTGCTGCGGCGCCTCTCGCTCCCAGCTTCGGCGGCACGGTGATGAGCTGCACTCCGATGACATCGTGCGGGCGTACCTCCTTGAGGATGCTGGGAACAATGGTGTGCAGTTCCGACACGTGCTGTGGCGGCACACGCAGGATCAGCTTGCGGGGCTGCACGTACTGCTTGGTGCTGCTTGCTTCCACCGCCTCCAGCCTCCCCTCCAGGGTATCCATTCGCGACTGCACCTTGGCCAGACCAGTGCACATCTCATCATGCCTAGTCTCGATCTTCTCAAGCCGCTTGTCCAGCCGGTTCTCTAAGTTTTGAATCGCCGCCATGAGATCAGAGAGGCTCGGCTGCGGGTTGCTGCCCGCAGGCCCCGATCCATTGCGGCTGCCGGACATTCCAGCCGCCGCCGCTTCTATCGCGTCTCTGGCTTCTTTAGCTCTTTCAACTAGTTGTGGAAGTGTTATTGTCTTAAAACGTGCTGTTTTGGGTGCACTAGAGCTAGGCGTCCCTGAAGCGTGTCGCTTTCTTAGATGCATGCCTCATCTCTAACATTTAACAGCATTCAGCGGTCAGAACGTCGAGTACGGAGGATGGCTTGTGTTGGCTACACCGTACCATGTGACGTACGATAGCCTGCGCTGGCACCTATTGGTGTCTGGCAGTTTTGTAATGCAGTTCTTCCGGGGCAGTTCCTTAGGTCCGACAAGGGGAGTATGCCGCTCCAACAGGCGAGGCAGGAAGGCGGCCTTGACGCCCCGCGAGTCTACAATGTAGACTGCCGAAATGCTCAACACACAGCATGCTACCACAGCACCAGAGCGAGATTCGGTATGCTCCGCATCCCGCTAACCATACGGCTAACGCATGAGCGCCATTTACGCACGCGTAATATCACCAGTTCACACTGCGCGCACACACGCAGTCTTCGACAGTTTGCAAACATAAAAATGTCTCAGCCTGAGCCTGGTGCTCCCAAAAACGGCATGACGGCAAGCATAACCCAAGCATGACGAAACCAGTTTTGATGCAAAAGGCAGTATGGTGGCTAAGCCCATACCACCACTGGACCAGACCGCCCATGCTCTCCTACTATTTGCTATCCCGGGCGGCCTCCGCTAGTCCCTCGTGCGATCGAAAGTTCGACAGTCCACCAATCTCCTGTCAGCTCCGCACACCCCTACCGGTGCGGCACGGACCCAACCTAGCTACCTAGCGTCACCACCTGCGGCCCCGGCCCCAGCCGCTGCCGCACAACCCAGCGAGGGGCCAGAGGAAACCTGGCTTCACTGCTCCACCAGTTCCTGTAATTCAGCTACTTGCCGCATTCCCCATCATTAAGCCCATGTGGCCGTAAAAGCTACTGTGCTACAGCTCTAGACACGCCAGCTGTAGCAGCAATACCAGCTTGTTGCTGCTGCTGTTGCGCTGCTGCGGAAGAGGACGTCATTGCGGACCCGGAGGCTGCGGCTGGCGACGACGATGGCGTGGAAGGCCTTATGTTGTACCTCTCCAAGATCGCCGCCACGCCGCCCCTCACCGCGTCCACCTCCGCCTCTAACTGCTCAACAACACTGCCGCGACGCCCGTTGCCGACGGTTGGTATTCGCTGCTGCTGCTGTATGACATGAGATCCCGCGGGCCCCACCGCCGCCGTCGCTCCCCCCTTCGCGGGAGGAGGAGGAGGAGCCGCTGCCGACGCAACGACACCCGCGCTGCTGCCGCTACTTGATCGTACTGCCGTACAACTGCCAGCGGCGGTCATTCCCGATGTAGCCATGCTCGGCCGCGACAACGACACGGGGTGCATGCTGCTACTGGCTGCCGCTGGCCCCGCCGCAATGGGGCTGCTGACCCCATTTAGAGCGCCGCTGCTGCCGCTGCTCTTGCTCCGCTCCAGTGCTGAGGGGCCTGCCGAGCCCGACCGCAACCGCAGAGGGGCAAGCGAGGGTGACCCAGATCCCGGGGAGGCAACACTGCTTAACCGGAGCAACGGAGGGCCCGCAGGTGGGGGCCCGAGGCCACTAGCCGCGGCAGCACCGCCAGTCGTCCTGGCGGGAGAGGGCTCTTTTCGTGGCGGCATATGTGGTGAATGAGGCTGGGCAGCTGGAGGCTGGGGCTTGGGAGGCGTGTGGAGCGGTTTTGAAGGAGAATGCGAGGACGGCAGGGGCAGGGCTTTGGCTAGAAGGGGAGCCTGAGGCGGTGCAGCGGCAGCAGCGGGGTCAGCTGCGGAGGCGGTTGCCGGCTGCAAGGGAGTTGACGGAGACGCCGGCCGTAACCGAGTGGACGTTGACGGCGAGGGATGTCTCAGACCGGATGCCACAGGACTTGCCTCGTTGCCGGAGCCTCCAACGCCTGAGGCTGATGCAGCAGCAGACTGCGGAGCACGAAGCGGCCCCGCAGCAAGCGGCGGCGGCGCTGGCCCGCTTGGTGGCCGCGACGCTGAGGTGAGCGAGGCTAGGTGAGGCGCATGTGCTGTTAACAAGCCGCCGCCGCTGCCGCCGCTCCCAGGCCGTGGTAACGACGCGGCTGCCGCAGGGGCTGCCGCCGCCGTGACGCCACCGGCACTGCTAGGCCGCCCCTGGCGCTGCCCCGCCTGCCCCTCATGCTGACGACGTAGCGGTAGCACATCCTCCCCATCGCCGCCAGCACCGTGAACCACCAGCCTCTGAACTCCCCCGCTGCTGCTACTGCTGCCACTGCCGCCTCCGATACTGCACCTCCCGGGTGCCTGCAACGATGACGATGACGCGCTCCCCGTCCCTGCTTCCCCTCCCCCAGCCGACGGCGGCCGTCGCGAGGCATCCACCATGCCTCTGAGCCTGCCCGCCCGGCTGTGCTGCTGCTCCGCCGCCGCAAACATGGCTGATACGCGCACCTCATGCTCCACCCGCGCCTCCTCCTCCGCCACCACCGCCGCCAGCCGGCAGGAATAGTCCCGCAACTCCGCCAGGCTGGGCGGCGGTGCGGCGGCGCGGACCTACAAGCAAAGGGGCGACGGGTCAGGGCCTTGCCTTTACTACCGGTACCAGTACTTCAGTAGCGGGAGTCTTGAAAGCTGGGGGCCCGGCAGCAGAGCGCCCTGCACTAGGTTCTAGGGCCCTGCACGCCCATGGCCGCACCCCCACCCGCCAGCCGCCCCTGCCCTCCCACCTGCAGGTCTGCCTCCGCATCCAGCAGTCCCTGCAGGTACCCAATGTCCTCCAGCAGCGCCGCCCTCTCGTCCGCCAGCGCCGCCCGCAGCTGCTCGCGCACCGTCTCGATGGTGGTGAGGCTGAGCCTGTCCGCCACGCCGGCAACCACACTGGGGGCGTCCGTGTAGCGGCCGGCAGCAGCGGCTGAGGAGGAGGCAGCAGAGGAGGCGGTGGAGGGGCGGGAGAGGGAGGCGGCGGCGGTGGAGGAGGAGGCGCCGTGTGTGAGGAGTAGGGAGGAGGAGAGAGGGAGGAGGGGGGTGGAGGAGGTGCCCGGGCGGGACGTTGGGGCGGAGGTGGAGGAGGCGGAGAGGCCGGTGTGAGGGCGCGAGGCGGTACCCGGGCGTGAGGCGGAGGGGGCGGAGGTGGTTGAGGCAGCGGTGGGTGGACGAGGAGGAAGGACGGCGGAAGGTGGGCGGCCGCCAGTTTCAGCTATCTGTGTTGTTGAGTAGAACAAAACCGGGGAAGACAAGGGGGTCAAGCAAAAGGCATACGCAAAAAAGTTATCGCCCATTGCAAGATGCCCTTCCCTTCCCTCCGCCCAACACACACGCCCACCAGGTTCCTGCCACCCCGCTCACTTCCCGCGCTGCTCCCACCTGCGCCACGGTTGCTACGTAGTCCAGCACCGCCCGGTCCTTGCGCCCCTGTGCCCGCGGCAGCAGCGCCTCGGGGTCGCGCTCCCGCACCGCCGCGGAGCCGAAGGGGGTGCTGGCGGCGGCACTGTGCAGCCGCTCGACCAGCAGCAGGATCTCCGTCTCCACCTGGTGATTTGTTTGGGGGGCGGTAGTCCGGTGGTAGACCGGTGGTAGAAGTAAGAGTAGGGGCATTAGGATACATAGTACCAATACAATGGTAGGAGGTTTAAGACAGGGTGGAGGGTGAGAGGGGGAAAGGTGGGAGGGCTGGGTGGGAAGTTGAGCGGGTGCGACCGTGCTTTGGTGCCGCTTCGTGTAAGGGTTTTACCCTAAGACCGGGCAAGCAAGCTCTTTGACAGGATGTAAGGAGCCGTCTGTAGGGTAGCCGTAAACGCGTCAGGACGTTCAAGCCCCGTTAGGATTTTATCCCAGCTACCGGTTTCCGCCGTCAATAACACCCACCATGCTGCGTTGCGGGTTGCTGCAGAGCTGCTGGCGGGCCAGCAGCGCCGATGTGTTCAGTTGCACGTCCCCCAGGATGTCCGCCAGCGCCGCAGCTTCCGCAAACAGAGCCTCGTTCTCATCTAGCAGGGCGCTGCCCAGGGCGCGGCGAATCTAAGGAAGTGCGGTGGGGGGGGGGAGAACATGGGCAATCGTACGTAAGAGGGGTTTAGCAGGCTTTTGGCTTAGGCATCTATACCGCCCTTGCTGCGAGGTGCAACGTGAAGACGTTTGGGGCTATGGAGCAGGCATCTGCCGTTACAAGGAAAGGTGGCCAGCATTGCGTTGCGGAGCAAAAACACAGATTTTGCTAAACCCTATGGCAACGAGGATGACAGCCGCACATGCTTGGATTGTTTTAGACGTCCTGCAAGTAAAGCGTGGCGCCGCTCACCTCGTCGCGCTCCGCAGGATAAAGATGCTGTGAAATGACGTCCCATAGCAGTTGCTGCACGACGCGCAGCTGTTGCGCGTTTGAAATAGGGCATGCTTGTTCATCCATGGATTGGCGGTCTTAAGTTCAAGGGGCACGCCCCGCCCGGGGGCAAAGCGTCCCTAAAGCATATGATAATTTGCACTTCAAGCACGGTTGCCAGTAAACGCTGCTTAGTCCGCGGATATGCTAAATAGCAATAACGTACACGCGCTGGATAAAAGACATCTGCAGCAATTCGTGAAGCAAGTAACACGTCCAAAATGTACTCTTTTGCTAACGAACACGAATGGTCTTACTATCGATACGTATAAACCCTTTCCAGCAAACAAATGATCTGGGGAAATTGGTTGCTCTTCAGCAACCTTCTTGGCTGTACAGCAGGTTACGTTTTCGCTTGCCTCCATCTTGCCAATTGCTGCATACTTCACTCCTTAGCAACTAGTACCTATAATATCATGTTTAAAGGGCAGCAAGCCGCCACTTTGCCCGCGTACTGTCCGATCGCATTCGACGCGAGTTTGTCCAGCAAGTCCTTTACCAACTGCTTTTCATATTGTGGCGTCCAGTAGTATACACGCCAAGTCGACGTATTACAGTATTCAAAGAACCAAAAGTCAGTCTTCGCGAACGCTGCTTTGGCAGCTATGAAGGCCTCGGATGTTTCGGGATTAAAGGTGGCAGAGCTCAAAGAGGTTCTGAAGGAGCGTGGATTGCCTGTTTCAGGGACAAAGGCGGTTCTCGCGGAGCGTTTGCTAGCAGCTTTGGCCAAGGTGAGCAAGCCAACCGCACAGGAACCTTTCGGGAACGCCGGGTTCGCAAGATAGCAAGTCGCAAGTCGTGCAGTGGGTCAATGGGTATGTAGAGTGCCAGCAACAGTCGGGCACTGCACGGTGTTGTTCCCGCAGGGTGAGGAGGGTGGCAGCGGCAGCCAAGGCAACGCCAAAGCGGACAAGAAGGCCGGAGCGGCGCGAAATGGCAGCGATTCCCCTTCAAAGCAGGCAAGCGAACAGCACGACAATAACGGAACCCAGGAACAGGCGGAGGCTGCGAAACCCTCGCAGGGAGACGATGCCGCTGCCAAAGCCGACGAAGACGCTGCGTCAGGGCCAGCTGACAAGCCGGCGGACACTGCCGAAGCGCCTTCAGCGGATGGAAAGCCGGCTCCGGCGAACCAGCCTGCCTCGGACGACAAGCCAGCCCCTGCTGACAAGCCGGCGGGCGGGGATGCAGTCATGACGGAGGCGGCCAAGGAGCCTGAGGTACCCATCCCTGAGCCTGAGCACGAGGAGCAGGTACGGGGGATTGGCTCCAGAGACGCTATGGTGGAGGGAGCCACAGCTGTTGCCAAGGACCGCTGTGTGGCCGGGACTGCATGTTCGTGTCCTGACTTGCACCTAGGCCTGGCATGGTCATGTCCCACCCTCGCGTATCGTGAGCTGCCGTAAACTCCTCGTTTTCTCTTGGCTGGCTCCCACCGGGCTTCCCTCCTTCAGGTGGACTATGGCACGGATGAGATCATGGTTGCGGAGGAGCCAGCTGACGAGCCGGCAGCAACTGCGGAGGCAACAGCAGCAGCAGAGGCTCAGCCTGAAGCAGCTGATGCCGAGCAGCAGCGAAAAGCACAAAGCGAGGAGCAGCAGCAGGAGCCGGAGAGCATGGAGGTCGAGAAGAAGGCGCCGGAGGAGGGTGCCGCTGCTGCTGCTGCTGAGGGCGCCACAGCTGCAGCGACTGCCATGGAACGAGATGACGTTGCAGAGGGGTCGGCGGACAAGAAGGCCGCAAGGGACGGGGCTCCTGCCTCAGCAGTCGCAGCATCTGGCAATGCTGACCCCGCGGGGGCTGCCAAGGATGCTGGAGGCGCGGCGGCGGAGCCGGTGCCGCAGGCGCCGGTCGTGGCCGCGGCTGGCGCTGGCAGCGGCCGGCGGCGTCAGCCCATTCAGTTCAATTCGGACGAGGTGGAGCAGCGGGTGGCTGCCAAGCGTGCAGCCCGGGATGCCACCACAGCAGTGGCAGCAGGCAGTGAGGGGGCGCAGGACAAGGCGGCGAAGGCGGGGGCTGCCGCCCCTGCCGCAGCAGCGGGCAAGAAGCCTGCTGCTGCCGCCCCAGCAGCAGCCAACGCAGAGGCGGCTGAGGTTGCTCCGGCGTCTGCCAAGGATCCGGAAGCATCCGAAAAGCCGGAGGCGGTGAAGACGGGAACGCAGGAAGACAAGGCAGCAGCCCCGGCGGACAAAGCAGCAGCACCGGCGGCGGAGGCGGGTAAGGATGCGGGTACGGCAGCCGGGCGGGCGACGAAGCTGCAGAAACTGGACGTGACGGGACGCAAGGTGGGCACGGCGCTTGCGGGAGCAGCGGCGGCCTCAGTGTCTCCCAAGGCGGCTGGCGGTGGCGCACCAGGCAAGGCGGCGGCGCCGGTGCCGCTGGAGGGACCCGCGACACGCGCTTTGCGGATTGACGGGTTCGTGAGGCCGTTCACGGAAAACCAGGTGAGGCTGTTAGCAGCAGCTTCTTTGGTATGGAGTGCCAGGCCGCATGGGCGTGGGGACGGTAGTGGTCACAAGGAGGGGTTGTTGTTGTGTAACGTTATCTTGTTTCGCTAGGATATGCCGTGCCTACTGGAGAAGCCGGCCTGCCTCCTCTGGCTCCTGTTACCCGCCTTGCCGTGTATGTCACCGCTCGCCTCTCCTCACGGGCTCCCCGCCTCGCATCGTACACACGCCGTACACGCAGGTACGGCAAATGCTGTCCCAGTACGGCACGTTGGAGGACCTCTGGATGCCCACCATCAAGAAGTTCTGCTACGTCATTTTTGCCGAGGTTGCTCAGTGCGAGGCGGCCGCAACCGCCACCAACGGCGTCGTCTGGCCGCCAACCAACAACACCAGCATCCTCAAGCCCAGCTACCTCACGCCCGAGGACGCGGCAACCGCCATTTCCAACGGTCGTGCCGGCGTTACGGACCCCGCAAAGGGCGCTGCCGCAGTTGGGAAGCCCTCCCTGGCTGCAGCTGGCTCCGGGCCGCTGGCGGCGTCAAAGGGCCCGGGGGTGGCGGCGGCGGGAGCAGCGCCGCCAACCAGTCCGCCGGGTCTCCGTCGGGATACGCTGACGGCGGCAATGGCGGCGGCGGCAGCTGACGCCGCAGCCGCCAAGCAGAAAGCCCCCGCCGCCGCCAACCGCAAACGGCCGGAGCCGGAGGGCGATGCCGCCGCTGCCGCCGTTGCGGTGGCGGAGGCAGTCCCGCCGGCCGCCGCGCCAGCGGTGGCTGCGCCTCCACCAGCGGCGGAACCTCCTGCGCTGTCCCTGGACGACCTCTTCAAGAAGACCAAGACCAAGCCGGTAATCTACTGGCTGCCGCTGACCGAGGAGGCTGCGGCGGCGGCGCGGAAGAAGCGGCAGGAGGAGGAGGCGACGGCGGCTAAGGAGGAAGCGGCAGCAGCGGAGCGGGAGCGGGAACGGCGGCAGGAGCGCGAGCGTGAGAGGGAGCGGGGCAGGGAACGCAGCGGGGCCGGGGGCCTGCCGCCGCCGCCGCCGCTGCCGGGTCCGCCGCCTAGGAATATGCGTGGGGTGTACGACAGGGATGGGCGTGGGCACGGCAGGGACCGCAGGTAATGCAGCACTAGTAAGGCCTTAAGGTTGGGCTTGGGCTGTAGCATGAGGAGCATTGGATTGGTACAGGGAGGGAGAACTGGGGGAGCAGTCCTGGCATCATGCAGGGGCCAGGGTTAAAGCATGGATGGGGAATGGTAGGTATTGGGATGTCTTGAGTTGCTTCTGCTCCAACATGCCATTTAGCGTTTTAGTTGTACGGCGGTGTCTCTTTTAGCGGGTTGCGGTTGAGGGCTTTAGGTATAAGGTGGCGGCAGTGGCAGCGGCGGGCGGCGGCGGCGGCTGCTCCCCCAGGGGTGGTGGCATCGTCAATCCCCTCTGCTGAGCATACCCTTGGGGCCCTCTCAATGGCGGGCAAGCCGGGCAATCGGCCCAAGCAGCCAGCTACCGCATCAGAAGCAGCATGGACCAACGGCAGTGCCTTGCCGAGGCCAGAGCCTGCTCTGTCGCATGCGGTAGGAGCGCGAGCCGGGGTTGCGGCTGCAGACATGCGGGTTGGCTGAGGCGGAGGGACAGAGGAAGGGCGGTGGGTTACACGGCCTCCTAGCACGATGTGGGAGGAAAGCTGCTGCCTTTAGCCCAGCTGATGCCACATTGCCATACATGTTCCCTAATAGGGCGGCGCTCTGGACGCATGACGAATGACCAACCCATTGCTTACGTTGCATGCCGGACCCAGCTACACACGTGTGGCTGTAGCTTCCCACTCCGAGATGGCCTGTAGTGGGTTGGCTGGCAGCTGGGGCGTATGGCAGTAGCGTGCGAGTGGCAAAGAAATTGTATACCGGTGTATCAGAGGCCAGTGTACGGGCCGTACGAAAGAATATGAAGCCCTATGACCTCCTCGAGTCTACACATACCGTTGTATGTAAGCAACCGTTGTGTCAAAACATACCGTTGTAGTGTTCATGCCGCCGACGGCAGGGCATTTGGGCTCACGGTGCAAGTACTGCCCGCTTTACTTTTTGTTGCAGCCAGTGGCAGCGATCCAAATGTTCAGGTTACATGCATGTTGGGAAAGCCAGCCGCTGACCGTGGCGCGCGTGTGTCCAGCGGCAGCGGTCAACACCACACGTCTCGGAAGGACTGGAAGCACGACAAACCCCAATCCTGGCTCATCAACCACCACCCCAACGCCAACTGTCTACGAGGTAGGCTTCCACTCGAAAGGACGAGCTTATTCAAAAGCTGTATGCGCGGACAACTCCTCAACAGTCGGACCGAACCGATGCGCTCCCCAACTTTTTCCTTCTCTTACAATGCACAACACGGCAGGCACGTTGCTCGTGACAGGAAGGCAGCTACCAGGCTCCCACATCACATCTTGAGTTGTTTGATGACCTCCGTGATAAGGCCCATGTCGTGGCCTCGGTACTGCAACCACATGGCCAGCCTGCGCCTGCACACATGCCGTACAAACCGTACACGGGCACGAACAAAGTTATCAGTTCTGCTCCATGCATCAATGATGCATGCAGGTATTTGAGAATTCAGATGTTGGGCCGGGCGCCACCTCGTCTCTCCTATTCTAGCGCAGCCCCTCCCTGCAAGGCACCCCTTCCCTTCCCTAACCGCGCGCAACCAAACCCAACCACCGCCCGATCGCCACCCCCTCCACCCACTTGTTAGCCTCCCTGTCCTTGATCTGCGCCGTGTGAGCAGTGCACCAGTTCTCCTTGTCCCTAGCGCCGCCGCCCGCGCCCTGCCCTCCAGCACTGCTACTGTTACCACCACTACTGCTGCTCTGTTGGCGCAGGTAGCTGCCGCGCCGCTGCTCCACATGCCTCCGAGCCGCCTCCAGCAGCTTCTGACTCACCTCTGGGAGGGGGAGGAGGAGCAGCAGCGGACGGACGGTCACGCGAGGGCAGGGGCAGGACATGAGAAAATGAGGGTGTACTGGTGTGTCACCAAGCACAACCTGATGAAATGCATGTCCGGAGACGAAAACGAGATTGGAGGCACCTCACCCTTCTCCTGCGGCGTGGCGGGCCCCGACAGCTTGATACGGCGGGAGGGTCCGAACACCGCCGCTAGCCCGCTGCTCACGTGCTCGGGAGCCACACCCAGCGCCGCGAGGTCCTGCAGGGGCGACGGAGGGGGCCAGGAAGAAGGGAGGCTGGGTGGACGTGGAACGGCAGGAAGGGAGACTGGTTGCGGTACCAATCCCCGGAGGAGGTCCAGGCGGCTGGGGGCTATATGGCCGGGGTGCCAGCGCTCTCTCACTCGCCTGCGGGCCTTGTCGGGCGGGTTGCCGCCCCCGCACCCACGCATGCACGCATGCATGCACGCACCCACCCACCCTGCGTATCTTGGCGGGTGCCGCCAGCCCGCTCTCCCACTTGGACCGGGCGTACAGTCGCGCGAACAGCCCGTCATCCAGCACCCCCGTGGCGCCCAGCCAGCCCACCAGCTGGGAGCAGGTGGCGGGCGGGTGGCCGCGGGCAGCCAGACGGCGGGCCAGGTCGGCGGAGGCGAGGGGGGCGCGCTGCAGCAGGGAGATGGCGTAGCGCTTGGCCTGGGAGCGGGAAGAAGGAGGAGGAGGAGGAGGAGGAGGAGGAGGGAGGGAAAAAGAGGATAACCCCATGCGTTGGTTGAAAGTGACAATGGAGATGGAGGGGAGGAGGAGAGGCAGGCGGTGGATGGTGATCTGCTGCGGTTACTGGAATGAACGTGTGTGACCTAGCATGCATCCTATCGCGTGCCATGCCTGGGTACGCTCGTGAGCGTGTAGGAAAGCTGTGAACAGAGATCCTTACTGCCGGGCGGCGTACACGGTATGCCGTACTAGTACGGTACGTGTGACAGATCGTACGGATGTGCGCGCCTTTTGGAAGTCTTCACTGCCCTCAATCACTGGATCCAACTCAAATGGTGCTTGGGCCGCTTGGGCGGGTGCCTCAGCCGCTCCAGCAGCAGCGCCGTCCAGGTCGTCGTCTGCGTCCTCTTGGGGACTCCCTCCACCGAGACCACCAGCACCACCGGCAAGGGCATCAGCAGCACCAGCGGCATGGCCCGGGTGCCGCTGCATCGAGGCAGGAGGGCAGGAGGAGGAGGAGGCAGCCATCCCGGGCGGCGGCCGCCCTGAGGACGAGACTGACGACGCTTCTTGCCCTGTCGCCTGCTTGCGTGCCTGCACATTGCGCGAATTGTGTGAAGTACGGTGACCGTTCACATGTGTTGACGCTGCATGTAACAGCTAACCGACGACTGAGCTTCCGTAAGCAACTAATACGGTAGTTGCTACTAACCGACAACCAACCTCTAAGAATTGTCGGAGCTCCGAGACATTACTAAAGGATATGGGTAGAGGCCCAGCATCGACAACCGGCCCATCATCCGAGGAAGGCAGGGGCGAGGAAGGTGTTGGGGATGAGGATGAGTCGGATGGGATTGAGGATGGCGGTGGGGACGAGGCCGGCGATGAAGTGGCTGGCGTTGCCGTTGCGGGCTTTGACGGGTGATGAAACGTTGGCGTTGTCTGCTGCTGTTGCGCGCGTCGTAGCCTAAGCTCATCAGCTTTTGACATGGACGCATGGTTACCGCTATGCGGCCCAAACTTGCCGTCGTCAGCGCTGTCGCTACTGTTTATATTATTGTTCTTGTTACGTCGCCATAATGGGTTGTGTCCAGACTTTCCGAGGGCTGCCGTTGCAGGCGCGGGGCAGCTGCTGCGCCCCTGGCTCCAAATGGGTGAAGGCCTCGAGGATAACCCACTCGCTTGCCGCGTCGCAGCTGCAGCGCTGGCCGGAGGACTACTTCCGAAGGCCGAGATTGCCATGACGTCGTCTTTACTAATTGCCTAGAGCTTGCGTAGTCCCAGGTGCACGGACAAGAGGTAGTTGGAGAGGGCCATACAACTTGTGTTCAAGGTGCAACTGGGCATAATTAAATGCACACAGATGCTTTTGGCGTGTTTCGTGGAAAACTCAGAATGCTACGCGTGCAACCCGCTCCGAGACTTGCAATAGCTGTGCTGCATAAGCTTTTACTTGTTCGTTTGTACTTGCATCACTTGTAAATTAACAGAGCATGTTTGCCCTAGCGCTGCTGTGACGGAACGACTACTTTCAAGATATGCCGTACGTGCTGTGCTGTGCCCGTGTATTCCTAGCTTATGCCCACTGTCCCAGTAGAGCTCATGAAGTGGCGTCAATTGCAATCTGTAGTTGTCCCAAGGGGTAACAAACCTTTGCGGTGTGTCTTACCTTGCATTGCAATTTTGGCAAGTTAGACGGACAACTCACGTTAAGCAGTTAGCGACTAGAGCACCTGCTAACAATGGAGGGAGGCGCCCGTGACATTGGAGGCCTTGGCCTCAAAGTGACTGGCGCTCTGGCGGGTACCGTGTATGTCGACTCGCTGCAGTCCACGGTTGGAGACCTTCGCTCTGAAATAGCGCGCTTAATGGGTGAGCAAAGACCTTCAGTTGATACTCAGATCACTACGTACGGGAGACCAGGGTGATCTGCTTGGTCCCGCAGCTTGCACGCCCCAATGGATGGCATCCATCCCCTTGCCGTCGCGTTCTGCCTGCACTGGGCAACACACACGGAACCCTTGGCGCATGCGGTTTATAACGACTATATATGTTTCACAGGTGGAGACGCGATGGTCAAGATGATAGTAGGAGGCCGCACCTTACAGGTAAAGACGCAGCGGATACATACGACCGGTCATTTCGGGTAGCGATGCAATAGTGATCCCCCAGGAAAAGCCTGCGAACACCGATCACCACAAATTTAATCATCCCTCTCCACGCCCTCCTCCCCAGGACAACTCCCGCACCCTGCATGAGGCCGGTGTCACCCCCTCCTCACGCATCCTAGTCACCCGCGCCGCGGCGCCCCCTGCCGTTGACGCTGCCGCTGCCGCCGCTGCTGCCGCGGAGGAGCGCAGCAGCCGACTGGAGCGCATTCGCCGGGCGGCGGAGGCGCTAGCGGGCAGGTGGAGGAGGGATGGGGCGGACGGTCGGGCAGCCGGGGTTTACGTTGCCAACTTACCATACTCAAGGGGTCATGCTGCTTACCGGACAATACCGTATAGGTATATAGCGGCTGTGCTGCGAGAACCCGTACGTACAAGTGTGGCGCGCATGTGCACACCGCTGCTGCCACCTCCTGCCTCCCACCATGTTACCGGCACCTCCCAACCTCCTCCGCCGCCCCTCAGGGACGCCCGGGGCCTGGGTGACGAGTACGCGCTGGACATCGAAAACCAGGTGGGTGCGTGGGCCGAGGTACGGAAGGGTACGGCAATCTGCAAACCCGGTCTGGAAGTGGGTACGGAAGAGGGGTGAAGATAGGTGGTGGGGCGCAGGAAGCCAGGAGAAGCATGTGGGAGGTGGGTCGGGGATGGGGGATGGGAGTGCGGGTTGATGCCGGGGGATGCGATGACAGCTGTAGGTTACAGCTGAGGATACGCCGCTCTCTGGGTGTGCTGACCTGCTGACCTGTCTCAACACAACCCCGACGATGTGTCCTACCCACACCGCTCCTCTCTGACCGCGACCTCGGTGCATAGCACACCTAATTCCTGCTGATGCCTGCCCCTGTCCCTCCCTGCCTGCCATTGCTCCCCCATCCGCCCCTCCCCCCGCCCTCTCCCACCCTCCCGTGAGCAGTCCGGCTCCCGGCTGGAGGCTAGCGCGGAGGAGCGGCGGCAGCTGGTGCTGGGGCTGGTGCTGCATGACAAGGCGAAGGGCAGCATGAGGAGGGTAGGCAGAGGGGGGGCGCTGGAGGATTGGGAAAGAGATAACCAAGGGACATGTGGGGGAGGGGCGCTGCATGAGGGAGGAGGTGGCGGGCGAGCGTTAGGTGGCTGTAGATGGTTGGTTGATTGGGTTGGTTGGTTGGGTACGGCAAGCATGCATACAGGCACTCAGGGGAAACGCGGGTCCACCTCTCGTTAGGCCTCTCTGTCTTCTGCGTCGGCCCTTGACGACTCCCCAATAGAGGCTCCAAAAGGCCCTCCGCAGCAGCAGCAGCAGCCCAGGCTTAGCCTCCAAACACAACCCCCACAAGTCCTGGCCTTGCCCTACTCTCCTAACCTCCTCCCTCCTCTTCCTTTCCCCTCCTGCCTCCCCTCCCACCCGCCTTCCCTCCCATCCGCCCCCCTCAGGGCGACTACGCCACAGCCCTACAGGAGCTCCTCCTAGCCGAGGAGGCCCTCACCTCCTCACCCACCTCCTCCTCCTCTGCTGGCCCCTCCACCTCCTCCTCCGGCCCCTCCACCCTCGCCTCCTTCCTCGCCTCCACCGACAACCTGCCGCTGCTGCGACTCGACCTGGTGTGGGCCGCTTGGCAGCTCCGCGACCTGCGCCGGCTGGCGGTGTGCCGCGAGCGGTTGGCGGCGGTACGACAGGGGCTGGCGGCGGCGCATGGGCCGGGCGGCGAGCGGTTGAGGAACCTGACGGGCGGTGCGGTGGCGGCGGAGCTGGCGACGTGAGTGGGATGGGTTGGGTGAGGTGGGGAGGGCGGGAGGAGGAGGAGGCGGGCTGGTGGTGAGGTGGTGACTGGTATTGTCTGGGTCGGTCGTTCAGCCACCGGCGTGTTAGCGACGCAAGGCTCTTCTGAGGAACCCTCCCCGCCTCTCCTTGCCCCATAACCCACCCGCCACCCCCCCGCACCCCCTGACCCTGGGCAGCTATCTGCGTCTGGACGTGTGTGAGGGCCTGGTGGCGTACTACGGAGGCGAGGGGCGGGCGGCGGCGGAGGCGTGCTTCAGAGCGGCGCAGGAGAAGTGGCGCAGGCTGCAGGTGAGGGGATGGGAGCTGGGGGGTGGGGGGTGGGAGCGGGTGCATGGACGCCTCCTCCCTTTGTCCTGGAGCTGCTGCGTTTTGCCGGTGATGCGTCGTGTGTTGTGTGATGTGAGGTGCCGCTGCTCCGGGCTGGTGTGCCGCTGCCGCTGCAGGCGGCATAGGGCCCTGCTTCGCACGCGCATCCAAACCCAAAGCCCATGCAACCCGGACCTCTCACGTAATGCGACCCCAACCCCACCCCACTCCCCCCATCCGCGCCCCAACACACCCCCGCAGGTGTCCGACGAGTCCCTCGCACTGCTGCAGGTGAGGCAGCGGTGGGGGCGGGCGGTGGGGCGGAGGCATGGCACCTCCTGGCACCTGCAGTTGCGCTGCCTCCTCCTCCTCCTCCTCCTCCTCCTTTCAGTCCTGAAGTCGTTGACTAGATGAGGAAACCATTGCTTTCCGTACATCCACGTGCTGCTAACCTGTGCTCTAAACCCTGGCTGCCTACCTCCATCCCACCTAACCCTGTAATCCCGTACGCAATGCAACAATCCCTCGTACGGCAGTCCATGGGTTACGGCCTCAGGGAGAGCCGCCGCGCGTTGCGGTTGAGCGGCGGGGACGTGGGGGCGGCGGTGGAGTTCATAGCAGCGCAGCAGCGGGCGGAGGAGGTGAGGGAGCATGTGTGTTTATTTGTAAAAGAGTAGCTGGCCGCGATTGTAAACGTACTGTGAATGCGTGCGTGTGTCGGGGGGAAAAAGAAATTCCAAAGTGTGGTATGATATTGATACAAGTTGCGTGTGTCGGGGGGGAGAGAGGGACAGGTAACATCAGCGCGCTGGGGTTACCTACCACTGCCTACCCAGTAACCTACACCCCTTCCAAACACACCCATGCCCACACATACACAGGAGCGCGCCGCCCGCCGCAAGCGGCTGCACGATTGGAACCACGAGCGCGTGTTGTACGGCAAGACACCGGTGGGTCAGCAATACGTGGATCCGGAGCAGCTGGACCGGCTGGGGTCGCTGGGCTTCCCACGGCGGCTGGCGGCGGAGGCACTGCGGAAGAATGAGAACCGGGGGCAGGTGCGGGGGATGGTGGTGGTGGTGAATATGGTTTGAAGGGGAGGAAAGAGGGTGCGGTGGCTGTGGTTGGGGTGAAATGGTGGGTTGGAGGGGTGCGGTGGAGGGGTGGACACAGGGATGTATCCGCGCACCGCTCCCTGCCCCACCGCTTCCTTCCCTGGCCGGGGCCTGGAGTCCTTTACCCCCCGTCGTCATGTTAGCCATCCCCATTCAACACATTGGGTATTCTTCTTTCCCCCTCCCCCTCTGCCCCCTGCTGCCTGCCAGGACGCACTGGACGAGCTGAGCAAGCCGGAGCGGCGCCGGGCACTGGAGCTGGAGGTGGCGCTGAGGGAGGGGGTGATGCAGGTGGGCCGCGGGGTTGCAGGGGGTGCAGGGGAGGATGCTGCCGGTATCTTGGAACCTCGCTAAGCTCCTAGTGCGCAATGGGGCACTAAGCTCTGTACGGTTTGCCCGACTTCATACCAGGGTCAGGGGCGACAGATGAGGCGTGACGGGGGAAAAGTAATTGAAAAGTGAAGCAACGGGGTCCCAATCCCGGCGTGACGGGGAAGGTTGGGGGCCCCGGGGTCCGGGGGGACTGCTGCGTGCTGCGTGAGATGGTTGAGGTGGTTGGTATAAGCCGGCGATTGGCATGGGCGGTGTGGGGTAACCAGCATCCCAGTAGCGGTGGGTTGTGGTGGCCCCGCATGTTGGCGAGTGAGGCCATGCAACATGCATTTGAGGTCCGTTCGCCTCCGTGGCTCATGAGCCGTCCTTGCAGGCAACCAGCAGCGGGAGTGCGGCGGAGGCAGGGACAAGCACCGGCGGCGGTGAAGGCGCGCTGGCGGCGGGTTCTGGTACGGCAGCTGGCGGCAGCGGCGGCGCCTCGGACGCCGCCCTCGCGGCCCTCAAATCGGTTGCGGAGGCGCTGGCGGCGGCGAAGGCACCCAAGCGCAAGAAGGCCTCCGCCTCCGCTGCCGCCGCCGCTGCGGACACCTCCGCCCCCGCTGCGGCTGCAGACACTGCCGCTGCCGGCGGCGGCGGCGACGACGAAGCCATGGAGGAAGGCGGCGAGGAGGAGGCAGCACAAGTAGGGGGCATGGACGCTGACCAGGGTGCTGCTGTTGCTGCTGATGATGAGGAGGACGAGGAGGCGAAGGCGGAGCTGAAGGAGGCGGAGGCGGATCTCGTACGGCACGTGGAGACGGATCCCATGGCAGCGTACGACATTGACGTCAGCGAGGAGGGGGACATCATCGCCACCTTCCTCACCATGCTGTCCACGGGGGCGGTGGCCGCGGGGGCGGACCCCTTGGGTTCGGCTGCGGCAGCGGGCAGGTAGGAGCTGGTGTTGTGCCGGTGCGAGTTTTGCAGCGTGGTTAGGATTTTGTAATTTAGTGGTTGCTGTGGCGAGAACGGCGAGAAACTAGAGCTTGTCATGTGGTGATGAGCCGTAGAGGTGTTGGCGGTACGACAGCATGGCTGGAGGTACGACAATGGTTTCAAAGGATGGAAATCCGGGTTTCTGGTTGTTCGCTGGAGAAGTCCAGCTGTTGTTAGAGAGGTTAGTTTTGGTTGAGAGTGTTGGATTAGGGGTTGCTACTTTGTAGGATGAGCTGTTAGGGAAACGCGGATGAAGACACTGGAATCGCATAATCTTAGAAGTGTATTGGGAAGAGTGCAATGTCGTCGAAGGGTGAGGATTAGTTATGCTTGGAGCCGCGGAGCGCGTCGGGGTGTAAAGCACGTAAGCACCGCTGGGCCTTGTACGGCACGATACTGGCGATACCCAGCGCGTTTGGCCCTCGTAAACGGGTTTTGGACAACTTTCGGTAATTCTTTTAGTGCTTGTTTGAAGTTAAACGAAATTGCGACACGATGGCTTCACTATTGAGACAACCAAGCTGCTGCCGTTCGATAGCAAGACATGAGACGCGAACAACGCAGCAAATTCATGTCGCATCTAGCACTTACAGCAGCAAGACTTTACGACAAGGCGTATGGCGGGCAGCAGCGGTGCAGGCAACGCCTGCAGGCGAGGCGGCCAACAGCAGAGCACCAAGAGGCCCACCGGGCGACGAGTCTTCAAAGCAGTTTGCGATAGAAATAGCGCGTGTAGCGGATGAAGTAAAATGCTCCGACATTGTGGTTCTCGACGTCGCGCCTGGTAAGTCGACGTCCGTCCACAATTGCGACAATGGTGCTGGGGTTGATAGCTGCGACTCTGTATTTGTCGGAGCTAGACTGTTTGTTACAGTCTTAATAGTTGGTGGTTTGAATTGTGTATTCGTGCATTCCGTTTGGGTCAGCTCTAACCGCCCGCAACATGCGCACACGCAGTGGTCAGCTGGACAAGTTTCCTTGTAATCGCAACCGTGTTCAGCAAGCCTCAGTTGCTGGCTGCCCTAGCACGTGTGGAAAAGGCAGCGGGGGAGCAACACGGACGGGCGCGATTAAACCTGCCAGGGTCGAGTCCATGGGAGACACTGGTAGGCAAGGGTCTAGCGAATGGGCTGGCGGGCGTAGCGTTGGAGTTAATTGGCAAGAGAGCAAGGGACGTGTTGGTAGCACTGCCCTCCCTAACCGAATGCGGTGGGTAGTTGTTTGAACACGCGTAGCCGTCCGTCAGGCTGTGTCCTGCATCTACGCATAAATGCTACCCGCCGTCTATTGCCGCTCACACGCTTCATTGCCCTTCATTGCTATTACTAATCACGGCAAGGAGTTGCTCTTTTAGCCGTATATGGTATGCATCTCGTTTTGCCTCTTTTTCCCCCACCCCGTTTCCTGACTTACTCTTTCAGCCGTGTACGGTATGCGTCTCGTTCCGCATCCTCTCCCCCACCCCGTTTCCTGCCCCTGCACTCCACCCCTTCCCGCTGCCCACGCAGCAACCAGCCCTGTGCCAACTCCCTTTGCATCATGCATACCAGCACACATTCTACATTCCACCGGCGGTCCTTTCCCAGGCCTTTCTCTCCTACCTTCCCCCCCCCGCTGCTACCTGTCGTCTCCTATGGTTTGGTATGGTCTTTGACCCCCCCGGCTGCGTCTTGACGGACCCCCGCCCCCTTCCGCTCCCCTGCCTCAGGACTTTGGCGATGTGGTGCTGCACCTGTTCACGGCGGAGCAACGCGAGTACTACGTAAGTGGGCCTTGCGGCGGAAACTGATTGCTGGGTGGGCCTTGTTAGGTGGCTGGGCGGGCCACTGACAGCTGCATGGGCCTTACGGTAGCTGCATGGGGCGCATTAGTTGGCAGTGCGGGGGCCTTATGGAGGCCTTGTGGCGGCGGGGCGGAGCTCATGGGTGGGTGGCACTGTTTGCCTGGGCCCTTTTTCCTGGGTTTCTTTCCGGGGTCAGGCTAGCCTCCGGGGGGCTGCTCCGCACTTACCTGATGCGGGTTTGGGAGCGCTATGTGGGGCTGGGTAGTGCTGCTGGTGGGGGCTGGTGACTGCAGGGGCTGCTGGCTGGTTGAAAGGCCGCATTGGGTGCGGGACCCGACACCCGAGTACAGTACAGCTGCTGTTATTGCAGAGAATGGTGACGGCCTAAGGCACAGGTAATGGTTCGAGTACTGCCTCTTATTGCAAGGTTTTTACCCCGTTGCAGGACATCGAGTCGTTCTACGCGGCGGCTGAGGAGGTGGAGCTGCCATTTGGGCCGCCAGACGGACCCATGGGTCAGCGGGGCGGCGCGGCGGCGGCCGCAGGGCAACAGCCCACGTGGAGTACCAAGTTGTGAGGCGCATGAGGAGGACGTGTACTGTAAATAGGCTGCAGGATGGGAGTTGATCAGGAGAGCATACCCGTGCGCTTGCATGGGGGCCGACCGCCGTTTGGGTGCCTTGCAACTGTAGTCGACAGCTGAGGTCCAGCACGACACCTGTATCTATTTTTTCCTCATTTTACACCTTTATAGGATGCAAGGTGGTTCCATTCTTATCAAGCAAGTGGCGACCTGCTCCTAACCGGCTGGGGTGGTGTGCTGGCTGGCTAGGTTGGGGCGTCGTTGCCGGGGCCGGGTTGGAGAGAAGGGACTGATCTCTGTTCACTGTGACGGCCAAGGCGTGACAGCGTGACATGGACCGGCAAGTGGTCTTTTGAAAGACTGAGTGTACGCGGGGGCAGGTGGGGCGATAGTGGTGGGGCCAGCTGCCTTAAGCAATGGATCAGACCGCCATAGTGGAAATAACACCCATTACATATGCATGCTGCTTCAATCTTACTACCAATCTGCTTCTCTTGCAGTGTAGGGTTGGGTTCATTACCCGTGTTCTCTTTTAGGGAACCATTGTAAGGGTCATTCATTCAGTCTGCTGTCAATTACCCCCAGGATACGCACCTAGGTCTTGCACTAATATTGGGGAAGACGGTCTACACAATAAGTCCGAATCCACACGTCTTTTGCCGCCTTCTGACGCGCACTTGCGACATACCAATTTCCTATGCAAACAGAGGCCTTCAGCGCCCAATAAAGAAGTTCGGTCAGCAATACCCATCAAGTCTTCTTCTTACACCTTTCTCCAACATTCCAGCCGACAAGACTGACCGACATGGCACAATACGGCTTTGTACTGCTATTACAATGTGATTGTTGTACATGACTAAACGTCAAATATGTTAGAAGCACCAAAATCTAACAAAGGTTGCAACCTGAATGGCACGCTTGCATTTTAGCCAAAACAGAACAGGTTGCTAGGGGCAAACGGAACTGCAACATTCTCACCATTTATGCGCACGCAAACTGCTCACACTCCAGTTGCTGCTGCTTGCTCCGATTCGCGCGTCCCAACCCTCGAAGAAGGTGGTAACTTCTAAAACTTAAACAGTAATGCGTCTTAGGTAGCAGCACGCTAGGCCAAGAGTAACTTTCGCAATAAGCCAAAGGCGGAAACCATGCCGGCTACGTCACAATTCGGGGGAAAACTTCCAAAGAGCATGTCAAGTAAACAAGTTAACAGATCACAAATGGATTCTCCGAAAGTGCCTTCAACACAGCGCACGTCAAGAAATTACCACGCATGTGCTTGCCTACGGGATTAGTTCTGGCCAAAACACCGAACTCCTTAGTTCACGGCATTGACGCAGTGGCAAACCACGTATACAATTACCCCTGCCTAACGCTATTAGGAGCAGTTCTCTTTAAACAGCATTGCGTGACAAGGAAACCCGTACTTGCTCGTTTGTGATCCTCGCTTACGCAGCGACGCGACCAAGCAGCAGTTACCAGAGCTGCCGAATTGACAAGAACTAGATATTTCTAAGCTCAGCTTTAGCAAGGGGTAAAAATACGCCATCAAGAATAAACATCTGCTGCACTAGACTCAAGAAGGCCTGGAATGCTTCGCCTGCTGGTCATCATCCGATGCAACGAGAGGAACGCTTCGACTGTGAATGTAGCAATCCGCGACAATCGCATGGTAGGCCTCAATGCTACCCATCAGCTCCCGGTGTCACGCTTCCCCCGATGTCTGGGCACCAACCAGCTACCAGTTTCCCGCACCCAGTTGCACCACCACCATGCGAACAATTAAGCAGCAACGCGACCACTCGTACAACGTCATGTGCTAGTGCTGAGATGCGTGATTATGCCTTCAACCTTCGATGCATCTTCTTCCGTAAGCAGGCGCCCCTGCGTACCACGGGCCCATGGCATGCCAAAAATGATTTATTAGCAGGAAACACCCACGCATACAAATGTATACACCCAAAGTATGTTCACACGTACGACAGAAACCCCTCATCCCATCTTGCCACTCCAACAGCCTCTCTGCCCTCCATCCAGCAGCCTATAGCCAACGTATCCCTCCACTACTGCACACGCTGACCCGTGGGTCACTGAAAGCACGCTGGCAGCAACCCCTGCAGAAAGCCCCCGACCACTCTTCCACGAACCGCCTCTTCACCCTGCCGCTTTCCCACGCCCTGCTGCCCCTCCACCACACAACCTCCCTTGCCCCTCTGGCCCGCCCCCGCCTTTGCAACCTCGCCCCTGGCCTTCCTTGCCCCAAAACAGCCAAACCCCTCAACCCAACAGCTCCCACCACTGTCCACCTTCCTACTCCCTCCACACGGCCCCGCCGCTCCTCCCGGCCCAGCTTCCCCTGCTGGGTTCCCCTGCATGGGCACCGCTGCTGCTACTGCTGCTGCTGTAGCTGCCACTTGCGACCCGGCGGGTGGCACCGGCAGCGGCAGTGAAGGAGGCAGGGAGGACCGCACGAACGGCACGTTTCCAGACGGGCCCACCAGTGTTACCGACTGCGTTGCCAGCAGCACCATACCGCCCGCATGCGGTGGCATCAGCCCCGCCGGACACCCCGCCATCAGCCCAGGCATGAGGCCGTTGGGGCCGTGCAGCGAGGTGGCTGAACTGTGCATGGCAGCACTCCTGCGGGCGGCCCTGCGCCTCACCTCGCCTCGGTTGCTGACGTCACCGCCGCCGCCGCCGCCGTCACCGCCGCCGCAGCCATCCCTGTCGTCTCCGCCATCGACGTCAACGGGATTGTAAACATCGGCCATGAACTGATGCCCCTTTTCACCAACCGCGGCGGCAGTCCCTTTCCTTCGTACCAGTCGCTCCTCGTCGTCCTCTTCCCCCCCACGCTCCAATGCGCGCAGCATCGCGTCCCCCTCCTCCTCGCCAACCATCAGCAACAGCAGTCCCGAGGCGTCACCTGCCGTGACCTGCTTTTGCAGCGGGGCCGGCTGCGTCCCCGCCGCCTCCGATGCAGCCGGGGACATGAAGGAATCAGAGACTGTGGGATGGAAGGTGCGGGCAGCATTCGGTGCGCCTGCGGACAGCGGCCGGATTGGAGCGGAGATGTGCGAAGGGTCGCCTCGCTCCAACACGCCCCTACGTGCGCCGACGCCGCTTTTCTGGTGACGCCAATCGCTTGCGGTAATGACTGTGGCACCTCGGTTCAGCCCAACCGCCGCTTCCTTACAGGTCGCCGCCCCTGCCTGTGCCCCTGCCTCCGTCGCTGCCAGCGCAGGAGCAGCAGCCGCAGCCCTAGCATCCGGAGATGTCGGGACACGGGCGGAGCCAGCACCTGCAGCCGTGTCAGTAGACAAGCAACCCGACTCCGTTGCGCTCCTGCGCCACCTCAGCAGCGCCGAAGCAGCAGCCGCCGCCACCGCCTCCTGCCAAGTCTGCTGCACGCCAGCCTGTCGTACTGCTTGTTGGGCTTCGCACGGCAAGTCGCTTCCTTTCGTATCACACCTCTGCATGCGTGGTACGGTTTCGGGGTGATCGGTGTTACCGCCGCCGCCAGCTGCAGCGGCATCATTGCAATGAACCTTGGTAGCCGTGACCTCCGCCGAACATGGCGCTTGCGTCGAGGAAGGTGTGACTGACGTAAACGGGGCGGAGGGCAACCGCGAGGGTGGTCGTGCAGCCTTACCAGGGGCCCTGCATGCTGCCGCCGCCGCAGCTGCCGCCGCTGCGGCTGTGGGTAGGGCTGCAGAGGACAGCGCAGATTGCGAAGAGGGCCCTGCCTCCATCACCGTTGGTGTTGTCGTACGAGTTACGCCGTACGAACTGCTGCCCTGGTACGTCGTACCAACCGTCGCCGCCGCCGGCACCGTCATCTCTGCTTCGTACAGCTGCTGAAGTTGGGGCGTCGCAGAGGACCCTGCCAGGAGCAGCGGCAGGTCCTCAAAGTACGGCAACCGTAGCAACTCATCGGCCGTATTGCGTTGACTTGGATCCAGCTGTAAACATGCCTCAATCAGCTGTAGCAGCTTTGGATCCAGCATCCCCTCCGGTGGATCCGACCGATCCATATTGCTCGCACCTACGCCGCTGGTGCTGGCTCGCCTGTAGCTGCTTCGCTTCTTGCCGTAGCACAGATAACCGCCGCTGCCGTCGCAGCAGCCAGCCAGCCTCTCCCTGAGGCTGCGGCCTCCGTAGCGGGTGCTGTCTACCAGACCTATCGCAAGGCTCTTGTTAGCCGCCATTGCAGCGGTCATGTGGGGAGGCAGGGGCCCCAGGCACCGCGTGAGTCGCCAGAGCTGATTGAGCGAGGAGGAGCCGGGGAAGAGCGGCGAGCCGACCGCAAGCTCCGCCAGCGTACAGCCCAGGGAAAAGATGTCTGCGGTACGGCATGCAGGGGGCGTACGGCATGGTGACGGAAGGCAGGTACTGGTAGTGTGCAGTACTGGTAGGTTAGGCAGCTACGGGAGGTGAAGGGAGGTTGAAAGTGAATATTGACATGGCAAAGAGGTGTCGGGGGATGCCTGGAGAAAGGCATACAGTAATACTGCAGCCAGCTTGACAAAGTAAACAAGCAACAGCATGTAACGCCGTCAGTAGCAGCGTCCTTACCTGCCATGGTGCCGTACGGCAACCCCAGCAGCACCTCAGGAGGCCGGTACCATCGTGTGATGATGTAACGCGTCAACACGGCCTCATACGGTGTTAGCCTCGACCCATGGGTCGCCGTTGCTGCCGCGGCAGTGGGGTGGTGGTGGTGGCTGTGGCGACGGCCGTTCTTAAATGCCGACTGAGGTTGCTGCTGCTGCTGCTCTTGCTGCTGCTGTTGGGGCTCCATGGGGGCCTGATGCCCCGGTGCGGCCAAGCTGCTGTTGGCGCGGGTGCGGGTGATGTGAAGGAAGCGAGCGAGGCCAAAGTCACAGAGTTTGACGACACCGTGGCCTCCGAGCAGTATGTTGGCGGGTTTGATGTCGCGGTGGATGATCTGATATAATGAGGTGGTGGGGGGTTGCAATTGTATATGACGGTGGGCTATGGGAGTTTTTGCATGGTTGGAATAAGAGGTTTGTGGGAATGACAAGAGGTAAGGTTTGGGATTGGTGGAGACATGGGAGATGGCTCATCTAGCGCTGCAGGCGGAATGGAGAAGAAGAAATCGAACAACTAGCGTGACACGACGCTTTCATGTGTTGCACCATGTCTGACGAATGCCAATTCAGTGTACGCAACTCAAGACAACGTATACGCCGAAGCCCCAGAAAAGATTTAGTAATACCCGGTGCAAACGCGCACACCTGAACGGCGTGCAGGTACCGGAGAGCCAGGCACATCTGCCAGGCCACGAGCTTCAGGAGCCCGGGTGGAAAGCCGCGAGGGTGTGAGCCGAGGAAGGTTTGAGCGCAGGGTCCTATGTACCTGCATACGGCAGCGTAGCAGTTACCAGCCACCTTAACGAGAAACTAATAGCTAGTTATGGGGTGGCATGATTCGGGTCAACGGAAGGCATGCACACGTGCCTGATCTTAATGTTACCAAACAGCGCAGTAAAGAGGCTGCGAAGAGGGATGAGCGCCGGATACATGGAAGCCATCCAAACGCGCGGGACTTACTCCATAACGATGTATGGCCTGCCGCTAGGACTGTGAAAAGCATCTAGCATCTTCACAATAGTAGGGTGGCTGCAAGCGCCTAGGATCTTGGCCTCTCGTAGCGCCAGTTTTACGCCCTGCACGGGCGCGAAGTGTGAGAAAAAAGTTCATGTGGGTGCACTGTTACGAAGGCAATACAAATGCATCCCTTAGGCTAGCGGGGCAGTCTTACGCATCCAAGTACCCTTCAGCGTGGCTTGGCGGGCGGGCGCACATCTTGCACGTGCATGCTACTCAAGACTAGCAACTAGAACCGCCAATTGCATTAAGCGTGAATTCAGAGTCAAACTTAGAGTTGCCACAAAGTTGTTCTCCAGATCGATTACGGAATTTGCGGTCGCAGGGTTGGGCACAGCTCAGAGGGTACATCGCACATTGGCATCGGGAAGGCGCCGGGTCATCCAAGCCAAGTGCGAAAACCCCGCCCACGCACCAAGCGATCTTTATGTATCCTTGCTGCCTTCACCGCAACAATGCGGGGGCCATCGTCGTCCTCTGGAGAGGTACGTCGACACAGCACGACGGAGCCAAAGGAGCCAGAGCCCAGCAGGCCAATAGGCTCATACTATTATGTGGTGTAGGAAAGGAAGTCTCAACGTGAGCGGACAAGAACTGCCGTCTGGAAGAAATGTGAAGGAGTTACCTTGGGCTCCTTCGCAACAGGGCAGTCTCCAGTGGCCATTTGCTCAACGGATTCGAGCTTTATTCCTCCAAGTTCATATTGTAACTGTAAGCCGATTTCCCGCGCGGAAATGTTAGCTTCCGCGTTTCTCGTCAGTTCGACGAACAGACCGTATCAGCGGTTAAATTCATGCGCGAGAAGCATTGCTAAGATGGAACACACGCATAGAAATACCCTTTCTATGAAGGTTTACCTAAGTTTGCCCTCGAAAGGACCTACCAGGTCTACGAGCGGCCAAGCCAGCCATTATTGTGACAGGGTGTCGGCATTTCCGTGTTACAAGCACCGTTTATACACGTCATTTACAAAGCGTTTTACTTCTGCAATATGTGGTAAGTGGTCTTCGCGGCCGCGACGTTGTATCGGTACTGGACGATAGCTACGACGTACGGGGTTGGCTGTCGGGGCCGTACAAAACGCGGTCGCGCGAGATGCAACTGTCGGATTTACCATCCTAACTGTGCTGCTGATGTCGTTGGTCCCGCTGGTGCTGCGGTCCAGCAGCTTTAGCTAGGACAGACTCGCTCCCAGCAAGTTAACCAAACCCTTGTGTTACCAACAATAGCAATCTTCGTGAATACAGAGTGTGTAACCTCTAGCGCGTCCATAAAATTAATGGTCGGTGTCATTCGCTCGCGGTCGGGTTCCAGACACAGGGCGGCGACGCCGAGGGCGACCCGCGGGTTGTTGGTAGGCGGACGATTCCGTTGGCAGCAAGAGGTCTTGTGACACAAGGGCAGACGTGCGTGAGCCGGTTACGCGTGCGAGTGGGTTTCGAAGGGTGTGAATAGGGGTCTAGGCAGGTAATAAAGCCAAAGCGGGAGACGGTAGGATGGAGTGCCTCTTGACGTCTGAGAAGCTGCCCGGGTCGTGCTATGAAGCGGCCCCTTTGGCCGGTGTAAAACGGAACAGCCGCTGCATGGTGTGCCCCCTTTGTTGCTTCCAACGGATCCATGAACTGATCGTGCTGCGGTGCATACCAGCAGGAGCGCGGTTTGCCAGGCCATGTGGGCTCACCCCTTCGCACATCCCTCTCGGGGCGCTGCTGTTGGCTGGTCAAGCCATGTCCCATGCGGGCCTCTCCCTTCCCAAATTTTTTTTCTCAACGAGTCCAGCGATATCGCTGCATCGCTGGACTCACTCTTTGGTGCAAGAGTGGGTCCCCTTCTCACACTGGCTGCAAGACACAGCCGCCAAACACAAGCCGCAGAAGCAGAGCCCCACAGCAGGTTACAAGCTCAAGCAGCAAAGATATCATCTTAGGGAATAGAAATGCATTATATAAAAGGGCAATAAACCATCACACCCACACATTTGCCCACGAGGTACGCGGGCTAGGCGCTTTATGTGACCATTGATAGGAAGGGACGTGTAATCATGTGTGTTTCGTGCTTTAATCGTGTTGCAAGCTGTCTGTTTGTCCACGTATGACAGATGTCCTGCCTTCAAGTATTGTGTGCCAAAGGCGTCCAAAAGGTGGATTGTCGTATGCTCAAAACATGCAGCGTGTCCCCATTACGGGACTCCCACTTAACAAACAAGTCAACGAACCCAGCATCGACATGCCATGCCATCGAAAGCACAGCGCATACCGGTACCATTTCTGTGTCCAATATTTCCTCGTCCTTTTCGTTATGCACCAACAGAAAACTGCCTTTGGGCAGCTTCCAGGCCCTCAAACGTTGCCGTTCCAGAAGTGACATGAGGGCCCCACAGTTCCAAGGCGCAACATGGCACCAGTCCGGCACCAAGGCACTCCAAAAATGCCACGCACATTACTAGTACTTTGCAGCTCACCGGAATTAAGACACATGCTCAAACCACGACTCGTTTGCAGCGTAACAGGTCGTGAAACACACGCCTCAGGTCATGCAATATAACATCACGTGGAATCTTAAGCGGTACCTGTGTTTCATATTCAGGAAAGTAACCACAGACAAATGGCCATACCTCCATACCGCACGCATGTTTCTGCCGGTTCACGGCCCAACGAAACATTCAAAAACCCACACCGACTTCTAGCGGCGTGGTTCTTCACAGCCCAACAAGAACCCCGCCCTCAATCCCGTCACCGTTCCTCACTGTCAGCAACCTTCGCTGCTGGCGGCGCCGCTGCCCCGCTGCTAACCACCGACGCCTGCCGTACAACACCGTCCTCGTCGTCACCGCCAACCACCGCCACCGCCGGTGCTACTGCTGCTGTCACCGTTGGCGAGCACGGAGCCTGCTTTGGCCCCTCACGAGACTGCCCGCCTGCATCGCCCATACCAGCGCCAGCACCACCGCTGCTGGCGGTACGGCTACCCCCGCCACCACTCGCCGGACGGCCGCCACCACCGCTGACTTCGCGGTTACCTCCGCAGCCGCCACCACTGCCGGTCCGGACGCAGATGCCAGGTTCTGCATTACCACCGCCGCTGCTCCTCCTACTGCCAGCACGACTGCCCGCTACTACCTCAGCGGCAACGTCGCCGCTTCGGCCAGCGCTGTCAGCACCGCCAGCGCCACCTTCGTCACTGCCGGCCGGGCTGCTGCCGTCGCCGGTCACGTTCACGCTTGCAACCAGGAAAGCTGCGCCGCCCTGGCTGCTGCCAGGCGGGATGACCTCCGAGTACCCGGGCAGGGAGGGCTCACGATTCCGCATGCGGCGGCTCCCCATCTCAGCAACACCGGCACCGGCCGCATCCACGCTGTCCCTTCCCGACACCCCCTCCGCCCCCGCCCCGGCATACATCCCAGCCATGCCCGCGAGCTCCTCCTCCGCCACCTCCTCCTCTCCCACTGCCACCAGCCTGCCACCACCTGCCCCGCTGCCGCTGCCTCCATCCTCGCTGAGCATGGGGAGTCCTGCTCGCATTACCATCCCCACCGGCGGACTGGTGCTGCCCCCCTCGCCTCCCTGGCTCAAACGCGACAGGCGCTGCATGCGCGCGGCATGCAGTGCACCCGGGTTCAAAGACATCAGCCCCAGACCCCGTCCGGTGCCGCTGCCTCCGCCAGTGCTACCCCCACCGTCAGAATGATACCTCCCCGGTGGTTCTAGCTCCGGGCTAGCCGCACCTGACGACGTGGCAGCGCCGAAACGACCGGCTAACTGCACAGCCCCCAGCGGCGGCTGCACCGCCCGACCTGCCCGCGCCGGCTGGCCGAATCCGATGCCACCTCCCGCCCGCTGCTTGGCTCCTGGGCTGCGCTGCCGGCCGCCTCGCAGCGCCCCGGGTGAGGAGGGCGGCGGCTTGGCGGCGCCTAGGAGGTTGCGAACGGGGCCCCCACGAGGCGGCAACGCGGGCAGGCTGCTGCGACGCTGGGGGTTGATACCGCCGCCGCCGCCACCGCCGCCGCCGCCACCGCCGCCGCCGCCACCCTTGGGTGATGCACGGGTTTCCTTGTCTAGCCCGAAAAAGCTGTTGTAGCGGCTCTTGGGGGCGGGCTGGTCGAAGGGGAGACCGTACACGGACTGTATGGGCGGCGGGCGCATGGGTTGGCGCTGCGTTGGGCCCATGCCGGGTGGTCGTGGGATGCCGCTGCGGAAGGTCCGCATGCCGCTGCCGGGTCGGTGCTGCGGGGCCTGCAGGGGCTGGGGTGCAGGGGCCGGGGGGAAAATTATAAATAAGTGCAACAACACAGGGGCCGGGGGGGGGGGATAATTGAAAAGTGAAACAACGGAGTCCCAATCCGTGTCTCAACGGAGTCTTAGGAAGAAGCCGTGAGAAGGGAGAGCTCAGGAGACAAGCGGAAGCAGCGAGTAGGAGGTTGCACGTCGGGGTACGGTGAAAGGTGCGGGAGGCCTTGTAATGCCCAGACGGAGTCCCGTTTGATGCAATGTAGAGTTACAAGCCCCTTATCGCAAATAGCACGCCCCTGGTATACTTTGCAAAGGTCGTCCGGTATCATTCTTACATTGTAGCCTAAAGTCCACGCTTCCTCTCACTCCTCGGCTTCACCCAAACTACTCCGGGAAGCCCCCCTGGAGCCGCCTACCTGCAAACGCTCCCCATGCACGTACGCTCTTCCTCCACTGTACACCCCGGCACCTCCATCACCACCATCGCTTGAGAAATCCCGCCCGCCCCGCCCCATGAAGTCTCCACCGCCGCCGCTGCTCCCGCCATGCGGCCCCGGGTCCGTGTGCCCTCGACGCAGCACCTCAGACGCCAGCGGCTGCGGTAGGCGGTCGGGAATGGAGTTCATGTCTTTCGGCACGAGGTGCGTGTTGATGACTACCATGCTAGCCGCCAGCTGGTCCGGCGAGTCCACCAGGACGCCTCCGCCAGACGGACTGCCGTACAGCTGCGCGCCGCCGGCGCCAGGGCTGCCGTACAGTTGCACGCCGCCGGCGCCAGGGCTGCCGTACGGCGAGCCGGCTGCTGCTCCGCCGCAGCCGCCAGCTGCTAGCTGCGCCTTGACCCGCTGTAGCTCCTGCCAAGCGGCATCTCGGTCGGCCAGGGCCCGGCCGGCGTCGTTGGCGAGCTTCTCCATTGCGGCGGCTTGGCGAGCAAAGTCCTCCCGCATGCGGGATTGCTCTTCCTGCAATACGGGGGAGGATGGCATATGATAAGAAGCAGTGACACGATGACACGTGAGCGACATGATGATGGGAGAGAATGCAGGCAGTGGACGCCTCCATGCTGCCCACTACTACGGTGCGACTGCGGTTTAAAGTGGAATATTAAGACCAGCCGCGCCCATCCGCCGCAGATTTGCACCCGCCTAAACCATCCGCTGCTACCTGCTGCCACCCACCTGAAGCTGCTGCAGAAGCGTCGTCACCGTTCCTCGTCCGCCACCGCCGCTGGCGCCATTGACAGCTCCATCGCCGGTGCCGGTGCTTCCCCGACCCATGGGCCCGGCGCCTTGCCCCGACTGCAGCTGCCCCTGCACCGACCCGCCATCCACAAGTTCTGCATGCAGCAAAAAGGTTAGTGCACGCAGGGGTTAACAAGACGACAGGCTAGGAACTTGGGATTGGCAGGCGCGGCAAGGTCCCCTGAGTATGCCTAGAATCAGTGAGCCTCCCATAACCCAATCGCGCACGCATCCGGCCACATGTCGTCAAGCCCCCATGAGCGCATCATACATACATAGCAACCTAGCATAAGCGGAAGTAGGCAATCGTTGAGGCCGCACGCAATACACTCCTACGCCCTCCAGCCCTCCCGCCTCACCGCCAAGCATTCCGTTGTTGGACCGTCGGGCGTATAGAACCGGCGGCCCAGCTGCCGACATCATGCCCGGCGACTGCTGACCTGGTTGCTGCCCCTGCTGCTGCCCCAGCGGCGGCAGCACCTGCGGCGGCTTCACCGCGTCAAGCCAGGACGCGTCAATGATCTTGCCCTTGCCCCGTCCCTTTCGGGGCGGCGGAGGGTCGTCAGCTCCGCCGCCGCCACCCTGCACCTGCTGAGGTTGCTGCGGGCCTGCTGCCGGCCCTCCTGATGACCGGGGCGGCAGAGGGCCGGGCGATCCGCGCTGCTGCTCGCCCTGCCGCTGTGCATTGAGGTTGTCGTAGTAGGCCTGCGTGGTCGCACATGCCGTACACATGATTACCACGAACACCATCCTTCATGCCGGTGTACCATGTTAAAAAAGGAAAGTTGGAAGGGTAGCGCGACGGGGACGTGAACCGCTCGTTAGTGGGCATGGGCGGCAGCGGTATGGCACAGGTAAGGGAATGGGAAAAAAATAAGGAAAGGGAATGGGGCGGCGTACAGGGCTGGGCGGGTTTGCTGCCTGCGTTTGATCGGCAGAGTTTGCACACCTTGAGCTCCGCTTCCTCCTTCATGCGTTCCCGCTCCCGCTCCGCCCGCTCCCGGGCCTGCATGTGGGAGGCAGGGCAGCGGGGGTTGGGTCACCGGGCTCCTACCGGTACGCAAGCGCAGATGTTGAAGAAATTGTGAGCTTGATCAGGGGGGGGGTAAAAAAGTCTTTGCCAAACCCCATGCTAAAAAAGTTAAGAAAGGGGTGCCGGACCCACCCACCCACCCTGTCGTACCGTTTTTGCTGTACGACAACGCTGTAAACTTCGCAAAATCGCCCCAAAATAGCACCATTCGACTCCATTTCAGATTATCTTCGTCGTTCTCACGTTAGGCGTACCATTTGGCAACATGTCCGAGTCGCTCGCCACACGGGGCGGGGGCAGGCAGGCTGCCAGACTCAATGCTCTCTGGTATGCAGCCGATACACATCTCTTTTAAACCTTACATGCATTGCTGTGATGCTTGAGTGCACGGTTGCGTTGGTAAGTGTGCTCCAGCCCACCTGCCACTGCGTCCCTCGCATCACCCCGATATCGGTACGACTGCGCCCCCTCCCCCGGGTAGCAGGTCGGGCTTGCACCCCATCGCCCTCAGCACCAGATGCAGAACCACGCATGTTTCCACCTGCCAGGGGTGTGTCGTCAGTACGCCTGTTGCGTGCCCTCCCCCTTTAACCTTGCCCTAACTTTGTGACTTTATTCGTTTGGTTCCTCTTTGGGCCCCTTCCACCTTGCCCCTGTCCCTGCTGCTTGCTTTGCCTCTGGAGAAGCCATACCGTGTATGTTGGGCCAGCTAGGGTGTTCCATGGGGACATGCCACCCGCAAACTCCACACAAAGGCTCTAATATTAACATAATATGCATATACTATAACAGGAATACTAAATCTGCTATCCGTTTGGCGAAACGATACCTAGGAAAAAAGTTTTGGAGGTCAAAGAAAAAAGTCATTGGGGCTCCGGACCCACCTACCCACCCCTGCCGTACGACCAACTTTGGGAGCCTATAACTTTTTCCGTACAACTCCGATTACAATTCTGAAAGCGGAATTGGAATGCTCTCGTTCAGTTCTTTAATATTGAAGCATGGGGTCATTTTGCGGCGAAACTACCCCCCCCCTGGCTTGATGACCAAAGGGTGTTCCCACATCACGTGCCTAGCGTGTTCATCATGCTCTTACTTGACACAAAGGGCCCTGATGGCGTTCACATCCGTACTTCCTCCAACCCACCTGCCGCTCCTTCTTCTCCCTGATCTGTTGCTCCAAGTCCATCTGCAGCTTCTGTCGTGCCATGTCCGCCTGCCGCCGCTGCTCATCGCTGGGGCCCGCGATCAGCCCATTCATAGCCGCCATGAAGCGCCGGTTGCCGGGGCTGACGGGCGGGATGCTGGCGGCAGATATCCCCGGACCCATGCCGGGGGGCAGCTGCATTGGCATGCCCGGTGGCGACCCGCCGTCGTACGGCATCTGGCCGGCCGCGACTCCTGGCGGCCCCGGCATGTACTGCTGCTGCTGCGGGGGCATTAACGCGCCGCCGTGGTGGGGCACAATGCCTACGGAGGACATGGGGCCGCCGTCGAAGCCCGGGCCGCCCACGGGGTAGGCGCCTGCGCCGCCACCCGGGATTTCGATCATCAACCGACCCGCGGGTCCCGGAGGCCCGCCGGGAAAGGGACCTGCGGAGAACGTCAGACATGCCATGAGGGGCTGGTTCCATGTTGCAAGGTAGAGATAAGCAGCAGCGCTTCCGTGTATCTCGTTCTCCAGCTCTGCATTTAGCCATGCACCCCCGTCCCCTCCTCGTGCCTCCACCCGGCCCCAGCCCCTACAAACCTGGCGGACCGGGCCCCATGGGAGATGGGAGCATCATCCCAGGTGCCATTCCAGGCGGAGGCCCAAAGCCGTTGGGCGATACACCGCTGGCTCGCATCCCTCTGTGGCGCAAGTCCGCCATTGGGCGTCCGTACTCATCCTTAATGGGATCACCGCCGCCGCCCCGCCGCATCGCACGCGCCTCTGGATCCCAGGGCAGTGGCGCCGCAGCCGCCCGTGCCTCCCATGCTGCGTCCTCCTCACGCCGCCGGCGCTCTTCAGCCTCCTTCGCAAGCTTTTTAGCCCGAATCTGCTCCTCCAGCTCCCGCCTGTACGCCTCCTTCTTGGCCTCTGCCTCCATTCGGGCAGCGACCCGTGGGTCATCGATGGCGCCTGGAGACAGAGCAGCGGACAACGACGGTCCCGGCAACAGTGGTTGCGACTGCTGCTGTGGGGGCGGGGGAGGAGCGCGCTGGGGTGCGCCGCCGCGGTTCCCATGCGGTGACCCGGCTGCTGTCCCCATGCCCGCGGGTGCCGCGCTAGGCCTCCGTTGTTGTTGTTGCTGCTGCTGCTGCTGCGCCAGAATGCTGGCGCCAAAGCTCGGAACTATTATTGTTCCGCCGTCTGACAGCTGCGGCTGCAGCTTGTCTGGCGGCGGTGGCGGGATGGTGCCCGGGATTGCAAATACCCTCCCAGGGTAAAAGTTAGGGCTGTCAGGAAACGTCTGGTTCAGTGTCATGTCGCCCATGCCTTCGGCGCTGACGTCAATCGCGGGCGGGCGGTTGCCCCAGCCCCCTCCGCCTCCCGGCCCGGCCTCCTCAGCATCTCCGGCGCCGCCAAGTCCGGGGATCTGCCTAGGGTCGAAAACTTTTTTGTTGCCGTTATCCGGGTATACATGCTGGGTGGTGCGGCGGCGCTGGTTAGCGGGCTGCTGCTGCTGCTGGCGGTGCTGCTGCTGCTGCTGGGGGCGAGCGCGAGGAGACCTGCCGGGTCCTGGGCTGCGAGCCGCGCCCTGCCCTGGTGCTGCATCCTGCGCGGGACCCTGCGCCCGGGAGGCAAGCACAGCAAGCGGCGTAGTGAGCGACGACGACAGGAGGGAATCCGAAGGGAGGGGTTGGCTAACAGGGGTCCGTGTAAGGTGTAGGCATGATACCGCCTAGGGAGCGCACTGCGGGCTGGACCCGGAGTACGGTCTTGCTTTCGACATGTCGCCGAATGGGTCACACCAAGTCTACTGCCGCCTGGCTGCGTACGCGGCCGTCCCTGCCCGCAGAGGCCCTCAGCCTACATCCCCAGCCCTGCCGAAGACGTCAACTAAGCGAACTCACTTGTAAGCCCAGGGCCATCCGCTCTCGCTCCAGGATGCGGGTGTTCTCCTCCGCCTGACGGGCTGGTGGCAGGCAACGGTAAGGGGCGCGAGGCACGGAATTCACGCAAGGGTGGGGCTTCATTAAAGGTGAGGTCATGCAAATTGGCTGGGAGTGCCGGTCATGTGCAAAAGCGGAGTATTACAACCTTAACCCCTAGCATATATGCATGACTGCAGCCCAGGTTTCATACGGGGCAGAGTGCGGTGGCACGGAAGACTGCAACTGCAGTACGGAATAAGTGCAAATCACGGGCAGGTGCAGGGGCCGACTGGCGCACGGCTATCATACACAGCTTGTTGCGCTACGATGCATATGATTATGATACCCCTGCTTACTGAGTTGTGCTAACAGGTCTGCTTTCGCAAGGATATCCTGCTCCTTGCCGCGGCCCCTGTTCCCCTGGCCTGCCCGCGAGCCATTCTTGGCTGGACCTGCAGAGACGATGGGCGGTATTCGACGCGATATAATAACATGCGTACGTATGCGAGCGCTCCCAAGGCGCGAGGAGCCTATTTGCCAGACTTTCGTGCTGGCAGCGAAAAGACCCATGCTCACCGCCTTTGCCCTGCGCCCCTTTGGGTGGAGCAATGTAGACCATATTTGTAATTGAGGACGTGCGCACGCACGCCCTGATTACCTATGTATTAGGAATTCTTGGATAGCCATGGCTTCCTAAGCATGCCCTGTCAAGAATGCCTACCGGCTATTGTATACAAAGACGCTAAAGTAAGTAGCTATCCTACACCTTGCTAGCAGCAAAGCGACGCCCATTGACAAAACCCGATAAATGTACGTCAATGCAAGTTGACTTTCTGTGGAAAGCTTTGCTGTCTGCGTATATTTGGTAGACGAGTTACTTTATAGAACCTACATCTTAATTGCGCGTATTCCCAATTACAAGAGGTGTACTCGACTGGCTTCAACGTTCTTGACAGACAGAACAATGGAATTCCTTATTGCAGGCCGCCTAGGGTGCAAACGTTTGAACTTCATAACTTCTTCACACCGTTACCGTTCCTAGAAGCACGATGCCTTCCCTCTTATGCTGTACTGGGGCTTACACATCCTCCCCAGTTGGGACTCCATGCTCGACTGAGCCTTTATCTAAATACGATAAAAACGATAATGCAGTCTCAGTTGTGGCTTTACCTAACGGTGCATCGAAGCCCCAACATGGCATCGTCTTTGACAACGCCTTGCTACCGGGCCAGCTACCGGAAACACCGCGTAGCGAGTCTCCAAGTCTAGAACCGGAAGCAAGGAGGAGCATATCTTTGCTTGGGTACACCGCATGCCGTACTGGCGAGCGGGTGCTGCCACGGCCTGACCAGGCCACAGCAGAACGCCCCACACTCCTCGCGGCCTTGGACTTCCCGACCCACATCCGAATAGTATCGACTTCCTTTGACGCAGACTTCCGAAAGTGCGAAGGGGCAGCTCCTCCCAGGCAGCCAGGTACTGCACCGCAGCAGCACTACCGCGAGGCCAGCACCCTTTACCCCGAAGCTGCTGGCTCCAGCGGCTCCGGCGGGGACCCGCTGGACCTATCCGTGCTGCTGCCAGAAGCACACCTGCGCCATGCCGTGTCCTTAAGCTCGGGCCACGGGCGCCTGTACAAGGTGTATCCACGACAAGCGGCTGGGTGCGCTGCGAGCCTTGCGCACAGCGGGGAGACCCTAGCGTCAAACATGCCTGGGAGCGTCCCGGATAAGTTTAGGCAAGCAGCGGCGGCAGGATGTTGTGTGCAGGCAGACGGACCTGCAACAGCAGCAGTGACGGCAACCGCGCCATCACTCACGCCGCTTGCATGGCAGCGGCTACGGGAGGAGATCTCGCTGTCCGCAGAGTTGCCCCGGAGCTGTCCGCTTCTGCTGCTGCCGGACCGCCTGTACGAGCAGGCCGGTTCCGTACACCTGGTGTACGGCAGTGCTGTACCGGATGGCTGTACAGACCTGTGGACGTACATGCAGAAGAAGCACCAGCGGCGGCGGCGGCTGTCCGAGGGGTCTTGTCGCAGCATCGTCCGCCAGGTCCTGCAGGTACGGCGCCCCATGGGGCCCTCGCTTGCCTCCTTCCATGCACCAGTACGTCCCATGGCAACCATACCATGATAGGCAGGCAACACACCGCCCCTTATACCATCACAAAGGGCGGTACTGTCAGCACCCTCGCCCCGTACAGGCGGAGGGGTTGCACCTCTTGTCCCTTTCCCCTTACGCCGTACCCGCATTTCCGCACTTGCAGGCACTTCACGTGTTGCATGCGGCGGGTTGGGTGCACCGCAGCGTTAGCACGGAGACCATCTGGGTCTCAGAGCAGCAGCAGCAGCAGGGAGCGCCTTCGCAGCCAAGGTGCACCGCGACGTCTGGGCCATCCCCCAGCTGCGACACCGTGTCCCCAGCTCCGCCGCCCTCAGTGCTGCAGCCGCCGCCACATGCACAAACAGCAGCTGCTGCTGCAGCGACGACGAGTGAAGCTCCGGTAAGAGCACCGGTGGATGCGGGTGAGAACGACCCACAGGAGCCGCAGCAGCAGGAAAAGCAGCAGCCGCAGCCACCTGCGCTTCAGGTGCTTGTCGGCGGTTTGTCCCATGTGGCTCGGTTAGGAGGAGGAGGAGATAGGCACCCGGAGGCGGCGGGGGGGACATGCCCCACCACGGGCACGTTGCAGGAGTTTCAGCAGCAGCAGCAGGGGCCCAGGGAGGCGCTGCTGCGGCAGCTGGTAGGCTGTGCGTACCACCTGGCCCCGGAGGTCATATGCGGAGCGGGGTACGGGCAGCCCGCGGACATCTGGGCCACAGGTGGGGGCGGGGAGGGATGAGGAGGGAAGGACCAGGGCGAGGATGGGATGGGACAGCTGTGGGAGGGTTATGGAGGTTCGGTTGCCGACCCAATGGCTGCCTTACCTGTATTAAAGGGCACTGGCGGCTCTAGTGACTTGGGATATGCTCTTAGGTTATACTTTATCCAATAGCATATTGCATCACTAATTGCACAACCCCTTGCTCATCCTGCGTCTCGCCGTGTCCTCCTGGTTCGTGCTGATCCGTGGGTCTAAGCAGGCGTGCTGCTCTACATGCTGCTCACCGGCCGACCGCCCTTCCGGGGTGCCAACGAGCTAGAGGTCATGACTCGCATCCTGCTTGTCTCCGGCACTGTCGACTGCTCCACACAACACCACAGCGATCACGAAGGCTCTGACGCCGGTGAGCACGGCGACACCACTACCCCCGGGAGCGGGCGGGGAGGGATGCAGCAGCAGCAACACCCGCAGCCGCAGCGGAGGGACCGGTTGCAGGAGCTGGTGGTGCAGGCGGCGCTCGAGTCGGGAGCCAGTGGCGCGTGCCGCGAGGCGCTGGCGGGGATGCTAGCAGCGGATCCTGCGCAGCGGCTGAGTGCTGAGGCCTTGCTGCAGCTGCCGTGGTTTGCAGAGGAGGAGGGGAAGGGGAGAGGGTAGGAGCGGAAAGGGTGAGGGGCAGGCGGGCTGCTGTGCGCGTGCTTGTTGTTGCACAGGATGCGTGGTTGCGGTTGAAGTAGAGGTGCGTTCGAGGAAGATTGGTTGTTGGTTGGTTGCGTTGTCCCTCCTATAGTGTCTTCAAATGGAGAAGGAAGAAGGCGTGCTGCCTGAAAACTGGCAGCTTCTCCCACAAACGTCTTTTTTGGTTTGGCAGCCCATACAGTTGTTTTTATTTCCTGACACGTTTATTTAGGTTTCCATCCCCATGTGAAAGGGTTGGGTAAATGATGGGATGAAATACTTATGACTCCTGTCTTGCGCTTCACTTCCGCTTTGTCACTGACGAGGATTCACTCTCAATTCATGGCTAACATCTGGTGTGACGTCTTGGCTTTATGGCTTCACATGCTACGAACATGTACTATTGCTGGATTGACAAGCAAGTGTGGTTGCTGCATCGACATGACTATTGGACCTCTGTGGCGTGCGATTGCTTGCAAAATCCGGGGCAATCTGCATAAGGACCCGATATCTTTACTGGGTGTGCCGTAAGGCGAGAGCGCTGCAAGACTGTATTGCGCATATGTTGCATTTGGTGTGGGCAAACCTTACCATGTATAGGCCCGCTTGCTCGGACAGCTTGGACATTTATTGATGACCGGTTGGTGGCTTGGTGCTGGTTTGTGTATGTCGGGATTGACCCCTGGTTCAGAGTGAGCTTTCTGTGTAGATGCGGTAGTACTATAGCATACAAAGGTTAACATATTTCCAATCCCGGCTGCAATTGAGTTCGATGCGGCGAAGCAGCAGTTGGACGTGATGCCTCTAATCTCGTCCAGGTGGTTACTGCTGGCATCGCTGACCAATTTAAATAATCAGCAGCTAATGTACTATTATTGCATTTTATCTTGCTGTCATAACACTACATAAAGGCCCAGGTGGCCTTCGCCAGGAGCCGCAAGCCATGTCGCAGACAACATTGCGTCCAGGGCAGCGGGCCGCTATGCTGCCCGCTGGTGCTCAGGGCCGCCGGATGGTCAAGGTCATGGCTGTGGCGGCCCCTGAGAAGCCTGGCGCTTCGGCACCTGTCTTGCCAGCCGGTGAGCCTTGTCGCCGCTGCTTGACAGTTGCTATCATCTCAGCATAAGACTACAAATGGGTTGCGCATACTAGCGGTAGATCACTTGGAACATGAAGTAGTTGCGCGGGCGACTGTGTTTCCATAATCTTGCAAGTGTCGCGCCGCCACCTCTGTCGAATCAATCTTCGCCCTGTACAGGCTTTCCGTTGCAACAGTTTTTGAAATTGTTGGGCTATGGTTAATCCATGTTAGTATTTTCGTAAAGCCCAACTGGTATGCATGGCAAGAGACCCATTTCCTTAGCCAGCTGCTGAGCTGGGTACAATTCCAAAGTTGATATGAGCAGTCCAAACGAAGCAGCTTACTACACTTTGTTCTTGCCAGGGATTGACCTCACCCTTGCCGATGTGCTGCCCATCCTTGCCTCAGGCCTGAACAAGTACAGCAGCCGCATCACGCAGCCCAAGCACCAGGGCGCGTCTCAGGCTATGCTGTACGCCACGGGCCTGAAGGAGGAGGACATGAACAAGCCGCAGGTGCGCAGCTGGGTTGAGTACACTGGTTCCCCAGGTCCACCCTCAGACACGCGTCAAATCCCTATCCCTTGGCACGTCCTCAATCCTCTCGACACGCACAACGCGCCAACCGCATCCCCTACCCACGCTCTCTGGACTTAGACAAACGCATCCCACCTTTCCCTGCCACCCAACCCACCCGCTTGCGTCCCCAGATCGGCATTTCCTCGGTGTGGTACGAGGGCAACCCCTGCAACATGCACCTGATGGACCTGGCTGCGGAGGTGAAGCGCGGCGTGGAGGAGATGGGCATGGTGGGCTACCGCTTCAACACCATCGGCGTGTCGGATGGCATCTCCATGGGCACCGACGGCATGAGCTTCAGCCTGCAGAGCCGCGACCTCATCGCCGACTCGATTGAGACGGTCATGAGCGCGCAGTGGTACGACGCCAACATCTCCCTGCCAGGTGGGTGGATAGCGACCCGGGTGGGTTAGCCGGGTGGGTTAAGCTGGGTAAAGAGGAAGAAAGTGAGCACCTGCTGGGTGGGTGGGGAAGAGGAAGAAACGAACCGTGCTCGTCATGCTTGGCCGGTAATGACCGTGTAGGTATGGGTGGAACTGGATGTGGGTCGGAAGGAAGACGATGCCCTGGCAACTGGGTCGCTGACACCAGGCGGTAAATACCCGAACGATTTACCAAACGGCATTCCCATATCCCTATGTACACGACACGCACCCCACCTACCCGCCTCGCCGCGCCCACACCCCTTGTCTCCACCCCCACCTCCACCCCCATCCCCAGGCTGCGACAAGAACATGCCCGGCACCCTGATGGCCATGGCGCGCCTCAACCGCCCCTCGCTCATGGTGTACGGCGGCACCATCAAGCCCGGCCACAGCCGCATGGATGGCTCCGTGCTGGACATTGTGTCGGCCTTCCAGAGCTTTGGTGGGTTGTGGGGTCGGTTGTGGGGTCGGTTGTGGGGTCGGTATATACCGGTACAGGGAGGCCGGGGAGGCCGAGGTTGCTACACGGTGGCTGAGTGAGGATCAGCGGTTGGGACCGCAACCATTTCCGTGCACATGCACAGCGGGAATAATTACCGGCGGGCAGCCCCTTCTCCATGGCCCCACCGGCAGTCTTCCCGCTATAGCACCCATCGTGGCTAGTCAGGGTGTTGCGCGTTTTACAATAGCCGCGTCTCTGCCCGTTACAGCCGCGTCACAGCGATTGACGTCATATCCCTTTAACAACAGCGGGAATAATTACCGGCGGGCAGCTCATCCAATGGCCCCTCCGGCAGTCTTCCTGCTAGAGCACCCTTCGTGGCTAGTCAGGGTGTTGCGCGTTTTGCAATAGCCGCGTCTCTGCCCGTTACAGCCGCGTCACAGCGATTGACGTCATATCCCTTTAACAACAGCGGGAATAATTACCGGCGGGCAGCTCATCCAATGGCCCCTCCGGCAGTCTTCCCGCTAAAGCACCTTGCGTCGCAGCTAGTCAGGGTGTGGCGCGGCTTATTCCACACGCCTCTGCTCGTTACAGCAGCGTTACAGCTATTCCCGGACTGCTGGCTTTGAAGATGAACTGTTGTGTCATCAAGATATCCAGCCGAACGTATGATAAATTGCCCCCTGTATTGCCGGTACTACCCCCAGCGGCCACCGTGTTAGCAACCGTGTTAGCTGTTTCCCGGGAGGCCGAACCGGACCATGACCTACAATGCGGGAATAATTACCGGCGGGCAGCCCCTTCTCCATGGCCCCACCGGCAGTCTTCCCGCTATAGCACCCATCGTGGCTAGTCAGGGTGTTGCGCGAATAACAATAGCCGCGTCTCTGCCCGTTACAGCCGCGGAACAACCCATTCAGGAACCTTTTAGTAATTCACGGAAGTAGGCACTAACACAACACTCTAGGCAGCGGGAATAATTACCGGCGGGCAGCCCCTTTTTGTCCCATGGCCTCACCGGCAGTCTTCCCGCCACATCAGCATATCGCAGCTAGTCAGGGTGCGGCGCGATATTTCCCCACGCGCCTCTGCCCGTTACCGCAGCGATACAGTCCCTCCTCCGTCTCAAACTTATATTGTATGCCCCTCACCGACTTATCCATCGTGTACTTCACGCAACGCACAGCTGCAAGTTTAGGCCTTACATGCCCTGTGACAGCCCTGATAAGGTCCCATGCAATGCATCTCCACACCACCTCACAGCCCGGCTGCCACCGCTCTTTCCCTACCGGTGCAAAGCACCGCTCTGCTTCTTCACATCACCACACCGCATCCCATCCCACATCATGCTACCACACCCTGTCACCACTTCCCGCTGCACCTCGCCCCCATACCTCCAGGCGCCTACTCCGCCGGCCTCATCTCGGACTGCCAGCGTCAGGACATTGTGCGCAACTCCTGCCCCGGCGCCGGCGCATGCGGCGGCATGTACACCGCCAACACCATGGCCTCCGCCATTGAGGCGCTCGGCATGACGCTGCCGTACAGCTCCTCCATCCCCGCGGAGGACCCGCTGAAGAAGGACGAGTGCCGCATGGCGGGCAGGTGGGGACTGGGGCTCAGGGGGCTGGCGGCGGGTGTGCTCAGGGGGCTGGCGTTGTTCGGGTGTCGGGGGCGCGGGGTGAGTCCTGAGGTAGGCCGGAAGGCAGAGGAAAGCGAATGTGGGGGTGGGGAATGGAAGGAACTAGTGGGCTTCTGTGCAGGAAGGAGTGTTGCGGGCTGAGTACATGCCGCCGGCGATGACTAGGTGTAGGGCTGGGGCGTAGCCAGCCCTCCCCAGGGAGGGAGAGGGGTCCTAAGCCCCATCCCAACACCATCTCACTAAGCCCCACGCTTCACCTCTCAACTCATGTCCCCCACCCCCCTTCTTTCCTTACCCTCCAGGTACATGCTGGAGCTGCTCAAGTCGGACCTCAAGCCGCTTGACATCATGTCGTACAAGGCGTTTGAGAACGCCATGGTGCTGGTGATGGCGACCGGCGGCTCCACAAACGCAGTGCTACACTTCATTGCCATGGCGCGGTGAGAGCGCGGTGTGAGATGGCTCTTCGCTGGGAGGAGAGGGTTGTGAAGAGGGTGCTGGAGGGGTACACACGGATGAAGGGGAAAGAGCCTGAAAAGTCCTTCAGTGTTGTGCAAGCGTACTTGCTCAACGCCCGGGCAAGTTCCCAACCTCTCCAGGACCTTGCTCACCCTCGCCCCGTCCCTCCCTCCTCTTACCACCCTTCCCCCTCCCCCTCAGCGCGTGCGGCGTGTCCCTGGGCCTGGACGACTTCCAGCGCGTGTCCGACCGGGTGCCCTTCATCTGCGACCTCAAGCCCTCGGGCAAGTACGTCATGGAGGATATCCACAAGGTGAGCGACCGGTCGGGGGTCCCGGGGTCCGGAGTCCGGGGGTTAAGGTGGGTGATTGGGGGAGGAGCAGGGCCGTCCTGGGTTGGGGTGGTTTACGGTAGTGTGTGGGGGGGCAAGGCTCCAGGGCTACGCGAGGGAGAGCAAAGGAAGGAATGACACGCTTGACGGGCAACGCAAGAAGTAACTTATCTCTGCATCTTGCTACCAGCTCTCCCAATATGGTGTCTATTCCAAACAGTTGAGTAGCATCCTTTCTTTTGCTCTTACGCAACTTTGCTTTCTTCCTCTCCTCAGGTTGGCGGCACCCCCGCGCTGCTCAAGTACCTGGACTCCAAGGGCTACATCAACCGCGACTGCATGACGGTCACCGGCAAGACCATGGCGGAGAACCTGGCGCAGGTGCCGGAGCTGCGAGCGGGGCAGGACGTGGTGCTGCCGGTGGAGAAGCCCATCAAGAAGACCGGTGAGCAGGAGGAATGAGAAGGCACACCATGCTGTTAACGATAACGGCAACCCAAGGAGGAGGGAAAGAGATGGGAGGCATCAGGCAGCGAGATGCGTCTTGCATGAGCTGCATAGCCGGCTTCGTTTTACCGCCCGGTCACCCTCTCCACGCCCGTATGTCCTCCTTGTACGACAGGTCACCTGCAGATCCTGTACGGCAACCTGTCTCCCGAGGGCTCCGTGGCCAAGATCACGGGCAAGGAGGGGCTGCGCTTCGAGGGCGAGGCGCTTGTGTTTGACTGCGAGGAGGACATGATTGCGATGGTGGGCGCTGAGCCAAACAAGTTCCGAGGAAAGGTGAGACCAGCAGCAGCTCTGCGCTGCACTGTAACGGGCAGCACAGCACAGCTCGGGTCCTATATCCTGAGGGCGGGCGTGTCAGCATTAGCACTGTCGTGCGCTTGGGTGGAAGCCAAGAGATGCAGCGTTTCTTTAAGCTATCGGCTTAAAAAGGGTGCTGTGCGTGATACCGTGATGGCCCCACCGGCCTTGACTGGTAACCAACCTTACCCTATACGCCCCGCCCGCCTGCCCACCCGCCTGCTCTCACGTCCTCAGGTGGTGGTGATCCGCTACGAGGGCCCCAAGGGCGGCCCCGGCATGCCGGAGATGCTCACCCCCACCTCGGCCATCATGGGCGCGGGTCTGGGCAAGGAATGCGCGCTCATCACGGACGGACGCTTCTCGGGCGGCAGCCACGGCTTCGTGATTGGTCACGTTACCCCGGAGGCGCAGGTCGGCGGTCCCATTGCCCTGGTGCAGGTGAGGAGGAGGAGGAGGAGAAAGTGAAGCTGTGGGGAGGGGGCCGTGGCCCGTGTGGCCGGTGTCATATGACGGGTCATGAAGGGCTGTATAGTGGGGTACTGGGCCCTGCTTGCTGGGTTGTAAGGGCCCTGCTTGCTAGTGCAAATCCGGTGTTGTCTGTGGGTGCCACACCTCATGCATCGTGCTCCTCATGCGTCGTCGCGCTCTTCTCCTTCCGCTGCAGAATGGCGACAAGATTGTGATCGACGTGGAGAAGCACGTGATGGACGTGATCGTGTCGGAGGAGGAGATGGCGGCGCGCCGGGCCGCGTGGGTGGCACCCCCGCTCAAGGTAGGATGCCGCACTAGCGCTGCTCGCCATTAAGGATTCCATTGCGGCGCCTCCGCTTCCCTTTTCACATTGCACCCTGCTAAGAGCGAGCATGCTAACACCGCCCGCTGCTACTGCCTTGCTGCTGTCTGCAGGCTTCCTCGGGCACCCTGTACAAGTACATCAAGAACGTCTCCTCGGCCTCCCACGGCTGCGTGACCGACATGTAAATCTGGAGGGCAACCTTGCACCTGCTGCTTGCTATGGAGCAGCTTACGACCAGGGCAAGGGAGCAGCTCTTTGACTTGCTCTTTGAATTCGATAGTTAAACATGACAAGAGTTACAGTGGCGCTTGAGGCTCCACAACCGAACGGTGGGTGTTGACGTATGGAAGGGGCCAGATGTGCGCGGCGGTCTACGTGCGTGCATCTGCACTAGCTGGGAGGCTGTATTCGCCAGGTGTATGCCGGGAAAACCCGGCACGAATGCAGTCATCCTGCGTACATGGCTGCTATGGGTTTAGCATAGGACGGACTGACGGGTATTAACGAGAGAGTTTTGGAGTTGAGGAGCACTGCACACAGTTTTGAGGATAGATGTTTTGGGGTACATAGGTAGAGCTACAAATGGGGCCACAGGCCTCAGTAGGCCCCTTCGGCAGGACATGGAAGGCGGATAACGCGTGCAACTTGCGCGTGATACCCAAGGCCGTGAGGCTTTGCAATGTAAGTTCACAATGTGGTTTGGCTGCAGTCAGGGGTGCGCAATCGCGGTTGCCGGTGGGCTTTGGCAATACCAGACCTGTCCCTCTGGTAAGAGCTTCCTTTACAAGCATGTGCAGCAGACCCTGGTAATTACTTTGGAGCCAGGCAACACGTGTACCAGTCATGCAGCCATACAAGGTCATAAAAAAGAGCTGATGCCGTGTGCATCTTACAAGGTAGCGCCACATTAGGAAATGGAAAGGTGCGTACCCTAGGCCCTCTGACGTGCCTGTGTCGACCACCTGTCATGCGTCCCCACGCTTCGCCACGAAAAGATATCTGGAGACGCCAACGCACGACTATCCGCAACATGCCCTGCCAGCACAAACAAGTAGCTAAATGACCGCTCGGTTTCAAGTCTGTACTTCAGTACATCGTAGCTCAACATAAAAGGTCCAACCTACTTGAATGTGAGCCATGCAATGCTGCATTGGAAACCACCCGTAAGCAGAACGTCCACAGCGTCGTACTAACCTGCTACCTCATTCGTTGTCTGGTTCAATATTGTGCTCACACAGATCGTGCTCTCCAGGGAACCTGGCGCCCGCTTACCGGCCTGCGAGCCGTTGCCCAAGCTGCCAAGCCTTGCCAAGCCCTATTCCTACTACGACCCTCTCGCAATCGCACGGGCCTTGCAAAAGAGCCTACCGACAGACCCCAGACAAGTAACACGCCTGTCGGGGCTAGGGCCATAGGCGCCACGTTGCGTGGTGCATAGCACGTACGGGGCAAAGGTCACTGCAACCAGCACATCCGTACATGACTCCGACAGCCCAGGGCAAGTGAGCGCTTGCTGACCTTACGGTGAGGAACCGGAGTCCAAGAAAAGAGCTACAAACTCGTACGGCTCAAGAGTTTCACTTGCAGCATCTGTTCGTCAACACATAGAAAAGGAAACTGCTAGGAAACGCCCGTAATAGTTAATAGCAGAACCCACGGGGTCACATTCGGGTATCCCAGGGGCTTATGCAGTTCTCCACCATCTAGATGCGACAAACCCCAGAGATAATGTATGCGCTCAACATATGCACCAATCAAGCACTTCAAGGATCATGGGTGCCATCCGTCCCAATCGTCACAACGTATCCCACCAAGTCAGGGTCTCGCCAAGTTAAACCACCGGTGTTCACGCAGGACTGTCCCAGAGACAATGTGCCTTCAATCTAGGACCGCATCAACAGTCGCCTCTACTAGCAGCACGTCATGGAAAGGCCCACTGTATGCAGTCTGGTAGTCAGGAGAACTGGTCTTCCTCCGATAGCCACTTGTCTATGGCTCGCGTCACTAGGTCACCACGCAATCGCATGCTCCGTGCTTAGCTTTCGAACATGTCACAACATCGCACCGAACTAATCCCGCTACATCCTTCCCACCATGCCAGATCCAGGATCACACTAAGGCGAGGTCACAAGCAACAGCAAAACCACCCAGGTCTACCGTACACCATCGCTATCGTCCGGCACTAGCGGTACCTCCACCGCATCGCTCGGAAACATTTCGGTACCCTACAGCGGCTCCTCCCTGCCTAGCCGGCTGGACTCATCGCCCCGCCTGTTGCCTTGTGCTGCTGCCGCCGAATGCTGCTGCCCTCGCGCAGTTCCCGACCCATCTCGACTTGCAATGCCTCCTTGCGTCCCCCCACGACTTGTACCAACACGACTTCCAAAGCTCCCAGAACCACCTACCACCCCGCCGGTCCCGCCCACGCCATCATCGCCGCCGCCGGCGCCATCCGCAAATGGCCGAAGCAGCTCAGAAGCGCTAACAGGCTCGGCGAGCGCTACAGGCAGATGGCTGGTGCCGAACGTCCGAAGACTCTCTACGGCCGCAAACCCAGCGTTGCTAAGCCGGCCGCCCGCCGCCGATCCAGCCAGACTCGAATGAACGGACAACGTAATGTCGTACGTGATGTTGAGATCCAGACCTGCTGCCAGGGTGGATCCTGTAGAGCCTTGAGGAGTCAGGTTCAGGAACGGGGCGCGACTGGGGTCTGAGGCGGAACCCGCCTCCGCGCAGACTGTAAGGCTGCCGGCGCCCGTTGCGGCCGGCGGTCCACCGCAGCTGCTGCTGCCGTCGGAGCCAGCCGCCGCGGCGGCGAGTGAGGCGCCGAATGCACGCATGCCGGGGGAGAGGAAGGACCGCATGTGCGTGGCGGCGGATGCGTGCGGCGTGCCGGCGGCAGTAGCGGCGGCGGGCCGTTGGGAAGCAGCTGAGGTTCGAAGAGCCGCTGCTGCGCCGCTGAGGGGAGGCTGCATGACCACCACGCTTGCGGCAATGGCACCTCCGGGCACTGCGGTAGGGTCAGTGAGCCAGCGGGGCCCCTCCCAAAGAGCTCCTGGTCGCCCCAGACATGTCAACTCAAGCTGCTGTGGCTGCTGCTGCGGCACTGCACCACTGGTTGCATTCCCGTTCGTCATCATCCCAGCCGCAGCCGCTGCTTGGGAAGAAACATGAGCGCCAGGAACGCCATCGCCCATGTTGCCGCCATCGCCTCCGCCACGGTCGTACTTCGAGCCACCACCCTCCGGCAAAGCAGTCGCCGTTACCACTGGCTTGAGTGCTTCAGCATTCAGCGCCAGGGTGTCAGCACCTCCCTCAGGACTGCGCCCATGCCTCTCCTGCTGCTGCTGCTGCTGCTGTGACTTTGGCTGCAGTACCATCGGTTGCTGCACGAGGCCCTCTCCTGCGGCACTAACCCTAGATCTGGACCCCAGGGAAGCAACCAGCGGCTGAATGGCGTCAGCAACCAAGCTTCCGTCAACGTCAATGTCAGCGGCCGAGATGGCAGCGCCTCCGTTCTGCAGCGGCGAGCGATTGCCCTTGCCCATGCCAATCCCCTCCTGCAAGGTGCCATCACTGAGGGCCCCGGAGCTTGGTCCCAGTGACGAAGGGCCTTCCAGCAGCGGCGGTAGCGGCGGCGCAGGCAGAATGCTGGCACTTGCATGCGGTGACAGCGTCGAATGGTCCGCCAGACCGCTGCCGCGAGGGCTATGAGTTTGCAGGCCGCTAGATGAGCGGTCGATCAAGACGGCGCCGGCGGCGGCGGGGTGGAGGCCGCTGGAGGTCCGGTCTGATGCCGTGAAGGGAGCGGGCACCTGGCCGCTGCCGTACCGTCCGCTGGACGAGCGTTCCGTCATGGCGGGTAGCGGCGTTTGGCTGCTCGAGTAGGGCATGTAAAACCCAGATGACGATCGGTCAATGACGAGCGCCGAGTGCGCGCGAGTGGGAGGGTCCGCCGAGGGGCGATCGTGCATCAGCAGTGCCGGCATGGCCGCAACGACGGCGGCGGCGGTGACACCGCTACTGGGCCGGCCGCTGCCGGCGCCTTCGCCAGTGGCAGCACCAGCGCCGGCGGCACCGTCCGCAGCGGAGGCGGCGGCAGCGGATGGAGACATCTGGAAGTACGCCCCTTGTTGAGCCTCCGCCTCCGCCATTGGAGGTACCGCTGGTCTGGCGCCGTCGATGCCGTTAACAGGCAGGTACGCAGCCATATCCAACGCAGCGCCTCCGCCGCCGACACCACCCCCGCCACTCGTCACGCGGCGTGCCTGCGACAGGCCTGTAATCGTATCCCCAGGACTGCCGCCTGCGCTGCGGACGTCCATGCCAGCTGACACCATGGCTGCAAAGCTGCTGTGCGGATCACGACTGCGAGGAGCCATGTACGACAAGGACAGCGGAAGCAGCCCCGTCGACATGCGCGTGCCGCCGCTCTCACGCTCCCTCTCGCCTGCTGCGCTGTTGCGCACATGCCGAACGGCGGAGGGCTCAGCAGCACCATGCGGATGGTTGTAGCTGTCGCGGTGGTAATGGTGGTGGTGGTGATGGGGGTGGGAAGAGGAGGGCATGCCACCATCAAGATACCCGGGCGCCGGCGGAAGTGGCGGGGTTGGGCGCCCGCCAGACGCGCTGCGCACGAAGCGCCGTGAGGCGGAGGGACGGTCCGTAGCGGCCGTAAAGGGGGGGCTAGGGTCCGTTGCAAGTGATGCGCGCTGCGCTGTTGGCTCCGACTGCGAGTCGGGCGATATTGGGTCCTCAGGTATGGTGACAGGAGGCGGCATGGAGAAGCCGCCACGGCGGCGGCTGATCGTGCTTATGCCGCTACTGCTTTGGCTGCCGCCGCCGTCAGTGCCGCCGCCGCCGCCTCCGATACCGCCGCCGACGCTGTGGTAATGCATGCTGCCGCCGCCGACGCTGCCACCGGCGAAGAGCAGTGTAGGCAAGGGGTCCCTGGAGCGCTGCAGCGGGCTGCTGACTGGGGTCATGCCCTCACTGATGGGCGGAAGGCCCGCCTCAGACGTCTCAATCTCGCCTGCATGATAACACACGCAGCATCAAGGATTAATTTCGCCGAACACGATCATCAAAACGTGCATCAAAACGTGAATGAGGTGTAAGTCCCACACGGCAAGCCAAAACCCAGGTACAAAAAGCATCTTCTTTCACCCCCCCTGCCACTTACGCAGGGCCAAGCTTCGTACGCTTCCACCTCCCGCCCAGCGCGCCGCAAGCTCCGCAGGCGTGTTGGCCTGGCCCAGAACCAGAGGCGCCCCGAAACCGCCACGGCCACCCGGTTGTGCCCCCATTCCGCCAGCACCCGCCTCCCCATGCATGCCCCACAGTCCTGCATCCCTGCCGTACAGCTCCCCCGGCTGCTGCGGCATGCCTAGCTCATCGTAGTGCATGCCGGCAGCACCGCCGACGCCACCGCCGTCATAGCTAACGTCGGCGTTGGGCGTGGCGGCTCCCACCATGACGCAGGACAGGCGGGAAACGTCCGGCAACTGCACGGTCAGTATCTCCAGGCACTCCACCCGGCGCTCGATGCAGCGAGCTTTGCCCTTGTTGAGACCCGCCTTGTTGAGTATGTTGAGGCGACCCTCAAGGCTGGTCGGCAGCACTTGCACGATCTTGGTGGGTTCAGTGACGCCCTTCAGCCTGTGCGCCCAAAAGCGAAATAAACGTGTATCAAACGCGGGCAATGACCAGGAGGCAAGTGGCGTGCTACAACATGCCATGCCGCAGCAAGCAAGACATGGCAAAGGTACAACATTTGACGCACCAGGAGTCCAAGGCCATGTGCCTGCACCGCCACCCCGCCCACCTGAAGGATCCCAGGCTCCAGATCGCTACCTCCACAGCCACCGTGGGAACCAGCAGCGTGTTGGTGGGGATGGGCACATCGTCGTTCTCACCCTCCTCGGCACGCTCCAATTCCTGTAAGGAGGCCAGCGGTGGGGGAGTTACGGCAAAAGGACGGCAATGCAGCAACATGTGGGGCGCACGGGGCCCCTCGCAAAGTGCACATATTCACAGGATTCATAGGACAGCGTACAAGGTGAAACATAGCTGTACGACAAAGGACGGGATGATGGGTATCAGGTCCGTTGGGGATGGCCAGATTGCGCCCTCGAGTTCAGAAGCTCTCCTCGCCACACGGCGCCCCTCAGACACAGCAACAGCCAGCAACGCTTTCAACCCAACGCGCATTCCATCCCAACCCCCATCCTAACCCCTCACCTGCTTGAGGTTCGTGTACTTGATCATCGTAATGCTCTGCGCAACCTCATTCCCTCCGCCGCCCATGCCGCCCGCCGGCTGCTGTGTGATCTTGTAGCACTCCGCCATCACAGCCGGCCGGCTGTCCTTGTCCTTGGCAGCGCCGTCGGCGGCTGCGGCTGCGGGCTGCGAGACCTTCTCCAGCGGAGAGCCAGCGCCAGCGGCGGGGGCGGCGCTGCCGCCACCGCCGCCCGCGCTGACCTCCTCATGCACCGCTCTGGGAGAACGCCAGCGGGACCCCCGGGCGGTCACAACGCCGGGACTGCCGTACTGCGTGCCCGGACCGCCTTCGGGAGAGTTGGGGTCACGTGGGCCTGCCAGCGGCGGCGCCGGCAGATCATCAGGGATAGACTGGTTGCTGCCGCGCACGCGCGAGGCATGGTGCGGCGGGGAGATGCATACGCCGCCGCTGCTGCTGGCGCCGGCCAACCCAGCCGCACCGGCGGCGTCAGCGGCGGCCGCTGCTGCTGCCGCTGATACCGCCGCCGCCATCGCCGATAGCTGCGGCGTGCTGGACCTCTGCATCCCAGCGCAAAGACCATGACTGCCGCCGGAGCCACCGACAGCGCCATTGGACGTACCCGTAGGAGTCAAAGCATGGCTACCACGCCGGCCGCGGGATACCATCCCTGGTACGGACACTGCAGACACAATGGCAGGGTTCTGGGAGGGCGCACTGCCGGGGGCATCGCGAGTGATGGCGGCGTAGCTTGTAGCGGAGTAGTATGCATGCGAGGCTGGCTGGGGTTGCTGCTGGCCTCCGTACATTTGCGGAGAGGCCTGGCCCGGGCTTCCTACCACGGTTTGCGCTGCATGGCTTGCGGTCGAGGACCGGCGCGATGCTCCCAGCTGGCCAACGTCAGCACTGCCGGCCGCGGAGGCAGCAACAGCAGCTGCGGAGGCGGCGGCGAAGGGCCCGTGCATGCCGTACAAATGCGTGAGCGGCCCTCCCAGGGGCCCTCCGGAGGAGTCAAAGGAGGCATTGTTGCCTACTGAGTGGGAGGGATTGTTGATGTAAGACGGTGTCGTACGTGCCATGGCGGCGCTTAGGCCGCCGCCGCCGGCGCCGCCCCCACCGCCGACCCCCCCACCCACAGACGCTGCATGGAGGCCCGCGCCCGTGGAACGCGCCCGATACCTCGACCCATCCACAGCAGTGTAGGAGTTGCCCGACGCCGCTGCTACCGCAACCATGGCAGCCGCGCCCGCGTTTCCGCTGACCGCAAACAGCTGTCCCGGAAGTCCTGGCGTGCTGCGACGTAGCGAACCACCCTCCGAGGCGCCCGCAAGCCGCAAAGCCTGCCCCGAACCAGAACCGCTCTGGCGGCTGCGCATCCCGCCGCCACCCAACCTATCCAAAGGTGGTGATGCTCGGACCTCCCCAACGCCGCCTCCGCTTTGGGAAACTGCCGTCGCCAGCTGCTGCTGCTGCTGCTGCTGCTGCTGCTGATGCTCGGTAGCGGCTCCTGGTGATGCCGGCAACCCGGCGACAGAGGCATCACAGGCGCTGCGAGGTGGCCGCAACGAAGCCGTGCGCAGAGAACGTGGCGTGAGGTACCCGCCCACACCGCCTGCGGAAGCGCCAAGGCTACTGCCGGCGGCTACAGCGGCCGATCCGGCGCTCATCAGAGCCGAATCCAAGGGTGACCCTGCTGCGGTGCCGATACGAGGCTCCGCGTAGTGCCGCCGGCCACGAGAGCTCGTGCTCTTGCGCAGCACACGGTGCGGGGCCGGGGAGTTGGGTTGCACGGCAGCAGCGGCGGCAGCGGCGGCGCCACCGCCGCCCATGGCTTGCAGCTGCGATATCCCAGCCTCTACCGCGGCTCGCAAGGTCTCGGTTATATTGCCAGAAGATGCCCGGCGGCGACGAGAGGACACGCTTTGGTGTAGCACCGCTGAGCTGCCTCTAGCGAACGTGCCGCCGCCGGAGCTGCCGACTCCCAACGCCGCGTCCGGGCCCACGAACTGCGCAGCGCCTGAGATGACGGTACTCGACACGCTTGCATGGCCGTGTACGCCCGAGGGAAGGGAGCCATGCTGCAGGCTCTCCGGTGACGTCACAGCCACCGCGGCTGAGCGCGCTCGGACAGCTGAGTTGTTGTTGCCGTGCGAAGCTGCGCTTGCAGTGGAGGGTGCAGCACTAGCCTTGGAGCCCGCGTGCGCCCATGCGCGAGCGGAACCGCCGCCGCCGCCACCAGCAACAGCATTCTGCTGGGTGCCTCCGCTGCCGGTGCATCCTGCCGCGTCACTGGTATTGCCGTACACGTCGCCTACCTCAGGGCTCTCGCTTGTTAACCCAGACCGCAGAGTGCCGGCGCTGCTGCGACGGCTGTTGCGCCGCTGCAGGCTCAGCTGCGAGCTGAGGCCGACAGGGTTGGGATTCGATGGACCGCCGGAGAAGCGACGTCCGCTAGGCGCCGCTGCCGTACCCGCCGCCCTTGCCACCGTACCGCTGTACGGCAGGTGTACTTGCAGAGCTGTCATGGGAGGCATCCCTAGCATCAGGCCGCCCAGCGGACCGGGGCTGGCGCCGCCAACGGTGGCTGGACGCAACGACGGCTGCTGCTGCTTGGCTTGGGGGGTCTGAGCTTGTCCATCCGCCAGGGTTGCAGGCGGCCCTGAGGGCTTGGGCGGCGATTGCGGCAACGGCTGCGGCTGGTGCGGTTGCGGCGGCGCCGGCGTTGACAATAGCAGCGTAGCACGCGGGGTCGTGACAAGCTCAACCAACTCCTCCTGCACCTGCACCAGCGTTGCCGAGCTGCTGCCGTCGGTGCTGCCAGCTTCCTCTGCAATGGCAGCGCCGCCGCCACCGCCGCCGGCCGTTCGTTGTCGCTGGACCCCATACACAGGGTTCCCATGCAGCATGCTAAACCCGCGGTTCAGCATGGGCGTGGGCACATTGCTCCGCAGACTGCTTCCCATCAGGCTCAGCATCTCAGCCTCGGACTGCGTGCTTCCAGAGCTGCAGACGCCGCCGCTGTGGGTAGCATCGGCGGTGTGCTTGGCGGTCAGCACGTTGGCGCCGAAGCTGGGCATGACCTCAATCGACTCGGCATGCAGGTAGCCGCCCGAGGCGGTGGTGGAGCTGCCGGCGCGGACGGGGCCGGGCCCGGGAGCTCGGGAGCTGGATGTCGAGACGAGGGGCGAGGTCAGCAGGTAGGCGCCAGCCGGGGAGCAGCGCTCGGAAACACCGCCCTGCGCGGAAACGGACTCGGAAGCAGAGGCGCCGTCAGTCTGGGAGGGCGGCCGCAAGGGGGTGACAGCAGTGCCGGCGTCGGCAGTGGAGAGGGCAACAGCGGCATCGCCGTCCGCTGCGGATCTGCTCAAGACGTTCTCCTTCTCATCATGAACGTCCTGGGTCTGAATCTCCGCTGGATCATCCTCGTCGCTGCTGCTGACGTCGGCTGCGACTCCAGTGCTGCCGGCAGGGCCGTCCGCAACGCTGCCCAAGGGGTCCCCAGCGCCATACGACCCTGCACCTGCGTCGGCTCCCGTTGCGTCCTTGCAGCCCATGCAGCCCCCCGCATCCCCAGCAGCCACAGGCGTAGCCACGACAGGCGCGGTCATGCTCACCGCCGCCGCAGCGGTAGCGCCCTGCATGAGTCGAGCCTGCAACGCCGGCGACATCAGCGTTCCCGATGGGGAACTGAAAACGCTGGTAAGCCCCGGCGGCGCTCCTGCCACACTATTCCTGGCCGTAAGCAGGTACACCAACGCCGCGTTGCTGCCACTCAGTGTCGTCATAGCCGACTCGCCCACATGGTCTTGAGCGGTGCTGCTGTCGTTGGCTGGCGTGCTTCCCCGCTGCGACACGGCTTGCAACCCCAGCGATCGATCGAGTTCCTGGCACGACTCTGACAAAGGCAAACCGCCACCACCGACAGCAGCACCCCCGCCCCCGCCGCCAGCGCCACCGACAATGGGCCCATCTGCTGCAGGCGGTACGGCACCGCCGGCGATTGTCCCCGCGAGACCCTGTCCTCCCATGCTTGCAGCTGAGGAACGAGAGTCTATCGTGGCCTCCCCCACGCTGCGCGCGCGTGTGCTGGCAGCCAGCCGTTCCCGCATCTGCATCGTCTGGCTGGGCCCAGCTGGCGACATGAGTAGGGGCGGCAAGCCACTGCGGCTCCCGGGCGGTGGGGGCGACGGCGGCAACCGGGGAGAGGCACCGGCGCCCGAGAGGTAAAACCGGTGTGAAGCGGGGGTTCCATGACGTACGCTAGAGCCATCGTTGACTGACCCACGGGTCTGGCTCGGCCCGGGGTACTGCGGAGGGTGCTGGGAGGAGTGCCGGCGCGTGTGAGGGTGCAGGTGAGAGCGTTGTTGCCGCGCGTTGGTTGCATGTGACCAGCTGCCGCCACTATAGCGCCCAAGCGCGCTGCTGCTGCCGCCGGCGCCGGCACAGCCACCACTAGCGCTGCCACCGCTGCCGCCGCCATGAGAGCTGCTCTGAGACACACGCGAGTCATGTTGCGACAGCTGCTGAGCCACATGGGGCAGCATGGCAGGCAGCACAACACTCGCCGCGAGTACCGGACCCGACGTTGGCGGTGCATGTCCCAACGGACTGGAGGACATTCGACGTACCGTGCTACCTCCTGCACTGGTCGGCGAGTAGGGGCTGTGCATGGCGTTGCTAGTGGACGAGGAGTTGGGCAGTTCGAGCTGCGCCTCGGGGCTATGGCCAGACACGATGTTGCCGCTGCTACCTCCGGCCTGCGTGCCGCCAGCTGGCGTCGTGACTGCCGTACCTCCGCCGCCGCCACCGCCGCTTGTCGTGGTGGTGGTGCTGCGCGGAGACCCCGGTAGCAACCTTGCCAATGCAGCTGCAGGGCTCACACGACTCGCCGGAGAGCGCAGACTTCCAGATCCTCCGCGTGCGCCACGATTGGTGTGCACGTGGTGATGATGCATCGCCGTCGCCGCTGCCGCCGCAGCTGCAAATGCGGAACCGCTGCCGCCAGCTCCGCCACCGCTCACGGCGGCGGCGGCGGCGGCGGCTGCATTGAGAGAAGTGGATGCCGTCGCCAGGCTTCTCGCCTGCGCCGCCGTCTGGGCTGGCAACGATGCCGAGCCTTTGCGCCCGGCTACCAGTAGACCCTCAACGATAGCACCAATCGACGCGCGCCGCCGCCGACGGGCGACACGACTGGCTGCGTCATGCGCCGTGGGGTCCCACTCCGCTGGGTGCACCTCAAGCCCTGGACCCAAACTGTACGCGGGGGAATCAGCCGCACATGCGCTTGCGCCGCCAGCCATGGAGCTGTGCACGCTGTCACCGGGACTGGTGCGGGTCAGAGCGGAGCTCGCCCAGTAAGCGGTGCTGGGCGCGCTGGGGCCGCCACCATGGTTGAACGTCGAGCCGCTTGCGTAGCCGCCAGCGCCAGGACTACCGGTGGGTAGGCCCGAGTCGTGGCCGGCAGGACCGTGGCCAAAGGCTGGCACGATGCTCAGAGCACCGCCGCGGGGGCTGCCGATGCGGCGGACCCGCTGCTGTACGGCCGCAGCTCCGGCGATGGCCTGGCTGCTGACGCCAATGGCGCCGCCGCCGCTGCTGCCGCCGCCAGGGCCGTCCGGAATCCAAGGGGTCAAGCTGTAGGTGGGGTTAAGCATGGCCATGGATGTGGGCGCATGAGCGAGGGGCGGCCCAGGGCTGCCACCGGCGCCGCCGGCGGAGGCGGCGGTGGCCGAGGGAGGCGAAAGCATGCCGCCGGCGTCACCGCCGCCGCCTCGCAGCGCCGTGCCGAGGCCGCCGAGCCCGAAGCGACTGACGCGAGGAATGCGTGGTTCGCTTCGGGCGCTGCGTTGCACTCGTTGCTCCATGATGAGCCGCTCGAGCGCGCGAGCCAGGGTGCCAATGCTGTTGGGATTGTTGATGTTTCGGTGACTGGTGTTGCTGCTCTGGTTGTTACCGTTGTTCTTGTTGTTGTTGCTGCCGCCCGCGTTCAGGATGATGCTGGCGCTTCGGCTGTTGATGGCATTGAGGTTGGCGAAGGCGTTAGCGCTTGCGCTGGGGTTGCCATGCACGGCGCTGTTGGCCGCGGTAATGCTGTTGTTGGTGCTCCCAAGGCCCATGCCCAGGCCTATGCTGCAAATACCACCACCACCACCACCACCGCCGCCACCGCCGACGCTGGAACCCGTCACTGGGGCCGTCATCGGCGGTGTGCCGGAGCCTCCATTGCCATGGGAAGTGCCGACGCTGCTGGCATCAGGGCTCAACATGCGGTGCTGTATAACGCTGCCTGCTGGGCTGCCGCTGGGGTTGCTAGCGGGGTTGCTGACGGTGGCATCAGGGCTGGGTGCGGTAGCGGTGGTGGGGCCTGTCGCGCCGGCGGCTACAGAGCCCGCTGCGGCGCTCCCGACTCCGTCTCCTCGGGGGCTGGCGATGTGTTGCGTCAGGAGCTCCGGGATGTTGGTGATGGAGGGGTTGGAGCTGGGCGCGGCGGATTGCGTGCTGGCTATTGCGCTGACTTGCTTGGCAATCAGGCGGTTACTGGAGGAGGCGAGGCCGGGGGTGAAGGCAGGGACGGGAGAGTCACAAAGGGGGTTGTACGTCATCCAGCAGCAATGGGACAAGAAAGAGGGAGGAGAGATGAAGCATAACGAAAAAGCGGACCACGCCGATACTCCATTGCGCGCGCAAGCCGTGCCTGACACGGGCCCTCTCCTTCCTCAACACCACGTCCACCAAACCCCCGCCACCGCATGCTGTCACCACCTCAACCCTTGCGTGCCATGCACCATGCACCCATGCAGCGCAACTTACGCGGACTTCGCGGACACGAAGGATCGCGCGGTTCGCAGCTCCGAGGGCGCCACCTGGCTGCTGCCCTCCTCCGCCACAGAGCCCTCGTCAACGGAGGGGATGGGCGCCAGGCGCCGCACCTCCTGCCGCCGCCGCCACTCCTCCAACACCTGAACACGGTCCGGGAAAGAACATGTGGTAACAAAACCCTGTGTTTTGTACGGTAAAAGCTATGATCGCTTTTAAAGGTTGCGGAAATGCCAACCCATGCAGACGATCACACAGAGAGGTAGCAGGTCCTAGCTTCATGCTGGGATAGGTGCTGTGATGTGCATGCCCACCAACTCACACCCTCATGCGCCTCATACCTCATCTAGCAGGCTCTGGTCCAGCACCACCTGGCCGCCCTGGGCCGCCGTCATCAGCCGAGCTGCACGGTTGACGGGCTGCGGAGAGGGCGGGGGCGCGCGAGGTAAGGAGGGGCTGTGACTACTACGTCGACTATAGCTGTAGAAGACACCCAGCTGCTTGGACAGTTTTAGCTACTTCATGGCATGCTACGATACAGTCAACAAGGCCAAGAAGGCAGGAAGGCCCAACGGCATCCCAAACCTCCTTCAATCCCCACAGCCGTAACCCAAGCACTGGTAGGACCAACAACGTTGCAGGCGGGTTTGACCCAAGCAGTGCGGGCGCATCCATGCCCGGACATCACAGTCCGCCGTAACGTAGACAGGCCCCACCCACCCACCCTCACACAGCGCCCACACCACCGTTTCCCCGCACCTGCCCAAAGTAATCCGCGCGGCCGGTCTTGGGGTGCGGAGTGACGCGGTCGATGGCGCCCGAGTAGATGCCCACTCGGCAGCGCAACCCGCGGAACAACACCTGCAGCCAACACACCGCACAGCGAAGCGGTAATGCAAACAGCTCTGGCCTAGCAAACGTGCTAAGGGTCGACCCCAACCAGTCCACCAGCACCATAGCGATCCTCCCAGCCCGGACTCTGTGGCCTTCAGGCCTTGCGCCTCCCTACCCCCCCCCCTAACCCCTAGTCATCACTTGCGCCTTTGAACCAGCGGCCAGGCATCCTCTTCCCAGCCCATCTTAGCCCCAACTCCGCAGCTTCCATGTTTACAAGCCCCAAAGGCCCCGCCCCAGCCCCGTACCATGTCATTGTCCGGGTTCAGCACCACCGCCGCCAGCTCGCACTTCAGCAGCTCCTCCGGCCAGGGCACCGCCACCAGCGCCATCTGGAGCGTCAGAGCCCACTCCACCGCACCTGCGACAAGAGCAGACAAGGTATATTTGCCATGAGCCAGAATAGTACAGGGGGCCGGAAGAGTGCATGTGTACATTGTGTAGGTAAGAATGCGCCTTTCCACAGATACCGGTACTTTTACTGCAGCCTGCATGCTGCCATGTTAGTTACCGGTAGCAGCCCCCAACATGCTGAGATACGAGCCCGTAGGCAGTACACCGTGCATGGGTGAATGGGTGCAGCCAGCCTCACTTGTGGGCTCCGCAAAGGCTGTCATGAAGCTGCCGTTGAACTCCTTGCACTCGTAGCCGGAGCAGGTGGACAGCGTCTCCCGCACCGCCGCGTTGTGCAGCTGCAACACCTCCCGAGCCACATCCACGTTCACAGCCGTCAGCTCCTGGGGGAGCAGGCAGTGGGGGCAAAGGGGGTGGTCGTCCATATGCTATGGGGTACGAGAAAACTGAATGGTTCCTAAGGAAGCCGCAATGAGACTTTGTCCGAACCGCACTAGCTGAGGGCAGTAAGGGTCCGCTGGCAATCATCGGCATAGGCTGGATGCATTCTCACGGGATTGGTACTTAACATTACATCAAAGCACACATCCAACCCAAGAGCAACGTTGTATGCAAACAACCCAACCGCCCAACGTACCTTGAAGCCCTCAATCGCCGAAAACGCCACCGTCACGACCGGTCGCATCCCATGCGCGTCCACAAACTCCCGCATGACCGGAAACAGCAGCCTGCCGCTACCCGGCGCGTCAAAGAACCCTGGACTGATTTTCTCCCACCCCACCGGCAGCGACAACGGCCAGGGAAACAGCAGCACGCGCGGCGCGACGGTGGCCGGCACCACCTGCATAAGATGCACGTAGTGACCCACGGGTCCCTGGCCGTGGTAATCCACCGACATGAAGTTATAATAGCCCATGTCCACCAGGACGCCCTTGGTCTCCGCTGGTTTGGATCCCGCCGGAGCGGCCACGGGAACCGACCCAAGCACGGCGCTGTCAGGATGCGCCCATAAATCTGTATCAGGCAGGTCGTCTTCACTGCTCGTCAGCAGCCTCACGCAACGCAAGCATCGTTGTAGCATGACGCGGAACGCGGCCAGCAGGCCATACCAAAGATCCTGCAGAAAGAAGAGGACTCGCGTGCGGAACCCAAACATAGACATGTCAATGTTCCCCGCACCCAACGCAGCGCCATAGGGGTCAAGTTCATAGAAATCCGGAGCATAGCCTGTGTGCTGGGCTGTGTTGTGCGGGAAGGAGTGCTGCGCATGCAGAAGGCCAATGCCGCCTGCATGGATGCTGGCGCTGGGGGCTTTGAGGAGGAGAAAAGAGGCGCTGTCGCCACGGTGGAAGCCGCCGGCGGCGGCTGCAACCGCGCCGCTGCCGTCGATGCTGGTGCGGTGGGGGTCGTGCATGGCGAAGCGGAAAGTAGAGGCGTTTGTGAGACCGCGCAAGACGGCGGCACCGCCGTTGCCTCCACTGGTACCAGAGTCGCCTGCGGATTGAGGTGGGGCTGGTTAGGTGATGCGGGTTAGGCACGGACACAATGCGTAGTAAGACCGTGATAAGCGGCGGATATCGGACGTGCCAAGACCGGGGGAAAAGCTGCTCGAGTGATCCAATCCGTCAAGGGACACATGCGGGCTGTGTTTGTGCACCTTGAGGCATGCCCTATATCGACGCCGTTGCATTTGCATGGCTGGCAGCACACCGTTCCTACAATCCTACCCCCCCCCACCTTTTTCTCCCCTCCTTACCCGTTGCCAGAGGCTCATGCCCGCCCGACGACTGCGCACCCTCAGGTGCCCCGGGTCCCAAAGGGCTCAAACCTGCGCCCCGCAACCCCTGCGGCGTCTGCCGAAGCGTCGGCACTCGCGCAAGCGCTGGCGGCGGCGGCCCCGGCTGCAGGGGGCTCATCAACTGGGGATGCAGCCCCACGTCGCTCGTGCGTGGCATGCGCGGCGGCCCTGTCGGGATCCCAGCCAAAACCCGGCGGCTGGGTGTCGACCTCTGCGTCTCCGGGGTACTGCTAATAGCCGCCGGCGGCCCCGGCATGGTGATGCTTGGCAAGGGAACTGAGTGAGCGTGCGATGACCAGGCGTAGGGCGCGGAGCTGAGGAGGCTGCCACCTGCGCTGCTGCTGGCAGCGGCGGCGGTGATCGAAGCAGCGTCGACGGTGCGAGGCGATGTGCCGGCTGCGACTGTTGCTTCCGAGCCGCTGCCATTTGCGATTGGCTGTCCTTCAGAGTCGACGCGCATGGGCGTGGCGCCGCCAGAGAAGTCGGGCCGGCTGTCGCGACTCTCCTCACGGGAATGCGAGGGATGCCGTAGGAGCGGCAGACCGTTCTGCCGTACGGAACCCTCCCTGGACGAGGCTTCCGAGCCCACTCGCCGCTGCAGCACCGTGAGGCGTGAGAGACCCATGGCCGCGACGCCAGCCGCCCCGGTAGGCAGGGAGGAGATGCGGCTAAGGGCGCGAACAGGATTGTTCCCGCTCCCGCCAGCCGCCGCCATTTCATCGTCGTAACTTACGACGGGAAGCGACGACGGGCCCTCCATGCTGCCGCCATTGCTGTTACCGGCTGTGGTACCGCTGCCGCCGGCTGCCCCCCCACGCGCTGCTGGCACCGCCACACCCCCGCCCATCATCGCACTGCTATTCAGCCGCGTCCAAAGCAACCGGCCGCCGCCTGTGCTCGTGCGCATGGGCAAACCATTTCCACTGCCTCCACTGCCCGGTGACTGCCCTAACGCCTGGGCCCCCAACGCAGCGGCCGCTGCTGCTGCCATGCCGCCGGGGAGGCCCGTATGGGAGCGAGGAAGCGCTGGCACCGGCAATCCGCGCCAACCATGCGACAGCCAACGCTGTAGCCCTGGCGGCATTGGTATCGGTGCGCTGGCACCCGAGGTCCCGGCGTGATCCAAATCCTCACCGCGTTTGCGGCTTGGCACACCACCACCACCGCCGCCAGCCTCTGCCACACCCCCAGTGCTGCATCTTACGTTCCCTGAGCGGAACGTTGGCAGCGGGAATGAGATGTTGTTCTGCGGCGATATGCGATCCTCATCTGAAGCCTCTGCGGCTGGCGCGCCGCCGCCAAAGATCCCGGCTAGCAACCTGCCAGCAGGACTACTCCGCGTATGCGTGGGGCGGGCATTTGCCGCCGCGGCGGCGGCGGCGGCCGCAGCCGCAGCAGCTGCCATCTCCGCTGCACGTGCCGCATGCACCCGCAGCAAGCCCTCCGTGCTATTTACCCGCCGCAGTGACGACACCCTTCCTCCGACGGCTGGTTGCCGAGCCGCTTCCGAGCTGTCCTCGCCCTTTGCTGTCGCGCCGCGAGATCTAAGAGACCCGTCGTTAACCGACACGCTGCTCAGCTGGATCGCGCGAGGACTGCTCATCTTGTTGCGATTCCATAGGGAGATTGGACTGCTGATGTGGGTCGCCAGCCTGCCAGCCAGGGTGCTGCCGTTGTAGCCGGCAGGCGTGCCGTCGCTGCTGTGGCGGTCGCGACGGCCCGAGGGTGTCACACGCAGCGGCCGGGCAGGGCTGCTGGAGCGATTGGTCCGCGCGACTCGTGCGGCAGGCCCATTGGTAAGTGCAGGGTTGCTGGGTCTTGTAGAAGATGTGCCGTCCTCGTCTGTAGATAAGGACGCGGAACGTGCTCAAGCTTAGGATGGTTCTAGGCTAGGAAGCATTTTATGGGCAGCATCAAAAGCAACAACAGCGTGTCTGCAATCAACGCCTTCCAAAGCTCTTACACTCACCTGACGGATCATTTCCATCACTTGCAAACGCCGTCGGCCCAGCGCTGTAGCGTCGTAACGTTGGCGCCGAGGTAAGCACAGCGCCGCCACCGGCACCGGTGGCCGCGCCTGTGGGCCCTGCAGCCGACGGCCCTAGCCCTGCCGTACTGCCGTAAAACAGCGGCAACTGCTGGCTGTCGCGCCCCAGGCCCGTCATGCCTCCGAAACCCCCGGTTACAGAGCTCCGGCGGCCCGAAGGGGCGTGCAGCAGCTGCTGCGGCTGGCCCACCTGGACAAAGGAGCCGCCCTGGTCTCGAAGCAGGTCGGCTGCCAAGGGGTCGGACATCCCCGGGCAGTGAACCTTGTTCCACCTGTCGAAACCAAGGCAGCAAGGGCAGGCAGCGGACAGACTGTATGCGATGCCCAGACAGTGCAGGACGGGTCGACAGGGGCGCTGGACAGGGGGCCTTGAACGAAGGCAATCGTGCTTTGGCGAGTGGCGAAAGAGGGGTGAACACGCATGCCCCATCCCCGGCCACCCACCTCTGCGCCGTGCGCGGGCCCATGAGCACCTGCCCTCCCTCCGCCAGGTCGCAGATCTCCCCCGCCAGGTCGTACTCCAGCCCGCGGTAGTCCACGTGGTCAGTCAAGTCGTGCAGGAAGATATCGTCCGGCACGCCTGCAGAGCCGGGGGCAACATTTAGAGAGCCGGGGGCAACATTTGGAGAGCCCGGGGCAACATTTGGAGAGCCGGGGGCAGCAGGCACAAGGGATAAAAGAGGCAGCGGCATGTGCGCCAAAGTGGACAACGTAGCAGACAGGAAGAGCATGGGGGTGAAAAGCCGAGCTGGCTACGGTAAGGTAACATGGCGCCCATCAGACCTCGTCTCACCTTACCTTCAACAGCACCTTCGGTCTGCAGTGACAACCACACAACCCGCCCCGTAGCGCCCACCATGCCCCCAAGCCTCACCCGTGTTAATCCCCATCCGCACGCGCAGCCCTGCTATGAGCGGGGCCCCCTTGCCGGCGGCGTCCGGGTTCGAGGTCACGTCTCCCACCGTCACCACGCCTGTCTTGGGGTGCCCCGAGAGCTCTTTGGGCCAGTCCACGGTCATGAGCGTCTCCTGGGCCTGTGGCCAGACGGCGGGAGGTGGGTTGCGTGCATTGCGTTGCAAGGGCGGTCAGTCTTTCTGCGGAAGTGGTTTGTTTTGGGCCAACCATGCGGCGCTTGCTTCATGCTAGGGACAAACCGCAGCGGACAAGATTGCCCGGGAAATGACAGCATGCATGCCGCCGTGGACTTGTAAGGACGCATTTGCAGCGGTAACTGCGCCTTCCGGCTTGCCCGTAGCCGGCCTGCGGACCGCTCTCAGTACGTACCCTTAGGCAGAACGAGACAGCATCCACGGCATCATGGAAGGAAAGGGTGAAGGAGTCCTGCAATGGCCATGCAGGCACGGGGTCAAATGTCACTCAGGCGCAGAGAAACTTGGTCGTTGCCCCCGTCCTGCTTCCTCGCTTCTGGCCAAATGCACGTCACAACCCGAGAACCCCTCTTTCCTTGCCCTCACTCCTTCTCACCCCTTCATTGCGGATTTCATGCCCGCCAAACTCGTCCATCAGGCCCCGCATCGCTGCATTGTGCAAGTCGATGGCCCGATCCATGACATCCGGCTTCCACTCCCAGAGCTGAGTGCTAGCGGCCACGTCCGTCACCACCCATGTCACGATCACATCGGACAGGGACAGCACCCCGCGACCGTTCTGAAGCGCCACGGCGGGTGTGCCCGGCACCTTGCTGCGTTTCCGCGCCATCTCTGCTTCCTTACGCCGAACCAAACGGTTCAGGGTGGCTTTGTGGCTGCGGGCATGTCAGGTACACGAACAGAAAGGGCATTTGCTGAGTTGGTAGGCAAGATGGAGCACAGAGGACAGGGCTGCACGCTCGCAGAGGCGTTGCTCAGTCATGCAAGAAACAAGGCAGCTCCTCCGTATCAGACCTGACACTGCGTGGGGCAACGCAGCAGCCCACGAAAAGCGGAGCATGGAGCCCATCAACCCACATTCCCCGCCTGTTCACTTACACAACGCAAACGTAGACGGCGGCACCGACCAACAGCCAGGGTGCAACCGCTACGATGACGACAGCTATGATGAGGTCCCTCCGGCTGCTAGACCCGCCGCTGCTGGCCGCCATGCACTGGGCGCCCACCGAGCTGCCCGTGTCCCTGACAACCAGCGCCTCCCCAGGCAGAGAGCAAGTGCAGTTGTGGTAGCGTGTGAAATTCCCGTTGGCAATGACGGCCCCTGCGGCAAGGGAGAAACATTTGCCGGCGTTAGAGCCCTACACGCGAGCAGCAACGGTTGGTCCGCCCATGCTGCTGCTGCTGCTCAGTTTCGCGTCAATCCGTCCGAAACCAGGTACCACGTAATGCTGCTAGTAGTCCAGCAGCAATGCCCAACTGTGGCTGCCTCAGCCCGTCTCCGCACCTGGTGTGGGCGGCGCCGGGAAGGGCGAGGTTAGGATGCCCCAGAGGTCCGGAGAAACACCCGAAGTGTACGACAGGAAGGACGTCAGGATTGCTGCTGGACACAGCATGGTATCCGTGCCGTACGGATTGTACGACTGCGCAGTGTAGCTTAGGCTGGGTGGCAAGGTGCAAGGACCCGTGACTGGCGCCGGCAGGGCGCCGGCGCCACCAGCAGCTGCGAAAGACGCCTCCGTGCATGCCACCAGCCCAGTGTCCTGTGCCAGGGTTGCAGAAACACGGGTGCTCAGGTGGTGGGTTAAGCATAGGCGGTCCGTTTGGGGGTTGGGTATTCATGCTGCTCCTGGTCTGGAGCGCTCGCTGCTTAGATCCGGCCGAACACCCAGCCCAGAACTCGTGGCAACCCTGCCCAGCTCCCAAGGACGACGCAAGCAAGCGTACCTCCACAGACAGCCAGAGGAGGTGTGTGAGCGAAGACAGGGACTCTGGGAGGGCACCCGTTAGCTGCGGGTTGTTGGCGAGAGCCAGTACTGTGAGTTCCGTGAGATTGCCGATAGCTGCTGGCAGTGACCCCACGAGCCCATAGCTGTCGAGGCTCAGGATGGCGACGCTGTGCGATCCCTGGCAGTCGACTAAGGGCAGAGGTGAATTCGCACAGCATGTAACGCCGTACCACCTGCATGCACGACGTTGTGCGGGGATGAAGGCACGGTATGCAACTGACAAAAGGGCAGGCCCGCATAACGTATGTCGTATCATATGAAGACATGGTAGACCTGCCGCGTGAGGAAGCACTTGTCCCGAAGCCATGAGTTACGTGACGAACACTGCCCTACACCTCTTGAAGGGGCGGCATGACGAAGACATACTTGCCTAATGACACCACACAGTTTTCGTGCCTAACAACTGGAAGGCCACCCATTTGTATTATTGAAGGACAACAAGGACTGCTTGTGCAGCCTAGATTTATTGCCCACGAACGATTAGTTCGAGGCAGTGACGTAAGGTATTTCGTCGGGCCAGGTCTGACAACTAGCAGAGGATACGCACAAACCTGCAGTAAGATACTCCCTCGGTTCCCCAAGGAGCGGCACCGGCTGACGAAGTGTTTGCAACTTTCCAGTTATATCCATTAGTAGCGGCAAACAGTGCCAGAAGTGCTGCACGCTGTTGGCCGTCATCAAGGGAGGTATTAACGAAATCCAAGTTTAACTGACTCCTCCTGTGCTGCTGCCATTGTTCCGGGATGTTAAGCTCGTCCCTGTCTGCAACGGCGGCCCATAGGGCATGGTATGATGCACTTCGGGGTGCCCATATACACAGAAAAAAGCCTGCTACTAACAGCTGCAGCATGGTGGGGCCACTAAAGGCCCCCATTTTCGGTCAAGTTGTATTTCTAGCCGTGCCATTAGGAGGTCCCATTCCTTTCTTCGTAGTACCGGCCGCACGGCCGATAGCTGAAATAGTTAACAATGAAAAGTCGTCTCGCTTGCAAAACTGGCATAAATACGTAATATCATCTTATTTTTATCGCCAGGATGATTCCTATGTACGTGATAAAGAACAGTCGTCCTCGCAGTTCGTTATTGTCCGTTTGCAAAAGCGGGGAGATGCGGAACATGGAAACGTGTACGGCTGGGTACGGCTTTGGGCGTTGCCCTTCTGCTTACTGGTTTGTCTACTGTCTAGCGTAGCTGCAACGTAAATAATTTAGGTGTTTGTGCTCATAATCGCAACTGGGTCGAGCTAGAGGAAAACGGTGCAGAACGGAGCACGTTCGGTGTACCTCGAGGGCTGGTTAGGCCAATGGTTAAATGGATGTCTTAGCTGTTGGTGACCGGCACGTATTATTGTCACTCCGTTATATTCCAGTCGTCCAAGTCTAGTTATAAGTCTTGACCTGGCCTGCCATGGGCGCTCCATAGGCTTGCTGGATCCCCGAGCACGTTTACAGCCAACAGTTTTGCCACCCAGAAGGGCAAGGCTTGCCGGTACGTGCACAGACTCCACAGTTGATGACCTATGCATCCTCATGCAACATACTAGTCCAGCTTACCGGCTGGAAGGAACATGCGGATACAGCAGGCGTCGCGTAGGAGTCTAACATGACTGCCTTGGGCTTCGGTTGTTGCGGCTACGCGCGTGTTACACCCATCAGGCAAGAGTCTTCATGCAAGGTACGCCACGGCGCGCTAGGGTGTGATCTAGTGAGAACTTACATGCCGTAACCCTGGAGCAGTCCGAGCTCCATGCGTGCGAAGCAACTCCAAAGAGTGCTGGTGTGCTGCAGAGAACAACTGATTCTCTCCTTTCAGGAGGCAAGATCAGCCTCCCGTGGGCATGGAGAACCTAGCCCATGCGCTGAGCTCTTGCCGTGTTAACAGGACGACGCATGAAGGATTGTCGTGGCAAAGCGAGAACACTTTTAACAACTGTAACGTCGGCTTTGACACTTTAGGCAACTCCAGATACCGGTACTCCGCCCTCCAGATACTCATCCAGGTCCTAGGATACCGGGGCAACACATTACCGACATATGGCATCACATGGTATTAGCAATTCCGTGCCGCTGCGCCTCCATCCTCTTGACGGTCTTTTGCATGCCCCCTAAGCCTCCAAGGGTGAAGCACAGCGAATTTAGTAATACGCATGGAGGGCCGTAAGCGTACACGCTAAACATATATCCATACCGGTATGTGTACTACTGCGTTCCAAACAAAAGGGTTGGCCATGCAGTGGGTACCTTCGGGGCAGGGGCTGGATCGGCAGGTGTGTTGCACCTGTGTTCGTCAGGTGTAATCACAAAATGGTCCGTGAGGGCATGTACGACAGGCATGGCGTCCAGGGCTCTGGCTGATACACTGCATTTCTGCAGGAGGAGCAGGTACGGGTATGTTTTTGCTGTCGAGGTGAACCCAGCATGTCGCAACCCTAGCATGCGACCTGCCGCGTGTTTGGGCTATCTATCGGTCTTATCCCCTAAGCGATTTGCTATCGGCGCATGTGTTTTGTCCGTGCCCTTGGTGTCTTGACTGGCAGGTATGCAAACAAGGAAACACTATATGGAGGACGCGGACATGTGCGCTAGAGACTGCGCTAACCAAGCTGAAGCGAGCAGCAGAAGCGGCCGTAAAACACATGGAAGTAAGGTCTTTGTCCTTGTCCTCGGTCGTTGCGCCGCAAAAGTAAATTTGCATGGGATTTCATGGCTTCGGCGCGGTGCCGTATTTGGTGTTTGTGAGATATTCAGTTCGCTCACGTTAGGCTCTAAACATTTCTTGAATGCAACTTTGCGCATCTGTAATTAGGAGCACGCGGCAGGCTTGGCCCGAGCTCCTCATTATTAGCCGGCTTGCACAAGCCGGTGATAGCCTTCGCTTGCAAGAGTTTTCTCAACAACGTCGTTTTACCATGTCGGAGCCCACTCCTAAGAAGGCTCGCGTTGGCTATGCGCATTCCCGGGAGGTGAGGATGAAACGCATGCCGATGATCGGCCGCTTACTTGCCTTCGCCTTCTACAATACAACAGCAAAGCCATAGCTATATATAGAAGATTACGTCGCTTATGTATCCTACCCTTGTTCTACGACTACACTGCTTGCACCCTTGAATGGCGCCAACCAGCTCTCGGTGCCGGTTACTCTGCCCTTTCTGTCAACCTTACAGAGCTTCATGAAAGTGTATGAGGTTCTTCGGGACGAGCTCCTCAACGACGAATGCCTCTCTCCGGCGAGCGACAGCGCGCAAGCAAAGGCCGCGCAGGAATGGTTCAAAGAGGTGGGCTCTAGCACCTTCTCTTACTCACTGCATATAACTCATGGCTCTCCCACGCGTAAGATAGGACCCCCGGTCTAGAGCTCGACTGTGGTCGAGTGCGAGCACGTTGCGCTGACCCCTTACACCTGCGGCGCCACGCCGGCCTCCAACCTTACTGCACCCGTCGCCCCCCTTCAAACAGGTCAACGACTACAACGTGCCAGGCGGCAAGCTGAACCGCGGCATGGCTGTGTACGACGTTTTGGCGTCCGTTAAGGGGGCCGAGGTAACCAGGGTTGCCATAAGGGCACTTAAGAAAGTTACAAAGGTCTTCCGCCCATCCCCAAAGCTGGATAGTACTGGGCCGGGCATCAGGGTTCGGTGTTGCATAGCAACAACAGAGTCCAACTTACTCCGATGCTGACTTCACCTTGGACACCAACCAAAGGGCGTGGTTGACGGCGGGTACAGGAGCGTGCTTGCATCTGACTTTATGGTCCTTGACCGGGACCGGGATAGAAACTTAGTGCCTGAAGCGGGTTGCATGGGCACGTAACAACACTGTCCAACACAATCTTGGGCCGCCCTCCCAACCCGCCCTGCAGAACCTGACGGAGGAGGAGGTCTTCAAGGCCAATGCCCTCGGCTGGTGCATCGAGTGGGTGAGTGGCGGGCTCGGTTGTTAGGGTGAAGGGTGTTGACTCTGGAAAGGTGTAGCCGCGGGCCCCCGAATGATACGCACGCATTGCTCGGGGAGAGTTGCCAACGGGTATCAGAGCATCGATTGCGCAGATGAAAGCCAGTTTGCCGGTTAGCGACGACCAGAGGCGGCGCCTCTACCTCTGTGCAGCTTGGCAGCCGGTAATTGCGCACGCTGGTACCATGTTGGTGGCTGCGCAGCGAACCCACGTGACGTTACCTCGACCCCTTATGCAGCTCCTCCTCCTTCTCCTCAGGGTCTTATCCTTATCTCCACTTGAATTCCTTCCCTCCCTGTTCCGCTCCCTGTTCACCCTTCTTTTCCACCCCACCCTGACCCTGGCAGTTGCAAGCCTTCTTCCTGGTTGCGGACGACATCATGGACGGCTCCATCACCCGCCGGGGGCAGCCCTGCTGGTACAAGGTGCCAAAGGTGCGCCACCCGGGCGCTAGCATGCACCGGTGCTTAGCTTGGGGCCCCTGGGGCTGCCGGGAGGGTGGGAGAGCACCTAAAGAGGAGGCGTGGAGGCGGCCCCTAGCCTTCACCGGAGCCCTCCTCACCCTCCTCCCATGGTCCCAACCCTATCCGCAACGTGCTGCAGGTTGGCATGATTGCCTGCAACGACTACATCCTGCTGGAGTGCTGCATCTTCCGCATCCTGCGCAAGCACTTCCGCGGCCAGCCCGCCTATGCGCAGCTGCTGGACCTCTTCCACGAGGTGAGCTTGGAGGGAGGGAGGGCAGGGAGGAGAGCTTGAGAGGGAGGCCGGGCGAGAGAGGCAACGCAACAGGGAGGGGGAGAGTTGTGCTGTGAACCCTGTGATGCAAGGGGCTGTACCGCTTAATGCACCAGCACCAGCCCATGTGCTTCTGCCCCATCTCAACTCTCACTCTCCCCGCCTCCCGCCGCCGCCTCCGCCCGCGCCTCCCCAGGTGACCTTCCAGACCAGCCACGGCCAGCTGCTGGACCTCACCACGGCGCCCATCGGCTCGGTGGACCTGTCCAAGTACACCTCGGACAACTACCTGCGCATCGTCACCTACAAGACCGCCTACTACTCCTTCTACCTGCCCGTGGCGTGCGGCATGGTGCTGGCGGGCATTGAGGTGCGGAGGGGGGCGGGAGGGGCTGCATGCTGCGTGCGTGTGAGTGGGTGTGTTTCAATAGACCCAAGGGGAACACTATGAGGAGCCGGGAGAGGAGCCGCGGGTGTCCGTGGCTGCGGCACGTGTGTGGTGCAGCAGCGGATTGCCCTTCTTGGCGACCGCAGGAGGCGGGAAGGCATGTAGCAGGCTTGCAAAGGGCTGGTGTAACTTGTAAGCAGGCCGGACCACCTGAGCTCAAAGGGTTGCTGCAAACGGGTCTTAGTCGCATTTGGTCACATTCTGCTTCCCTCAACTGCGTATGCGAGCGCCTCTTAAGGATGTACGTCTTTGTATGTACCTTCGCTCCTCCTCCTTATCCTCATCCTCAGGACCCCGCCGCGTACGATCTGGCCCAGAAGATCTGCGTTGAGATGGGGCAGTACTTCCAGGTGAACTTGGTGGACTGGGCGGGCAGGTAGTGGGGCTGGAGAGGCCTGGAAGGGACCGGCTAGAAGTGGTGGTGGTGGGAATAGCGGAAGTGTGTAAGAGGAGGTCTCCCATGCTAGCCAGCTACCGGCAACACGGCCCGACATCCCTGTCCCCTGCCCTGTCCTCTCCATGCATGGTAGTCTCGGTTCCCCTCCCAACCCTCCCTCCCCGCCTCCCACCCCCAGATCCAGGACGACTACCTGGACTGCTACGGCGACCCCGAGGTGATTGGCAAGATCGGCACCGACATCGAGGACAACAAGTGCTCCTGGCTGGTGTGCACGGCGCTGCAGATCGCATCGGAGGAGCAGAAGGAGGTCATCAAGGTGCGGGCAGAGGGGCGGGGGCGGCGGGCCGCTGCCGGGGAGTTGGGGATGTGCAGCAACGGATTGACGGAGCCCTGGGCAATGAGCTCTGGCAGGGCCGGGCAGCAAAAATAACACATCTGTCGGGGTTCGCTGGAGTTCGTTGTAATTCGAGTATTCTAGGGTGGCGCGGACAGGGCAGGGCAGGTCGAGGTGCCGCTCTCCAGGCTCAGGACTCCCGGTTTAGCCAAGGGAAGGGGCAGTAGATGACCTAAGCAGCCTTGCGCCCGCCGCGATGCGTCTTACCTCCTCCCTGCCTCCCGTCCTCCCGCCCCACCCATGCGCAGACCCACTACGGGCGCAAGGAGGAGGAGTCGGTTGCCGCCATCAAGGCTCTGTACGTGGAGCTGGGCCTGGAGCAGCGCTTCAAGGACTATGAGGCGGACTCCTACGCCAAGCTGGATGTGAGCAGGGGGCAGCAGATGGGGTTTGGCACCGGCACTGGCAGCCGGGCGGTGGTGGTGGTAGCAGGGGGAAAGTGACAGCTGGTTGGGAGTTTAAAGGGATGTTGCAGCTTTTTCGTGTGTGGCGCATGGATCGTTACATGGAACTGCTTTGTCCGTATATCTCGTTGCCACCCTATTTGTCCTTTACGAGTCGAGTACCGGTAGTTCGCCTGCTATGTACCCACAGCCATGCGCAAGAGGTGGCCATGCTTTACATATGCCGTATTGATCATTTTCCCGCTTAGCTGACGATCATCCCTCCCCTGTGTTTCGTTCCGATGCCCCCGTTGTGGCTGCCACTCAGGCCACCATCTCGGAACAGACGCTGCTGCCCAAGCAGGTCTTCACCTCGCTGCTCGCCAAGATCTACAAGCGCAAGAAGTAAACGAAACCAGTCACCTTGCAATTCAGAGCTCGTGCGGGCGTCGTGCCTGCTTGGATATACGCCATATGGCTCCAGTGTTATAGAGCTGGCTGCTGACATTTTGACGGATCCCAGGAGGGGTTGCGAACGAACTCGTTTTGTGTGGACCCATGGGTCGGCACGTTCTTGGCCATGTTACGGTCCCGTATGTTGCGGAGATAACTTAGCGGAATTGCTATTGCTTTGGTGGTGGTATTTAGAGGCATGAAGCCAATGTGCCGCGGCGCTGGTGCGTGTGGACGCAGGTGCACCTTGGTGCTTACTTAGGACGCGGCTTCGTGATGGAGCGGGAGTGCGTCTTTTGGGGGGGGGGGAAGTACTTTTTGGGCCCTGGTGTGGGCACGGTGCTGCAGGTTTGTAAAGGGCAGTGGTGGTATAGAGCGATTTTGGGGTGTCCAACTGAGGCGAGGTCTGTGCTGCTGTGTATGGACCGCGGTGATGGACACAGCGCCGAGGGAACTGCGCTTGGAAGCCTCCCATAAGGGGCTGTGACGTGTTTTTGGGGTCAGCAACTTTTCACTCGGCTCAATCGCATGCTGCTTTTGGTACGGACCGGCGTAACGAGCCGGGTTAGGAGACGCCAGTACTGCGTTACAAACGAGGGTTCTCTCCACATTGCTGGAAGACGCAGGTCTAGTTGTGGGTGCGGGACAGCGGATCTCTGTTTGGCAGTCCACTTCTATGTTCGGTGCTTAACAGGATGCAGGAGGGCGTGCGCGTCAAGAAAGAAACGGCTACAATTTTGAAGCGTGGTCACGTTCCCCGCATGAACACCTTTTTATTTATCGTTAGCCGAGTAACGACCCACCCACCATACGGTCTTCCTCTTCTGCGACTGCATCCCATAGTCCACTTCACGCGTCTGCACCTCAGGAAAGATCACATACCGGCGTTATAGCAATAAAGCAGAATGTAGCCCCAACACACAGCGCAGTTGGTGCGATAGACCAATGGAAGCTTCCTCCCATGTCTGGAGCGCGGTGGACGTGCACACCTTCAGCAGTAAGCACATAAACAACAACAGAGCGGCAAACACCAGCCGGAATACTCGAACGCTCATACAACCACACAAGCAGGCCACCCTGCCCATAGAGGGGCACGTGTTAGCAGAAGCTTTTATTCAAAATTTATTCAATCCTATCAATCCTACCCAACAGATGTGAACAGTGTTGCAGTGAACCCAGCGGCGTCTTCAGGATGAGGACGAAGGCTACCAGAACGGCAGTTACCCCGTTATGTGGTAAGCGGATTGCCCACAGCCCACAAGGCTAGTAAGGGGCATGGCTTGCTGCATGCTGGGAGCACCGACATACGAAAACAAGGAAGAAACACAGGCAAAACACAAGGCCAGAGAAACACGGAAAGTACGACAACACGGCCGCTAGATGGCGGGCACGACTTAGGAAAGGGCAAGTCATTCATGGGTCTTCATTAGCACTTTTAGAGGTACCGGTACTTAGGTCGCATCACAACACATGCTGCAACCCCGTTCGAAACGCATGCGAGCCTTAGCCTCTTGTACGCAATTCGCAAATGTACACCGTGCACTTGTTATCGCCCGTATGCATGACCCTGCACCTGCCGGTACGTCCTTCCCAATCTTCGTTAGTCCTTACTCGTTATGAACATGCGGAACTCCTCCCAACAAGGCCTCACTCCTGCAGACCCCAGTCATGCAAGGTGCAGCACCACCCAGCTATCATACAAACGAAAAAGCACCACTGCCTAGCAAGTTGCGTGGCAATGGCCCTCACGACAGTCCGCGGACGCTCCTTCTTACCCAGCAGCACATGCATCAGCTTCCCCCGAGCATGCAGCCATCCTGAGCACCACCAGTTCATCACTCACTCCTAGCTGTAAGAATTAATCAAGATGCAAAGATGCAACAAACCAGGGCAAATGCCCTGCCGACCAGTCAACCGGCACCCAAAACAAAGGAGATGATGTAACCAGCAAGGTTGCGTGCATTCATACGTACACCCACGCAATTGCATGGTTATCAACGCCTTCTCCAACGCCCCCATACCTCCTACTTGCATCCCCAAACGACAACAGTTAGCGCATGTTCACTGCATGTGCACCTTACCAGTGCACTTGTTCATACCTCCCAGCTCTCCACAAGCGTGGGCTTGTACGACAAATCAACCAGCCTCATGGCTGCATGCACCATTGCTGGCTTCATATCGCCCACCCGGCCCCACACCTGCACCTGCTTGCCCCCAAAGTCAACGCCGCAGCCAATCACGCCGGGTTGCCGCAGCAACGCGGCCTTCAGTCTCGCGGCACAGCCCTCGCACTTAATGCCCTCCACCTCAAAACGAAGGTAAAGCGTCTTTGCTTCCGCCTTCGGCTGGTTTCGGGTGACGCTTTCCGGTGCTGTTGGTGATGATCCTTGAGACGCCAGGCCTCCCCCTGAAGCAGACGTTGTCTTATCTTTCGGGGGTGCTAAAGGGTCTTGCTTTGCACCAATTGTGTCGCTGTTTGTTGCTGAGGACGCAGGAGCGGCATCAGATACCCTGGGCTCTACGCTCGTAGCTTGGGTAGCGTCCAAGCTAACTCGGGAATACAGACCGTCGCTGGAATCAGTTTGCGGGAGGGAGCTTTGCAGGTCCGACGATCCAGATGCCGGGGAAGCTGGTGCTGACGACGGAGGAGCTTTGAGCCGTGGAAAACCGGACGCTGTGTTACTGTAACGGACCACGTCTTGGCTGAACATGAGGCTAAGCGATAGAGCCATGGTAAGCATACTGCGCCTGCTGACGCCGTCGCGGTAAAAAAGGTGTCCCAGAGCCAACAAGGTCAACGTCCGGAAATGTGTCCTCCATGGCGTAAGGACAGCAAAGCCGGCACAGCCGAGTTGAAGGTGATTAAGCACTAGCTGCACCACGCAGCAAGAGCTAGATAGCAGGCCTCCGGCGAGGCTTGCACCAGTAAGCGCTTGAAATGCAGATATCGTCAGCCTGCCTACAGGTCGCAGGAATGGCGGTGGACAGTAAGACGCCATTTGTACTGTAAATGTACCTAGGGTAGCCTTGCCAACCGGTTGAGCTTCTGGAGCACATGGTGGACCGTACTTGTCGTGCAGCTCGAGTGGCACAATCGATGACCATTACGTCAGATGCCATCGACCTGAAGGCAAGTGTCTTCACTCCTGCTTAGGAGTTGGGGCTGCTCCCACTTGCCAACCAGACGCACAGGGCACTTCGCCAAGGCTACTTTTCGCTTTCCAGTTAATTTTAAGGAAAAGCACTCCGACACTTACGCGAAGAAAGTTACTTTTTTCACAGCTAACGTGATGCTGTCTTTGCGGCCAAAGCTATGTGGAGGCCAACTAGGTCTAAGGGCATGTCGGGCTCCGACCCCGGTTGCCTGTATTCACCGACCAGCCAGACGCTGCTTCCAAAAGATTGACGCTTTATACCATAATCCAGGGCCACGTGACTCAGGGCGTGCAAAAGGAGCTCAGCAATCCCTGCAGCGCGTTCTCGACCTCGTGCAAAGCGGTGAACGGGATGCATTGGTTGACTACTTCGCGACGTCAAACCTCACCGACACGCCCTCGCTTCGACTGGCCAGGTAGGTCCGGCGCATTCCCGCGCACCTGACTACAACTAACGCACACCCGCCAATTTCCGTCATTTTCGTCGAGGTCTTTCTTGGACTGCTGTTCGCTGTCCACCCTTTACTCTTCTCATCCCATTACGTTTGCATAACCATTCCATCGGCGCCATCGCAGTGGCTGTGAAGTAATGGTGTTCGAGGACGTCCTGGAACGGATGCTGCTGCAGTTCCCCAGCCGCCACTTCTTGGATAGCTACGCCATCCGACATCTCATCCTATCTTCGCCAGCATCGACACAGGTGTGCCCAGATACCAAAACCCAGCGACCATTCTTTCTCTGCCTATTTGTTGCGGGCAAGTGCACCGGTACCCAACGTCTCCCGCATCCTTACCTATCCATCTGCAATTCGTCACAGCCACTTCCCGTTTCCGACTCTGAGCTGCCCTCGTCGCCACTTCAACTTGACCTCTACACCTCGGCACCCCCTCCTTCATGCCGCCCTCCTTCAGGTGCTGTCTGGCCTCATGTTGGGTCCCAACAAGTACGTCCAGCGCATGTCCGTCACCTCTCCCTCGGGCGAGAGCTGCATCCTCACCTTCACCATGACCGCCACCCAACCGTCACAACCACCAGCGCCAACAGCAGGGACGGCAGCAGCAGCAGCTCCCTCCGAGCCCGTATGGCGGCTCAGCAGCGTGCGGGGCGAGCCCCTGTACGGCAGCGGTAGTACGGGTGCCGTACAGCCCAGCGGTCCCAGTCCGGAGCTCTCACCGGAGCAGATTGTGGAGGCTCAGCTGGCGGCCCTGCAGTAAGTGCACCGAGGAGGGTCTGGGAGTACGGGTGGGGTACGTGGGAGGTGCGGCTGGGTAAGAGAAGTGTTGCAGTGCTGTGCGCACGGGTAAGGGCTGGCAGGGTTGTAACCAGCCAAGACCGGGGTTGTGTCTGATGTGGGAAGGAGCTGATGCAGCAGGTAGGGCTGCTCTACTCCAGCGCCTCACACTCGCGACCAGTTCCTACTGACGGCCAGCTTCCTTAACACAAGCACTCGCGCCTCTTGTTGTTGCAGGCGCAAGGATGTGTCGGCCGCCTTCCGCTTCCTGAGCCCCGCCAGTCAGAAGATCATGGGCGACGAACGCACGTTTGCTGAGAACCTGGCGCGGCACCGGCGGTACGGCGGGCTGCTGGGGCACATGTCGGCCAGCAGTGTACGGCGCTGCGTGGCGCAGCCCCGCACCTACATGGAGATCGTGTCGGTCACCTCGGCAAGCGGAAGTAGGTACTACAACTGTTGGGGCATTACGTGTTACGTTTGTTAGTCACGTTTGTCAGCGGTTGCATGCATTCCCAATCTTACCCAGCTTCATCCACTGAACGTTCTGCCGCCCTCCGCAGCTCGCTTCGTCTTCTGCTACATCCTCAGCCTTGACACCCACTCGCAGCAGCCTAGCGCCTTCTCCGCCTCCACAGCCTCGCCCGAGGGCGCTACTTCCGCTTCCTCCGGCCCGGAGGCCGCAGCCGCCCCTCCCGACGCCCCAACCTCGGGAGAGACCCATGGGTCGGCCGTGGGTCCCTACTGGGCCATTGATTTCGTTAAGGTGGTGGATGATCCCCGTTTGTTGGCAGCGGTGGAGAACAGTCGGGCAGCGCAGCAGCAGCAGCGGAGGGGGCAGGGACAGCAGCCGCCGGATGCCGCGGAGTGAGGAGGAGGGGGGTGGCGTTGGGTATGGTGTGGTCAAGGGCGTATGGCACAACCGCGGTACGTCGTGCTATTTGTTGCTGTGAGTGGCCGGCTGAACCATGCAGGTTAGGAAGATCGGGTGATGATAGTGGGTTTGGGTTGTACTGGTTTAGTCGTGTATTTTGTAGATGAGCACTCTATCGTTGGGTCATAACGCCTACAATGCACCTGTCCTTGCGGCCAGTGTTGGTCCATCCCGTATTGGGGGCAAGAGAAGAGAATTGTAGTTGTGTTTGCTTTATCATTTGCATTAGCATGCACTTGTTTTTGGTGGTTGACTTCGCATCGTGCGTGGTACTATCCGGGCTGTTAGTTTGTTGGTTTGTATGGTGTATTATTTGCCCCTCAAAACTCCTGTACGTTGGGTTGTACGGCGCTTGAACTCTGGACTGTCGGCGGAGCCTCGGAGAGGAGGGCGGCTCATATTCTGCCACCGCTCCTGAACCTCTTTCCGGTGTGACTTGTTGCTATTCCCCTGTGTGGGGTGGGGAGGGGTGAACCGACGATATTGTGTCGGCACACCGTGTATCAGTATGCCCGAGCATCGTCAAGTCGACATCCATTGAAGAGTTCGTGGGTGTGTATTTGAGTACTGCGATTTCAGTAAGCTTTGCACCCCGTCTGTGTTTGCGCATGTCTCAGTGTAAGCTATATTAATTGGGCCTTCGTTGTCATCTTGGCTTATTTTAAAGGGGTTGAATGCATAGTTGTTGCAATGTTGGGCTTGTTTAATCAATACGCTAAACTTTTTATTGGGAATGGTATCTCCTTGTCGATTGCTTGTTTCAATGAATCTTCACACACACACCCTGCTTGCTACCATGAGGGGTTGCTGCTCGCTTGGGGTTTGGAGTATGTGTATTTTGTGGTGGCGTCCTCGTCACGCGGATTGGTCCTTTGCTGCCCTGAGCTGACCTAACCAGAAATATCCACTGAGGGAGGACACCAGCGAGGCAACAACTGTGACCATGTGGCGGGGAAGCTCGTGAGTCCGCTTGCTTGGGGATCTACCTGGGCTGGGAGATGCCTAACAGGCACGCCACCTGCATTGTGGAGGGCACGATGAGCCACGGAATGCTGGAATTAAAGCTGTTGCGCTGACAGGGGTGTGCACAAATAGGCGGGCGGACAGCAGCGTTGCTCGGCGTGATAGTCAAAATACTTTCATGGCACCGGTGCCGTATCCAATGTGGGTGCATTACCCCATGTTCCTGCCGTACGCAGCAAACAAGGTGTTCCATCCTGGGCCAGCAACAATAGGTGTTGTTACCCGCCACTATCCACCACTTGCAAACACATGACGAGCCTCCAAAGCCACCCGCAAACAGCGTCCCCCCCTGTACCGTGCCTGTACCTGTGCCCCTGCACTTCCGAGTCCCAAATGAGGGCGCCGGTGGTTTCACATACCCATCCGGAAGTCCTTACTGGGCAAAAAGCCAGCCCTTACTGGCAAAACTTCTATAGCTCCAAACCATGCATGCATGACGACAGGAGCTACCTGGAATGAAGCGTGCTTCACACCACCCATGCATTCTCTTTCCGCGTCTTATGGAACCTGCCAGGGGGGCACACAACCCCAACTATGCACATCCATTCAAGTACTCCTGACCACTGTTTTCACCAGTCACGTTGAACACATTGCCATTCCAGCACCCTATACCTCCCTATGGCGGACTTCCGTCGACTCCCCTACTAATTCTGCCAAAAGAGCCCCGTATGTACGATGCATCCTAGTCGACGACCTACTACTGCAGCTTACGCTGTACTACTGCTTTAACGTCGCCGCCGTCTATGTGTCTACGTGCTTGTGAAAAGCATATCGTAATATGAGCGCCTCTGTCCTGATGAATGCAAGCGAGTCGGTATGGCCGGGACTATGCCTATAGCTCCCCACCTCCCCCCAACGATTGCATGTCTCTACCGCTGCTGCGGTAGCAATACCGCAGCAGCAACAAACTAGTGCACACATGTACGACCCAAGTCTCAAGAGCAGAAAGAATGCATGAAAGAAAATGTTTGGCTCACGAACGCAACATTGCTTGGGTTTCAGTCAAAGGGTGCTTCCACACTGCCACCCAGCATTCCTTAACCCTGGGCCGCAACAGGCAAGACGACAAATAACCATCCCTCTACACTTAACACAAACCTCGATACGAGTCCCCCTCTGCATGCCCCCCTAATCTTTGTGCCATTTCCTGGTATATACCATCGCTATACGCGCCGCCGTGCGCAACATACACACCAAATGAAGCCCCTACGCTCCCTGTATACACACTTTGCACGAGCCCCCCAGACACACAACTCCCGCGGCAGCGGAGCGGAGAGGTCCAACATTCTTGGTGTTCAGTACGCACCCGTTTGTTGCTGCACGCTAGACCCTCCGCGTAAAAACCTATCCTATCAGGCATGATGCTGCTCAGCATGGAGAGCAGGCCGCTCCGCAAGCGTGCAGCTATATAGCCTCACGCCGAAATGCAACCACCGCAGGCCTAAATCGTGCCTATTTCAGCTTAATCCAAGCTAATAAAATGAAGTTTCAAGAGTGGCACAGGATGGGCGTCAAAGGCCCGAGATGCTAGGCATGTTGGGTTTGGCCAGCCGCTTCTTCCTCACGGATGATGACGAGGGTGTGGAAGCAGACATGGGCGGCGATGCCGCTGATGCGAAGGAGGGCGAGGAAAACCGCAGCGACGCTGCTGGCGACGAGGCACTCCACCCACCCTGCTGTGCGGCGCGAGCAAAGGCCAGGAAGCTCATGCTACCGGGCGACTTCTTCGTGCTGTTACTGCTGCTACTGCCCTTGCTGGCACTTGGTATACCGCTCATGCCGCTGCTGCTGGTGCTTTTACTTCTTGCCTTATTGCTGCCATGTGGGCCACGACTGTCCTTCTGCAAGTCTCGCCCGTCATGCAATTGGCTGCGATCATCCCTGTCGCCAACGTTTCCACTGATAGGGCTGCTACAGCCGGCATGGCTGGAACCGCCGTCGCAGCGGGGCATGGCGTCGCCGTTTTCGGCGGTCGCTGCAGGCGTGTCCCCCACTCCTTTGGACCTTGCCGGTAATGGAGTTGTCAATGCAGCGACAACGCTGCTGCTGTCGGTTACGTTGCTGCTACCCTGATCGCCGGTGGTGCCAGGGCAAGAGGTGCCGCCGCCAGCATCGCTGCCAGCGGCCCCTTTGCACGCATCGGTACCCGTATCCGTAATAGCGCCGTCGGGGCTGGTAACGGTGTCCTGGATACTGTCAAGGTAACCGGGGCCGCAATGCTCGCCCTCCAAGCCGCCACTGCTGGTGGTTTCGTGGGCACTGACGCAGTGCCCGCCATCGTTATTGCCGCCCCAGCTTCCATCACCGCTGCAGGTGCCGCAGTTCCCTCCGCCGCCACTGCCGTTCCCATAGCTACCCCCCTCGCTGCTGTCCTGGCCGCCGCCGCTGGTGCCGCAGCTGCTACCGCCGTTGCTGCCTGTGTCATCTGCACCCACATCCACCATATCTGCGCCTCCACCCACATCTAAGCTCGCCCCGATACCCGTGGATCGGTAGCTTCCCCATGAGGACGGGGAAGGAGATGAGGGACCGACGGAAGTCGGTACCAAGATGCTGTCGCACGGCAGCAACCCGCATAACTCCCCGGACCTTGCTGCATCCCCCTCGGAGTCCGCTGCTCCTCCTGACGAGAACACTGGTTCCTCCCTCTCCGCGGCCTCCACAGACTTGCTGCAAGCGCTGTTCGCTCTACTGGGTCTAGGTGAACCAGCCGATGCCACCAGATCTGCCACCGTGGCACCCTCCTGCTGGTCCTCTCCAAACAGCTTCCTGCCTGCCCTGGCGCTGGGAGGTAAGGAGTGCGGCCGCAACCTCAGCTGCCCTCGAGGCGGCGGTGACGGCAGGGGCGACGGCGGCGGTGCTTGTGGGCTAAAGAAGTGTGGAGCAGCACATAGCCTACTGCCGGCAGCCAGGCGACGGCAGGGAGTGGTGGCGGCTGACATGGGTGCACGGCAGCGGGCAGCGGCTGCTGGTGTCGTCATCGTTATTTTTGATGGCGACAAGGTTACGTCCAGGTTGCGGTCCAGCTTGGGTCCAGGAAGCGTGTAGGCCGTTTCGAAGCTGCAGCGGTCCTTACGAGGACAGGAGGACTGCGAGGCCTGGGCGGGACTCCTATCACTGTTCGTAACGTCGGCATGACCCACATCGGAATTGCTGAAGACGTAGGTGACAGCCGCAGCATCAGGAAAGGGGATCGAATGCTCCAAACTGTCACTGGAAGCCTCCGAGCGGTGGGGTTGCTGTGTGGGGAGTTTCAAAGGGGTTGTGGCTTATGGGTGAAGCGCCAGGGAGTTGTGTTGGGAGCAAACAACTTTCGTACATGTCCCTAGGTTCTTACCTGTTGGCTAGGGCTAACAGTGAAGGGGGCCATCGGTAAGTAAAAGTCGTCTACGTCCATGTCGGGAGGACATGGTAGGTACACATCGCCAACGCCGCAAGCCTGGAGAAGGATTGCAATGGACTGGGTGTTGGAGTACTGGGTGCGACAACATAGCGTACTAGTATACATAGCACCGTGCTTGCCCCGGGCTCTCCTAGCAGCTGCGGCAAGACCACGGTTACCTGCTGCATCGGCAATGCCTCGCCATCCAAGTCGGCAGGAACGGTGTCTTGCCGCATGTTTTCGCATCTGTGATTTAACGGATGTATGTAAATACTAGAGGTTTAGGTTGGTGTGGGGAACACTAACAGGACGGCCATGTTGAAAGACATGACAGCTGACTTTTGCAGACGTGACCTAGCGCCAAGACAGGATACTACCTTTACCAGATAACAACTCCACAACATACATCACGTAAACGCTGTCTATGTCGGATTACTGTGGATAGGGGACACACGTTGCGGAGACAAGCTCGACAGCTTTCCGCGCTTACCGATGAGGATGCTTGTACGCAAGGCCTAGGATTAACACAAGGACGAACCCCAGAAAGGAAAACACGGTGAGCAGGTCCATGTTGAGCAGGGCAGGGTCCTTGACTAGCAGACTAGCTACAAGCGGTTAAAGGTTCTCCGAGCCCGAAACAAACGGAAAGCTTTGGTGTTTGATGGAGCACTCCATGTTTCAACAAGTTGTCGGAACTCAGAAATCGAACCTTGCAGTTGTTTGCGAGGCAATGCGATGACGCCGATGAGCCATGCGAGGGCCTTATCGTCCTCCCCAACACAACACAGTGGACCGTCAAAAGCCCACCACCGCCTGACAGTTCTGAAGTTCAAGCGCACACCCCAAGAGAGACTGGGAGCTACTGGGAGGTGAAAACTTCTACACACCTGGTTGGGTATTCACGGAGCACGTGCAAGCAGGGGTACCGGTATGCCATACCAAGATGCAGGTTGAGGGCTGCATCCCGGTAAATCCCTCCCGGTAAATTTATTGTGCCATTCGTCCCGCATGCAGCCTGTCTCTACGTGCAGCAGACAGCGGAGTCCAATTCCTTTGCTACCTCGCTATTTTCGCAGCACTACACTATCTGCGTAACGCTGTGGCTGCAGGCAATCGAGCTACCACATTCTTCAACCTGAAAATCTGTATATTATCATGTTACACCTGGCAAGCAGCAGCGTAGCAATTGAAGTACCGGTACTCGAGTTCAACAAGCATCTGGGTTGGGTTGGGACAGCTGGGTTTGAGACTGCTAACAATGCAGGGGAATCCGCGCATCTTCTACTTTCGTGTATTAATGGTACGTGTGCGCTACCGGCTGACAGGAAATTGCTCCTGTGCACGGATGTATCCATCTAATGAAACCCTACCAAACCTATACAAGAGTTCTTTACCTAGCATGCAGAGAAGGGCTTAACATCATACAGCATGTAAACAATAAGGATAAATGGATTCCCTGTATTCATTTGCGGCCGGTACGGCCATTACGTAATTCCACGAAGGCGCAAGATAAGCCAAGTAGTTGTCTATTTGGCGCAGTGCTTTGAACGTGCTTACTGATTAAGCCCTTTCTATGGGCTTCACCTTTTGTGCCTGCAGCGAAGGAGAAGTTTCGGTCCCTACAGCTTGCAGCAATCGCAAAATGCCGCGAGTTCGACAGCCCTCGCCTGCTGAGATCTCCGCTCATCCGCGGGAGTTTGCGCTGCTGCGCCAAGTTGCGCCAGAGGGCGAGGTTGATGCAGAGGTGAGGTGGAATCTTCCATTGGCAACCGTCTTAGAAGCGAATAGCCCGTTAGTTCAGATACCGCTTCCCGGCAGTGGCTGGTATAATTCTATAAATCTGGGCGTGTCAGCCTGCTTGCCGAGTATCACGCACTCCATTGCATATTGATTGTGGGACTGTGGGACTGCTGTCCCTATGCTTCACATGTGTATCACTTCTGCCCATCTGTTTTATACTTGCGCGAATGGCAGGCACTGAAGGAGTACATCAAGCTCTATGGCGAGCCCGCCAAGGCCGTTGCAGAGGGTGGTGAGTAGTGGACGGGGATGCTCCTGGTGTTCCTTCTATTGGCGATGAGAGGCGTTATACCATAGCAGCTAACGGCAATAACTGGCATGCCACGGTAACAGCTACTACGCCATCGTTAACACCTGACATGCCACGTTCCTACACCACGACCGTACGAGCCTGCTTCTGGTCCTTGATTGCAAGCGCCTCACCTTAACCAATCATCTCTTGCTCCTCACCATCTTCCATTTATTCCCTGGCGTTAACACGCGCCATGCCGTACACCAACAGAGATCTCCTTCGAGGACTTCGCCGCCATGTTCAGCCGCAAGAGCGCCGAGGCCGTCACCGCCAACTGCATCGGCTACGCCGCACAGGACAAGTCGGGCGTGTTGGCCCCATACAGCTTTGACCGCCGCCCCGTTGGTCCCAAGGACGTGCGCATTCAGATCACGCACGCCGGCATCTGCCACAGCGACTTGCACCAGGTCAAGAACGAGTGGGGCGGCTCAGTCTATCCCATGGTTCCCGGGTAGGTACCGAGATCCAAAGCCGTCAAGCGCCATTGATGTTTTGACGCTCTAAGCGATGCTTGTGCTTTCTTCTGACAACTTGTCGAACGAATAATCATGCTTCTGTCACCCCCATTCACAGACACGAGATTGTGGGTATTGTGACGGAGGTGGGCTCTGAGGTTAGCTCCTTCAAGCCGGGTGACCGGGCGGGTGTGGGCTGCATGGTGGACTCGTGCGGCACCTGCGAGATGTGCGCCGCGCCGCGCTGCGAGGAGCAGTTCTGCCCCCGCTGCGTGTTCACGTACAACAGCAAGCACTACGATGGGACGCTGGCGCAGGTATGACGAGAGGGTCGCGAGCGGGGCGAGCGGTGACTGGAATGGGCAAAGGACGGATAGGGGCCGGGCAGATGTGGGTCGGGCGGGTTAACAGGGCAACGGGCCTATGGCGCTTCCCCGGAAGCATGGATTGAAAGGCATGTCCGCGCCCACCCTTTCCCTTTCCAGGGCGGCTACTCGAGTCACATCGTGGTGAAGGAGAGCTTCGTGCTGCGCCTGCCCGCCAACCTGCCCCTGGACGCTACCGCGCCGCTGCTGTGCGCGGGAATCACTGTGTACAGGTGTGCGGGCGGGGGGCGGGGGGCGGGAGCTTGGCGGAGGCGTGGGCTGCTAACTGGCTGGCTGCTGCGTGCTTTGGCGCGCCTGAGCTCATCACCCGTGTTCCCTTCACTTTCCATCCTGTGTCGTAACTGACACGATTGACACGATTCCTGGGCTTCCCGGTCCCATGCCCTTCCCCTCCCGCCCCTGCATGCAGCCCCATGAAGCACTTTGGGCTGGACAAGCCGGGCCTCAGGCTGGGGGTTGTGGGCCTGGGCGGCCTGGGACACATGGTGAGAGCAGGGGCTGGCGGGAAAGCAGGGAACGGCGGTGTGGTCCTCCGCCTGCGGTTTGGGTTGATATGTGTGATAGCCCACATAGGTCGTTGGTTACCACGGCCGGCTGATAGAGCGACCGGCTTTTTTCCTGTTTACGGTTCGGTATTGTGCCATGTGCTGGTACGTGCTGCTTCCTCACGCAATGTCCCGCCCCCGCCCCTGCGCCGCCCGCCCGCCCGCACGCCAGGCTGTCAAGATCGGCAAGGCCATGGGCATGCACGTGACCGTCATCTCGACCTCGGAGTCCAAGAGGGAGGAGGCGATCAAGGTGTGGCGGGCGCGGCCGACCCAGGGGTCACCCGGGCGACTGGGCTTACCCTTGTCCTGGTGTGTTGTGACGACACACTTCCGACATACACGCCACCGGACGTATGCTCCTAGTGACACGGTCTAAATCTTTCCGTCTTATGATAGGCCTGGTTGACTAGGGTGTTCTAAGGCTGGACTTGCCTCGGCTCAACACCACTGCAGGTTTTGGGCGCCGACGAGTTTCTTGTTTCCAAGGATGCCGAGGCGATGAAGGTAACCGCGGAAGAATGGGAGGACGGGATGGATTGCCTTTGTCTCGCCCGCATACTTCCTGCTTGCCTGGAGCCTCGTCCGCACAGCTGGACCCACGGTATCTCAACAGTTCTTGTGCTGTTCGTGATGCAGGCGTAGTAGGGTTTGCGGTTAGGGTTGGGTTGGTCATGATGCATGCGTTGCCTGGTTGGGGCAGCTGGGGTTTGCGCTTGCCTCTTCCTCTCGTGAAAATACCCCGCCTTTACCGGGAAGACTGTCCTCCTGGTCTGAACCCCTCTTTAAAACTCTCTCCTCTAAAATCTTCTCTCTTACCTTTCTCTCTACAGGCCGCCTCCAACTCCCTGCACGGCATCATTGACACCGTCAGCGCCAAGCATGATTTGGGGGCCCTGGCGGGTTTGCTCAAGCTGGAGGGCAGGCTGGTGCTGGTGGGGGTGCCCGACCAGCCGCTGGAGCTGCCCAGTTTCGCGCTCATCTTCAGTAAGTCGAGTGACGTGAGGGTGTACCAGGATTTGTGTTGCGAAGGCAGGGAAGATCTGTGACCAGGAGAACCAATCGGAAGGATTAGGCTGTTAGCCGGTAAAACCAAGTGCCGCCAATGTATGAAACTCACGTCCGGCTGCGCTCCCCCCTCCCAGAGCGCGCCATGGTGTCCGGCTCTCTGATCGGCGGCATCAAGGAGACCCAGGAGATGCTGGACTTCTGCGGCCAGCACGGCATCACCGCCACCATCGAGAAGATCCCAATCGAATATGTCAACACCGCGTACGAGCGCATGACGCGCAGCGACGTGCGGTACAGGTGGGGGTGCGCATGGGGGAGAGGGCAGGGGCGATTGGAGCTTGTGGGTTGGCTGGATGCTGAGTGTTTGGGGCAGGACGGTAAACAGCTGCGTATTGTGGGCACGGGCCCTGGGATGGGGAGAGTAAAAATTTTCCTCCGGCTGCCTTCCATATGACCCCCCTTGCCGTACTGCCCATCGCCTGTCGTACGCGCAGGTTCGTGATTGACATCCAGGGCTCGCTGGTGCTATGAGGTTTGGGGAGGTATGGGTTCCTCAATCCTGTGAGAGCTTGAGTGTATGTCTGTGGCAGCGAGATGCTTGTATCGCAGCAATGTGACTTATGTCTCGTGGCAGCAGCGGTTACAATCTGATTAAAGGACCACAAGAGGAAAGCCACGGTGCCTTTTCATATGCCTCATAAGAGGTGGGGTTATCCTTCCTAAAGCACGCGTGCTACAAATTTATCCGATGTGTTATGGTGAAGTAAACCTGGTGAAGTAATTAAAAAGATGAGTTTTTTTGACGCCAGCAGTGGCATGCTTTCCCAATGTTGGTGCGGAAGGGGGTTGTCATTTGTTTCGGCATATGCCGTGGACGACTGTTTTTTGTTATATTCTTCCTACCGCGTGATCTTCGCCGTAACAAGGCATGCTCCATCGACTCAATGCGAATGGGAGAATGCATGTAACCGAATCCAAATGCGGGCATGATACCGGTAATCTTCCAGTGGGCATCCAGTCAGAGCAGCCACAAGCCATCTTTGCATAACCTCAAGAAAGGGAAGGAGCTTTGGGCTCATTGCAGCGCAGCAATGCCTTCACGTGCCTAACACCTTTCGATCCCGTTCGGAGGGAATAGTCGTACGAAGGGGCCATATGTCACTGCAGCGAACAGTTGCATTCCGCGGTTGGACCAGGTTGGGAATATCTATCTAAAAGGTTATATCTAAAGGAATATCTATCGAAAGGTTGGGATCTAGGGCTGTCAGCCGGTCACCTCCATTACATATCGTAATGGTAATCCACCAAACTTCTTTAAAGGATTTATTATAAGCTGTTCGTGTGCCTCCAGGAATAGGGCTATTAGCTAAATGTGAAAACAGCAGCCAAGGACGTGGAATTGTTGTACGGCACGTGGCATTGCGCTTTACGTAATAAGTAATCCGGCACTGAAATGGCGTCATTTTAGGAGGTATAACACAGTGTTTGCGAATGGACGTAGGCCAACCTGTGTACTAGTTCATAACTTCGGTACTTGAAGTGCGTCGAAGTCTTCGACCCATCCGCCGCTTGTGCCGAACGTATAATGCCGCGCGTTCGACAGCCTTCGCCAGCTGAGATTTCCGCCCATCCGCGGGAGTTCGCTTTGTTACGCCAGATTGCTCCCGAAGGCGAAGCAGATTCCGAGGTGGGGTGAAGACCCTTTCTTGACGGACTTTTGGCCGTTACTGCCAGGGTTACAAGCCTTACAACTTTGCTGTAATGCCTCAAGACTTTGAAATCATCAGCTTATTATAATGTATCATATGCGATTCTGCGTTGCCAAGCAGTGATCGTCTGCTCTACCGGTACTAGCGCCCGAGCATTCCATGCCATCCTTCATCTACGACCGATATGTCTGTCATTCTACTACGGCCAAGTCTGGACCGTTATTGCATCATGCATGCAGGCACTCAAGGAGTATATCAAGCTCTATGGCGAGCCAGCGAAGGCCGTCGCGGAGGGCGGTGAGTACCGGTAGCAGAGGGGACGCCTTGGAGTGGCTCGATGGCCCTCTTCTCGCCTCTCGGGGCTAGAGGCGCCCCTTGATGGTCATGGTGCCACCTCAACAGGCATCAACACCAGCCAGGCGTTAGTACGGCACCACTGTGCCAGCAGCCCATCAATCCAGACGGCATCCGACAAAAGCGCCTCCAAAGCTTGGGCGCATGCATGTGCCCCGGCCCCAACCTGCCCGGCCAAACTTCTGCAGCATCCCATCACCACTTACCATTTTCCCCTCATTGGAAGCGCACAACAGCAGCCTGGCAATCGTTTCTTCCACTGCCTAACCACCTTCCCGCTATTGCCCATGTGCAAAATGCCGTACACCAACAGAGATCTCCTTCGAGGACTTCGCCGCCATGTTCAGCCGCAAGAGCGCCGAGGCTGTCACCACCAATTGCATCGGCTACGCCGCCCGCGACCAGTCGAGTGGACTGAGCCCCTTCAGCTTCAATCGCCGACCCACGGGTCCCAAGGACGTCCGCATTCAGATCACACATGTCGGCATCTGCCACAGCGACGTGCACGCCGTCAGGAACGAGTGGGGCGGCGCGGTATACCCCATGGTTCCCGGGTAGGTAGTGCGCTGCTGGGTTGTCAGCACGGGGCGTTGGTGCTGTCGTGCATACCCATTCGTGTCCGTACGTACCCGCAGGCACGAGATTGTGGGTATTGTGACGGAGGTGGGCTCTGAGGTTAGCTCCTTCAAGCCGGGTGACCGGGCGGGTGTGGGCTGCATGGTGGATTCGTGCGGCACCTGCGAGATGTGCGCCGCGCCGCGCTGCGAGGAGCAGTTCTGCCCCCGCTTCGTTCTGACGTACAACGGCAAGGACTACAATGGAGAGCCGACACAGGTGCGTGGGCTGGGTGGGCGGGATTGCTGACAGTTAGCCAGGGGTTGGGATGGGGGAATGTGGAATAGGAGGAACTGGGTCGTGACATGGGTCCGTCTAGGAGACTTGAAGAGCCTTTCCTCGAACGGCGCCCACCCTTCCCCTGTTGCAACCCATGCTGACGCCTTATCCCTCAGTCACTTAGTTGTTTCCTCTTTACCCTTCCCCTGGCCAGGGCGGCTACTCGAGTCACATCGTGGTGAAGGAGAGCTTCGTGCTGCGCCTGCCCGCCAACCTGCCCCTGGACGCTACCGCGCCGCTGCTGTGCGCGGGCATCACTGTGTACAGGTGTGCGGGCGGGGGGCGGGGGGCGGGAGCTTGGCGTAGGCGTGGGCTGCTAACTGGCTGGCTGCTGCGTGGTTTGGCGCGCCTGAGCTCATCACCCGTGTTCCCTTCACTTTCCATCCTGTGTCGTAACTGACACGATTGACACGATTTCCTGGGCTTCCCGGTCCCATGCCCTTCCCCTCCCGTCCCTGCATGCAGCCCCATGAAGCACTTTGGGCTGGACAAGCCGGGCCTCAGGCTGGGGGTTGTGGGCCTGGGCGGCCTGGGACACATGGTGAGAGCAGCGGCTGGCGGGAAAGCAGGGAACGGCGGTGTGGTTCTTCACCTGCGGTTTGGGTTGGTTTGTTAGGTAGTTCGTTGGTTACCACGGCCGGCTGGTAGGGCAAACGGCTTCTTTCCTGTTTACGGTTCGGTATTGTGCCATGTGCTGGTACGTGCTGCTTCCTCACGCTGTGCCCCGCCCCTGCGCCGCCCGCCCGCACGCCAGGCTGTTAAGATCGGCAAGGCCATGGGCATGCACGTGACCGTCATCTCGACCTCGGAGTCCAAGAGGGAGGAGGCGATCAAGGTGTGGCGGGCGCGGCCGACCCAGGGGTCATCCGGGCAAGAGGATGAGCTAGGGGTTCATACTATTCCGCATGCGCACGTTTTTTTCCAACACCGTGAACATTTGGCGATTCACAGGTAGAATAACGAGCTGCGCATGTACTCTTTGCCTTTTCTTCACGACAGTTCTCCAAACAACTCATGCCTGGAATCGTCTCTGCAGGTGCTGGGCGCTGACGACTTTATTGTGTCAAAGAATGACGAGGCGATGAAGGTAACTTAGGGGCACATGGGTTCGCACTGCTGTCCAAATTTGCAGCTATCGCACGCATCCGTGCCATGCAGCGTGTCTGCGGCCCTTGCCCTCTACCCATGCTACTCATTCAGCAGGGCCCTTCCACATCCCATCATAAGTTTCACGGTTGTTACGGAGCCCTTCCCTCCTTCCTTCCTACCGCAGGCCGCCTCCAACTCCCTGCACGGCATCATTGACACCGTCAGCGCCAAGCATGATTTGGGGGCCCTGGCGGGTTTGCTCAAGCTGGAGGGCAGGCTGGTTCTCGTGGGGGCGCCTGACAAGCCGCTGGAGCTGCCCAGTTTCGCACTCATCTTCAGTAGGTGCTGGGTAGATAGGGAGGGGCTGAACGATACCGGTCGTTTCCAGGGCACAGGAAGAGAGGTCCGCCCCAGAAGCCTTCGCTACAGGTGAAAGCTCTTCCTACCTTCCTCATGGGCCTTGTTATGGGATGCGTGAGCTGTAAGATACGCCATGTTTTCGACAGCCCGCTTTGCTTCCACGCCGGCCCCCCTCCCAGAGCGCGCCATGGTGTCCGGCTCTCTGATCGGCGGCATCAAGGAGACGCAGGAGATGCTGGACTTCTGCGGCCAGCACGGCATCACCGCCACCATCGAGAAGATCCCAATCGAATATGTCAACACCGCGTACGAGCGCATGACGCGCAGCGACGTGCGGTACAGGTGGGGGTGCGCATAGGGGGGGGGAGGGCAGGGGGGATTGGAGCTTGTGGGTTGGTACGGCACACAAGCAACCATTTGATGTGGAAGTGTGGAGTGGGGTCCATGCACAGACTTATCATGCGGGTGTGCTTTGCAAGGGATTGGGCATGGAGGGTTTGTCCCCAAGAACGCAGCGGTCGTCATTGCGGCCCCTTCCCTTTCCCACGATACGGTAATGAAACGCTTGTTGGGGATTGCTCCACCTTGCGCAGGTTCGTGATCGACATCCAAAGCTCGCTGGTGCTGTAAAAGTGCTGACAATGCTGAAGGCATGGGCATGGCTGATGGGTCCAGCGGCATCCCAGCTACCGTTCTGATGCAGGAGTTTCCTAGGAAGTTATTGCAAGAGTGATACGCTATCGATTATGGCGGTCTTTCACTCTAGGTGTATGTCAGACCCATGGGTCCATAGTTCAGGCAGGTGGAAAATTTGCGTCCTTTACTACTAGTAAGGCCCGCCTTCGGCGGGAGCTGCCCGTAGCTCGCGGGAGGGAGGTGATGTCGAGGACATGCGGTTGCACGCATGCATGTAGGGCGCGAGGATGCAGAAGACTGCTTAAAGCACAACAGGAATGGCAGCGATTGTCGCCAAAGCTGCTAGACGGGTAGGAAGCACGAACGGCTTGTGAAAGCCAAAGAAAAGCACAGGCATATACCGGTAGGTGGTGGTGTGCAAAACGGGCGACGCACAGGGAAGGGCTTCGGAAGAACACTTGTCCTCCAGAAAGCAACGGATCTGCGTACACACTAGGTGAAGACCTGTCCAATGCTTAACGACGGGATGTGGCGTACACGCACGCAACACGCTCGGGCTCTGCTACTCCTGAAGCCCAAGTAAGCAAGTAAAGCATCTGTGACAGCATCTTAGTTGGCAACAAACCAATTCATGGCTACAAATATTTATATATGCTCCAAAGCCGAGTGATGGCCGTACATGCCGTGCCAGTTACCGGCACCCACATGCGCATGCTTACCTTTCCAGCTGTCTGTGCTCAAGTGCGCAGACATCCTCCCATCCTGCCATGACAGCTCCCATGACTGCCCTTCCCAACCACCTGCGCCCAACCATGCATGAACTCCGACGCGTGAATGCATGGCCCCTCCTTCTCCGCCCCTCGCGAATGACCCCGTCCCCGAACCTGCCTTTTCACCTAGTTCCCTCCTTGGATCACCACCAGGCAACAGTGTGCACGCTCATGCACTGGGCATGCACCGCCACAATACCAAAGTAATGGCTTCCCGCGCATGCAGCCTTCGCCTTTACCGCCCATGCATGAAGGCATCCCTGCCCTGATAGTCACTGACACCCACCTGCACATGCATCCTCGCCTCTCTCGGCGATCATCCAGTCGTTCTGCCAGGAACAGGCCCCCGTGCGTGCAAGATCACCCTTCTCCCATCCGTGTCCATGGCACCCATCCGGGCATCAGCGCCGATTCTGAATTCATAACCACCTGCCCCAAAAACTGGCACCGTTACATGTATGCATACTCATCATGCACGATTACTGGCTGCCATGCGGGTACGCAGACCCATTGTGCCCGTTTACCGTGGTGATGTACGCATGCATCCCTGCCCTGCCCGAGTACCGACACCAATGCGTGCGTGCATAAAACCCCGCCCTGCTCAGCTACACTCGGCCATGCCATCAGCGGCCACGCCCTGCCCGAAAGCTGACACATGCATGTGCATGCAGGAGTGAAGGCGTTGGAGGTAAGGGCCAGGGGCTCGCGGGTAAGGACAGCCGAGGGCATTTGGGGGCAGGCACTGCACATGAAAGGGCACCGAGGCCCACGGCAGGCCGCATGAGGCCCGCAAATTCGCTGCACAGGAAGCACACAGGGAAGGGCAGCTCTATGGTTTATGGTATTGGGAGGCAGCCGCCACCGGGGAAGGGCAGGGGACACAAGCGCCCCCGCACAGTCGCATGGGCAGGGCATGGGGAGACAGGTCGGTACAGCGCGGGGAAGGGCGTCCTGCACTGGGAAGAACTTACACTGCGAGGCAGGCTCTGCACGGTGAAGGGCACGGACACGAACGCATTGCACGGTGAAGGGCAGGGGTAGCCATGCCCAGCGCGGGTAACAGCCATTTTACTCGAGGGACTTGCAATGACAGGATGGAGTAGGTGCCGTGCTTGGAGCGGAAGGGCGTGGGTAGATTACTTGGCGTTTTGAAGAGCGACGGTCTACGTCTACACTGAAAGGTGACCCATTCAAGGACGTGGCGTACCCGCATCACGTTCGAGCACCGCTATTCCCGAAACCCAAGCAAAGACGGCTACTGCACACCTCAACCAAGCCAAATCCTACGCGACTGCTAGCCAACATCGTGTCTCCATGCACTGACGACCACATTTCCTTGAACCGCGACAACGGATCTAGCGCCTTTACAAAATCCGCTTAAACGTCTTTCGCACGTGCTTTCCATGGTGCTCGCCTTGAAGGATCGAAGAGCGACTATCTTCTTAGGCTCTAACAGGCAAGGTTTTGGCTATAAAACAATCCCCACGTCCGTCTCCAACCGCATTTGCGAAGTAAAGGTGTCAGCAGGGCAAAGCAACGCGGTGCTGAGTTTGGTAAGAAAGTGCGCGATAATCCATGTTCTGTCACCTACATGTCTGGATCCATATAAATTGAAGTATAATAGCCCAGAGATGGGGCGATCGTCGAGCTAGAAAGCATCCAGACAAGCCGACGATGAACGACCGCCGACGCGACAAGTTACTGATTAATCGAACCACAGAGCGCTTTTTCTTTCTTGTCTCTCTTACCACTTCGCTCGTTAACCTATTTGTTTCCTGTAGTAGCGACGTGCTATAGCGACGCGATGCGCTGAAGCGAACGAACTTGAACATAGAACGACCCATGGGACTATGGGAAGGACGAGCACGGATATTCGCCTCCCTGGAGCGTTACGCGGAATGCCTATGCTTCCCTATGCTTCGCTCCTCCGAAACCGTATATACTACGTATACTGTTTCTTCGTTTCGAGCTACGGGGATGCTGCATGTTCACTGGAGCAAACCAGAAACGCTCATTGTAATAAGTAACTGCAAATTGAGTCCATTGTTACCTCAAATCGGTGAAAATGTAAGGAAGTTCACCCTCTTTACACCCTGTGCAAGTGTTGTGCAAGCGTGTTTGCAGTATGACGACTAACATACCTCCCATGTTACTTTACAACAGGCTCATGGCCTTTGATAGCGAAGTGATACATTACTTGTAGTAAGGAGATCACAAAACTCACTTTCTGCAACACAACTGTCGTTACACAACTACGCCGCAAGCATTGCATGACAGTCTTGAAGCATCCTACATGGGCTGTCTACGAGTGGGCAGGCCACGGCCCCAATCACAAGGGAACAACCAGCCACATCCTGTCCTGCGCTTGTTCGGTCAGCTGCCATGCGTCATGGACGCCGTCACTCTGTAGAGCAGTACTACAATGCATCTGCAAGCTGGATGTGCAGGCTATATAAACGGCCATTCCTATGCTCGAGTGGGACAACAGGTAAAGGTTACACAACAAGTGAAGTGCAGGTCCAGATGGTACTAATATTTCCACCCCTTCCATGTTACAGCCTTCACAAAGAGCGATACCCAACGTTTGGAGTTACCTCACCGGCAACGGCACATGAGCTGTAGCCTGGTCGCGAATCATGCTGTCAGTCGTCTGTGGAACGCTCCGCCAGTTCGCTTTCCATGAGCCGCGGATTTTTCAGCCGAGCAGGAAATGCGCTGGAAGAGGCAGGCATGAAAGTTAGGGTGCATTCAATATGCAATAGTCGAGCATTAAAACGTCGGACTGTACATATTATGGCCCTGCTAACTGCCTGCGAATGCTATGCCTGAATGCCAACAACTCTCGGTAGAAGTACAAATGGTATGCCTTCCTTCACCCGCAGGTAATTGCCCTTGCTAGCCAAACGGCAGGAAAGGTGAAGTAGCCACTCTGCCTGTTACGCAGGCGCACACCGCAGCCGAGGTATCCGTTGCGCGTACCATCCAGGATACGCGTGTCAACAGCATCCCTCAAAGCGGGTGCTTACCTTTGCCGCATGGCCGCGTTGGCGCGCGGTATGCTCCACCACCACACAACCAGAGCATGCTCTGGCGCTTGGGGCTCGTGCGAGCAGCGCCGGCACATTAGATTGCTGCAAAAGCAAACCAGCGGTGCAGGGCAATAGTGGAATACAGGGCAGACTTGGAGCATGGACCCGCATGCGAGGAAGGAAGGCTATATCCGGCATCAACATCACCAAGTCCTAAAATGATTAACCAAAGAAAGACCATAATCCTGTTCGTACGGTATATATCCCTCCTGTTACACCCGCTCTCAATGCTATATCACGTCTTTAGCCAGACGATGACGTTGCACGGTCGTCGTCGCTACCACCATAGGCGTCCACGCTGTGCCCTGAAGGTGACGCCCCTCGCTGCTGTCGCCGCGCCTCGGACAACTGCTGCTCGAGAAGGAAGATCCGCTCACGAAGTGTCAGCTGCTGCTCCTCAAGTTGAGCAATGTATGCCGCCTGGGAGGCCAGCTTCCGCTTAGCCTGCGGCGGGTAGTTAGCTTCCTCGTCGACCGTGTGCGGCGGCGCTTCTGCCTCCTGCACAGAGATATCCACCTCTGGTGAAGAATCAGCGCCTGGCAAGTCGAGATCGTCATCCCCTCCGCAAGCGTTGTCGTAGAAGGACCCCAGAAAATCAAGACCGGCTGAAGGGTAGGGAGGAGGGATAACAACAGTTGAGGGAGAGAAAGTACACCACAGGGCTAGAAAAACCTCGGGCAGGCAACAGGAGGAGGGCCAGGGTCAGTTGGGTGTGCACCGCACCCCTAACGCATAAAAGCCCAGCAGAACGAGATCCCAACCTCACGCTCTTCAGCCCAAGGAACATAAAGCATACCTGCTGCTGCAAGTTGGACAGCCTCCTTGTCTGCGTTGCCGTAGCTGTTCTTCCACAACTGCTCTCCGCTCCCCGGCACCGCACTTGGAGTGATAGCGTGGAGCGCTCCCTGGTTTTCCTGCGCCTTGCGACTCGAACCTGCAAAGCGCCAACAAGACAGCGTACGAATTAAGACAAAGAATGGGACATATAATCAAAAAGGACAATCCTTCTAATACCGGTAAAGGAAAGCGTAGCTGTTATATCTGCGCAAGGCAAGACGTCCGGGCAGCTCAATTATTACTGCTTAATCTCCATACGGTAAAACGAAGTAAACATAATGATTGCGGCGCTGGCAACTGTGGCTTGCTCACCTGGTGCTGACAGCAAGAAGCCATGCCGGTTATCGGGCGCCCTTGGTGCAGTCCGTGGCGTACATCCCGGAGAACTTGATACTCCTTGCGGCCCTTGAAAGCACAGGTTCGAGGGCAGGGAAAACCTCAGCGCACGGTCGCGGCGAAAGGGAAGGAAAGGGTGCACCCTGTGACTGGTCCTTGGAATACCTTGGAAATGACGCCGGGCCTGCCTTGCGTTGTCCTGACGTAGTTGATGCAACACAGGCTGCTGTTGGGCCTGAGGCGCAGCGAAGGTATCGAACTTCCGCTTGGCCGGGGCTTGAGGGTTGTGGGACTTGAAAGCACTTTGCGACCGTCCATGGCCAGCAAAATAGTAACCGTGAGACTGTCGCGCATGGAGAGGTGGACCCCGCTGGAGGTGCATTTGCGTCTGTCTCGCGTAAGGGTCCACAACATTATAGCCGGGGTTGAAAGGCCCAAACCCACCCTGCAAAGCCCCAAAATGAGGCGGATAAAGGTTTCCGTCCATCCCAAGGATGTCTACTGCCATGCCCCAGGGGAAGGGCAGCCTTGTGGGTGGCGAATCTGGTGATGAGCTGACGGTATAGACCTATTATAACTGACACGTATTGGCAACTAGTATAAGCGGATAGACTTTAGAATAACTCGATACCTTTGTTAGAAGATGCGGAGGTTTTCATAGGAGTTATGCCGGAAAGCTTCCCTGGAGCACGGGCGTTTGCCATCTACCTGCTGCTGCCTTTCAGACGTATATTCTTAGGTGTCTCTTCCTAACATGTGAAGAGGCATTCATTGATGCCATCGTGAGGGTGCATGGCCCTGCAAACGTCGACTAACGGTTGGTCTGGCAGGCAAGCCTTTTTCTGCCGTTTCCCCATAGGCGAAGATATGTAAGATTGTTTGCAGGTTAGTGACGACAGCTACCGATTTAAGCCATAGTCAGCACGCTGACGAAGCGCGTGTAACAAAATGTTCGGCTTTGGGAGGGGAGAAGCACCCGGGCTTCGCAAGAAGGCCGCAAGATGTACTAGAGACGCCGTGGCACTGAGGTACCGAGCATATATCGTGGTTATGCTCTGTACCCGGGCATACCAGCGCGTCACCGCAATTGATCCCACTCCCCGTTTGCTTACTTCAGCGGCGTCATCCCTGGACGTGTAAAAGTGTTTTGCTTCCGTTCAGCACAGCTCAACCCCCGAGCTCGGATCTTTTGTGTGCCGAGCGTATGCACATTTGGCGTGGCATGTTGACCTCCACATTACCACAGTGTCTGAACACATGCCGTTGCCAAAGCCTCCAGCCAAGTCGAAATGGTCGTGCTCAACAGGCACATGTTCCAAGAGCACAACCGCTCTCCACTGCGGCCTGCAATCACTGCAGTTTGTAGAAGGTCTAGAGACAAGGTCCTAAAGCATGAACTCCCTCGGTTGGGGTCGCATGCAGGTGAGCGAAACATGGCCCCAGCTAGCCTGCTATACACTGCCCGGACTCCACAGCTATGTAGGCGCTGCCTGCTCGAGACCCACTAACGGTGCATACACCCTTGGCGGGCCCTCACCACTTCATCAAAAAACATCAGAACATACAACCTTGGCGGCGTCATCCCAAGCTTCATTCATTAAGTTTCACGGCCTCGCTATGTGGTTATGCATGGCTAAGAAAACTGGCCGCGAGCAGGAACGCACCGTCCATTTCCCACCCCGGACGAGCCGTCATCTACCAGCGCATAAAGCGCACCGATGGCCCCAGCCCCATGGATTGCATGAAAGAGATCATCTCCAAACGCACGCCGTACACTTGCACGCACCTGTACACGGACAGCTACCGTACGCACAAGAGGGGCTTGTCGCGACCTGCCATGCCTCGCTTCGTACCGGCACAATAAGGAAAACCGTGTCAAGTGGCATTCGGTCATGTGCACGTGTCCTACTACCCACCAGCTTGCGCATACGACTCCTAGACATGGCGGGGTTCCTATGGATGCCACTCCTTGCGATGTGACACAGTTGTGCAGCTTCCGTGCTGCTCGCTGCAGCTCTGCGTCGTTATACAAAGTTGCTGTTGCCACTGCCGATGCTCCCACTGCCCGCGGCGGCCGTGCCAGACCGCAGGGGCAGCGCTGCCGAGCCCATCGCACCCAACAGGCTCCCCCCGGGGTCAACCTGGGGTGGGGTTTGATGCCATCAGGAGCCAAGGTAGTGAATCCGGCAAGGTAGGGATGTTGGTCCAGGCGCGCGTGTGAGTAGTGCTACAGCCGCATCAGCAATCAGCAATCAGCACAGTCGTCATGTTTCCCAGTCCCTCCCCTCCCCTCTTCCGGCCCCACCTGCGGCAGCACGTAGCCGTTCCCCAGCTTCCTCCTCCGCGTCGGCAGCACCCACGCCAGCCACCACCACCTGCCGTGCACGTCAAACGTCTCCCGCCAGTTGGCCCCCGCGCCCAGGTGGTAGGGGTTCACCCAGCGCCGGCCCGCCGCGCGCGCCTCCGCCTCGCGGCTGCTGTTGTCCAGGTAGTCTATGGTGCCCTGCCCCGTCAGGACGAGCCACACGTGCCAGCCCAGCAGCGCCGACAGCGCCAGCCACACGGAGGCGGACAGCACGAACCTGAGGCGGGGGAGCAGGGGCGAGCGACGAGGGGGCGAGCGACGGGGGGTTAGGGGAAGTGAAGGCACAGGGTGCAAAGCAGGCATGAAGCCTCAAAACGCATGCCCCTCAAGCCCCGGCCCGCCTCACATGAAGAATGGCAGCATCCCCGCTCCGCCCGGCTCATCCAGCTTGAGCAGCCCGGGCACGTAGGCCCAGTGCACGGCTGCCGAGTAGGCGGCGCCCACCCACATGTAAAGCAGGTAGAGCACGAAGAAGCGGTAGTTGTAGAAGCCCACGCAGTTGGCCATCCACACGCAGTGGTGGTCCTGGGGGCGAGCAGCAGGAGGACGAGGGGGAGGGAGAGAGGGAGGAGGAAAGGGCTGAAGGAGGGGTTGAGGGGGATGGGTAGTGGCGGGGGTGGAGGGGGGGCTTGCGGTCCTGGTGTTGCTCCTGACTCCCCACTGCTGCTCCCCTACTCGCAGGCACCAGGAGGCAGAGAAGCAGGAGCACTCGCTCAGGGGCTCCCATGCCGGCCTTATCGGCGGCATGTGATGGCAGCACCCCACCCCAAGTCGGCATCACTGCGGTGCAGTCACCAGCACAGCACAGGTGCAGCGCCCAGGCACACCGGTGACGGTACAGCTGCAAGAGCCCACACTGGCGCAGTAAGGCAGCTGCAGCTGCTGCAACGCACCGACACCCAGCAGCTACTTGTTCCCGCCCGCCCTACCATCTTCAATACGCATCTGCGTTGCATGGACACAGCACAGTCGCAGGAAGGGAGGAGGGATGATGTGCGCAAAGGTCAGCGCGCAGAGGGACCCAAACAGCTCGGTCAGCTTGGTCAGAAGGCGCAAGGAGCACAGACCTCAGAGCGTAGACCCTTGCTACCCAGAGCCCCAGCTATGGACTCACGGTAAGCAGCAGAACCCATGGATGACTGAGCACCCTCACGCACACCCATACTTAGACATCTGGGACGTTATCATCTTCTGGTATGCTACGGTCACGGTCAGTACTCAGTGCGGCACAACCTACCTGACCCCCACCCACGCAGCCCTGCCCGCACCTGTTGCACACGCTGCAATGGTGCGCCAGCGGCGGCTTCCCGCGGTTGCACTTGCGGCACCAGCGCCAGCTGTGCGTCATGGCCAGCTGCAGCGCCTGAGACCAGGGGAGTAGAAGGGGGAAGAAACTGACGAGCTGTACGGCAAGGCTTCACGATGGGGAGGAGGGTAACTGTTTACGGGTTGCAGGCCGCAGGCACGGCCCCGACAGGTGCGGATGCGACGGGAAGAGCGCTGTCGCCATGACGTTAATAGCGCGGCCGTGTCCCCTTCTTCTATTCTTCCTAATTCGCCATTGCGATGCTGGATTGGGGCTTTCCTGGCTCAAGTCCACCTGCTCATGCACCTCAGTCGTGGTTCCAGGGCTGGTGAGGGTGCAGTGCGCCTGGTTCCAAATCACGTTGAATAGCAGCCATAACGCCCATAGCGTGTGCAGCGCGGCAGCAGCTGAGCCGCTGCGGGATACGATCTGCGGGGTTGGGTGCGTGAATGTATGGGGATGGGTGAGTTAGGGCCAGTTTTCGGGTCCGTAATCCGTGCCCCTTCATCCTCCCTGCGTAGTACTTTCATCTGCAGGCCAGGAGCCCCAAGTAGTGACTTCTACCGCATATACATACGCGTGAGACGATGAAACTGAAGAATGAGTACACGTCCAGAAGCACCAGGCCAACAGCCGCGACCGCTAGGAAAGGCTCTATGTACTTGATACAGCGATCCACACGGTCCATGCATGACGACATGCAGCTTTCAAAGCTGTTTTGGATGGAGCGTGTTGCGCGCCCCATCGCTGCCACCTCCCACTTTGTCTATTGAGATCAAAGCAGAACATAAAACAAGTAAATAAAATGTGAAACTAAAATTATGATATGTGCAGTTCACATCCTCCTAATGCCACTTGAAACCTTTCAGGGCTGCTAGCCGTTACCAGATACCAACCTATTCAATTATATTCTTGCGATGGGGCTGCCTTTCGGTGTCGCCAGGTTAAGCAGGTTCCATGGGTTGTACGGGACGCATCTCTCCGAGCACTTTATTAGTTAGCAGACGATCGCGTTTGTCCGTTCCAGGATCGGCCACCCCCATTGCTCAGGATCTTCCTCGACTAGCATATATTGCACTTAAAGATAGCTCGATAGTGCAGGTCGGAGCCACCTATATCGCCCGTCCCGACAAAGCGACAGGTCGTTGTGCCGACACTTAGCTTGACGCCTCTATTTTTGCGCATAACTTCAATCAAACTGATTGCCGTAAACATGAGGTGCCTATCAGCGCCAACGACGTCAGGACGCTGTGGTCGCTTGGACGCACCGCAATTGCACCGCTTGCCTGTCCCGTTTCGTGCAAGCTCAACCGCAGCTCGACGCGCCCAGGATACTAAATTACGCGCAGCTGCGGTTTCATCACCTCAGGAGCCTCATTTACAGCGGCAAGAGGAACACAGCAGCCCTAGCAGCTTGCAGCATGCTTCGCTCCTTCATGGCTTGGGCAGCGTTGGCGAAGTGAGCGCCACACATCTGCCGTGGCTCCTACGTCTAGCTCACGTTCGAGCAAAGACTTCTGGCGGAGACTCCAGCGAAGCTCTTCAGGTCCGTCAGTCGCTGCCATCCCTGCCCTCGCTCCCTCCTCCACCACACACTACCACAAAACCAACTGCTAACCCGTCAGCCCCCTCCCAAACCCACAACTAGGAAAGAAACGCCCGCCTCCTCCCCCGCTGCCCCTCAGGCCTCCTCCCGCGGTCTGGCCGCCTGGTCCGCCTCCCTCTCCCGCGGCCTGCTGCCCGACGACTCCACGCTGCTGCAGCTGGTGGCGGAGGGAGACGACTTCGCCGCCGCCTGCGCCGACGCCCCCCTGGAGCGGCTGGCGTGGCCGGAGGAGCCGCTGCGGACCATGATGATCCGGGCCATGGCCAAGCTGGGGGTGGGCAGGTGCGTGAGGCGGGGGTGGGGTGGGGAGAGGGGAGGGCGGGGAGAGGGGTATGGAGGTGCGGGAGGGGGGGGGGGCGGCAGAGGAAGGGGACAGCACGAGTAGCGAGGACGTGGGCTCAAAACGTTAAGACAGTAACCTACGTTTACGAACCTAGTCTCGCCAACTGCGGCTTCCCAGACCCTTGCTTCTAACTGCGCGCCCGAATCCCTCTAACTGCGCTACTCCTCCGCATCATCAGCCTCGTCCCTGCCGCCTCCACCCGACCCTCCCTCGCTCCTCCTCCTGCCCCTCCTGCTCCCCCCTTCCTCCAAAGGCTGTGTAAGAAGTACCCCGCTGTTCGCGACGCGCTGCTGAAGAGCCTGCTAGAGACGGTGGTGCGATACCACAAGATGCTGGCGGGCATCGAGGTAGGGGTGGGGGTTAGTTTTTTGATAGGGATACAGATTCCGCATTAGGCTGGATAGTTGGGTTAGTTGGATTAGGGATGGGGGAGGAGGGGCGGGTAGGAAGCACCGCTATCCGCCACCGTGCTGGGAGGGAGGGAAGTGGTGGGCAGCATGCCGTACGGGTGCAGCCCACGTAACTGTGCTGCTGCTGCTGCTGAGTATGCTGCTGACGGTACTGTTCCTGTTGTCGCGGCGGCGCTACCTCCCTTTCTCACCCCCCCTGCACTACCGCACGTACCCCCTTCCCCCCCTGCCCCCCTCCTGCCGTACAGGAGGAGCGCGAGGAGCGCGAGCGCGACATCCATGGCAATGTGTTTAAGACGGTGGCGGAGCTGAAGGTGGGGGCTGGGTGGGTGGGGTGTGGGTGGGTGTGTAAGGAAAACTGGCCGCGAGTCGGAACGTACTGTGATTGCCGGATTGTGATTGTGATTGGGGGTGAGGTGGGGTGGGGTGGGGGGCCTGCTTGCCGCAGCTGCTCTCCTGTATTGCCTGTATTGCCTGTATTGCCTCCAGTGCTCGCTGCTGAACACGTCCTACTGCTCCGGCGGCTACCAGTATTACCGTTGCTGCCACTGGTTTCCGACCAGCATGGTCGTTCCACCGCTGCTGGTTTTACTTATTCTGCTGCCAAAGCTGAAGCTGCTGCTGCTGCTCCCTCATTTGCTGCTGCTGCTTCCCACCTCGCCTGCACTGCTGCTGCTGCTCCCCGCCTCGCCTCCCTCATCCCGCTGCTGCTGCCCCTCCTCCTGTCACGCAGGCGGAGGAGGATGCTCGGCGGGCTGCCACTCGGGGGGGTGGCAAGGTGGGGTCCGGGGGAGGGGGGTGAGGGGCACGTGGGGGTGGGGGGTTGAAGGGGATGAAGGACAGCTGCGGTTGCCTTCAAAGCAGCAGCAGCAGCAGCAGCAGCAGGGAGTGCTGCCGCCCGGGTCAGGAGCTCAAGGGTAGCCGTTGCCAGCCGTTTGCCTGTCCGCAGCACCGCTCGCCTTCTCACTTCGCTCCTCGCTCCGAAACAACATTGCTCACGTTGCTCCTGCTCCTGCTCCTGCTCCTGCTCCCCCTGCTCCGCCGCAGTCCTCCCACGCGCACGCCCCCGCAGTGCTCTCCCCCGCGGAGGCCGCACAGGCCCGGCTGCGGGCGGCAGTCGCCTCCGCCACCGCAGCGGGGGCCGCCCCGGATAAGGTAGCGGGGAGGCGGGAGGATAGAGGGGAGGAGGACCCAGAGGGGAACACCCGGGGGCACAGGCGGACGTGCGATAGGTGATGGGATCAGGGGAGGGGTGCTCTGGGAACTATGAGGCGTTGGGACGGTGAGCGTCTTGCTTGGTACCGATTCCAGTGCTGCACCTCTTTATCTTTATCTTATTGTTCCACGCCCCCTTCCCATCCTCCCTCCACCCCAGGCCCTCCCTTTGTATGGTGGCACTCCTCATTCACCCATTGTTTTGCCCTAACTTGCGGTTTCCTCAGATATGGTTTATTCCGACCCCCCTCCCCTCCCCTCCCAGGCCACCGCCTTCGCGCTGGTGAAGGAGCTGTACGGGCAGTGGCTGGCCCCGGTGGAGACGCTGGGCAGGGCGGGGCGCGCGTTCGAGGGGCTGGAGGCGCTGCTGGGGGCGGACGGGTTCGACCTGGAGGTGGGGGGGGGGGAGGAGGAGGACTGGGGTGGGGGGGGGGGGAGGACTGGGATGGTGGGCAGCTGCTTGGGAGGGGGCTAGTTGGAGGGGGCGGAGGAAAGGGAAGGGTCTTTCGGCAAGTGGGTGTGAAAATCACATCCCAGTCCCGCGCGCGCCCCCTCTGCCTCTGCCGCCTGCCGACCCACGGGTCACACCTGCCTCCCCTCCCCTCCAGGGCTCCATTTGGAAGCGGCAGGGCTGGTCCCAGCTGGACGAGCTGCGTCGCAAGCTGGAGGACCTGCGGGAGCTGCGGGACCTGGTGCGCAGCCTGGGGCGGGGGGGCGGCTGGGGGCCGCTGCGGCGCGCGCCGGTGCAGTTCCTGGACCTGAACGCCCGGCCGGGACTGCTGCGGACCATTCTGGAGGCGCAGGAGACGCGCGGGCTGACGCGCTCGGACGACATCTCGCGCCTGCTGCCCGCTGAGGCGGCGGTGCTGGCCAGGGGGAGGCAGGTGGGTGGGGTGGGGGCAGGGAGGTGGCGGGAGGGAGGGAGGGAAGAAGAGGCAGGGAGAGAGGTAGGGGGTCAGGCGGGTCACTGCGTGCCGTGGATGGCCCCCATCCACCAGCTCACCTGCACCTCTGTACTCTGTACCTCACCCCTCCGTCCCCCCCTCCCCCCCCTCCCAACCTCATCCCTCCCCCCCAGGTTCGTCAAGCCAAGCTGCTGTTCTACGCTCGTCTGGCTGAGAAGGCGCTGCAGACCTACGAGCGGGACGGATGGGGGGAGTACCCCACACAGGTGCACAGGGGCGGGTGAAGGGCTGGGGGGGAGGGGAAGACGATGTGAGAGGTGCACGTGTGTGTGTGGGGGGGGGGGGGCAGCAACAAGTCCTTGCAGGGTGGTCTGCTCCAACACACACAGCCCCTGGGCGGTCGAGGCCTACAGGGTGGCACCTCCGGGTGGCACCTCCGGGTGGCACCTCCCCTTCCCTCCTCCCAAACATTACGCACCCGCCGTCCTTCCACACCCAAGACCCTTCTCCTCTTCCCCCCTGCTCCCGCTGCCGCCCCCTCCCCCCTCCTCCCCCCAGATCAAGCCCGAGCGGCGCGAGATCCGCCCCACCGCGGACCGCGGCCCCATCCTGCTGTGTGTGGACACCTCGGGTTCCATGAGGGGGGCGAGGGAGACGGTGGCAAAGGTGGGAGATGGGAGGGGGTAGGAGGGGAGCAGGCGGGGAGGAGACGGGAGGGGCGCCTGGGGCAGGAGCCCCTTTCTCAGTTCCCACTTACCCTGAAAACCCTGCCGCCGCTTACCCAGTTACCAGGCCCTAGCTCCGCAGTGCATTCACCCCTTACTTCCTCCTTTCCATCGCCCTCAGCCCCACCTCTCCCTCCCTCCCCCCAACCCCCTAACCCCCCACCTCCCCCACTCCTCCAGGCGCTCGCCCTGGAGTGCATGCGCGCCGCCCGGCAGCAGGAGCGCGGCTGCTACGTGTTCGCGTTCAGCGGCCCCCAGGAGGTGCGCGAGTTGGAGCTCAACATGGACGCGGCCTCGCTCAACAATCTGCTGGACTTCCTGGAGAAGGTGGGGGGCGGGGACAGGGGGGCAGGGGGGGGGTGACTTAGGAGGCTCTGGGACGACAGCGCGCGGCCGCCCCCTGGCTCCTGCTCCCTTGCCGCTTGTAGCGAGCCCTGCCCCGCCCTGCAGCCCCTGCCAGTCTCCTGGACACCAGACTGCCCCCCTCCCCCCCTCCCTACTACCCCTTCCTACTCCTTCCCACCCAGATGTTCAACGGCGGCTCCGACTTCAACGAGCCCGTCAAGCGCTGTCTGGACCGCCTGACGGACGCCAAGTGGGCCAACAGCGATGTGCTGCTGGTGTCGGGTGAGGGGGGGGCCCGGAAGGGGGAAGAGGGGGGGAGAGGAGGGGCGGGGGGATTGCATGTGTCGCCCGAGGTATCCCGTGGGGGCTCTGCCGCGGGGATTTGGTGCAATGGAGGGTGCTACTCAGTACTCACTGACACGTCCCCCTGCCCCTGCCCGGGCCACCCCAATGCGACACACCTACGGCACCTCGCATCTCGCTACAACCGCCTTCTAGCCCACAGGACGCCTCAAGCCTCAATCACCACCCCACCACCTCCCCCCTCCCTCCCCCCCCAGACGGCGAGCTGCGCCAGCCCGCCCCCGCCATCATGCGCAAGCTGGCTGGCGCCAAGGAGTCGCTGGGGCTGCGGGTGCACGGCCTGGTAGTGGGCTCGCCGGAGAAGAAGCGAGCCGACCCCGCGGTGCTGCGCGCGCTGTGCACCAACTACCTGCCCAACGGCAAAGTGGAGGTGGGTGAGGGGGTGGGGGGGTTGCGGGGGTGGAGGGGTGGGAGAGGGAGAGGGAGAGCGAGCTGCGTGGCCATGTCCCCATGTGTCTGCCGTGTGTGCAGGGTGCTGCACCCCTGCCCGCCACCCTTACCGCGGTTCCCTGCCCCTCCTCGCCTCCCCACCCCAGCCCATGCTAAGCCTCACGTGCATGGTTCTGTACTACCCCGGACCTTCCTTTGCGCTTCCCCCCTCATCCCGACCTTGCTCCTCCTGCCCTCATCCCTCCTCTCCCCTCTTCTCCTGCCCTGCCCCCCCTCCCTGCTCCCCTCTGGTCTCCGTTGCTTCACATCTTTTACTTGTTCTGCCCTCCCCCGCCCTCCAACACCCCCCTGCCGCAGGTGCTTGTGAGCACCTTCGAGAGCTGGGCCTCCGTGCAGGCGGACACCGCCCTCCAGCTGGACTGGGACGATGTGGCGGGCAACACGCGGCGCCGCCTGGCTAACCTGGCCAAGGAGAAGGAGCGGCAGCAGGAGGTGGGGTACAGGGGGTGGGGGGGTGGGGGGCGGAGGAGTGGAGGAGTGGAGGGAGGGGGTGAGACGGAGGTGGAGAGACAGGGAGAGTGGAGGGGAGGAGGGGTGGAGGGGGAGGCCGTCTGGAGAAGTGCCTGCTTGCGAATGAGGGCTGCTGCTGCTGCTGCATGGATGCTTGCACTGTTGGTATCCAGGGGTTAACAGGTGTTATGCAACGCGTACGCATACCTGTCTGACTCTGTCCCCTTCTCTCCCATGCGTTCCCTCTTCCCACCTGTCGCCCCTCCCCCGTACGACGAGAATGTCAGCAGTCGTACCCTCCAGGCCTCCACCATCCTTGGCCCTGACTTCTTCCTCTCCCCCCCTGCCTCACCTCCCCGCCCCCCTCCCCCCTCCTTCCCCCCTCCCCCCAGGCCCGGCGCAAGAAGGTGGAGGCCAGGTCCGACGTGTCCCGCACCGGGGTGCTACCCACGCGGGGGACAGCGAAGAAGTTCTAAAACCCTGTAGGGGGCCGCTCTAGGGGGACAGTCCTCTGGGTTTTGATGAGCCATCTTTGCTGGCCGGGGGAGGAGAGGGGCGTAGTGGGGGCCACGGCGGGAGACCACCTACCGCGAAGGGCGAGGAGAGAAGTGAAGTAAATAAATAACGGCAGTAGTCAAGGGGTGGTAGGATGTGGGGGAGGCGGGGGCAAGGGCCCCAACCAGGGATGTGGGGTGTACGTTGGCCATCACGGACGATGGGGGGTGGCGGGAAAGGGAGGCAGGCAGGCAGTTTGCGGGTGCATGTTGTTGTATATTAGCCGGGGCAATACAGCAGGGGAGGGGTTAAAAGACGAGCTGCAGGGAAGGGGGGGGGTCTGCATGCTGCATGGGAGCTGGGGAACGCGTGGACCTGGTAATTGGCGCAGGGGGGAGTGGTTGTGGAGGGGAGTAGGGCACGGTATTTGAGACGGCTGCTGCTGGCGGGGGGGGGGGCTTCGCAAGGGAGACGAGACGTGAAGGGGCACCCCAGCACTAGACCTTGGGTGCAGAGGCACAGCAGTTGAAAGTGGCCTCACCACCTAGCTACCGGTACACACAGCAATCGATGACATGACAGCGCACCTATCGTACATTGCCCAGTGGCATACATGTCGTACACACTGCCCTGCCTTAAGCGGTACAGTGCTTAAGCAATTGGGGTGGCCGTAAAAACGTTTCCTACATGACCGCCCCAGCCCCAATGTCCCCCGACTAATAATGGAAGACGCCCTGACATCGGCTCATGGCCGTCACTTTGCAACGCTCCTCACCCAGCCAACACCTAGCAACGGCAACAGCAGCCACCCAACAGCAGCTAGAACCGGTATGCAACGACCATCACCACAGGCTTTCCCGTCATCACCCAACCACCAACCACCACAACTCATTTCAAAACCGTACAGATACGCGCATCTGCTCATCACCCCAGCTACCGTACACACTATGCACACCCCAGAAAGCCAATGAAGTGAGGCCATTTCACACATCCCGCCAGCATCACGCGCCCACCAGTGGTTCAGCGACACGCACCACACGCACCACACTCTGGAGCTATAGCGTTCAAACACCAGCACGACCAAACCTGATGGTGGGCCAGCGCTCCTTGAATGCCATGTGAACACGCATATGCAGTGAACCTCCACACCAGCAGGCGTAGCTGCGCACTTCCAGTAAGCGCTAACCAAGCTCACACACCACACACACCACAGGGCTGTGCCCAGCAGCAGCTGCTGACCCATGGGTCACCAAGGCGCTAGCATGCACCCTGTGGTTGCTACTGCCAGTATATCCCACCACCCCTTCCTCCCGCTACTCCCTCCCTACCTCCCGGGTGGTTTCTGCTTCCAACACCCTCCCCTGCATCTTGCTACCTCCTCAACCCCAACCTCTTCCCATCGCCCCCTCCTCCTCAGGGGTGCCTAGCCCTGGTTGTTCCCACTATGATTCCCACGATGGCATACGCGATGGAGGCGAGGCAGGCGGCCAGGGCGGCTCGGCGCACGTGTCGCCCCGGCAGGCAGCAGGGCAGCAGCACTGAGATGAGCCAGAACATGGGGTTGATGAAGCCTGGGAGCAGGGGAGGGGAGAGGAGGGAGGAGGGAGCAGAGAGGAGGTGGGAGGGGGGAGCAGGGAGGAGGAGAGGGGAGGAGGGGTGAGGGGGGTGGGAGGTGCGGGAGGCGGTGAGGGGGGACGAGGAGGGTGCTGACAGATGAGGACCTGGGAACGGATGGTGGGTTGAGTGTTCGCATCGTACAGGGCATGCATGCGCCCTCGGTGCTTCCTCGGCTCCACCCACGCCGTCATCAAGAGCTGGAAACCGAAGAAGCTCAGTCCTAGGCTACATTGCATGTTTGCATCACATAACGGACGGCTCATATCTTTCCCCTAACAATAGCCTGAACATGTGCAACAAGCCCCCTGCAGCAAGCACACTCTTCCCCCCCAGGCACTCACCAAACGCAAAGGTAAGCCAGGCGCAACACGCGAAGCGGTTATCCCGCGTTGCGTCATCCGGGCCCCACACCGGGTGTTGCGTGATGTACGACACCCTATCTCCCAACACCGGGATCCCTATCACCGGCTCGCCCTGCTGCTGCCCCTGCCCCTGCCCCTGCCCCTGCTGTTGCGGGTACGGCTGGCCTTGTTGCGGGTAGTACGGCGGAGGCTGTGTCGTACCAGGCGGTGCCCCGGCGGCTCCGGCGGGTGGGATGTTGGGGTAGGCGCCCTCGGGGCCGGCGGGGTAGGGCGCTGCGGTGGGGTAGCCGCCCGGGTAGAGCGAGGGCTGCTGTTGTTGGTCGGGGTAACGGGGTTTGGTGTCGCCGGGGGCTTCTACGTCGGGACCGCCGGGGACCTGAGGGAGGAGCGGGGTTTGGGTGGGGGAAGGGGCGGGAGGAGGTTAGGAGAGCGTGAGGTGGAGGTGGTGGTGGTGGTGGCTATCTTGAGAGTCGCCGAGAGCAGGGCCGCGAAAGAGTGACCCGTGGGTCACTTTGCAGTCCGAGCGGACCCATTCCATCCAATGCAGCGATGCCAAGGATTGCAACTGTAACGCAAGGTCACGAGGGCTGTTAGGCAACGCGCTTCGGAAGCCGAAACTGGTATCTTCACCCGAAGACGAGTGCATGCACGAGTACATGCACAGTCTAACGGACATGTATGACAGACGAGTGGGTTCCTTGCGACCCAAGGGTCAGCTGCGGAGCACGTCTGCCATCTACGAAGGCCAAAGTAAGCCACAAAGCCCTTAAGCTGCTGCCAATTGCAGCCACTGTCATCCAAATCTTATTTGAAATGAACGTGTTACGCTTAGGCGAGGACCAAGACGAAAGCCCATGTCATGTGGCTTCACATGACCCACACAGCAGCAGAGGCCGCTCCGCACCTTTGGATACCCCGGTGGAATCTTGTCCATGGCTCACGTAGGAACAAAGGACGACAGTTAAAAGAGCTTTAGGGGACACTACTCGGTGTTGTGCAAAAAGGAGGCAAGAGGCAGGCGGCGGAGTGTGACAACGGAAGAAGCTGTCAGAAGCGCAGCGTTCCAAAGCGCGGAACAGAGCCGGATTACGAAATTAACACTGCCGGCAATTGGAATTACGTTATTATGTTCAGGAAGAAATGGGAACAACGCTGGGAAGTAAGTAAGAAAGGCAGGCCACAATCCAGACGTAGGGGCGGTTACCACGGACGTCATCGGTCGGCATCGGGCCCTCTTCACGCGCAGCAAACAAGGAACAACCTGAGACAGCTCTTGTATATCTACACAGCGGAATACTACATGTATTCTGCTACAAGGCTCATTGCATTCCCCTTCCTCAAGTTGTCCCTCCATACGAAAGGCATTTTGTTGTGCAGCCGTGCCCCACACAGCAATCGGATTTGCTGTCGGCAATGGCAGCAGACCCACAATTAGATCGTGGGGAGCACAGTCAACCGCAATCGCAATCACACCCAGAGCCGCAGCCACAGCCGCAGGAGCAGTTAGAAGCAATGTCGCCGACAAAGACACCGAGCCAAGCAGCTGAAGGATCCGACGGATTCGAAGGTGGAAATGCAGGAATCCGCACGGACGGGTGGACGGAGATCGACGGACTACCTGACACTTTGGAGACGCAACAAGAGGAGCTTACGGAGAGGCAGGGCGATGGAGGAAAGAGCGCGGAACGCGAACAAGAACAACGACAGCATCACCCCAATGCACCGGACCCCACACTAGCCACAGCTGAAGAAGACGAAGTGCCTGCTGCTGCTGCTGCTGCTCATACCCCTGTTCTGGATCCCCGCCATTCCCCTCCGCAGCAGCAGCAGCACCCGCAGCAGCAACACAACAGTTCTGCGCACCCACCGCCGCAGCACTCACCAACCGATCCCTCCCCCTTCTCCAGCCGCTCCTCCGCCCCTCGCTCACCTCGCACGCCCGCACCCGCCTCGCCCGCCTCCGCCAACCGCCCCCCGCCTGCTGCGCCACCCACCGGCCCCCCCAGCAACAACAGCAACCTCCTCCACCACCGACCCACTACCCCACACAATCCCCCTCACGCAACCCCGACGGCATCCCCAACCACCACCACCACCACCACCAATGCGGCTGGCGCCGCCGCCGCCACCTCTAACAACGTTACCGACGGCGCGCCCGCATCCGACCCTAAGGGCAGCAGCGGCGGTGTCGGCGAGCGACCAGGCCCCCCCGCCTCCGCCTCCGCCACCAAGTCCTCATCCTCAACCGGTGGGGAGAGCGCCTCCAGATCTAAAGCGGTAGCCGCAGCAGCCGACGGCCGTGGAGGTGCTAGCAGCGGCGGTGGCGGTGGCGGTGGTGGCGGTCTTCCGCAGCTGCCTAGCCCCAGCCCCAGCCCTCGGCCCCGTCCCAGCCCCGCCCCGAGTTCTGGCGTCTGGAGTCTGCATTCGGGACTGAGACGCAGAGGCGGCGGCATCGGCGGCGATGGCGTGTCGGGCGGCCGACCCACGGGTCTGTCCGGTGCCGATGCCGCTCGCGGCAGCGCTAATGAGGACGGTGTGGATGGGGAGGAGGAGGAGGAGGAGGAGAACGACGATGGGGATGCGTACGGCGATGCCCTGGATTACGATCTGAATCTGGATTTCGGGCTGGGAATCATAGCCATGGATTCGCTCACCGGCATCATGCGTCCGGACGAGGAAGAGGAGGAGGCTCAGGAGATGAGGAAGATGGCACGGAAGGGAACGGGGCTGGGAAAGGCCGAGGCAGCGGCGCCGACGCCGCCGCCAGCTCTGGCAGTGGAAGGGGCGGCAGCGGCGGCGGCAGCGGCGGCAGCGGCAGCGGCGGGAGAGGGTGCAGGAGAAGGGCAGCGGGGTGAGACCGAGGGGGAGGAGGCAGCGGCGGCGGCTGAGGCGGAGGAGGCGGAGGAGGAGGCGGCTGAGAGGGCTGCGGAGGCGGTACTCGGGTGCCTGGAGGTGCCCGCAGGTGAGGGTGGGAGGGAGAAGGAAGGAGAGATCAGGGTAGAATAGTCTTTGCTGTTACCGTTATGCTGTCTTGTATGCATGCGTCAGCTTCCCTTTGCATGTGCTCTACCGGTAATGGGAAATAGCTTCGCTCTCCTCGCCTAGTCCTGGAGCACCCCACTCACCGGGGCCCTTCCTTCCCCCTCCCACCCAGGCGGCCCCTCCGCCGTGCTGGCCGAGGCGGTGGTGGAGCTGCGGGAGGGCTTCACCGACCTGCCGCAACAGCTGTACGAGCTGGGGGTAAGCACGACGGCATGCGTGTGTTTTGACACGTTTGAGCCCCCCCCCCAGGGCACCAAAGCTCGTGTCAAAGTAGTACGGCAGTGGGTGGTCCACTGCGTGTGCCAACGCCCCCAACTGTCGCACCGCATAAAACATCCTCTTGCCGCCCCCGGGCCTGCACCTTATTCCCCTGCAATAAAGCTAAACCCGTGCCACTCCTCCTTACCTCCTCACTTCTAACATCTCTGCCCCTCGCCCCATCTCCTTACCTCCACTCGCACACCAGGAGGAGGGTCGCGAGGCGCAGGCCACGGAGCAGCAGCGGCGCAGGGTGGGTTACCGTAGTTGGGCAGCTGAGAGGGGGCGGAGAGGAGGGAGCGGCGAAGAGGCAAGGAGAGGAAATAGCGTATTGAAAACGGCCAACCGGAAGCACGAACCCACAGCCCCCCTCTCTCCCTCTCTCTCCCCCCCCCTGCCGCGCTCCCTCAGTTCGTGGGCCGGCTGATGGGGCTGCGGCTCTTCCGCCGTGTGCTAGGTCCGCGGGGGCTGCTGCTGCGGGACAAGCTCTCCTTCCTGCTGGGTACGACAATGATGTGGTGAGTACGACAGGGGGGGAGTGTGTACGGCGGGGTGTATGGGGTGCGGGTTTGGGTATCATTGGACGCAAGAGTCATGGCAGGATGTGGTGACGCGGGTGGCAACATGGTGCTTCCCTCACCCCTCACCGCGCCCCTTCCCCACCTGCCCCCTTACCCCGCCCGCCGCCCCGCCCTCTTCCCCCCCAGGACCTGCGCCTTCTGGTTGGGCCGCTCGCCCACCTCCTTCTACTGGCTGTACGGCGGCCTGGGTGCCGTACTGATGGCAGCCCGGTGGGCGCTGTACTGGTCGCGCAAGTGGCACTACTACCTGGTGAGGGAGGGGGGGGGGTTAAATAAGGAAGCTTAGGGGGGTGAGGGAGGGGACAGGGAGGGGAGGGCTCTCTGCGTCGTTTCACCTACTTTCCTCCCCTTCTGTGTACTATATTGCTTATGTGCTTCATTTCCAGCATCATCCTACCTACTCTCCCCTCCTTGCTCCCTCGCCCCTCTCCCCTCGTCCCTCCCGCCCCCTCCCGCCCCGCCCCCAGTTCGACTTCTGTTACTACGCCAACCTGCTGCTGGTGCTGCAGCTGTGGGTGCTGCCGCGCTGGGCGCTGCTGGCAAAGGTGCGGCAGGGGGGGCTAGGGCGTAGGTGGGGGGGCTGGGTGGGGGTATGGGAGGAGCAGGAGGGGCCCGGAGGAGGGGGAAACGAACCGTGTGGCCAGGGCATCAGGCTAGGTGAATACCTGCATGGGAGGTGGGGAGGGTTAGGGCACAGGAGTTGTCAGGGGCAGGAGCGGGCAGGAGGACAGGTGCACCCCTTCCTTTCCCGCGCCTCCCTGCTGTTCAGCCCCCCCACCTCCTCCCCTCTCACCTCCTCTCCGCCCCCCCCGCCCCCCCAGGTTACCTTTTCTTACACCACAGGTCCGCTGGCCTGGTCCATCCTCACCTTCCGTAACTCCCTGGTCTTCCACGACCTGGACAAGGTGAGGGGGCTGGGGGGGGAGGGAGGAGAGAGGGGCGGCAACGGAGAGGGGGATCTGCAGGGGCCTTTCAACCTGTCTCTCTGCCTGCCTGCCGCCCTCCCAGTCTTCCCATTCACCTTCTCCCTCCCTGCCTGCCCCCCCCGCTGCCCCCTCCCAGGTGACCAGCCTCTTCCTGCACCTGGTACCCGCACTGGTGTCCTGGTCGCTCAGGTGGGGGCAGAGGAGGGAGGGAGGCGAGGGGGGCGGAGGGCAGTCCGGGCGTGTAGGCAGCGAGAAGGGCTGTGACCGTGCTAGGCAAGGCTCTACCCACCCCGGGGTCCCAGCGGGGGCGGGGGCGGGGGCGGGGCATACCGAGGGGCGTGTGGTGACGTACGCAGCACGAGGGCCCGGCACCGCGCCTTGAGCAAGCACGCGCGTGCAAGGCAGGTGGTCACCTCTGAGACACCCCTTTGCTCTCAACACGCCTCCTGCCGCCCTCGGACTCACCCCCTCACCCCCTCGCCCCCTCGCCCCACATTCGGAACGGCCGGTTTCCCTCTGACCCCCCATCATTATTCATCCCCATGCGGACAACACCCCCCCGGGGGGTGTTTCTAGGATAGTGTCTCCGAATGCGCTCAATGCATGAGTCGGGATTCGGGATTGGGACTCCGTTGTTGCACTTATATATAATCCCCCCCCGGGCTCCCCCCCCTCCGCAGGTGGCATGCGGACCCGCGCCGCTTCGGACCTCCCCAGGGCACAAGTGGGGAGGAACGGTACGGCAGGGTGGGGGGCGGGAGCTTTGCGGCACCCTCCTAGCCCCATTGCTTTGCCCAGCCTTGTGGTTTCCTTGTTTCCTGTGGTTTGGTGTTCGCTCTCTTAACTCCCCTCCCCCCTGTCCCTCCCTGCCCCGCCTCTCCCTCCCCAAGGTCCGCCTGGCACGCTGCGGGCTGGCGCTCCAGTGTACTGCTGCCCATGGCCTTCTACGTCGCCTGGGCGCTGGTGTACTACCTCAAGATATTCGTGCTATCAAGGTAGGTACGGCAAAGCAAATGTTGTACAAGCGATGTGCAGATAAGTCACAATGGTGTCATACAAGGCATACAGTTTAAGATGGAATATTTTATGAAGGGGTCGTACTTTGACGGCGCAGTACATGTACGAAGCTCCTCATTGGTGAGGGCATACGGAGGGCGGAAAGGCATGTGGATTTCCAATAATCCGATTGCTTCAGAACGACATACGACACACAGTACAGCATCAATCGCATGCATGGTTCCGAGTAGCAACGCCATGCTGAGACCCTCGCCGCACGTTTCGGGGCGTGTGTAATCACATACGGCATCCGCACCCACACGCAGGGCTAAGATCCAGCAGCGGGGCTACCGTACACTCTTCCAGTACGTCACCACGCAGAAAAAGGTACGGCAGCAACAATACCGGCATAGGGCCCACGCTGTGTTTGTTGCCGTACACGACACAAGCCACGTCACACGATACCGTGTCACCCCTCCACATCCCTCGCCCTCCATGCCCCACCCACCCCACCCCGGCGACAGGGCACCTTCCACGCTATCGCCCGGCGCATCCCGCCCCCTCTGCAGCCGCCCGTGTACCTCTTCCTGCACCTCTGCTTCTGCGCCACCACCTTCATGGTAGCGCTGCTGTGCTGGTACAGGTGGGGGGAAAGGAATTGCAATGTGTGTTGTGATAGTGGTACATGTAGCTGGGAAGCCCTGGGGGGGGCGAGGAGGGGGGCTGTGGAGGAAAAAGGGCTGGGGCTTGGGGGGTTTGGGAGGCGGGGGTGGGGGGGGACGCCATGAGCGTTGCGTTATCCCGTGGTAACGCACCATCGCAAATGTACCTTGTCCCTGCATCTCTTCCGCGAACGTGTTGTGACGCATGTGTTCCTCTGAAGCACACATGCGCCGCTCCACACCTCCAACACAAGTGCCCCCGCGTCAATGGCACATACCGTTCACATGCCCGACATGTCGCCATCCCCCCCCACACCCCGCATGTGTTTGCGTGCGGCGCCCCACCTCACCCGGCCCACCCAGCTTCTGGACACACACGCTGCTGCTGGCGGCGGTGGCGAGCGCCTCCATCTGGCACGGAGGCAGCTACTACTTCGAGGTGTTTGCGCGCAGGTGCGGCCGGGGGGCAGGGGGGGCGAGTGAGGGGACCGCGGGCGCGTGCACGTGCTACCACCCCAACTGGCCTAGCATGCTGACTGGATTTGCAAGGATACGCCTGTACGGACAATCCTGACGTATCACGAGCACACGACTTGTCGCACTTTCCATGTGAGGCGGCTGGTGAAGGGGCCCTCACTCCCTCGCATCACCGCTTACCCCTGCCCGTCTGTTACCCCTCTCTCGCACACGCATGCACAGGTACCACGAGCAGCTGATGCCGTCCACTGCGGCCGCCCGCTGAGAGGCTACGAGCGGTGGCGGGAGGGAGGGGCATGGTACATAGGGTGCTGAGGGGCTGTAGGCGCCTGTTGTGGTAGCCGTAGGATTATTAGGAAACAAGCTAAAGACGGTGTGCGTAGGCCGGGGGAGTAGGTTTAGTTGGCGAGATATCTGCATGTTGTGTGTGCAGGCAGGCGGAGTACATATAGCTAGTGAGAAGGTATGCATTTAGTGGCAAAGCGAAGTGTTGAGCATGGCTCCGACTATACATATGGTATAGGAGAGATGCCGCACGTATAGGAGAGATGCCGCACGGAGAGATGCCGTATGGAGCAACGCGCGCGCTGTAGGACATGCTTCATTACATTCAAAAAGGCCAGCACGTCAAGAGAAACAACCACACAGTAACCCACGACAATGAAATCACGTTTCCGCATGGCTCAACTAAAGGACCAACAAGGCACCTTAGAACCCCAACAGGGGCAGGCCCGTCGTAGGCATCCTTCTCAGAGGCTGGCCACCTATAAAGCAGCCGGTACTCGCGGCAACGCATACATAACACCCACCAGAGCTGGACAGCACTTTCCCACGCATCACAGGCGTTCACCTGCCAATATCCACAGCAGGCTTCTCCCATGCCTCGCCCAAGACTGCCCTACAATACCCGCCTTCCTCTCCCAGTAATACGTGGGCGGTACACGACTTCCGCACCTCCTTTACCTGCCATGCCAGGTTTGAATATCATAAATACAATACTCTGTCCCATCTTGGGATACCATACCTACCCATCCGCCCCAGTTGCAGTTCAGGATGTCTAGCCAGGAGCCTGGCGCATGTCAACATACCCCTCGCGCAAGTCTTACCGCAAACAATGATAACTTACTGGAGTCAAGGACGCAACGTCTTCAACGGCGCGGCGCATGTAGCCGCTTTATTCGCACGCTCTCGATGCCGCCTGGGCCTCACACAGTTTCACGGTAAACCCTCTCTCCTATTGGTACAATGTGGACGATAGGAGGCAGCTCCAGTTGCCACTGAGCCTAATACCCTAGTCTCACCCTGTAGGTTACCCCAGACGCTTAGTAAACCGCAAACCTGCATTCATCTGATTGCTAGACAAGTAAAGACCAAGTTAAGACTAGTGAGGAGCCGAGACAGCATCCCAAGCACACGGAACACATCACATACACGTCAAGTGCCAAGACGCCCCATAGGGACGCCGCAGAGTATAGGACAAGCGCAACAACATTCGTGACCGGCTGAACAGTGACTATAGAGCTCACATAACAAAATCCAGTCGGGTCAAAACTGCATGAGCGTATTGTCGCTGTCCGGGAGGCAACGCTTCAGTCATCCTCACACAGGTGCGGGGAAACAAGCAGTATCAAGGAGTCTCAAGCTGTGGCTGCCTCCTTACCCAAGCGCGTGGTGCTCTGTACAGAGTCGACAAAGAGTTAGGTTGTGCGCAACGAGCAAAAGCTGCCCGCTGAATCGCCTCAGTGCGGAGCACCAGAACAATGGTGACCAGCCTCCAGCGTAAAGGAAAATGTAAATTCAGACAGTTATCGCTGACAGACACACCGCTTGCAGGTTCACATATCTCTACGTGTCAAGACCCCAAAGGGCCCAACCTCCGCAAAGTCTTCCTATGTCGCCAAACCCACCTGTCCCTGCTCTTGCCGTTCGCCTGCCTTAGTAATTACTAGTAGGCTCCCATCCAATACGCCCCAACCCATTCCACGACACCGCTCCGGTACCCCCTCCCACCCCCGCCCATCAACGCACCCCCATCAGATTCCCTCTCCTTGCAGGTAAGGACATTCCTTGCCACCCCAATCCGCCATGGGAGCAGAGCAAGCCTCGTCCTCCTCCAGGCCACTATCACTCGACTCCATGTCCCCATCTTTATCGTAACCACCGTCATCGTCCATCTTGGCCAGAAGCGCCGCGGAATCCTCCGTCACAAACGAGTCGTCACCGCCAACCGAGTTGCATTCCTCACTCTCCGTGTCGTACATCTGGTGGTGCTGCTGGCGAAGGGCCAGCAGGAAACTGCTGATGGGGCTGTAGGCCAGCCCAGGGGGCACAGCAGCGCCTGCAGCCGCAGCGGCCACGACAGGCAGGGGCGAAAGCGCAGGACCAATAGGCGCGGCTGCTGCACCCATGATACACGGCAAGTTGGGTATGGGCACGTCCAGAGTTGTAGCCGCCAGCAGCAGCGTGACCTTGTAGGGATCCGCGTCTGAAGGCGGCCGGCGGTCCGTGTAGTAACCGCCCTGCTGCAGGACAGTCAAGCTGGGCACGACAATGGAGGCCTGTGCCGACCCGACAGCATGTGTAAATACCGAGGCGTTGGGCACGGCTAGACGTTCAAGCCTGCCGTCGTTGTAGGCAACCTGATGCTGGAGGTGGGCGGCTTGCAACCGCACTAGCTGCTGCTCTATAGCGCCGAGGCCGTGCGGCGCCTGCCGTGTAGTTGCAGAGCTGTATTTGAAGTGACAGCCCAGGGGCCGCTCGTGGGGAAGGGCGTCTGGCCGCCAGGATACCGCTGTGCCGTGGTCTTCGGCAACGCGCTGCAGCAGATAGCGACTTGTCCATAGGTCGTCGCCAAGGTCGACACCCGGCGATGGGCCAATTTTGTAGGAATGCAACCCGTCCAAGCTGTGCACATCCGCGCCCGTGACTTTTATACCAGCGTAGAGACAACAGCGCAGGTGTGAATCCGCGACAACCCTTGCTGCTTTTTGGCGCGACGCACCTGCGGCCATGAATGCGGGTGAAATGTGGCACCGGATGGGACATGAACGAGGACTAGTATTAATAGAGTACGACGACGAGCGAGGCCGCACCTTGCTGGTCTTTTGTAGGTGCGCCAAACGTGCTCTCCACATCGGCACGGCGCACGTCTGCAGCTGCAGCCGTGCTGAACTTCCCGCCATGACAGCTCTTGCTGATACCACCGCGCGCTCCGCTGCCAGAACTGCTTTTGCGGCGGCTACTGTTGCTGCAGCTGCTGCGGGATGAGGAGCGGCGGGGTCCCAGGGGCACTACCGTTGGATAAGCCGGGTGGATAACAGCGTACTCCTGCTCCGCAGCGAAAACCGGCTCCTCCTTCTCCGCATACTTGAGGACGTTCTCGCATGCAACGCGACTGTTGGACTCGCTAGGTTGCAGGACCGTAGCCGGCAGCCCAGCTTCTGTCGCAACCTACGTCGGGCACATAAACAAGCATAAGTTTGGTGCAAGTCAGCCAAGGAAATAAGGAACCATATCAAAGACAAGAAACAATGGTTACATAGGGAGCAAGCGAAAAAGCCACGTTTGCTTTCGGCTGGTCAGTGGGCTGCCCCCTACCTGAGAAGCATGGAAGGTGTCGCACAGCACCAGGATGTGGTCGCCGCCACGAAAGGGATCCCTAAAAATCTTGCGAGGTTTTAGGAAAAGTTCCAGGTTGGGCTCAGCGAGCTGGTTGCCGGGGTTGCTCTCCACGACCATGACCGGGGCCTCCTCAGGGCAGCTGGGCTTAGCCTCTAGGACCTTTGTTTTGCTGCGCAGCTGCCCCGTTGCGCCTACCAGCCAAATATACTCCGCCATGACCTGTGCGCAATACATCGCAATTTGAAGGCGGAAGCTCCATAATCCAGTAAAGAACACATGGACAGCACCTGCGACGGGACCTCCGGCGCCCGCATGTAGGCGGGCAAGGCACATGTTTCTGATGCGCTGTGGTTTGAAGAATCATCGGGGAAGCCGCCGCCTGAGCCCGCATAGCCAAAAGCCGCGAAGTCCATGGGATACCGTCCTAAAGCGTAATACAGAGGTTCTCAGTCCTTACAGATATATTGTTTACGTTGCTCCCAGTTCATTGAGCAACAAGCACTGAACTGTGCAGTGGATAGGGTTGCCGTAATGGAGGACAGGCTGCGGTACGAATTGACTAGCACTTTCACTAAAGGACAGGGGAGGAACAGCTTCACAACTTGCCAAAACTCTTGTTCTCTTTCCCTTTTCAGTGCCTGTAGCCAAGCAAGGGGCTTCAGGCAAATGTAACACACGTCCCGCGGGCCCATGGTAGCCTTGCGCATTGTTCGCAACCCCCCTTTCCATGGGGATCTCCACGAACCTGTTCTGTCAACACAGACCATCATAGACGCCGGGGTCCGTCACTTGCTAGACCCACATGCATGTTGCTGGCCAACACAGATGCCGAGGCAGCGACCAGCAGGCTGCTGACGTGCTAAGTGACTGTCCCTCTGCCGTGCTCCTTCTGCAAGCCAGGCGCTCGCTAACTAGCTATTTGGCCACTAATGCCTGGCGGTCCCTTTGAACGGCGAAACCACCGACCTGTTGCCTGAATTGCAGGCTGCGCCGCCCTCCAACACTGTCACTGCCAGATAGCATCTGGGAGCCAGCAGCACGCCAGGATTGAAACCCCTGGGGCTATGCCCTGCCGGAATGTCAGGCCAATGTGTGAAATCTGACTGTCGCTGATCCCAACCGCGATTGCCAGACCTCGCAAGCTGCTTGCTGGGACCGCATTAGCTGTTGCCTAGGGGCTCCCTACGGCGCATGTGAAGAAAAGGCCGCTCGGTTACCGCACCGGTACTAACATGCAGTAGCTAACCCGCACTGGCGGTTGCTTTGGTCCCAGAACTGATCGTACGCACTGCATGACCCGCTTCACCCTTTGTGAACAACTACGGTCCTCACAAGGAGCCTCCAACCATTACCAAATCCACATGCGGTCAGGTGCGGTCCATATTAACCCAACACCCTCTCGTGCCTGTTCCGTGTTCCTCTCCAGGGGTATCGTTACAAGCTGTCAAGCCCACAAGCAGAGGCGCATCCGTTCGGTGTTGCAAGCCAACACTACAAGGCGTCAACACCAGATGCCTCAACGCCGAATGCAGCTACTTAGCCGGCCCTGGGTGGCCGCCTCAATCACCACCCGCCCAAGAAGGACACAGCTTTCCAACAATCCAAAAGAGCAACTACTCTTAAGAGCCGTCTCACACACTGGCACTAAAACATCCACATCGAAAAAAAACGGTTGTACTATTTAAAAAAACCTGTGACCTGCCGAACCTGTGTCGTACACTCGTGCTGCTGTTTCTTCTCAGTTAAAAGGTAATAAGCAGGGGCGCCTCGCTCTACCTTATTCCGTTGACTCCAAACCCTGCGTCGTACACTCTCTCTAGCCTGCCCGGGAAACCTCATCATTGCCCTGCCCACAAGCCTTGCCGCTGAAAAGTACTGTTGTACACGGGGGGGTCATCCACAACGCCGCAAGGCCCGGCCTTCTCCACGCCCTCTTCGCTATCGCCTACAAGCCCTAACCACAACCAGCCTGAGCGTCGTCGCTTTAAGAACAATAAAAGGTACAGGCATGGAAACCCGGCAACGCCACAGCTCAATGCGCACATGTCCTGTGCCTCGAGGAGTTGTTAGTTACGGGCCGCCAGGTGCCATAACGAAAACTAATAATGGAAAGCGCGCAACAACCATACTCGACAATCCAAGGACCGCCGGATTTCGATTGCGCGTGGGGCCATGGGTCTGTAGAGGCCCCTTCCAACACATCTTTCCACCGCGCTCTGTATACGTGTATGTATAGCAACCTAGCTGCGCCACTCAGCCGCTCATGATGATGTGATACAACACATCCCATAACGCCACAGGCGGTTTTTCGTTTGTTGCCCCGCGAGTAACCGTCATGCCGTCATGCAACTGCACACGTGCGCAGGCACGCAGCACACATGCCTTGCAACGCTGCATGCAAGCGGTGTTGCCCTCGTGCACTTCCTGATACCGTCCGAATGCCTAAGCAGCGGCAGCAGTCCGTCCCAAGGGAAGACGTGTATTGATTCCCCGCTCCGCTGCCTGCCCTCGCCCACCTGAGGTGAGCTGCAGGGCTGCAATAGCACACAACACACGTCCACAGCAGTACAACAGCAACACAAACACAGTTATGGAAAGGGATTAGATCCCCTGCAAAGGCAGACCCCCCACGATCCCCTGTAAGCCCGCTCTGGCTACCGTACATGCAGCGCTTCTAGCACACCTCGTTCCCGCACCGCCTCTCGCCAAATTACCCTTACTTAGTAAGCCGGCTGGCTGACGGCTTCCCAGGACACATAAGGTCTCAACTTCTCGACCTTACAGCCACCGCCCTGCGGCCGCGCCAGCAGGCGATTTTAGGCCACTAGGCACGCCACCACCTGATGACCCATGGGTCCCCCGCAGCCCCCTCCACCGCCGCCGCCCTACGGCCGCGCCAGCAGGCTCTTGTATGTGAGGCAGGCCATGGCTGCCATGAGTGCCATCAGTGCAGCCGCAACCACCCGCACCACCCACAGCCGCACCGCGTGCAGCAGCCGAGCAGGCAGCGCAGGAGCAGCAGCGGCAGCAGCAGCAGCATGGAGAGGTGCCCGGGCAGCGGTAAAGCCCGCGGCATCAGGGCCCTGCGCAAATCCTGCAGTGTCTGCGGCTACTGGCCGGTATTGCTGCTGCTGCTGCTGCTGCTGCCGCTGCTGTTCTTGTTGCTGCTGTCGTCGCCGGCGGCGATGGAACAGCCCGGAGGAAAGTGCGCACCAAGCCCGGCCTGCGATGCCGCCAGCAGCAGGGGCGCCGCTCGCCCTGCTGCTGGAAGCACCGGCGCCACCGGCGGCATCTGACCAGCCGCCAGCGTCCGCGATGTCGCCGTCATCGTTGATCACATGGCCCGGGTGGGACTGCGGCGGCGTGGGCGGCCCCAGGAAGCTCAGCAGCCGGTGAGGCTGCCGCTGCTGGGGGTGAGGCTGATGGGGGTGTTGGGGGTGATGTCGTTGCAGCAGCAGCAGTGCGGCCTCCCGCGTGAGCAGCTCCCCTGAGATGCAGTCCGGCAGGTCCTCGATCTTGCACAGCTGCATGGGGGGAGGGGGGGAGGAGGGGGGGGGGGGGGGGGGCAGTGGGGACGCTGAATAACGCATCCTTTACAAGGTATACCTGGGTGCACAGGTGCTGTTGCCATGTCAAAAAGGGCACAGGATACCGGTATCCCCCCCCCTGTCATGCGCATGCTCATCCCCAGCACCCAGCTGCCAGCTGATCTCCTCACGCCGCCCCCGCTCCCCCGAAGCCCCCCCCCCGCCTACCTTGACCTTCTGCCGGGTTTCCACGGACAGCAGGTTCAGCACCGCCCCCAGGCCCATGCGCAGCCCCCGCGGCATGTCAGCCAGGTACATGGACTGCGGAGCGCGGGGAGGAGTGGGAGGGGGGTCAGAGACCATACCGAAACATAGAAAATCACATGTTGGGGCAAGACAATGGGGATTGGGAGCGGCAGGGTGCCACAAAGTAGATTGAGGTTGAGGTGGGGAGCGGTTGCGGTGGTTTGCGAGGTGGGTTACGAGGTCATAGCATAGGTCACAGGCGCCGGGCTGGGACCTAGTCCGCAAACAGGCGCTATAGGTGGGACGGCGGCAGGCGGCCGGTGGTCAGGGAAGAGGAAACGGCGCGAAGCAGGCGAAGGATGAAGGGTAGCCTGGCCAAACGCGCCCCCTTGCCTCTACTTACTAATCCTCCTCACCTCACCTCTCCTTACCCATCCCCAGCTCCCACCCCCACTTCTTCACTCACCCTCAACCGCCCGGGGTAGTGTCGTTGCACCACTCGAGCGAACTCCCGTATCAATGGCAACAGCCGCAAACCCTGTCGTACATTGGATCCAGATCCCACCACCAGCACCCGGATCCGATCGTCCAACCGCCCTCCCGCTGCGACAACCGCCGCCGCCGCTTCCGCCACAGCCGCCGCCGCTGATGCAGACGGTGCTACAGCCGCCTCCCTCCTTTCCTCTCCCTCCTCCATGTCCTCCTCCTCCTCTCCCACACGATCACCATCCGCACGGCTGAGAGCCACCACACCACCAGCACGTCTCCCCGCCCCTCCCCCTGCTTCCGAACGCCGGCTGCCACTGCTGCTGCCGCCTCCACCCCCTCCCCTCCCTCCTCCTCCGCCGCCTCCTCCTCCTCCTGCCATCAGAACCCGAGTGCCGTACTCCAGTTGTGACACGATCGCCGCGACGGTTTGTCTTCCCTCCCCCAGCGCGCAGCGCCCCACGGCTCGTGCCAGGTGCACATGCAGCCAGAGGGTTCCGTCGGGGTCGGGTCCCGCCCACCAGGTGACGTCCTCCCAGTCCTGAGGAAGGGGCGGAGGGGAAGGGGAAGGGGAAGGGAGGGCAGGGAAGGGAAGGGGAAGCGGGAGAAGACGCAGGGGGCTTTGCGCGGGGATGTCAGATGCGGCGTGGGGTGGGGTGGGGTTACTAGTGATCAACTCATCATAGGCGGTTATCTCTCCCCTCTCCCCCCCTCTCCCCCCCCCACCCACCTGCAGCTCCTGGCCTCTCATGAAGGGGTAGCTGCCCCGCCAGCTGGCACTGCTGGCAACGCGCACAGCGCTGCCCGCCACTGCGCGAACGGCATCAGCGGGCTTGCTGGCCTGGAGGAGGGAGGGAGGAGGGAGGAGGAGAGCAATGTGTTGAAAGAGGCTGACAAACAAGCCGACAAGAAGGGGGGAGGAGGAGAAGAAGAGGGGGGGTGGGGAAGAGAAAAACATCCAATGTGGGGTGTGATAGTGGTAAACTAGCTGACAAGCCCTGTAGGGAGGGAAAAACCGTAAGTCGAGCCGAAATCAAACCAGAGGAGACGGGGGAGGGAGGAGGCCCAGGGGGCGTGGGGGGCACGCGCTCTTAACAAGGACGGCGGGACGCGAGCGGGGGTAAGCGTGCGAGCAGGCCTGCGGGGCGGTGGTGGTGGTGGTCCTTTGCCCCATTTGCCTCCTTACCTACACCTCCTCCCGCCTAGTCCCTACCCTCCTCACCCCTTCCTTCCTTCCGCACCTCCCCTTCCCTCCTCTCCTATACCTCACTTATCCCTTCTCCCCCTAGCCCTGTCATACAGCTCGTCACTTCCCTCCTTATCTTCCCCCCCCCTCCCCCTCACCGCCAGCAGCCCCCCGTACAGCAGGTAGCGGGTGAGCTCCAGACCGTCCGGATCCAACCCGGCAGGCAGCGAGCGCACACCCTGCTGGGCTAGCACCTGGTGGAGGGGGCGGTGGGGTGGTGGGGGGGGGTGGGGGGGGGGAGGGGTGGAGATGACACGCGCACGTGAGGTAAGGGGTGCAGGGGAGCGCAGGGCCTTGATTCGCTTGGCGACGTGAGCAAGGCAGGAGGAGGAGTACGGGGATACCAACGGGATTGGAGGTAAACATGGAAGAGATGACACTGATGGTGCTGGCGATGAATGAATGGCTGGCTGGATGGGTGGAATGTATGCTGCCGATAAGTGGGCAGCATACTGGTAATGGCAGCTCCGTGGCAGGGATGTGCGACGCACGGCACTTCAGGAGTACGGCACTTCAGGAGTACGGCACTTCAGGAGTACGGCAGTGGTGACTCACATTCCTCAGGCAGCGCACCCAGGCCGCGTACTCCGGAGCCACCTCGGGGATCTGAATGAGGCCCCACTCCGCCCGGGGCACCGCGCGAGGCAGCGGCGGCGGTTGGTGACGAAACGTCGGCAGTACGGAAACAGCCGCCGCCGCCGCGAGCGGATCCACCTCACTCGCCGCCGCCGCCGCCGCAACATCCTCCACTGGCACCCCCGCCGCCGCGGCGGCGGCCGCCGCCGTCGCGCCGGCCAGTGGCAGCCCTCGTCCGCCGCCGCCGCGGGCGCAGACGCCGCCTGCGGCGCCACAGCGTCGCTTTCCGCTGCCCCCGCCCGCTAGGTACCTAATTAGGCGCACGGTTTTGATAACCGCTGCCGGCAGCAGGATGACGTGGGCTGCTTGTACGAGCACATCTCGTTTGCATCCGCGACCGATGCGTCGTTCGTTGAGGGCGAGGACGAGTGCGGCGGTTTCAACGGCGGCGGTTGGGCGCTTGGCGATGCGTCGACATGCGCCCAGTAGCAGCAGCTGGGTGGGGGCGATGAAGGTGGGGTTGGGGGGGAGGAGGAGTTTTGAGGGTGAGGAATTTGGGTTTGGAGTGCGCGTCGGAATATGGAACGGGAGGTGTGGGGCTGGAAGAGCAGCCGGGGTGGGGGGTGGGACTGGAGTGGAGGTGAGGTAAGCGGGATGGGGAAGGGGGATGGGGAAGCGGGAGGGCTGCGGCCTGGGACGGTGGGTCTAGGTTGATATTTGCGGTGAGGCGGGCGGTGGGGCGGGAATGGGGGTGGCTGCTGGTGCATTACCGGACGGGGAAGAGTGGGAACGGGGGCGTTGGTGAATCCAAATAGGTGCCGAGATCAAGTGCTTTAGGTATGGAGCTGCAAAGCATTAGCCAAGCGGGCTCAGCAGACCCTGACAGGAACAGGTAGCATGGGCAGGGGCGACCGAAGCAGCATTGGGACAGGATTAAGGGCCTTAATATGTAAACTTCCGTTGTTGGAAGCATATAACTGTTGTCGTGCAGTAGTGCAGGCGACAGGGAAAATTGCCCTGCCCCTCGTGCAACCACCCCGACACGCACGTGCAACACCAGCACGATGGCAAACGCCTTCTATTATGGCATCCTCGCGGGCAGTGTATCGTAACGATAAACAACCGCCCAAACGTAGCAATTGTGAGACGTGTATCAAGGCTTTTGGCTTTTGGCTCCTGCCACAATGAGGTCATGCTCCAAGGTTGCAAAGCAAGCGCCGACAACCGCAGTAGTCGCTATCGGAGCCGTACCTTGCCCAGTAATCCCCACATAGCGTTGTCCGTGGTATCGCCGAGAATGAACCCAGTTCAGGCCACCAGGCCCATGGCTAAGCTACACCGACACAGGCTTATAACAGTTCTCAGTATCAATGTACATAACCGTTAATATCTAGACAATGTATGTGTCCTGTGTGCGCTGTTCAATGCTATCAGTGCAAACGGCCTTCCGCAAGCAAGCAAACTTTGGAACCTTCTGCGATGGCAGGTATGAATGACTATAAGTGTTCCTTGCTTTCAATAGTATTGTATGAGCAACCTAAGCTCTGCAAAGGAGCTGTGTTTCGGGAGATCGTATGCGGACTGACGTGGATGGGTGTTGTACAGCAGCTTTCTTACTACCCATGAAGCCTATCGTTGCAAGCGTCGATATACTTGAAAGTCAACAGTATTACTAGTCCTTTATCTCTTGGACGCGTCGTAGCCGCTCGCTCTGGGCCACACGAAATGCACACTTTCGGCACAGCAGGGCTCTCCAGCCAACCGCAACAACATTTTAATCGTAAACCGGAGATACTAGGCAAGCCTAATAGACATGGGACAATGGCTGATAATGCTTCACGGCAGCAGCAGCGGCAGCAGCAGCAACAACAACAACAGCAACGACCAGAAAGAAAGCAAGGCTCGTCTCGAGCTCCTATCCCTATGGATCCAGTGGACAAGGCCCGACGCCAAATGGGCTACCGTAATAGCTGGCATCGCAAAGATGTCGACCTAGCATCGCAGGTGCGACGCCAATCGATGCGGGAACGAGCGATGCTTGCCTGAAACGAGAATTCCCGGCGGCTTACGCACGGCTAGCTACATTACTGGTGCTGACACGTATGCAGGGAAGGGACATTACTTAATCTTTGCACTAGTTGGCTAAATGGCAGCCTGTCAATGTCCATTCCTAATAAATTGCTAACCATGGCCAACCCCAGACTCCCTACCAGGGCCCCCTAGCATTTGATCCCGTGTTTCAGTATCATACTCCCTAAACTGTCCCTCAGGTTCGCTGGCCGGAGCCGCTGGCCCCCAACCCCTCGGTCGCCATCATTGGAGGCGGCATGTCAGGCCTCATGTGCGCCCAGGAGCTCGCCAGGCTGGGAATCAAGTGAGGAGGGACCTGCTGGAGTCTCATTTATACTCTTTACCTTTGCAATGCTAAACCCGCAACACGACACCTAACACCCAGTGTGGGTGTCTGGCTGGTGGGCGCAGCCCTACATCATAAACCCTCCCAAACACGCGCCGCGTTCGCTCCCTCCTTCCCTCCATCCATCCCTTCCCTACTTCCCTCCCCTTCCGCCCCCCCTCCCAGGAGCACTGTGTTCGACACCGGCAAGCACGGAGTGGGAGGCCGCATGGCCACTCGGGCCGGCGGGGAGGCCTCGCTGCGCTCCGGAACTGCATGCAGCCTGCGGCAGCCGGGCAAACCCGCCGACCAGCTGGGCGGCCTCAGGTGGGGTGGCAAGCACGGGGGGGTAGGGGTTAGGAGCAGTTAGGAGACGGGCGCTAGGAACTCAGGGAGGCGCGGCAACACAGGCGCGCATGCATGTGGGGGTTCAGGTGAGAGCTATACACCTGGCATGCGTCAAGATGCATAACAGCGGCAAGCCCTGGAGGTACCCATTGCGCCCCGCCTGCTGCCTGCTGCCTGCTGCCTGCTGCCTGCTGCCTGCTGCCTGCTGCCTGCTGCCTGCTGCCTGCTGCCTGCTGCCTGCTGCCTGCTGCCTGCTGCCTGCTGCCTGCTGAGTGGCCAACTTGATGGGACGCTAGCAGCAGCACACAACCCATCCGGGCAAACCCCATCGCAGTACCCCGGGGTTTACTCCTGCCCTCTAACTCCCGCCCCCCCCCCACCCTATGGTCTCCTATGGTCTGGTATGGTCTTTGACCCCCCACCCACAACACTCCCCAGGTTCGACCACGCGGCCCAGTTCTTCACCGTTACTGGTGAGAAGCGCTAGTCGAGGTCAGGAGGGTATAGCTGCCCCCTGCTCACCACGCAGCACGCCAGCCAGTTGCAGCGCATTAACACCATGCATGCAAAGGCGCAACCCGCCTTCCGTCCACCTCCATCACGCCCCCCATTCCACAACTCACCCAACCCAGTCCTCGCACCGCCTCACACCGTTTTTCCCCAACCCTCCAGACCCGCTCTTCCAGGCCCACGTGGACCGCTGGCTGGCGGCGGGTGCCGTACAGCTGTGGGAGGGCCCTGTGGGCTCCCTGCATGCGCCCTCGGGCGCCTTCCGACTGCTGCCGCCGCAGCCTCGCTACGTGGCATCTGGGGGCATGCGGGCACTGGCGCAGCGTCTGGCAGAGGAGGTGGCGCAGGAGGGGGGAGGAGGAGGAGGAGGAGCGGGTGGCAGGAGGAGAGAGGCGTTGGTGGAAATCAGACGGCCGGTGTGGGTGGGGAAGATGCAGGTGAGGAGGGGGGGAGTGAGGGGTAGCAGTGTGCGTGTGGGTGTGTTTTGTGCTGGGAGGGAAGGTGTAGGAGGTGTGCAGGGGCGGAATGAAGTGATTACTGTTGCCGACGGGAACCGATGAAGTGTGTCAAACGTTCCAGGCCGCGACTCCTGCCCCTTTACCAGTGCCTTCACCCTCTCGCAACCGTTTTCTTCTCGATTTCCCCGCCCGCTTTCCGCTTGGGACATTGGACTGGGATCCTAGTGCTTTTCGTCCCTTCCGCTCCTCTGCCCCTTCTTCCCAGGCTGTGGAGGGTCGCGGTTGGGAACTCCAGGGCGAGGGACGCAGCCAGGGAGTGTACGACGCAGTGGTGATCGCGCACAACGGGAAGTGCGCCAACCGGCTGGTCGGACCCACGGGTCAGTCTTTCCTCCATTCCTCCCATTGCGCGGCCACAATCGCCCCGCTGGTGCCCTGCTGTCATAAACCGTTGGTTCGCGGCGTTACCCTTCTACTTCACGTCCCCACAACTGCTAGCCACATCCCCCTCACCCCAACCACCTTCCCATGTTCCCAACCTCTTTCCCAACCACCTCCCCCAGGCGCCCCGCTTGTTGCCCAGCAGCTGATGCGACTGCGACTCAATGCGGTGTGGGCGCTGATGGTGGCCTTTGATGGCCCCCTGCCCGTACCCTTCGAGGGTGGGTGTGAGGTACTGGTACCGGTAGCCCAAAAGGGCCATTTCTCAGCTATTGTTTGTCTGGTAGGGCCCAGCCAGGCATGCGTGTGTGTTTAGGACAACGGATGAGCCACACGGTGAAAGGCTGCGTGTGGATGGATGCGGGACGTGACGCATGCTTGCGCCCTTCGACCCGGCCTGCCCAACCCCTCCTGCATGCCCTCCACCCCGCCCCCCTCCCTCCCTCCCTCCCTCCCTCCCTCCCTCCCTCACTCGCCCGACCTGCAGGCGCGTTCGTGCAGGGCAGTTCCGTGCTCAGTTGGGCCGCCAACAACACGGCCAAGCTGGGGCTCAGGTGCGGTAGCTTAGTTGGTTGGTTGGTGGGTTGGTGGGTTGGGGGAGCCCCGGAATCGTTGAAAGCAGGGTAGCAGTGCCGGGCGGTGGTCCCCAGGGCTCGCCTGGGTACCTCCCTTATTGACAACCCGGACGCTCGCATCTTACCTGCCCCTTCTTCCCCCTTTCCTCTTCCCCCTTTCCTCTTCCCCCCTCAGACATACCCCCGAAAGCCTGCAATGCTGGACTCTCTTCTCCACCAATGCATTCGGCCAGGCGAACAAAGTACGTACCGTATACTGCCTTACCCGGCGCGCCGTCGTACCGGTACCGGTAGCCCCATTCTGTACCCATCGTACCGCGGAGTACGGTATGATGGATTATGCAGTACCCCATGCATGCCGTGCGCAAGGCTCCAACTCCTAATAGACACCTTCATATCCGCGACGTTCCCCACTGTCTTTAAAACCCACACGCGATGCGCCCACACCGCCCCAACTACGACTGCGGACGGCCAAACCTAGTCGCGCCTTCCCCACCTGCTCTCACGCCTCCCCAGCCCGCCCCGCTCCATGCATGCAGGTTCCCCAGGAGGCCATTCCCGCTGACGTCGCCGATAAGGTTGCCACAGAGATGCTGCAAGCGTTGAAGGAAAGTTGCGTAGGCAGCGGCAGCAGCAGCAGCAGCTCCTTGCAGTGGCCGCGGCCTGTGTTCACGCGGGTGCAGCTGTGGGGCGCTGCACTGCCGCTCAACTCGCCCGGGGTGCCCTGCATACTAGACCCGGACAGTAGGGTGGGTGGAGGGAGGGAAGGAAGGAGGGAACGACCATGTGACGGACCTTGTGGATAGCAGGGCGGGTGGTTTGAGAAACCAAAGCCACTAGGCCACATCCAAGAAATCCAAATGCAGCTACCGATATGCAACACAGTGCTCCCGGCTGCGGTTGTGACGATCCCTCGCGGTAGGTGGGTGATGAAGCGGGGCAGGGAGGGGGCGGCCGAGTGGACAGCTTCCCCCCGAGCTCCTCCTCGCTTCTGCACCTTGCTCTGGGCTGTTCCTTGGGGCCCCCTGTGCCCTGTGCCCGGGATTCCTCTCCCTGCCCATGGTTGACGGTTTCGCATGGTGGGGTTTGCTCCCCGGTTCCCTCCGCAGGTGGGGGTGTGCGGCGACTGGCTGAGCGGGGGCAGTCTGCAGGCGGCGGCAGTCAGCGGCATCACAATCGCCAGGAGGATTGCAGGTGGGGCAGGGGGGAGGTTGGGAGACAGCTACCAAGAACCAGCCAACGGCACTAAGCTTGACAACTTCGGGATGTCAATCGTGTTCCACATCCCAGACATTCCGAACCCAGCCATCAGCTGTCGCTGTCCACCCCCCCCCTTGCCCTGGCCTCCCTATCCCGATCAGGTCTCCGAGGGCAGTGCGGAGCCGAGCAGCTCGCTCCCTTCCGACTGGGCCTGGAGCAGCCCTTCACGCCGCTGAGGGGCGGCTGCGACATCGGGGAGTTCCCGAAGTGAGGTCGCAGCGAGGTCGCGGTGCTGCGCAGCGCGGCGCATCGTCTCTTGTGAGGTTGTTCTTGAGGGCCGAAAGGCGGGCTGTGGTTGAGGAGTTGGTATTGGCTGGCTGGAAAGTGATGGCTAGGCTGTGACTGCGGAACATGTACCGTGCGTGCTTTGCATGATGCGCCTTCGGGGGGGACGGATTCGGACGGATCACACCATTTGCAGCAGCCCTTTAAGCGAGTGGTCTTACAGTAACATGACGTGGGGATGTTGTAAGAGTATAAGGCCGTATGGATGCTGTGGGCATGTGACCTTTCAGTTCTATGGGTTTCGGTGCTTGTCGGTTTGTGCACTGTACGTCCAAGGCGCTGACTTGTGACGTTGGAGAAAGGCTCTTTACCTCCAGTGTGCTCTGTTACTGCATAGCTTAACACATAGTCCAAGTCCTCAGACCTATCCAAGGCTTTGCAACACCCGCGTCAGTTACGCAGATAGAGCTGACTTAAGCACTGTTACGCATAACATTGTCTTACTTTTTCACCAAAGAGGACTAGGCAGTGTATTATGCTTTGCATAGAGTGTGGCAGCAACAATCCTTGCGGGTAAGCGTGCAAGGATGGGGGAAGTTGGCCCGCGGGGCAACGAGGTTTTGGCCTAAGAGGGGGCGCATCGACGCTATCCTTGAAGTATAAACCTCATATGCCATACTTCCCTCGCAGGTGCAAGGTTGTAGGCCCCACGCTTGGATTTGTCGTGGGTGTGGTGACCGCGGTTATTGCTTATCCCTTGGGCGCTCTCATGTACTGCTGCGTTCGGCCCACCGCCGACAGGCTATTTGCAGCACCAGCAGACGTTTTCAGGATGACCTCTGCTATATTCCCGATATAACTTGGTGGACAAGACATGCCCTTGATCGGCATGCTGTTGTATGTTTTTACAAGGCTCTGTAACATATACCCTTTCTGACAATTGATGTCTGCGCCAGTCACCCATCTATAAAAGCAGTTTGCATGCCAGCAGTCGGGTGCTTTACCCCAGCAAAGTCAGAGGACCCAGCTTGTGACACAATTAACACTTTAAGCAGCCCCAACCTGGCTCACGCCCAGGGTAAGCAAAACAGTATAGGATTTATGCAGGACGTGGGACCATTTTATTTACGGCACCGCCGCCGCCGTACGAGAGCGCGTTGTGCTCTTCACCGGTCGGCACCATTGGTCGGGCCCTTCTTCCTTTGGCCTCTTTGCTGTCTCACATAGCGCTTTAACCATGGCCAAGTCCAAGAACCACACGGCGCACAACCAGAACCGCAAGGCTCACAGGCAGGCACTCTTTCAGGCAGTTCGGGAGGGTAGCAGCTGGCGTGAACAATAGCTATAACGCACGTTCTTTATTCCGTTAACAGGAACGGCATCAAGAAGCCCCAGAAGCACAAGTATGCCTCGCGCAAGGGGGTGAGCTGCCGCCGCTAGTATGCCCACGCGCACTTCCCTATTAGGCCATTCATAGCAGATAACGTTAATCATTATGATTGTTAGCATGTACTGGGGAGGGCCCTTGCCTTGATTTTTAGGCGGCCTGCTGTTTGCGCAATCGGGCCCAGCCAACTGAGCTGCCTTTCCTTTTGGTTCTCGCAGATGGACCCCAAGTTCCTGCGCAACCAGGTTAGTGTTAACTGGGAACTTGCTTGATCGCAAGAGTACTGGCTACGTTGTAGGTCCCCGAAGTGGCCCCATGTTTTCTCACGCCTTCGGCCCATTTATGCGTCGTGCTGCAGAGGTACGCCAAGAAGCACAACAAGAAGGTCGAGTAAGCAGCCATGAGGAGGCCGGCGGAGGGGCGGAGGACTACTTGTTCAGTTAGCCGAAGTGTAGCACTCCCGTGTAACACCCCGGCGATCTGCTGCCCGCTTTCCGTTGCCCGAACCTCATTCCGCATACCCCGCCGTTGACCTCGTCCATGGGCCGGCACAGCAACAATCCAGCCAGTCACGAGTGGCGTGGACCCGCGGGCCATGGAGTCATAAGCCCTGGAGGGATAATGAGCGCAGCAGTCCTGGCGGCTTTGGGGCAGCTTTCCTACATGCGTAGAGTATCCCACCAGCCTCTTTCCTTGGCAGCTGCGCTCGACGGCAAGTGGACATCGTCGTTACCACTGGGCCGCGGACGTGCTAGCTAGGACTGCGTCGGGACCCTATTTCCGCAGGCGAAGTGTAGCACAGCAGCAGCAGCAGGATGTTGGGGGCATGCAGCATGGCGCAGCTCTTACAAAGCCGGGTGGAGGGGAGCGCTAGCAGCCCTGCAGTATCGGCCATGCTGTAGTTTTCATGCCACCCCAGCAACAGTTACAACGTAGCTTGCACTCTATCCTTCACGGTTATGCCAGTTAATATACCTAGAGAGAACATTATGCCGTGAAATCATCAGCAACGCCAACATTATGTATCGGTTTCCTGACCGTTGGGCACGGCGGGAGGGGGGGGCAGTTAGCTAGCAGTACTTGCCATTATTCGAACGACACAACTCTAGTCCGCTCTCTTGACCGTATACAAAACCCTCTTTTGCAGCTTTATATGACAATTCAGCCCTCAGTACTTGACGAGAAACATCGTGTGGGACAAAGCATTTCCCTGGCCCATTTGTATTATGCAATGCTGCACACTCTCCATCCTGCGACCCTCACACGCTCTCCACACCACTGCACTCCCCACTCGAAACCGCGTTACCACTGCAGTCCTCTTAGGTCTCCATGACCGCCGCTCAGCAGTTTTACAGCTACGGTCTGTACGCGTTTACAGCATATATCGCTCCTCAGCTGCTCCGAACGTAGCACATGCATCACCATATCACTTTCGTCCATGACCCTGTCGTCCGTTAGTCATGTCACTGTCCATCGGAGTACGGCAGGATGGTGATGGAGCCGTGCTCACTCTTCAGGGTGACCACCTGTGGCTCGCTCTTGAGGGCGGGGACCAGCGAGAACAGGGCCTGGAGCACACGGGGGATGGGGGTAAAGCGGAAGGAGGAGAAGAATCACGCTTGATGAAGGGAGGAATGGGGGATAGGTGCACACGGACCAGGAAAGTTCTGGCATACTGTGTTTGGTGCCTCGTCAATGCAGTTACTTTACCTGAGCTCCTCGGATCGGCCCCAGCACCCTCCTCCTTTCGCATCGGCCCCAGCCCTTCATAGCAGCGCCGCTCTCGCCATAACAGACGGCACCCTGGAAGCCCCACCCTACCCATCCAGCCGCGCCAGTTGGCCTCGTCACATTTACCGGTACCCACACCCGCTACCGATGCCACGTAATCTCTGTCGACGCACCCAACCCCGTTCCGCCCCTCCGCACCTTTGTGACGTAGTGGCTGATCAGCCCCATGGGGCCCAGCAGGCCGCACAGCAGCACACTGTGGCCGGTGGGGAGGCGCTCACGCAAACCTTGGGGGCGGAGAGGTTGGAAGGGGGAGGGAGGTAGGGTTTCATCGGAAAACAAGGGTGGAAGGAGTCTCGGCAGCTCTATTCCTGGTCCTCCGTGTCGAACACGGAAAGCTTGGTTCGTACACAGCAGCATGGAAAAGAGAATGCGAGTATTACAGGGGATACGAGGATAAGGAAATCAAGGATTACCCCAGAGATGGTACGCAGCACGAATTCTTCCCGAGCACCTGTCATCACAGCCCACGGCTATGAGCAAAAGTACATACAGTAACAGCAAGTGGCGTTTACAAAGGCAGGGACGGCCCTATCACACTCGACCACAGCTGCCTTCCCACCTTGCAGCAGGCACCACCTGCCGGCGAACAGGTTGATAGTGAGCACGTGCAGCACCCAGGAAGCCGTTACCCTGGGCCGCGAGAACAGCGTGGATATGCCCTCCAGTCGTGGGAAGAACTGCGGTTTGAAGCCGCCTGCAGGGGGGTTGCGTTGGCGATAGGTAGGGGTAATACCAGTGGGAGATGCGAGCAGGGTTGGGAGGACTTTGGTGACACTTGGAAGACCACAGCCCGTGGTGATACCGGTACCCATATGAATGTAAGCATGGCAATAAAAAAGCTGCAGTAAACGACCAGCCCGCTGCTGCAAGTTGCGGGACCGGTTACTGATTCCAAGGTTACCTGAGAGGCCCTCCTTCAGGCTTCCAGGCATCATGATGCTGAGGGTGTCGGGCGACCAGGCGAGAACCAGCAACACAAAGTAACCGAGCGCAAGCGGCACGAAAGGCCACACGGAAGCAAAAATGCTCGCTGATTTGCGAGGGAAGAGAACCATCTGCAGGAAGGAACGACATCAGAGGAGCGTATTGTTGGCTTAGCGAGGAGCGCATGGCCGGAAGATCAATTGGCCCTTGGGTCAATGCCGCAAGTAAAAGGCAAAAAGCTTAAGAAGCGTAGGCTCGGGGATATCTTCAGTTGCTCCTACCGCAATAAAGCACAGCGCTGCGTAAGCTGTTGCCGCCACGACGGTCGCGATGACCACCTCTGGCAGGGATGCCGTTGCGGTCAAGGTTGCAGTCGGCAACGCTGCCATTGTAGCTGAGGCTGCTGCTGCAGCAGCAGCTTTACAGCAAGTAGCCTGTGGATGTCTCGTGGCTTTCCACGACTTTTCGAGCGGGAAGCCATTTTCTCCGTGGCTTATCAGCCCTCCAGCATGGTGCGTAAAGTGGGGTTTATTTTGTAAGCGGAACCCTACTGTAGGCACAGCGCATCGCGGAGGCGTAGAGACCGGCAACCTTTGCTGTCGAAGGCTATTCATCTTGCCGCCCTGTGCAGGACGCTTGCGATCCCAAGTTTAGTAAAAGCACTATGGACCTATCCGACTTCGAGCGTGACATGCGCTGCCCTGCATTTTGGGATCCCGGACCAACTACCAAGCCAACTGCCATGCAAGCAAGCAAGGTCATAAGGGCCCTAGAGCAGCCAGTAGGCACTTCGTGTGCTGCTAATGAACAGATATACAATATGGGGTTTGAACATACTCAAGTACTACTAAAAGAACAAAGCTCATGGCAGGGCTCCCCTCAGTTGAGGCTCATCTCAAGTTCGGTCATTTACCTCAGTTCAGGTTGCGTTTGCCCTCTCCCCGATAGCGCGTCACGCTGCTCACTTCTAACTTCGGGCTCGCACTTCGCGAACTCCTGCTATTTCTTCTTGTCCGCTGGCCGAACCTAAGCTCTGCTGGGATGCTGCTTCTTCACATGTACAAATGCCAAGGAGCCAGCCTCCCCCTCCTCTTTCTGCTTCTCCATGCCAACCTCTCCATATCCCCTGCCTGCCCACCTCCCCATGCGACCCAACTCCCTGCAGCAGCTGCAAGTCTCTCTCCCCCAAGGGAGGCATGCACCTCCCTCTTATCCTTTCATAGCCTTGTCAGATCCGCGCCCCTTGTTGTCTGTCTTACACGAGCCGCCCCCTCCTGTCTCGTGCCTGTCCCTCGTCATGTCCCTTCCTGCTTCCACTCCCCCGCAGCTTGTGAGCGCGGTCCCCGTCATAGGAGTTCCTCTGTTCATGACAGCTGCGCAAGCCTCGTTCGCACTTCAAGCCAAACAGTTTTTAGAAAATAGCTCGCGCATGTATTCCATATTACATTCGGAACATCGGTTCAATATGAACCCGATTCTCAAACTTCCTGTGCGTCCTGGTACATGTGGTCGCGGAACTGCGGGCTCTTGCGGCCTCACGTTAAGTGCTCATGCTGTACCCTTAGCCTTCAACTTCCCGCAAGTCTTCGGGACAACCGTTGCAACCCTGTTTGTGTTCTGACCAAACGCGTCCGTCTCCTGCATCAGGCTGTGTCCCTCCCCTCACCGTGTCGCCGTGTCCAACCCTCGGTAGGTAAACTTCATAGCATCCATCTAGCACGCCCTCCTGCCTTCCTTCTACATGCCTTTACATGCACTCCCACTCAGGGACCAACACATACCGTTCTATAGGGCACTTTGTCGCAGTGCCCTGTTTCAACGACTACTTACCAGGGGGTACCGCTTGCTAGATGGAACCCGCTCCATACACACGACGCACAATCGCAGCCGCATCCCGCCCCTCATGCCGCGCACAACGCCAGTCCCGCCCTGCCCCCATGCTGCAGCCCCGCACACGGCCGCCAACGACCCGCCGACGTGTCGTAGCACTCAACCGTCTGATGTACGGCAATCTCCTCAGCTCCGAAACCACCATTATAACCACCATAACTGCCGCCACTACCTAGGCCGCTGCCGTAACCGCTCGCCACGATGCCGCCAGCAGACGTCCGAAACACCCCACTTCCACCGCCACCGCCACCAACAGCAATTCCACCTTGTGCCAGCCCTCCATACCTTCCTCCTCCCAACACCGATGGCGCAGTTGGAGCGCTGCCGTACAAACCGTAGTACGATCCCGGTCCGTACGACGCCGACGATGTCGTACCGCCACATCTGTACCCGTACAACGGCGGCGAGGTACCTAGAAAGCCGAGACTGTCGTTGTACGGCAAGCCAGTGCCGCCGCCAGCAGTGGCCGCTGCCGCCGCCGCCGCCGCCGCTAGGTCTGCGGTGCTGCACTGCCCTCCCGCCACGTACAAGCAGCCGCCTAGCGCCGCCATCCCGTGACTAGACCTGCAGCGGAGGTTTAGCATGGTAAGCTTTTGTGCTCCGGAGCATTCAGTACCACAAGCCACCAAGTAAAACCATCATACACCAAAATCGGGTATTGTACAATGTTCACGGTACAATAGGACCAAACATCTCGGTCCGGACCTTTTTGTCCGAACACTAGGACTACGCGGGCGTGCGAACCTTGCATACACCTGCCATTAAGGTAACCCTGGACAACGTACCTGGGCGCTGACATGGGCTCCAGTGCCGTCCAGCAGCCCTCGCGGGGGTCCAGCGCCTCTAGGGAGGACAGCCGGGTACGGCAGTCATTGACACCGCCTGCCACGTAGATCCGTCCCGCGTGGGAGGCGGCCTGGTCCGGGGAGTGGCGAGCGACCCATGGGTCACATAACTCGGTGTGCCATCGTTGTCCTGGGAAAATGATTCCGGAGAGTATCTCCGCAACAGACGGAGCAAACGAACAGCAATCTCTACACCACTTCCTTTATGTCAAGCTAATAAGCCTCAGAAATCCACTTCTTCAAGGTGCCGTAAACCTCTCACATAAGCCCTCCTTCCCTTCCCTGCTCCATTACCCTTTGCCCACCTGCTACCTCCCTTCCCTCCCCTTCCTCACCGCCATGTACTTCCGCTCCGAGCGCATGTGTGCCGCCAGCAGCACCCACTGCCCGCTGCCCAGGTCTAGCCACTCCACGCTGCGGTGCGTCCCTCCTCCGCCCCCCGTGCTGCCTCCCCCGCTCCCGCTCCCGCCACTGCCGCCTCCGCCACCTCCACGGCCCCCTGCGGCTGCCCCCCCTGCAGCTCCCCCGGCGCCTCCAATCGCATACACCCTGCCCCCTAGCACCGTGCATGCAGCCGCGCTGCGAGGCAGGAACATGTCGGGGCCACGTTGCCAGGGAGAGGCAGCGGCGACGGCGGCGGCGGTGCTGACGGAGGAGGATTGGGAGGCCGAGGTGGGGGGGTAGGCGAGGGAGCGCGGCGGTGAGGGCGGGGAGTGCGGGTCGAGGGAGAAGGAAGAAGGGGAGGAGGCAGCGGCGGCGGCGGCGGCTTCAGGAGCGAGGATTTCCACGCTGTTTAGGACTTGTTGGACCTGTGTGCGGAGGCGGGCAGCAGTAGGGGTAGGATTTGGGAGCAAGACGATTTGGGGGCGAAGAGGGCAGAATTTTGGAGGCTCACTTGTAGCGCGACTCTAGGTGGGTATACAGGGCTGAGCTATGGCGTAACAGTGTGCAGAGCATATTCCCGCCTTGGCTAGCGCTCCCTGTAACCATGCACTATGTCCCTCGACCCTCTCCCTCAGCCATCAGCCAGGTGGTCCCCCCAGAAGCCCCACCAGCTGTATTTGCGAGCGCCCGCCGAGCACCGTCAAGCAGCCTGCGGGTCGGATCGAGTTGGCGGAGGTGTTAAGAAGGAGGTGTCATGAAGGAGGTGGCCGCGAGTCGGAACGTGGGGGAGCTGGGGAGGTGTATGGTTGGCCGGATGGGAAAGACATGGGTAAGCATGGAGCCCTACCTAGGACCCCCGCAACGACTCACCCGCCACCGCCGCCACGCCCGCATGCGCCCGGGGCACCAGCAGCGGCGGCCCCGGTTCCCAGGCCTGACCCATGGGTCCGTCGCCGCTCCACCGCAGTCGCCACACGCTGCTACACAGCGGCGTGCCACCCACCAGGTAAACCCCCCCGCTGCACCAACCGCCACTGCCGCCGCTGCGACCGTTACTATAGCTCACAACACTCGATGCGGCGCCGCCGCCAGGTACCATGGCACAACCTGCGAATGACAAACCCTGCGCCAAGGACGGCCCACCGACCCATTGGTCGGTCCGAGTGTCGTACATTTCAACGGCTCTAACGGGCCGCCAACTGCTGTCGTGACCTCCGGCAGCCAGCAAGCACGAGGCGAGGTGACGGCGAGGCCGGCCGCCGCCGCCGCCGCTCAAGCCGTTGGTGCCTCCGTAACTATAACCGTTACTGCACCCAGGGGCATAGTAACGGTCGTGATGACGATCTGCGATGATGACGGGACCTGTACGGCAAGGTTGTGGATGTTGCGGTACGGCAGAGGGTTCGGTGGCGGCGGTTGGGGAACGGTTATACCCGCCGTCAGGGCCCGCTGTGCAACAACCGTTCAGCGCCGCCGCCGACAGCGGCATCGGCGGACCGTACTGCACCTCCGCTGGTGCCTGTTCTGGCTCCGCCGCCTCCATGTCCCCTCCCTCCCGCATCTCCATCAATAACCGGCGTAGGTACGGCACAGCTGGCGGGACCTCCGTACAACCCCCGCTACCGCCGTTGCCGCCGCCGTTAGCCCCTCCATGCGACCCGTCTGAAGACGAAGAGCCAGCGGCCGTCCCCTCCTGCTGCTGCTGCTGCTGCTCCTCCAGGGCTCCTAGCAGGGCAGCTAGGGCCCGCATGCGCGCTGCTGCTGCTGCTGCTGCACGGCAGTCCTGACCGAGAACAGCAGCTGCATCCCCAACCCCACCATCATCAGCAGCAACCCTGCCAGGGAGCTGCAGGTGTGGGCGGTGCGGCAGACAGCTCCACTGTACGACGGCCGCCAGCTGACGAGCGGCGGAAGCCAGGGAGGGGGAGGGAGATGGGGTGGTGGTGGCGGAGTGCTGGTCGTGGGGGTTGTGATGGGAGGTGCGGTGCTGCTGCTCCTCCTGCTCCTCCTGCTGCTCCAGCTCCCCCTCCTCCTCCTCCTCCTCAGCCGCCCGCTGTGTGAGCCAGTCCAGCACACACTGCAGCACATCGCTCTCCTGCGGGGCGGGGGGGGGCAGATGCAGGGGGGTGGGACGGGCGCACGAGATTACAGCGGGTCAGGAGGCGACACAGCAGCCCATGTGTACGATAGAGAGAGGGGGAGTAGCAGAACCCCCTGCCCCCCCTGCCCCCCATGGCCCCCACTCACACATTCCACCAGCAGCTCCTCACTCCGCAGCACCTCCAGCAGCAAATCCAGAGGCAACCCGCCCAGCAGCAGCGGCGGGGGGCAGCAGCCCGGAGCGCTGCCACCACCCGCCAGCTGTGCCGTACCTACAGCAGCAGCAGCAGCAGCAACGTTGTTGCCCCTACTGGCATCACTGCCAGTAGCGCTGCTGGTATGGCAGGCTTGCTTGCTGCTGCTGCTGCCGCTGCCCTCGCTGCCCTCGCTGACTTGACAAGCACCGCCGTAGTTGCAGGACGTAGTTTCAGCAGCGGTTGAGGTGCACCAGCTGGGGCTGATGGATGGTGACCCCAGGCGCACGAGCACGGAGAAGCGACGGCACACGTAGGACATCTGCAGGGAGGGAAGGGCGTGGGCTTTACCGGCCTCATCAGGAAAGGACCCCCCAGGCTGCGGCAAGTGGGGACTCAATGGACGCAGCAGGGGGGTAACAAGCTTCCAGGCAGGGAGGAACACCCCAGATGGAAGGCTGTGAGGTGCAATACTGGGGGCCGCTCTTTGCTGCTGGGCAGCTAGGCCCCAGCCAGCCTGCTAGCGCCAGCCGCACCCGATCCTGCATCCCTGCCTACACATCCATCCAACTGGCCCAGCTGCCACCCGCTACGGCACGTCTCGCCCCCCACAACACACCAACCCACCCACCAGCTCCCCCCGCAGCGACCCCGGCAGGCTGTAGCGCCACGCCAGCAGCAGCAGCGGCAGGCAGGTGTGGAGACCCAGCGCGCCGCGCATGTACTGCAGGCAGGGGGACGGGGAGGGAGACCAGGGTGGGAAGCGGGCTAGGAGCTGTGTTTCGGTGGAGTGTGGGTCCAGCATCTCCGTCACGAGCTTTAGTTTTGCAGCTTGCTTTTCACCCCTACCCTTATTACCCTCCTAATACCCTCCTGTTCTCCTCTTACCACCCTCCCCTCCATCCCCCAGGGGCCGCTCACCGCCGTACACGCCTCCAGCAGCGCCCCCGCCCCCAGGTATGAAGCAGCCGCCACAAGCCCCTCCAAGCTCTCCGCGCTGACCTCCACACGTCGCTCGTACAGCGCTGCAACCGCCAACTGCAACGACCTCCCATCCAGTCCCGGTAACGATAAAACCATCGGCGTCGCCTGCACTGGCGCCGGCGCTGGCACGCCTGTTGCTGTTCTGATGCCGCGGCCGCCGCCTCTGTCGTCGACCGGTTCGGCTTGTCGTACAAGTTGCGATTGTGAATTCGGCGCCGACGTCAGCGGCGGCGGTGGCGGCGGCGCTGCCGCCACGTCCCTCATGTGCGCCCCCGCCCCCGTCAGTAGCGCACGGAAGTAGTCGCATGAGGCAGCAAGAAGCACTTTGTGCGCGGGCACCTCCACCACAACAGCCTCCTCCTCCGTCTCCGCTTCTGGCTGCGGGTGCAGCTGTGGGTGCCCCTCCTGCTGCCCCTTCTGTTGCTGCTGGCGTTGCCCACCATGTTGCTGGCAGTCCTCCGCTGCTTCATACGGAGCTGCCCCTTGCGACAGGCGCTCGTCCGCGGGTCCCGCAGCTGCAGCTGCGAGGGGGGCGGAGTTCTCCGTGTGAAGAAGACCGGTGCCGTCCTTCTTGGCATGTGAGCGAAATGCAGTACCCGTACTTGCTGCCGGAGATGCGCCAGGGGGTCTTGTTTTGGGTGACGAGAAGTTGGCGGCTCGGTTGGTGAGGATGATGTCGCACAGTAATTGCTGATGCCACAGTTCCGCCAGGCCGGTGCCGAGTCCAGAGGGCTCTAGCAGCATAACTTGGCTCTGAGATAAATGAGAAAAATGGTGTGATAGGAGGGGTATAAGCGCGGCAAGAGATTTAGAGCACCCGGGACAACCAATCGTGGATGGGAGTAGGTGAAAGGGGCATTGGTTGATAGCTAACAAACCACTTCAAAGTATCCCTTAAATTGATATTAATATGAGCAATGTGACGAGTTACTGTGAAGCTTTCAGCGTGTAAGGGTGTTGCAAAGGAGTCGTTCTTGAGCAAGTTGCAAGCAAGGTACGCAACTTAAAACGCAAACGATACAGCCGTTTGGAAGTAAACAGACTGAGAATGTGCAGCGACCAGAGTGCACCTGGCATAAGTGCTGCTCATCGCCAGTCGGTGCTCCGGCATAGGTCGCGCTATGCATTTTGAGAGGCTTTTAGGTTACAATGAGTGTTCATCTGTTTGCCATTGATCCTTGTCTGTCAAGTGCACAAACCCTTGTCGCTTCGAGTCAGAACAGGGCAGATTGGTATTCCGTTACATTACAAAAGTAGGAGTGGGTTAAAGGGTAACCTGTAAAGCAGGGCTTGTGGCTTTTGATGGCTCCTGCCGTGCGAGATGGGGCGACGCCCTGCGGGCGTGCATGTCATGCCGCATGCGCCATGTCACGCACCTCGCATAGGCAGTAGCATTGATCGCAATGGGTCTTTTTAACAGTTCCTACTAGTATGCATTGTGTATTCCAATATTTTTGCGGTCTTGGTGGAAAGCTTACCAACTCCTAATGTAGATACTAGGGTCCGGATGCGCCAGCTTGCGGCCGAATACGCATGTAACTATATCGTATTCGAAAATGGAATCGCGGCCGCCGCGATCAAGCTACGTGCCAACTCACTTGGGCGCAGCGGCGCCTGATGGACATGCCATGTTTCCTTACAGCCCTTCACCGCTTGGAAAGCGCGCTGCTGCGAGTCAACCCTGCGAAGCCGCTTCCGCTGTAAGGCGTAGATTAGACTCTGGATCCCAAGGAGTCGGCACAGTCACCGGTGGGAACGTTGCAAGCATAGCTGGTAACCATGGCAGCCATGGCTGGCAACACCAAGGACAGTGGCGGCACTTGCAGCCGTCGCAACAGCAGCAGCACCAGGAGACGCAGGAGCCTCCACCGCACTTCCATCAGGACCAGCACCCGCAACACCAACAGCACCAAGGCCATCAGCATGCAGCCAGCCCTCACCCCTTTCCTTCGGCTCTTACCGCAGCAGGGGGGCGCCCTTACCAACCGCCAACCACCTCTTCCACTCCTCCTACTCCTCACTATCAACGCTACCACCCAGCTCACGCCGCTGCTGCCGCCGTTGCTCCACCCTCACAGCCACTGACCCATCACGCACCACTTCCGCCGCTTGGGCCATCGCAGGCTGCAACCCTGACACCATTATCGCCACCACCATCACTACCCCTACCAGGATTCCACCCAGGCAGCGGTATCCTCCCCAGCAGCCAGCACCCCACCCCCCTACCCGCCGCCTCGCTCGCACCCCCTCGCACCCCTCCTCCGCCCAATCCTCCTCCCAGAATTGCTGCTCACGCTGCTGCTCCCACCTCTGCTCCCACCTCTGCTTGCTGGGGAGCAGCAACAAGCGCTTCCACCACCACCCCAGCAGCACCAACGTCCCTTCCTGCCATCTCCCAACGCCCTGCACCGCCGCTGCTCCCAGCTGGCCCCCCCGCTTCCCCAGGTGTCCGCTGCCCGTCCACCGCCGGGGAGGCGGGCAGCAGGCGCCGGGGGGGCCGCCCTGACAGCTGCTCTCAAGTGCTGGCAGCCTGGCTGCGGGTGGGTGGCAGGGTGGTCCTTTGGCTGCATGGTAGAGCGTGTGGGAGGAGGTTTGGGAGGAGCACTCGGGAGGAAGTCATGCGCCGAAGGGAAAGGGACGTGTGGGTTTGTGGTTGGCTAGCAGGATTGTCGTCAAGAGACGTTCTGGTGCCAGGTTGGGTAGGTCGTTCGGTATTGGAGAGGAAAGGGCTCCCCCTTTTCCAAGGCAGGCAGGTCAGGAAGCCGGCTGTTCCCCCCATCTTCACCTGATATATGTGAAGGGGCCCCCCTCGCCCCCTTTACCAACGCATCTCCCCTCAACGGCTTGTTTCCCACCTCTCCTTCCCGCGTCATCTCTCCCCCCACCTCGCTCCCCTCTTTCCCCTCCACATAGGGCCCTCCTGACGCCCCCCTGGAGCCCCTGCCGGACCCCCTGCACCTCTACCTGCGCCTGCCCTTCCACGCCATGTAAGCCACCGACTGGTCGCAGCGCATGCAGTACCCCCAGCCGGTACCGGTTCCTCACATTGCCCTTACCCGCCTCCCCGCCCTGCTCCCCGCCCTGGTCCCCCTTCCCCCCCTTGCCCCGCTGCAGCCTTATGCTGGAGCTGCTAGGACTGCACCCCGACAGCCCCGCATGCAGCCCGGACCTGCTGCGGGGGCTGGCAGCTGCAGCAGGCGGGGCAGCAGCGGCGGCAGGCGGGGTAGCGGCGGAAGCAGCGAGAGCAGGTGGAGCAGGGGGAACCGGGGCAGCATCAGGGGGAGCAGCGGCGGAAGCAGCGAGAGCAGGGATGGAGAGGGCAATGGCAGCCGGCTCAGAAGAGCAGATGCTGGCGGTGCTAGGGGTCATGGTGCAGAAGGCTACTGCGGAGGCGGAGGCGGAGGAACATGGGGTACGGCAGAGGCATGGCGGCGGCGGAGGGGCGGGGTCAGCGGCAGCGGCGGCGGTGGAGGCGGTGGAGGCTGCACGACGACGAGTGAGGGCGGTTTGGGATAAGATCCGACGCGGGGGAGTGGTACGAATAACGGCGGCGGAAGCGGCCATGGGCGCGACGGCGGGTCGGCATGCTGGCGGCAGCGGCGGCGCTGGCGGCGGAGGCGGGTTGTCGTACAATCCGGTTCCGCCGCTAGCTCCTCCGTACAGGGTTGTATCTGCGGTCGCGGACTGGCAGCCGCCGCCGCCGCCGCCGCCGCAGAGGGCTCCGACAACGCCGGCAACGCCGCCAAAGCTGCCGTCGCAGCGCCAGCAGGCTGCAGGACGAGGCCGGGGCGGCGGCGGCAGTGGCGACCGTGGTGGTGCGCTGCTCCGAAACCCTGACGGTGGTTGTGACGTTGGCTGCGACGGCGTAACGCTGTCGTACGACCTGGAGGTGGGTGCGCCGGAGGGGGCGTTACCGTTGCCGTTAGTTACCGTTAGTAACGGTATAAGGCCGTTGGGACGGTTGTCATGGGCATCAAGCTGTTCATGGGGGCAAGAGGGGCCATTTAGGCCTGGATGGAGCAGCAAGCTCACCAGCCCGACCGATGCCAACCAACCCAACTGCAGTACAATCCTGATATTACTTCTCCTCACACTTTTTTCCTTTCCCCAACCCCTCTGACCGCCCCTCTGACCTGCCTTCTCTACCTCACCACGCCGGTCCGCCTCCACGCGCCGGTTCGCCTCCACGCGCTCCGCACCACGTCCCTCCCGCGCAGGTCTGTCAGGAGGGAAGCTACCTCACTCGTCACCCGCTGCTGGCCGCGCATGATCGCCTGTTGAGGCTGCAGCTGGCGGCGGGAGGCGGAGGAAGGGGAGGAGGAGGAGGAGGCGGAGGAGGAGGTGGTGGTTGGGGCCGGCTGTTAGCAGAGGGAGATGCGGGGGCGCCAGGAGGAGGCGGCGGGGGAGGGAGAAGGGAGGAGGAGTCCAGGGTAGCTGCGAGGGCGGCGTTGGAACGGCTGCTGAGCCGGGGGTTCGTGTTTGCTGGGCGGTTGTACAGGTGGACAGGGGTGGGAGGGGGGTGTCGGGCCGTCATGGTTTGGCGGTTGCGGTAGCGGTTTGATGGGGGCAGGGCAGCGGCGCCCTGCATGTACGTATGTAGACGTGTTGTGCCCTGCCTGTATCCTTCTGAGTCCTACTTATCACCGCCCCCACCCCCACCCCATTCCCCTTCATACCCCATCCCTCCACAACACCTCCTCAAGGTACCTGCTGGCCAAGGGCGGCTCCATTTGGTGTGCGGCAGTGCGCAGTGCGAGGACTGAGGACCGGGCTGCATGGGAGCCGCTCCGAAACCCAATAACGGTGCGTCGTACTTGCGTGTCGTCTTTACGGTGTGTGGCCCAGGCGTGGCCCTTTTGCTAGTTTCTGTTAGCTTCCATGCTAACGCAAGATTACTTGATCCTTCAGCTAAGATTGCCTGCTGTGTTGCATGGTGCTACTTTGCACCGTGCGTCTGCTGCAGGGCGGTTGGCCGTTGCTGGGCGCTGCCGTACATCTCACCTCCGTACAGTCCATGGCTATGCGAGCCGAGCTCTGGGCCAGTCGGGCGGTACCGCTGGGGCTGCCGGCGGGCTGGACTGTACGGTGAGAGGAGAGCTGCAATAGGGGGCTGCCAATAAGGGGCTGGGGCTGCCAATAGGGGGCTGCCAATAGGGGGCTGCCAATAGGGGGGCTGCCAATAAATCAAGTGCCCAGTGGGATGGGACCCGTTTTCCTTTCTCTACGCGTGTGCTGTATGCCCTCGTGTATACCTCCTGCCCTCCTGATCATCCTTCCCACCATCCTTCCAACTACCCACCATCAACTGCTTCGGACTATCTGTTGGCTCGAACAGCTACGAACCCGATTTAGAGGCGACTGACCCACGGGTCACCGCCGGCAGCTCCGACACCCCGCAACCCGCCATCAAGCTCACTGACGGAGCTGGCAGGGCCTCCCTGGACCTCTGGCCCCTCATCCACGCCGCATGGGCACGACATCGCGCCGCCGCCGCCGCCGCCGCCGCAGATTCCATCAGCGTCACCGTTGACCCAATCCATCGCCGCTGGGATCGCTCCGCCGCCGCCGGCTGCTGCCCGCCGGTCCAAATGCGGCTGCACCATGCCATGCGCAACCCTGGCGGTGGCGGCGGCGGTGGCGGTGGCGGCAGCAGCAGCAGCAGCAGCCCAGGCGGTGTGAGTGGGAGCTGGCGGGAGCGGGTGGTGTCCAAGGGCATGCTTTCCCCGGACGCCCGACTGCCCCCCCGCACCATCGTACTGCCGTACAGCTGCGTGAAGGCTCCCTCGCGAGCCCAGCTGGAGGTGTGGGCCGCCGTCGCCTTCGCCACGCCGGCGTCATTCGAGGGGGAGGAGGAGGAGGGCGGGCAGCAAGCGGGTGTTGTACAAGGAAGGAACGCCGCACGACAAGAACAGCAAGAGGAAGGAGGGGGAGAGGGAGGAGGAGGAGAAGGAGGGCAGCCGGAGGAGGATGTCGTACAGTTAGAGTTGCTGACGTGTGGCGGGGCGGTGAGCGAGGGGCGGCTGAACCAGCACCTGCTGCCGCTGTTGGAGCATGTGGGGCTGCCGAGGGAGGTGCTGTACGGGTGAGACGGAGTACGACTGGACTGGACTGGCCTGGACTGACCCACGGGTCACACTGCCGTGTCAATCCTCGCTCTGCACCTTCCCTTGAACCCGCCCCGGTTCGGCTGTTTAGCCGCGTCGCCCGTCCTGCTTCACTTTTGGTACCCTACCGCTTTACGTTGAAGCCATCCTGTCCATGCCCCCTCGACCTCCTTTTGCGCCTGCGCACGCATGTCTGCCCCCTAAAGCTCCTTTGTTCTGCACCCATTCCAGTCCACCCCCCTTCCCCTGTGTTGCTCTTTCCGCTCCTTTCACTGCCTTGCTACTCCCTTCACTGCCCTGCTACTCCCTTCACTACCTTCCGCCCCCCCCCAGCCTGCTATCTGTCGCCCTGTCCCGGGTGCAAGACGCGGCCGGCAGCCCCGCTGCGGCTCTGGCGGCGCTAGGAGGGGGCAGCGAGGAGCGGTTCGGGGTGCTGCGGGAGAGGCTAGAGGCGGGCTGGGGCTGGGCAGGAGGAGGAGGAGGAGGGGAAGGGAGAGGGAGAGGTGGAGGTGAGGGATGGAGAGATGCAGAGTGGGGCCGACCAGATGCGCATCTGGTGCGAGAGGTGCGCAGGTGAGGGTAAAAACAAGGAAAACTGACGAGGGTGGGGGGGATGGGGGGGATGGCAGGAGTGGGGCGGCGGCTGAGGCAGGCGTGCGCTGTGAGGCGGGCAGCGGGGTGTGGCTGGCGTTGGGAGATGGAAGCACGGGTGTGCCGGGTGCTGTTGTGTTGTGCCTCCTTACCTCACTTGGTTACCTGCTTTCCTACGTATCTACTTGTTCGCTGCTCATGCCTCAACCCTCCTCCGCAGCCTACAGACCACCATGCTGAACGGGCTACGTGAGATGCAAATCCCCCTGCCGGTGGGTACCCGCTGAATGACCCGCGGGTCGGTAGTCGGCCAGTCCGGGCGGGAATCCTTGGTCGCTTCGTCGCCCAATCCTCCTCCCACACTTTCCCTCCTGCCTACTCCTTCGTGCCTCTTACTCCACAGCTTAGGTCCGCCTCGCCCCACACAGTCCGACCTTTCACCAGAAATCGCCCCCTGGTGGTCACCGCCACGTTGCCCCCATGTGTTCTGTTGCCCTCCTCCTGTCACGTCAAACGCCTCAAACGTCCTTCTCCTTCGGCCTCAAACCTCCCTCTCCTCCGGTAACCCTAACCACCCCTAACACACACCATCATCACACCCCAAAACACACACGCAGGATAGCTACATGGCCACGGGGGTACCCGACCACACCGCCTCACTCCCCCGCCGTTGTGTCGTACTTCTGGACGACAAGGGCAAACCGCTAACTGCCGTACCGCGGCGCTGCCTGCTGTACCGAGATCCAGATCTGCGCCCCGGGGGGCTGCTGGCGGCCTGGCTGGCTCCTCCGCCCGCTGAGATGATGGCGGGTTTCGGAGCGGGGCTGAGGAGCGCCCTGGTGATGCCGGTGCAGGTGAGGTTGAGCTGTGATGGTTTGGGACTTGGGAGGAGTTACAATGGCGGTACGATCGCGTGCTGGAGGCATCCGTAAGTGCATCCGCAAGCTTCCCTAGCAACCAGGATCCTTCCATGCCTGCACACCAGGTACACGGTGCTCTGCTTTGCCTCCTCCCCACCCCCTCCCTCCCCTGCAGGGCGGCGAGTCCCTGGCGGCCCTGATGGCAGGCGGCGACTACGATGGAGACACCTTCCACCTTATCCTCACCGAGCAGCTGCTGCAGCACTGCTGGCCCGCACTGGCGGCGCAGCAGCAGGTGCCGCTGTCGTACTGCCCGCCGCCGTACACTGTTGGGGGTGGAGGTGGAGGTGGTGGAGGAGGTTATCCCGGCACCACTAATGCCAACTCTGCGCCTTCATCAGCAACCCCCGCTACTGCTGCTGCTGGGGCCCCTGTGGGTGATGCAGCTGCTGCCGATGCGACATCATTCGCTGCTGCCGCCTCTGCTGCTGTTGATGACGGTGATGATGCACCCGCTGCACTTGCTCCGCCCGCTCCTCCTGCAAAGTGTTCTGCCCCAGCTGCTGCTGCTGCTGCTGCTGCTGCCCCCACCAAACGCCGCCTGCCGCCCAGCCCCTATGAGGCGGAGCGCAGCGGGCAGCTGTGGACGCTGCCGCCCCGGAAGGGGGAAGCAGGCGACACGGTGGGAGGCAGAGGACGGGGACAGGGGCGAAGGGCTTTGTGAGGGGTGGAGCCTAAGCGGTTTGTGTAGTGGCGAGTTTGTTTGGCTGCTTGCGAAGAGCATTCTTACCAGTTCGTCTGCCAAACGTTGCTCCTGCTGCTTTGCGCTTGCTCGGATGCCTCCGCCCTCGCCCCTCAGGACCTCATTCGGCAGATGGTGCACTTCTTCATTCATGCTCAGGTCAGTGAGGACTGTCAGGTGCACCAGGCAACTAGCATTCCGTACGCCTGCTTCGCTCTCCTCCTCCCCCAGCGCTGCTGCACCTATAAGCTACAACAGCTCCTACCCCTTACCCCTTACCCCCCTCCCTCGCCCCGCCTCCCTCCCTCCTCGCCGCCCGCTTCCCCGCCCCGCCTCCCCTCCTTCCCCGCCTCTCTCTTCCTTCCCCGCCTCCCTCTTCCTTCCCCGCCTCCCTCTACCTTCCCCGCCTCCCTCTTCCTTCCCCGCCTCTCTCTTCCTTCCCCGCCTCCCTCTTCCATCCCCGCCTCCCTCTTCCTTCCCCGCCTCCTCGCCTCCCATCCCCAGGCCGTGGGCTCCTGCGTGGGCCGCTTCCACACCTACTGGCTGCGCTGCCTGGAACTGCCGGCGGCGGCTGGCGGCGGGGTGGGCGGGACGCTGTGTGGCGCGCTGGCGGGGGTGTTCGAGGCGGCACTGGACGCCAAGAAGCACGCAGCGAGGCCGCATGTGCCGCCGGAGGTGGAGGTGAGGAGGGGGGTGAGGGTTGGGTGAGGTAGGTGAGGTGGAAGAGGTGGGGACTGGGGGGTGCGCCCTAGGTGTAAAACAGTGGTGGTGGTACTACTGGCTGCGGTGCTGGCAGGGGTGCTGGCAGGGGTGCTGGCAGGGGTGCTGGCAGGGGTGCTGGCAGGGGTGCTGGCAGGGGTGCTGGCAGCGGTGCTGGCAGCGGTGCTGGCAGGGGTGCTGGCAGCGGTGCTGGGAGCGGTGCTGGCAGGGGTGCTGGCAGCGGTGCTGGCAGCGGTGCTGGCAGGGGTGCTGGCAGCGGTGCTGGCAGGGGTGCTGGCAGGGGTGCTGGCAGCGGTGCTGGCAGGGGTGCTGGCAGGGGTGCTGGCAGGGGTGCTGGGAGCGGTGCTGGCAGGGGTGCTGGCAGGGGTGCTGGCAGGGGTGCTGGGAGCGGTGCTGGCAGCGGTGCTGGCAGCGGTGCTGGCAGCGGTGCTGGCAGCGGTGCTGGCAGGGGTGCTGGCAGCGGTGCTGGCAGGGGTGCTGGCAGGGGTGCTGGCAGGGGTGCTGGCAGCGGTGCTGGCAGCGGTGCTGGCAGGGGTGCTGGCAGCGGTGCTGGCAGGGGTGCTGGCAGGGGTGCTGGCAGGGGTGCTGGGAGCGGTGCTGGCAGGGGTGCTGGCAGGGGTGCTGGCAGGGGTGCTGGCAGCGGTGCTGGCAGGGGTGCTGGCAGGGGTGCTGGCAGCGGTGCTGGCAGGGGTGCTGGGAGCGGTGCTGGCAGGGGTGCTGGCAGGGGTGCTGGCAGCGGTGCTGGGAGCGGTGCTGGCAGGGGTGCTGGCAGCGGTGCTGGGAGCGGTGCTGGGAGCGGTGCTGGCAGGGGTGCTGGCAGGGGTGCTGGCAGGGGTGCTGGGAGCGGTGCTGGCAGCGGTGCTGGCAGCGGTGCTGGCAGCGGTGCTGGCAGCGGTGCTGGGAGCGGTGCTGGCAGGGGTGCTGGCAGCGGTGCTGGCAGGGGTGCTGGGAGCGGTGCTGGGAGCGGTGCTGGCAGCGGTGCTGGCAGGGGTGCTGGCAGCGGTGCTGGCAGGGGTGCTGGCAGGGGTGCTGGGAGCGGTGCTGGCAGGGGTGCTGGCAGGGGTGCTGGCAGGGGTGCTGGCAGCGGTGCTGGCAGGGGTGCTGGGAGCGGTGCTGGCAGGGGTGCTGGCAGGGGTGCTGGCAGCGGTGCTGGGAGCGGTGCTGGCAGGGGTGCTGGCAGCGGTGCTGGGAGCGGTGCTGGGAGCGGTGCTGGCAGCGGTGCTGGCAGCGGTGCTGGCAGGGGTGCTGGCAGCGGTGCTGGCAGCGGTGCTGGCAGCGGTGCTGGCAGCGGTGCTGGGAGCGGTGCTGGCAGCGGTGCTGGCAGCGGTGCTGGCAGGGGTGCTGGCAGCGGTGCTGGCAGGGGTGCTGGCAGGGGTGCTGGCAGGGGTGCTGGCAGCGGTGCTGGCAGCGGTGCTGGCAGGGGTGCTGGCAGGGGTGCTGGCAGCGGTGCTGGCAGGGGTGCTGGCAGGGGTGCTGGCAGGGGTGCTGGGAGCGGTGCTGGCAGGGGTGCTGGCAGGGGTGCTGGCAGGGGTGCTGGCAGCGGTGCTGGCAGGGGTGCTGGCAGGGGTGCTGGCAGCGGTGCTGGCAGGGGTGCTGGGAGCGGTGCTGGCAGGGGTGCTGGCAGGGGTGCTGGCAGCGGTGCTGGGAGCGGTGCTGGCAGGGGTGCTGGCAGCGGTGCTGGGAGCGGTGCTGGGAGCGGTGCTGGCAGGGGTGCTGGCAGGGAAGCCGGGAGCGGTGCTGGCAGGGGTGCTGGCAGCGGTGCTGGCAGGGGTGCTGGCAGGGGTGCTGGCAGCGGTGCTGGCAGGGGTGCTGGCAGCGGTGCTGGCAGGGGTGCTGGGAGCGGTGCTGGCAGGGGTGCTGGGAGCGGTGCTGGCAGGGGTGCTGGCAGCGGTGCTGGCAGGGGTGCTGGCAGGGGTGCTGGCAGCGGTGCTGGGAGCGGTGCTGGCAGGGGTGCTGGCAGCGGTGCTGGGAGCGGTGCTGGGAGCGGTGCTGGCAGCGGTGCTGGCAGCGGTGCTGGCAGGGGTGCTGGCAGCGGTGCTGGCAGCGGTGCTGGCAGCGGTGCTGGCAGCGGTGCTGGGAGCGGTGCTGGCAGCGGTGCTGGCAGCGGTGCTGGCAGGGGTGCTGGCAGCGGTGCTGGCAGGGGTGCTGGCAGGGGTGCTGGCAGGGGTGCTGGCAGCGGTGCTGGCAGCGGTGCTGGCAGGGGTGCTGGCAGGGGTGCTGGCAGCGGTGCTGGCAGGGGTGCTGGCAGGGGTGCTGGCAGGGGTGCTGGGAGCGGTGCTGGCAGGGGTGCTGGCAGGGGTGCTGGCAGGGGTGCTGGCAGCGGTGCTGGCAGGGGTGCTGGCAGGGGTGCTGGCAGCGGTGCTGGCAGGGGTGCTGGGAGCGGTGCTGGCAGGGGTGCTGGCAGGGGTGCTGGCAGCGGTGCTGGGAGCGGTGCTGGCAGGGGTGCTGGCAGCGGTGCTGGGAGCGGTGCTGGGAGCGGTGCTGGCAGGGGTGCTGGCAGGGAAGCCGGGAGCGGTGCTGGCAGGGGTGCTGGCAGCGGTGCTGGCAGGGGTGCTGGCAGGGGTGCTGGCAGCGGTGCTGGCAGGGGTGCTGGCAGCGGTGCTGACAGGGTTGCTGGCAGCGGTGCTGGCAGGGGTGCTGGGAGCGGTGCTGGCAGGGGTGCTGGCAGCGGTGCTGGCAGGGGTGCTGGCAGCGGTGCTGGCAGGGGTGCTGGCAGGGGTGCTGGCAGGGGTGCTGGCAGCGGTGCTGGCTGCGGTGCTTGCAGGGGTGCTTGCAGGGGTGCTGGGAGCGGTGCTGGCAGCGGTGCTGGGAGCGGTGCTGGCAGGGGTGCTGGCAGGGGTGCTGGCAGGGGTGCTGGCAGGGGTGCTGGCAGGGGTGCTGGCAGGGGTGCTGGCAGGGGTGCTGGCAGGGGTGCTGGGAGCGGTGCTGGCAGCGGTGCTGGGAGCGGCATTGTGTTTTCCTGCAGCAGCACAACAACAACTCCTCGGACCTCTCACCCCCACCCGCCACCCCACCCGCCACCCCCCTTTGCAGGCCCGCTGCAGGGCCCTGCCTGACCCTGGGTGGCATCGCAAGTACTGGCGGGCGCAGCAGGTTGGGGGGAGGGGGGGGAGAGGGGGAGGGAGGGGATGGGAGGGGAAGAGGGGAGGAGTGGGGTCCAGCAGCCTCGCGCTAGGGATGGGGCTGTGGGTGCGGGTGCGGATGCGGGTAAGGCTGGGTTGGGTTCGGGTCCCCTCCCGAGCTGCTTTCCTCCACAACGCGCATGCGTGAGGAGGCTGCGAGGAGCTGGCAACCCCCTTGCTGGCGGCTGCTTTGCAACCGAACCTGACAACATGCATGGGACCGTCTTGCAGCCCCTTGTTACATCCTTGCTACCTGCAATAGCTACGTTGCCCTTCCCTGGAGTCACCTAGCTCCCTAGCAAACGCACCTTTGCCTTCTGCCTGTCATCCGCAGCAACAGCAACAGCAACAGCGTCAAGCTGCGCCCCAGCAACAGCCCGCCCAGGGCTGCTCAGTGATATCGGACCTGTTCGCACGCATTGGCGCGGATGAGGAACAGCTCAGGCGGCAAAGCCCGCTTGCAGCGGCTATCCTCCAGGAGGAAGAAGATGATGGGGGGGATGAGAGCGAGTATTCAGCAGCAGCAGCTGGGGTATCAAGGGCCACAGTGACATTAGGTGTTGCTTCCTTGCATGTGGACGGGGTGTTGCTCCAAGCCGCACGTTCTGTCGTACATTCGGACGAGCAATGGCAGGAGTTGCTAGACCGTTGTTGGGCTGTCGTACAACGGGAATGGAGCGCCCCCTGGCGCCGGTATCTGACGAGGAAGACGAAGCGTCGCGGAGGCGGAGGCGGAGACTTCGAGGATGATGACAGCGACGAGGGCGTTACGGCGAGTGGCGGCGGCGGCGGCGTGGGTCCCTCGTCCCGTGAAGCGTTACGTCGGCAGGCGGCGGCGGGTGCTGCGTTTCAAACGGAGCTGGTTCGGGCTGTCCGGCGGGGGCTGCTGGAGGCTGCAAGGGGCATCCTGCCGGGTCGGCTGCAGCTGGGTGGGTGGTGGGATGAGGCGTGGGGGCAGTTGGTTTCACTGCTAAACCCGCATGCTCGTCTAATCTACCGTACGTTAGCTACGGGTATCTTACACAGAGGCGCCCTGCCTCCTGCCCACCGCAGGGGACACGGTGTACGACGGATCTGAAGCTAGTGCCGTACAAGGGAGCTTACCGGGATCAGCTGCTTCGGCTACTGTTACCGCCGCTGCTACAGGCACTGCTACTGCCTTGGCTACGGGTGATGAGTTAGACATGCGGTCCCGTACGGCGCTAGCTACAGCACTGTATGCTTCTGTGTACGGCAGACGTCGTGCCGAGGGCGGCAGCAGCGGGTGAGCCGGCCATTATGGGCCGAAGGGGTAACGTGAAGTGCTGGCGTCCCGTGAATATTCATGTACTAACGAAAGAAATACAATTTGCGTCCACCGTTCCCCATCTTCCCAGCTTTTGTCGCGCTCTATACGCCCTCCCGCCGTAGCCCTCCTGCTGCTGTTTGCTACTGATCTGCGGTTGGTCCCAAACGGCGTCCCTCCCGTTGCCTCCTACTGCTGCCTCCTACTGCTGCCTCCCCCGCTGCTCCCACCGGCGCCAGCTCCGCTGCTTCCCTCGACCGCTGCTTCCCCCCCGCCTGCGTGCTGCAGGGCCGGTGAGCGGCTGGGTGTGGTGTGGCTCGCTGCGGGTCCGGAGCTCAACTGGGCGCATTGGGTGTTGCGACACGGGGGCAGGCTGCCGGGGGTCAGGAGGGGGGGCTGAGGGTGATGACAGAAGTCCTCGCGGCGCACGCATCTAATGTTGCTACAGCCTTCACGCGTTCACCTCAAGTCTTCATGTACGTGGCTGCATGGGGCTTCAGAGATGGATACCCAATGTGTGCTGCTGTATTCCATGCATGGCGCATGCCAATCTGCATGAGCGCACGACAGCCAAGGGTCTTTGGGGGTCGTGCTGGGTAGTTGCAAGTACCGCACCTGCCTAACGGGGTGCTGCAATGCACCTATTCATCAGTTTTAAAGGCCCTTGCTCTTTAGCTACAATGTTAAGGGGTGCCCTAAGGGATGTTGGTCGGGCAGTGCGCGGGACGTGGTGGTGGCTGCGTAATTACTGTGCACGCTTCGGGGGGAGCAACAGCCAAGCGGTGAATTTGATGCTCGGATTGGAGGCAGTGCGCAATAAATGGAGGCATACATTCTGATACGTTGACCCGGATTGGCATGGGATGCTTACCTAGTTAGCTAGCTGTAGCGGCCGATTCAGCGGGGAACGGTGGCGCGGCGACGGATAACGGTCGCCAACTGCCGGGTGGCATTTAACAGCGGATTTTACCGATGGAATGAATGTTGTTACAATAGGTGAATGAAGGCAGGTAAAGGGCTCGGGAAAGTGCGTGAACTTATGTCCACACACTAAACATGTGCCGAGGCTGGCACATGGCCATATCCTTGTATGAAGTGGCTAACGAGAGTGTCCATCACAGACAACGGTTTTGCGCTTAATTTTGCGTTTGTAGGCCTCTGCTTGCATAATACATACAGGCAGCAGCTACAGACAGCAAAATAGCAAGCGTGTCCTTTCCTAATTGTACATGCGGAGCAATGACTCGCCGAATAATGAACCCACCCAAAACACCGCTGAAACGGCTGACCCTGTTAGCCTGATCAGGCAAAACAAGAGGTGACCCATGGGTCAACATCGTCTTCCCCCAAGCCATGTCTAAACCACCCTTCCTGACTCATTGAGCGTGTAGCCGCCTCACAGCACATGTCGAACGCCTAAAGCAGGCCTTACCTCCTAGCCTGAAAAGCACACGCAGCACGCACAGTGTTCCTTGATTGTGAAGGTAGTAAACCCTCTTACGCACACGATTGTTCGTACCTTGCAGGACACACACCAATCCCGGCACCGGAAGCCGCCGTACCCGACCACTCCATGCCAGCTGCAACAGTACAGACATGCGACAACCCAAAGCTGAGTAGACACGCATGACACCTAACCTAATACCAATAGCACTTATTAACCCCAAAAGAGGCGATCTTTCTTGTGCGCCGCCACTGCCGCTTACCACTTACACTCGACCTCCCTTCACAGGATAGCGGCAACTCAACAGTCGCGAAGCAGCCCGGCACCTGCAACCTTCCACACACCTGCCTTGGGCACACAAAACATAACGCAAATTGTGAGCCGCGGAACAAACTGTTGGCTGAAGACAAGTAGATTGCCCAGAACCAAAACCTTTTATTAACAGCATCTCTTAAATGGCTCTTGAAAGCCCACAAAGGATTTAGAAGCTGGCGTGTACGGCAGCAAGTGCAGCGCCGAGATCTCTACAAGTATACGACACCTGACAAGTAACATGCAGGTAATCACATTTGCATTCTAGGCTTAAGCAGACATCGAATACCGGCCCGCATAACGGACAGCAATGTACTCGACACACAGCAACGTGTAGGGACCAGAGACAATGCCGTACATGCACTCTTACGCAACGTATGATTGCACCCTGCAATGTACGGCAGCGTGCTTTGCTGCCGCCTATAGTGCCTAAATAGGACGTGTGCATGTACGAGCCCGTATACACGGGATGAAAACCCGCATACATGCCATGGGAGCTCTCGTAACGGAAAACATACTCCCCCCAGTGAGTCTTGACAGAAAGTGGGCATCACCCCCGTGGCGACACCTCGCATCCAAACCTCATCCAAACCGCGTGGAGACAACTCTTCGCACACACACTACTTGAGCAATCTGCGACGCAACACGCCCCCACGCTCCACGCTAAATAGGAAACCGGAAAAGCAGACACACAAGCACCACAAACCACCATCGCAGCCCACCCACGCGAAAGATCATCGAGCGTGTCATCCCAACGTGCTGAGAAGCCTGTATGACGACTGCTGTCACCAGCCGCAAACCGCCACCCAACCGTCGTCGCATTCACCCGCCGGCCCCTCCCTACGATGATGAGAAGGTTTCCCCCACGCCGCTCCTCGGCGCACTTAAACATCGGAAGTCAACCGCAGCACCGCCCTTGCATTCTTGCCCCCCACCCCCACAATACCAAAACCCTTAGTGTTGCAGCCCTTCCTCGCTTTCTTAGCTCGCCTTCTCCACAGTCGTCCTGGCCGCATACGCACCGCACGCACCATGCCTCACCACACCGACACCCAACACCAACCCATTAACCAGCTTGCACCGTCGTAAACTAGCAACACCACCACCACCTTCATTAACGCACCATCACCACCACCACCACATTCAAGATAATCTTTACCACCTTTCTTGACCATTTCCACCTTCGCACCAACCACCATTACCACCACCAACAACAACCATCATCACCGCCCCTCGCCAGCCCAGCATAACCATGAAGCATCCTAATACCTTGCAACACACCCATTACAACCCTAAACAGTGCGCCTCAATGCACCGCGCGCCGAAGCAACCCCAACGCAGCGTGTGCTACAGCCTGCGTACGAGACTGGCACACATACAACCACCCCAGTGCAATAAAACGACACTTCAGACCCCCGCCATCCCTGCATTTGCGATGATATCGTTTAAAGTGGATCCTGATCCGCCGTGACGGCTCTGTGCGCTGTCCTAGGCTACCTACGGTTCCACCGCGCCGTTGTCGCTCCTGCGGAGTCCTGCCTCGCCAAAGTCCTCCTCAAGGAGATCCTCCTGCGGTTGTGGCGACGCACACAGGGTTGTTGTACGGCAGTATGGTGCCTTGTACGGCGCTGGGACAGGGTAACGCAAGCATCTTGCGAGTGGTGGCGGTAGTGGTTATGATGACAATCTGTGGCTGTCATTGCAAAGGCTCCTATACCACGCTAGTCGCTTTCCCGCCTCTCTCTCGAATTGCTGCAAGCACAGACGCAAAGCTTAAAGACGTTATAGCCAAACTGCATTTATTGTATGCACGCGGCATGCGAAGCTGCCGTACCCATAAACCCGACACTAGGAACACCAGATCTCCGTACCAGGTCGCATCCATACGACTTGAGCAGCTGGGTTGCCTGATCAGGCCGCATCACGCCGCTGGTCAACGCTTGGTCAATCTTCAGCAAAAGTGCATCATCCAGAGCAAGCTGACCCGTCGAGGGAGGCCGCGAGGTGGTGGTATTGCTGGTGTTGCCGCCTCCGCCAACGGCGGCGGATTGCGACGCAGAGGCATAAGCAGAGCGCGGTGATGACGTCAGCATTAGGTCCGTGTCGTACCGATTGTAGAACCGCAGATCCCTCGCCTCCTGGGGATCTTTGCCGTTGTACGAAAAGTACCGCAGGTCTCGGCGGCGTGCGATGTTATCGCTGTTGCTGCTGGGTGAAAGACTGCCGACAATGCCTCGGCTGTTGGCCATGCTGCCACCGCGGGAGCCGCTGCCTTCGCAGCCGCGGTTGCCGAGGTCAGGGCTATCGAGGTGGCCGCTGGCGGGGCCGCTGTGGAGCCGGCTGGCGCCTGGAAAGGGGATGCTGCTGCTGCTGCGAGAGGAAGCCTTTCCCTCCAGTTCCTCCTTCAGGAGCTCCTCCTGTGGAGTGTGCAAGACGGTTTGAGGCGTGCGGAGCTTAAGATGCCAAACTGCGGCAGCAGTCGTGGCCGGTCGTGCGATTGAGGCGCATGTGTTACGGAATGCCAGCGCATGGTAAGGGTTGCTACAACGGACAACAGACTTGACGGAAGGTGGGAAAGGCTGAGGTAGGAATGTCGGCAGGATAGGCTTCTCTTCTCTTTCAGCAATACCTTCTGTTTCGCAAAGGTTTTTTTCCATCAGTCGCACTGGCACACCCGCTGATCGATCCCGCGTGTTACCCATGCCTGCTCGACGAACCCACGACGCAACCCCTCCGCGACGTTTGCTTACCAGGTCACATCCAAAAGACTTGAGCAGCTGAGAGGCTTGGTCGGGCCGCATCACGCCGCTGGACAGCGCTTGGTCAATGCGGCTGAGTAGTGAAAGGTCCACTTCACGGGAGCCGGTCGCTAAGGCCCGATCGCTGGCAGTACTGCTAATACTTTGGCGACAGGAGCTGAAGGTGCGATCCATTGCAGCAGGAGAGGGGCCTGTGGCCAGAAGTACTTCGGGCGGGATTGACGACTTCGCCGAGTTGACGGCAGAGACCCGCTGTTTAGGAGCGGAAACAGTACAGCCGTTATCGATAGAAGGAATGGGTTGAAGTGGGCTGACATGGTCAGCTTGGAAGGATTGGCGATTTGGCATACTGCCATGCGCAGCACGATGGGCATGGTCGCGCTCTGGCCGTTGCCGGAGCGAACCACCCTTAGAAAGCTGGCATTGAGCGATACTTTCCTGCACATTGACAATATAAACAGGCCCAGAAGCAGCCGGAAGACAAAGTGTTAGGCAAGAGCTTCCTTGCAAACAGCGCTGAACGCGCGTTAGCGCCTAAGAAAAAGACGAGCATACATAGCATGAGAAAAAACCTACAGTTGGTGTACATGCTTGGCAAGAGGAAACAGCGACCACGCCCGGAGTATCACGTATGGCGTTTGCGCGCTGGAACTGCTGTATAAGCAGAATGACAACTGTGAAGGAGCAAATGCCTACAACAAGTATGCATGCGCCTAGAACCCTGGCCAGAGCCTCCTCCTGCCGAGGCACGGTGCTGTCCGTCGCAAACTCCATTCGTAGTGCAACAATAAGACGTTTCCCGAATGTCTAGTTGAACTTAATAGTCCCAGAAACAAGCAGGACTTTGCCCTGCAAGTGCATACATATTTACGTAAGCACATGCAGTACCGTAGGGCACGCGTGCACGGCGCACCGCATGCCTGAAGACTCAGAACCGCTTTGCATTATTCCGACGTTTATGGCTGTATTTTCCCCAAAACTGCGCGACGAAAGCCACGTGAAAGCGTTGATACGGTTACCTTATCTCAATCAAACATGAACCGCTCCACTGCGTTACGCTGCCCGGAGCAATTTGTAAGTGGTTTTTAATTGTTTTTTCGCTAGTGTTTGGGTTCCATGTACGTATGGGTGTTGTCTGTTGTCGTATTGATGTGTGGTTTGGTGGTGTCCTGTTTCCTTTGTGTGTTTATTAATTGTTGCTTTGGTGGGCTTGGCGGTCGTGGCCTTGCTCAGCATCTTCCTCCTGGGTGCCTGTGTGCTCTTCCTCCTCCAGTTTGTCAATTGCTTGCTGCTGTTGGCAAAGGTGTGCAGCCCGTACATTTCTAGCATCTTCCTCCTCTGCATCCTCTGCTTCAGCCGGACCTCCATGGTTGTTTTGCTGGGCCCACTGGGTTGTCCGCTGGCCTTGTGCCCGTGGTGAAGACCATGGCGGAGGTGTCCAGGCCTCCCCTACTGCCAACGGGCGCAGCAACCACGTGGAACCTTTTCTGTCCACCCAATGTCGGCACGAAGCAGCTGGTAGAGTGGGTGCACTGCTGCCCAGGGCCGCAAGGTGCAAGATCTGGTGGCCTGCAGTTTCCATCCGTGCACACCGCCGTGGGTGCATGCCGCCCAAACGCTGCTTGTAGCCCTAGTGCTTGCTGCAGAACTGTTTTGAAGACCCCTGCCTCTACTGCGACTGCCCGTTCGTCTGCTGCTGCACCACCTGGCCCGCATAGAACCTGCTCTGCTGGTGTATCCGGCCCCACACCATGTTGGTCTGGTGTTAGGAACATGAGCTCCAACACCTGGCGCACTGTACTGCCCGCTGGTGGGAGTCCAAATGCCTCCTCAGCGGCTTGTTCCGCTTCATCTGCTTCTGCACGGGCTGCAGCTGCGTTGTCTTGCCCTTCCCTACCTGCTTGGTCTTGGGTTTGGGCCCCCCTTGGTGCTTGTCGCATTGCGTTGTTTTGCTGCCTTGTCGCTGCACCATAACTTTGGCCCATAAGTGGATACCGGTATCAGCTGCACCTCTGCAACGGTTAACGTTACCGTATATATCGGCCCCTGGGTAAATGTGGGCTATTGCACATTCAGGCACCTGTTGGCCTGGGGGGGGGGGGAGGCATGTGAGGGGTATGGTGTGCATGTTGGTTTGCAGGCCTAACCATAACCATTTTGACTGTCTCCCTTTAGACCCGCGGCCCCAAACATAAGAAGCACCTTCCTTTTTATTTCCGCTGCAGTGCTTCATGGGAGCTATCATAGAGGTGTACAGCTTCTTGTTGTCCGTCCGCCCCTAGCCACAGGTTTTGATTTTCTACATGCTGTGCACCCAATGTCCGCATGTAGTGTCGAGTGTGTCTTGGGGTGCGTGCCTTGCTGGTGTGAGTGCTAGTTCCTGCCTTGCTGGAGCTGCCTGCTTCTGCAGTCTGTGGCCAAGCTCCTGCTGTACGACGTCATTCTAATTCTCCTCTGCTTCCTGGGTGCCCGAGTACTCTTCCTCCTCCATGCTCCCTGATGCTGCCTCCACTTTGGCAATCCTTGCTTCTTCTGCACGGGCTGCAGCTGCGTTGTCTTTCCCTTCCCTACCTGCTTGGTCTTGGGTTTGGGCCCCCCTTGCTGCTTGTCGCCTTGCGTTCTCACGCTGCCTTATCGCTGCACGTTGCTCGACCTCCATGCTCGCACCCTCGCTGTTGCTCTGCGCCGCCGCTCCTCTTCTGGGCCATAGTCTTCGTCTTCCGAACTGTCGGCCATTGGTTTGCTGTCCGTTCCTGTTGACGACGCCCACCTGCCTTGATTGGTTTGTGTTTATCCCGCTGTTTATCTCGTTTATCCCGCTGTCGTTTTTCGCTTGTTTTTTATTTCTCTGTGTTCCCGTTTCCCGTGTGGATTGGTGGTCGCGGACCTGTTTCCTTAACGTTTTGTAGTTTCCCTGTTGCTTCTTTTGTTCTATGTGTTTTGTTGTTGGCGTTGTTGTTGTTGGCGTTGTTTGGGAGATTGGGAGTGCTCTGCTGGTGTTTCTGGCCCCACCCCATGTTGGTTCCGTGTTAGGAATGAGTCTCCAGCACCTGGCGCACCATACTGCCCGCTGGTGGGAGTCCGAATGCGCCCCCGCTTCCTCAGCCGCTGCCCTTGCTGCTTGCCGCCTTGCGTTTTCACGCTGTCTTATAGCTGCACGTTGCTCGGGGCTACGTGCTGCCCTCCATGCTCGCATCCTTTCTCTTTCTCTACGCCGCCGCTCCGCTTCTGGGTCATAGTCGTCGGAACTGTCGGCCATTGCATTCTGCGGCCCGTTGCTGTTCGCAACGCCCTACTGCATTGTTTGACTTATGTGTGTTCCGGTGGCATGGTATTGGTTGTTACTGCTGTTTTCGCTTTGTCCTTTTGTGTCAATGTTGGGACGCGAAGATGTTTTTTTCCTATTATGCGGTTCCCTTCTTGCGTTGCTTCTTCCTTATTGTGTTATTTGTTTGTGCTTGTTGCTGCTGTTGTATATGTTGCGTAGGCTTTTGGGTGTCTTTGGTACGGCATATTTTGGAAGCCTTCCGTGCGGTCTGGAAAGGCTTTTGCGTCCGTTTGCGCTGTGCTGTATACCGTGTGTTGTCTGCTTTCCATTGAGGCCATTTGCGAGGCGTTTGGAGACAATTTTTTGTAACACTCAGGGTGGGGTGGGGTCGCTAATCCCTTTGCAATCCGTAGGATTGCTCCGGGAATCCAGGCTTCTTTGGCTCGTTAGCACAACATGGCGGGGCGTGCCAGGGGGGGGCCGTCGCAACTTGGGTTGTGGTGGGGTTTGGGGGCGATGTGGTTTCCCCATGCTGCGTTGCTGCCTTCTCGTACATGCCTCCAACTTGCTCTCTTGCGCACACAGTGCCCCACCCAATCGCCTTGTCGCTTGCCACTTTTGTCCAACTCACCCTCTATCAATCTACGCTCACACGCACGCGCCGCCAAACATGTGGTGGCTCTCGCTTACATGCCGTACCTCCTACTCGGCTTCCCTCTCTTCTTTTGCTGTAAGCGAAGGTACCGCTATTCTAGGCATAGACATAAGCATGCACTACTTCAAGCTGGCTTCCCGGTCTAGATTTACTGAGTTCCACCTTAGACGGCCAACCGGCTTCTGTTAGCGTCAGGATGTCAGGGTGTCGTCATATTTCTTTGTATCCGTGTGCAAGTCGAGTCGACTCCTTGCTTGAAGTCGGGATGTAGTCGTACTCGCCTGCGGTGCTCTTTAGCGAAGGTCTCCTACATGGCTCAGGCGCCACGTAGCAAGTTCAAATGCTGCATTCTGATAACGTGTTGTGGCCTTTCGTGATACGTATGTCAGTCAACCTAAGACAACGTTATCGTCCTGCTAACAGCCTCACCCCGCCCGCTCATTTGATACATCAAATCAAAAAAATCAAAGTTCAGACATCATAAATGCTATGCAGAAGAGCTTGGTTCGGACGTGGGTTAGTGGTTGTCGAAAGTTGCTTTGGCATCGCAGTGTGCTCGGGTCCGTTTTGCCTTTCAATCGTCTGTACTTGGGCATAAGTATGAGTGCGTGTCGTTTTGTTTTCTCGGCAACCCAACAGTGTCGCTGGAGTAAATAGGCAAGTAGCGACAATTGTCGTACTAAAAAGGACACAGGACGTCCATTTTTCGGAGGGCCTTGTTTGCCAACTTGTGATTATCGCGCCTTCTTATTGTTACCAGCTTTGCTAGTCCTTCTTTATCTGTCTGCAAATCGGGTGCTGAGAAAAAGTTGGGCTGAACTGCATTCGTTAGTGGTGAGCTGACGTGTGAAGGGCTGTGGTAAATGTCAGGCCCATATCGTATTGCCCAGCACGCCACCCGTGTTGCTTACTGCTCACGTGCATTCAACACGCCTAAATGCACACGCTCACATGGCGGCCCTACCAGTAAAGCGGGGTGGCTTGCATGCGTGTGTGGGTTGCATGGGGCAAAGGGCGGGGCAAGTAAAGCAGGGTTGCGGGCATGCGTGTGTGGGTTGCATAGGCCGAGGGGGTGTGTGAAGCGGGGTTGCTTACATGCGTGTGTGCATGGGTTGCATGGGGTAAGGGGGTTAGTAAAGCGGAGTTGCTTACATGCGTGCATGCGTGGGTTGCACGGTGCTAGGGGGCGAGTAAAGTGGGGGTGCATGCATGCGTGTGTGGGTTGCATGGGCCAAGGGCGCGAAAAAAGCGGGAATGCATGCATGTCTGCGGGCGAGGGTTGCATGGGGCGATGGGGCGCGTAAAGCTACGGGTGCTTGCATGCGTGCGAGTGTGGGTTGCATGGGGTGAGGGGGCGAGTAAAGCAGAGGTGCTTAAATGCGTGCGTGTGTGGGTTGCATGGGGCGAGGGGGCGAGTATTAGAGGGGGTGCATGCGTGCTTGCACGGGTTGCATGAGGCAAGGGGGCGAGTAAAGCGGGGGTGCGTGTATGAGTTGCATGTAGCGAGGGGGCGAGTGAACGGGAATGCATGCATGTCCGCTGTCGTGGGTTGCATGGAGTGAGGTGGCGCGTGAAGCTACGGTGCTTGCATGCGTTCGAGTGTGGATTGCATTGGGCAGGAGGGCGCGTAAAGTGGGGGTGCGTGCATGCGTGCGTGGACTGCATGGGCCAAGGGTGTGAGTAAAGCGGGAATGCATAGATGTCTGCTGGCGTGGGTTGCATGGGGTGAGAGGGCGCGTAACGCTACGGGTGCTTGCATGCGTGCGAGTGTGGGTTGCATGGGGCAAGGGGGCGAGTAAAGCGGGGGTGCGTGTATGAGTTGCATGTA